TTTTAAGTTTTTGTAATCCACAAAAATCGTTGTAGATATAGCAAAATATATTATGATATTGTACATATGAATATAATTACATTCCATTCATGTGGTGAAACCAAATTTAGTCCTGTAATCCAATTTTTCTGTCTTCACTACTGTAAAACAATAGACTTCTAAAGAAATGGATAATGATGTTCTGAAGTTTACATAGAACGATCAGAACAGGCTGACTGGCTACATTACAGTGATACAAGTCATATGTGACTTGAACTATCGGTTCCATGAACACTATCTCATACAGGCATACACTCAATAAAAGTTGCAAAAGCAGTTTATCAAAACGGTTTTCAAACACAATGACAAACAATTTTCGTTGAAACTCTTCAGAAATCATAAGGACAACTGCTTCCATGATTTGAGAAAGGAAGAAGAGTCACGTGACATGTACTTAAGCAAAGGCGCCTGGCAAATGCAAATAGGGTTAGGACATTCGACTAAATAGTGAGCAAAAGGTATATTTTAAATTTTAATAAATCTACGCTTTTGATATTCAAAATTTATGGAATGTTTAGATAAGTGAGCAAAAGTATATGTTTTGAAAAATATTGCCATGCTCAAACCCTAAAACATTCGTGTTGTTCTGATAAAAGAAATACATTTGAATGTTGAAAACTGCAAAATGTAGTTACATTATTCGATATTAATGATATGTATTTGTTTTTCGTGTTTTTACTTACTTATGAGACATTTATGGCCTTTGTAAAGTGCTTGTGGTAACGGTCGGTAGTTTGTATTGAGAGTTGTCACCTGTTAAAATATAAGATTGACAAACATACGCGGAAAGCCACGCGAGATCGCGCGCGGACAAACATTGCAATAACGATTCAAGAAATGTATTTAGTATTTACATAAATTGATTGCATAATAAACCTACAGAGGTTAGAGCAACTGATATGTATATTTTACTGATAATTGAAGCCGGAAGTTGGTTATCCCATTTAACAATTCTTTGTATTACAAAATCATAGTTTTTATGTTTTTATCTGCCCTCTACAAACTTTGATTCGAGCAAAATTTTGTGAAAGGGATAGAACAACCGGCAAAAGATATTTAATCTTAAAAAGTTTGTCTCTTTGGCTTTATAATGGCAGAAAATTGAGATGGTACAAGGTCGACCTGCATTGTTTTGAAACAAACTGAGATTATATGATGCTGCTGCGTCATAAAAATGTGAAATATTACAGAATCCTTCTACTGCTATCAAAATTTCATCTGCAATGATGTTTATGGAAGATTGCTACAAATTTATTTATTTAACAACACTTTGTTATTCACATCGCACATCATAATAAATTCAAATTACGTCTTTAGGTATCATTGAAGAAACAAAACAACTCGATATAGAAAATGATCGGAAAGACATTTGATGAACAATAGTAAGTTGAAAACGGTATCATCAAACTCTACGAGAGATGTACATCATCAAATTATGTGAAGCAAAGTTTTCAATAAGTTCCTATGTGAACAACTCAATATCGATGAATATGTTGAAGATATGAATGCCTTTGTTCTTACTTTGATGTAAATTTGTAATTTAAGTATTCATCTTCTAAAATGCTTCTGCACGGCTGAAATTGTCCTGTCACCTCCTTAACTTCCAAAGCTTAATAACTTGCCATCTTTTTTCAGTCGTTACAAAGCCAAAAACGGGGCTAGGGTAAAAACTCTCCCGTTTTTCTACATGTCATAAAAATTTTGTTTTAACTCAGAAAATTTGTAAGGAATAAAAAAGCGAAAATTTTGAGATAGTTGTGTAAAACACTATCAAAAACATGTTTTTGACAAAAGCAATTATAACTCTGACTTCATCAAACGCAACACTTACAAAACCCAACGAACCCAACGAAACGAACAAATCAGGAACATAAACAATATAAACTGCTCCTGATGCCACCCCACCTATATCGGGAAACTGAACTTTAAACATAAGACTTACTGAACACAAACAAGCTACTAAGAAACAAGACAAAACTAATCACATTGTCGAACATCACCGAATCACAAAGCACACATTGATCTGTGACTCGGCAAAATGCATTACTTAGCAGCACTGACTATGGACAACGGTTTACATTAGAAAGTTGGTATACCAACTTGGAGCAAACCTTGAACAGATCACAGCAATTACCGGCACCTTACAAACGACGTATCTGCAATACAAACAAACGATCAACTAAAAACATTACACTTCACACTAATTCACAATGACAATACACAATTGACACCCAAACATTTCGTACACACAATACAATGACGTAAGAACCAGATAACAAATACGGCTAACCTGACCACAAAATAGACTTCTAACAGAAGGCCCACTCAAAATTGTGGCGTATTTTTCACTACGCATGCGACTTCCCAGCAAGATATTTTCAAATTTAAAATGGAATAGTGTTGCAATGAGAATGCTTATTTTTCTGGACTATACCAACCTGGACGATCTACATTTACAAACATGTAACGATACTCCGGGTTCCAAACCATTTACTTTATTAATATATCCTAAGTGATGGCAGATTACTGGCGATTACAAAATGCGATTACCTCAATATGTATATTAGACTGGTCAACGCATCTCATGCAAAAATTGAAGGAAGATCGATCATTTGCTACTGGCTTCATTGGTATCGGTCCCACTTTACTATACTCTTTGTATTAAAATCACAGCTTTCGCGTTTTATTCCTTTTACAAACTTCTGATTAAGGCAAAATTTTTACAATAGAGGGAAACCGGTACAGAGTTTTAACCTAGAAGCTCTGTTTTTGGCTTTGTAACGACTGAAAAATAAGATCGCAAGTTGTATTGAAATTTGAAAGTTGAAGGTGACGAGGACAATTTCAGCCGTAGGAGGAATTTTTAGAAGATGAATACTAAAATTACAAATTTACAACAAAGTAAGAACAAAGGTATTCATATCTCAACATATTCATCGATATTGAAATTGTTCTACATAAGAACTGGTTGAAAACTTTGTTTCGCATAATTTGATGATGTACATCTTGTAGAGTTTGATGATACTGTTCTCAACTTACTATTGGTCATCAAAATGTCTTTCTGATTATTTTTCTATGTCGATTTGCTTTTGTTTCTTCAATGATATAATAAAGACGTAATTTGAAATTATTATGATTTTAGTACGGTGGCCCACAATCGACACAATACTCCATGCAAAATAATGCATTGAACATTTAATATTTCCACGCAAAATACTATGTTTTTCATTGAGTAATATTTCCACGCAAATATTGCGTTTTCATTGAACATTTGTTGTTTCGCACAATATTGCTTGTTTTTCGTGCAACGTTCAAACTTTTGCGCGCCTCATGAGTTGAATATAATGCATACTTGAAGTCTTCGAGAGAAAATCTATTTGGCAAATCTTACCAATAAATATTATAAAACACGAGTCTGAAAGTGGAATTTAAGGCAAAATGTTCTGCCAAAGTTGTGGAACAAACTTGGATAAAGCCAAATTTGCTACAACTGTGGGTTTTGTGCATTATCAGATGTCGGTAAGTACATAATCCTATAGTTTATAAAATACAAGTGCACGAACGTTCGTTCAATTGTAAACGGAAATTGTTCATTCTACTTTTATTTATTTAAAATCTTCTTATCTATCCCTATTTTTCTTATATGTTTTCCCATTTGTTTTATTGTTATATTATTTTCTGTAACAATATAATTCAAACTGTATCTAAACACAGAAATAGGTTCAAAACTACAAGACCACTGGAGTAAAATCCCTTTCATTTAAAAGAGTTCATAAGATAGAGGAAGACAGATCATCAAAATTTAAGCTAAAACCTGGAGGAAAAAAGCAAAGTTGTCAAGAGGTGAAGGTGCACGTGGCATTGAAAAGGCAAAATGGAGATGGTCTCATTGGTAGAGTGAAGTCATAGACATAATAACAATTGCAGTTGATGAATATGTTGATGGAAATGCTTCTTGAAAAAGTAATTGATAACCATATCCGCGGCCGGTTCCAGTGGAGGAATGGACGTATTTCAAACACTGGCAGAATTATGTTAAACCACAAAATAACCGGCAAAGACAAAATCATCCAATTACTCGAATGCTATGACGAAACGCTTGTAAGGACCTCACCAGAAACGCTGGCGGCACCTCACAAACAAACCCATCAGCGACGTCATGGCTGCAATCTGCGAACTCACTGTACGAGAAGAAAACACAGGATGGTCATCTGTGCGAAAAGAACGGTAAACTACAACAACCGTTGACCCCAAGCACTAAATGCAAATGCCACTAGGAGACCAACCACACCGAGAGCCCTTTCCATCAGGCTTGCTCTGTTCCAGTGGCAAAAAGAAATCAGTGTTCGACTGCTGGAACGGTTATCACAGCGTTCCCTTTACCCAGACGACAGACACCCACCACCTTTATCACTACCTGGGGTCGCTATCGTTATAAGTCAGCGCCATAGGGTACATTGCTTCGTGGGAAGGTTACTCGCGCTGGTTCGATGAGATTGTATCACATTCCAAACAAAAAAAATGCATAGATGATACCCTACTTTGGGCGGATAACCTCACCCAAAGTTTTCATCAGGCTGTCCAATGGCTAGATATCTGTGGTCGAAACGGCATCATCCTCAACCCAGACAAATTTGTCTTCGGATCAGATACAGTCGAGTTCGCAGGGTTTGAAATCACATCAAACTCTGTTCGCCCAAGCAGGAAACTATCGATATTTGCCATTTTATAAAGCGAGCAGTATCACTGACATCCGCTCTTGATTTGGCCTGATCAATCAAGTCTCATATGCCTTTGAAACCACTGAACGTATGCTACCGTTCAGAAAACTGCTAAAACCAAGCAATGTTTTATTGGGACGAGGAGCTCTACACACTCTTTGAGGAATCCAAATCCGTAATCATAAATGAAATCCATGAGGGCGTTTGCATCTTTGACAAACACGCCCCACCTGTCTTGCCACTGATTGGTCAAAACATGGCATCGGATTTTGGCTACTCTAAAACACTGTGAATGATAATTAACTGGACCAATATGCTGCTACACCGAGTGGAAGATAAGCCTGGTCGGCAGCCGCTTACACATGCCGCTGAATCTCGATATGCACCAATAGAAGGGGAGGCACTGGCAGTCGCAGACGCCCTCGACAAATCCAGGTTCTTCGTACTCGGTTGCACCAACCTCAAAATCGCTGTAGACCACAAACCTCTGCTTATTTGGTGATCGGACATTGAGAATATCCCAAACCCCGCCTACGCAATCTCAAGTAGAAGACACTAAGATACAGGTTCCAAATGATCCATATCCCTGGTATTCGTCACAAAGCCGCCGATGCGATCTCCCTCCGACCCACAGATCCAGAGAACCCAAAAATGCTTTGCCTCCAGGACGACATAGCAGAGTTAAAGGACACCTCTACACACACCGGCTTTGACGAAACCATCGCTTCACTCGCTTCTCTAGCACTTACAAACGTCGCCACAGCCTGGAACAGGGTACGCATGGAAACTGCCAGCGACACCAATATGATCTCATGAATGTCATCAAATCTGGCTTTCCAGCTTCACGTAATGACCTCCCATTACCATTACAAGAATACTAGCAGTTTCTGCCACAGCCTCTACACAGTGGACGGCGTCATCATGTACAGAGATCGTGTGGTTATCCCACCACTGTTACGCAAAACATCCTGGTGCTACACTCGGCATACCGGGCATATCATCTATGACATCCCGCGCAGAGGACTCAGTCTTCTGCCGAATCACATCAGATATCGCAGCAATTCGTACGCGCATTGCAACCACACAACCGGATAGCACCATCCCAACCCAGCGCACCACCCACACCAACCATCTCACCAGCCTACCCTTCCAGTGCATCTGTGCGGATTATTTCCACTACAAAGGATCCAACTATCTCGTAATCGTAGATCGTTACTCTAACTGGCCTATTATCGAACGAGCCAAAGACGGTTGCGACGGACTAATCAATTGCCTACGTCGCGTCTTCACCACCTTTGGGATCCCAGAACGAATGCGCTACTGACGATGGACCAGAATTCACCGCGTCAAACACGGCAGTTCCTCAAACAATGGGGTACACCACCGCCTCGTCTCTGTTGCATTCCTGCACTCAAATTGCGCGCTGAGGTTGCCGTTAAAACTGTGAAACGCCTCATCACGAACAATACCGGCCCCACTGGTAGCCTCAACACAAACGCCTACAAATTGCTGTTCTACAAATATCGTAACACGCCGGATACCGATACGAAATTATCACCGGCCCAATGCGTCTTTGGTAGACCTATTAAGAAATTCATACCTTCCCCGACCGTTATAGGCCACACGCAACCTGAGCGAAACACTCGATGCTCGAGAGGAGGCTTTACGAAACCGGCACATGAGAGCAGCGGAACGTTGGTCAGAACACACAAGAAGATTACCACCTCTGTCCATTGGACATCACGTAAGAATACAGAACCAAACAGGACCGTACACTACATGAAATGGGACAAGACTGGAACAGTCATCGAAGTCCTTCAACACGATCAATACCGCGTCAAAGTCGACGGGTCCAACAGAATTACACTAAGAAACAGAAAATTTCTCCGGCAATTCACCTGTACAAGAGCAGTCACCCAAATGTATATTATTGATATGGACCTGCTGCTGATACCAAAAGTCTCAATGGAGAACCTTACTCCCAACAAATTGACACCAGCCAACAGAAAACCAACATCGTACTACCACGTCTAGGACCGACGACAGACTGATACCCTAGAGCCAGCACCACTACCGAACATAGATAATGTGGATGATAGAAATAAACTAATGGCATGTCTTGCCATGTGGTTACATCAGCCATACATTGATGATGATTTTAAAGATGAAATGGAATTAATGCACTTAGAAACAGGATTAAGGACACTTTAAAGTATGGTACTGTGCTGATATGTGGAGTCAATTGGAATGGAGATGATAGTCAATATATGTGATTATATCCCTAATGTATTTTGTTTTTGTGTTTTGGTAATAGCATTAAGCATTAAACTAATAAAGTTTAATTATTGCTCGTTCCGGTGAAAGTGTTTATTTTGCATTTGTTGCCTTATTTTTCTTATTTTACCGTCTATCGACGTGGCGCCTTCGATAGCTCAGTTGGCAGAGCGGGGGACTGTAGATGGATGAATATGTAATCCCTAGGTCGCTGGTTCAAATCCGGCTCGAAGGATATTTTTGTTATTGAGTTATAAGTATGATCAATTTCTTTTATTTTCGTAAAAAAATTTTCTTGTAATTCTATTTCAGTGTTTTAGTGCTTGAGTGGACAAAAACTAAAAACAATAACCAAAAAAATGTTTAAAAAGGCTCTTTCGATATTTGCCCTCACTCGCCTCAGTGTCTGAATTTGCTACTCGGTCATCTGCGCCTACAGGCATTTGACGACACACAGCGGTTTTCTTTTATATTCCTAATTTTTTTTTTACATTTTTAAAACGGAGTAAAAATTTTTCTTAGTATTATTTTCTTTCTTTCCCAGAAATGTTGATGAGAAACAAACTTTTTCTTTTTCTAACACATTTCTTTTTCTTGACGATTTCAAATGCTGCGAAATTGTGGAGGTATTTATGTTTTATTTGAAATAATTGTCTTTCAAGTTTAAACTTATTAAAAACATAACTTATGTTTTGAAGTGTTTAACTGTTTTTAGATATTACACATTTAACAAGAATGAATACAGTTTCATTAACACGAAAACTAAGGTAAGTAGATTACTAAGGCTGTCTTTTTTTGAGACTTGAGTTTTTGTCTGTAAAAACTGCAAGCGAACTCGGAAATTTTTAAAGTTTATATTTATATTCAATAATCTTTGAACCATTGTTTCTAGTTTGTTCTCGAGTTTACGGGGGAGTCGTGGTCGTTTTACAGGGGCTGGTATTTTGAAGAGGAGCATTGTCATGTTGAAGATAAATCGCTACGTTTGACAAATGCAATATGTTCAACTTGTGGTCATCATTCTTTTGGTTTGTTTAATTCATCAGAAAAAAAATCGGTAAGAATTCAGTGCAAATTTTTTTTAACTCTGCCTTTTTTATTATAGCAATCAGATTTGCAAAGCAATTCTTAATCACAGTTTCAAACACTTGCTTTGCCGGGCTGATTATTTTGGATAGACGTAATTGAATTGTAGATTTTGTCTTCATGAAATGGCCTGTTTTCCTTTTTCTCTTTTCTTTAATGTCAATACAAAGATATTTTGTGCACACTTATGAGTCGTGAGATTGATCTTCATATTTGTTAAGCAAAGTATAGCTCATCACAGTTTGAAAGGAATTCTGAAATTATCGATAGAATTCTTACAAGTTTAAATATAAAGAAAAAGAGGGTGATCACTTACAAGAAATTTGAAGTGTAAAGATTTTTAACTTTTTGTTTAATGCGTTATAGGATATTGAGAAAATTCTCGTTATAAAAAATCCCTATTGTTATGAGTGGCAAATTTCATTTCTGACTTTCGCTGGTAACGTTACGTCGAGGTAAAGCAAGCTATTGATGCTTTAAAATTTACAGGGTGGGAAACTTTTTTTTTGGTCTTACCGTCTTAACTACACACGATCTATTGAGACGTTGCTGAACCATCAATAAATCACGTGTTAAGATTTCCTGCTCTTCCATTCACGTGATTTTTATTTTTATGGAGTTATTAGCATTTATGACGTAAGATTTCAACTATGGATTAGAAAAACGTCGAACATAATGAAGAATATTTCAACACCATCTACGGTAAGTTAAAATCGATTTTATCATTGGTTTGGTTTGTCAGTTCGTGAGAAGACTGGCACTTGTTTTTGGTGCAGTTGAACTGGATCAATTTTCTAACCAAAATGAGGTTTGGTTTGTCAGTTCGTGAGAAGACTGGCACTTTTTGGTGCAGTTGAACTGGATTAATTTTCTAACCAAAATGAGGTTTGGTTTGTCAGTTCTTGAGAAGACTGGCACTTGTTTTTGGTGCAGTTGAACTGGATCAATTTTCTAACCAAAATGAGAAGGATGGGATAGTTAAAGTTTTATTGAAAAATAATTTTATAAACTTGTAACTTACAATGTCCTCTTTTGTATTTGTTTTTTCTTCATTTAGAGTTCTCGACTGACGACAAAAGTATTTTATCAAATTGGCCAAAGACCATCGATTTCTGTCATTTCTGGTCACGAAAATGACAAAATTGATATCATTCGAGAGGACATCCAATTCAATGTAAATCACAGGTATAAAACTGCTACAAAAATCGTTGTCATAGCCAGATGAAGAATTGTTGTAATATTCATAAATACATGTTATCTCACACGGTGTAGCTAATGATTTCGAAGGATCTTAACTATGAATATTAGCTCCCACAATTATGCTGTTGACTACGTCACCATAATTTTTGCCTACATCAAACAATGACGATTTTTGTGCATTTTAATTTTTACAGCTTTTGGACAGTTTCCTTGACTGTGGGAAGCATTCGGTTGTTGAAGATAAAACTGGAGGCATCAAATCTTGCATTCATGGATTGTTTTATTAAGTAAGCACTGAATTCATTTGACAAAGCGCTAGCGAGGAGTTTAGTTTGTGTAATTTTCAAACGCGTGTATCTAAATTTAGCACACTTGCTGTAGTTTGGAACTAATACCACCACCCTCGTATTTGAAGGGTTTCTTCCAGCATCGTCTATCAGCATTTTTTCTGAATGTACTGTCTGCAAATTTACTTTGTTTTAAGGGAAGCATTTTTTCAACTGCCCAGCACAAACTGGAGTTTATCATCGTTCAATACAAAGGAAGTAAGTTTTTTGTAGTCAATAAATGACTTATCACTGACTTCATATCCACGTGGCTGGAGCATTTTTGAAGAGGGGGGGATTAATCATTAATTTCTATCACTTCTGATCATTCATGAGCACTTTTGATCACTTCTTCCTGATCACATGTGATCACTCCGTGTACCTCTCTTGATCATTCATGAACACTTCTGATCACTTCTTCTCTTGATCACATGTGATCACTCTGTGTACCTCTCTTGATCATTCATGAACACTTCTGATCACTTCTCTTGATCATGTGATCACCCTGTACCTCTCTTGATCATTCATGAGCACTTCTGATCACTTCTTCTCTTGATCACATGTGATAACTCCGTGTACCTCTCTTGATCATTCATGAGCACTTCTGATCACTTCTTCCTGATCATGTGATCACCCAAAATCTCTTGATCATTCATGAACACTTCTGATCACTTCTCTGATCACGTGATCACTCCAATTCTCTCTGATCATTCATGAGCACTTCTGATCACTTCTTCCTGACCGTGATCACCTGTACCTCTCTTGATCATTCATGGCACTTCTGATCACTTCTTCCTGATTACTGTGATCACCTGTACCTCTGATCATTCATGAACACTTCTGATCACTTCTTCTCTTGATCACATGATCACCTGTACTCTCTTGATCATTCATGAGCACTTCTGATCACTTCTTTCTTGATCACATGTGATCACCGTGTACCTCTTGATCATTCATGAGCACTTCTGATCACTTCTTCTTGATCATGTGTCTGCTCTTGATCATTCATGAACACTTCTGATCACTTCTTTGATCACATGTGATCACCCGTACCTCTCTGATCATTCATGAACACTCTGATCACTTCCTCTTTCTCACATGGATCACCCGTACCTCTCTTGATCATTCATGAACACTTCTGATCACTTCTTCTCTTGATCACATGTGATCACTCCGTGTACCTCTCTTGATCATTCATGAGCACTTCTGATCACTTCTTCTCTTGATCACATGTGATCACTCCGTGTACCTCTCTTGATCATTCATGAACACTTCTGATCACTTCTTCTTGATCACATGTGATCACTCTGTGTACCTCTCTTGATCATTCATGAACACTTCTGATCACTTCTTCTCTTGATCACATGTGATCACTCCGTGTACCTCTCTTTATCATTCATGAACACTTCTGATCACTTCTTCTCTTGATCACATGTGATCACTCTGTGTACCTCTACCAATCATTCATGATTAATTTTAATTCCGATAACTCTTCATCATTTCTGATTATTCCTGATCACTTTTAAACATTTCCAACGAGAGGAAGTAAATCAATATCTTAGATTTTAGGTATGATCATTCAACAACATAAAACATATATGTGTGACAATACAACAAATTTAATGAATGAACAACTTAACATGAAGAACGGTAAAGTAAAGTCTAAATATTTCTTTTATTTTTTTATCCACTCAATTATTGATGAAATAAATGATAGTGCAAAGTATAATGTAATTTTTTGCTTTACATACGTAGGATCTGATTGTATGTATCAAGTTTTTCCTCCGGATTCCTCTTCTAAAATATTTTGGAATTCCACTCATCTTTTTCTCAAGAATAGCAATGGTAATTTAGTATATACTCCTTTTATATCTTGAGTAGAGTAATGAAAGTTAGACTTTTTATACTACACCAACATTTTAATGTAAGTTCTTGCACCAGATGATGTGACCAATACTGAAAAGCAACCACTTCGCCTCCACGCGACGTTTTTATTAAATTTAATGATTTAATTTCATTTCATTTATTACGTATGTCGAAGTAAACTTTATTCGAGGCGCCTTTAAGACAGTTTCTAGAAACTGTTGTGAAATTTTATAGAATAGGGCTATCTGGAGAATGGACGGTATTGTCCGCATTAATTTGGGCATGAAAAATCGAAAGGGGTTAATGTTTACATTCTTCAATATTTCAAATGATATGTATATGTTAAGGTGATCCAGCCATTTTGATAAAAAAAGAAGGAGATTTAAGTTCATCAAATGAAGACATTAGACGTGTTACTATATGTAAGTACAAATATAGTTTTGTATGAAACTGTTGTCTATAATGAGGGGGGTGGTGGGCGGTTGGTACATTTTCAATTTGAATGACCTACGCGTTCGTCTATTTACGCAACATTTTTTTCAGTTGAACGCCCCATTCCAGTTAATTAAGCGTATGCATCTCTCTTTTTTTAGCAAACAATGGTGATTACTTGGTGTTATATGAAGATAATGTTACATACTACGGACGATATGGAGTTACCATTATGACAAATGTATTGTTGAATTATAAAAGACAAACTTTTTCTTCATTTTTATTAATAAGTTTTGATGCGTCCATCACACATTCCTCACAGAACTTTCAAATGCTTTTTGATTTTTTTCACGATTTTAGTTGAATTCCAATTTTCCGCAACACTCACAAATGGAGTTCGTATTTGATGTTATTGGTAGTGCTTATGTTGTTTTCCGAAACTCGAGGTATTGGTCTCTAACTTACGCGTGTTACTACAACATGAAGTGGTCATTTTGAAATTTAGGGATTTTTAGTATGAATATCCGCCATTTTGACGGCTGTTATGGAAACTTTCTTACATCGTACACCTTATGCTAGCTATGAAAATTAGGAACTCCTTCCTTGTTTTTACTCTTTTATTACAGTGGGAAGGCCATTTCCATCACCAACTATCCTTTGGATAATAAAGTGTTCAACTCTCTTTATCCTAATGTTAATTGCTCTGTAAGTCACGTGATTTTTCTATCATCGCTAAAATTTATTCTATTTCACAGTTAATTTGTTTAAAAAAAATTGATCTTTTAATTTGATAAATTGAGGTTTTGTTTTTGTTCTTCATAGTTCATTGAGTTTTCTTTTGGTAATTTATCTTCCAGTAATGTAATGGATAAATGGGGAGAATTTAAGGTATTTTACAGGAGCTATTTTGTAATTCAGTCTTTCAGTCTAACCCCAGTTTTTTTTTTAGTTGGGTTTTTTTCTTCATCACCGAGTATTTTTTTATTTCATTGCTCTAGATTTATGGCTACTTAGTGTTCAAGCGAAGTTTTTTAAACGGCATTCGGGTAAAATATATTTTCAACCTGTTCATTTTTATATACTCCAGTCTAGTCTTGAGTTCTTACAAACTCCAGTCTAGTGTTTTTATAAGGAGTGATATGATGTTGAATTTTAAATAATTCCATTGTAATTGTGACAATTTTTATTTTCATTGTAATGTACGTAGCTTGTGTGGAATCCAAGTGATGATTTGTTGTTGACCATAACAGAGCAAAGAGAATATCACCAAGACCTTATCATCCTTTATAAGGTCAGATATGTTGTTTTTAATAGTGATTTTTTATCTTACATTCTTTTTAGCATGTAAAATCGTACCCAAAAAACATCTTGCTAACGTCTAACATTATACCCATAAAGCTTCTTGGTAACGTCTAACATTATACAATTAAAGAATCTTGGTAACGTCTAACATTATACAATTAAAGCATCTTGGTAACGTCTAACATTATACCCTTAAAGAATCTTGTTAACGTCTAACATTATACCATTAAAGCATCTTGGTAACGTCTAACATTATACCATTAAAGCATCTTGGTAACGTCTAACATTATACCCTTAAAGAATCTTGTTAACGTCTAACATTATACAATTAAAGCATCTTGGTAACGTCCAACATTATACCCTTAAAGCATCTTGTTAACGTCTAACATTATACCCATAAAGCTTCTTGGTAACGTCTAACATTATACCCATAAAGAATCTTGTTAACGTCCAACATTATACCCTTAAAGCTTCTTGGTAACGTCTAACATTATACCCATAAAGCATCTTGGTAACGTCTAACATTATACCATTAAAGAATCTTGTTAACGTCCAACATTATACCCTTAAAGCATCTTGGTAACGTCTAACATTATACCCTTAAAGCATCTTGGTAACGTCCAACATTATACCATTAAAGTATTTTGGTAACGTCTAACATTATACCCTTAAAGCATCTTGGCAGCGTCTAACATTATACCCTTAAAGCATTTTGGTAATTGTGCTCAGCAAACTTTAATACAAAAATAATTTTACATCCATTTTGACACAGACTTATACTTTCAAAGAAAAATGGACGAATAATGACACATTATCTTTATCAAGGTGTGTTTTTGGTTTTCGAGGATCATTGTTGTGAAATAAGCTATTTACGGCTGTTATGTAAAGCTCAACAAAAGTCTACCGACAAACATTTTTTATGAATCTTTAAATTAACATATTTTGAGCTTGTTGATCATCTTTTTGGAAGAAATCGAAGAGTTTTGTCGTTGTATTGTCGAATACATTTTAATTTCTCAAGTTTTTGCTCTGTCATATTTATTAATAAATAAATTAGAAGTTGTTTTTTGGAGTTGTGTATCGATTGAACCAGAGACATTTTTAGCTGTTATTTTTTAGCTATTCTGTGACCTTATTGCCCAAGCTAAAAAGCGTGATCTGCAAACGTCCTTTTTACAAAGTACGTATGTTAATGATTATTGATGGTGAAGTGGGAATATTTATGGTGAAGTGGGAATATTGATGATGAAGTGGGAATATTTATGGTGAAGTGGGAATATTGATGGTGATGTGGGAATATTGATGGTGGAGTGGGAATATTTATGGTGGAGTTGGAATATTTATGGTGAAGTGGGAATATTTATGGTGAAGTGGGAATATTTATGGTGAAGTGGGAATATTGATGTTGGAGTGGGAATATTGACAGTGGAGTGGAGATATTGATGGTGGAGTTGGAATATTGATGGTGGAGTTGGAATATTGATGGTGGAGTTGGAATATTGATGGTGGAGTTGGAATATTGATGGTGGAGTTGGAATATTGATGGTGGAGTTGGAATATTGATGGTGGAGTTGGAATATTGATGGTGGAGTTGGAATATTGATGGTGGAGTTGGAATATTGATGGTGGAGTTGGAATATTGATGGTGAAGTGGGAATATTTATGGTGAAGTGGGAATATTGATGGTGGAGTTGGAATATTAATGGTGAAGTGGGAATATTGATGGTGGAGTGGAGATATTGATGATAAACTGGTGAAATAGGGATATTGATGATGAAGCGGAGAAGAGGCTTAAACAATGATGTCAAAATATGACATATTTTCGCCTTTTAAGCACGATGATCTTGCAATGATTTTTATGAATTTTTTCACCAAGGTGTTTCGTTTTCAAATTGGTTGTCCACCGAGAAGACGGGCTTTTATTAGAGATACTAAACATCACTCTAGCAGTGCGCAAGTTTTCGAAGTTAGTTTCAAAAGCCAAAGCTTAAATTTATTTCAGTGGAATGAAAAATTGACGAGTTTTTGCTGTTTGTACCGTCTAAATATCATTTATATTTCTTGTGTGACGCAGGAAGAAGATGAATTTTCTTTAAACTTATCGTGGGGAGAAACATTTCAACCAGTCTTATTGACGTAAGTTTGTACGTTTTAATCCTGTCATGTATATGTAAGTTGCTATATTGAATGTTACATCATTTTAATATACCCATAGTTACGATGATAAAGTGCTCATTGGAAGGTATTACAAACACTTTAATATCAAGGAAGTTAATGAAAGATCTGATTTTTTCGTACAAATCATTGACAAGGTAGAGACTTATGCTGAACTCTAAAAACATTTATTACTGGATTAATTTTACCAATAGAGAGAACTTGAAGGGCATTTCACATTTCACTTCTGTTTTCAAATTAGTCACGCTGTTTTAGTGCCAATTCAAAATCGGGTATTGTTAATAAAAACATGGGCTTCTGCAATGGTATTGTTAATAAAAACATGGCCTTCTGCAATGGTATTGTTAATAAAACATGGGCTTCTGCAATGGTATTGTTAATAAAAACATGGCCTTCTGCAATGGTATTGTTAATAAAAACATGGGCTTCTGCAATGGTATTGTTAATAAAAACATGGCCTTCTGCAATGGTATTGTTAATAAAAACATGGCCTTCTGCAATGGTATTGTTAATAAAAAAATGGGCTTCTGCAATGGTATTGTTAATAAAAACATGGACTTATGCAATGGTATTGTTATTAAAAACATGGCTTCTGCAATGGTATTGTTAATAAAAACATGGGCTAGCTGACGAATCAATAGTCCTCTATTTTAGTCTCTATATTTATTTCAAATTAAATAACTTGCCTTGGTATATGCTTGTATATGTTGAGTACATCTAGTACAAATATCGCGTTTTGTTCATTGTCTATATGTTCTCTATCTCGTTCATTTTAGCTTGGTAATCGGAGTACGACTGTGTTTTCATTTCATGGTAGTGGTTTGTTCAGATTTTCTATAAAATTTGAAGATAAAAACGTGAGGTTTGTTTACATTTATCTACTTTTTCTGCACCCTTAAATCATTTGCTTAAGACTGACTTCTTTTTTCTTGTCCGTCAAAGTCTCGTGTTGCTAAATATTTATTTTTTGATTTTCATATATTTTCTTTCTTTATACAGTTTCTGTTCTACCATGTTACAGTTCAATGTTCACGTGACAAAGCAACAGAAAACAAACTACTTTCTCGTGGTGTTAACGTGTGTTATACTCATCACAACTCTGCTTATTACCTACCTTGTCTTTAATTATATCTTGTATCGAAATGATTTTCTTCGTCGACATGAAGAAGACAATGAAACAAAAAAACGCCTTCAAGAGTTACGGTAAATTGTGTTAGTCCAATAATTGAGATCAATAGAGAAACAAAACCTTTCATAGTTAATCCAGTTTGCAAAATAGACCATGCGTGTTGTATTGAGATTATAGGATTAGCAAACTATTTCGTTCTATATTTCTAGGTTTCTGGCTACGCTACAATATTTTAATTCAAATTCTATTGTACAAAAAGCATCAAAATCGACAGACGATTACAGCACACGGAACTCTGTCTTGATCCTGGGTAAGACCGAACACAAGAATAACTGACAATTTTCGTCGTCTGAGACGACAGGTGATTACGAAGTATTTCGGACATCGAAAAACATTTTAGAATACTTGCCTAAAATTAATGATAAAATCATTTTGCGAAACTTTTTTTATAAGTTTGTGTGGCTAGATTTTGTTGTTGTTGTTCACACATCCAGTATAATAACAGGTGTTTCATTACATAAAAATTTTGTATTTAAAAGTTAACGATAATTTATTGAATGACATGATTGGAGGTACTGATGCAAATTACACAACTCCATTTCAGTGTTGTAAAAAAGCTGATAGACACTTTTTATCAATTAAATGGCTCATTATATTTATATACCATGCATTATTAAGTAGAAGAGCTCTTAAATTCAAGACAATATGAGATGCTATTTTATACTACAAGTTACTTGTATAATGGTGAATGCCAGTGAATTATCAGGTACATTTTGAAAAATCTTTTTTATATTAAATTTTTTCTCCTTACAATTCATTAATGTGTTGGATTTTAGTTCTTAAGCAACCGGATAGCATTTCGCCTGCATCCCTTCATGAACGTGTTGATGAAATGGTTTGGCCACGCCTCTTGTGAGTTTCCATGACAATATAGTTTTAATGACTTCACTAGGGAAATGCTTTCTACTTTCATTCTATTACAGATCGTTGAAAATGTCCATTCACAGTAGTTTAAAGCGAAGTGATTCATACAGAATAGAAATTCCTCATATTTTGGACAAGTGTAAGTTTGACTTCACAAGTGAGGTAACATCTGACTACAAATGTCCTTTATGTCATGGTTTGCTTCGTGATCCAATACAACTTATACCATGTGGTCATCGATTTTGTAACAAATGCTTCCTGAATAATATTGGGTGGTTTTGTTTTTGTGCTTGCTTCAATGTTTTATGCTATGTTTTTCCCTTTCTTTTATGGCCTATTTATGAGTAGATGTCGACAAACCTGCAAAAAACAATGTCAGGTCCTATAGTTAACGATGAGGGTTTTTGTTAGTACTGCAACGGAGACTCGTGTGCTTATTTGTCGATTTCTTTCTGAACTTTATATTATGTTTGTTTTCATTTATGCATTACTTTTCCTGTGAATTTTTATTTGTTAAAAAGTTTTTGATTATATGAGTTCTCAGCACAGAATTTATGTGTTTAATCATTTTCAAAAAATTCGTTTAAGAAACGATCGTCTGTTAAGTCGGAATAGTTAGTCAATTGTGTGAGGCTGCATTGCGAATTCCAAACGCTGCTTCAATTCAGAACTTTTTGAATGTTAATCACGTTTATGAATTAAAGTCCTAAATGCAGTCATAGTATGTTGCCCAATTTTCAAGCTGTTTGAGCTGTTGTTATTGTTAAGACGACCGTTACACTCTTATATTTTCACAACTCTTTGAATGCAAAGTAATGTTTCAAATAACGACAGTAATATATTTTAATTTGACATTCAAGTCTTTAACTATAACACCCACCCACCCTGTTAAAGCTCATTCCTTATATCATTCAGATTTTGAGCTCAACGTTTCTGCTTGAACTTTATAATTAATTTAGAAATGCTTTTTCCAAAAATCTAGTTTTCTGATAAGTATGTTTCCTTGACAATGTCGTACATATTTGCTTACATAGAAATGGCCATGGCAATCATTGTCCTATAGACAGAAAAGAATTTCGAGAGAACGAGGTGAGCACTATATATGATCATATATATTACATGCTTATTTCAGTTAAGGGTTTTAAGTATAATCTTTTAATAATTTAGTGACGACTTATATATTAATATCCTAATCTACTACCCTTATTAATACATTCTTCTTTAGAAGGGAGATTATATTGAAAAAAAGTTCAAAACATCTTCTGTTTGACCAAATAATCTTTTAATTATTTTGCGTGGCGTTCAAATTGGTGTACGTCATTGACGATTTAATTTTTATAATAAATCAAGTTGAAACATGTTCCAAGAATACGAAACATACACACTGTTGAATATCTTTTATAAAGACATGGTTTTTGTTGAAAAGTACCTATCACAGTCATTTATTGATATTTTCTCAATCAACTGCCTCAGAGATATCGAAAATGGAAGGCTACGTCATAAGAAAAAAGTTCGTGATACAGGTCGACAAGATTTTGATCTCATGATTTGCGTTCAATTTTGAAAACAAAAACATTAGTGTTGGGCGTTACTGTGCAATAGTTTACCTTTCTTATAGTTTGGGATATAATATTAATCTTTTTATTAAGCAAGTTTGAGTAAAAAATACACACAACTGTCAAGAAATCAACTACATTGAAAGTCAATTTGGGAAGGGAGATTATGTTGAGAAAACGACTGATAATGAAATATGATAAATGATAGGGCAATTAATTTTTTTGTTGACTGTTCTTAATTAAAGTCTGTATCGTGTCAGTTTATGCACATACTGCATCGTCAACTATGAATTTCTTTGAATGCTTGCGTGTTTAGTATATGTTTGTTTTATCTTTAAAAAAATAAAATATCGGAATAGCTGCATTGAAAACAGGTAAACTCGTTAACATTGCATACCCCCTGCCAATTTTGTACTTGTCCTTTTAAGCCCAAAAAAATCGTGGAAATGATTTTCTGTGTGGACCTCTAATGGTTCATTCATTAAAGGTATGCATACATACGATTTTTGTGGATTAAAGGTGTTTGAAGATCGTGCTTGGCGCAACACCATCATGTCATTACGTGTAAAATGCAAGTTCAAAGGTTGTTCATGGAATGGAACACTAAATGCTCTTCTCCAGGTGAAGAAATATTTCCAAAAATCAATGCATAGAGGTTAAAATTAGGTGATAAAAATTTAATTCCTCACGAATTTCTTCAAAACATCATTCTTCTCTCTTCCCCCGTCTCTCTCCAGTTCATTTTAACTTGGCATCTGTAAGCGTTTTTTTCACGGAAACCTCTCATAATGTCTTCCCTTTAAAAGGATCATTTGGGTGAATGCAAATTTGAAAAAGTGAAATGTCCAGATCCTAACTGTCGTATGGTGATGAAACGTGGTGAACTGGAGAACCATCAAGAAAACAAATGTCAATGGCGAGTGATAATTTGTGATTATTGTGGAGATAAATATGCTGTTTGTAAAGAAGAGGTGCGACTTATGATTTTAGTTTCGACTTTTCACCTGTCTTGTATTGACTTTGTTTTGTGTTGGTGTTTTTGTGTTGAATTATTCAGGTACATAAAGCAACATGTCGTGGTCTTCCTCAAAAATGCCCAAATGGCTGCTCGTCCACAAACATTTCACGAGGAGAGGTTTGTATTTTAAAATGTTTATTCGTGTCTGTAAGGAAATATCTACGAATGTAAAATTTTCAATGGAAATTGTATTTCTTCAAATTATTATTTATAGAATATTTCTAGAATCACAAATATTGTAATTTAATTGGCTAATCCACGATTTATAGCAAGTTGCATGATTGTTTCTGACACATTTCGTTTCAAAAAATCATTTCCACTTTTAATGCACGTTCACAGCCCATCGATGGGTAAGATTTTATTCTTTAAGAATTCTTAACCAATGGCATTATTATAAAGGTATTTTGAATGTGAAATTAGCAGCTATGATTGGGCAAACTTTGAACACGTGACAGTTATATTTGTGTGGGAATTTATAGATAAAGAAACATGTCGAGAATGATTGTCCTCTGACCATAATTCCTTGTCAGTATCAGCATATCGGTTGTAACGATAAGGTATTTTAAAAATTGCCAGAATTCACCAATTATTAATTCTTCATTCCCATTCAGTCATCCATACATTTCACTGTGGTATTGTGTTTTTTGTTCAAGTCATATAGCACATCTTTGATTCATTGTGCTGTATTTTAAGATTCGTCGTCACGAAATGGAGAAACACATTAAAGATAATCTTCAAAATCATTTAAACAAGGCATGTAGTAAAATACACGAAATAACTTTAGATTTACGTGAAAAGACCGTTCGACTAAATCTGTATGAAGAAAAACTTGCAAGTTTGGTCTCCGAACAGGTTTGAACTTTTTACGATTTCGTTCCCAACCATTCACATGAACACTTTGCAAAATGGAAAAATTCTTATTTATGGGTAGTATGGGAAATCTCAGTGGATCGGGGCATATTGTTTTTCTCCTCCCCTTAATGTTGTCATGCTTAGTTTTGGTACATCCCATACCAATACACCATTTTTACATATAGTAAAATTTTGATCACTCTGTGAACTTGTTTTAAAGACTCGTAATGTCACGGGCAATGGAACAATTGTGTGGGCTATTGACAATTTTGAGATTCGCTATCGTCAAGCTGTAAATGGAATTGAACCTATTCTACAAAGTGAGCCCGCACTCACTGGACCTTTTGGTTATAAGTTTCGTTCACTTGTCTATCTCAACGGTGACGCAAGGGCAAAAGGTGGAGTAATCAATGATTTATCGTTGGCTTTGATGAAAAACTGTTAATATATTTTTGCCATATAGTGACACTTGTCATGAGTGTAATCATTGTAGTAATGTTCCATCATTGTTCTGTAGGATCGTACATGTCAGTTTATATTCAGTTATTGAAAGGAAAATATGATTCTTTGCTTTGCTGGCCATTTCAACAGGAGGTCAGATTTACTCTTCTTGATCAACACAGCGATTTGAATGAACGTCAAAACATTGTAAAGATTCTTACAACGGCCTCAAATAATGAAAGTGTTGTCAATTTTCAGCGACCAATGAAGACTTGCAATACCGGTCGTGGTTTTGCAAAGTTTGTTCAACATGACGTATTGCGCACGCGTCGTTATATTTTTGATGACGTTATGTTTATGAAAATAGAAGTAGAAGCAACGGCAATGGTGTAAAATATGTTTTATTTTGATACGTGTCGTTGGAATGCTTGTTAAATGTCGAACTGAGTCAGATTATACATTTTGAAAATTACATTGATTGTATCTACTTACTATGAATATTTTTTATATTATACAATGTATGTTTGCTGACATTTTCAACTTGAACAAAGATCGTAAACAAAGTTTACTGATTTGTGAACTTTTTGTGAACTTTTCAAAATTTTAGGAATTTTTTTATTTTCATCATATTCATAAATAAACTTTACATAAATCATAGTTCAATGGAAGGGCAATCTTCATAGCTTGACAATTCTTTCAAAACAATGACGATTTTCAAGATAATCTGATATTTTCCGGTCATTAGCGAGTAATTCCGAGAGTTTTCGACAATTTCCTGAAATTTGTGCTTGTATATACGCTTGGCAAATTTTCAATCATATATTTTTGGCACATACTTTGTCTTCTTAAGCGTGTTTTGACAAATGCATACCAAACTCATCAACACTTTGCTACGCCACTCGTAATATTCGTGACAATGTTAGAGATATACGCAATGCATGCACAGATGATTTCTCTATTAAATTGTTGCCCCTCGTGCTATTTACTTAAAAATTGGTGTTAGTAGATGTAGTTGGTCGTTGCCATGACCATGAACTATGGCAGCTGGTCAAGTCGACTGCGCATGTCAAGGAGACTACGCATGCGCAGATGATTTAACTGAAAATTTATGACAGAGCGAGCTAATTACTCCATAATCGGTGCAAGTACATACAGTTGGTCGTTGCCATCACCATGAACATGAAAAGTTGTTGCAGTAGACTACGCATGCTAAGATTAATTCTCGATTAATTTGTGAGGAGCGAGCTCTGAAATTGGTTCTTAAAAATGCGCTTAGTAAATTTTCAATCATATATTTTTGACACGCTGTTTGTTTTCTTAAGCTTGTTTCGACAAATGTATATCAAACTCATAAACACTTTGTTACGTCACTTCTAATATCTGTGACAATATTAGAGATGTTTTTCTTTTTCTTCATAACTTTGTATCTGCATATTTTGTGCATAAACAGTCCTCTAATATTTATGACAGATATTATAATTCGTGGCTGGCTGACAATTTTCCTCCCGCAAAATGTTAAACAAATGTTCAATTTGCCAGTCCCTCATCAAAAAACTGGGTGGCCATGTCAGGGACTTTCAGTTTAGTGTGGATTGTATGGTTCTTGAGTCAGGTTCTCGTCCACTCAAAGAGATAGTAGTGGCCTTGAAATTTAGCTGGAAATGTTACATGACGTTTGTGGAACGTTAGCTAATGGAAGAACTGTTCATGTGATTTCTTTTTATTTAAGAGGATAAGTTATCCACCATTTGACACGATATTTAACGTCATGTTTACATCTGCTTTCACAGAAAATTATTCATGGTGACGTGTAACCAATGAAAATAGATGTTTGTAACTTTGTAATCCTCATGGGAACACTTCATTTCAATCCAAATTCAGAACGAAGCAACTTTTACATTACTCAGTGAAAAAATTATGACGACAAATAAGATTTAGCCTGTTTATTTTGAATTAATTCGTATCCGGTTCTAATCATTTATATGTTAATTTTGTAGGTTAAACGTTTCCAAGCACTTAGACAACGGACACAGTATTATTTGCTCTAAGATCTTATAGTAATTTGGATACTTCCTGTCTAACAATGACACTGACAATACCATTAATTTGAATAGTTAAATGTCCTTTGGGTACATGCAACTGGTTGAATCAATCTAAAATATTCTTCTTCTGTTGTCTTATGAATGGGCACAAATGTTTCTCTTCATACTTTCTTTTATGGGGTACGTTAATGACAAAGACGTGAATACTAAACATGAAACTATAAAATCTTCAGTTAATTTCATTCTGCTCCATACAATCATATTAAAAGCATTTCAACTTAGAGGAAAGAAATTGAACAGACAAAGTTGAACGTTAACCGACGAATCAAAATTTTATGTATATAGTTATATGTTGGTGAGAATGACACAAGTTTTACCACAGAATAACAAAGATATGGTATCAACAGCAGAGGTGGAGAACGTTAGAGCTCCTCGTTGTGCACGATGTCGAAATCATGGCGTTATATCCTATCTCAAAGGGCACAAACGCTATTGTCGATGGAAGGATTGTCAGTGCCCGAAATGTAGTTTAATAACCGAAAGGCAACGCTTAATGGCAGCACAAATTGCTTTAAAACGAGATACAGAAGAAGAACCGACAAATAGTATGCTAACTATGCCATCCCGTTGCCTCCCTATTTTCTCATCGTCTTCTGACAACTCGAGCTTGCCTGCTTGCGAAGAAGAGAGTCCTAAGAACTTTAATCTTGGTAAGCGACCTTTCTTACTTCACAATACCGATTTAACGCACTACCATTCAAAAGTTTGCAATCTTGGCAATAATTTTTTCTATGTTATATTTGGTAGGACGTGTCACACATAATGTAGTTATTTGCAAAGCATTATATTTAAATTTTCTCGCTTTTTCAGCACCGTTTATAATGTGGATACAAACGGCAAATCCCTCGTGCCTATTTTAAAAAAGTTTCCGTTAGGCCATTTACAAACGCAATTTTGATTTTCCATACAATCGTAGTTTATTAAATTATGTTTGTTGCAACTTATTGAAGTAAAATTTTGATTTCGTTGTTGTGGAACAGCATTTTACAGAAACAGTGCTCTGTCGTAAATAGGTTGTATTTATTTTCAATAATGTATTGAAGGCTTTGTAATGTACCAAGACAATATACACTTTTAATTTTTAAAGTGAAATCAGGGATCTAGAGTTAAATGTTTTTATCTATTTTATATTGTTAATGCACACTTTATTACTGTTATTTTCAATTTTGCTTTATGTAAACTATAATTGGTGTATTAAAAACAAATCACATTCACCTAATAGTTTGCAAAATTGTCAATATTCTGGTGCTGAAATGAAGCAGAAAATTGTTCACTTGTTTTAAGCTTAGCTGAATAATTGTCATTAAGAAGAATGTGCCGTTTATTTAAACGCCTCTGAAATTTTGACATGGAAAACAAGCTATGTTTCTTGCTTGTATGATAGCTACGACTAAATCATTTAATCTCTCAAAATCCTTATGTTTATCAAGCCATCCTTACACTTAATCTTGGCCTTGAATACATCAAGCGTCATTTTCAAGTACGTTTACTTAGCCATTGGCAATATAGTCAACCTCTATCGAAATTTGGCGTTACAATCTGTGCATTACACACACTTTTCCCGTTCATAATTTAAATCAATAAAACGAAAATTGTAATTAGAACAACATACAGGCACTAATAATCTTTTGCGAAGTCTATTGTGTGCATTTACAACTTTGAGCCAGCTTAGGTAAATCATTTTATTCGTCACAGCCTCACAGGAAACTAAGATCTGCAATTTTTCTGGTTTTGTTGCCTTAGAGAACGCCGTCGTGAACCGAACCTTAAAACGAGAGGCAAATGAAGACCTACAAGAATCAAAGACTTCATCAAAAAGGCGGCATACTATCTCACTAGATGAAAACCAGACAACAAACAATCAGGGAGGTATGAGCGAACACACCATGAAAGACTGCGAAGAAGTGGCTGTTTTTACGTCACCAGTTCGAGGGGATGATGAAGTCACAACAAAAACAAAATCTCCTCCAGTTGAGCTACTTTGTCGACTCTTCCCAACTCAGAAGCCAAGTGTACTGAAACTAATTTATCAAGGTTGCAATCAGGATTTAATCAAAACCATTGAATGTGTTTTGCCAAGTCACGAAAAGTCTATGGCCGGCATCAGATATCATTCAATGACAACAAACGTTCCTGTTAGTTCACAGTTTATCCCACATACCTTTCCACCATTTTTTTCTTACCCAATGAAGCAGCAACATCGTCTATGTATTCCTCCAGTCTCTATGGCAGAATCATTACCGCTGTGTAGCATACACGAAGGTTCGACATTTATGCGTGGTTACTTTGGCAACCGTAGTTTCCATAGCGAGGCAAAATGTCAGGAATTCAATGAAGAGATGGTATTAGTCTCACAGCGCGTGTGTCCAGGTTGTCGCAAAAACATATCTTTAGCATTACGAGTTTGCAATTTTTGCGGACATAATGTGGATTTGTCTTCCCCTCATAGAGAATGAATATTTCTATATGACGAGTGAGGGGTGTAGCGTGATTTTGAAATATTGTCTGTTTGAGTGATTTACTATCGAGTGAAATTGTTTGAAAAAACCTTAAACCAAAAGTCAAAACAATGGAATAAGAAATTGAGTATATGAAAGAAAAATAATTTCATCAAAGTTCCCGATATTTTATTCAATTGCATATCCAACTATTTAAACACGGTTTAGACATTTTATCCATTAGCATTACTACAGTATTATTTGAAAAAAATACACTATTTTCTATGTAAATATAAAAGATTGACAAAAGGTCAATATATATTCGTAACATTCTTTACAATCTGTCATTATCATAATTGTCAGTAATGACTGTGATAACGGCTCAACTTCATAAACGTATCTAAACGCTGTCTATGACCATTTTTTTACTCTTTTTTATTAAATTTTTTCTAGTCGTTGTCCTCTTATACTTCTGGTATATTTGAAATACTAATTTTGAGGTTTTTTTCTCGCTCTCGTGTTATTATCTTGCTGGTGACCAACAGGTTATTATGTTGTAATTTTAATTTACATAAAAACATTATACGCAATTATTTCATTGTAATTAGTAGAAATTTTTATTCGGAAATTCTGATGAACTGTTGAATATTTCTGCTAATTACAATCACGTATGTTTAAATGCGCTTAACAACATTTTGAAAAACAGGCAACATGAAAATAAGACTTGTTGGTTGTAATATCTCTAGCTACACTGCAGCATAATTACGAATGGCGAATGAAAATTCACTCGTTTTACTTACCTTTCTCTTGATGATTGTTATTGTTGGCTTGCTCATTCGACAAAATGTTTATAAAGTCGAGAAAAAGACCGATTCTGTTAATAAAATCTTGTCAAACGACAAAAGAAGTATTAAATATCGCCGACAAAGTAAGTTTATTGGGTGTGTTGTTTGCTTGACTATATTACTGATGTTTTTGCTTAAAATAATATTAACTACTGCAAAATGTTATCCCCTTTTAATAAAACTTTGTATTCGGTATTTTTTTATTTTTAGACAAGCAGGATCTGATCTCATCCAAGATATCTTTAAAACGGCACAAAAGAGGCTTTCGTGCATACTTTTACAACTATTTGGACGAACTTGCCATGGCTATTTGTGCTTCTATCCCTGCAGAAGGACCAGGTCTCAACTATGCAGTTCGACGAACTTGTGGGGAAGATGAACTTCGTACATGCAAAGATATATGTACTGACCCTAAACTCATACAACAGTCGCCAAAGGAGGTTCAGCAACTTACGTGGAAGTGTGCAGAATCATTGCATGTTTATAAACGGCAGCCAGCACTGTTAGATAATTACGAGGAGTATACAGACTCTGACAAACTTGGATTAGCTGTATACAGGCACAATTCGTGTACTGTGGGGAAGTGTGGGCCAAACTATTGTTGTTGTAGAGCATTTGCAACCGCCAAGTAGAGCATTTCATCATTTATAGTTTCTTTTGTCGAGTTCAAACACGTATGTAATAAATATAATGCTTGCAAATGAATGAATGATGATATTAGTATAAAATTATCATTGGAAATACTTAAGTATGAGGTGTGTATATTATTTTTATATTTCAACAATGTCATCTTTCTCCCAATTGGAAAAGTTTCAGACTTTACTTCAAGTCGCGATTGTCAGCTTGGTTCGTTATTTCCTGTATTTATCTGAAAACAAAAACACGTTATCGTTCCACAGTGCCGATGAGAAACATAAATATTTCAAAAGCAAGTAAATACTCACTGGAATGACCAACCAGAGCACAGCCCCATAAGATACTCCAAAACCAACCAATCAAGAAGAAGATGATGGTAATGAACTGGCATAGGCCAATGACAAAATTGGATAGAAAGGCGTGGAAGATTTCTAAATGACTATCGTCCTTACGGTGGAAAAAGACGATTGAAAACGCTGAAGCAATAGTACCTGCATGAAAAAATTTGGACTTGACCACTGATCCATTTATACAAAACTTCATTATTAATGGTTTACTCTTTTACTTTACATGCCATGATAATGTGTGTCATATTCCTTATTAAGACATCAAGACCACCTGCTGCAAAACGAAATAAGAAATGTGGTTGAAGCCGTCAAACAGGTGAATTGAATCTTCATTTTAAGAAAACAAACACAGCAAGGTAGCAGCCTCTTCAACAGCCTGTTTACATGAAGGTAGAGTAACCCTAGAAGAAGGGTTACTTTAGCAAGCGAGTTACACTACGTCAATATGTTCTATAAGGCGTTGACATGTGCGTTAGGGTAACCCTGCATGGGGTAGGGGTTCCTATCACATATTTTGAGCAATATATATCGGGGAAATTCAATCCCTTGCAGAGCAGTTATACACAAGATGAACTAAGTGACTCTTCAGAGTCAAACAATGAAACTAGAGCCGAAAGCGCACCGTCTAAAAGAATGTTTTCGAGATGGCAATCACTTTGATTCTTTGAATGCTAATGTTTCAACAAAAAAACGCTCGATGTGAATACAATTGAACTAAATACGAAACAATTTTCATGGACCGTATGTACCGAATTATTGATCTATATAAATATGCCTCATAAAAATCAAAATGTTTCATCACAGTCTGATAACACGTACAGAGCTGTCTACTTCACAGCACGCCATGTAAATAGGCCCTAAATAATTGTGCATAAAATATATGTCCTTCCATAAAATATACAAGACGAGTTCATTATGTTTCTAACTGACTAATATTCTACAGGTAATTTAACTTTTATTGTTTCTTACTGGGTTATGAGATCTCGTTTATAAAAATAATAATAGCGGTGGGATGTTTGTTCATGTTTTTTCGTGAACTTTTACAGAGCGTTGGTCTTATTCCATGCATGAGATGTCACTTTCAAAATTTTTGAGTTTTTTTTAACAAAACAATAAATATTCTGCAACTGATTAGTGGATCCATCATTTACATTACCTGTTCCCGGAAGGACGATATTAGCAACAAGGCAAAATATTGCAAATGGTCTGGGCAGTATAGGAATCGCCACTATACTTCGACGCTGCTTGGCTGCTGTAGTTTCATCAACTTCGCTATTCGTCATATGGCTTTCGTGTTCACCATGTTCTTGTGAATCTTGTCCACGAGCCATTCGTGTCATAAATCGTTCCTCATAACATCCGTCATCAAATTTAGGAAGCCCTGTTCACTCGACTCTTTATTGTTCTTAGAGACTAGCGTTGGAGTTCATTGATCTTTCATATTTTATTAAATATGAATACTCTCTTAATTTAATAATGTTTTTGTATAATTCATGAAGTACAAATAATTCAAAACTCAATGTTTTTACTTTAAACGAGAGATTCTTCGTAAACCATAAATGAGATACTTCATACTGAGTCTTCAAACATTTATCAAACATATTTTAAAACATTTTTTTGCTCATCGAATTAAAAGAAGTGCAAGTCTGTTGCTCTTTTAACTTTTAGAAAATTTCATTGACATTACGTGCGCTGCATAACGTGTCAAAATTGGACAAGTATTATATTGTGAGCAAGTTTCGGTGAGTCATTCTAACAATTACTCATCATACTTGTAATCATTCTTGAATAAGAAATGTAGAATGGGGTGAAAGAAATTAATAAATTTTCTAATCTTTAGACGTGATGCATTTTTGAGCAAATTTGAGAAATAGATATCTTTCTGGAAATTTTTTAAATTTTCTAGTTTTTTTCTCATACATCCTGTAGCGTTACAACTACTACTCAGTGTGTTCATGATCAAAGATCAGCGAGGATTTCTTTGGATCTGAACTTTGAACCGGATTGATGTACTCTTTGTCAGCTGATCTCTAAATAAACTGAGTGCTGCCCCAGTTTTTAAAACAGCGCGAAATCAAATCGGCAACATTGCTGTTTTCTTTTCTGTATCAGTAACTTCCTGTTGCATTTTCACCTTTAGATGAATGAAATTTGACGTGCTACTGGAGAAAAATATAATATGGAGGCGTTGAATGGACATGTTTGTCAGCATAACGTCAACGATAAATTGGGAAAAGTTACTGTGGTTCTTGGTACTCAATGGGGAGACGAAGGCAAAGGAAAAGTTGTTGATTTACTGTCATCTAATGCCGACGTAGTTTGTCGTTATCAAGTAAGTAGAAAAGTGTTATTTTATGTTTAACCGTATGAACTTTAAACACGATCATGAACTATTCTATCATTTGCATTTCAACTGCAACTTTTGAAAGTATTCTAATTTATTGGTAATCGTTATTGTTATTTTTCCCATCTTGCAATTTGAAATGTAAATAAAACCAAATAAATGTTGTTGCTAAGGTATTTTGTGTCAACATAGATAGTGTTGATGAATAAAATCCATTATTGTTAATATCTTTCTTAGGGTGGAAATAATGCTGGACATACTGTATGCGATGGTTTAACTACATTTTATTTCCATCTTACTCCAAGGTATGTAAGTAATTTACTGAAATATTTCCACATATTTGCAACATTGAAACATAGCAACTGCAATACCTAACTAGTTTTTCCAAATTTAAAAATGCTAGATATTCTCCAGATTGACATATATGCTGCCTAATTTACAAAATGAAAATATTTGTTTTAGTGGAATTATTCACAAGAATTGTAAAAGTATTCTTGGTATGATAAAACTCTAAGTTGTTCTTCCTGTATTATTCACTTGTCAACTAAGAAGATGTTTGCATTCTTTGACATAGGTAATGGAGTTGTTATTCATATACAACAGTTGTTCAATGAAATTGAAGAGAATGTGAAAAAAGGTAGATTGTGAATCAGTATCATACATATAGTTTTTTAGCATGTTTCATTTTGCTGATTAAATATTTCAGAGTTCAATAAATATGACAAAACTTGCTGACTCACTGTGTCCTAGTCAGTGGCGTGCTGCCAGGGAGGCATGCTCAGAAATGAATATATGTCTGGTCATGATACCATACAATCATTTAATGTTAATGTATTTAAATTATGTTCTAAAATGTTTTAGGTCTCACAGGATGGGAAAATCGTTTGTTAATATCAGATAGAGCTCACATAGGTATAGTTAGAAATAAATACAATAAGAAAATGAAAAGAATGTTGACAGTTTTTAGAAATGTAGGATGCAGTTTTCATAGATGAGTCTTATATTTTGTTTTAGTATTTGACTTTCATCAGCAAGTTGATGGTATTCAAGAAGATTATCATCGTAAAACCAGGTACCAATATAGACAGAATGTTAATTTTTGTAAAATATTTTTATAGCGTGGAAAACTTTGTTGTGCCACAATTATATATTCATAATATTTTTTCCCTTCTTATTGTTTAGCCTTGGGACAACAAAGAAAGGCATTGGACCAACATACGCTGCAAAGGTATTAAAGCTTTGGAAAAAACTCAAAAGTTGAAGCTAAACTTGATCATTTTATACTATTAATTTTATTTATAACAATAATGCAGGTATTTCACTCTTCAGCCTTAAAATAATTTTCCTATAGTGTTGCTTATTTTGTTTATTGTAACTTACATGCATATGTATATTCAGGCATCACGATCAGGAATTAGAATATGTGATTTGACCAGTGACTTTGAGTACTTCAAAGAAAGGTAATCCATTTTGAAATTTTCCAAGACTTGGTTGATGGCACAAATCTTATAATTTTAACTTAATATATGAATAAATTGGTTTAGATTCCAGTCTTTGGTAATGCAGTACAAAAGAGCGTATGTGTAATGTATTTATGAATATTTGATTTTTGAACATTAATTGTGAGAGAAGAGTTTTCATATAGGTACCCAAGTTTGGAAGTTAACATTGAAGAAGAAGTGAAAAAATATAAGGTGTTTTGGACTTAGAACTTGTGAAAATTTCTTTTTTTGGAAAGTTGTTTTAGTGCTACAACATGATTGCTGTAGTTTCTTAATTTTTGCCTTTTAAATGAATGTGTACTGTCCAACTAGCACCAACCTGTGGAAAACAACGTTCTCACCTGACTGGGAATTTAAGATAGTTAAGACTAGGGAAGGCCAATGCAAACATTTAGTAAAAAAAATGGTGAAAGCAAAGATTTTGTGTTTGGTTTAGACAGGAACCATTTGCTTTTGAGGGGTTCTACAAACTACAACTATTTCAATATTTACTCTATTAATAAAATGCCTAATTCATTTTTTTTGTTAGATGAACTAATCTACAGATTTTTTCAGAAATTTGCGGACAAAATTCGACCATATGTTTGTGATACGGTCAGTTTTATGCACAAAGCTTTGGAGGAAAACAAGCAAATCTTGATCGAAGGTGCTAACGCCACAATGTTAGACTTAGACTTTGGTGAGTATGTACTTAAGCGGGTGATGCAGTTACAAAGGTTTAAATGGAAGCTTGCATGAGTGATGTTTGAATGACCATGTAGGAACCTATCCCTTTGTCACATCCAGTAGTTGTTCTTCTGGTGGTGTGTGCATCGGTCTTGGTATTTCCCCGCGATCTATTGGCCATGTGATTGGTGTCGTCAAAGCTTACACAACCAGAGTTGGTGTCGGAGTTCTTCCAACTGAACAAATAAATGTAATGCGTATAAACATTTCTACTTATAAATTGATTTTCTATGTCGTATCTTCAACACTTTAAATAAGACTTGGGGATGTTAAAGTACTTTAATGTGCATTATAAAATAATGAATAACGATTTATTGTTCACTTCCACATTTGATGGATGTATTACAAAATTTCTTTTTAGGAGATTGGTGAAACTTTACAAAGTGTTGGCCGGGAGTTTGGTGTGACCACCGGACGCAAAAGAAGATGTGGATGGTTGGATCTTGTCGTTGTCAGATATTCAAATATGATAAATGGTTATTCGAGGTCAGTAACTGTCGTTAACCGTTAATCGTTAACTGTCGTTAACATCTTCATTAAAATCTTAACGTAAGTCTTGAACACTTAAATAAGTTGAAAGTTTATCAACATGAAAATAATTACACTACGGAGCCTCTTATGAAAGTTGAAACACCTCACATATAGAGGTCTCTCTTATTTATAGTTTAGCTGTGACGAAGCTAGATGTTCTTACGAATCTTGGCGATCTTAAAATTGCCATAAACTACAAGCACAATGGAAAAATCTGTTCTGCATTTCCTGGTATCAACATTGATTGGACGCTTATGTTTTGTATTGAAATGAATTTTCTAACGTATGCCTCTATATTTTAGCTTCTTTAAAAGTACAAAATGAGATGGAGGTTGAATATATAACATTGCCAGGATGGACGGAGGACATCGGAAAAGTTCGTAAGTACGATGATCTTCCCGAAGCTGCTCGGAATTACATCAGGATGATTGAAAAACACACTGGTTTACCTGGTAAGTAACGTATATATCAAAACTTTAAAGAAACATGAAAAAAGTAGATGAGAAAAGATAAACTGAAGGAAATAACAGACTTGAAACTGTAGTAGAATGTACAAGAAAGACTCGTATACAGGCTGAAATATAGAAAATGAAATTAGAAATGCATTTAAGAAAATAATGTTTGCATTGACTGCAGTTTAATGGATGATTTCATAATAAGACGTAATTATGATTTTAAGCTTTGTTCAACTCTAGAACATTATAGCTTCTAGATATTGCTTGGGAATAGAACATTTCCGGAAATGGAGCAAACAAGAAAACTTTCTAGTAACATAGCATGTGTATAGAGAACAGTACATATATCATGTTTTACGTCATGTTTTATGGTAGAGTAGATCATATGAAATTGTGTGTCGATAAACCAACACGTAGAAGGTTATTTTAAGAAAAATTAATATCGAAATAACTTCAAAATATGCTGAACTGAACACCAAAACAATTTTTTTCTCCCCTAAATACTAGATTTTATTTACCTTGGTTTTAGCGATAGTGGCACGGAGGATTAAAAACAAGATCGATAGAACAGGAAATAAAATAAATACTTTATGTATGAATACACAAACTAAGAATACAATTTATGTTTTTCATAGTTGAATACGTTGGTGTTGGACCTACAAGAGACGCCATGATTAAACTTTTTTAGATCGACGGAGATAGTCATTTCGAAGAATTTTCATTTTTTTATTTGTAAATTCCTCTTAAAATAAGCACACCCTGTTTTCTATAAGTCTGCAAGAAAGTCATTGACTTTATCTTTTACTACATCTAGCTATAGCCAAATATTTTGGTTTTTGCAATCAAACTTTACTTGAGTAACTCGTCCTACTTTTCCAAGATATTTTTTATGTACTTTATATAATTTAGATAATCTTTTCTTATTTAGGAGTATACTTTTCGTCATTTTAACCAGGCGAAGTACGCTTTATTAAAATATTTATAGCCTGACAACTTATATCTCTGATCTTCACCACTTCAAAATGTAAAATCTCAAATTTATTTATGAGTTGATGATTAATGACACATTGCAGTGTGTAGGTTATTGAAAAAAATTGTTTGTGATATTTTATCAACAAGATCAAAATGCCTGCATTTACGCTTGTTCTCTTCACAATTTTATCTTAACCTTCAAATTATTACCTTACATGGTTTAATTACTGGAACGTTGTTTCTCTTGCTTTGTATTATTTTGAATTAAGGATATTTTTTAAACTTTGACAATTTAGGTTATTTTGGCCAGCGTTGTTGCCAAATACCGACATAAAAGAGAACTAAGCTTAAAGTGATACTTTAACGTAGAACATTCACGTTTTCCCTTATAAGTAAATTAAGTATAAGAAAATTTAAATTTGTATTTGCTGTTACATGAATCATTGACTTGCATATAATACTTAGACAGTTAACCAGAAAAATTTTTTCAACTAGTTTCTTCTACATACTGGCGAACTTTCCGTGCTTAGGCAAGCGGCTCACGCGCTTTTGTCATGCGCAGTATATTAAGTCCACGTAAAGTAATATTGCAAACTTAAATATTAGAGAAAAAATTCATCGAAATATGACAAACGTGTTGAAATTCATATTGAAACTGAAATGTCGATAATTTCTAAAAAAATTATGTAGAAATTGTTAAGTAAGTATGCCGTTTGATGAGCAATAATCTTTTTGTAATTTCTAGCATTTGCTTTCAACTTTTTTGTCATGTTGTCATACGTGTTAGGAATACTGAATCATATTTATTTTTGCGAAGGCCTGTCATTTTTATTTTATGAACCAGTTTGATTATAAAAGCTTTACATTTTAACTGCAATCTTCTTTGGTAGTCTGTGGTAAGATATCTTTTTGCAAAAGTTATTTTAGTTCAATTAATGGTTTGTTTAATCACTCTTTTTTAAGTACAACAACATTTTGATGTCTTGGTTAGCTGACCTAGCTGGAAAGGCAGAATCTCTGCTTGAGAAGGTTGATCAAACAGCTGCAAATGCACTTCACGCTGATAAGGGTGCCGGTAGCAATTCTGGGCCTTCAAAATTTCCTACTTCATCATTTCATTCGGAGACCTCTACTCTTGAAAGGGTTTCAAAAACTCATCTAAATCATGGAAAGAATGTGTCAAGCAGTAGTAAGTATTAAATGTTCAATTTTAAATATATTTGTTTGCAATTGATGCCTGTTTGGAAAAGATTGTGTGCTTAATGAATATCAACTAGACAGGAAATTTTGTCATGTGTAAGTTCATAAGTATATCCACTGTACCTATGTTCTGAAATTGTAACATGTCCAGTTGTGCAGATTTTGAAATTTTTTTACATGCAAATTAGAACATTGGCTTTACAAAATTTCAGAAAATTCCTTCCGTCATCAGCAGTTTGCAAACTTATTTGTCTGTCTTATAGAAATAGTCCCACTGCATTAATTTCTGTAAAAGTATGGAGGCTAAAGAGATGATGATGTTGATGCTTGCATTTAGAAAGACATTGTTAGGAAGAATCAGAATAAGTATATTTTAGAGACAAACTTAGGTCAGGGTAAAATGTTTTAAACATGTACACTGAGGAGATTATGTTCATTAATATCAGCTGAAAGATGCTGAATTTAAAACTATATCATGGATGTACAAATGAGGGAATTACAGTTAAGTAGAAAAAAGAGGACACAGTGACAAAGAAATGGAGGCAATACTAAGATAAAAAAAAACCTGAAAAAAGAGAGGGAAAGTCTAGTACCTAAACTTAATTTGATTTTTTTCATTACTTGGATTCACTAATTTCAATAGTACAGTGTTTAGTATTGTATACTACACAAAGACATCAAAGTAATTGGAAAAAATTCTCTCTCTAAATTTTTAGCTGCTAGTTTGTATTTCTCACTGAAGCACTTAGTTATTAATCATTATATAGGTCGACCTCCATCACCAAACCCAAAGACTAGTTCCCAACCTTCTCGGGTGTCTTCGCAATCAGACATAAGTCGTCATACAAGTGACGACCAACTTTTTGAGTTTCTCAACAGTGGAAAGGACAAAAAGTTAGCTTCAAACAGACTTCATCCAACTCCACCTCTTGAAACATCTTCTCCTAAGTTACCAAAGCTTAATAATTTGGTCTTTGAACATAAGAAACAAACAAATTTGACGTCATCAGGTAATATGCGTGGAATATGTAATTGCAGTTATAAAAGTTAACATAACGATGTCTCTTGAATTGTTGAACCATCCCTGTATTGTAGAATCCCTCCTGTATTGTAGAATCCCTCCTGTATTGTAGAACCCTCCTGTATTGTAGAATCCCTCCTGTATTGTAGAACCCCTCCTGTATTGTAGAATCCCTCCTGTATTGTAGAACCCCTACTGTATTGTAGAATCCCTCCTGAATTGTAGAACCACCCTGTATTGTAGAATCCCTCCTGTATTGTAGAATCCCTCCTGTATTGTAGAATCCCTCCTGAATTGTAGAATCCCTCCTGTATTGTAGAACCACCCTTGTATTGTAGAACCCTCCTGTATTGTAGAATCCCTCCTGTATTGTAGAATCCCTCCTGTATTGTAGAACCCCCCTGTATTGTAGAACCACCCCTGTATTGTAGAATCCCTCCTGTATTGTAGAATCCCTCCTGAATTGTAGAACCACCCTGTATTGTAGAACCACCCTGTATTGTAGAACCCTCCTGTATTGTAGAATCCCTCCTGTATTGTAGAACCCCTCCTGTATTGTAGAATCCCTCCTGTATTGTAGAACCCTCCTGTATTGTAGAATCCCTCCTGTATTGTAGAATCCCTCCTGTATTGTAGAACCCTCCTGTATAGAATCCCTCCTGAATAGTAGAACCACCCTGTATTGTAGAATCCCTCCTGTATTGTAGAACCACCCTGTATTGTAGAATCCCTCCTGTATTGTAGAACCACCCCTGTATTGTAGAATCCCTCCTGTATAGTAGAACCCCTCCTGTATTGTAGAACCACCCTGTATTGTAGAACCACCCCTGTATTGTAGAACCCCTCCTGTAATGTAGAACCCTCCTGTATTGTAGAACCCCCCTGCATTGTAGAACCACCTGTATTGTAGAATCCTCCTGTATTGTAGAACCACCCCTGTATTGTAGAATCCTGTATTGTAGAACCACCCTGTATTGTAGAACCCTCCTGCATTGTAGAACCACCCTGTATTGTAGAATCCCTCCTGTATTGTAGAACCCTCCTGTATTGTAGAACCACCCTGTAGAACCACCCTGTATTGTAGAACCCTCCTGTAATGTAGAACCCTCCTGTATTGTAGAACCACCCCTTGTAGAACCCCCCTGCATTGTAGAATCCCTCCTGTATTGTAGAACCCCTCCTGTATTGTAGAACCCTCCTGAATTGTAGAACCACCCTGTATTGTAGAACCACCCCTGTATTGTAGAACCCTCCTGAATTGTAGAACCACCCCTGTATTGTAGAACCACCCTGTATTGTAGAACCCTCCTGAATTGTAGAACCACCCCTGTATTGTAGAACCACCCTGTATTGTAGAACCCTCCTGAATTGTAGAACCACCCCTGTATTGTAGAACCCCTCCTGTATGGTAGAACCCCTCCTGTATTGTAGAACCCCTCCTGTATTGGTTAATCTACCCTTTATTGTTGAACCTCCCCTGTGTAAATGAGAACACCAGCCAATCGGTTGCTGTTTTATGATAAATAAATTACTGACTAGAAAGTGAAAGTGACGAATCGTCGGTTGATGTTATTGAATCAAGTCAACAAGAAAGTAATGACAAAATTGTTGCATCTAAATCATCCAATTTGGAGACCATATCCAGTACAGAAACAAAGGCTAGCAATGAGAGGACGGCAGAGCGTCCAGTTAGCGTGTCGAACTTGGAACTAGAAAATCAGCTTTTGCGCAAAGAAGTAGAATCATTAAACGAGGAATTATTATCGCTTGCGAAACGTTGTAAGGATGCACAAGAAAGTAAGACATTATATGTTGGAAAGTGATGAGTCCTTTTGAAGGATGTTGTTTGCTTCAATTTGGTTCTTGAAGCATGCAGCATTTTCAAACATAAACTCTTCTTCCCATAAAAACAGGATTAGAGAATGCCAAGAAAGATAGTGGGAGAATAAATGAACAATTGAAGAAAGAAGAGACATTATTGCGAGAATATCAGTCACGAGAAGATGATTTGAGAGAGGTGCTAACGGCGAAGGATTCTCAATTGGCAGTGTTAAGAATTCGAATTCAGGAGAGCGATCAAGAGTTGCAAGAAACTAAAGCAAAATTAACGAAATTTCAAAACGAGAATGAAAGGTAAATTATGCCACTACATAACATTAATTGATTTCATTAACAGCTAGAAGGCAACATTTCCATAAAGGTAGTTATGTTGACAAAAATCAAGTATCAAAGTATTCGTCAATGAAATCATAGCATATGCAAATTGCAATATACGCATTTTAACTAACACCGTTACAAGCGAATCACATGTTAAATTGTCAAGCAATGTCGATATTTATGAAGATCACACTGCTCAAGTAACACTTCCTTTCTTAAACAGAATTCTCCGAGATCACAACGACTCCAGTGGTGTTCAAAACCAAGTTCTTGAAGATTTAAAAACACAACTACAGGATGCTAAGCTTGCATTGAAACATGAACAAGAAATTCATCAACAGTCAATGGTATTTTCAAATTTATATCATTACATTGCATGCATCGTGTTTTTGACCAGGATTAACGATGGTATCAACACTGGCAGAGAGTGTGAACAGGGGATGATTCTGACGACGGCACTGCCCTGCAACTTTGGTTTGCTTTGCCTGTGTTTGGTTTTAGACTTTTTTTTATTTTCAGACTGAAAGTTTGGAGCGTCAAGCTAAACTCGAGGATGAGCAGAGATCTTTGGCGGAAACATTGAAATCATTACAAAAAAATGTTGTCGATGAAAACGTATCCTTTGCTAACCTATATGATCACTTAGTGTCTTCGTAAGAAAAAAATTGTCATATAATATTAAAGCAAATTTCCTTTACTCTTATTTCCACTACGCAGGAAATGCAAATGACTACATGAACAAACTAGGGATCTGCGAAAACAAGCTGTCGAGCGCCAACCATGAATTTCGTGATTACAAGGAAAAGGCTGGAAGGATTCTTCAAGCCAAGGAGAAGGTTATTGCAAGCTTGAAGGAAGGAAAAAGTTTGCTTGGGGTTAGTTCTGGGATTACAAATGCTGAATTTGAAGCAGTGTGTCAAGAAAGAGACGTTTTACGCGATGAGTTACATCAAGTAAAGTATAATATGGAACAGATGAAAGTTGACATTCAGGTAAATAAAATATGAAAACTTGTTCATTCAACCTTCATAATAGTTTCTGCTTTGTCTTTTGTGATGATCCAGGGAACAAATTAAATTGATAGAAATGGGTTCACCGTCGTTAACACCAGCCTTTCCGTTTTGTATACCTGATTGTTTGTTGAATGACTTTACTGTAACATTTCGTTACATATCACGAATGTAAATCATGATGATTTAGGAAATGGAGCAGCAACTACAGACTGACAGTGAAACTGCTCAAGAACAATTAAATCATTTACAGTCTTTGTTGGATGATGAGAAGCGTTTCAAAGAAGACGCAAACCATGACGTTTTAAGAATAAGGGGGGTAAGTGATCTATCTCTTTGTCCCAAGCGGTAAAGTCCTCTATGTCTTTGTGCCATCTATGCCTTTTGCTGGGAGGGCAAAGTCATCTATAAGTCTATGCCTTTTGCCGTAAAGCATCTATGTCTTTGTCCCAGGTTAAGTCATCTATGTCTTTGTGCTATACCAACCCTTTTTATGAAGCCACTAAAGTTAACAAACACGCCATAATTATTTTTACATCACAAAAATGTTGTGAAATTAGCATTGCTGTTATCATTTACGGTAAATACAAATGTTGGAAATAATTGAAAAAATGAAACTTGTTTCTCTTTCTTTATTGTTAGGAACTACAAGCTGTAAGTGACGATCATTACAGACAGAAAACAGCGTTGATAACACAAATTAAAGTAAGTTTATGTTGTTTTTTTCAAATAAAAATTTATACTGCAGCTTATGATAGGTTTTATTAAAAAATTTTTATTTGCCATAAAGTCAATGATGAAGTCGCTTAGTGACACATAAATCAAAATTAAATGGGAAATAATGGAGAAAAGAAATGAATAGATAAAACATTTTATGGTTGATTCAAATTATGAATCAAAAGGCAGTTTTTTATATTTGCTTAACCCTTGGATCTCTACTTGTGGTGGAAATGTGTTTAAATACTTCTATCCATCTCTTTAAGGGAAAAGAAAGTGAAATCGAGAAGCTCAAAAATCAAGTATGTTTAGTTCGGTTCTCTTGTTTTCGTCAGGAGTGATCTGATGCTGTATCTTGGGTTTTTATATACTCCAGTCTAGTTTCTTCATCAGGAGTGATCTGATGTTGAATCTTGAGATCTTATATACTCCAGTCTAGTGTCTTCATCAGTAGTGATCTAATGTTGAATCTTGAGTTCTTATATACTCCAGTCTAGTTTCTTCATCAATAATGATCTAATGTTGAATCTTTAGTTCTTATAAACTCCAGTGTAGTGTCTTCATCAGGAGTGATCTGATGTTGAATCTCTAGTTCTTATAAACTCCAGTGTAGTGTCTTTAATGTGTTTGTAAATAGTTTTAATATTTTTACTTTATTAAAATTTTAGTAAGCTGATGTTGAATCTCGAATCTTTATGCACTATGTGTAGTTTAATGAATTCATTTATACGGTCTGGTTTTGTCGTTATCTTGATGCGAAATTTCTCGTCTCGTATACTATCTACTTTTCTAGTTGCATGTCTGCACGTTTTTTTTCATGTTATATGGTAATTTGTTGTAATCTTTGTAGCTACTAGCTAAATCCTACGCGACTACGACAGAAGAAGAATTGGAGAAGCGTGTTCGAGCTCTTACTGAGAATCTTATTGAAAAACAAACTGTCATCGAGGCGTTGAGTACAGAAAAAAGTTCTCTTGTGCTACAACTGGAACGACTAGAGGTATGCTAGAATGGGATGGGCTACATTGGGATATTAAATACACTGTATAAGAATACATGAAAATGTTGTGTTATTTGGCTATAGAGCTTCTCCCATTCCTTGTTATTATCTCTTATATAAAGTATGTGTAAAGTTCATTATATTATAAAAATGTTTTAGATAAAGTATAATGATATACAACGTACGAGCAGCTCCAAAATCAACGTGATGACGACACTTGAAGAGAATGATGGTATTGTTTGATATTTGCAGTGAAATATAAACTTGTTATTTCATGTAGTGTGACCAAGCATTATTTCAACTTCCAGGCCTGTGAACTTTTACTTAGGCATTTGAGTATTCCAATATGGTGTTTTCGATCAACCTTTTATCGACAGCCTTAGGAACTGCTTTTTTACGCTCTACTTTTTTTATTGAACGTTTTTTTTAGTGAACAGCTAGCTGTCGTAATTACAACTCCTATATTCACGCTCTGTGTCGTTGTGATCTACACTTCTGTCTACTGACTTAGTGCTGTATATCCCTGTATCCTCCTTTATCCCTCTGTCACATAGTGTCATACTGCTATCTAACCCTCTGTCACATAGTCATACTGCTATCTATCCCTCTGTCACATAGTCATACTGCTATTTATCCTTCTGTCACATAGTCATACTGCTATCTATCCTTCTGTCACATAGTCATACTGCTATCTATCCCTCTGTCACATAGTCATACTGCTATTTATCCCTCTGTCACATAGTCATACTGCTATTTATCCTTCTGTCACATAGTCATACTGCTATTTATCCCTCTGTCACATAGTCATACTGCTATCTATCCTTCTGTCACATAGTCATACTGCTATCTATCCCTCTGTCACATAGTCATACTGCTATCTATCCCTCTGTCACATAGTCATACTGCTATCTATCCCTCTGTCACATAGTCATACTGCTATCTATCCCTATGTTTATTATAACTATACTTTATTCACAAAATGTTGATCATTTTTTCCAGGTGGACGTGTACGTCCAATTACGTCTTTAATGCCTTCACGAATTAGCGAATCGGAGAACGTAAACAAAGCTGTGAATGAAATAGATAAATTTAGGTATGACAGAATTCTAAAGACAATTAGTAAAAATATATATCAAAGTTTTAACATTGTTCTTTTTGTTTTCATCAATGTTGACATTTGAGATAAAGAAATGCTGTTTATGGACGACAGTAATGTTCCAACTAAATGTCGAACTCTTTCGAAAACATTATTTTAATAATGTAAGATTAATTTCTTTTACAGTATACGACTTGGTGTTTTCGTACGTCGCTATCCTGTTGCAAGACTAATGTTGATTGTATATATGGTTAGTATTGATTGCTAGTGTTAGCGGTCTGCAGCTGTAAACTCCAGGCTAGTGTCTTCATAAGGAGTGATCTAATGTTTAAACTTGAGTTCCTATAAACTTGAGTTCTTATAAACTCCAATCTTGTGTCTTCATAAGGAGTGATCTGATGTTGAATCTTCACTCCTTATATTCAGTCTTGTGTCTTTAATGTATTTTTGCATAATTTTAATTTTTTTACTTAATTAAAATTTTATGTCATCATTTTAGATACTTTTGCATATATGGGTGTTCATTGTTTTATTGACATACCAACCAGAGATTCATCCAGTAAAGAATATCGAACAGATTCATCCTCACGCGCCCCAAGGATGATATTTAATTGTATCCTTTTCTTTACTTAAAATGGACGGTTAGCGGGCGAATTTTAGTTAAAAGCCAAATGATAAAATAATGATATATTTATATATATAAAGGCACAGGCATGCATTTGGTTTTTTCCTTTTCAAGTCGTTTGTAATGTTATAGAAATTCTGAATAATACACATTATAGACAAACGAATGCGAAAGAAAAATGTGACTTGTTCATATCAATTTATGCTTATTTTTCAGAATGACTTGCATGACTTTATGTTTTTCTTTCTTCTGTTGATAAATTCGGTCAGCTGACGTAATTTTAGCATGTTCACCTGTTTCATGAGTTATGTTTAATAAATTAAGACAAATAGGATTTTCGTCGTCCAAACTACAGATCTTCACATGTGTTATTCCATGCGAAGTTTTCTTTTCCTTAAGTTTTTTTTCAAGGTAAATCATATCTTGAAGTTTTTTTTAGATAATTAGGAGCAAAATCACAAAATAAATACAAAAAGTTACGTACAATTTTACGATTTATCAGATTATGCATGTGTAATATTTCATATCGCTCGTCATAGCCAGTCTCTGTTGCGTCGAGTGCCCTTAAATTTCACAATTTTAAAGTCACGTAAGGCCATTCAATTTATTATTACGTCAGAGGTATGAATTAGTAGATAGCAGTACATTATCTGGTATTTTTTTTATCCTATAGTAATGGTCTTTAGTTATTGTTTCTGATGTCTGATGCGCTTTGTGTACCGTCTGTTAAGGGATTTTATCTTTGCTAGAATTATGACGTTTTGATGGACAGATGTCTGCTACGCTTTGCTAAAAACATCCTGTTTTTACATCTGCCCTTTGGATTTATATATTTATTCATTTTTACTTCTTTGTGACAGTGCAATGCAAATTGACGTGAGAAAAAATATTTGAAATTTATCTGTACTCTTAGCTTTTCTTTTGCTAGTGGACAGAAACTGTGTTGCTTATACGAAGCTTAACCTTTGCATTCGTTTTTTGGCAAATCCTAGTGCTTAGTCTCCACCCACTTAAGAGTAATTAATAAAGCAATCATTACTTATGTAAAATTGCTTGCACCCCAGGGTAAACTAGAACTTTCCATAAACATTTCAAAGTGCTTTAACTAACCACAAGCAGTTCTGACAACTTAAATGCGTACAATTACCTATCATTTAACCTGATTCATGTCAATATGTTGTGCGTAATTTTATATATAGTCGTGACATTGACTTCGCTCGTTTAAGGTATTAAAGGATAGAACGTGTTATATTTTGATAGCTTGTTTTAAACAAGAGGTTTGGGGTCGAATTGTCCGACTATCCAACAGTGAAAATGAAAGGTTATGGAAGTGAATTTTGCGCATGATTATTATAAAATACTTGGGTTTTTTTTCAGTTCCGTATTTATTAGAAGTTTATTTAACCGTGTCTACTCCATCATGTTATGCATGCTTAAAGTTTCGTGAGTCTTATTTCTTGTATTTCTGAAATGGATAATGAATCTTCCAATTGTAGAGTTTGTCACCTGTCGTCAGCGTACGCATGCGCAGTAATGTGGCGTCGTGCCGCATAAATGATTGTGGTTGTTCTTCTGTTTACATTATTCGTCGAGGTTGCCTGTGATGTTTGGCGCACCGAAATACTAGCAGCTGCTACGGGCTGAAGTGCCGACAAACGATTTATGGATTGGTTCGTGAATTTGGTGTAAAAACGATTTGCCATACACAGTTTTGCTTCGTCGATTTTAGTGAACAGACGAGCATAAATTACTGCTGTTTAAACTGTCAGAACTTTACGACGTGCTGCGCCAATTACGTTGTCGTGTACATCGTCTATATATTGTAGAATTCGCACAGCTGTCGTGAATAATACTGCAACAACTCCCAAGTCCGTTGGCTCGACAACTTGACTGTAATGGGATATTTTAGATAGCATTTGGGGTGTTTATCGTAAAAAGTTGTACGCTAGCTACAAACCTAAGGTATTTTGTTCTTTCATAGATAATGGAAAAGCGGACGTCGCCGCATGTAATATTTTCTGCATTGATTCTTCTTGCGCTTTGCGGACATCTACAGGCGAAAAATAATTCAGTTAAACAATGTAGGCTAAATACAAAATGTTATCCGGGCATAGTTTTGCCAACTTGGGGAGATCCAAACATTGCTGTATCCACTGGGATACGTGTAGCTAGAGCGTCAGTTTATTGTATTGTGTTGATGTATTTCTTCCTTGGTGTCTCAATCATCGCAGATCGCTTTATGGCTGCCATTGAAATAATTACCTCGCAAGAAAAGGATATTAAGATAACAGACAAAAAAACTGGAAATTTACGTGTTGTCACTGTGAAAATATGGAACGAGACTGTATCGAATTTGAGTTTGATGGCATTAGGCTCGTCTGCACCCGAGATCTTACTCACAGTCATTGAAGTTTGTGGCAAGAATTTTGAAGCAGGGGAACTAGGTCCGTCGACCATTGTTGGTTCTGCAGCATTCAATCTTTTTGTCATCATTGCGATCTGCGTATACGCAATACCGTCTGATGACCATCGACAAATTAAACATTTGCAAGTGTTTGCTGTAACTGCGACCTGTTCGCTCTTTGCATATGTCTGGTTATATATTATTGTAGCCGTGAGCACACCTGACGTCGTAAATGTATGGGAGGCTTTGGTAACGTTGGCGTTTTTCCCTGCGTTGGTCATCATAGCTTGGATTGCGGACCGTCGTTTCAATTTCTACCGTTACCTTAGAAAGAAAGTACGTCGTCAGAAACGGCAAGGTGTTGTTGTAGTTCAAACGGGTGATTACGACGTTGTCGCTATAAAGACGAAAGATGTTCTCGACAGTCATACGGATCGCGATGGAAAGTCGAATGATATCGAAAATGGTGACGTAAGCACGGCATTAGATGAGCAATCTGAACTTCTGAGTCAAGATTTAAACGAAGAGAGACGCATTAAAGCAATTCAAGTTGTTCGTGAGATCAAGGTGAAAAACCCTAACGCAGACAAGGAAACAATCGATCGAATATTACAACAAGAAAATCTACGGGCACAACCAAAGAGTCGGGCGTTTTATCGTATTGAAGCTACACGTAAAATGGTGGGTAGTGGCAGCGTTTTGAAAGGAAAACACGAGAAACTGGAACAGGCTATGGCTCATTCCCTATCGGATATTGAGTTGAGTGGTTTAGAAGAGCAAGAACGACAGAGTTTGACACATGTTTTTTTCGACCCGCCACATTATACATGCATGGAAAATTGCAATAATTTGCTTCTGACAGTGATTCGCGCTGGTGGTGATATTAATAACACCGTGTATGTTGATTTTAAGACGGAGGATGGTACGGCAAAATCTGGTGATGACTACGTTCACACAGAAGGCACGCTGTGCTTTAAACCCGGTGAAATAAATAAGACAATATCCGTGGTTATTATTGATGATGATATTTTTGAAGAAGACGAACATTTTACTGTTCGTTTGAGTAACATCCGTTTGGCTGGACCTGATGGTAAGATGGATAAATATGAGGGACGGGCGGGAGTTCTTGGACCGAATTTTACAGCAGAGATAGTTATTCTCGATGATGACTACCCGGGAGTTTTCACGTTTGAGGAAGAGAGCACATCAGTTGCAGAAGCCGATAAGGTTGTGGTACTTAAAGTTGTTCGTCAACAAGGTGCGCGGGGAATTGTTAGGGTACCATACCATACAATCGAGGGGACTGCAAAAGGTGGTGGGGAGGCATTTGAAGACACTATTGGTGAACTTGAGTTCAAGAATGAAGAGTTAAGGTATGACTTTGATATGTTTTCATAAGTTTCTTATATTTCCTAAACGAATGTGGCATTATGTCATATAGCAGTGAGAATTGAGGATTGCACATGTATTGTGCTGTATGTGTGAATGCATCATATTTTTGGATTTATCGTTTTATCCATTTTAAAAGCAATTTGAACATATCGTTGTTTTTTGTTGTATATTCATTCACAATTATCTTTGAAAAAGTGCCTCGTTATCTCTTAACTGCCTTCATTTATAATATTTTGCGGGTACATCCGCTCGTTTGCTCTTCAAGTGATTTGCTATCGTTCTTTTTCTAATTTTCTCCGTGCCTTGGTATTTATACTGTCGAAAACAATAACAATAAGCTAGGAAAACAAAACATCTTTGTTTTTAGAATATTGAATCAATTTGATTCAATCTTAAAAGTAATTTATATTGGACTTTGGTGTTAGTCCGTTCTCGTGTCGTGTGAAAATTTCGGGAGGCGAGGTTTTGTCATCACATCTGCTAATTTTTTTGACTTTTCTCACATTTATATCATCTCTGCCAACCAAATAAATATACAGAATAAGTTTGCTATACATCCTCTCATATTTCTCATAAGTTTTATTGGGATGATGGACCAGTTTAATGTTTAATGTTCTAATATTTTTGATAAATTAATGTGGGAAATTGTTTTCAGTGTAATTACGTTTCCTGGGAATTGAAACAGATGTGTTGAAGAATTATACGTTTGCTTGTATATGTTGATTAACAAAGTTGACTCATTTGCGATGTTAACGAGCTTTTTTTAAAGGAAGCTGATTTTAATTATCGAAATGTCGCTGATATTGCAATATATGTGTTGTACAAGTTTTGATGAGCTAAATTTAGCTGTTTTCTGTTTTTATATCATTCTTTGCATGGATTTGAGTTGTTTATTGGTGCCGTTTTTCATTGCATGCAATGTCTAAAACATGTTTCCAATTTCTTCGTTTGAGATTTAGTACAATTTGCCCAATCGTTGAAGGAAATTTTAGCAACGTCACAGCACAGGTCAAAACGATTTTAACATTTACGGTTTATAATGAACGAAATATATTACGTTGACGATAAATTATAGATCACCTACTGAGAATAAAATTGCTTTTGAAATCTTATTTATTTAAAAGACCAGAGTTTAATAACTTTCTTGCAATAATCATTAAACTTTAAAACACGTAACCAATTGAAAATCAATAGAAGTTTCGATGTGTGTTAATCATCTTGGACTTTGGTTTAAAAGCTGTACTAGAGCTTGAAAGAAACTAATCTACTTTTATTCCTTTTATTTACCAACATGCATCTGTTCTTAATCTGTCTAAAATTGAATTCGTTTCGCAATTTTTAATGATTCTTTGGATTAAATTAATCTATGATCAACCTTTCGTTTCAATTTTGCCTGCACAGGGCCTGTCCTAATAACATATGAATTTTGATAAGTAATGAACATGCGTTTCGATTTCTTTGAACATGCATTAAACACGTTTTAAACACGCTTTTTGATTTTCTTTGGATTCTAGCAAGGAAATCCAAATTAACATCGTCGATGACGAAGAGTACGAGAAAAAGGAGACATTTCAAGTTTGTCTCAGTCAACCATATGTTGTTACGGCTGATGGCGAAGAACCTCCTCCTTCACCTGAAGGTAGTTCCGCTGAGGAAGAGAGGATCAGGGAGTTAGGAAAGCCTAAACTGGGTAAGTCGAAACTGTTTATCTAGATCAAGTTTGAAACAATACTGATTAAATACGCGTAGAGCAAAATGAGACTGGTAACTAATGACATATATATATTAATCATTTATTCAGGTGATATTAATGTCATAGAAGTCTCAATCATTGAAAGCAAAGAGTTCAAAAACACGGTTGACAGACTTTTAACAAAAGCCAATCTTGCTTTAGTCGTTGGTACATCGTCATGGCGAGAACAGTTTACAGATGCATTTCTAGTTAGTGGTGGTGACGATGACAATGAAGCAAGTGAAAATGGCGAACCATCTCCTCCAACATACGGCGATTATCTTATGCATTATCTTACTCTGTTTTGGAAGGTCCTATTTGCTACGGTACCACCCACAGATATTTGGGGTGGTTGGGCCTGTTTTGTTGTGTCAATCGTTTGGATTGGTGTTCTCACAATGTTCATTGGTGATTTAGCGTCACATTTCGGCTGTACAGTAGGTTTATCTGATAGTGTGGTCGCTATTTCATTCGTAGCCCTGGGAACTAGTGTTCCAGGTTTGTGTTCATTTTATCCTTGAGTAGAAATGGGATGAATATCTGTGGCTGAGCAAGCGTTTTCTGAAAAGAGAAACTTTTTCATTTCTTTATAAAGTTAAATTCATTGTATAAACAAAGTATTTTCATAGCAAGCATAAAAATTTGATTTGCTTTGCCTTTTATATTTACATTTTCCTTTGTTATACCGCTAATCTATAATTATTCCATTTGTATGTGTTTAGATACGTTTGCGAGCAAAGTAGCCGCTATCCAAGACGAATATGCAGACTCTTCAATTGGTAATGTAACTGGAAGTAATTCTGTCAATGTCTTCCTCGGAGTTGGACTTGCGTGGTCTATGGCAGCAATTGTACACGCAGTTCGTGGAACGGATTTTATCGTGCAAGCTGGATCACTTGGTTTCTCTGTTGTAATATTTTGTATCTTTGCTCTGAGTGCTATCTTTGTATTAATGTTACGTCGTCATCCTTCGGTCGGTGGTGTTCTTGGTGGACCAATGAAATACAAGCTACCGACGTCATTATTTCTTGTATTTCTCTGGATCTTGTATGTCATGTTATCATCTTTGGAAGCCTATTGTCATTTTGAAAGTTTTTAAAGTGTTAAAAGCAGGTTTTCTTTTGTCATGTCTGTCTGCTTATCGAATTATTGTTGGTTTTGATTTTAAAGTATGAATTTTAAAAGCTATTTGGCTTAGGTAGTGTTATAGCAGGCACGGATTTGACACTTAAATATTTTTGCACCCATTGAGAAGTTGTGCTGAAAGCTTGGGATTTGTTTGATATCTGTAGAACAGACGAAAAAGGAGTTATTGGGAAATTGATAGTGTATCTGTCAGTTTGGTTATAGAAGAGCATGGACGAAGGGAATGGTATTGTAGCTGTTTTTCTGTGTGCACCGACAACAATTTTGAGATATATAAGACATTGCGTTATGAAAAAGTGTTAAGTACTGCAGACTGGGAAAATGAGGAAGCAGTTGAGAAGACTGGGAATGAATGAAGAAACAGTTGAGAAGTCTGGGAATGAATGAAGAAGCTGTTGAGAAGACTGGGAATGAATGAAGAAACAGTTGAGAAGCTTAGAAATTTTAGGAGAAGCAGTTAAGAAGAATCGAAGGGATGAAATGGAAAAGACGAATATTAAAGAGATAAAAAGAAGAGGGTGGAAAAAAGCCATGAAATGGATGATAAAAGAACGTAAAGAATCAAAAAGAGAAAGCAAAATGTCATTGAAGATACAGGAAAAATACGAAAGAAAAATTAATGCTGGACAATTAATTTTAAAGCAAGGCAAATATTTTTGAAATATTTTAATGTAAATAAGTTCCTTGAATGATAATGAACACTTTTCCTTTAAGCTGGTTCTTAGAAATATATTGTTGCAAATTATTTACTTTAAAGTGACTAATTATTAGAGATTGATCCCCGCCAAAGCAACGATTGATGCGTAATGAAGTTGTGACGTAATGGGTGTGGTGACGTATGAGAGTGGGACGTATGAGAGTGGTGACGTTTGAGAGTGAGACGTAAGAGTGGGACGTATATGAGAGTGGTGACGTATGAGAGTGGTGACGTTTGAGAGTGGGACGTATGAGAGTGGGACGTATATGAGTGGTGACGTATGAGAGTGGGACGTATGAGTGTGGTGACGTTTGAGAGTGGTGACGTTTGAGAGTGGTGACGTTTGAGAGTGGTGACGTATGAGAGAGGGACGTATGAGAGTGGTGACGTATGAGAGTGGGACGTATGAGAGTCGTGACGTATGAGAGTGGTGAAACGTAGAGTGGGCATCAAATGATAACTTTAATATCATTGCAAATTTCTGAGTGCAAACAACATCAGTTGTCATATTTTGTCAATGATTTTGTCTCGTTATTTTTCTGAATCTGCAAATTTTTCACTTGTAGGTTTAGCACTAGCTCATGTTCTACAAATAGCCTTAGAAAATTATATAAATCAATGAAATCATTACTTATAGTAAAATCGTTTACATAAAGTAAAATAAAAATTTAATAAACCATCAATAGATGAATTCATTTTGATAAGAAAACCATGTTCAGTAATCTATAATGGCATTAACTAAAAAGAAAAATTAAATGAAATAAATGCGACAATTATTTTAATGATGAAATAAATATTAAGAAAATATAACTGTCTTCCCAAGAGACCAGAGAGTTCGTTGGAAATAGATGTCCAATTTAACGTAATTTTCCCACGTATTTTGTAGTAAAGGTCTCATACCAATACTATACAAGAACTTTGAGCAGAATATACTGCAAGAAGCAAAAAACTTTTCTTGAGAAAATAACAAAAAACTCATTCCTTGTCAAGAGTAAAAGTGCAGACGAAGACAATAGTTTTATTTAACAATAAACAGACAACATTATTGATGTTAATAATTGCCTCCTCAGTGTAATTCTGATTAATATATTTTATAAGAGAATTGTTTGTGGTTTTCCCTACAGAGGACATGTAAGGATGTACCTAAAAGTAAATGGTAAACATGATTCATAGCTTCATTGGAATTTTTTTAGTTCAATTCTGGTTCATCGCTAATTCCTTTCTTGATTTTAAGCAATATTGTCGTCAGCCATTGGTCTAATCTTGAAATACTATCGTAGTTTTTCACCTGCAATAAAACATTCAATAAAAAATCTACAAACAAGTTCAAAGCAAAATCGCTTCTTGAATTAAACATTGAGAAACATTTAAGGATGAAATTTTTAGTTTAAAAAGCAAATTATTCGGATAAATATAGAATATCAACATCTATTTATTTTGAAACAGCATATTTAAGGTGCAAAATTGACGAAATAAAAAAAGTTCATTACTCACAGCTTCTGTGAATGCTTCAACGTTTTCTTCCTCCTGTGCATCAAGTAGTGCCTGAAAACACGAACAGTCAACAATATTATATAAACATAAAGCTACCTAAAGGTTTGGAAGGATAACAACAATTCCAACCTTCAACAATTTGCATTCTCTCGTGTCTTGAAATGCAGCATACATGTCACAATATTTGTCTAGGGCGCGCTGTGCCTCCAGTACATCTACACACATGTGACACAAAGCGGCTTTGAAGAAATATTCTTTGGCACTGTACTTTAGCAACGAACTTTCAATGGCATCAGCTGCAACCTAAATAACAATTGCTATACATAACTCTATTTTATTATACAACATTGGAGAACTTTGGAGAGTTATGGTATGATTGAGATAAATGATTAAAACTGTGTAAATGTGGGTATTTCTGACATTCATTTTGGGTGTTACTGGTGTTAGGGACCAAATTTGACGTGCCAACAAGACGTCATAGATTGAACAGCGAGACAGCAACAAAGAATAAAAAAAATTACTTGTTCGTATATTTCAATGGCTTTTTGGTAGTTCTCCATCTGAGCGGAATACTGGGCTACTTTCAAAGAACATTTGTTGGCAGAACTAAAATAAATCGCCGTAAAAAAGTTACGTAAAAACCAAACAAACCAACATGTATAACATCATGTACTTATGTACTAATAAAATTCGTGTTAACGAATTTAAGAGCAAGAAATGATTGTTGATGAGGTTAGTGCAGTGTAGGCAGCGTCAACATAGAGTAGCAGGCTCACTAAGTCACATAAATTTCATCAAAGCATACACAGTTGATTCTACCCTACTGTCAGAGTTCATGGTCATGGCAACTATTAATTACGTCCGCTAGCACCGATTTTTGAGAGAATAGCTCGGTTAGCCATAAATTAGTGGAAAAATTATCTGAGAATGCACAGTTTATTCAAGCATAATTAAGCTCAAGAAAACACAAATTCTCCAACAAACAAAAAATGTCCAAAAGCCAACTTTAAAAAAGTTAATGCAGTCTGATGTATAGTTCTCAAACTAATCGATCTTCACATAAAAATGTTTCATAAAGAACAGTCTTCATAAATACCTATTTGATTCTTCTCCTCTATAGAAATCTGCAGCCTGTTCATAGTGGGTAATGGCCTGCAAGATAAAAAACTTAAATTTGTAAAGTTCATCAATTAAATGCTCCATAGTATAAATAAAGCCCAGTTTCTCTATTACTTTCTGTTTCTCTTACAATAAATGGTTTCAATTTTTAAGCACTATTGATTCAGTAACATTTTTTTGAAAGAGCAAATTCGCTCCAAAAAATTCAGCATGTACTTTTTCAATCTCCTTGATTTGAGCTGAGCAGCATGAGACATCAAAAAAATAGTGAGAGCAGAAATCAACTGAATCTTTGGAAACATCCACAAAGAAGCAACAGAGCTTATAGACTATACATGATTTTCATTAAAAAATACCTGTTCCAGATCTATAACACTGCTTTCGTAAATATCAGCAATTGCCATGTGTTGTTTTGCTGCTATTGTAAATCGACCCTAGCAAAATCATCATTTTAATAATCATGAAAGCAAAGTTAGATAAAAATTGTATAATTTGTAAAATGTACTTCTTCATGTATACTTCTTGAATTCTTAATAAACCCACCATATCAGTATAAATATCAATGGCTTGTTTCAAACAGGTGATTGCTTCTGTAAAACGAAAATTGATGAAAAAAAATGTTAAAGAAATATATTTCAAAAGCTACAACTACAATGATACAAATAAATAAATTTACCAAAAAACTGTAAACATGTTTCCTCACACAAGATTGTATGTACATAATAAAAATGATCACAGTTATGTTGTTTGGGGTGCAGCAATTGATTGAAGTTTAACAAGGATATTTAATACAACACAGTTGTGTGAGATTGTCACAACAGTCAATATTATCTAGCTAAACTTTACATGTACATTGTTTACTATACATGCTCAATATCATTACAATAATTACAATTAACCTGGGCAAACAATTAATTAACTAATGAACAGTCATCAGCACACTTCAGAGGTACTGTACCATTATTATCGGATTTCTTATAACAGTTTGCTGCATCAACATAGTGAGTTGCAGCTTCATGTTTATTCCTAAGGAAGTTGATCTGAATCTGTGCTGCCTGACAAAAAGCATTTCCCGCACCTAAAAAAGGAATTTAAGCCCCTGAATTTCCAGCATTTCTTTATGATAACAATAGCAAATAATAGCAAATTACCCCCCCAATTTTTTGCCAGTTTATAAGTATTTGCAGCTCGAACATATAAGTCCACGGCATCTTGCTTTTTAGTTTCACCTCTAAATGGTTAAACAGTAAATATAAAAAAAACCTTGACATTAGATGCTTATTGAGGCATATTAGTCTACATCAATTTTATTATTAACTATTACTTCATTATCGATTCATTAAACATTTTATTGATAGATTTTCAATAATTTCCTTATTATTCTGAATGCAAAACTAATGCTTTCATCAACAATCCAATCATGATGAGTAAGATATTCCACTAGATAGACTTGATAAAGGAAATAACTTTGTAGCCTGACTTTAAAACACCTCACGATTAGCAATTGAAATATTTAGCTCGTCACTGTGAAATTAAACACTTTTTAGGAATGAATAAAATTTCCAAACTTACACTTTATGACAAGTTCAGACTGATAGCCTGAATGTATAGAAGCAAACACTGACAAAACAATTGTTGGGTAAAAAATTATCAGTTTAATAGCTATATTAATAAGTGAATAAAAGCACAATGAACGCACCCGAATAATCCACCTAGAAAGCCTTGTGACGATTTGAATTTTTGGTCTGCCTGAGCCATAAGCTCGGCAGCTTTCCTCTCATTTGACATTTTCGTGTTATCTACTATATCAAACGGGTTTTACCAAGATAATTCTTTGTTTTGCTTTTAGTTCAAGATGTATGTCTCGTATCCATTTTATGTCATACACATTATACAACCACAAATCACTGATATATATATTACACTGGACAACGCATCTTTTCGCGAAAATTGAAGCCGGAAGTTCGATCATTTGCTACTGGCTTCATGGGGAGTATCGGTCCCACTTTACTATACTTTTGTATTACAAAATCACAGTTTTCGCGTTTTTATTCCTTTTACAAACTTCTGATTAAGGAAAAAATTTTATGAGATGTAGAGGAAAACCGATTTAGAGTTTTAACCCTGAAGCTCTGTTTTTTTGGCTTTGTAACGACTGAAAAATAAGATTAGCGATGTGAATAACAAAGTGTTGATAAAATTAAATGTAGATATTCTTGCAAAGTGTTGATAAATAAGTAAATTTGTAGCAATCTTCCATAAAAGTCATTGCAGATGAAATTTTGGCAGCAGTAGTAGGATTCTGTAATATTTCTACATTTTTTAAGAAGCAGCAGCATCATATAATCTCCAGTTTGTTTCAAAACAATGCAGGTCGACCTTTCACCATCTCCATTTTCTGCCATTATAAAGCCAAGAAGACAAACTTTTTAGGATTAAATATCTTTGCCGGTTGTTCTGTCCCTTTTACAAAAATTTTGCTCCAATCAAAAGTTTGTAGAACGAATAAAAACGCAAAAACTTTGATTTTGTAATACAAAAGTATAGTAAAGTGGAACTGTTACCCCCCCCGAAGGTCATAATCAGATGAGCCAACTTCCGGCTTCAATTATCTTACTGTATTTTATACATGGTGCGTTATCCAGTGTAATATACATATCAGTGCTGACAACATTTCGTGGTTAGTGACGGCCATTGTTAACAAATAAAACCAACGAAAACGAATACAACCACCATTCTGGCACCATGCGACTCAACCAAATAAACATAATGATTCTAGCCATCAAGGTGCACGAATAATAAAAAAGACCTCACTTAGCTAGACAAGTCATTTCTCCAAGACAGGCTTGTTATGACATTTGTTTTGAGTGATGGAAAATGGGCTTACAAGAAGATTATGCAACCTGTAATGGTGAGATAATTTGAGGAAGACAAGCCACTAAGCCAGTTGGCAGCTATATAAATAGAAATTTTTTAAGGATGGCCCTAAAAAGTTTTAAATTATATGCATTTTGTGAACAATATTTGTCATCCAACTATAATTTTAATTTGTAAATATACTTTCAACTATCAACCACGAATCAATAGTTTAAATCATTTCTGTATTTGGAGTAGAATTAAGAAAAATTTTGACCATAATGTTCAAATGCTTTTTACAGGTTGGTATGCATCTACTTGTTGTGAATGTGTATGTTCTTGAAGACAAGACAGCCTTGAGGATTGGAAATTCCAACTTCTTTGAAGGAGAGAGTGTTAGCCAAGAAAAACCTATGGATTGGTTTCAGCAGAAGCATATTGAAGTAAAACATTGAGATTTTATGTTTAGATACTTGAAATCTACTTATACATCATGTTTTCTTGTAATTTATGATTGTTTTGTTAGATGATAATGAAAGATCTTAAAGCAGTCATCATCAGTCGAATAACTAATTCTTTGTTATCATCAAAACATGATGGAGGAATCAGAAAATGTATGTTTACTGCATGAAAAATGAAGCCTGTCAGTGTTTATAACTATAAAATACTTGGATAAAAGTTCAATCTGGACAGATAGGTTGTTTAAATTTTTTACCTCTAATGCTTTTAATATTATTTTTTTAGTGATGGACATAGAATTTAGCTATGAATTTCATAAAAGATCCTTTATTCCTGGTCAAAGCTTTCTGCTTTCAAAATCACAAGTAATTTTAAACTGGTTAATTTTTGGTGAAAAAGTAGGGTTAAAAAGTAAACTTAGTTTCATCTTTTCATTTAGGATTATTGTTTCTGTGGAAAGAAAATTACAAAGAAAGATGGTAAAACATGAAAGATAAGATTACCATTTTAAATGACAAAAGTAATGCAATTTGATTTTTCTTGTTAGTACAGTTTAAAAGTCATTCAACTTTCCGAGAAATATTGGAAATAAGAGTAAAAAAACTTGCTGGAGATCCAAATGTACAGCATGTTGAAACCAAGCTGTGTGGAAAGGTTTGCTTTGTAAAACATCTTCATTGAATCTCCTGTTCATTCTTTGTTCTACCATCGCTGCCATATTTTTACTTTAGACAACTATTGCCAGCAGGAAAGAAGATGAAAGAAGTGATTATTTTAATGATGAAAACCATACAAGTTCATCGGTAAAACGAAAGAAAACTACCCTTCGACGAATGTAAGATAACATTTTTAGTGTATTGTTGCATTTTTATTATGCAAAGAAAATATATGAAGCCTGATTACAAATTTTATGTTTTCAACTTAAAGAAGTTTATATGCTGACGGTCTATATGATAATTTCATTTCAGTGCAAAGAAATCCAGACTAGCATTAGCTTCTTCCTATCAAACGGTGGAACAGATTGATTTGCATTTGGTTCAAAGTAAAACTGAAGAGTTTAGAAAATCAAGTCTTGCCAAGAATGGTCAGCCTGCTATAGTTCCTGAGGTTGTCAATGTCGACCAAAAACCTGATGGCTTAGAAGATGTTAGGTAAAATGTGTTCTCCTTAAATCAATGAAGTCCACCTTTCCGACGGTAGACACACGTGTCAAAAATACGAGATCAAATTACAAAATTCGGACAGTCAAATGATCGGACATAGTATTGTTCATGTAGAATAGTGGCAATAAAATGGGTAGGAGATGCTTTTGAGTTTTGGGGCATTTATGAATCTGATTCTAGTTATTCAGAACGTTTATTTTAAAGGCAGAAAGAATAACACTAAATATTAAACATTTTGGATTGGAAAAAAGCATAACGATCGAATGAAAGCTTGAATACTGACAAGTTGTCGCGCTAATGACTTTTTCGTAAGGATTGTTACAGGCCTTTACGGCGTGACTTAAGAATATCCAGGACGGATTCCAGCTGTATAAAGCGCAAAAAAGCAAGCCATACAAATTTTTGAATTGCTATTTTTATTACATGTTGCTTTCGCTGTCTTTTAATCACTAATCACTATTATTATTATTAATGGATGAAATCTCCCTAAAACTGGACGGCTGTCTCTATGCAATCAAAAGAAGTCCTTTGAATCCGAAAAGTGTACTGTTTAATTGCAAAATTACTCGAGAAGTGAAGTTACTTTCGACATTGAATCATGAAAATATTGTAAGGTAAATCCCTTTTTTCCATGAAAGTTACATTGTAAAAGGTAATAAGTAAAAAACGTATAAACATGCTTAGAGTTGGTTTAAATTATAAGTCAAAAAGGCAGAAGTTGTTTGAACCTTTGCAGTATCCTTGAATGTTCTAGTTTCTTTTATGAGAAGAATTCTTCTAACGAAAAAAGACAAATTTTGAAAACAAAAAATCCCGTTTTCGGTCATGCCTCCCGTTACCCCGAGATAGTTTAGCGTCGCATGTCAATTAAGGGAACCAGATAATCCATAAAGCCCATAGATGGTTTGCTCGTGTGCATGGGAAACAGTCAACGAGAGAGTTAAATCAGAAAGATATAAACCAATAAAAATTGAATAAAACATGTTAAATTACATTTGCGAGAAAAAGGCACAGTGTCAGAAGAAGTTATTGAAACATTGCTTGGTTTATTTTATGAACATTGGTTTATTATTTTGTAAACAAAAAGATAAAATTCGAAAAGCAAAAAACCCCGTTTTCGGTCCATGCTTCCCGATACCTTCTTAAGCGTAAGGCACTAGAACGCCGCATGTTAACGTTTCGGTAGGAGATTTCGGCCCCTCCACGCTATCCTACTTGGGAGATGCAATAGCAAGCTTCCGCCCATCAGACCCCGAGATCACCTGCGATAGGCTTTGCTCGGGGTACGCAGGGAGAGTGCGGTCGCGACCCGAAACGTCTGGGCCCCTAAGCCACTGCATACATATCGCACCCGGCTTCCACTGCTAGTTGACATCTACTATCCATATATTTAGCTTTATATTTATATACATAAATTCAAAGGCCTTACGAAGGTTGTGGTATTATTAAAGTCACTACTGCGCATGCTCAGATGATTTCTTTGATAATTTGCTACTAAGCGAGCTAATTGCCACAAATGTAGTGCAAGTACATATAGTTAGTCGTTGCCATGACCATGAACAATTAGTCGAGTGGACTACGCATGCTCGAGCGCATGCGCAGATGATTTCTCTGGTAAATTGTTACTAAGTATGCTATTTACTTCAAAATCGGTGCTAGTAGATGCAGTTGGTCTTTGCCATAACCATGAACTTAGGCAGCTAGTCAAGTTGACTGCGCATGCTCAAACAGACTGCGCATGCGCAGATGATTTGTCTGAAAATTTGTGACTGAGCAAGCTAATTACTCCATAATTGGAACTAGTACATCCAGTTGGTTGTTGTCATGACCATGAACTTTGAGAGTTGGCGGAGTTGGCTAAGCATGCTCAGATTAATTCTCAATTTATGACAGAGCGACCTCTGAAATTGGTACTGAGCAAGTTTTCAATCATATATTTTTGGCATGTTCTTTGTCTTCTTAAGTTGTTTTGCAAATGCATATCAAACACATCAACATTTTGTTACACCACTCGTAATATTCGCGACAATGCTAGAGATGTTTTATTTTTCTCTACAACTTTGTGTATGTATGTATGTATATTGCATTTCATATCCAAGCTTTACTTTTATTTCACGAAAATGGTTTTTATTCACTCTTACACCTTCTGCCTTTATAATTAGTCGTTCTGGATTTCTAAAATAAGATTTACAAATGCCCCTAGAGCATCTTCTTTCTATTTTAATGCAACTATTCTACAAATACAATACTATGTCCGACAGTTTGGCCGTCCGAATTTTGTAAGTCATTATTTTCTGTTTTTTTATATTAGAAAATAAGATGCGTGTTGTTCGTTGTAAATTTAATACAATAAAAACATCGTTATCAATGTAGCTCACAAAAAATATTCTACATTTCCTGTACGCTATTACGATTGTAATGGTAATTCTGTTCCTTTTCTACTTCAGGAAGGTTGAAGATTTGAATAATAATCATTTAAGATTTTTAATTCGCCAGATGGAAACATATTTACGAACCATATTTCGTGGCGAGGTTTGTGAAAATAAAGACATACAGCGATCATCTTGGTGAATTGATGACTTCAGACAGTTCGGTGACTTTCTAGTTTCTGTTTTCCAGGTGTATTGTCGACGTCATGAAGATTATAAAAAAGGTGGAAAGCTTAGAGGTAAAAATGATCAGATATTGGGTTAATTGTATAAATACTCAAGAAAATACTGCTCTTGAAAAAGAGAGAGGAACAACCAAAATTTGATCGAGAATCAGAATAAATTTATGTGACAGAAAATAAGTAGAAATATCTTTTTAAAATTATGATTACTATTCGTAGACGATTTAAACTTCCAAGTTGGAATGGCACACTTTAATGAAGAGCAACATGAATGTATCATGAATGCTTTGATTTCCATGTTCTGTTACAAAGGACCAAAGGTATTCATAAATAGATACCAATATAATATTTTTGTTTATGTCTCATCAAATAAGCTACATCGTATTACATATGTAGTATCTTAACTATGTGACGAAAGTTATGCTGCCTGAAGCTCTTATTAAGCTGTATGAAGATATTCACAAAACAAGTCATGATCAGGCAAGTTCGTTGTCTAAATAACTTCTGTAACGTTGTTAACCCAACACCATAATCATCCCTACACCATAATCATCTCAACACCATAGTCATCACAACACTATAGTCATCTCAACACCATAGTCATCACAACACCATAGTCATCACAACACCATAGTCATCACAACACCATAGTCATCACAACACCATAGTCATCACAACACCATAGTCATCCCAACACCATAGTCATCACAACACCATAGTCATCTCAACACTATAGTCATCTCAACACCATAGTCATCCCAACACCATAGTCATCACAACACCATAGTCATCTCAACACCATAGTCATCACAACACCATAGTCATCCCAACACCATAGTCATCACAACACCATAGTCATCACAACACTATAGTCATCTCAACACCATAGTCATCACAACACCATAGTCATCACAACACCATAGTCATCACAACACTATAGTCATCACAACACCATAATCATCACAACACCATAATAATCACAACACCATAGTCATCACAACACCATAGTCATCACAACACCATAATCATCACAACACTATAGTCATCACAACACCATAGTCATCACAACACCATAGTCATCACAACACCATAGTCATCACAACACCATAGTCATCACAACACCATAGTCATCACAACACCATAGTCATCACAACACCATAGTCATCACAACATCATAGTCATCTCAACACTATAGTCATCACAACACTATAGTCATCACAACACTATAGTCATCACAACACCATAGTCATCACAACACCATAGTTATCACAACACCATAGTCATCACAACACCATAGTCATCACAACACTATAGTCATCACAACACCATAATCATCACAACACTATAGTCATCACAACACCATAGTCATCACAACACCATAGTCATCACAACACCATAGTCATCACAACACCATAGTCATCACAACACCATAGTCATCACAACACCATAGTCATCACAACACCATAGTCATCACAACATTATAGTCATCACAACACCATAGTCATCACAACACCATAGTCATCACAACACTATAGTCATCTCAACACCATAGTCATCACAACACCATAGTCATCACAACACCATAGTCATCACAACACTATAGTCATCACAACACCATAATCATCACAACACCATAATCATCACAACACCATAGTCATCACAACACCATAGTCATCACAACACCATAATCATCACAACACTATAGTCATCACAACACCATAGTCATCACAACACCATAGTCATCACAACACCATAGTTATCACAACACCATAGTCATCACAACACCATAGTCATCACAACACCATAGTCATCACAACATCATAGTCATCTCAACACTATAGTCATCACAACACTATAGTCATCACAACACTATAGTCATCACAACACCATAGTCATCACAACACCATAGTTATCACAACACCATAGTCATCACAACACCATAGTCATCACAACACTATAGTCATCACAACACTATAGTCATCACAACACCATAGTCATCACAACACCATAGTTATCACAACACCATAGTCATCACAACACCATAGTCATCACAACACTATAGTCATCACAACACCATAATCATCACAACACTATAGTCATCACAACACCATAGTCATCACAACACCATAGTCATCACAACACCATAGTCATCACAACACCATAGTCATCACAACACTATAGTCATCACAACACCATAGTCATCACAACACTATAGTCATCACAACACCATAGTCATCACAACACCATAGTCATCACAACACCATAGTCATCACAACACTATAGTCATCTCAACAACATAGTCATCACAACACCATAGTCATCACAACACCATAGTCATCACAACACTATAGTCATCACAACACCATAATCATCACAACACCATAATCATCACAACACCATAGTCATCACAACACCATAGTCATCACAACACCATAATCATCACAACACTATAGTCATCACAACACCATAGTCATCACAACACCATAGTCATCACAACACCATAGTCATCACAACACTATAGTCATCAACAACACCATAGTCATCACAACACTGTAGTCATCACAACACCATAGTCATCACAACACCATAGTCATCACAACACCATAGTCATCACAACACCATAGTCATCACAACACCATAGTCATCACAACACCATAGTCATCACAAGACCATAGTCATCACAACACCATAGTCATCACAACACCATAATCATCACAACACTATAGTCATCACAACACCATAGTCATCACAACACCATAGTCATCACAACACCATAGTCATCTCAACACTATCGTCATCACAACACTATAGTCATCACAACACCATAGTCATCACAACACCATAGTCATCACAACACCATAGTCATCACAACACCATAATCATTACAACACCATAGTCATCACAACACCATAGTCATCACAACACCATAGTCATCTCAACACTATAGTCATCACAACACCATAGTCATCTCAACACAATAGTCATCTCAACACAATAGTCATCAAAACACCATAGTCATCTCATTGTTTTTCCTAACAGCATGATAAGTGCGCTTGCTAGAGGGATTTGTCATTTTTTCATAATTTTGTAGGCTGAGGAATGTCTTTTCAAAGATACCATTCTCGACAACTAAACATTAACATTTACATTTATTTCATTTATAATTACATGTTTCGTTAGAAAGATAGAGAACTATATTAATTATTTATAATTTTTTTAAGTATAAAAATAATTATTACTTTATCATCATCAAGTTACTCCATTTCTAAATCACAATGTATTTCGTTATATGCAAATGAAGTTCAATGGGAAAGCTGTTAGGAAGACAGGGTTCTCTTAAACTTTTCCGTAAAATAAGGTCCACAACAAAGTTTGCGCTACAGCTAAATGGCATTTATCTACTTTAAAATACTGTCTACATTAAAGTTATGCTATTTTAGGCCAGACGTGGTAAAAGTTTTGAAGGTATTAAGCACTTTATCCCTCTCTATCCTCATTACCACCGCTAGGTTTAGTCTTTTTCTCGATAACATCATCTTTTACAACACTCATATTTCTCCAGATGTCATCTTCGTCACCGTCGTAGTCGTCCCCAATCTCCTTGTCTTGTTTTCTTTTGCCCAAATTAGCTTTCTCGCCAGACTATAGAAGGGAAGATGAAATTACCAATATTTGACAAACTTAAACATAACACAACTTTTGCTATAAAAACCCTTTTCGATCTTACCTTCTTAGCATTTTTCGAAAACAAAACTGAATTCAATCGCGATTTCATATAAATCTAAAGTATAAAAAAGTGTTCCAGCTTATATAACGTGAACTTTTTTTACCACAGCATACAAAAACTTTGCAACGTATGTTTACTACAAAATGTATGAAACTTTCGATAAACTACTACATGAACGAAAAATCTCATAGAAATTAATACATTGTTGATATTTCTACGAGATCTTATGTTAAAATCAACGATTACAACGGTCATATATATGTCAACAAATTTTTGTTTAGAATATCAAAAATTCTGAAAACTAGTTATTTGTGAACATTTTATTTACCTTGTTGAGAAGTTTTCGAGATTCCATGTGATGAACACGAAGAAATCTATCCAGACCACAAGAGGCGACCAGTGGCTCAGAACGATGACAATAAATGTCATTAATGGTACCAGAAAAGAATTTAAACGAACCAAGATTTTTGCCTTTTAAATAAAGAATAGTAAAAAGACCCGGTTACAAATAAACTAATGCTCAAAATTTGAGCACAGTTTTACTGAGTTAAGATCACAATTTCACCGACTTTGCTATTTCCAGTTTTTAGAATTCACTGTAGCTAATATAGAATGAAAAACCTGTTATCCCCCCACATCCCCTATTTCCCCATCCTAATTTTGCGAATATGAAACCCACTTTAACATGGAAGTGAGGGAGGGAGGGGTGGGTGAGATGAACTGACCATTTCTTATATCGATTGCAGCCATTTCACCAAGAGCATTGCCAACTACAACAAATCTAACAAAATGAAACATAAAGTTTAGAAATTCATTATGTCCTCTTCTACAACCCAAGGTATAAAGTACTAACTACAAGGATCAAACTATTTTACAATAAAACTGGTTGTCTATTTATCAAACATCGTTTAAGAAAATTAAGTACCGTTCATGCGATGGAAGGGCAACACAAGTTATCGGTGATTCTTCGTAACTAAAATCAAGTACAGGACGTTTTTGAGCTTCTGGATCATAAACACGTAGTTTATGATAAATATTTGCAACGATGATTCTTGGGAGGGAGCCTGGGGACGAGAGGAATGCAATGTCTTTAACATATTCAGGAACCTGCAAATCCAAGTGATCATTACGAACCTAAAGAAAATTTCACACACATTAAAAACTTCAAGATTAACATCACAGTTATGACAATTCATCTAAAACAGATTATGAATTTACGAACGATGGAAAGATTGAGTAAATAATATATTGCATAAACATGCAGTATAAACATATTAAACCAGACGAAAATTTCATTAAGCATATAACCAAACATACTTCTAGTGAAATATCCATCTTTAATATTTTAGAAAAAATAGAAATGACAATATCCCTAAATCATTGTCTTCTATCTTTTATATCAAATATAGACTTCAAGATGAATATCTTATGTTAAGTATGTTTTGTTTTAAAAACAAAACTCAAAAATTTGACAATCCACTTAAAAATCCACTATTTCAATTGGTACGAAAATTAGTTTGGTAATCATAGAAATATGAATAAATTGTACAAAAGTGCTTAAGATTAAAGAATTATGTTTTACATTTTTGGCTTTAAACAATGGTTTTTCAGGTCTGTTAAGATCCCACAGTTTAAGTACATTTTCGTTACCACCAGTGGCAACTTGACATTTTTCAAATGGATTTATTCTCATTCGAGCAATATGGCTGCCCACTTTTACATCTGTCTGAAAATAACGACAAAACATCACATTCACCAACCAGGGAAAAATTTTTCAGGGATAGTAGTGGGGGAAGATTTATCAGGGATAGTGTGGGGGTGGGGGAATTTCCATAACCAACAAAAATCAATGATATTCGCTTTTGACTCACACAAAATGGTTTGAAAATATTTACAAACATTTATCATATTGTTTTTCTAAGTAGCATGAGCAACCTGTAGATTTACTTGCGTTAAATAAATTCTAAAAGATTACCATTATTCAATTCTTTAGAAATCCTTTGTCAGCAAAGTCAGCAAACACAAAAATATTTACATAGTGGGAATAAAAAGTCAGGTAGGCGACGCAATAGATTTTGATCATCCTAATTTCCCCTCTTTTCAACTTCATTATAAATTACGTATTAAATAATGATCAAACCAAATCTCAAAATGATTACCTTGGCTTCACTAGAATCATGAAATATTCTCATGATTCCATTTTCACAGCAAACCATCAAAGCTCTGAAAGATCCATCATAAATATCAACAATATAGAAACGCATGTGATTTAAATATATAATGCATATAGAAATGATCAACATACAACAATCTATAACATGTTATCTCTATGTTAACTAAAATCATTTTCGCTTTCAAAACTTACCTTTCATTTCTGTCTAATCCCACAATGCGTCCATCACTTTGATCAAAGCACTTTCTCTCATCAATAAAATCTCCCACATCCACATCAAAAATTTTACAAACTCCAGATCTAATGCCCATACAAATCTAAAATAAAAAGTTAAATAAAAACCAACTATATAACAGGTATTTTTATATGAAAATAATTCACACAATACTTTTCTCTCTTCGTCATCAAACCAACACATTCGACAGATTTCATCAACTTCTTTTTCAGCATTTGCAATATCACCATAGTTTTGAAATGTTTTTTTGTTCAAATCAACTCCTTTGTGAACAGAATGTGAAGTTGCAGTTTAAGGTTATACTTAGGATATTTGTACAATGGATTTGTGTTTCATCAGTGTTTGGTTTGGATTGTAGATTGATCAAGTTAAGGGAAAGCAGACTGCTTAAAATGGCACATTTTGCCAAGATCTCTAGGGCAGAATTGTTGTGCAAAAAAGTGTGAAGTGGGCAGAATAGCAGTCTAAAGGATAGGGAAAATGTTACTCATTACTAATAATTTTAGGGCAGTAAAATGATTAATTTTTTGAGTATTATCTGAAGGGCAGCAATGACTTAATTTGAAGTCTGGAATCCCAGAGGGGTGCTTTGTGCGCAGTCCCCTCCCTTAGCCTGGATAATTTATTTTATAATGAAAATGTCACGATTATACAATATTTATGACTTTCTTATGATATAAGTTTGACAAATAAGAAATTTTACCATACACTACAAAATATTTATTATGGAAAATAGATTCTTTTCAATCTTAAATTCATTTCTTAAAATTCGATAATGAAAGTAACGCAACACGAGCCGAAAATTAAATGAAATAACATAAGGTGGTAGGTGAAATAAGACTCAACCTAAATAAACATTTCCATCACCAATATATCATTATAAAATGCACACAAACCTTTTAAAATTCCGGTTTCCCCTCCAACCCAAACATCTGCCATGTTGGTTGCTATGGATAATATGCATCCGTCAGGAGGGGACGAGCTATAACGAAGAGTAACGATAAATAACGAAGTATTTGACATAATTATTTGGCGGGAAATTTTATGTAGTTTATTCTTTATCGTTGTTATTTTAAAACAATCTTACTATAAATAGTTGTAAAATACATGTCTTTACATCATCAGATCTTTTTGAAAACATTGAAAACATCATCTTAAAACGGGTTTTGAAGTATTGTAGCTTCACCAGCTCGGCCATAACAAAAGCTAAAGACATGAAGGTAATCTTGGTAATCAGACATTGATTTTAATGAATGATGGATATTATTTGTTTATTATCTAATTATAATCAAAGTTAACATATGATGATTTATCTAACATATTTACTGTACAGAAAAAGTCTGGCAAAGGGAAAGAAAAGAAATTGAAAAGAAAAGAGGTATAATTCATTCAGTTGATTCCCATTTTCTTTCTTGGCCATAGTTTCTTTTTCTTATGACTCACAGACAAGGTATTGCAACACTGACTTCATAATTCTATTTAATATTAAATTTTTATCTATAAACCAGCATAATATTGCCCATTTAGTGCCTGTTAAAAACTTAAAAATCTGCCTTGTTTTAACATTGTAGAATTTTGTAACATTTAAGAGCTTTTTTCAAGGAACAAGCAAAGATTTCTGCTGCACAATTGATTGTGGATGCTGCCAACAATGTAAGTCTAAAAGAAGAATACTGTTTTGACAATTCCTGATGTTTGCAGATGTTGTCTTCCATCAAAATTACTAACACCTGTCCAAATTGCTCTTCTATCATCTGTTATATTATGTTTTCCATACAAGAAAAACTTTCTTTGCTAAGTCATTTACACTAAGCAAAAACCTTTACGTATATATTGCAAAAGCCTTTACCAGTTATAAAAATTTTTAATATGTTTGATGTGATGTCTTAACCACAAATTTTCCTCTCAAATGACATAAGGGTAATGGACTTCATTGTATTTAATTTTTAGGTTGATGATCTCATGAAACCACTCAGTCCATTTACTAAATATGATAGAAATGGGTACGCATCTATTGTGCTTGATAATTGTGAACTTCTCCTTTTGAAAATCTTGTTTTTCCAACAAAGAAAAAGCTGTTGGCAATCGCACTATTTTATGGCAGATTTTTTATACTTTCTTTTCTTAATTTTAGTCTTCAAATGACTCTTAAAGATAATTTGTATTTAGTCTGAAAGTTTCAATAAAATGTATCAAGATATGTGACATGAACAAGGATGATTTTGACTGGGCTTTTCAACTTACCAAAACCAACATGCAAGTGTTGTAAGTTCAACTTAATCAATTCAAAAATGCTTGAAAATGTTTAAGTATTTCTCCTTGAATTAAAGTTTTGTGCAAATTTCTTTTAAAGGTATGAAAAGTCATCTTGGGGTTGGAATGACAAGAAGAAACATGAAGAAATGAGTGAAGATAATGCATGGTTTGTGTATAAATTCTGTTTCTTTTATTGCTAATACATAGATACTGAAACTATTTACATAAGTTCATCATCTCTGTATTGTTCATTCAAGGTACTTGATTGCTGCTGATGAAAATGGAAAATCTGTTGGTCTTTCACATTTTCGATTTGATCTTGATAATGATGTGGAAGTCCTCTACTGGTGAGTATATTGACTCAATTAACATAAGATTTGAGATGTTTTCCTATAACTTTAAAAGAGTTGAAAGTTGTTTGATGTGGCATACGTTGAAGATATGTATTTTTTTTGTTTCATGATCATTTGATTTGTTTTTTTATTGTTCACTTTTGAAAGTTTGTGATCAGTTTCAATACCTGGCAACTTTATTATCTAACTTATATCTCCCTCCTTCCTATCATTGCTATCAAATGACCGTTTTATTTCCTGGTAACGAGACCGTTAATTTCAAGTTTTGATTTGATGGTTTAAAGTAAGACCCTGTACCTTTTTATTCAGCTATGAAATTCAGCTGGACAAGAGTGTGAGGAATAGAGGACTTGGCAAGTTTCTTATGCAAATTTTACAATTACTGGCGCACAGGTAACTGTAACTCATTCAAGTAACTTAACACTTTAGCCGTCGTCTCCACTCGAACCCAAAGTGTTAAATTATGTCTAGAGTGAGGTTTTCCATATGTTTAACTCAGGGAAAGTGAGTTGAGTGTAGTTTTGCGTTTCAATTTTTCTTTAGATATAAAATGAAAAAGGTTATGGTTACTGTTTTCAAAGGTACAAATTGTTATCGTTTTTGATGGGAAATTAACTTTTATTCTTCCCAAGAGCGCTCTATTTAAGTGTTGAAGTCATTTTGGATATTTTTTCCCCAGGGACGAAACTAGAACGCTAATTGTGGATTTATTCATGTATTCAGCTCTGCCCAGTTGATTTTATTTTGAAAGCGATTGTAATTTTGCAGAGCTTCTTCATGTAGCGTTCTCGTTTTGCTCCAGATGAAAACAGAGTGTAGGGTCGTCTTTCTTAACTTCATATGAATACAAAATAAATAGCTAGTTTAGTCTCTCACGTAAGTTAAAGTTTAAATCTACGATTAAAACTATTATGCCTTAATTACGCATATTTTTAAATGATTTTCCTATCTATACAGATAATGAAAAAGCAATGGATTTTTTTACGAAACTTTTAAAGTACGTATGTTCTGGTAATTCAACCTTTTCACTACTATCAACTCTCAAATCATCGTAGTTTGTTTTCTGTGTTCTCTAGCTTTGTTTCCCAAGGATCTTTTTTACTTCCTTATCTACGATTTGATAAATAAGAAATTTGACTTGATTTAGGTTTGAAAACGACGAGACGTCGCCTCGATATTATGATCCACTAAACCCCGAAGATTATTGCTATGAAATATTGAGCCGACCTGTCTCAAAATCTTCGTCATAATAAGACCATCGATGTTGTATATTTCAAGACGTTGTTACTCTTCGATAAATTGACATTGTCCTGGATCCTACTCATTTCATATTTGGCAAAATCAAAGTTTCTGTGAAACACAGAAGAAGTGGACGTAGCTATGTAGCGAGAATTGTGTGTCTTGGTTCTAAAATTTCTTCCTCGATGCACGTTTTCTAAGAACTTGCGTCATTTTCATAAAAGTAAAAAAAAATAAAGTCGAAACCCCAGGTGTTAGGTTGAACATTGATTCTGAGAATTATGTTAATATAATTTCATAGAATATCTCTTAAAAAGCCTGTTTTTCATGTGTGGGCGACGATTACCGCCAGTAAAACAGTAAGTCTTTTCTTTCAAACAAAATTCTTCGTCTGACAACAGCACAATGTACTGGAGCGTTACATTTGTCGTGTTTTAGCATGTTTAACAACTTCCACCAAAAATCGGCGGTGACACATGAAAAAAAGGCTTTACATTTTATAATTCTTAAAATCTTTAAAGCATTTATACACTTTTAACAATGTTAAGATTTCTCCTTAACGTCTTCAGTGTCAAGTAATTGATACTGACTTGAGTTTCTTCGATCGTCTTCATTTGTGCCATACATTTCGGGGTTCTTTGACCTTCGCAACAATTTCAATTCATTTTCCTCTTCGCCTCCTAACATTGGTTTATGGCAGCTGAACAACATTCCCGGGTGATCTTCTGGTACTCTTGCACACATTTCCAGTATCAACACGATAAACGACAGACCAATGAGAAAATAAACGACACACAGGATTTTATAGACATCTCTGTATCGACTTCCACGCCATCTGTTGCCGTCACCAGGTGTGTAATCACCCAAACCGACTGTTGTTAGCGTTATAAAACAGAAATAGAGTGACTCAAAATAGCCCCAGTCCTCTGTGAGCATGAAAAACAGCGCAGGAAGTAGAGCTATCATTGAGACAATGATCATCACTAGAATGGCAACGTTGACCGCGCGTGCAACAGTCTTGGGGAAATTGGGTTGAGTAAAGAAATGCTTTGACATCCAGGTCTCTATGAGATCAAAGGCAGCCAACATTCTCTCAACAATTGCAGTAAGCAAAACAGCTGTCATTGGTATGCCAAACAGAGCAAATATAATGGTAAAGATTTTACCATTATCCGACAATGGCGCAATGTCACCATATCCTATATAATAGTTAAAGCAAAATTGGAAATTTTATAAATAAGTAATTGAATAAGACTGTCTGGACAACTAGCAACTGTTGAAGTCGATGACAGCTAGACACTATTGTTTAGCAACCTCATTCAGAAAGTCTAATTCAAGTGAAAAACACCCAATTTTTGAGAGCATTACAAACCAACGCAAGGTAAATAATCAATTAGCGCACGCGTTGTATTGTTGTCTAAAGGTGGAGAATTTCGTTATTTTTTAAAATCTGTTTTGTAACACCTGCCTTTGAGTCGGCGTATTTTATGATTTAAATGATAAAGTTTCTTGTTGTTTCTCAAGGTACAGTTTACTTATTTTAACAACTTATCTTGTATCTTTAAATTTGTTTTTGGGCAAAATCATTCTTCAAAAACATGATATACCAGCCTGAAAATTCATTTGTACCGATGCACCTTATGCAATGTTTTGTTTTCGTTTAATATATACGGTTTTGCATTCTGTCGTCGAAAAAATTAATTTATGCATTTGATGATTTATTTAGGATAAGCGTTATCAACCATAACTGAATAATCAGTGTTCAAGGCGAAAAAAACGTTGAGGGATTAAAATGTCGTGGTAGAATTTATAATAAAGGAGCAATTTTAAACCTTTTAGCTGTTGGTAGTTACATATACCATGAGTACAAGTTGCCAAAAATATCCGTGATTTCTACAAAGATTGTACTGATATGCTTCCATATAACAACAATATTTGTTATCAGAGAATTCCCAATCCATTATAAAAATGGCTTTTTTCAATAGGAAGCATAAATTAGAAAAAAAATGAGATTTTAGTGTGTGCTGTTTCCCACAGCTAATAACGAGAAAATGTGAATCATTTCGTAGAAAGTATTTCCAGTTTTTTAACAATGTGTATACGGGGGGAGGAAGCATGCGGAGGTCATATAATATTTAATCTTAGAAACTTCATTGTTGCTTAGGGCCGCCCTGTAGAGCTAGAAGAAGTTTTAGAACTGGCAGTGTAAAATTACAAAGGATAAGTCAAAAATTTTGTCGACAGATTCATATACAATCATGTTTAAATGTTTAGTCAAAGCAACGCAAATTAGGATTTAAATATACGTAAAACGAACATTACTGATTATTCAATTGATATAAGATTTTTTTGTGAATGCTATTAGCTTACAAAAAGTAATCAATATATATTAATCTTTTTACGAGATCGCTTCACATAGCATTGCAAAAATCCTTGTTGTCAGACTGCCTTGAATGAGCATATAGAAACTTTTCTAATAGTAAAATACAAACTTTCTTTATAAGTCTCGTTTGCGAACAAACATTAAGAACTAAAACTAATCATCACTATAAGTTGTCAAAAATCTATAGTCCAAAAAAGTGGCTACTAATATACGAAAATATGATAGATACACATACAAGAACATAGAGTTGTTGATTGCATTCAATAACGACAATATATTCATAGTTACTCACCAATTGTCGTAACTAATGTGCCCGAATACAGAAAAGCGCTTGCATAATTCCAACTTAATACATCAGTCAAATTGCGAACAGGTTTTACGCCATGTTTTGTAGCCTTGAGTATGTTCATTACGTAGTTCAATAAATCTTCGTCATTCACGCATCGGTTCTTGTTTAGAAAGCGTTCCCTAAGTTGCCTTAATTTATTTATTTCTTGCTCTTCGACTGGCGCTTCTAAAGTAGTGAATATTAACGAACCCATGCACAAGTAGAACACGTAAAAGAGAAAAAAAAGCAACAAGCGAATCGTTCCCTTCTCCATCGCCGCTACTTTGGGATCAAGAAATGTCGGACGATTGATGTATGTGTTATATAAGACCTGTTGTGGCTGCTCGAGTGGCTTCAAGCTTGCTGCATATCATAAATATTTATGAGATGTTTAACGGTGCTGTATATGCAAAATAGAATGATGTTTGAGTTGCCAAGCAGAATTGTAAAGTACTTTTGATATGTTTTTATAGCCCTTGGATTAAAGAAAGAAATTGGTTTTGTAGATTGAAATACCTAAACGTTTATGTAATAAATCTATACTGTTTTCATTTTCTTCTCATTTCATCTATCCCTAACAGGAATGGAAAAAAATGTTATTGTCTTTAATGATCAATACTTTAGTGAAAAGTTCACTCACTTTTTTAGCTAATTTACTCTTGAAATTATGAACATTGTCTTTTGTTTTATGGATTGGAGTTCCTTGCATCATTGGTGGTAAATAGTTGAGGAAGACATGTTCTTTTTGTATTGTCTGGTGACAAAAATTGAGAAATATAGTAAAAACTGAGCTAAAGTAGCACCAAACCATTTATTTTCTCTTTTGCTGCTTAGCATGAGATTTTTTTTTGTGAAACTTGTAATTGGGAAAAAAAGATGAAGAATTCTTTCCTGATTTCACAACGCGCAGTTCGCAATGTAGATTGGTGACGAATTTAAGATTTGCAAATGGCGGCCAAATTTTCTCTTCATTGGGAGGAAGGTGATTTAATGGACGTAGGAGCGCCGCCCGTCTGTTTAACTTACTGTCCAAGCCTAAACTGTATTATATTAAGTCGTACAGGGAATTCAGTTGAGATAATTGACGTGAATTCGGGCGACATAATTGAAAAACATCTTGTTTCAGGTCAGTTTGAATCTAGCGGCCATGTAGACTTTAGACTCATAGTTATGCTTTTGTATGTGTTGTTCTTCGTAAAAAGTAATTATTAAGTATAGCTTATTTTTATTGTTTGTACAATAATAGTTTGATCAAACTCGCAGGTGAAGGCCAACCTCATATTTGTAAAAGAGTACTTTACTGTTTACGTAAAGATAGGAATCTCAAGAATGAAAATCAGAGATACATTAAATATAGGAAAGGCTTATATTGTGTTATCGACAGCATTCCTTCATTTATGTACATGTGCCTGTCTCATTTTTATTTAATGTTGACGTAAAACCCACTGGTTTGTTAGTAATGTCATCTCACAATTCCTTATTACTTCCTGCCTTAGGTATTTCAAAAGAATTGCCTGCTCTCTCTTGCACAACTAAGAAATTCTTGCTCAGTCTTTACTTAAAAAACATGCAAAGTTTTATAATAATTGCAATCTGAAGCGAAGATTAATTGTTTATTGATTATAAATTTAATGTCATTTTTACTTTCTCAACATTTAATGATAGGCCTTTGGGATTATTTTATTTTTACCCAGAACAGGCTTCTGATTTGTTTACATATTTGATAGAAGTACTCTAAGCAGTAGTTCTTTGTTGTGAGTCAAATTTTCTCTTTACTAACTTGGTTGATGAAGCTGTACATGTTAAATTTTGAAAAATTATGGTGATTATTAATATCGTAGTTCTTAACCTCAATGCTCTTGTATCTTCTTTTCTCAATTAATCAAGTTTTTTTTTAGATAAACCTGTTCCAGATGGTTTGCTGTGCCAGTTTAATCCTGTTGCAGGAAACCTCATATTGACAGATGGCTTTCGTTTGGGTCTCCGCAAGGATTTGAACGGAATTTACCTGTTAAGCACAGCCCTGCAAACACAATGTGTTGATTCTAAAGACAAGGAAATTGTTTTGGAAATGACTCTCACAGATGTGAGTAAATTTCTTACTTTATATTCTACACATGAGATGTATACAGATATTTGAAGTAAAACATGGCTCAGAGCTAATCTAGAATAAAGTTGTATTCCGACAGAGTGAGGACATTTTAAAGTTTTTCCTTTCTTAGATGGAACATGTACTGGCTGGGATACAATCCTGTATTAAAGATCTCCATGAACCACATTTGTCTAAACTTGAAAGACTCAATAATATTGTGAATCAAAGTATCAATAAAGCCATGTGCAAAGCTAATAGAGGAGATGAAATGTCCTTAAAGGTAATGAAATATTGTAGCACACAACCTTATTTTATTATGTATTTCATTTCATATTTTTAGTTGGTTTTAAATAAGCAAATATTTTTTTCAACTCGATGCTTCTCCCTAAGTGTACTAACCTCCTTATTTTGCTTCTTCCTATGCAACTATTTTTGCAACTATTATAATATTCTATGCTTGCTCTTAATTATCACACTGAAAGTTTAAAATTTTTCATCAACCTCATTATGATTACGTCATCGAAAGACATTGAGTCATACCACAAGATTACACTTTTCATGGCAATCCATTGTTAACATTTTATCATATGTTATCCTATGCTATCCATAAATCTTCATTGTTGTTTCTTCTCAGTGGGCGTCCTGTAGCATCACAGTTGAAATGGATTTCATTTACTCAACGCTTAACTCTATGATATCATTATTTCACAACTCTACAACCAAAACTCCTCAGTTGTCGTGCACATCCGCTTTACTTTCTCAACTTGCAAGTCTCATGCCTAAAATGTCAAGTGACCAGAATGATGCTGTTTCCAATAAGAGAAAGATGTGGAGTGAGGCAAACAGACGAAAGACATTTAATAATTGGCCACATATGGATTATAGATGGGCCATTCCTGACACAATGGCTCAAGCTGGTTTTTATCATCAGGTAAAACTTTATTCTTTCTTTTGTTACATCATAAATGTAGCAATTATACATGTTTTATGTTATATTCAGGCTGATCGTCGTACATATCCAAATTCAGTGGATAGAGCTGTTTGTTTTACATGTAATGTTGGTCTGGTTTGCTGGGAACCTACTGACGAACCATGGTATATTTGAAAATCATGAAATGTTTTTTTGCCATTGGTTATGCGTATGCTTTTATGATTGCATGAATTTTACATTTCTCTCGTGAATGTTAAAACAACATTTTTTCATTTTTCTGACAGGTCTGAACATGAACGCCATTCACCAAAATGTCCGTTTGTTCGTGGCGAATGTACAGAAAATGTGCCGCTGTCAACAACTTTGGCCACATTGCCTGCTCAATTTCACGACAGTACTAAACCCAAGGTTTTTTCTTCATAAAATTTTTACAAAATGACATTATTTTTGTGGGGAATTTATCATTTTCTTCGGTCAATTCTTGAAAGACTGCTGGAGATTATTTTCATTGAACTATTTCTACATCTGCATATGATTTTCATTTTTACATGATGTAATACTGTTTACGTCTTTCATTGCAAGTCATTCCATTCGTTACATTTCAAAATATTTTTCTCTATTGTATTGCAAGAAAATACAATTTACAAGAAAAATTGCATTTTAAACAATTTCATTCGTTTGTGGCTCATTTTTGTATACGTAAGTACCTTCTATAGCAACATGTGTACATCATTGTTTATGTAGATTTTGTATACGTAAGTACCTTCTATAGCAACATGTGTACATCATTGTTTATGTAGATATCTTGTATGAGTACTTTGACTTCAGTGGGACTGGTAGCGACTTCTACTCATCAAGCTCATATCGTAGTTTGGGATGTTCGTGATGAGTTACAGGTATGTAGAGCAAGTGGGCGACAAGTTTTTCTAAAGAGAAACGTGTTGGTTTTGTGAGTTCAACTAGAGGCTCGAACGGGATGAAATTGTCACGAAAATTTTTATTTCATCTTTTTATTTTCGTTTGGTTGAAATATTTTTTCTTGTTGCGTCATCAGGTTCGCGCAAAAATGTGCTTAAATATTGACAAAAAAATACTATCCAATGAAATTGGTGAACTTGATGACTTGCTAACAACTGTAGTCATGGGTGACGCTATTGAAGAGAGTACAAAGGAAGCCTTAGATGCTGATTTGGAGTTTGGAAGTCTGGGCTCAACCGCAGAACAGACTAGAAGCACTAGCGATGTCGAAATTCAAAGTATTTTGAAGAATAAACAAAGTGAGTACTTGGCGACATGGTGTATATAATCTTGAATCATTGCCAAAGTTGACTCCAGATTCAACATCACAACACTCCTGATAAAGACATTAGACTGTTGTAGTTATATAAATATACATGAATAATAGTGTTGAATTATGTATGTTTTTAGGTGATGATGCAAAAGATACCATCATAATTCAGACAACAGCTCTTGGCATTTTAAAAAACAACCAAAAACGGGAAAACGAAAAGCAAGGGGCCATGATGCAAACCATTTTACCAGAAGCAATGTTGATAACATGTGTCAATACGACAAACGATATAACATTACAACATCAAGTACCGTACATTCTTGTTTGTGACATACCTATAGACAAGAACCGATCATATAGTACATCCAAGTCAATAAAATCTGGTGAGAATAAAGGTCAGAGTAAAACAATTTCATACAGCACACAATTGTCCTTTGAAAGCGAGGATGAATATTACGATCCATTATTTGCTGTGCCGAATGTGTTACCGAGCATGAATAGCTCTTTGAAGGATGGTTTTTTGAAAACGGATGTGGAAAAAACTGACGAAAGCTTAATTACGAAAGACGCGAAAGTTGTGCAATGCTTAAATGTTAATTTATCAGAATATGGGGACATTGAAGTATCTCAGGTAATACCTTACCACGATGGGGGATATGTTTTGTTCGTAATGCGTAAAAGATTGAAAGATTTCTTTAGTGTTTCTGAAGATACACCACTGATAAATGGTGAAACAATTGATTTTAGTGATTTTAACGAAGTGGACGCTAAAATATCTAGAAATAACCTGATACTCCTCATAGCATTAAGTTTCGTGATTTGAATTTTAAAAGTATTACTACGTCAAATGGTAATACGTCAGTGGAAGGAACTGCTACGTCAAATGGTAATACGTCAGTGGAAGGAACTGCTACGTCAAATGGTAATGTGTCAGTGGAAGGAACTGCTACGTCAAATGGTAATACGTCAGTGGAAGGAACTGCTACGTCAAATGGTAATACGTCAGTGGAAGGAACTGCTACGTCAAATGGTAATGTGTCAGTGGAAGGAGCTGCTACGTCAAATGGTAATACGTCAGTGGAAGGAAATGCTACGTCAAATGGTAATACGTCAGTGGAAGGAACTGCTACGTCAAATGGTAATACGTCAGTGGAAGGAGCTGCTACGTCAAGTGGTAATACGTCAGTGGAAGGAACTGCTACGTCAAATGGTAATACGTCAGTGGAAGGAACTGCTACGTCAAATGGTAATACGTCAGTGGAAGGAACTTCTACGTCACGAAGTTTTAATTACAGTGGTAGATCATTGAGTATAAACAGTTCTAGTAAGGAAAATGTTAATTGTGAATTATCGAAAAAAGAAACCACCTCCATTACCAAATGCGTTTTAAAGGAGCGACATTATTCCGTCGTTTTATTATTGTACAAAACAAGGACGGAAAAAGGGCGAACGTTACTCGAGGAAAAACCTTGCAAATCACTGGTGACAAGAAATGCAGCAGAAAGTGTACGTGATGTATTTTTACTACCTGAAGATGATGAGGATATCTTTCAATCGAACTCAACGGAACTAAATAGTCCAAGCAATATTTATCTTGCAGGTATTTGAAATTTTAAGTTTTTTTAAACAAAAATTGCACGTTTTGAAATCAATTTAATGCTGAAAGATGATTTTAGGCTTTTACAAATAATATTTACATAAGTGAATGTTTTTTAGGTATTTCAGCCAACGGTTGTCTGGTTGTCTTTAATGGTCTTACGTTAGAAATTGTAAGTGAATATTCATCAGTTAAAGATAGTGACACTCTCATATCTAATATTGATCAAGCCATCTTTTGCCCTGGTCTTGACTCCTTTTGTGTAACAACAAATGATGGAAAATTGCGTTTTCTTCAAATGCTTAATAAACGTGATTGCAATGGTTACCAAAATATATCATCAGAGGGAAATCCATCTCGTGTCGAAAAACAAGGTGAGCGTTTTGGAAAATAAATTTATCAGAAAAGGAAAAATTCTTGGAAGCGTCTAATCTTGCTTATTATTATTTTGTAATTACTGTGGTACTTGTGTACAAATTATTCTTGATTTGAACATGCTTTTAAAACATAACACAATCCTTGTTTGTAATCTTGTAATACTCATTCAGAGTTGTTAGTTTGTTTCGTTGTTTTTGGTTATGTCTTTAAAATGATTGGTATTTAACAAGAGCCAAAAGACATGCTGTACCTGGCGACCTTATAATTGAATATTTGTTCAATCTTATATTGGGTTTTGTTCATTTTGCCACCACTTTTCTTTGTAAATTAATTACTGTGCTACTTCATGTAGAAACGAGTCATGGTCTTCTGTTGGATGATTTGTCCGTGACGACATTAAAAACCCTTAGTAGAAATGACGTCATTTGAAAATCTCGTTCCACGCTACTCGGCTCTTGCACCAATATTTTGGAGTGAAATTCAGCAACAACAGCAACAGAGACGTCACCCGCAACACCTGCTTCAAAATTCTCAAGGCGATGCAAGTTGTCACACTCGAACGTGGAGATTGCAAAAAAAAGGGTTAGAATTTAATACTTGATATTTTAACAAGTCCTGTTACGTGTTCATACTATTCCCAACTACCCCCAACTTTCCCCCCATTTATCCTCCATTAGTTTGACGTTGTTGTTGTTTTCTTTATTAACATAAATGTTTATCTGTCCGTTATAAGTGAAAACACTTTTATTTCAGTTTGGTTGTTGGTGATCAATTGTTTAAACTTACTTTACCACGTCCTTCCTACGTTGGTCATGTTGACATTGTTTTTACTATAAATAAATCTTCAAATTCATCGAAGAGCCACCTCCAAGTAATGTTAAGTAAACCACGTGGTTCATCTTTACGTCCAAAAATTGCGCAACCTTTTACTTCGACGCGCGTACAGAATGGTAACGATGAAATCTTATGTGGTCCTGTTGACGTGTTTGGTAATTTTTTTCATCATGGTGATAAAGGTCATATTGTATTGACAAGTGAAACTTTGCTAAAAAGCAAAGTCCGTATCCTTCATGTGGTGTTTAAAAATCAGGGGAAAAGTTTAGTAAAGGGAGATGAAAGTTCCAATGGTAGAAATGGTTTTAGTGATCTTGAAGAGATATCCATTACTGTTCGCTCAATGAATTCTAAGTTCAACGTCGAAACTTACACAACTTTATTTAAAAATCCTGGCTTTTCTAATCGATTGATTGATATCGTCTGCAACGATACAAACAGTGAATTGAGCGATAAAGATAATTACAATTGTCAATGGTTTGCGCTAGAGTTGTTGTGTTGGATCGCTGGAGTATCTATACATCAAGATGTTAGGTTTGTGTTGTCCATTTGTAAAACAGACTAAATTTTGATCTTACTTCAAATTCAGGTGTTGTTTAAGTTATGAATATTGTCTTGGTGTCTGACTTACGTAGCTATTTCCTCATTGGTCAACATGTTTATTTAGTCATGTATACATTTTCTCATTGGTCAGTCTGTTTATGTAGTCATGTATACATTTTCTCATTGGTCAGCCTGTTTATGTAGTCATGTATACATTTTCTCATTGGTCAGCCTGTTTATGTAGTCATGTATACATTTTCTCATTGGTCAGCCTGTTTATGTAGTCATGTATACATTTTCTCATTGGTCAGCCTGTTTATGTAGTCATGTATACATTTTCTCATTGGTCAGCCTGTTTATGTAGTCATGTATACATTTTCTCATTGGTCAGCCTGTTTATTTAGTCATGTATACATTTTCTCATTGGTCAACATGTTTATTTAGTCATGTATACATTTTCTCATTGGTCAGTCTGTTTATGTAGTCATATATACATTTTCTCAGTGGTCAGCCTGTTTATGTAGTCATGTATACATTTTCTCATTGGTCAGCCTGTTTATTTGGTCATGTATGCAATTTTCAGTTTTCACTTATTGGAATTTAACAGATTTCTAAATTAATTATTTATCATATAAATATAAAATATTGTGAAAAGAAGAGTTTTTCCTGTTTCAGTGAGGAATCTTTGTCTCTTCAAGTCGTAGAAAGATTGTCAATGTTAATAAAATCTTGTCTGCTTTCATCATCGCGAACTGTTGCGCACAAATTTTCTCGCCTACTTCTATTGTGTATCAGGTAATTGTAGTTTCAGCTATTTATATTTTTCATCACATCATCTCGTGAAAAAGCATTACTTTTGTATTTGTTTTCTTAGCCAGCTGAAAACTTCGGAAGATAAGTATTTCGACGTGAGACTCTCAATACTTCAGTCTTTCTTGAGTTTGCTACCACTGACGGTCAGCTCTCAGTCAAGCGGAGGTATCAATTGGTACTTCATGTTACTCACTGGATTGTTAACCTCGGACGATGTTGAAACTGTTGGAAATTCATGCATTAAACTTCTTGACAATATTGGCCAACAATTGGACAATAAATTGACCTATCATGATCGAATATTACGAGCTAAGTAAGTGACGTGTGTTAATGATTACATGCTCATGAAGCTATTCAAATTGACGTCGTTTTCATCATATTGGTAGTTCCAACGTCGTTGTATTTAAACTCGACAATAAAAAAGAACTTAAAAGGACCTAAATTCCGTTTTTCAAAAATAAATTTTGTTTTTTTTCCGTTCAAGTTTTGGACTGTATGGTACACCTTTGGATCCGACGATGTTTGATATCTCCATGGAAACCATGGGCTTGTTTGCCACGTGTAAAGCTTCTGACGATCTAGTCGCACCCAAAAACGCCGGAAGGCATTCTCAAAATTCGGGTGATGTTGACATCATTGATTACATCATGGCAAAAAACAGCTCCGCCGAAAGTAGTACTTTATATAAGATGGAATATCTTTTATCTTCCATGTATGGCATACTCGAGGTAGAACCACTAGAGTTTATATGTTCGTCCATGAGTGATGGCTGTAAGGTTGAAAACCATCAAGGAGGAGGAGAGATTTTGTCTGAAGGAGGGGGAAATGGTGCTGGATCCTTGTATTGTCCATCTACATCGGTTCATCCTGTGATAGCAATGTCATCATTTCAAGATCATTATAAACAACTTCAGGTAATATTAAAATATATAGATCTTATTGTGATGAGGTGAATGTTATCTACATTGGAAGACTACAGATTTGGCCGGAGAAAATCTCTTTATGTCGTACTATAAATTATTGACATGAACTTTATTGTTCATAGAACTTAATTTATAGAAGTGACAACTTTCGTATTATTTTTTAACCAAGTTGCAGTTTTTATTTTTTTAAGCCAGAGTAGTGCACACAGTGCAACACTCACCACAAGCTTCACGTGACTCAATCATGCGTAAAAGCAAATTATCCAATACAACAACTATAGACATCAGTACGTGAACAAAAAAAATCGCTTATTTAGGTTGTAGCTTGTAGTTGTAGGTTTTATAAAAAATGTTTTTATTTGCCATGAAGTCAGTGGATTTTAATGGTCTCATAATGCAACGAATCAAAATTTAATGGAGTTGATAGAGAATGAAAGAATTGTGTGAAACATTTTATGATTGATTCAAATTACGAGTCAAATGCTTTATTTTATTTTTTGAAACTCTGCACTATCCTTGAATCCCTGTTGACCATTTTGAAGTAATTATGGAGAAAACACTAGTAATTTTCGCTTCCATTTTCATTCTTTCTGCGGAAGACGATCAATATATTGATTATAATTACTTATCTCTTCATAGGCTCAAGAGAAGATTCTTAACAAACTGCAGAAACAAAAGCAACAGTTGGAGGAGCAATCACAAGAACTACAAGAACTAGGAGGAATGTTGTTTTCATCAATGAATACTCCGCAGAAACAAGCAATGGTAGACGATGTCTGGGGTCAGGAAAGTACTCCTACTTATTACAAAATTCCGACGTCTTTTGGTGGTTCCATGAAGTCATCCACGATTGAAACTGTAGGCCCGAAAACCATCAACAGGATTGTAAATGGTGGCAATAGGGCAGCTTCACAATCTCGCTCTGTCTTTCAGGTAAGATATAATATTTTGGTAAATGTTTTATTGAAGAATCATCTAGTTAGTCCAGAACTTTTATTAAATGGTAGTTTTATTACTTTTGATGATTAGAAATGATTAAAAAAATCACTTTGTGCCTTCTCTCCTTTTGTAATAGGACAGACTACGTAAATGAATGACCACATACCTAATCAAATTTTATTAATGATTTAGTTACCAGTTCCCAAGGTGATGACTGTTGAAAAGATGCAAATCGGTGCCAGACATTTCGTTGTCTTGGATTTCGGACAGATTGTGCGACTAACGGATATCTTTATCCCTAATTGTCCTGATTTGTCCTCCGTTGTCATTGATGTGTGGGTAGATAACGAAGAGAAAGACTTAAGTCGCGTCACTATTTCTACAGACATTGGAAACAAACCTTTGCTATTAACTGACGTTTTACCTCCACTCGTCTGCAGATATCTCAAGGTTAGTTTACATTAATGACTCTTTTTTAATGGTGGTATATTATAAAAGATTAAAATGTTTATCCAATAACTAAAGTATCATTTCATGAAATGTTATGTGAAAAGACTGCAATTGAATTTGAATCGACGGCAGGGGGGGTTATAACTGACTGTGACAATTGGGAGCACTGACTGTTATTATTTCTTTCATCAGATTTCGATATTTGCTCGTCATGGTACTTTACGAACAAAGATTGTCCTCGGCGAATATTTTGGCTATCCAATATTGTCTAAGACGGGCACTAACGAAGTTACAGCGGAGCTTGGCGATGCTGCTACTAGAGAAATGTACATGAACCAGATGTACGACGATTTATTTTGCGAGTATGGAATTGCGTGTTCAAGATTGGAATCATTACTGAACTCAGTTGAACCTGGAGTTTTCTCGTCCTGGGAAAGCGGGTCAAGAAGTGACGTAGCTATTGTAAATCAGGCATACCAGACATGTATGAACTTAAAACTACGTCTAAATTTTCTAAATCGTAGTCTACTGCGCATGACCAGTTGGCGTGTTGGTTCTTGCCAATTAAATAAAAAGAATATACAGGAAAGCATGGATACCATTTTATCATTTGCATCATACGGCAAACTCAAAGTAATCTCTGATTCGTTAGTTCATGTATTAGTTTCCTTATTTGGCGTGGAAGTACCAATTGACGGCGCTACGATAAAATGGACGCATGATTTAACGCTGGTGACATGTAAGTCTCTGTTTACGACCTTCTGTGTTAAAGGAAGTTCTTCATCGCGTGCAAGAGTGGGAGCAGTTATACTTCGTACCTGTGGAGAGAAGAAATGGTGGGGGGAATTTCTGGCATGGGTAATGGAAACATTTTTTTGTCAGGAACAAAAGTTGATGTTCTCCCAAGAGAGGTAGGTGATGGCTTCATTTATGTGTAATTTTACGACAGGAATTTATATGTTAGCTGTGTTTTGTATATTGTTGAGTACTATCATTTATTTACTTCCTCTTCACTATGTACGTATTTTTTACAAACTAAGTCTTGCATCTCTTATTACATTACCCACCTATTGAAGAACTACAACGATTTGAAGAACTTCAACTAACAAATGTTGTCATGAACCAACAATTGAAGAACTTCAACTAACAAATGTTGTCATGCCCCCCCCCTCCCTCCCTCCCAAGGAACTCAAATCTGATTTTATCAGTCACAATGTTTGGTTTTTGTAATTGTTTTTAGATTGTTTTTACTTTTAACATCAATGAGTCAATTGTCTCCCATTGTTCATCCTGTCATATCAAGTGCCTTGAGCTTACTGAAGAAATTGTTATCACCTATATTTAATGCTTCCCACAATGAAAAAGTTGATCAACTTGATTCTCGCTTATTGGAATGGGTGATCTTGTATGTCTCCAATATGTTGGATAACTTCATGGAAAGAACCCACGATACTGTTATGAAATCTTTAGGTAAGATTATTGTTTATTTGAGATGAATACTTTCCTGCAAGCGCAATACATTCTTTAAAGACAAATATTAATCCCAGAACTACGTGTCTCAATGTAAATTGTAGCAATGACGTAAATGTTGTACCATAGTATAAATCCTGTGCACCCACACTAAACTTGTCGAGTTTTAACATTCAGTTGCATATACATCTTTTTATACAGTAATAGTTGCCATATATATGCAAAGTTAAATAATTGTCCCCACTGTTTTCTTTGTGATCATGCACCATTGTGTACTTTCTGACCATACACCATTGTGTACTTTGTGACCATGCACCATTGTGTACTTTCTGACCATGTGCCATTGTGTACTTTCTGACCATACACCATTGTGTACTTTCTGACCATACACCATTGTGTACTTTCTGACCATACACCATTGTGTACTTTCTGACCATACACCATTGTGTACTTTCTGACCATGCGCCATTGTGTACTTTCTGACCATGCGCCATTGTGTACTTTCTGACCATGCGCCATTGTGTACTTTCTGACCATGCACCATTGTGTACTTTCTGACCATGCACCATTGTGTACTTTCTGACCATACACCATTGTGTACTTTCTGACCATGCCATTGTGTACTTTCTGACCATACACCATTGTGTACTTTCTGACCATACACCATTGTGTACTTTGTGATCATACACCATTGTGTACTTTCTGACCATACACCATTGTGTACTTTCTGACCATGCACCATTGTGTACTTTGTGACCATACACCATTGTGTACTTTCTGACCATACACCATTGTGTACTTTCTGATCATACACCATTGTGTACTTTCTGACCATACACCATTGTGTACTTTCTGACCATACACCATTGTGTACTTTCTGACCATGCGCCATTGTGTACTTTCTGACCATACACCATTGTGTATTTCTGACCATACACCATTGTGTACTTTGTGATCATGCACCATTGTGTACTTTCTGACCATACACCATTGTGTACTTTCTGACCATACACCATTGTGTACTTTCTGACCATACACCATTGTGTACTTTCTGACCATACACCATTGTGTACTTTCTGACCATACACCATTGTGTACTTTCTGACCATACACCATTGTGTACTTTGTGACCATACACCATTGTGTACTTTGTGACCATACACCATTGTGTACTTTCTGACCATACACCATTGTGTACTTTCTGACCATACACCATTGTGTACTTTCTGACCATACACCATTGTGTACTTTCTGACCATACACCATTGTGTACTTTCTGACCATACACCATTGTGTACTTTCTGACCATACACCATTGTGTACTTTCTGACCATACGCCATTGTGTACTTTCTGACCATGCACCATTGTGTACTTTCTGACCATACACCATTGTGTACTTTCTGACCATGCACCATTGTGTACTTTCTGACCATACACCATTGTGTACTTTCTGACCATACACCATTGTGTACTTTCTGACCATACACCATTGTGTACTTTCTGACTATGCACCATTGTGTACTTTCTGACCATACACCATTTTGTACTTTCTGACCATACACCATTGTGTACTTTGTGACCATGCAGACAACCAACAAGAAGTAGTGGCCAAAGAAAACGCTGTGAAAGAGAGAAGAAACAATAGACGTTGGGATTTTATCGTACCACGTAATGTAAACGATGAACTTAGAGATTCTCTAAAAGATAACGGTAAAGGTGTAAAAGGTACCAAGAAAGAACTACGAAAACTCAAAAAACAGATTGCGAGCCGTCAACGACGTCTTAACGCACTACATCAAGTACAAAAATCGTTCATGTACGATGGTCACGGAGCAAGTCAGTGTCCTCCATCACCCTATCATATGATGCATTTAAATAAACAATTAAGGCAGAAAGCAAAAAAAGTAGGTTTTTGGCATTGTTGTTAGGAGGAGGGATGGTTTATCTAGTATAGAATATTGTTTCGAGTTGAGTATGTGGAAATTATAGCCTTGTTAACTTTTTTATTGATAGCCACTCCGAGATTTGATAAAGTTTAAGAAAATGATGGCAAATAACCTTGGAACAATGACTGACGTTTCACATTCGACTCCAACACCAAGACTGTGTCGAGATTTGTGTTTGCAAGTAATGAAAGGTCTGCTGGCTGTTTTACTCTCCCCCCAAGGCACTTGTAGTGTTGATTTCTTTGTTCTTATTGCAAAGGTAAGTAAGAAGTAGGATTCAAAATCTAATTGCTGTTAGTAGTCTTTAATGCTCAAGACGGTTTTATATAAAAAAAACCATTGTAGACATTAAATGAAAGCATGTACATTTTAGGTTTTGGGTTGTCTTGCTTCTGTCAGTCAACCTAAGATTAGCTTGGACGAGTTAGCAAGCAGGAGCCAATTGCAAAAATTACTGAAAATGTCTGTGCTATCCTATGGAGTCCCCTCAAACAGTTGGAGTTCACCAGATCAGTGGATAAAACATACTTGTACAACTTTACTGCAAGATCTAGTAAATAGTAAGTTGTTGTCGCTTTATAATATCGTTTTACATCATTTATATGTTTCTGTTAAGTTTGATGTATTTTATATTCATGGGACTCAAATATAAACGAGAGACAAATCTAACCATTCCATCTCCTAGGTACTATACAATTAAGATTGCCCATTTCTGATTTGCCTTTGCTAAAATCTGATGACAAATCTCCCGAAAAGTCGGAAACTCTCGATTCAGTGACGTCACCTGTTGATGCGGTTAACGAAGACATTCCAGAAACGGACGAACCGGGTGATGAAGCATTTGTAGAGTTGGGAATGTTTAGTGATTTATTTGGCGACGTCTCCTCTTGTGGGGAAACATTCGAAGCTGTTAAGGAACAAGAGAGTGTAGAAACAAACTTTCTTAAAACAAAGTCATCCTCAAAAAATCAGGAAGCGAAAGAATCAATTGTGCTAGTCGCTTCTGGTTCATCTTATGTACCTGGTGTAACCAATTCTGAAATATCTTTAGCCGAGGATTGCCGGCTCGAGATTGGACTTGAGAAAAAAGCTGAAGAGGAGCTTCGTCATCTTGCCACAATAAGTCGACGGAGATTCTTGAATGGTATGGATCTAAAATACAGAGTCGAAATTTCAGGAGTGCAAACAACTGTCAAAAGTACGAACGAACATAAGTCTACTATTGATACATCTAATGCTTCAGGATTTGAAAATCAAAGTTCTGACGGTCCTAGCTCAATAAACCATGATATCGTGGATGAAAGTTCTAGTGTTGATACTCAAGTAGAATCACCTGCTGCTGATGAAGAAAGTTTGATCCATCATAGTGTGAAAACCTCCGATGTTGAAAACTCCCATGGCGGAATCTTGGATAATACAGGAGACGATGATTGTAACATGAAAACTTGTTACTTTATTTCCGAATGCATTTCAAAACTCATTTTTGAAGCTTTTAAAGGACGTCAATACAACATTGAATCAGTTTTAGAGCTCTGTCTGTTGTTAAACTTCCGAAACAATCCATGTTTCCTTGTTACCCGTCAAGCTATGGAAGCATCCCTTGAAGAACTAAATATCGTAGAAGGGCAAAATGTCCGATATTGGAATCTTACCATCAGTTGGTTAAGGATGTTACTAAGGCAAACTCAATACCTGAATGTCAGCATTGATGTACAATTTGATCATTTTACCGCCACAAACCTCATTACGAACTTGTGTTTGTCACGCATGCTCGGTAAAGTTCTTGCCTCAGGTGACGACGAGTTTTATGGACCATCATTGGTAAAAAACTTTAAATTTCTTCTCAAGGAACTTTACGCTCAGAGTTCAGATGGTGATATGAGACAACAATTCCAGCAATTTCTTCTGGATACATTGATGCACATGATGAGGTAAAGATGGAACATTTGTTATATTTTCTACTATTTTTTTCAACACATATTTTTGCACCTCAAATTTTGCAGTAGTTTTTCACAAACTGTCTGTTATTTAATGAGCATTCTGTTTCTTTTCTTGGTAGTGATTTGGAACAACGACATGGGAGAAAATATCCTCTTGATGTGTGCTCAAACTTCTTAGATTTTCTTATGCAAAAACTTCCAAATGAATCACCCGTCACCCAAACTGATAATGTTACGAAAATTGTAGAATCTGTGCTCGCCATAGTCCTTGAGTATCTAACATCTTCAAACCATGTATGTACGGTGTCCAATCCATCGAAGAAAAAGATTTCATCTTTGTTTCCAGGCGTCAACGCATCGCAGGACAGTTCTGTGGGATTATCACGACCAAATTTTCTAGTTCTTTCCCTCACTGTGTTGACGAAGTTGCTTGGAATGCACACATCTGTTTCAGATGGTGTAACATCTGACAAACTTGTTATGCAGAAACTTCTGCAATGCTTGAATTTGTGCAGTGGGCAATCGTTTGAATTGTTGGATATTGGTGTGAATATCATGTCATGGGATTTTTCCAACATTGATAGTCTTGATAAACCAAAATCTATTGAAGATGGTGTTATGAAAGTTTTTTGTTTGATATACAAACATTCTATTCATAAAGATGACATTATAAAACGTCTGCTGAGCTTTATGGCGGCCAATGATGGCCTCGATGTTGAAGATTCGTGTTTTCATCTTTCCGAATTACTGCAGTGGATCTTGTTGAAGTTATTGGACGTTGATAAAAATTTTGAAATATTTGTGCAAAATGGTAAGTTGTGTTGGGTGGTGATATGTTGAGTTGATTTTCAACATTATCAATCGTCTTTACTTCAATTTTTTTCATGTTTTCTCTTCCAGGCGGAGTACAAATAATCTCTAGTAAACTATCACATTCGACAGCGCGCGCCTTGCATCCTGTCCGGGGACTGGTATCGAGTGTTATCCATGAGCTGGGTGTTAAAGTTCGCTCGAAAAACGAAGGTGATAAACATCTTCTTGCTGCAGCATGGAAATCTGATAAGAACATAGTGAACTTTGCTCCTTATGGTATGTTTAAGTGCTTATAGTTTTTATCATATATATTGGAATAATTATTTCTACAAATTGATCCATTGTATCCTGTGCTCTGTGCAAACTGCAATTTGATGCTTTTTCAGGCACTATCTCCTGTCCTTCTCAAGGTCCATCAAGTTTTGCCGACAATCTTATCTCCATAAATCTTCCTACTCGTAGAGCCCGCAGTGCTTCTTGGATACATCATTTTACTCAGAAAGATACTTGGTGTTCATTGTATATAACTCTTCCTAATGCTGTTATCGTTCACGAAGTAATCATACAACCTCATACAGCGTCTTTGTCAAGTAAGATAATTTATTAACAACAATGTCTGTTCAAATAGCTTTCATGTAAAGGAATTTCTAATTCACACCATGTAATGTTTATAACTTTTATCTTTTATTCACTTTAGTTGAAAGTAAATAGACCTAGGTAAAAGGTATTAAATTATGAAGTCAAGGTCACCTAAATGATGGCAGTTATATTGTGGGACCATTTCTCGTACATGTTATTTAATTTTACACTGTCTCTTTCAACAGGAACAATCATCTTTTTATAATTTTTGAACATTTTACGAACTTCTTTCTGCATTAGCACAAACTCTTTAGGCAGAAGTTTTGTATAATATATACCTCTGATATTGGATTTAGCGTTTTGTTAAAAACAATGTAGTTCAGTGTCAGCACTATTTATATTTAACAATCTTGCGACATTTTTTTGTAGACTCGACAAGTTACGTTGTCCTCGAATTATGTGACGAAACTGGTTCTGTTACAAAGATTAGTCCTCCATTGCTTACGGCTGGTCTCAGCAATATTCGCCTGCATTTGAGTACGCCACAATTGGCATCGGTACGTGTGTTCAATCGTTGATTGGTTGTTAAAAAATCCATTAAAGATACACATTTTCTATGAATTTGACAGAAGTATCTTTAAAAAATATACTTGTCTTGCTTTTACCCTTTGAACTGCTCCAAAATCAATGACTTTTAATGGAATCTGTATAAATTAGAGTTGTCAATTACTGTGGCAAATACATCATTCAAAACTGTATTTAAATCTTTAGATTGTAAGACTGAGGCTTCATCGACCACGTGACTCCGACACATTGGGTTTGAATCGGATTGAGGTCCTGGGATCGAGTTTCTATGGTCCAAAATCTGCCGTGCAAGCTTTGCTGCATAGTCAGAATGCAAGGTCTGTATTTTGTTAAAAAAGAAATTAAATTACAAAATGCGATCCTCTCTTAATAATTTATTCATTTTGAAAGTTAAATATTTTTGTGCAAGAAAGGAAAGATGGTTTATGAAAAACTATATCGCTCTTCTTACGTGATGGTTTTATTTACAGTTTTAGTTGGTCACGTGTTCTTGATTATTGTCTCCGACGCTCTCACAGTTTATCATCATCTGCTTTGGATATACTTTCAAACATCGATGGTATACTTGATGTTCTTTTAAAAATACTTTGGAGTTTTCCAAGGTACGTCATACCTTCACTAGATGTAATTAATATTGTTGATATTTAACTTATTTTTCAACTCATGTTTACAATGGTTAAATGAAATATCGGCAAAGATGATGTTTAAACTCAAGGTAATATTTATACATGTATTAGGTTATGTTTAATGATTATTTTTGTTATATTTAAAGCTCAAGTAATAAATCATGTGTGGAGTACATTCTTATCAAATTGGCAACGAGTTCTACACACATTTGTTCTCTTCTTCTCAACCGCTTACTGTACGGTGGAGTTGATCTTGCAGGCTCAATAGGCGTCTCATATCGCTTTGAATCTGAGAATGAGTTGTTGTTTCAGTTAGGAATCATTCAAGATGAAAGAGAATGGGAAAGGTATAATTGATTATTGATCATTACGAAAATATTTAACGCTAGGATACATTTTAGATATTTCAATCTTTTACGAGGTCATCTTCCTTTCAACAATGTAGCTATGTTGTATATTTGGATGTTATAGATTGCAGCCAATGTGTTCATGGCTTTTGGATTTGGTGGAGAAATCTAGTGTCGTGCATCCCTTGTTGACGAAGACAGAAAACAATATGTCCTCAAAGATTAGAACCATATCGGCTGTAGTATGGACTGTAAAAGATAACCCTGAACTGTGTGAAAAGCTACAGGCTGTTATCACAGAAGAAAAATTCGAGTATGTATCGGAAATATTTTCTTTCAAATTTATTATTTTATACAAACACAGTTTTCCAAGTTGTATGTTGTATGGATTACAATTTTAAGAATGGTATCAGTTTTATTGTTAAAGTTATTAAAATCTGTCAGTATCATGTAATTATTGTGTAAATTACTTTATTACTATTAATTACTTCTCATTAAGTGTACTATTGTACATTATTGTACATTAATATACGCAAATATACATATACATGTTTTTATGCTGAATATACTATATATGTTTGTAAATGTCGATCGTCCAGGTTGGTATATTCCTGAGAAGGACTGTTTTTGTTGTTGTTTCTTAGTTTCTCTTAGTTATTTAGTTTCTTTTTTGTTTTTAGAAAAATCTATGATTGGTCACAAAGGGCAACCTCCATCCCTGTCCTGAAATCAACCTTAGACTACATGATATGTTCATTGTGTCATGTGATCACACCTTACTTTGCACATATGTTGAATCTTATTGGTCCATTCATTGACGAAAGACATTGTAAAGCTGATGAATCCGCTCTAACGTCGTTGGCAAGGGCTTCAAATTCTTCCCAGGGGGCTACGGATTTACTCGAATCACGGATACTTCAAAATGTTGTGGAAAACGTTTCAAGGATTTGTAGAAAGTTCCTGAAAGGTTCCAAAATAGTATCGTCAAAGACAACTGATGAAGAAGCGATGCTGCAGACGTCTTCAGACAATCTTCAAAAAATGCTGGGATTTTTAACATTATGTTTAAATAATCATAAATTGAAAACGTGGTTGGGAAAAGATGAAGGCAGCTCATTTTGGCAGCCACTCATCAGCTTTTTGACTGAGTGTCGTTTCAGCGTTTCTTCTCGTGTTTCCGGACTGGAATCATTACCAATGAGAGCGCGTGTGCTTGCAAGTCTACAAACAACTTCTGTACGATACCTCAAGACTTGTGTGTGTAATCATGCTAAGAATCAGCAGAATCTCGCTCGTGTATTGTACGAATTACTTGCGACAGTTGATAGTGATATCGCGGAGAAAACTTTGTCTGGGTTTCTGAGAAGGCTTGTTCTAGAATTATTACTTGATGAAGATTCCGTTACTATGGCAGTTACACTCTCAAGTATGACATCACAAAGGTTTGAGACATCATCAGGACTTGCATCCCAATCTCCTCTTTGGCATCCCAGATTTGGTGCATCAAATTCATGCAAGCTTCTCAGTGTCCGTGTAAACAGGAAAGTTCATGAAGTGTTACATAAATTTACCGTTGACCCTATGCAACTTTTCTCGACTATATCGACGGGAACAACCGAATCAACAGGAAAATCATCCGAAAGTTTTCACGAAATTGATAAAATATTGGAATTTGATGCTGATCTCTCGCAACAAGAGACTTTTTCTCTAGCTTCTTCTGCCATCAACGTCAAAAATAGACGTGCTAAACATAGTGACAAGACGGAAAAGGGGCCTGGTAGTGAGTGTAACCAAGCATCTACATCATCATCAGAGGTAAAAAACTTCAATGAGAACATTGTTTGTTGTGTAGATGGACCACTAGCTGGTAAACCACTGCCCAAAGATACGACAATCTCACAAATTGTGCAAACGTTAGTTGAACACGGTCAGGGAATGGGAACGGTTTGTCTCAGATTTGAGATTAAATCCAAGATGGAGTGTAGATCACAAGATGTATCAAACGACAATGTATCTTCTAAGTCTGTGTCAACATTGCTTGAAAATTTTCTGAACTTGGTGGCCTTTCTTTAATTGCAAAACATCTTCCTCCTCGGTTTACGCTTGACATACGATCCGATTCTCGTCGCTTGGCAACACCCACGTATAATCCTACTGTAACGACTTCACTCGTTCCAGGTCACTCGCTCATGGGATTTACTATGTTTCTTCGATTACCTGGGTATGCAAAGATATTATTGGCAAATCAACAAAATGCCTGTTACATGTTGAAGTTGATATTAGGAGTGGATAGTTTCAATGATGGAGGTATGTGCCATGTAACACATTATCTTCTACATTTCTTGGTATTTAGTGATGAATATTAAATATTTATATACATATTTTTAGCCATTATAGCTAACCCAACAGCTTTACCAACTTTACCGTTCACCATACTGCAATGTTTGATGACATCTCATCTTGTTACGACAACAACTGGTATCGCCATTCGTCAGACAGCGTTAGATATTGGTGTTGTGCACTTTTTACTTACATGTTTGGGATTGCTGAGTCATCACAAACCGCGAAATAATGACAGACAATATGAAGCAACTATGGAAGCACTTAACACTTTTAATAACAGGTATGTTTCATTTGATGGGAAGGTAAAGGGAACACTTTTTGTAGGCCAAAATGTTCGCCACACATCTTTAAAATTTTTGTTATTTGACGATGTCTGCCATGAAATCAATTAACACATTTTATGTACACCTAATAAATAAACAGGCTTGACAACTCATTTTTACACAGGATAGCGTTTTCTCTTGCACCAAAAATTACATCGGTAATGCAATATCACCTTTGTAATTTAATGTTACCTCAGCAACACCATAATATGAAGAGATTACTTTATTGCTTTATTTTATCTTCTTTATGTACATGTTGAGTTGAAATGATACTTTGTAGTGACAATATGACACGAGCTCAATCCAGTGGTAGAACTTCAAATAAGCAATATTGGGCGAAGGGGACTGGGTTCGGAACAGGATCTACGTCATCAGGATGGGATATCGAAGAAGCATTGGTGAAACAGAAAAACGAGGAGGAGCATATCATATCTATACTTCATGTTAGTTTTTAAACATGTTTTATAGATCTGCAACACATTAAATGTTTTCATGAATTTTATTATATATTTTTTAAGGTTTTGGCCAGTTTTATCTTTCCTCTTGGCGTTAATGTAGATAATGTGGCATCGTTTGATGATATTTTATTGGATGCATCAGACAATAACATTACCGATGTTATTTCGTCTCTTCCAAGTATTTTTATGAACTCGTGTCTTATTCCAACTTTGGCTTCGTATTTAAGAAACGATTCAGGTAGGTTCTGTATAAATTGTGATGTTTAATGCCTGTATTCTAAAAGCACGCTCACATAAATGATTAAAAGAGAGGCATTTTCATTCCACTGATTCTTGATTTGAGATATTTTAGCAAAAATCTTGTCATTGATTAAAGGGGGGTGATTTCTTTTCGCAATCAATTCAATTATTGTGTGAGAGCGAGCTTTTTAAACACGGATGTAGTAGTTTTTTGTAAAATAAAATACTTTCTGTGTATACTTACTTTACATATGATAATACAAATGACGTAATATCCAAGGGGAGGCTTTCGGGTTAACCATCTTTTTCCTTGTTCAATCACTAACTATAACTTTGTTAACCTGACAATGTTTTGTATGATTTTCAGTTCTTGACATGGCTCGACATGTCCCATTATATCGAGCTGTTCTCTGTCTTGTGAGATCTCTCGCTGTTTGTTCCGATTTCGTTCCTGTTTTACATCCGGGCTATAACATCACCAAGGAAACTACTGGTGATGATTCGTCATCGCTCTGTAGCCTGCTGACCAAGATGAAACTGTGCGTGGACACATATGGATCGCGATTAAGGTGTTTATTATGACGCATGTGTACGTTATTAATATGTATATTTCTAATGAAGGACCTTGCTTTATATAATGTTTATGACTTCCAAAATACTTTTTCGGACATTTATTTACACAAGGAAGACAATTGTGCAAAGTATATTTAAATGTATTCATAGTCAAAGCAAAGGATATAGAATATATTTATAGCAAGGTTTGTTTACTTTTGATTAGGTATTCTGAAAAAGTGGAAGCATCATTACTTGGTAGTGTCAAAGCTGAGGATGTAGAGAACGAAAGTTTATCCTTACTCATCCCGGATATACAAGCTACATCATTGTTGGTACAAAAAGCTGTTGATAGATACCGCTGGAAACATGTGACGAATGAAGGCTCATATGTTGTGGGTGAGTCCCAAAGCCAAGTACCTGGAAAGAAATTACAGAACACTGAGGAGAGATATACATCAACAATGATGGCAATACAATTTGGTGAGACTAATTATTTTTAAATTATGTTTGAGACAGATTAAGATTAGTGATAAAGATTTTAGAAACAAATATACGATAGATTGTTTAATGAAACTTTGTCAAGTATTTTGAAAAAACGAGTTTAAGACCATCTCTAGGATTTATATTCAATGGAATATTTTTTTGTAGATACATACACAATCGTCACAGAAGGCACATATGGCAAAGCAAATTTTACAATTCCCTATCACTTTTCAAGTTCTGTAAAATCTGCTACTTCTTCTGGTCAACGTGTGAACGCTGGTCGTGCGAGACGACTGGCTCAAGAGATTGCCTCTTTATCCACATCACTGCCTCTCTCTTACAGTTCTAGTGTGTTTGTAAGATGTGACGAAGAAAGATTGGACATTATGAAGGTATTTATGGAATGGAAATGTTTACTGCACTAAACTTTGCAAAATGGATGAGTTTCACTTTAGAACGAAGGCAATGGCGAGTGGTGATAAATTATTACTACTTCAAATGCTTTGATTTCTCTCAATTTAAGACCTTGTAATGTCTCATTAAATATTTTTGTATCACAACATAAACAAGTGTTTTGGATAAGAAATTTAAAACAGTGTGAGATCCAAGAAGTATTTTTTTACCAATATGTCGTAAAACAGCCTACCTTTCTATCAAAATCTACGTTTCTCCAACAAAGAAACTGGGCAAAATTTGGAAGTCATCTAATAAACTTTTTCCGTTTATTTTTCTCAAATAGGTGTTGATAACTGGACCAGCTGACACTCCGTACGCTAACGGATGTTTTGAGTTTGATGTTTATTTTCCACCGGATTATCCGTCCAGTCCGATGCAGATAAGTTTTGAAACGACTGGAAATCATCGAATTCGATTCAATCCCAATCTTTATAATGACGGAAAGGTACATTGTAGAACATTATGGCTTGCAGATGATGTGAATTGAATTCTAGCTAACACAACTCCTGCATTCCGTTTTTATATATTACTTAAGCATAAAGTTAGTTGTGCATGTTATTCAAGAGAACATTATAGATAATAACATTTATATGTAGGTTTGTCTTAGTATTCTTAATACGTGGCACGGTAGACCTGAAGAAAAATGGAATTCACAAACTTCCAGCTTTTTACAGGTTTGGATTAAAAATAATTGTTTGGAACTATGAAATCCGTTAAAATCAAGAACTTTGATTGATTAGTTGTGTATTTTCTATGCATTTTTTTCCACCGCGAGCTTTCTTTTTATTTTTCTAGGTTCTTGTATCTATCCAATCTTTGATTTTGGTACCGGAACCTTACTTTAATGAACCTGGCTATGAGAGATCACGAGGTACACTCTCGGGGACTGTAAACTCGCGTGAATATGACGCAAACATTAGACAAGCTACGGTGAAATGGGCGATGTTAGAACCTTTAAAAAACCCTTGTCCTTGTTTTAAGCAGGTTCGTTGTTGAATCATGACTTTAAAATTATCATTTTTATTTTCGTACTGAGCCTATTAATTTTCAATCACTTAAAACTAAAACAAGTCACTGGAGTATTTAACGATAGTGAATGTAACTTTATAGGTAATTGAAAGACATTTCTTCATAAAAAAAGATGAAGTATTTGAGCAATGTAACAGATGGATTAAAGAATTGGAGACGTGGTCCAAAGAAAAAAGAACTATGCGCTCAATAAACCATCATCTTGAGTCGTTACGACGATATACAACCCAGTTACATGATGAAATTTCAAAACTTTCTGAAGATTGTTTGTTTACACCAGACGATGAAGTCAACCCTGAGTAATATAAATCACCGCACATTATGATCTTGTGATCTATTTGATCCTATACCGCAGTAAGCAAGACGGTAGATAAACCATTTCTCTACCGTGAAAAAGAAAATTCGCATGATTTTAAAGCAACGTGAAGTTGAACAAGGGAATTTTAAAGGGGAACTGACTTACACAGAAGCCCACTTCTTTAACAGATAATTAAATTGAAATGTTGAACATGTTAGTATTTGAAATCAATCATTAAATGAAAACTAAGTTTGAAAATATCTACCTATGAGTTTATCGACCCGAGTGCCCCTTTGATCCACTTTGATTCACCCATATTACCCCAACTTGCATTAATTGGCCTACCCATATTATTACACCTTAAATTCAGGTAAGTTTGTCTTATCGACGTATACATTATGACCATCATGAGAAGACTTAAAGTGTACTCTGCAATCATCGTATGTACGGATATAGTATTGTGAGAAGAGTACTCTAAGGAATGTCATTGATGAGGGATAGTACATGGACCAACAGAGAATGTGCCTGATTCTCATTGGTTGTCAGTCAGAAAAATGGTTAGTTAGTTACCAGGTCACTCGGTCACTTCACCAACGGCGCCAAAATCAATATGGTGGTATGACGATGTATCATGAAATGAATTATTTGGTTTTTCATGTTTTTCTCCTCGTCATTTTGACACATGTTGTAAAGCAATGAAACATTATTTCATAGAAAAGTGTTTGTATTGAAGTGAATATGAACAGACAAGCTCCAAAACCAAACAAACGAAACAGAAAAAAGACCGTTTTGAAAGAATGTCCAAATCCCTTATTTCTTAAATGGTTGGAACGTTGGAGGGATGAAGCAAAAGTAAACGATTCAAAACTGCAATATGTCTACAATAAGGTAAGAAATTTAGAGTTCAACTTTGGGCAATTATTGAAGGAAGTTGCGGATATTAACGATCATCGTTGTGGCACAATTGTTATTTAATAATGTTCAAATTTAATTTGTATGCGGTGTGTTTATTTTTACAAACTAATATATAAATTCAATTTGTATCCAGGCTATTAGTTCTTTGAAGAAGTATCCATTACCTTTGGAAAGTGGCAAAGAAGCAACAATCCTGGATGGTGTTGGTAAGTATGATATATAATATAATTATATGTAAAGTATATATAACATTGTCTGCACAAAAAATTATTTTTGCCAAGAAAAGTGATACCATCGAAAACATCTTATCTGTGTTAATGCAGAGATGTTAAAAAGATATGCTAATATGGATTTATTATTCACAATGAATTGAAAAAAGATGAACATTATGTAGTCAATAGTGATGGAAGTGTTTTTATGTTCATATTTTAAGGACCTAATATCGCAAAGCGTCTAGATGAAGAATTAAAGAAACATAAACAAAATGTTCAAAATACAGTTGATGGTATGTCAACTGTACTAGTTTTATGATTATCATACATAAGAAAAATGTTCTGTTGAAATATCAATTGTTTATCTTAGTTGCCTTAAGTACATGTGATGAAGAAATTGTCAGTGATGTTAAATTTCCTGATTGGAGGGTACCACCTCCTTTTGACGATGTCAATGTAATAAACTTTAATGGTTTTACTGGAACAACTGTTGAACCTCTGCCTAAAAAGGTTTTTTAGTTATTCCTTCTTTGTTGTAGCCTAAAATCGTGCATTGACTTTGTATTTTGTATTTGTAAATTATGTGTAATGATGAAGTTCATGAAGTTCATGTCAAATATAGACCATATATTAATTACAAAAATGGTTTTTGTTTTCTAGAAAAGAAAATCAACTTCAAGAGAGTACATTCCTGTGTACAGAAGTGGTCCATATGCAATAATGTTAGCTTTGTTGAAAGCCAGCCAGGTGGACTATATTAATACATTTCTTAATTATTCACAGATTAACAGAATACCTGCCATCATACTACCTATGTCAAAACCAAACATGTTCTGTTACAATTTACCAATCAAAGAGGTGTATCTTGAACTTAACTTTTAAATGTGGATAAAATGAAACAATTTTTTATCTACACCTATCAGTAGATTTTAAAAAATATATATTTATTTAATTAATTTTTTTTTGTTTCCATCATGAAGAGAATTGGCAACAAAGGATATCTGACAAAGTTAGAGTTACAGCAACAGGCCCAGCCATACACGGAAACATCATTTACTGTGGTCAGTTAGGATTGTCATTTTGTCTATTTAAACTTTTCTTGACATGAAATATTCTGCATGTTTATGTCTATATATATATTGTTACATACTTTTTGAGAGATAATAATGTTGAAAATCTTGTTCCAAATTATTCATAAAATTGCTGATATTTGAGTTTCAATTTACATGTGAGAATTTTAAATATTGCAACCTTTCATATTCTTAGCCAGAGCCTGATTCTTACTACACAGCTTGGTCATCTATGTCGACTTTGTTAAAGAAAAGATTTGTCTCAAAATCAGGCAATCCAGCTAGGTACTATGGATCCTAAATAAAGTCTTTTTAATTTGATTTTTTGTTTGCTGTACACTTTTTTATATCTTAAATCTTGATCATTCAGAAAATGAAAACTTTACAAAATTTCAAATTTAAACACAGATCATCTATGTATTTCGTATTGTGATACCTACAGTACAATATATATAGAGAGATGTACTGACTCACTACAATGATAACAACATTTGAAGATTACTGTATCTTTTTTAGATTTTCACTGACTGACGCTGGTTTTGTTCTTGCTAACACATTAACTAAAGCATCAGAAACCGAAGATATTGCAAGATCACCAACATCTCCAACATCTCTTCATATTTTGCCACCTGCAACAAGCGTTGATTCCAAAACCCTTACAAACAACAATTCTTCTACTAAGGCGGACACGAAACAATCCTCTATTGTAGTTTCCTCACAGAAAACAGACAGCTGTCTTACTTCAAATTCTCTTTTAGCTTCAAATAATCAAATCTCATCTAAAGCTTCCGACAAAAAAGTTGACACTGAAGTATTGCCTATTCAATTGGGGTAAATCTGTATACAGTAAACCTGGATATTTTATATTGCATTTGATTCACAATTCTCGAGTTTACGTACAATTATAAGTTAAAAATTTCGTCTTTTAATTTTAATATTATCGTTACTGTCATGGCATGTAACTCATGATAAATAAAGTATTTCATGCTCTAACAAACTCAAGCATGGACTCCATGCTCTAACAAACTCAAGCATGGACTCCATGCTCTAACAAACTCAAGCATAGACTTTTGATTATAATTGTATGATTGAGTTTATGAATCAATTTTTAGATCACTGAAGTTTTGGTACGTCAATAGTGACGGAGATTGTGTGGATCATAAGGATAAAGCTGCTGTTATTGTTGATGGTAATTTATATTTTTGTTATTGTTTCATCCTTCACGTTCTCCATCATATCATCAACTGGGATCTTCATGACTAATTAGAGAAATAAGAATTGACACAGAAAAATGTCTAGTTTAGTTTTACTTCATTAATGTAGACTTTAAAATCTGCTTGCTGCTTTAACTGAAAGTATATTCACAAAATCATTTGTCATTCATACCAAGCACAATCAGACCCACGTTTTATTCCAATGAATCTATAAAATGAATGGTTTGAATTAACGTTAATTTTCATTCTTACGAACCATTTTATTTTTTTTTTCAAGACGAATTATCATTTGGCTTTTTGATAAAATGTCGAAAATCTCAACTTGATGCCACTAAAGTGAAGTATAAGGTTGACGAATCCAGGTAACTGTATTTGGTTTCAATGTTATATTAAACTGCTCTCGGTAAGAAAGATATTATAGAACAATTTGAAAACGTTACGATAACTACGTAATTTTCATCTGAAAAGTTCAATTAACATATACATAAATATAGCAGGGTTTTGCTCTTGTGTCTTTTTACTTATTGACTTTCATTGTTAATTACAACTGTACCTGTGTAAATCATCATTAAAGATGTTGTAACCCAAGAAAACTTCACTTTAAATAACTTTGTTTTCATGACAAAATTTCTTCGTTTTCCTTACGATTTACTAGACCTGGAAAAAATGGCGATGTTTTTGCATACATAGAAAGCCAAAGCATTCAACAATTATCACAATCCCTTCAAAAACCTCGTAATACAAATAAAGTTTCTAGCAGTGGTAAATGAATTGATAAAGACAGATTTTTATGTATTCTATATGACTTATATTCGTATGATATGTTTGCAGGAAAGATATCTGAGTCGACAACTGTTTCTGATGACGATTATGATAGTGACCATGAAATATGGATGAAGCCTTTATTTGAAAGACTTGTAGCAACAAATAAAGATGTTGTGGTAATGACTTTCATAATGTTATTTATATTTAATTGATCTCTGGATAATCTACTATAAATCTTCCGTGAATAAAACTCAAGAGTCGTCATCAGATCACTACTGATGAAGACACTAGACTGGAGTATATAAGAACTCAAGATTCAACATCAGATCACTCCTGATGAAGACACTAGAATGGAGTATATAAAAACTAAAGATTCAACATCACATCACTCCTAATGAAGACACTAGACTGGAAGATACAAGAACTCAAGATTCATCATCAGATCACTCCTAATGAAGACACTAGACTGGAGTATATAAGAACTCAAGATTCATCATCAGATCACTCCTAATGAAGACACTAGACTGGAAGATACAAGAAGTGAAGCTACCATTACAGTCGAGGGATACATTAGTACGTTTCTCTTAATACGAACGTTTTTATTTAGACTTCAATTCTTCCTGCAAATTCAACAGCGATCTCAAAGACGACAAAAGATGAACTAGATGACATAAACATTATTGAGCGTCCACAAAAACGTTTTTTATCAACACCGTTGTACGGCTCAAAAAGTACGACAAGCAAACAACATTTGTCGTCAACGACTGACTTTGTCGAATCTTATTCAAGATCAATAGAAAACGATGTGGTCTCAAAAGTACGCAATCATCCAAACGATAAAATTTCTCAAAATCAATCTGTTCTGTCTCCGTTTAAGGAAATAAGTTTTACTTTACCATCGTCTTCATCCGTCGTTGAGCAAACTGAAACATTAACTGTGACAAACGAAAGGTTTGTTATCATCATTGCAATTTAATTGATTGAAATTCGTGGCTCTATTTTATTTTGTTTGCAACTAGAAATTGTCTAGACAACTTCGAGAAGGCAATGGTGCCTCTATTCGAGCTCAAACCCGGTAAGATTTTCAAATGATAAAGCGCAAGTTTCATTTGTGTTAACTTTTTTTATAGAGCTATCATACTAAGGCCGGTTGCACGAATGACGAATAGCGCTATCCATTGGACAGTAATATTTTTGAATGCTTCAAAGATCTCTTAAAGGGAAAAAAGCTACGAATTGAACTGTACAATTGATGAAATACAACATTGGCACTAGAGTTACAAAGTTTCATAATCGTAAAGAAAATACAATCACTTTTGAAAAGTTAGAAAAATTACTATGGATGGATAACGCTATCCAGACTAGACTTAGATTTCAGAAGGCAATTATGTTGGATTACATCAAATTAGACACTAGACTGGAAGATGTAAGAACTCGAGATTTCACAGGAGATCACTCGTGATGAAGACACTAGACTGGAGTGTATAAGAACTCAAGATTCAACATCAGATCACTCCTGATGAAGGCACTAGACTGGAGTATATAAAAACTCAAGATTCAACATCAGATCACTCCTGATGAAGGCACTAGACTGGAGTATATAAGAACTCAAGATTCAACATCAGATCACTCCTGATGAAGACAATAGACTGGAGTATATAAGAACTAAAGATTCAACAAAACTAATTCTTTTCTTGCAGGAAACTTTGAAATTATTCTTTGCGTTGACCACACTGAAACAACTGGAGGGTGAATATCGATTTACAGTTCTTTTCTGTTAAAAAATAGTCTGTGTTATTAAAGCATATTTTTCATAAATATTGATGTTTAAGTTCAAAAACATCTCGAAAAGAGGAAATGGTTAAAGAACTTCAAAAGAATGGCAAGTTTTTGCTTTTTATTTACATATTTCTACATGTTAATTTGCCAAGTTTGTTGATTTATGTTATATGTTGTGTTTAATACTTTAGGTGTTCATTTTGATGTTTATGTTAGTATGTTGTGTTTAATACTTTAGGTGTTCATTTTGATGTTTATGTTAGTATGTTGTGTTTAATACTTTAGGTGTTCATTTTGATGTTTATGTTAGTATGTTTTGCTTAATACTTTAGGTGTTCATTTTGATGTTTATGTTAGTATGTTGTGTTTAATACTTTAGGTGTTCATTTTGATGTTTATGTTAGTATGTTTTGTAATACTTTAGGTGTTCATTTTGATGTTTATGTTAGTATGTTGTGTTTAATACTTTAGGTGTTCATTTTGATGTTTATGTTAGTATGTTGTGTTTAATACTTTAGGTGTTCATTTTGATGTTTATGTTAGTATGTTGTTTTAATACTTTAGGTGTTCATTTTGATGTTTATGTTAGTATGTTGTGTTTAATACTTTAGGTGTTCATTTTGATGTTTATGGTAGTATGTTGTGCTTAATACTTTAGGTGTTCATTTTGATGTTTATGTTAGTATGTTGTGTTTAATACTTTAGGTGTTCATTTTGATGTTTATGTTAGTATGTTGTGTTTAATACTTTAGGTGTTCATTTTGATGTTTATGTTAGTATGTTGTGTTTAATACTTTAGGTGTGCACTTTGATGTTTATGTTAGTATGTTGTGTTTAATACTTTAGGTGTTCATTTTGATGTTTATGTTAGTATGTTGTGTTTAATACTTTAGGTGTTCATTTTGATGTTTATGTTAGTATGTTGTGTTTAATACTTTAGGTGTTCATTTTGATGTTTATGTTAGTATGTTGTGTTTAATACTTTAGGTGTGCACTTTGATGTGCGGAAATTAAACGTTGGTGACTTTCTTTGGATCGCTCGTGAAAAACCTTACCTTTACCTGGTTTGTTAAGAACTAACCTTTACTTTGTTTGTGTTGTCCATGAGAAACTGATTGATCTCTTTTTTTTGAAAATTTTCATCTCAGGTCAGTTGACTCTGCCTGAAAGAAGAGAGTTGGTACTTGATTATATTGTCGAAAGAAAACGTATGGATGATTTATGTAGGAGCATTAAAGATGGACGCTTTAAGGAACAGAAGGTATTTATTTATATTTTTGCCATTGTATTTGATTATTTACTATCAAACTATTTTGTTGTCTGATTTCCGTTATTTTGAAGATGATTATAGAACTGTACGTTGGATGAATGTATCGGTCATATTGTTACCTGTTATCCTAAATTGTTACCTGTTACTCGCTATAGCAACCTGTTATCCTATATTATTACCTGATGTCATATTTTGTTTGTTTTTATCGTAACCTTTAACTTGCTAATCTAATACTTTGTATAATATTATTTATTCTGGTATTTTTACATAGTTTCGATTGTTGAAATCGGGTTTGCGTAATCCTGTGTATCTTGTAGAAGATTTTGGTTCAATGAATTTCATGTCAATGCCAGTTAAGACTTTAGAACAAGCAATCGTCAATACTCAGGTTAAATGTGCTGTGTATTTATTAAATTTGGTAAAATTTTGAAAGGACACTTTTTGTAATCAAATATACAATTATTTGAAGCTATCATATGTTCCTCAATCAGTTGCATTTAGACGTTACGTAAACAATCAAATGACGTACCATGTGTATTTACAATGACGTACATTTTGTCTTCCTAAAGATTGGTGAAGATTTTTTTGTTAAAAGAACGCGAGACATCAAAGAATCTGCTGGATATCTTACATTAATGACCAGATATCTACAGAACATTTATGAGGTGATAGAATTTTTCTAATGATTACATTTTTACATAGTTATTCTCATAAGCTCATATAATGTTTTTACTTTAAATATATGAATAAAACAGAAACAAACATTGAAAGCAATAAAGAAAGAGAACAAGGAGTTTGTAAAAGTTGACGATGATGATGTGAATGTTTATTTTATGACTTTTACTGAACTTAATGATATCTCTATTAAAAATAAAGTGAGTATTGTTTAAAGAAACATAGTCGTTTACATTGTTTTTTAAAATGTTCTTTTTTTGACTCCTTTCTCTGCGTTCTTCATTTCGTAAATTAAAATACAGTGCTTCTGTCACAAAATAAGTGGATTATTAATCTTGGATATTTTTTGTAGATACTGACTGTTGGAGAATTGTTTGGTAAACAATTGTTGCAGATTCCTGGTATAGCTGTAGAGAAAGCTCTTGGAATATTAAAACATTATCCAACATTTATAGAGTAAGAAATATGTTTGTAACTTTTTGTATAAATTATCTTTGTAAATGGTTATATTTAGGGTTCATTTAACGTAGGGGCGAATTGATATTCAGTATGCATATTTTAAAATAACAACGTGGATATTTTGCGATTTTATAAGCCTTTTGAGTGCAAACTATTTGCCCAATATTGATTTGTTGAAATAGGTTTGCTCATGTTAAAAATTCACATATTTCAATGCACGTTCGAATATTTAAATTAAGCCAAGATTAAGAAAAACTGATTCATATTTAAGACGTTGTGAGAAGGAGGCACATTTTTATGAATTTTATTTATGTTTAGTCTTTTGGAAGCTTATGAAAAGCAAACGAGTGAGAAAATGAAAGAGGACATGCTCAGTGATATTAAGTTTGGCAAAACGCAAAGGTAATACTAAACAATGTAATGTAATGTCAACTGACTTCTTGCGGAATAGAATTCCAAATGTGCGCCAAAGCTTTGGTCATACTTTTAATACGCGGGTCGGTAAATAAAAGCTTTCATACTGTTAGTACGGAGGGGTCAGTAGACAAAGGATTTCATACTGTTAGTACGGAGGGGTCAGTAGACAAAGGATTTCATACTGTTAGTACGTGGGGTCAGTAGACAAAGGATTTCATACTGTTAGTACGGAGGGGTCTGTAGACAAAGGATTTCATACTGTTAGTACGGAGGGTCAGTACACAAAGGATTTCATACTGTTAGTACGGAGGGGTCAGTACACAAAGGATTTCATACTATTAGTACGGAGGGGTCAGTAGACAAAGGATTTCATACTGTTAGTACGGAGGGTCAGTACACAAAGGATTTCATACTGTTAGTACGGAGGGTCAGTAGACAAAGGATTTCATACTGTTAGTACGGAGGGTCTGTAGACAAAGGATTTCATACTGTTAGTACGGAGGGGTCAGTACACAAAGGATTTCATACTGTTAGTACGGAGGGTCAGTAACAAAGGATTTCATACTGTTAGTACGGAGGGTCTGTAGACAAAGGATTTCATACTGTTAGTACGGAGGGTCAGTACACAAAGGATTTCATACTGTTAGTACGGAGGGGTCAGTACACAAAGGATTTCATACTGTTAGTACGGAGGGTCAGTACACAAAGGATTTCATACTGTTAGTACGGAGGGTCAGTACACAAAGGATTTCATACTGTTAGTACGAAGGGGTCAGTTGACAAAGGATTTGATACTGTTAGTACGGGGGTCAGTAGACAAAATATTTCATACTGTTAGCACGGGGGGTCAGTAGACAAAGGTCACTAGAAATATCACGAAGTTCATAATTTGTCTTTTCGCTTTATACGTAAACATTGGAGAGTGACTTAGTCACTTAGGATCCATATTATTCAATAATTTACACATTAACCTCTCTATCCCCCTTTTTTCTTTCTTTCTATTTTACGAGGCTTTTAATCGTTTGTTTTGAACCAATTAACATAAACTCTGTTTTAGCTACGTGTAGGCTAAGTTTTATTAGCTACAGTGGACCCCTTACGGCTACCCAGTTAATACGTTCACCCCGTTAATACTGCCACTTTTTATTATTCAGGCGAAACACTTTTGTATTTTATAATAAAGTTACCTTTTATACGGTCAGCAGTCTAGGTATTCTTTCATAAAGACTGTGGGGTAGATAATTATCATATGACGGAAAAAATAGAGGTTCTAAGGCAGAGCCTTGTGGAACGCCACATTTAATGAATTCTACAGATGACGAAACATCATGTGTTTGGCATACTTGTCTTTTATTGAAAAGACAATATTTGAGAAAACCAAGAGCTTGTCTTTTTACTCCATACCAGAACACAAGATTGAATATTTTTTTATCGTTGTATATATACCACTCTTTTGTAACTTTTTACTCATAAACTTAACTTGTAACATATAACTTAACATAACTATGTGCTTCAACTTTCATCTTTTCATTGTAGGAAAATTGGACAATCAGTAAGCAAAACTATGTATCAACTTTACTGTACAAAAGGAGCTCTTTCCTGAAATTATTTCAGACAATTTCTACCTCACTAGATAGAAAAGATAAGTCAATATATATTTTAATGAAATATAAACAGATTATAAATAATATTTTATAAATTTAACACCATTTTATGTAATACATTTTGTTTTTGTTTTAAACAATCTTTTTTCTAAATCTTGTTTTCTCTTTCAATATCAATAGCATTACCCAAGTGAAATAAATCACATTCTTGTGCCATTTGATCAGTTATTTTTTTAAATAATTGTTTTTCACTTAACAAGTTCAGATGATCTGGCTGTGTATGCAATAAATTACATGGTTGACGAGAAGATACCTGGGTCTTTTTTATATAATGCTTGTTTGAGCTGTTACTTTCCTGTTCACTTGGAAATTTTAGGCAACGTAAAAAAGTATCCCAAAGAAGGTTCAAGAATTCAAAATAAAAAAAACCTTTAGCGTGGTGGTATGTACTTGTAACCTACAAATGTAGCAAATGCATTTACATTGAAAACCCGTTCACTGAGTTTTACTGTTAGGGTTAGGGTCAAGTTTATATTACACGTGTATGAGTGGACGGGTATTCTGCATTCGCCTACGAGGCCTACCCTAAGACTAGCTGAGTATTCCTTGTAACTCATACTTCAGTATTTCATCAGTAAAAACACAGAATTTACCTTTCTTTGTACAACGTTTAATTGACTAATTTTCCGTTGTCAACATTTCTTTAATTGACGTCATGACTAAAATTTTTTTATTGTGATTGGCTCCTTAGGAGCATGTCACCTTTCACAAAGACAATAAGTAATCCTTCTATTCGTTTGAATAAAAAAATTTCATTAGAATCTTCAGACATTTTTGCGTTTTAATGTCGTTATGCAAAGTTACGATGCATGATATTGTTGGTTAAGATTCATAAGACTATGATTAAATTAGAAACTAGACTTTAATTTTGTCCACATATTTATCGAATCTTGCAGTCAAGTCTTGTTAGGTTAAGGTTAGGATATGGTTTAAGTGCATTTTGGCTGACGTCACCAACATCTTAATGTCCAAAATCATCATTTGTTATTTAATAAGTTGAATAAATTTAATTAATGATTTGCGTAATATCGCAGAGAAATGGTCCACTGTCGCTTGCATTTTACGTATATTAATAAAGGGAGGGAATAGTTCTTTTGTTTGGCAACAATACGTTTTTTTTAAAAATTAGATTTGATAGACATTGGGTAATTTGTTCAAGTACGAACAATCAATGTTAAACAATCGTGGGGGAGAAATACATATAATGACATGCTTAACTCCATGTATAAAGACACAATTCATTTCATGTATAGCCAGTATTACCACATAAACGACGAAGCATCAAGGAAAGCAGATGTTTTTCATATGAGATGAAACAAGACTATACTCTTAGACGACAAGTATAAAGATTTGTGATTGAATGAAAATGGATCCCACGCTTGGAAACTACAAATGTAAGTGACTACACTGACGAGAAATGATTATTTGCTCAAAAGATTTGTCTCTGTTGAGATTCTAGTAAAAATTTCAAGGGTTTTTATAGATGCTACTGATATTTGGTTTGTTTCTTCGATGTCACATTAGTCATTACTACGCAATGAATACAAATACACTAAATTTGCCATCTGTTTCCAACGCACTATGTTGTTGAGTGTATAGAAGTACAGTTTTCACAGATTATGGAGTAGACCTTCAACGAACAAGAACCGTTATTTTCTTTTGCTCGAAATTGTACAACCAAGCAAGACATGACTGGAAGTTTCAATTGATATTTGGACAAAATTAAAGTCTAGTTTCTAAATTTATTATCGTCTCATGAATCTTAACCAACAATATCATGGATCGTTACTTTGCATAACGACATTAAAACGCAAAAATATCTGAAGATTCTAATGAAATGTTTTATTTTAACGCATTGAAGGATTACTCATTGTCTTCGTGAAAGGTGACATGCTCATAAGGAGCCAATCACAATAAAAAATTTTAGTCATGACGTCAATTAAAGAAATGTTGACAACGGAAAATTAGTCAATTTAACGTTGTAGAAAGAAAGGTAAATTTTGTCTTTTTACTGACGAAGTACTGAAGTATGAGTTACATGGAATAATCAACTAGTCTTATGAAAGCTTTCACTGTAAAATGCTTTGTTTATGATGACATGTTAAGCCTTTGATCGTTTAAAACTTGTTGCATCGTTCAAACTCAACTGACTAAAGCTATCCGTGCGATATAGGTGAATGGTCTATCATTTGGATAGTCAAACAGAAAACATATTGTAATTTCCTCATTTTCAATATGTGTGATTAAGAATTTAAAAACGCAAACTAACGTCATATGAAGAGTTATTCATCATGAAATCTCATACAAGTGTTTCATATTTTCTTATATTGTAGATCCCACATGGATGGAGTTGTGAAAGTCCCTTTACCACCTGTGTCATTCACTTCAATTACTCTTACTAGTTTGTCATAACTCATGTGTCATGGTGATTCATGGCCAAGAATGTTAAGTTGTAGTTTAGATTCTCTGTTGATGTCAGTTGTTTGTTCATATAATGATGATGGGCCCCATTGTTATATGAACCCACCTAAAGGTGGTCAGCTGATACTCACAGAAGATCAACTCTGCACTAAGCATTCTTTGAGTGATGATATAACTGGGGTATTGAAGTGGTTCCTTTTCCTTCGCTTGAAGTTACCACGAAAGTCCATATGAATCCGTCCGTATGAATGGCCATTTCGATATCAGTGGCTGCTTTATTGGTTGACGATGTCTGTGACTTCGTGTATGGAATGGTGTAAACATGTTGAATGGACATTGCACAACGGCATATGTACGTATGAACGTTAACATTGAAATGATTGGACTATAAAGATGGACCATATTCTACGAAGATGAAAACAAGCGAGTGGAAAAACACGATCCATGTCTTGTGGTTTGTAAGTTGAGTAGATAAGTGTTGTATGAGTAACTGCATGAGATAGTTTAAAAGGATCCTGATGGTCTATTTTCCTAATTCGTTTATATTTTATTGACATTTACGAAAAAATGTCAATAAAAGATGTCACTTGTTGTGAGAAAATAGCTGGCTTTCACTCGCTACTTTTTACTTATTTTATTTTACGTTTATAAAGAAAATTGCAATGCTACAAGTAGGGTTTATTTAATTTCTAAGAAAAAAAATGTTAAAATATATTTATATGATACACACATAAAAATTGCGCGATAAAAAAAGAAAGAGACCGACCAAGTCTCCTGGAACAGACTGACCAGGAAAACGTTTGGAAATCAGGTATAAAAGTTTTGTTCTTTTCAATATATTTAATTTCTGTTTTTTTCATTAATTATACTGACGTTTATAACGTGTTTTTTATAGAGTAGCTATGTCTGTGGGCTTACTAACTGGACAATAAATGAACGACCAACAGAACCACCAAGAAACAAGCGTCTTTGTCACAACTTTTGTTATGCATGATGTTTAATAGTATAAAGCATTTTCAAATTCAACCGTTAAATATTTCCTTAAACGTAAATCTTCACAGTTTTTAAAATTTTCTCGGCAAAACACGTAAGTGAAAGCCAGCTATTAATGAAGGTCTTACTCAACATGGAAGTTTCGAATCGAGTTAAAATGCTATTAGTTTTTGTTTTTCGTCCATTTATTAAAATTTTTGTTAAGACTCTGCGCTTTTTCATTTTTTGTTCTCCACCAAAGTTTATGTTTCTTTTGTTCAAACACAAAATATTGGCTGTTTCGATAGGGTAGTCAGCCTGCTTTTTTGTCGCTCTGTAAATTTAAAAATTTTATACGACTGTAACGCACGATTTGAATACGCTGCATGTTAAAGTAGATCATCGGGATCATTGAAAACAACAAAAGTATGAAATATCTTAAAACTACAAAAATTTAAGGAAATTGTTCTAAATTTTTGATCATTTCTTTTATTCGGTCGGAGGGTTTTTTACCGGATCCGCCGGTTTTCCCTCCCATTTCGTTTTGTTTTGGGAAAAAAAACAGTGTCCACATTTGGGGCCAAGCGATGTCGACATTATTTATTGTAGCTATCATGAATATTCACGTTTCTTTTTCATTTCTTGGCTTTTGGGTATATCTCCCAAAACACTGATTTTATCAAATACGACATGCATTTTAAAAAAATAGGTACGTGCGTACATATTTGTAGCCTGCAAATATATAGCTACTGAATGAAGTAGATTTAATCAATATAATTAAAATAAATTTTATATTTAGTATTATATTTACGTCAAACTTTCTCAAGATTGGGAAATGCTCTTTGGTTTTATAGAACCCTGAAATCCGATAGTCCAAATAATTGCAACTGCTAGAATCCGATACTACAAGTGCTGAAGATCAAAGGTAAAGAATTCCAGAATATCTCAAACATTCTCTTGTTTTGTGTTGAAAAAAGCCTACACATAATAAAGTCACTAAATTGACAACGAGCACGTAACGTTAGACCACTTGACCATATTCGTTAAATCTCTTGGAAGTAACATCATTGCGTTTCTTTAGTTCACTACTGGAGTCAGTGTGGTTCTGCCTGAAATCAAGTTGAAAATCACATTCACCGACTTAAATGGTTTAGCCCGTCGGCGTGGTGTGCATACTTGTGGTCCTTTACTTGAAGTTCTAAGCACCTATCAGTGACACAATGAACTAGTTGAAGAGTTTTCATCCATTTGGCGAGAAAGTTCATGGACGTTCAATGTTGTCTAGTGGGGACGTTAAAGTCTTATCTTCACATCTAAATATCATACGACATTCAAATAATGTATTTTTTGTTTGTGGTGAAATCCATAATATACAGTTGAAAGAATTATTACACCAGCTGATAAATTCATTAATTGTATTATGTAGAAACTATAAATACCTGTTTTAGGTTAGTTTAAATAAATATACCTGCTTTAGTTTAATTAACCAAGGTTTGAAGCATCTTATGTTTTGTATTTTTCACGCTTATACAGTGTCTTCACAAAGTACTGTATAAATAATCACAAAACTGCAAATGTTACTGAAACGAAACACCGCCAATAATTTTAGTAAATTTCAAACGTATACAAAGTGAAACATTTTTTCAGAATATATATGGTTGGTTTGGTTGTGCTTTCGCTAACAAAATAAGCAGCCTAAATTTCGTCAGCGCAACGTCTATTTTCACCTCCGGAAGACGTGCCCAGCGTAACCAAAGAATATAATATGATGCGAATAATTCACACTTTTTAATATAGAGATCAAGGATATGTATAAAAACAAACTTTCATATGTGGTCATAGCACTTCTCCAGTTTTGCGGTGTTTCAAGTTCAAGCAAACGAGCATTTTATGAGAAATATTCTTGCAAATACCATTTTCATCATCTGTTATGCCAATGAAGATTTTCATAATCTTCTGCATCAACCGACTCAGGGAGAAAATAAAGCTGATTTAAAATACCTGATACTGTATGGTAGCGTGATTTGCGTACGCAATGAAAATTCCATCATTTTCTCACTAAGATACAGTCTTATATAGACTGCACGCAGGCTACACATTTAGTGAATTCCGCAGATGACGAAGCATCATGTGTTTGGCATACTTGTCTTTTATTGAAAAGACAATATTTGAGAAAACCAAGAGCTTGTCCTTTTCCACCATACCAGAATACTAGATTGAATATTTTTTATCGTTGTTTATATACCACTCTTTTGTAACTTTTTACTCATAAACCTAACTTGTAACATATAACTTAACATAACTATGTGCTTCAACTTTCATCTTTTCATTGTAGGAAAATTGGACAATCAGTAAGCAAAACTATGTATCAACTTTACTGTACAAAAGGAGCTCTTTCCTGAAATTATTTCAGACAATTTCTACCTCACTAGATAGAAAAGATAAGTCAATATATATTTTAATGAAATATAAACAGATTATAAATAATATTTTATAAATTTAACACCATTTTATGTAATACATTTTGTTTTGTTTTTGTTTTAAACAATCTTTTTTCTAAATCTTGTTTTCTCTTTCAATATCAATAGCATTACCCAAGTGAAATAAATCACATTCTTGTGCCATTTGATCAGTTATTTTTTTAAAAAATTGTTTTTCACTTAACAAGTTCAGATGATCTGGCTGTGTATGCAATAAATCACATTGTTGACGAGAAGATACCTGAGTCTTTTTTATATAATGCTTGTTTGAGCTGTCATTTTCCTGTTCACTTGGAAATTTTAGGCAACATAAAAAAGTATCCCAAAGAAGGTTCAAGAATTCAAAATAAAAGAACCTGTAGCGTAGTGATATGTACTTGTAACCTACAAATGTAGCAAATGGCCAAAATATGGTGTCTGGTATAAATGCTTTAAAATACACTCGATTCAATTCATTAAAACATTCTTCAAAAGTATCTCCTTTCATGTAGTTAAACACTGCAAAAAAACCAAGATAGTCTAAGGGTGTTACTGTTGTCTGGTCTAAAAAGACTTTCAACCATGTATGTGTTCGTTTAATATATTTATCAATCATTTTGTACCATAGATGCCAGAGTGGTGCTGTAGTGCAACCATATGTCATGACATGTCTTGTTCTCTCCTTGTCCAGGATTTTATGACCTTGAACGACTTTCTGAGCAATGTAATCTGATGTTCCAGCAAGCAGAGATGAGAGAGCAACGTTGGTTAGTAATGGATGACGTTTAAAACTTGCTTCGTTTATTCTTCGAAGAAGTAAAAGAACTGAAGATGAAGACATTGTTTTTTTCTCCTAACAACAGGGTGCATCAAGTTACCATGTTGACGTTGTTAGTATTGAAATAAATATTTTTTTCAATGTCAAAAAAATATGATGTTTTGGGGAAATGTTAAATTTTTAATATTTATAAAGGAATTTAGGAATGGAAGCACCATCTGCGTGTCAAGAAAAGGACTAAGTACGAAGCATGCGCAGTTATTGATTCTTTTTCATCGGAATTTTTGTTGCGCCATCACATGTAATAACGGTAAGAATTTATTACGAATATTTTCATCTTTTGTGAACGGTTTGCTGCAGTCTTGTTTAAGAAAAGAAAGAAATTGATATTGAGTATTTTTTGTTTGATTTAGTCGTTTTCAACTACAATGCAGCTGTTTATTCGTGGGTTGGAATTAAATGTTTTAAATATTGATGACAGGGAAGTTTCTGTACTTGATCTTAAACATGAAATTGCTCAACTTGAAGGCATTTCAGTTGATGATCAAGTGCTGTCTTATGGTGGCAAACCATTAGAAAATGAGAACACTCTTGTTTACTATGACATTAATGATTCGGCAACCTTGGATGTTACAGGACGAATTGTCGGCGGTAAGATTTGAGATGCATATTCCTTTTTATACTGTGAATAGATGGCAGATGAGTCTGTTTTGATCTGATTCTACACTGCCATCAAACAAAGACCATAAGGTTTTTCTCCATTGTTCAGTTATGCAATGATGAAGCACAAACATATTACTATATAATTATTACAGAGCCAGAAATGGTTGAACCCACTGTGAATAATTATATAGAAATGATTATCAATGCCAATATATTTGGTGTCTGAGCTTAACTCACTGTTCTTCTTGTGAAAACTAAAATATTTCAATGTTTAAGGTAAAAGAATTTATTGATATCTTTCTTAGGAAAAGTTCATGGTTCTTTGGCTCGAGCTGGTAAAGTGAAAGGTCAAACACCCAAGGTAGGAATCTTGGATTGTAAATTTCTGTGGATCCTTTACTATAGACACAACATTCAACAATTTTCATAACAACACAGTATTTTTGGTATTTAGGTTTGGACTTAAACTAAAAAAAAAGTATTTCTTGAACTTTTAATTAAGACCAATTTAGTAAAGTCATTTCTAATGTTGTGTAATTCATTGCAATGTTTATAGGTTGATAAACAAGAGAAAAAGAAGAAGAGAACAGGTCGTGCCAAGCGACGTATGCAATACAACCGACGCTTTGTTAATGTTGTTCAAACATTTGGCAAAAGACGCGGACCAAACTCAAATGCACCTTGAAACACTCTATAGAAAATATGTTTCTTTGATTATGAGGTGTTAATGAAGAATAAAAACATAGCTTAAACTTAGCAGTAATTTTGTTTATCCTTCCATTTCTATAATTGGTTCACAGTCCTTAAATCATAAGATTAACTACACTATGTAAAACTTATTTTAGCTTTTTCAGTTGCAATGCACAATCTGACACATTGGAAAATACATTTAAATCTAAACTTGACATTTTAAGTCAAGAATATTTTAATGTTATCTGATTGATGAAATATATCAAATTACAAAAACTCAAGTCAAGCATTACAACAAAAGCCTGTTTAAACACACTACTTGTTCTCAATTTTGTGGTAAAAGTTGTAACACTTAAGTATGACTGTCTCACAACTCAACTGCATTGCAAATGTTTCAGTAAAAAACATTTGTTTTCATTGAAATGATCTTTTACAACACATTTCATCACTCATCTAAACAAACAACAAGAACTGGGTTCTTCAGCTCCACTTGGTTGATTTGCATTAAGAATAATTGCTGCTTCAGATGGCTTTCGATCATTCTTAAGAAATAAAATTGAACATGCTTTAATACATCCAAACAAATAAAACAGATTTGAAAATTTCAAATAACCTGAGTTTCAACACCAGCATTGACATTTCTCAATATTAACTGACACATTTCTGTAAATGCCTAATGTAAATATACATGTATATAAGGTTATACATGTAATTTTAGAATACATGCATAGTTGATGATTAAAATATACATTCCAAGAATAAATTTACCTTTTCAATATTAACATTAGAGAAAGCACTTGTTTCAAGGAATGGTATACCATATTTTTGAGATAACTAGCAAAGTAATCAAAGCAGTTTATTAAATTGGTACTTGTGATATAAAATTAATAAAAGTACAAATGAAATTTGCCATCCATTAACCTTTTCACCCTCTCTATAAGATACTTCACGTTTTGATTCTTCTATGTCACATTTGTTGCCAACCATGACTGTCTTCACTTCATTGCCAGCATGCTAAAATATATAAAGTAATTAAATGTAATTCAGCCATAACATGTTGTCAAGAAATTGTACAAATTAAAGGACCAACATAATAATGCTAACCTCTTCTACATAATGTATCCATTTCTGTATGTTTTCAAATGTTTTCCTTCTTGTGATATCATAAACCAACATTATGCCCTAAAACATAAAACTACAAATTGTACGGCAAGCAAGCAGTGAAAAATCACATATTGATAAAAAATTCATTGAAAGTAGAATTGCAAACAACAACTACAAATGTTCATTATGTTAAAATGTATAATTAAGTTGTGCATTAATTACTTATCATGTGCTTAATTGGAAAGAGGTAGTACATTGTTATGTGAAATAGGCTGAACAGATTAAGAAACAAAGCTCACCTGAGCTCTTCTATAATATTGAGTTGTAATAGTTTCATATCTCTCCTGCCCTGCTGTATCCCTAACAAAGTTATAAAATACATGCAGTTAACCAAAGCTGTCAAAATAGTAAAACTACACACATTATTTGGGCAACCGCCAGGTAAATATTCAAGAAAAGAAATTTCATACTTGTGAGAAGATTTCGAAAACAATGGACATTAGTCAACTACTTACCACATTTGAATTCGTATTCTGCTACCATCGACAGTAAAGGTTCTCATTTTAAAATCAATTCCTACATCAGATCATACAACAAGTAGTATTGACTCGTTTAAAAGTGATTTAAGTCATATAAAATTGCTTACTACCTATAGTAGAAAGATGTGTAGGTTTAAATTCATCATGAGCAAACCGACATAAAATACAAGTTTTTCCAACTGCAGCATCACCGATTAATATAACTTTAAAAAGATGATCGTAATTCTTAGCCATGCTTATGTCTAAAGGTGAAGAAGGCAAATTTTCAAATTCCATCTAAATTAGGTAATTGTTTTTTTTCGATCACTTTAATTGGTAATTTTGTATATTCTAGAAATATTTAACTTCTACCGTCACCTTTTTTATGTAGTTGTCGCTAAAATATGAGCGGAATTTTAAATTTTCGTCAGGTCAGGCCGGGTTAACTTATTTACCAGAAAAACATTCTCCTATCAAAAGCATTCGTTGTGTGATTTGATTTATCACACGCAATTTTCCATTCTTAAAATTTAGGAGTATTTTAGAGAATCAATTCAAGATTTAAAACTTTACGTATGAAAAAGTTAGAAGTGAGAAAATGCATAATGAAATAAATGAACAGAAAAAACACATTATAATTTTACTCCCCCCCCCCTTTTCACTAAAATAATGATCCAGTCGATCCAGTCAAGGAAACCAGTTAATCCTGTTTCGCTGATTAAACTAATAATCTGAAATGCAGCTGAGTCATGCTGAGTCAGAGTGCTAGCGCTGATGCTTTACAGTTGGGGAAGAAGTTCTCCTGTAATCAGGAAAGCTAGGAAAATGTAAAATGTAGGAGGTTGTAGGGAGAAAATAAAATGAAAATGCCTTGTTTTGCCCAAAATATTTAAATTGGTTAATTGTGGCAAATTTTGATGAAGCGTTGTTTGACTTGTTTCAATTTTTTTATTTTGACAGCCTTGCATTACACCTGTATGACTTATTGCACCCACCCTTCTAAGTCTTTTGATTTATGCAATATTTTTCGTTGTTAAAAGTTATTAATGCTCATTTTTAAAACAAACTAAAATTCAATGATCCGACCTGACGTAGGTATATAATGGGTATGTTGTGTAAAGTCAAACAAGGAAAATCATCGCAGGAAGTAGAAAATAAAGTTTTGGTAGGTGAAATGTGCATACACAGAGTGGCAGCACTGTGATGAAACATCATGTTTTCAGGTTGTTGGTTCGAAGACGTTTTGTACACAGCTACGTCTTACAATGAATAAATTTCTGTTGTTGTACATAAAATATAGAATAAAATGACAATATTGTTGATGACAAAGTAAAAACGTCCAACAAAATACGACAGATTAAGGATTAACAGATAGCATGACGCAGGAAAATCTTTTCTTCATTCAAAGTGAAAGTTCCAAATTTGGTTGTTACAATATTTAGAACATTATATTACTACACCTAAACTTGTGGCAATATCTTCTTTGTTATGCCTCCATCATTAATAAATCTGAGGACATTTTTCTCTTGGCAACTACTATACTTAGTTATGTCTTTAGCGTATTTTCTTGGTAAAGTCCTTCAAAACTATTAAAATGAAGTATTAAAATTTAAATCTTTCTCATATTGCATCAGTCATATTTTGCTTCATCTTTGAAGTAAAACCTTCTTTCCACAATGATGAAAAATGTTTTAGAATTTCATGAATTTTTTGACATTTGAAATATGCTGAAGCTTTTTAGCAGAATTATGTTTTACCACACTACTGTTTATCTACTTTATAACTTTGTGCAGAAGAAATTCTCCTTATTTGCTTTGGTAAAGATATAAATGCTTACTCTATATTAATGTAAATTTTTAGTTTGCCTATGTGATGTTTGTTGTAAGTGCTGTAACTAGCATGACATGTAAGATGGATACTCAATATGTTGTTGTGTCATCCATCCCTGGTCATGAAAGAACATGCATAGATTGTCCCCAATGTGGACCTGGCAAAGAACCTGGAATCAAATGTGGTACATCCATTGCCATTCATGAAAAGACTGGGGATTGTCAACATTGTCAAGGCAATTTTTTTTCAACAAGAAAAGATGTGCTTCCATGTCAGCCTTGTACAACCTCATATTTGGTAAATCAAAATAAAACAAAATGCATTGCTGTGCATTCAGGTCATCATTCCAATGATCAGCCTAAGTTGGTCATTTGGATTGTTGTTGGTGTTGCTGGTTTTTTGCTTGTGTTGGTGTTGATCTTTGTATGCAAAAGAAGATTGCTAAACTATTTAACCAAGTCATCAATGGCAAACCCACTAACACAGCTCCTTATCAAGGTAAGTTTTTTTTTTCATCTTCCTGTATTCTGTTCTTTTGAAAATGTGCCATGAGCATATTATTGCATATTCTTTTGCTAAATTGCAGAGGTTTCATCTGATACTGGACAGGAAAAACTCAAAGTGAAAGTTGAAGAAACATCTGCTGGCCGAGGTAATGTTTTTTGTATTATTTATCAGTTTAAAAGTGACAGGTGAAAATTTACATTTTTTTACTCTTAGTTGACAGTCACCCTCTGCTTTCTGGCCAAGGCTGTTCTCATATTAATAACAGTCATTCAAGTCCTCAAGGTAACATTGCATTTGGTTATTATGATAAATTAACCAAATAATATTCATGATCATTGTTATGTGTTTAAGAAACAAGTTTAGCATCAATGGAGGGTCATCTAGGGTTTTAAGATACAAATTGTGCAAGTTGCATTTTATTGTGTTGGAAATTATATATTTAGATTTTTCAAATCAATATTTGTATTTCATTTTCTATAAATCATTGAGGTTTATGTTTTTTTCCAGTTGTTTAGATACCCAACAGACTATGTTGAAGATAGAACAATGACAACATATTTAGATATGGCTAGAATATCATTAATTGTAGTGAACGTTTTCTATGTTTGACAAGTTTTAATTAATGATTAGCTTGATTGTTCATTTGATGATTATGCAGTTATGGTAAAGTGTAAAATATTGTAATTGGAATAATGCAAAATCAATTTTTCAATCATCGTACAACAGTAAATCATGTTTGATTGAAATAAATTTACTGTTTAGTAACAGAAGTCAAAATAACATAACATATTGTTATATGGTCAATTTTCTTTTGTCTTGTCAATTTAGCAGGGGGTGTAATAAATAGACTAACTAAAAGAAGCGACAAAACATTTGTAAACATGGCGTAGTTATGGACCTTCCTATTGTACTTTATTATTATCACGATGAGTAAAAAGGGATTAAATTGCTTTACCGTCTGTCTTGCTCATTTATCGTCAAATGTATTCGACAATGTGAGTTCAACGCTTTTGATTTTAATCATCAATATTATACTTAGACTGTTTGATACCATGTCTATGGACACAAGACATACCATGTTATAATGTCTATTTTTCATCATCATGTGTATTTAAGACAATGATTTGTTGCTTGCAACCAATTCAAACATTCAATGACTTAAATACACATGATAATCTTAACCAATTTAGATGAAATATTGTCGCACCATGTCCATGGTCACCTAAAAGATGGAAGAAAAAAACACCTGCCAATGTTGAGGTAACAACGCAATTTTTTAAATATGCCAAAAGAAACTTTTTATTTCTATGTATAAAAATAGGAAAGCCAAAAACATCATGTGTAAAGTTAAGCCAGTGTTTGTTTTGTTTAACGTCTATTTTGTTTGTTGTCTCCTTGTCACTCATTGGTTAAAGACTTAAATTCATCATGACTTTATTGATGATACACATTTGGCAATATTGGAAGCTAACTAAGATTGGGTGGGCTAAAAATTCAAACTCTTGTCTTTAATTTGAGCCAGATTCTAGAGATGGGCAATTTTGTCCCCAAGATTAGTCAATACACAAGTTTTAGTACTCATGACATATTACCCAGAAAACAAAAAAGTAACACAAATTAAGACCTTTGGGTACATTTTCACTCTTGGGCCAATCAATGGCTTAATATTTTCCTGCTATCCACCTAGAGATCTTGGCAAAAACTGATTTACTCTGCAGTCTTTGAGGATTCAAGGCACAGTTGAGATAAACAGAACAGTCTAATGCATTGGTTATTCCATTCGCAACCTTGCTATTACAAAGTAAATGCATGGTTTAAAGAATATTAGTGATTAAATGTTCTCTTAATCTTCCAAAGGTTTTCAGGACATTTTGTTACTAATATCCCTAAAGGCATGTGTTTACTTACATACAATGCAACTTTTAATAATTTGAATGAAATTCCCATGTTGGGTATGATTTCTCAAATTTTAAAATAAGTAACAAAAAATGTGTTGTGTGTTATTGCACAGTTGATATGAACAAAACTTCAATAAAGCGAAAAGTTTTGAAGACAAAAAACACATATTTTCAGTCAAAAGTTGCACTATGTAAAACTAATATCTTTGATTTTTGATTTTGGAAACATTACTACAGATCCCTATTCCAATTGTCTACATTTGGATATTATTTACATCTATATTTAAAGTATCAAATTAAATTTGTTCGTTGGTACATTAATGTAATCACCCTAGCATTTTCCAGCATTAAATTATCCTTCTCAAAAAAAATTTTGAATTCACATCAGACCACATTTCGCATTTCAACCAGAAATTCTGCCTTTATTTTTAATGCCTACGAGAATATCTCATACCAAGCAAATCACCAACTTCGATCATCGCAGTAACCGCCTGGAAATATTGCAAAAAAAACTTCACCATCCTGATTTTATGTGAGAAGAATATGTTAAAATGATAGTAATGCTCACAAAACAAGTTTTAAGATTCACATCAAAGATTGATTTCACCAATAAAATAGTTTTAATACACTAGACTCTATCTTACCTTGTCCAATTGATCCCTTGTATGAGCGGCAGATATACAAAACCTTGCACGAGACTCAAGAATACTAGTAGCAGGAAATCCTACGACAACACTTGCAATTCCTCGTTTCAACAACTCACGACTAAGGGCACTACACAAGAAAGATATCATGGAGACAGAACATAACAAACAGACAAGGAAATTGACAAAGCAACCTTATTTTTCCAGGAAGGAAAATCAAAACAGGAACAATTACTGAGTCGTCGTGTCCATACACAATGAAACCAGCTTTTTTTAAGGATTGTCGGAAATACCTGAAATTTTAAAAAGTTTATATAAAAAGATGATAAAGATGTTGAAGTTTGGGGCTATTTATGACTTTATATTTCTTATTCTATCACAGTTCGCAGCTCAAAAACGCACTAGATTTACACAATCATATTATCATAGTGATATAATAACATAACAATATCTACATTAAGATGATTACCATTCAGGGTTAAAGAACACTTCTGTAAGATTTGAGGTAGTAACAAAATATTGAGCAAATACTGGGCTAATGCCTTTATTGCCATTAATCATCCTCACATGCATAAAAATTACAAAAGCAATTTCACAAAGTTGTGGATTTTATTGGAATTGAACCTCCCTGTTTCTCAGAGTGCACAATAAAGTGGGCTACCATTAAACTATAACAAAACACAAACATACTTGCTATTCTCAGATAAGGTGTGAAGTCTTTTTTGCCCTAAAGAAAAAGTGTTTAAAGTTTAAGTTATAAATTATATTAATTGTTTTATATTGGACAAACATAAATTGTTTTATATTGGACAAACTGACCATAGATGATCTAGCTTACCTTCGCCTGTCCCATCTTCACCCATGATGATCTTCATTGATGAGATTATTTGCTGTGCCACTGGAGGTGACATTGAACATGCATAAACTGCACTATGAGATGATGATCGAATATGACGAATGATTTCCTAGAAATTGATAAGTTATTGGAAATATAATTATAAGGTTTAGTACTGTATTTCAACAAATGGGTAATTGATAAAAGTGTAAAAGATAAGCTAACATTTCAATATATTAGAAAATTCTACCTCGGAGGCAGCAATGTAGCCACCTGCTGATCCAAAACTCTTTGTAAATGTACCCATCATGATATCAATATCCTTTGGATGAATGCCATAATAATCAGCTACACCTCTACCATGTGGACCCATTGCACCAATACTATGAGCCTCGTCAAGATAAAGATATGCCTTGTACTTCTTCTTAAGCTCTATCACTTCTGGAAGTTTCACTATTGAGCCCTCCATGCTATTAGTGACATAATTTTCCCATAGTTTAAGCAATTCAATTTACAACATTTTTTAATGACTATCTATAATATTAAATTTCTCATTATCAGAATAAATTAATTATTGCTGAACTTCCCATTCACCTGTATACTCCTTCCACAACAATCAAAATTTTCTTCCATGGTCTGTGTGTACGAGGTTGACCCTGTATCACTGAGCTTCTGAGAATCTCCTCAAGATGAGCCATGTCTTAAAAAACAACATACATGCTGCATATTACAGTTGAACTAAAATTTTCTATTTCAAAATAAAATTACCATTATGTTTGAACACTTTAATCTTTGCACCAGAAAGCCTAGCTCCAAGTACTAAGGACGAATGATTGAGCTCATCACTGACTATAAGGCATTTTTTATCAACTAGAGTGGGAAGATTTGTTGAGTTTGTTGCAAATCCCATTCCAAAGACCATTGCCGCCTCTTTGCCAATGAAACGCGCAACCAAATGCTCTAGCTCAACATGAATATTAAGTGTGCCGTACTCGTGTCTGGTGCTACATGCAGCAAGGCCATAATCTCTCACAGCTTGCTCAGAGTCATCTGTGCAAGGACCAGAATTCTCAGCAAAACCAAGATAGTTATAAGAACCAAGGTTGAGTGCACGAATTGTTTCACCTGTATGTCTGAAAACACATGATAAGATATAATTTCTAACTTAGAAACAATATAACAAAGTTTTGGCACTAAGAAAAATACATGGTTGTGGACCTTGTGGTGAGGTAGAAGTGCAAAGTATATTTATTAAATTCTCTAATATCATGTCATTTTACAAAGATAAGAAACATCTTCTCATAAGCCTTTTTTCCAGCCATGTCAAAAGTCTCCTTTTTTACAAGAATACTACTAAGAAAATAAGCTTAAAACCTGTGCATATAAGATATTTTAGGAAGAGTTTCTTACTCAAAAGTCCAGTTGCTATCTGCACTCTGGCGTTCAATGATCTCTATCTCTGCCCCAGGTGAACTACAAATTGGTCGATTCCAACAATCTCGGATACGACGATACAGGTTTCTTGTGTAGAAACTTTCAAAACTTGAATATAACGGCACAAAACCCTAAGTAATGAACATGATATTAGGACCATATTAACATAGTTTTGAATTACCTACAAAAAGGGAAATCTGATTAGTTACTTAGCCTGTGGGAAGTATTCCAGAACTGATGTACTGAAATCTTTATAACATTCATGTAAATTATGCAAATAAGGGAGGGTCAGTTGTGTTGAAAAGAAATATTTCATACCAATCGTAGATAATATTGCACTTATACAAACAAGATCGTTAAATTTTTCGCGACTTTCAAACGAGATGTGGTATGTACTTTAACCTTACTCCCGGTGATATCGTGTTATGAAATGGTTACATAAATTTATCATTAAATACATAGTTACCAATGTATTTTCGTTTTTGTGATCAACTGTATAATTAAATAACATTTCTAGACGACCACATGAAATCAATACAGAGAAAAAATATATATTAAAATGGCATACTTTATTTCCTTTCTCTTTATACGCCCGTGACTTTTCCAAACCGTAAAAACGCATAAAGTCACGCAAATAACCGAATAAAATTAATATTGCATATGCAATATATGTCATAACAGCAATCCATATAGGCGTTTGCTCAAACTCTTCATGATTTTTGTAATTTGATTTTCCATTTTCTACTCCATTTTTATGTGTTGTTTCCCCATTTTTGCGTGATTTTTGCATGCTATTGCCATTGTCGTGATCTCCAAGTTTATCAAACTTCTCATTCATGATTGTTTTTTATATTTCTTAAAAGATTTAAAACTTCACTGCTGAGACAATGAGAGTAACACTAGTTCATACAATAAAGCCAATAATGTTGCATTCTTTATCGAATGAATATTTATCGGCATAATATCGTATGTCTTCGAGGCGAACCGTAAATAACAAGACTAATAACTAATATGTAGACATTGCACGAGCTTCAAACGGGAATTCCCGAATTCACTTCAAATTACAAATTAATGCTAATTATTATAAATTACTGTATACTAAACACATCACAACATGAACATTTCTAGCTTGATTTTTTTTCGTAAATGTTTTATTTTCAAACAAATACTATCATAAAAATTGTTCAAATAATCCATCAGCCCAATATTATCATAGTTTATAGAAAACAAAAACTCAACTTTAACTCTCAGTGCATAATTTTGTCTCGTCAAGGTCACTGTCGAGCACTCGAGCATGTGATATGCGTGTAAAAAATATATTTTTTAATTATACTTCATTCCAATGGTGTAGAGATATCTGTAAAAATAGTGACATGTCGATCTTAACCTCAAAGTACTCCATATTTGCTGGTTTTCCTTGCTGATTGGTTACGGGAACAATTTGCTTTTTCTTTTTTGGCTGAATATTTTTACTTGTATAATTTCGTTAATTTTATTGTTTTAACCTAATGATGGTTATTTAAACCTACTTGTGATAATGCTTTCTGCTGTCCGGTTTCGAACTTTTACTTTATTTGTGTAGTTGTTTTCATGTACGAGGCTATGTGAGCGTTCTATATAAAGAATTTATTTGCAATTTCAGTTACTTGTAACGCAACAGCAACGCTTGTTATTCCCTCTTTTTCGGGTTTCCCGACAAAACGCCCTGCTCATTTTTATTTTGACGATAGACGATGTGATTCATGTGAACATTACTGAAAAACCATTGTCACATCATTTTAAATGAATCGACTCAAACAATTTCTTGTTGTCTTAAGATATACTTTAATCTCTGATGAACCGTGTCTTGTACTCGTTGCTAAATGTTGTCAAACTTTGTGTATAGAAAGCTAAGTACAAAGCTCTGGCTCTTGGCTGTTAACGAAGACAATTTAGTATTAGAAGCCCAGATGTAGACTGCATGTTGAGCCTTCTTTGCGCACTAGGAAGATTAAATCATCATCACTACCATTTTACTATTAGCCCCAGAGAATTGTAAAAAGTAGTACGCATTGCATTTATTTTTGTGAGTGGAGCGTGGAGATTGACTTAACGCGTGATTGGATTCTAGACTGTTCATCATGTTGTTCTCGTTTCTTCAATCTTCCCATTTCATTATGTCTATTTCTTGAAACACCACACAGACTCCTCTGTTGAAGCAGTCCTTCTAACGTCCGTGTAAATTTTTTCTGAAAACGTTAATAGCTTGAATCAAAGGAAAAAACCATAAAAAATATCCTCATTTGTCTGTTTTACTATTTGTCATTATTTCGAAGAAAGTTATTTCAATCAAAATATTATCATGACAACTGTTTCATGCATTTCGTGAGTTCTCATTTTTTGCTATTTCACCATTATAATAGAGAAGATTATGGATAAAATGTAATTTCTCACTAAATTTTTGAGATCAACTTGTATTAATTACTTGAGAGGTACTTGACAAATTTCAAACGCTTAACAGGAACGTTGGTTCTACTCTTTTTTCAATGTTCATCTCTGTAGATATATTTTTACCTTATTTAATATTTCTTTAAATAGATTTCCCCATTCATAAATGGCGTACTTTTATTTGTAATTTGCGTGTTTATTAATTTGTCAATTTCACAAGGAAAAACAGTCTTTTTATCCTTAGTGCTTTTTTTAATCAATAGTAATTCATTTCAAATCATAGATTTTTGGCATAACCACCACGAGTCTGTGTTGTAAATGTCGGTGTAATCTATCACGTGATCAAGTTTTGTTTGAATATTTGGATTCTAATGTGAGAATGCGAAAGGAGATCGTGACGGGATAAGTCGAACGATTTTACCATAACAACGGTGTTTACACAGTGTAATATGACCAAAGCCAAAGGTCACAATAAAGTATGATTGTGTTTGAAAGACAAGACTTTTAATCATTCTGTTTTTTAATTCCTTACCGACAGTCTGCTTGATGCGTGAAAAGTTGTTTATAAAAGTATAATATATGCATAATATGTTATCGACACTTATAATAAACATCACAATCTTGATACCACATTTTTTTTTAGTATTACATGGAGAGTGTGCTTTTTATCCCCTTGATTAATTCACTCCACAGGAGAGTGATGAGGTTGTACGAATTTTATGAAAGTGGGTCAATCATGCATTGAAACCTAGTTCCGCTGACAAAGACTTTCAATTTTCTCTTTAAACCATAGCGAAATTGGTTGACAGTTTCACATGTGTAGTCTGTTGCAATTATTACTAAAATTTTGTGTTAGCCCCAGCGAGAAAGAGGCAGAGCACACTACGAAGGCAGTCATGCGCAATAGACTTTGAAAAGTGGTGTCATTCAGGCTAATTTCTGATTGGTCTATTTTTAATTTGAATTCATTGACCAATCAAAGTTGGGCCTTTTATAAGAATCACAAAAGACAATGTTTGTTGCTCAAAGATTAATTTGTATTTGTTTGGGTTTCCTCTTCAATTCGTGATGGTCGGGAAAACCCGTGAAGTTTGCAAATACACATGGAAAGAGGTTCGCTGTCACAATACTGCCACGGATTGCTGGGTTGTTATCGATGGAAAGGTTTACGATGTTAGCAAATGGCTAAAATATCATCCCGGTGGAATTTTGCCTCTCCTCTATTCGGCAGGACAGGACTGCAGCCGGGTATTCAAAGCTTTTCATCCATTCTCATGGATAAAGGAAAAACGATTGCCGGCTTTTTACATTGGCGACATTTGCGAAGCGGAGAAACAAGACGAGAGAAAGAGTGTAATCTCGAAGGATCTTGAAGAAATCCATAGGCAAATAATGGAAGAAGGCGGTTACAAAACGTATTGTAAGTTAAATTTTCTATATCTCTTCTCTTGAATGGAAATGTATGTTTCCTTAATCAACAGTTTCACACAGTTTAACGGCTACAGAACTTTTATGTGAACGGGTATCTTTTACGACACTATAAAAGAATATAACGATAAAGATGAGTTGCTTACTTTAGCAATGACTGACCAAAGTCTATTCAAACATCTGCTCAACAACATGATATCGTGTTTATGTCAAAGCCACGAAGGTATTGACTTTTCAATGGGATTGTGCAATATTGCAAAAATACTTATCAAACTAAAGTATGACATATCCCCACTCTGCTTTGCATTTTAAAATCAAAATGCGGCAACTTCAGATTTCAGTTTCATTGGAGTTTTTTGAATATTTTTAATGACCGATCTTGTTTATATTTTATACATGTTACACCGTCGGCTGCGGCTTTAACATTGCCGCTGTCTTAGTATTTTATGGATAAAAATTTATTATAAAACCAACTGTAAATGGTTTCTAGATCGTTATATTAAAGTTATTTATTTTGTTTGCTGTACTTTTATACATTGTCCAGATTAGCCTTATTATTCAGAATTTTCCAGTTGTCCTTTGAACATAAGTAAACTGTGATGTTTTTATCCATGATTCTCAGATATATCAATGTTGTGTCATGGGAAAGTTGGTTTAGTGGTAAAGACGCGCTCGAGATAGTTTTACTGATGTAATATAAACACGAGTCTTAAGGGGAATGAGTGAGTCCTTTAAAAACGCACGAGACTTTTATTAATATTACTTGATAAGAATTTAGCAAGAAATAAACGAAGATGACAACTTTGCTGATAATTTGCGCAGAAATTTTAACTGTTATTATGTGATTTGAGACTGTATTTATTCGTATATTTTCGCATGGCTATTTGTTATAATATGTACGGAATCATGCAATTGAGAAAAGTCGAATATCACTTCCTGCTATAATAGAAAGCAGAGTGAAATACGGCAGCATAGAATATCAAAATATGTTGTGTAATCACCTGTAATTGATGATGTCGTTAATAATAACAATTTCCTGTACTGGCCGTAATTATGAAATTAATTATATGGTTAAACTTCGTTAGTTGTGCTAGCAATGTCCTTAGCCATAGATACAACTCGCTCAACATCAATGATGACGAAGGACATGTCAAATAAGATAATGACAGTCGTCTAAGTGCCAGTCATTCGCTCTTGGGACGAAACCTATGGCGGTTTTGCTGTTGTACAAGTTGGAGAAAATACTAAAATCTTGTACACAGCACCATTTATCGTCGTGATTGCATTAATTTTACATTAATTTTTTTCAAAAATTTTACCCTTACAGATGGATTCTACGCAAGACACTTTATTTTTCATTTCTTGCTTCTTGGGTTGGTTATATACCTGTTGACAACAACGACATCATTGACAGCCTTGGTTTTTGCAGCAATCATTATGGGATTTTTCTTTCAACAAGTAGCATTTATTGGACACGATGCTGGTCATCATCTTATCACTCATGATTATGATACAGATGAAAAGATTGGGTTTTTTGTTGGTAATATACTCACTGGTATAAGCATTGGTTGGTGGAAACGAAGTCATAACGCTCATCATGTTGTTACAAATTCAGTGAACTGTGATCCAGATATTCAACATCTTCCCGTTTTTGCAATCACTGATAAGTTCTTTAAACCAGTCATCTCCGCCTACCATAGCAAGACTTTTTCATTTGACCGTGTTTCAAAATTTTTTGTGTCCAATCAGCATGTTTTATACTACCTCATTATGGGTGTCGCAAGGTTTAACCTTTATGTACAGAGCTTTCTCCACATTTTCACGAAATGCACAGGTAGAAAACTTAAACTTGAGTTGTTCACGCTCGCAGTGTTCTGGCTCTGGTTTTCTGCATTGTGTTCCCTAATCCCCAGCCTTCATGAAAAGATCATTTTCATTTTCGTTTCCCATTTTATTGCTGGCTTATTACATGTGCAGATTACTATCAGTCATTTTGCAATGGCGACCTATTACGGTCTTCCTCAAAGCAAGTACGAAAGTGATTCCTTCTTCATCTCGCAGATGGCAACGACTATGAATGTGGACTGTTATCCCATCATGGACTTCTTTCATGGTGGACTTCAGTTTCAGATTGAACATCATCTTTTCCCAAGGGTATCGCGACCATATTTACGTGTTTTATCACAGAAAATCCAAAAGTTGTGCCAGAAACACGATGTGACTTACATATCACTCAATTTTTACGAAGCTAATAGGGAAGTTATCGGCGCTCTAAAGGAGACCGCTCAGAAAGCTAAGTGTTTTTCATCCTTTATTTGGGATGGATTAAATGCAGCTGGTTAATCTGTCAAGTATTGTATTCATTGATTGGATTATTGATTGGATTAAGGTGTAAACGCACGTCTAGTGTTGATTGTGTGAACTTTAGTATTAGTTCATAGCTTTAATTTTATTTGTTTTCAATCTTCTTGTTTTGAGAAGATTAGTAATGAAAAGTGATGATAAAAAATTAAATGAAAAACGTCTTTATGAAATTGCTTGAATGCTTTTTGTGTTGTTATTTTGTCGTGTAGTTTCTCGTAGTTCAAGAAAATTTATCATTACTTATTAAAAGATGAAAAGTATTTATTAGAGAAAGTATTTTCTTTTTCATCCGCGGTCAAAAACATTTGCATAGTTTATACCGCGATGTTTTCATTTGCTTAGTTTCTAAAGAATAAAGGTTTACAAATATATTGAAACTCATAAATATTTAAAAATTTACACCAATTTAGCATTAGTCATGTAATATCTAATAATTAAATATTTATATTGTTATTATAAAACTGGCATGTAATACCTTACATAATCGCGTGAATAAAATTATCGTCTTTAACAATTTATATTGATTGTTATAATATCTTTATGTTAACTTTCATTGTCCTATCACAGATCCTCGAATAGATTGTTCATATTTGAGAAATAGATGACATACAAAGTAGTTATTTCAAGCTCGCACAATGAAACTTATTTACTTGATAAAACGCTGTTGCTGATAAGGGGGTAGCTGGGTAGGTAAAGACGAGCATACCTACAAAGTCTAACGCCCAAGGCGTGTGACACACTTCTTACAACACGCCTTACACGCCACGCTCTCACGCCTCAAATTTTATTATCTCGCGCTCAAATTCAAAGTCTGTTTGTCAACAATTATAGTAATGATTTATTGTGTTATTATATAACAATGGTTAAAGTTCCAATATTTTCGTTTTTCATTGTGCACACTCAAGAAATACCTGCGGCCTGTTCAAACATTATATGATAATTATTTTTGATATCATGTCAGATCCATCCCCAGGCGCTGCAAACTCCATCTTGCACAGCAAACTCCCAATTTCGGTCATTCATACATGCTTAACACGGCGGATACAAATATCTAATAAGTATAATATTAATAATAGTTTGTAATTGATTTTCTGCAGGAATGTAATATTTGAAAGTATAGTGAAAGTAAAGTAAGCCCATAAACCCACCAGTCTCCTGTCCAACTCTTCCTTTATCTTGGCAATGCCATGCATGACCTGGACAGTGCTGTTGAGTCTGTTATTAGTGTAGTGAGATAAGTACTATTATTATAGGAGTAAGTAGAGACTGAAGAGAGCCTGTAAGGTTTGTGCTGATACGGGGGGGGGAGTAGGTAAAGAGATATCAAGATTTGTGTTGTTGTATTGACGCAAGACTTCAAAGACTGATATTTTCGATCATACTTGTCGCAGTTACTTTTTGAATTATGCTTTAAAAAAATTTGAGAAGAGTACTCTAAGGAATGTCATTGACGAGGGATAGTACAAGGACCAACACAGAATGTGGCGGATTCTCCACGAGATTGTAGAAGGATATTAGTTCACGTTCATTCACAGGTAGAAAAAAAAGTGAACAATTTTCTTTTAGCTCAATAAATATGCATAAAGACTTATTTGTTGCTATTTTCTCTAATTTTTGCCAATAGGGTATGTTTCGAGTGGAGCGATTGCCGAATACCCGTCCACTCATACACGTTTAATGTAAACTTGACCCTATCCCTTACACTAAAACCGAGTTTTACAAGTTAGCCCGACGGCCGGAATGATTTCCAAAGTGGCAACAGAACCTAATAAAGCCGACGTGAATGAAATTAATGTGATTTTTCTCTTCTTTTGCTCCAGATCCGTGTATTGCTACTACTGTTTTGTATACATATATATTACCTAGTTAGTTTGTTTATATTTATTCTGGAACTGACTGCAAAAATCAGGGGCCTAAAAAATCTACTTCATTTTTAGCCATTTATTTCACATGTACGCGTTGCGTACCTATTTTTTGGTGCCTCGTCTTTTATTTTTTAACTTTCCTCCTGTTTTTCAAAAGAAAAACTGCTCAACAGGATACACAGACAATATTATATAATTATTACGTAAATATGTACAATATTATACAAATAAATACAAATACACAAATATATTGATGTTTTTACTGTTTTCGCACCTTATTACAAATTCCCTTTCTGGCTTAGGGCTTAAATTGACATAAAACATCATTACAATTGTTACATAAAATCACTACTGAGCTACAAGGACAGTGAGTTACAAGGCATTTATGTAAAAATTGGCTTCTGTCCACAGTTTTTTAAGGAAATTTTGTCATATCTAAGGAAGTTTTACACTAAATTTTAAGGAAAAGAGGAAAACTGTTGCACACGTGATCGTCTGCCATATTTAATAATTATGATGGAGTGGATTTTGATATTTTCAAATTCTAATTCTCTGTGATTCTGTCGTGTTTTTTCCTACAAAATGAGTTCAAGATATGTAGTTGGACTCGTCGGGATTTTTGGAACAGCTTTTATAGGATATTGCATATATTTTGATCGAAAAAGACGCAGCGATCCACATTTTAAGGAAAAATTAAGAGAGAGTAAGTTCAAAGCTGGAATTCATAAACAAAATTAATATCGATCATTGACTGTATTGTTCATGTGATGCAGTTTCAATTGTATAACAGTTTTATACAGCAAACTAATTTCATAAATTATCATGCATCTTGAAATGTTTGAATAAGATAGTCTGGCATGGCACCATGCCTGAACTAAGTCACACTCATGTAAAGATAAAATGTGATGAAAATAACTACTTACGCCGTATGCCAGTCTTGAATTGTTAAATATTCTGTATTTTATCTCCAGGAAGGTTAAAAGCAAAAAAAGAAAAAGATTTACGACAGGCTGAGGAGCTTAAGGTGCCTATATTAACATATATAAACATTGAGGACTCCGTGCAGAAATAATTGGTTGATTTCTTCCTTCATTTGTTTAATTTAAATACAAAACATTGATATAATCTATTTCTAGGCCAGAATGCCTGATCGCAAAGACCAGGCTGCATTGCAAAAATTTTTCTTTGATGAAATTCAAAAAGGCGAAGAACTATTGGCAGCAGGTTGGCATGCAGATTTTGATGAAATAAAATACAAAATCTTATTGATGTTTTAGTCTAAAATTTTATTTGTGATATTTTAGGTGACTTTGAAAACAGTGTAAAACATCTTACAAATGCTATTGCTATTAGTGGGCAACCACAGCAACTACTTCAGGTGTTTCAACAGACACTCCCCCCTGAAGTTTACAAAATGTTAATGGGTAGTCTAGCATCAGCAGCAAAATCTTCTGCTGCTTCAGTTCAGGTAGGCATGCCTTCTTTAAAATATTTTTAAAGTTATTTTTCCATTTTTGAAGGGCATACTATATTTCAATAACTGTGTGTTTTCTGTTGTTTCAGAATATCTCAGTTGATGGCGATTCTTTGGATTAAGATAATTGACAGCTACGATAAAAGAATTCTTGTCTCTTCAACAAGATTATTTGTACAACATCTTGAAGACCATTTTAGTTTATTCATTCAAACAAAATTACTGCTTGACTTTAACGTGACAAAAAATTTTTATTTAAGAAAAACCCGACCATTGCAATGAAACGTAATTAACATCACCAACAGAATCAATTGAAGCCAACACGCTAGTTTTTTTGACAGTTGAACCCAAACGACCCACTGCTATCAAGTTTTGTCCATTTAGCTTTTCATCTTCACGCAAAATTTTTATAACAAAATGTGAATGGTAGCGTAGTGGATCTCCAGGGTACACCAAAAAATCACCCCCAAATTTGTTACCATTGGTTATAAAATATCCTTTTTCCCATAAATCACAGAACACCTTATAACGAATTCTCTGAACTTCATTGTAAGGAAATTTCCAATCAACAACTTCTGTTTGAAGGAACTTGGTTTTTGAAGTAACACAAATCAATGTTGAGTCTTCGTTAATCATATTATTGGTGTGTGGCACAGATGAACTGTTTCCATTCTTTTTAGAAAGTCCATGATGATGATTAACTTTCAACTCTCTTGTCTCTTCATGAGTTTTATCATTGTTAAGATGAAATTGTTCAATAGAATTATCAAATGGTATCGAATGATCAAAAGTAAACTTATCAGAATTAGTAACAAGACAGTATTTCTTCTGTTGTTGTGTTGATTCACTTGTATCAAAGCTTCTTTGTTTTCTTTTCGTCGTCCTTCGCTTTTCTTCAATGATTTCTACCAAGTCAACATGTTTTTCTTCCTTCAATCGTTGCAGTCTCGTTGTTTGATCGTTTACACTGAATTTTCGTTCCTCGTTAAATATCGAGACCATTTCTGCAGATGGTATACTGTAAACGCTTTTTACAACCTTTGCTACGTTTTTTTCAAGTAAAAGTTGGACTTCTTCAGCCATTAAATGGAGTGGAAGGGAAAATACTAAATTCTGCCTTGGTTTACTTGGTAGAGAGCCAACTAAGGACCCCACAATGCGATAATTTTTACGCAAGATCATCAAGTCTGTTTTATCCCACACATATATTTCATCATTGCTTAAAAATAGTGAAATTTTTTCTTCATGATCTCTGCTCTCATTTTTGGCCATAACTTGACTCTTGACGGATGTTTTTCTTTTCTCTACTTGTGTTTCCACGTGAATAAAGTTCAAGTTTCGATAAAAGTAACATGAAGTAATGGATTAAAGTAAATATGGACGCCAGAGAGGAAAACGATGTGGACATAAACACGAAATGTCAACGTACGTCAAAAGAGGTTTCGATAAATAAAGTAAGAAATATTACGGACGTAAATTTTGAAAATAACTTGCCTTGTTCAGCACAACAAAATGAAATAAGTGTGAGAGATTCCAACGAAGAAAAGCATGAAAACACAGAATCACTGCCATGTTCTCAAGCTTCTTTTAAAATACCAAATACCTTACCTGCTGTCAAAAAAGAAGCTAGCTATAAAGAAGAAAACAATGAATTGAAAAAAGAAAACGTCCCTGAACTAAAATACAAGGAACCTTGGTGGAGTGCGTTACCTAAAGCAGAGGAAGATTTTAGTTTTGAAGTTTTAAAAAACGGTTGTATTATTGCTACATTAAGTTTAAAGGAAAAAAATTATCATGTTATTGGACGTTTGCCTTCATGTGATGTAGTTCTAGAACATCCATCAATATCACGTTATCATGCCATTGTACAGTACAGGGGTGGGACAGATGGGAATGAAACGTTGAGTGGATTGTACTTGTATGATCTTGGAAGTACCCATGGAACCATAGTCAACAAGAATAAGATCAAAGCAAAGACTTACTATCGTCTTAAAGATGGATTTGTCATCAAGTTTGGTGGAAGTTCACGTCTTTTCATTTTTCAAGTCAGTATTATTGGCACAATGTTATTTTCAATCATTCTAAAAACAGAAAGCTTGATTTTTTAAAATACGTAGGATGGTTATTTTTGGTATACGTATGTCATTTTTTTTGTATATATACAATGCTCAATTCATGTCATTTGAGAAATTTTGATCATGTTACAAGGTTTGCACAAAAAAGATGATTCAACTAGTTATGCAATCTATCATAAACCATTATATTTTTGTTTGACACATTTGTGTGCATCAGCATGTGTAAATTTTATTCAATTTAATCATAACAATTTGGCCAAGTCTTATCTGAATTGTTTAAGGGTCCTCAAGATAATGAACCAGAAACTGAAGTGACTGATGTTTCCTTAGTAAGTTCAGAAAATGAAACAAAAATAAAAGTTGGTCAAATATTTACGGATGAAGAATATGCAAGCTTAAAGAAAGTTGAAAAAAAACCTGAAGAAAGTGAAGGCATTGATTGGGGATTTGGTAAGGAATTAACGATTCTCTTGCTTGATCTATTGTTATAAATTATTTAAAAGGAAAAATATGGTAAGGAAGGTAGGTATTTTTTACAGGTGAAGATGCAGAAGAAGAGCAGATTGATTCCGAAAAATTTCAAGAGTTATATTCTGGTGTTGAATTCAAAGATCCTAAAAAGACTCTGAGGGGTTATTATGAGAGAGAAGGTAGAAGAATTTAGTTTATCAATTTATTTTTAGTAAATTTGCATCATATTCAATTATTTAGATTGAACTATAGCAAAAAAACTGAATTGTTCTTTAAAGGTTTTGATCTTGAATATCATGTTGATGAGACAGGACCTGGCCATGCTAGAGTGTATCATTGTAGAGTAAGGTAACTATTTAAAAAACTTTGCTTCATGAAACAACTCAAAAAAATATGATTGTCATTTTTATGACAAACTGTTCAGGCTACCTGTAGATGGTCCCAATGGATCAGCAGTTTATGCAGAAGCATCTATCACAGGTCGTAAACGTGATGCTGTAAGAGAATGCGCTAATGAGGCATGTAAAATGTTGGATGCTTATGGATTGCTGAGACAGTCATCACATGGTAAAATATACATACGACTCAATGTAAACATAGAATTTAAAGTTGTAAATTACGATCAATATATGCTTTCAGAGAGCCGCAAGAAAAGAGAACGAAATCTCGAGGAAGACGATTTCTACGAAAGTGACGAAGATAATTTTCTTGATAGAACTGGCACAAGTTAGACAACAGAAATCTACTTGTTTTGTATCCAGGGTGACGTTCATAAACGATGTGTGTTAAGCCTTTTTTGTATTTTTCTTCAGTTGAAAAGAAAAGATTGAAACGAATGCGAAAAGCTGGAAAAGAAAAGTATGAAGTAGATACTCACGAATCTCTTGTAGGTTTTTTTGTTATTTGTTTGTGCATCTTGTTTATGTATCTCTCCAAGTTATGATATACTTCAATTTTTTTCATTAATTTATATCCGTTTCTTATTAGTTAACAAAACTTACAGAAGTTCAAAATGAAATCCAAGTTTTACAGAAAAGAATACAAGATGCCGAAGGTATAAACACGATCAAAATATACATTTTTTGGTATTTTTAAGGATGTATATAGGCCAAAAACTAAGGCTTTTCTACGCCCTCAAATGATGAATGTAGTTGTAGTTGTGTTAGCAATGTTGTTTTCTGTGATTAAGCTTTGGAAAAGTGTGCTGAAGGCGATAGCTTGGAAAATTTTATGAGCACAATGTCGAAGCGCATGGACAAAGAAACTAAAATGAAACTAAAGAGAAAAACAATAGAATTAAGAAAGGTGAATTGACGTGTTTTTGTTTTGTGTAAACCAGTTAAATCAAATGAAGAGAGAAAGCAAAAGATATATAGCTTTAGAAAATAATGACAAAAATACAGTCTTTCTGGAGACTACCTTCAGTTACACTCTTTGACAGTTGACTTTATTTTTGTCCTGTCAATTGAATAAAGGTCAATTTTCTCCACAGGAAGAGGAAAAAATACAAAAACTTGTTTATTTGACTAGACCAGCTGATCTTCCATCTTTGTCAAGGTAAATTTTTCTAAGATACCATATTGTAAATAACCAACCCTAGAAAAGGTCCACGCTGTTTGTCTTTGATTTCTTGTTGTGTTTTAATCGTTTGAACAGTTTTAAAGAAAAGGTTGAAATCAATACATCACAAACGGATTTGTCTTTGATTTCTCGTTGTTTTTTAATCGTTTGAATAGTTCGAAAGAAAAGGTTGAGATCAATACATCACAAACGGTAGAACCAATAATCAGTAAAGGTATGGAGTTTCCAACAAAACGATTTTTGATTGTTTAGATACTCTGTTTCTGATGAAATATTTAAAATACTCTGTTTGATTGTTTTTGATTCAAAAATCTTGTTCTGCACATTGCGTTTTTAGAGTCATCCGTGGAAAACGGTGACAATAAGAAAGGTTTATCGGTAGAGAACAATGATGAAATTAAGGAAAAACTAGAGGAAAACATGAAGACATTCGACGAACAATTGAAGGATGAAAAAAAGTCTGAAAAACTAAAAAGCGAACAAAAAACGGGATTTTTCACAAGCTTTGCTGTACCTAAATCTACTGTACGAGACACGAAAATATCTACAACTTCTTCGTTGAATAAAGAGAAAATTGTTAAAAGTGATGAAAAAGTTGAAACATCACATAATCGTGAAATCTTTAAAGGAAATAATAAGTTGCTTCGTGGCACATCATCGTCGAGAAATAAATCTTCCATTGAACCAAAATCCACTATTATAGATGAAAAATGTAAAAATACAGTCACAACAAATGAAAACAAGCAATATACGACAGCTAAACAATGGGAAGATGCAAATGATCCAAATTTTGCTGACTGGCTTCCACCTAATGGTATGCTTTTGAATGTTAATTATTTATAATTAGGTGAATTATTTGCATGTGCTTGGCTTGCTCATTTCTTAGCATGTTTTCTTTTAGATCAATGTGGTGATGGAAGGACGAAACTTAATGAAAAGTATGGTTATTAATTTCACTGCACAAGAAGCTAGAGTTGCTAACTTTCATATTGTTAAATAAAACTTTTGAACATGTGGTGGATGGAAATCAGTAATGTAATTTCAGGCTGCTTAAGTATCGGCGCTGAAAGACATGGATAAAATAATCTGTAAATAACTGTGTCTGTTTTGTACTATGCTTCATTGCATTGTTGATTACACAGGATTTAGTTGTAAATTGATGAAAATCTTAAACAGAAAACTAGATTTCTAAATGTTTCAAACCTTTTTTACGAAAGTTCTTGTTGTCGCTGGCGAAGTTGTTTATTTGGGTTGTATTGTTCACGTGGTCACTAGTTATGTCGCAAGGCCTACTTTGGTATTTTGTCTTTGTTTTGGATTGTTGTCTTTTTGAAAAACTAAATAAAAACTAGTGTGTAGTGCAGTCAATACAGCTAACTATACAATTTTTCACTAGTGTGTTGTACAGTCAATACAGATAACTATACAATTTTTCACTAGTGTGTTGTTCAGTCAAGACAGCTAACTATACCATATTTCACTGGTGTTTTGTACAGTCAATACAGATAACTATACAATTTTTCACTAGTGTTTTGTACAGTCAATACAGACAACTATACAATTTTTCACTAGTGTTTTGTACAGTCAATACAGATAACTATACAATTTTTCACTAGTGTGTTGTACAGTCAATACAGATAACTATAAAATATTTTACTGGTGTGTTGTTCAGTCAATACAGATAACTATAAAATATTTTACTAGTGTGTTGTTCAGTCAATACAGCTAACTATAAAATATTTTACTAGTGTGTTGTTCAGTCAATACAGATAACTATACAATATTTCACTGGTGTGTTGTACAGTCAATACAGATAACTATAAAATATTTCACTAGTGTGTTGTTCAGTCAATACAGATAACTATAAAATATTTCACTAGTGTGTTGTTCAGTCAATACAGATAACTATAAAATATTTTACTAGTATGTTGTTCAGTCAATACAGATAACTATACAATATTTCACTAGTGTGTTGTTCAGTCAATACAGATAACTATAAAATATTTTACTAGTATGTTGTTCAGTCAATACAGATAACTATAAAATATTTTACTAGTGTGTTGTTCAGTCAATACAGATAACTATAAAATATTTTACTAGTATGTTGTTCAGTCAATACAGATAACTATACAATATTTCACTAGTGTGTTGGAGAATCCATGCAGCCAACAATTAACTCTACATCAAGCAATGATATTGTTCTTATGGAGCATGTTTCAACTCGAAACAGATTGCTTAGAAAGTGAGTTCAAAATATTTTTGCAAAAAATAATTATAAAGTTAAGCAAGCTGTATAATGTGTTTCATAGAAATGATGTTGTAATTGTTCGTTCATTACAAGATCCTGATATGTCTATATGCAAGCGAATTGCAGGCATGGTATGTTATGTAGATCTAAGTACCATCTTTTATGATCATTATGTATTTATTTTACCTTATGTTTTGGGTTGATGCCCCCCCCCTGCTCATGTGAAAAATATGTACAAACTATGGTCAAAGAAAGTTGAGAATTTATAAAGTTATTGTGGTTTGAGAAAAATTTAAATAAGGAGTAGATTTGAACCGTATAGTTTCATTTCCAGCTTTAAATAACTTCAAAGACCAGATTACCAATGTAGTTATAATGAATGGCCCAGTTATTTTAATCAGCTATTTATTACAGATGTTTAGCTACATAGTTTTAAATTACATTTTAATTTTTTCTTCTTTTATTTTGAAGGAAGGAGACCTGATTCGTGCTGATATTATAAACAAAGACGAACATGTTAAAAAAACCATTAAAGTTGGTAGAAAAATATGCATAATTCTTTATAAGTGCATATTGTTGAGCTTCTTGGTTTTTCCCAGGTTCCCAAAGGACATGTGTGGCTTTTAGGGGATAATGCAGAAAATTCTGTGGATTCCCGTAGTTTTGGACCAGTACCTTATGGATTGATTGTGGGAAGGGTTTGCTATAAAGTGAGTTGTTAGCACATTTTTCACTGAAAGCCATAGTTATATTTAGAGCTTCTACTTGAAAGCCTTAAAACTGTTTATCTGTCATAGAAAACTGCCATGTTATCTTTGAAAATTTTTGTAATTTTTGGGACAACACACAACAGTTGCAATAGCACTGTTTTCTATGAAGCATTTATTTAAGAGACAAAACTGCTACACTTAATGTTACCATAGCAGTGCAGCTTAATGACTGCTATATTTTACTCTTTTATAGTTGTATCCATTCCGTGAATTTGGCCCTATAAGTTAACAAAGAAATAACTGAATGTTAACTTGTGTTTCATATCAAGGTATTGAAACTAAATATAAATCATGGATAATTTTCTTTACATAAAAGCAAACATTGTAATTAGAATGAGACATTTGAAATACAAGGCAAATTTTTTCAAAGCAAACATGTTTTGGCATACCTTATGCCATCTTCATTGCAAAGAAGGAAGTTTACATGAATACAAAGTAATATATGTAGTGAAGATGGCATAAAGTCGTCGTTTATTTTAAGTCTCACAACTAATGTGTTTGTATGAAATTATGGAAACATTGTAAGAACATAAAGTAATGTGAGGTTAGGGAGTTGTTTCTGATTGAGCTTGTGGAAATATTCTTGTAATGGATTTATAGAAATCAAGGATTATAGATTACGAATATAAAAATTGAAGGTAAGTTTTTTTTATAATGTGTATGGTAAACGAGTGATATTAATGGTTTTGTGTCTTATACAACCATTCTTTTCTTACCAGAGATGCGTATTTTTAAAAGACTTCAGAAATGAATAGTTTAATCTGAGTACAAAACTGGGAAAATGTAATTACATAACGACAATTGCACAAGAACGCTAAATTCAAAATCGTCACACCGTTATAAAACATACATTATTTAAATCGATTTGAAAACTTTTCCACTAAGTGGCATTCCTAGGCTTAAAATTGCCAAGAAATATTTTTGCCTTTAGGGTTAGTTTGATTAAATGACTTTGGCAAGTCACGATCTTTATACAAACACGTAGTTATAGCTTTTGAAAGGATTTCTTATTCTACTGATAATTTAATGAACTACTTTAGCATAACGTTTACAATAAAATTTTAAATATTTTTGGATTGTCTATTGTTTTGTGTTTGATAAAAATACCCTTAGGCAGTCGTAAAATTTATGGTAGTTTTAGTACGTTGAGCCCTATAAAAATTGAATACATTTAAAACAACCAATGCAAAAGTTCGGACGCTTGCATTTGACAAACAACTGGCCACTAACTTTCTCTACATCTTTGTACATTTTTGGAAATAATTTATTAAATGTTTGTGAAAGCATATTGTGGCAAATCAATGTTCTTTCATTTACATTGCAGTTAGAATGCGAAAATTCACGTAATTTTACCCATAAATATTTTAAAATTTTGTTTTGTTCAGTCTTTTGAAGATCATTTCCTAGACGAGCGATAATGATTTTATTATGTATTGTCTATCGTGACTTTAAACCCACCACAGGTACATGCTACCGTACCATACAATTTTTATCGCAAAGATTACCTTTAACCCTTACAAAGTAAACAATCTTAAAGTTTTCCAGTTTAGTTTTGACGACTGTTCAAGGATAGAAATACCTTGATCTATAAATGTCTTACAACGTTTGACGATTAATGGAGCAGTGACAAAATTCAATAAGTCTTAAATTGTATATATTACACAAGATGTATATTAGAAAAGCCTCGGGTCTAAATAACTCAGTTATTCATAAGTCAGAACTTCACTGACTTTTAACTTTACTCTAAATTTTTTTTTCTTTGAATGATTTGAACTTACGTAAGTTTTTATTAGTTGTATTTATACATTTTTCCGTATTGAAAACATTCACAAGAATTGTTATATTTGTCCGGTCTATCAGTTATTGTAGTGGATTGCATTTGAATTTAATTTTATTTTCGTCAGATGTATGAAGACGTGATGTTTTTACATCATTTAATGTGCTCGTGATGCGATAATTAAGATGAAAATTATAAAACCACGTCTTTGCAACTGATACAATACAATTTTATTTTTTAATGGTTTACATTGACGAAAACGAAACGTCATGTAATCACAACAATTGCCGTAATTATTTTCCTAGTTAAAGAAATTTTTCATCTAAATAAGGTGAAAATATTTACTTTTCTGTAATACACGACTGCCCTTGACTGTATTATTAGAAGATACTATATAAATAAAACAAAGTTGTTTAAAGTTCACAGTACAAATTCCAGTAACCTGATGAATCACGACAGCTTATATAAAACGAACTACTGTCGAGAGACTCGTTTATTGGATTCGTGATCCCTGACAGATCAACATGAAAGTATTGTGTCTTTTTCTTCTAAGTTTCGGCGCTGCTGGTAAAGTATTATGTTGTTGATACATCTCTTTCGTATTTCTTGTCGACAATCATTGGTTTTTTTCTTTATTTTCTACTCTAACTGTGCTGTGTGTACTTATAATGTCGTTATTGATCTGAAATATTTCATTTCTTCTTTTTTTTCTTTACTTTTAGTGAGCATCCATTTAGGTAAGCATTTTGTACGTTTTTTTACTTTATCATCTGCTAGTTTCGTTTATTCTTTTCCAGTAATTTTCTCTTGTATAGACGCTTGTTTTCTGAATGCATCACTTTATAATTAACAAACTGTTTAAATCTATTATTATGTATAGGATACAAGGAAGGCAAGCGTTATTCGTACAAATATGTTGGATCAATTCTTCATGGTGTACCTGAAGCATTCGAAAAGGATTTAGGATTGAAGATTGAAGCCGTTACTCACTTGGATAAACTCCCTTCTGATAAGTTTAGAATGACTGTAAGTATAAGACTTTATGATTTTTTATTTCTTCTTCGGTTTGTCTATTTTTATGTTGGATTCGTTCTTTATGATTAACGTGAAGTTATGTAATGAAAAGAATGAAAGGATTCATTGAGTTGAACTTAAGTAAAGTTGATCAAGATGGATTTTAGCATTATAAGGTTACATGAAGTAGAAATAGTGAATAAATATTTTAGTCGTTGGCTTTTCAATGGAGTAAGTTGACTAACGTGGTGATTTATAGCTGTCGCATTTTTAAAGTGTTACTGCATCTCTCTCCAAGTTCTAGCAAATGGTCATTTGACATTAAAAATCTATTTTTTTTTTGTTTTGCCGTTTTACGCTTCACTAAAGTTTGTTTTTGTCTGCAGCTGGAAAATTTGACGATAGTTGAGGTGAGAGGTAAATTGTTACGTGAAGATCGAGTTGAAAGTAGCTCACCTAATGTGGAAGAACCATTGGACAAAATCACTAATGGACTGAAGAAATGGTTGGAGAAACCAATTCAATTTCAAATGAAGGCAGGAAAGGTTGAAACAAAAATGTTTGTAGAGAAAGAAACGCCCGAATATTGCGTTAATATGCTAAGAGCTATTGTGAATCATTTGTACTTGCCCATTGTTGACAACAAGGAGAAATATCAAACTCGTAAGAATGAGGTAAGAATATCTTATAAGAACAACGATGGACTGGTTTACGTCATTCATTCTTAGCATACTTTGCTACTTGTTGCATGTAGGAATGTTTTTGTTGCCATGAACTACACAACGCTTTTTTATAAATGCCAGTTGTCGGATTTGTGAATTCAAAAAATGTTTCGTCTTCTATGAATTTTTCAATAGATTACCGTTCTTGGAACTTGTGATACATATTACACCATCGTTCAAAGAAAACCTTATGTCAAAGTAAAGAGAACAATTGATCTTGCGCATTGTAGTGAAAGGTCAAAAGTCCTTGCGACCAGCTTGCCAAATACTGACTCTTTTATCATGAAACGAAAGGTTAGTCGTGGTATACTTACTATAAATAATGTCTCTACTATAAATTTTGACTATAAATTTTTATAAAATCTTACTATAAATCTTACTATAAATCTTACTTTAAATTCTTACTTAAAATCTTACTATAAATTTTGACTCTGAAGATGACTACCGCTAAGGTTGTAGAAACGTCAGTCAGCAACAACAAAAACAGTCCTTCTCAGGACTTTATTAACCTGGACGATCTAAATTTACAAACATGTAACGATACTCCCGGGTTCAAACCATTTACTTTATAAATATTGTCTGGTATCTCTCTTTTCTCTTCCTTGGTTAACGTGTATGCAACGTTGTTTAAGTACGTAAACACTTACCTTATATGGCAATATTCATTTCAATTTCAGGCTCGTGGTACGGCAGAACAGCTACCAAACTTTGTTCGAGAGGCAGCCTATATGCATTATGACTTACAAGCCGACAAAAATAATGAATTTGTCATCAGGAAAGTTGTTGGTGAAAATGTTGAGGAAATGTTATTACAAGGAGATCAATATGCAGCTGGAAAAGCCGTAGCCGCTCATACCAAGTATTTTTTTACTTTTGTTCCGAGAGACTTCCCTTTAAAAATGTTTTTAATCAGTGTGATGGGATTTGTGCTTATAGTTTGAAGTCTGCAAGTTGTGAAGTATAATTTAAATTATGTTCATGGTTGTTTTTAAAGATGGTACACTTAAACTTTTTCTTATAATTTAGACAAGAGTTAACATTACTGGAATCGGAGAGGACTATTCCCACAGACGCCAAGGGTGAATAATATTTTCCCAATATTTTTTCCTGCTTTTTGCGATTTGAAAATGTTAATACCACTGCTTAGAATTAATTATTGAAAATTTTTGTTTTCTTTATCTTTATTATCAGAAATCAAAAATGGCGAAAATCGACAAGGATTGAAGTTTGTTTTCGATTTTGACTTGAAAACAATGGCGTCTAAGAAAGCTCAAAGCAATTATTTGTTAGCTGTATGTAAATTGATCTTTCTTTCTTACCACTCAATAATGTAGGGAAAATAAACAGGAAATTTTATTGTCACGCTTCCAGGTCTATAGTTAAATAAAAACCCATATTAAGGACCTTTTAAATATTTTTTTTACTTTACGATCATGTACAGTAAAGAAACGTGTTGTTGTATCTTTCAGGCCAAAGAGCACATTGTTGCCATCACACAACAATTAAAAAGTGGCAGTTTATCGTCTGAATCTGCCACCAAATTTTCGATGCTCGTTTCAATGTTACGTCATTGCAAACATGACACTTTGAAAGAAGTTGTCCAGACTATACAAGCTATTCAGAATGACGATGCGAGGTAAAAGTAGAAGTTTAGGAGCTTGAAAAATGACGACGTTAGAATAGAGTATTTTTAATGTCACAGAACTTTTGTAAATGAGGTTAAGATATAAGATCATAGTTGTGTTTTTGTGTTATTGTTATTGTTGTAATAAACTGTGTTTTATGAAGTCTCTATAGTTACTTTGACCCAGTTTCTTGGTGTTCTTGTAGAAACAAAGATTTTTGCAAAGCATAACATCTTTTTAGTCTTACTTGGTACTTTTTATTAAACTCACAATGTCGTCTTCACTTTTTTTCAAGACGTATATGTTACGATGCATTGGCTCGTGTTGGCACTGTTGCCGCTGTCCAGATCATCAAGGATTCTGTTAATAATGGAATAATGACAAAGTACTTGCAAGGAATAATGTTTGGTATTGGTTGGGTACGAGATTTGAACTCTGAATATATGAAAACCGTCATGGTAAGAACTGATTAATGTTTTATTGTGTTTAATTCATTTACTGAGCTTCACTAGTATATATTTACCGAAGTATATAAAATTTTACTTAACTGTACAACTTTCAGGATCTATGTGAAAGCAGAGTGGTTGCCGCTGACATAGGAGCAGTTCGAACTTGCTGGCTTAGTTTTGGAACACTGGCCAATCGTTTCATGGTTAAAACTAGACAGAATTCTAAAATGAATTCGGCTAAAGATCTTTCAATGGTGCATCTTATCTCTAAGGTAAAACTCATTGAATTACATACGAGTCTGTGGAAATTTGTTGTTGTTTTTTTGTAAGAATGAAGGTTTGATTGTTGTATCTGACAAGGAAAGAATGCTTTTATTTTTTATTGTTTTAAATGATTCTTGGGTTATTTAGTCGGCATTTACTTATTAATGATCATTTACAGGACTATCTTTTTGTTTTTTAAACTTTTTAAATACTATTTTCATGGTATATCTTTTAGACTCTTAAAGAAAGAATTAAACATGGAAAAGACGACGATGAGAAAATAATGTTTTTAAAAGCAGCAGGTAACGCTGGCTACCTTACTCAAGATCTCTTCAAGACCATCTCTGATGTAGTTATGAGTCGTTCATCATCTCTACCCGTGAAATTAACAGCTGTATGGGCATTAAGACATACAACCAAAGCTGCATCTGATTCCGTGAGTATAATGTAATTTAAAGTTAAATACGTATCTAAACACTGAACCAACACATCATTAAAAATAGACAAGTTTTCCTCGTGATGTTATTGTGTATAATATCTTATAATTTGTTACAAAACACAAAAAACTTATCTAGGTCCGTAAATTGTTGCTACCTGTGCTGACGAATCCTTTGCGTGATGAGGAACTACGATTATCTTCGTACAAGATATTAATGCAGAATAATCCTAGCATTTTAACATGTCAAATGATAGCTGCTGTTATTGCTCGTGAGTCAACTGGTCTTGGACCTCGCAGTAACCAACTTGTTTCTTACATCATCAGTGACCTTAGAACGTCTGTCAAACATGATAAAAATAATCCTACAAAGTAAGTCGTGTTCTGTCTTCGGAAGATTTTTGTTCCATTCTGTTGACGGCGTGTTGGAAACGTATCGTTATTTGATCACAGTTTTGGTCTTATTGAGGAAATATTGAAATGTTTTCTTTTACTTTACCCAGGGCGTCAAGAGCACGACTTTTGCTCAGATTCGTTCCTCGTAAAACGTATTTCACAATGTTTTCTTACTCAAAAGCCATCAATCTTGATGCAGGTCGTTATTTATTAAATAAATTACTTATTTAATGCGTACTGTAGAGAAATAAATACAGCTTTATTTTTCATTCATATAGGAGATAAAATGGGACTAGAGTTACGACTCAACAAGATCTACACTCGTCATTCATTTATACCAAGATTTATGAACGGAAAGGCAAGATTAAATTTGCCAGGAATGTCAGTCGACTTTCTTGAGGTTTGTTTACATCATTTTCCACCAAATAATTAACTTGAGACTTTGAACAAAGTGGATTAATATCGTCTTTTGAACTATAAACATGCAAGAAACTCGTGTAAAATGCGCGTAAAAGGCATTGAAAACGAGTTTGAGTAGTTTCTTATGATTCTTTCAGTACGGAATTCGTATGCAAGGCATTCAAGAAGCTCTCATGTCTTTAGTTGGACAGAAAGAAAGCCCAGTTAAGCAACGTAACTATAAAAATGGAGAAAACAAGGTAGATTATGCAAATACTAGCATTGTCATAAGTTTGACATTGATGTGCTTTTTAAAAATATGAACGACCAAAGATGAATATTTTATCGTCTTTTTTTCATGAACAAAGATCATCCCGAGGCTCGAAACATTTAGTAAGATGTTTGGCTCTGAGATATTTTATAATCAAATTGCTGTATCAGATGTTGCTGCAACTATCCGTGATGTTTTTACGGGTGAAAAAACCATCAATGAATTAGGTACAATTCTCAATTCACTCTTCTCAACTTTATGTTTTTTTGAGTCATGTTATTAACCCTCTGTCTTTATTTTTTATTATTTGAGAGTTACTTTTTTGTTTCATTTTATCTTTTGTCTTCCTGCTTAAGTTTTCAAAACAATTTAAACTTTAATGTCTGTACGAACGGGATTTTTAACTTTGCTAAATTAATTTCATCATTTTTTGTCAGCCAGGATAAGGAAGCAGACTCACTATGTTACTTATCTTTTTGTGAAAAATGTTATTTTAGCATATTTAAATTGGTTTTACAGGTTGTACGTTTAGTTCTAAAGAAATTCATTGTGAGAAATCCATGAGTCAAGGTCATATGTTGAGCGAGGTTCGTTATATGGTTTCAACATTGGCTGGCATTCCTATGAAATATTCTGGAAAGTTAGCCACAGTTGTAAAAGGACAACTTTCCGCCAAAATATCTGGTTTGTCTCAACTTTTAAAATCACAATATAAAGAGATCAAATCATCGGTCAGCACAAGTTCAAAGTACGTAAAGTGCGACTTTGCCAAAATTACTTTACATTTTTATGACAGCACCGATTTTAACTACAACATTTTCATTTCATTTCTCTAGTGTTTCCTTCCATATGCATCACAAAGTTGGTACATGGCTTCCAAACTTCGAGACGGGTGTTCTCATAAATCATACATTATTTAGTCAATCGCCAAATTTACGGGCTAACCTTGTCTTAAACAAGGGAAGTATCAAATTTGAAGGACCAGTTTCTCCCGAAACTGTCACATTACTTGATCAGAGGTAAGTTCTGGGAATTGTTGATTGATTGTAATTTGTTATTCAGTGAAATATTACGATACAGCTTAAAGTCTTCGAAAATGTAAAAATTTTACTGCAGAAACATTGTTTTCTGTCACCGATTTGCCTTACTTTCGAGCTACGAAAACAGATATTTATGAATATTTTATCAGAGCGAACATTAGTGGCATCATGCGACAAGATTCTTCACTTGGTGACAGACAATGGTCTATACCTGATTTACAACCAAAACTTCTTGGCTTGATAAAAGTAAGTTGTATGAAAATGTTGTTGCATTAGATAAATAGATGGATAGATGGTTTCTTACAAACATTGCAGCCAATTGGCTGAGTGTAGTGTTTCTAAATCCTCTTTCTTTTACACTTTTAATGAACAAGAAGTTTGTACATGTTTGTAGATGTAGATCGTCCAGGTTGGTATAGTCCTGAGAAGGACTGTTTTTGTTGTTGTTGACTGACGTTTCGACAAACTTAGCGATAGTCATCTTCAGAGTCAAATGAGGAGTAAACGTCAGGTTAGCCGTATTTGTTATCTGGTTCTTAAGACATTGTATTGTGTGTCCAGGAAATGTGTATTGTCATTGAAGATTAGTGTGAAGTGAAATGTTTTTAGTTGTGATGTGTGATTTAGGTGTGATGTTTTTAGTTGTAATGTGTGGGTGTCAATTGTGTATTGTCATTGTGAATTAGTGTGAAGTGTAATGTTTTTAGTTGATCGTTTGTTTGTATTGTGAATAAGTCGTTTGTAAGGTGCCGGTAATTGCTGTGATCTGTTCAGGGGGGTTTGTTTCAAGTTGGTTTACCAACTTTCTAATGGAAGCCGTTGTCTATAGTCACTACTGTAAGTAATGCATTTTGCCGAGTCCCAGTCAATGTTGTGTTTTGTGATTCGGTGATGTTCGCCAATGTGATTAGTTTTGTCTTGTTTCTTTGTAGCTCGTTTGTGTTCAGTAAGTCTTATGTTTAAGTTCCTGCCAGTTTCCCCGATATAGGAGGCGTGGCAGTCGGAGCAGTTTATTTTGTAAACTGCACCTTGTCGTTTGTTGGGTTGTTCTTTGTCCTTTATGTTCGTTAGTACTTGTCGTAACGTTGTGATTGGTTTATGTGCGACATGTATGTTGTATGGTCGTAAGATACGCGAGATAGTCTCAGACGTACCTTTGATGTAAGGTATCGTTGCTGTTGTCACTGATTTGTTCGTTTCGTTGGGTTCGTAAGTGTTGCGTTTGATAAAGTCAAAGTTATAGTTGTTTTTTGTCAAAAAACACGTTTGAGATAGTTGTTTTCTTGTGTAGAGCGTCTCTGAAGATGACTACCGCTAAGGTTGTCGAAACGTCAGTCAACAACAACATAAACAGTTCTTCTAAGGACTATACTAACCTGGACGATCTACATCTACAAACATTTAACGATACTCCCGGGTTCAAACCATTTACTTTATTACGATCATTTGGACGACAGAGCGAACAGCTTGCTAAAGACTACAAACGTTTTGAAAGCAACGTCGGACGCATACGCCAACAACTCTTGTTCAACCACCGCTGCAAGGATTTTGGTCTCGTTCCAGCAGGACTTAGAATTAAGTCCCCGTTTAACAAACGAGAGGCTATTCAGATTGTCAAGTCCACCATCAGACCACTGATACGAGCAGGGATTAACGACTGTCACAGACGAATCAACTACATCAAGCAACAAGAACAAAGACTGAAGAAACTAAAGGAACTCATACCAACGACAGTAAGTGATACTTTTCTTTCTACTATACAAACTATTGCAGAGAAACGAGCAAACAAGACAGAGACACAACTTCAAATCAAACAACAACAAAAACTTGAACGTTTAAAACGCAATAAAACACGTACAAGACATAAACATGACGATAACTGGGTGAGGAATATTTCTTCCCGCTCATTAGACGAAACTGAAATACGACTACTATCTTACGGACTAAAGCATTCTTACGGACTAAAGCATTCTTACGGACTAAAGCATTCCGAATCCCGACTGAGACGATAGTATCAAGTGTCGAGGCTGTCCTAGCGTATCAAAGAGACTTGTCGAAGACAACCAAAGACGAGATCAGAAGCAGGGTAGCCTCCGCTTTACAATCGTCCTCTATACGTGACAACAACTTGACAAAGGACGAGCAACAAGCACTCAAACGACAAACACGACAACAACATCGTCATTTTACCAGCAGACAAAGGACGCGTGACTGTGGTCATGGACAGGAATGATTACTTCGACAAAATGGACACCTTTGTTAACGACAGACAAACGTACGAACAACTCAAACGAGACCCAACACCATCACTAGTACGCAAACTTAACAGCAAGATCTTCTCTATGAGAAAATCTAACATTATATCTGAACGTATTTACTATCGACTTAGATGTTCTGTACCACGACCACCCAGACTATACGGACTACCAAAACTTCACAAACCACAAATACCTATGCGACCAATTGTATCATTCTGTGGTTCGCCAAAGTACTTGACTGACATACTGCAACCACTTACAAGCAAATTAAAACCAATCACAACGTTACGACAAGTACTAACAAACATAAAGGACAAAGAACAACCCAACAAACGACAAGGTGCAGTTTACAAAATAAACTGCTCCGACTGCCACGCCTCCTATATCGGGGAAACTGGCAGGAACTTAAAATAAGACTTACTGAAGACAAACGAGCTAGAAAGAAACAAGACAAAACTAATCACATTGCCGAACATCACCGAATCACAAAACACAACATTGACTAGGACTCGGCAAAATGCATTACTTACAGTAGTGACTATAGACAACGGCTTGCATTAGAAAGTTGGTAAACCAACTTGAAACAAACCCGCCTGAACAGATCACAGCAATTACCTGCACCTTACAAACGACTTATTCACAATACAAACAAACGATCAACTAAAAACACTACACTTCACACTAATTTACAATGACAATACATAATTGACACCCAAACATTACAACTAAAAACATCACACCTAAATCACACATCACAACTAAAAACATTTCACTTCACACTAATTCACAATGACAATACACTTTTCCTGGACACACAATACAATGACGTAAGAACCAGATAACAAATACGGCTAACCTGACGTTTACTCCTCATTTGACTCTGAAGATGACTACCGCTAAGGTTGTCGAAACGTCAGTCAACAACAACAAAAACAGTCCTTCTCAGGACTATACCAACCTGGACGATCTACATCTACAAACATGTAACGATACTCCCGGGTTCAAACCATTAACTTTATTAAGAAGTTTGTAATGTTTTTCCTATATCTAGGTTCCTAAGACATGCTATGGTTGTGCTAGATTAAACGTTATGTTGTGTATACAAGGAGAAATCATTGATCCCGATTACCAGAGGTTGAAAGTTTTACCATCATTCCCATACAAATGGCTCAATAATTGGTCAATCGTTTTGAAAACCCCTGAGAAATTTGAGTTTTCTTATAAGATTGTGGAGAACGACAAGGGTACGTTATCCTTTATGAATGAATTTGATGACATGTGAGATATGAGAGACTGTATCTATAGAAATGTAAGAGATTGGAGATAATGGAGGTATGAGAGAGACTGTATCTATAGAAATGTAAGAGATAGGAGATAATGGAGGTATGAGGGAGACTGTATCTATAGAGATGTAAGAGATAGGAGATAATGGAGGTATGAGGGAGACTGTATCTATAGAAATGTAAGAGATAGGAGATAATGGAGGTATGAGGGAGACTGTATCTATAGAGATGTAAGAGATAGGAGATAATGGAGGTATAGAGAGATGAGATAGAGAATGTAAGGGATGGAGAGGAAAGGATAGGAGATAATGGAGGAGAGAATGAAATGAGAGGTATGGAGAGAGACTATAGAAATGGAGAAATGGAGGAGAGAGATGGAGACTATAGAAATGAGATAGGAGATAATGGAGGGGAGAATGTAGAGATGGGAGATAATGGAGAGATGGAGATGGAGATGGAGGGAAGAGATAGAGAGAATGGAGATAATGGAGAGAGACTGTATCTATAGAGATGTAAGAGATAGGAGATAATGGAGGTATGAGAGAGACTGTATCTATAGAATGTAAGAGAGATAATGGAGGTGGAGAGAGACTGTATCTATAGAGATGTAAGAGATAAGGGTATGAGGAGACTGTATATAGAGATGTAAGAGATAGGAGATAATGGAGGGGAGAGAGAGATGAGAATGGGAGATATAATGGAGAGGAGATGTGGAGATAGGAGGAATGGAGGTAAGGAGAGATAATGGAGATGGAGAGATGGGGATAGAGATAGGAGATAATGGAGGAAATGAGATAATGGAGGTATGGAGATATGAGAAAGATAGGAGATAATGGAGGTATGAGACTAGAAAAGGAGATAGGAGATAATGGAGGAGACTGTATCTATAGAGATGTAAGAGATAGGAGATAATGGAGGTATGAGAGAGACTGTATCTATAGAGATGTAAGAGATAGGAGATAATGGAGGTATGAGAGAGACTGTATCTATAGAGATGTAAGAGATAGGAGATAATGGAGGTATGAGAGAGACTGTATCTATAGAGATAAGAGATAGGAGATAATGGAGGTATGAGAGAGACTGTATCTATAGAGATGTAAGAGATAGGAGATAATGGAGGTATGAGAGAGACTGTATCTATAGAGATGTAAGAGATAGGAGATAATGGAGATATGAGAGAGACTGTATCTATAGAAATGTAAGAGGTAGGAGATAATGGAGGTATGAGGGAGACTGTATCTATAGAGATGTAAGAGATAGGAGATAATGGAGGTATGAGAGAGACTGTATCTATAGAAATGTAAGAGATAGGAGATATGAGAGAGGTATCTATAGATGTGGAGGTATAAGACTGGATCTTCAGAATTTAAGAATGTTGAATTCAGGGGGGGGGATGAGAATTGCAATGATTTCAAACAACAAAATGGTGACAGCAAACTTCGTTCTTATATTGTCAACACAAAATATTACCTGTAAAAATTCATCATGATTTACGTCACAATACAACTTTACTCCTTTGTAAACATGTGAACAGAATGCGGTTGCCATGTTTCTGACTGGTTTTTCATATCTTTTTAGACATGTACAAAGGTATTGGATTGATAAAAATCACGGGCCGACCACATGATAAGGAAATGACTGTGAATTTTAAACCAGTTTGTGATAAGCAGAACTTCACATGTCAGACAAAATGGAGTATCGAGAATAAACGATGTCCACAAACATGTAAAGGATCTTCATATATTGATTACTCAGAAGAAAACAAGTTAACCATTGTTAACAACTACAGCAATGTCGAAATAACGACTCAGGTTCAATTGGAGGAAAAGAAAAAAACAATTCGTTTAGTAAATACTTGGAATCAGGTTGGTTGTTTTGTCGAAGTTGTAAAATAATAGGGTTTTGAAATTGTTTTTTGAATAACTCCTGAAAGCGCGTCACAAGTCTTTTGTTGTGTTTTTTAGCTACCCCAGCGTCTAGACCAGTTCATTCGACAAAATCGTTTGGATATTATCACAAAGTTACACCGTTACTTTAAAATTACCGAAAATTCAAAGTCGGATAACCGCTCTGTGATTGAAGTAAAGTTGTTGAACGATTTCGTAGCGGACATTTTCGTAGATTTACCTTCCTTAAAGCTGGAACGTATCAACCAACAGCTTCCTGTACCATTGAGTTTAGACAGTGTGAGCCTTGCAGAGTTTGAAAAAGACTTCCTGCAATACGGTGACTATTAATGTTTTTTAGAAAAAAGTTTTTATGTGTTAAGTCGTTTAACTGGGGTTTTCTTGACTATAACTTTTTTTCATAAAGAGTTTTTCCAGATTATTTATGACAAAGAGATAAAAATATGTTTTGCTTGATTAGCCTAAAAACTCTAATAAGTGCAAAAGATCGTCAAACCACTAAAGTCAGAAACATAGAATGTAGTAAATACTGAGATTCTATATGTTGTCAATTGATATGTAGGTCTGTGATGAAGTAAAATTTAGTTATGCGAATGATTAACATTGAGGTTTTCAGTAAAAGTAGCCTAAGTAGTGTGAAAGAGCAATTTTTAATGAAAGAAAATCATATTTTTAAGGTATTTGTAAAGTGGAAGGTACAAAAGATTTTGTAACGACAGACAGCGCTATCATTGAGGCTGATATTCCAAATGAATGTCCTTTCATACTTGCTCAAGACACGCGCTATGACCAGCCAAAATGGCGCATATTTTTGAAAAAGTCAGAAAAAGGAAGACACATTCTCATATTTGAATTCGGCAAAGAGAGAATTGAATTCGATCGAGACATGACAGTCAAAGAAAATGGGAAAATTGTCGATGTTCGTGAAGGGAACACAGTGAAACTGTTAGCTGGAAGTGTAACCAGAAAAAATAATCAATTATACTTCAAATCAAACGTTAGTTGTTTCATTTTATTTTATTGTATTGTGATAACGATCATTTCTTTGCAAAATGTATTGATTGCCCAAAAATTTGAATATATTTTGTCCAATCAAAACCGTATTTTGTTTTTGTTCATATTTTTGTTGATTTCATTATGGTGCAAGCCATGTATTTTTCCTCTAGACCGACTTCCATTGTCGCTATAATGGTTCTTCGACAGTACTTTCGTTTTCTCATTGGTACCACAATCGTATATTGGGGATATGTGGCAACAATGATGGTGAACAATGGACTGACTTTCAAACTCCTCGTAGGATACACATGTCGGAGATGATGCCACGAGAATTTATACGAGAGTGGATTGGTGATGTTTCGTCTGAAAATGGAGGTATGTGTTCATTTGTAAGCTGGGGGAGACTGCTCGAAACCGTGCTAACAAAATTGCAAAAATGAATAAATTATAATACTAAATAAAAACTTGTACTTTGTGTGGGAAGAGAAGATCAAATATCACTACTCCTGGAGTACATCATTACTCAAATTGAATGACCCTGGCATTCCAAAACAACTGTTTATGTTTGTCTAGTCTAGTTTATCTTACACAAGATATCTAGCCATTGAAAAACTTTAATGAAAGCAAGAGAAAACACAAGTCACTAAATATAACAGTTTTTGTTATTTTTAATGTTGTAGGGTTTTGTCTTATTGCAACTTTATTAAATTATTTTCCTGCTATTGAGTTTTTTTTGACTGCTTGTGTACAACAGTGATGTGTGAAACATTAAACATATTTGGAAATGTTTCAAAGTTTTAGACGAAAATACAGTACATAGTAAATAGAAGTAAATTTCGTTCTTTCCCCACAAATCATTTTCTTTTTGGGCATAAAAGCTAAGCAAATGCATTAATCTATGATCATTTAATCTGTATGAAAAAGTATTTATTTCACACATTTGAGACTTCTCCAATCAATATGGCAGGAAAAATTATTTTATTATTGTTGTAAAATACTGCCTCAAAAACCCTCTAAGTTGAGCCATTAACGAAAAAAGATATATGTTCATTTCTTTTTTAAACAGAATGCAGAACAAGAGCTCAGCGTTTGAACCAGACCGTAAGTAGACTTGATGGGAAAATTTGTTTCACCAGTGGTCGGTTTTTACGCTGCGCTAATAATTGTGTGCCGACTACGAAGCATGTTCTTAAGAACGTTGCTCATCATTGTTTCGCTGTTTCTGATCCTATCATTAAAGTTATCAACGAAGATAAAGTGAAGTTTAACTTTGTAACCTTGCCTGTGGACTGGTATGGTAATGTCGAAGAACACACATCATGTAAATGTTAAAGTGGTGATTGATATAATGAACTACATACTTATTACTGGCCTTGATTTTAAGAAAGAATTCATCAATAGTAATCGGGTTGCTGCTTTAGAAAACTTTGTTTTCTCAATTTTTTCTCTGTTGATTGAAGGATTTTATGTAATTTAGTTTTTTTGTGATGTGGGTAACATTAAATTATCTCCAATGAAAGAAATTGAATTAAAATAAATACTTATATATAGCATTTTATTTGTTATTTATTTGGGGGTTGTCATTTACTCCATTGACCATCATACGATGAAAACTCTTGACTGGAGTATATAAGGACTCAAGATTCAACATCAGATCACTCCTGATGAGGACACTAGACTGGAGTAGATAAGGACTCAAGATTCTACATCAGATCATTCATGATGAAGACACTAGACTGGAGTATATAAGGACTCAAGAATCCATGTAAGATCACTGTTCATGAAGGCTTACTTTATCAGACATACCAATGATAAAATGAGATTTATTAAGATGTAAGAACTACTACTTCACAATTACAAACAATTCATAATACAAATGCATCTCTTATTAGTTCTATAAAAAAAATTCAAAGCAATATCTCAACAAAATGAATGTATTCACAAGTCATTATTATAACAAAATATAAACTTGATCGTTTTCACCTTTCAACACTCAAGAAGATTGCTCTTAAAGTGCTCACAAAAATTGTTAAGTGAAAATTTAAAAACTAGCCATCAGTTTTGCTTCAGATTCAATTCAAATGATCATTCATTTTTCTTTTGAGCCAAAATTAATGTATGCTGTCCTCCAGCATCAACCATTAAAACTTTGTGTTCTGCCACGATAAGATTCTTGCCTTCAACCAAAATTGGACTAAAGACATCATCATCATTTCCACTACCAAGCTGCAAACAGGAACCCATGCCCCAAGAGTAGAGATGTCCATCTTCTGTCACTGCAAAACTAACTACTTCCCCACATGATACCTGTTGTACTCTTTGATCTCCAAAAGACGCCACTTCAACAGGGACAAGCTGATCCTTAGCCTCTTCACCCAGTCCCAGTCTACCGTAATCAGCACGTCCAACACTGAATACCTTTCCATCTGTTGTCAAGACAACAGAGTGATGTTGACCACTTGCTATGTGAATTGATTGATTTGTATCATTGTTCAAAGCTGACAATGGTTTTGATTTCATAGGAAAGTATGAATTGTTATTTTCCCCGTTGCCAACTGTCCATAATTATTTAAGCCCCACACATACACTGATGGAGAGTTTTTATCAATTGCGAATGTACAAAAGCTGCCAGCAAAAATATCTCTGAATTTTGTGGCCTTCCTCATTCGAACAATACGAGGAATTAAGATGAATTGCAAGCCACGTCTGCCACCTCTTGAACTAAAGTAACCACCAACTCTACCAAGTTGTCCTTGGTCAGCACTCCCCCAAGTGTATATATCACCTGATTGTGTTAATGCAACTGTGTGATCATTGCCTGAGACAACCTTGGTAACTTTATCATTGGTTAACTTTAAAATTTCTATGGGAGTTGACTTCTTACCATCAGGTCGTAGACCAACCTGTCCGCTCATGTCCTAAAGCAAAATAATTTATACCATCGACAAGTCTTCAAGTTGTAATAATATTCTGCAATGAAATACAACTTACCCTATATGTACCCCAGGCATAAACTGTTCCTGAACTTGTTAATGCAGCACTATGACTGTCACCAGCTGAGACAGAGATAACATGAACATCTTCTGGTAATTCTACTTCCTTTGCAAACCACTCATCACTGTCCTTTTGTGTTGCCTTTCGACCAAGAGCACCTTCATCATTGCAGCCCCATGAGTATACCTAAGTAAATAAAATAAAACTTTTTTGTTTAAGTGGACTGGCAACTAAATTAAGTGATGTCATGATGATATTTATGGGAGAAAATAATGAATAACTTACAATTCCATTGCTACTGACAGCTAATGAATGCATACCACCTGCCACAATCTGTATGATATCAATATTTTCTAGACCACTAACAAAACCAGGTTTTTTTCTCTCGTAGACTTCATCACCTTGACCCAGTTGTCCTGTATCACCTTGACCCATTGAAAGAGTAAAACCAGATGGCAGGTTTGACTTTACACCATTGGTGACTATATATAACATGAATGAGTAAAATTTTTTTAATACTAATGGCATAAATTATTCCAAAATTAAACACCAACTATAGAAATATGAAATACTCATCATTCAATTTTCCTTCACCTTTCCTTTTACTTTCACCAGATTTCTTCTGAGAAGGAGCTTTCCGTTTTTGTGTTCTTGGCATTTTACTAAAATTAAAAGTTGCTTGGACGATGTTCCGGATGTGAACGTTTCAAATCCCAAAATTCCTTTGTTAAAAGAGAACGTCAAGCTATTGATATTCTTAAATAAACAAAATGTGAAGAAAAATGCGTTTTCAAACCATTTATCATAAACTCAAACTTACTTGCATAAGACAAACAGAGAATATGATATATGATTAATCCTTTGTTTATTGATCAGTTTTTCAATTCAGATATCGCGCTCATTCGCTTTTCGTTTCGTTTACCATGCTGTATGAGCCTGCAAGACACTCCGCTGTACAACGATCGAACACCTAAAAAGAGGTACGCAAAGCGTGCCAAACCTTGAACCAGTGCATTGAACGCATTGAACATCTTAGGCTAGTTGTAATATCGAACTTCCTTTGATTATACACGACATACATCGTTTCGTGGATGCATAAAGTTGCTATTATGAAGGTGGTAAAATCTTCAAAATGTATTTTTGATTTAGTTTCTAATGACGTTTAAATTTTTAAAATATATACAAGTTAACATATAAGTTAATTAATAATTATATAAAACATATAAACAACTTGTGAATGTTCTTGAAGTTAATATAAATTTTAAACATTTGGGAAACGCAATATTTAATTTGGATTACTAGGAGAAACGGCAAAGTGGTCTCGTGTGCCAATATGCAATATATATTTCTATAGCATTTGCATGTCGTAAAGCAAAAGAGAAGCACTTTACAACAATTAGAGCATTAAATAGCTTTCAGAACTACAATAGCTGTAAATGACAGTAGCCAATTGCAAAAAAGAATTATTGTTATAAAGTCGGAAGCTTGGTTCTGTAGAATTCATTTGTGCTCTGCTATGTATACATAATAAAGCATAGAAGCACATAAGGCCCTTTTCAAAGACGAACTTTACATGAGCCGAATGGTTTAAAACAAAAGATGAAAATTTTATCACATTTTCTATTGTCCTTAATGCATTCGGCTCATGTAAAGTTCGGTGATTGTTGCTGGCATTAAAGTACAGCTGAAAGAACCCAGGTTAAATGTGAACAGAAACAAGCTGAACAAGAGGTGAAATGGCAGAGAAACGGAGAAATGGGATTGAACAAAGAGAAAGCTTTTTAACAAACAGATTAACAGCTACATTTTTACATTGATGAATTTGTGGAGGCAAAACTACGTCAACGAACGCACATGTTCATTAAGAAATACAGCGACGTTTATCAAAACAACCATTCGTTAGAAACACCACCAAACCGAAGCATTTCAAAGCAAACTGTATACATTGAAGCTGTAACATTGAGGCGCTTCAAAAAACGACACAAGTATTGTTGAATGCCGTGTCGAGTATGTGAAGTGTATTTTAGAGGTTGTAAATATAACATTTGGACGAGATAGAGCCTACCATCAATTTTCATCAGTTTTTGGTGTTAAAACAATGCTATGGCCGGTAAAATATTAACGGAGTTTCAAATAATACAGAACAACATCTGAACAATAATGAAACGCTTTAAAATATGAAAGTCCACCAGATGATTGAGGATACAACTGTTAAAAGCTTTTTCCTGAATCGTGTTAAACAAGTCATCAGCCACTTTTGAAGCCTGATTTGTCTTGCTCATATTTAACTGCGACAAATGTCATTGGTTAAGTCTCCAACAACTGTTGAAAAAGGAACCAAAAGAAATTGTGCGATTTACATGGAGGAACTTGTCTCGATGTTTATTGAGAGAAAACATTCAAGATAGATAACTGTAAATGTTTTACTTTTCTATGACTACATTAACATTAAAATATGCTATTCTACGCTTTTACATTTTTCCCTACACTCTTTGTACGCCTTATTTTTAGGATTATGGTTTTTTGTTGCATCATCTTTAAATTTATCTCGAAGCTCTTCAATAATCTTGTTTCCAAGACATTCAAAGGTAAATTTCATTGAATTTTATACTACAAACTAGGAAAGGTACATTAAGTTCTTATCTCGTTCGTATCATATTAAGTTCATATCTACAGCGGTTTAACAAATCTTTCAATGTCATAAAAAAAATTAAAATAATAAAAATCGTTTGAGTTCCAAATTTTATAAACGAAAGCTCAATTTTTAACTAACTTTTGAAATAACGAGTGATATTTTCATAATTTTGCTGGCGAAATAATTGTGCAAAAAGTGTATCACAAATGACTGATTCTCGTTTGAGATTCTTCAATTTAAATTTTACAAAATACATATTATACTTTCATGAGCTATTTTAATATTGACAAATAAAAACAAGTAAAGAAATGACACAACTTTATGATTATGTTAAAAACAGAAAAGGACATATAGGAATATAAGGGTATAATGAATCAAGGACATATTTGAATATGAGGTATATCAATCAAGGAAATATGGGAATATGAAGGTATACGAAGCAAGCACAAATGGGAATACGAGGGTATAAGAATCAAGGACATATGGGAATACGAAGGTATAAGAATCAAGGACATATGGGAATATGAAGGTATAAGAATCAAGGACATATGGGAATACGAAGGTATAAGAATCAAGGACATATGGGAATATGAAGGTATAAGAATCAAGGACATATGGGAATATGAAGGTGTAAGAATCAAAGAGTGCAACAAAGGACGAAGGTTTGCGCAACCTCACTAAAGTGTCAATTTAATTTTTGTCTATTTTCCATAAATTCTGTCTGCTTTCATATAACGATTCTGTTACAAAAAAATCTGCTGTGCAGTTCAAGACATCAGGCTTCCAAGCACATTTCTCTACTGAATACCATAAAGTTCTCATAGTTTATACCATGACGACAGCTACCTTTTCTCTAGATCATTATTCTATTACAAGAAAAATTGTTTTGCTCTATCCCCGACTGCTCAGTGGAATGCATTTTTGTTTTCAAACTAAAAGTTACTTTCTCGATGTATTTCTTCTATGTCTTCCTTTAACTGTCCAAAGGTTGGTCTATCTTCCTTATCATTCGCCCAACATTTCTCCATGATCCTGTATACTTTACTCGGACATCCTTCAGGTTTGGTTAATCTAAGATCATCTTCAATCGACAAAATAACTTCCTCATCTGGTCTTTCTTCGTAAGGTAAAAGACCTTGAGTGTAGACCTCCCACATTAAAACGCCATAAGCCCAGACATCGGTCATATCACTGTAGTCACCATTTAATGCTTCAGGAGACATCCATCGTAAAGGGACAAGTTCACCTTTATGATTGCTGTATTCATTGGGAAAGGTACCTTGGTTTAAACTTAGGAAAGATATTTTCACATCAAATGCTATGTTTACGAGACAATTGCGCGTGGCGAGATCTTTGTGAATATGCCCATGATTGATAAGGTAGTTCATACCAGAGGCAACTTCTACGCAGATTTTAAGTTTCTGAGTTGAGGTTAGTGATGTGGAAGGGTCACACATAACAGTCTTTAGGTCACCCTAAACAACAAATACATGGTGAGATAAGACATGACAAAATGTTCTCTCTTTTCAGAAACATTTAATGCGATGGATAACAAAAAGCTGATAATAGGTCCGTATAAATACAGTAAATAACTTATTAAATTTGAAATAATCTTTTATATGTCAGAAAGTTATAAACGAGCCTTTTCTGGATATTCTGTGATGAGATATATGGGATCATCCTCTCGACAAACTCCCAACAATTTTGCAATGTTTTCATGCTTTAACGAAAACATTCCCATTTTTATCATGAAATCTTCCTTCACTGATTTATTTTCACACATCAATGACATCACTACGACGACAGTCGAGCTCTCGCCTTCAGAGATTTCTTTGGCCTTTGCAAGGAATGCGGTTCCATATGTTCCTTTGCCCAACGTTCGAAGAGTTTCAAGATTTTCTCGCGGATACTCTTTTGCATTGTTGAGCTCTGCTGCTTTAGCTGACTCTCCATTCTCAGCATTGTCCGTTGGTTTTAAAGGAACATCTTCGCCGTTTATAACTGAAAGTAAAAATTGAGTTCTCATTATTTATAAATAAACTTTGATTTTTGTCTTCATCACGAGTGATCTGATGTTAAATCTCGAGTTCTTATATACTCTAGTCTAGTATTTTCATCAGGAGTGATCTGACGTTAAATCTCGAGTTCTTATGTACTCCAGCAGTATCTTCATGAGAAAGGTGTCGATATTAAAATGTTTGGATAAGAAAGTAACCAATACTTACGCAACTTTTTCTTCGCCAGTCTAGCTCTGCGTCCTTTACAATATATCATAAGACCAACAACGAGAATAATATATGCAGCAGCACATCCTACAGCAATTCCTACAGTCTGACCCATATTGTCTGAATGTCCCTCATTTTTATTACTTTCATTCACTACAGTAAATAAACAAGACAGGATGATTTTTTATAAAAATGGAAGTTTTTCTCACCATAACCTCATATCCTCACCACACTCTCATATCCTACCCTTACATTCATATCCTCCACATACACTCATATCCTCACCACACCCTCATATCCTCACCATACACATAGATCCTTAAACACTAATTCATAACTTTAGCTGTCCAAGTATACTATACACTCACCAATGTCAACATACGCCCTTCCGTAATAATAACACCAGGATTTCCTGCCATACATGTGTACCATCCTTTGTCTTTCTGCGAAATATTGCTCAGCATTAAGGTACCATTGGGATGTACACGAGTACCATTTACACTTTTAATTTCATCTTTCATGTTGTCTTTTCGCCACATGATAATGGGTTTCGGTATTCCTGTCGCGTTACAATGTAACCACGCATTTTTTCCTTTTGCGACAGTAACATTGCTCGGTTTCAGCACAATCTTTGTGTACTCTAAATGAATCAATGCAGGTGGATTTAAATAACTCTGACGTTATGGAAATATAACATATGTAAAAAATCAGAAGTCAACAAACATGACACGACATACCGTAAACTTTCACGTGAAATGTTAACGAACTTTCACTGAAAGAATTATTAACATAACATGTATAATTTCCACTGTCCTTCATTCTAATGTTCTCAATTACTAATTTAAACCCCTCCACTTTCATGTGTGTCAAGGAACGTTCATCTAGTTCTTTTGACCAGCGGATATCGATAGGTTCATATCCAGCAACCAATCTGCAATTCAGTTTAGCAGTTGTACCGACGTCAAATTTGTCAGAGGCAATCTTTTGCAAAGCAATATTTTCTGAAAGAAGAATAAGAGATGTAAGAAGTATGAAGTGCATGTCAGTTGAAGAGTCGGGTGAGGTTTACTAAACCTCTTACAGATCACCAACTTAAATTATTTAGCCACATTTTTGGAACAGTCAAACAACTGCTAAAATGTCTTTTTTGAGACTAAAGATTCTTCTGTTTTTATTTTCTAAGCAATCAATACGTCTAAATTGGCCAACACAAATAAAATTAAAATACAGATAAATCAATTAAACAACGTAATTAAAACACTTTATGAAAACAGAATGAAAAACTTGGATGGAGCGTATTATCAATTATACAACATTTAAGAATAATTTACGTTCGTAATTTCAACTAAACATTTAAAAGAAAACCATCATTACTGAGTGAAGAAGACATGAAAATACGGGGAGTGAAATGACCTGCAAGATAAGTTATTGGTCCATTGTTTGGTCAGTCTTTGTTCCTTGATCCACCGTTATTGAGCCAATCATTTCATGCCACAATTTTAAAATTCTCGTGAGAAATTTTATTCATTTTATAGGCTCATTCTCGAGGTTATCTAACCAAATCTCGGGTTTGACCCCCACGATCATAAAGATAACTAAAATCAACACTTTACAAAAGGGGTTGAAGGAATTTCAGCAGCTAAACTTAACAATAAGTGCCATTTCTGAGAGATATAGTTACCTTTAACAACAACTTTTGCTTCATAAGTTCGTTCAGTTATATGCTTCAACCTTGCCACACAACGATAGTTACCTGTTTCTTTTTTTGTCACGTTAATCAAGTTTAGTAACGAACTATCATTCATATTTATGACATTCCTTCTTAAATTTTCCTTCAAACGATATCTCTGGTTTGGGATTACCACCAAATTTGCATTTTGCAGCGTTACCTTCAATGACCGTTTGACCGATAGGATTCATTATCGCTGTAGGGTAAACTATAAAATCAAATGGGTTCATGACTAATTAACGCGCAATCAAAACTGTTACCATGAATTTTTGGATTAGCCTAAACTATTCTAGTTTATTAAAATCCCACTCATTAAGAGGTAGTTATATCAGTAACATAGCCAGCCAACAAATTTTAGTCATGCTATGCAGATTTCAGAACATTTTCATTATAATTAGCTATGATAAGCCAGAAAAAGTTCAAAAAAATTTTGCAGTTAAAGAACATTTTACTACTGTGAGATAACTGTGGAGAAAAGTTTTTCAAGCTCAATTCATTTGTTTTGACCAATGTTCACACAAATTAATAATTTGTTTGATTTAACCAAAGCTGTACAGCTTTTTACATTAACGTTCATAACGACAAATATACCTATAAGTATACTTACCAGCTACGGTAACTTTGGCCTCAACCGTTACTTTCCCAGCAATATTTTCCCCAACACACAGGTAAACATTTGAGTCACTAATCTTTGGTTGAGTAATTCTTAAAGTGTTGTCTTTTACTGTAAAACGGGAATCGTTTGGCAAAGGACTCCCATCCTTCATTTGCCACGTGATCTTCTTAATTACAGGAAATGCACCGTTTGGAGGGTTACATCGTATGGTTATAGTCATGTTTACTCTACTTAGAGTATCTTGTATTGGAGCAAAACTTCCGGTTTCTGAAACAACAAAAGTTCGTGTAAGGTCCTTTACAAAAACCAAGTCATCCTGCTTTGGGATTTGAACTAATCAGAGCTCGGAAAGATACAAAGAAGTTTGAATCAAGAAATTTATTGATATGAAGACCACTCTTTATCCACGTTATAAGAAAACTACTCTTGGATTGATATTTAAGAAGTGTAAGTACTCCACGATACTCACGAGTACTCCACGATACTCACGAGTACTCCACGATACTCACGAGTACTCCACGATACTCATGAGTACTCCACGATACTCACGAGTACTCCACGATACTCACGAGTACTCCACGATACTCACGAGTACTCCACGATACTCATGAGTACTCCACGATACTCACGAGTACTCCACGATAGTCACGAGTACTCCACGATACTCCACGATACTCACGAGTTCTGCACGATACTCACGAGTACTCCACGATACTCACGAGTACTCCACGATACTCACGAGTACTCCACGATACTCATGAGTACTCCACGATACTCATGAGCACTCTAAAGTACTCATGGGTATTCTAAGATATTCTGACTTACTCAGCATGATACTTAATATTGAGTGAAGAATAAAGAACAAGAAAAAGCAATGTTGCAAAGTTCAGACGCAATTTTTGTGATGATTTTATTAGGACTGTAAATAAGCACACAATTACTGCATCTAAACGTCTCGTATTTAAAACATTCAACAATACTTACCAGCTAAAGTCAGCGTAGTTGTATAAGTCATAGATCTGTCACAGTTATTTGATGCACTGCAAGTATATTCCCCAGCATCACTTCTTTTGGTTGGAAAAAAACGAACTGTTCCATTGTCATTAACTTGAATTCTTTGATTATCTTTTAATGGAGAATTATTCTTCTTTCTTTTCCACGTTACTACAGGTTTTGGGTCACCTTTTGCTACACATTCCAACGTAAGCGGTTTGTTGGGAACAAATGGAATCTTGTCTTTGGGTGGAAAACTGATTCTTGAAGGTAAGCAATCTACAGCAAATTGACAATAAGTGACCTTTTAACGTGTAGGCAGCTAGATTTTTACTATAGGTTAAACAATGTCATTTAAATTACATCGTTTCATGTACATCGTCAATGTTTATCATTTCTCAACATTCAGTTTTAAATGTTCAGCGAGTGTCTTAACTTGTCTCATGTTTTTGGTCTCATACCATACTTATCCTTAATAATCTCATGCTCATGTCATACCATACATGTACATACATAATTGTCCCATGCTTATCTTATTTATATATCCATACTAGTCCCCGTGAGCCAAATACAACTAATAAATACTCACCAAGCACTGGTGGTTCATTGGGCTGACTTTTTACTGTAATTTTCCCACTTTGAACAATGCAGACATACTTTCCAACGTCAGTACTGGTGATTACTATACTTTGATAAGTAATGTTTATATCTTTGGAATCTTTTTGCCATTTGTACGTCGGTGTTGGAATGGAGGGACAATTGCAAGTTAATGTAGCATTACCGTTGCGAAATATCGGTCCAGATGATTTTATTGTGAAGTTATTCTTGCATGTGTCTACGTAGATAAAAAATTGGTTTACATATATGTTGAATCTTGTTGGGTTTTAACTACTGGTTTTAACGTAAATTAAAAGTTGGAAACTGGAAACTAGCCAGAACAAGAATATAGGTAATGTTTGATTTTTAATTCACATCACAATTAAAGGAAACTGTCGGTAACAAAGACTGGGAATTATTACCAAGCACACTTCTGCTTCTATGGTAATTCTAAAATGCGCTTTTCCAGTACTCATTAGGATTGGTGATTTACAGCCGATAATAAAATAACAAAAGATTTACTGTTTTACAGACGTTCCAAAAAAACAAGGGTTATAAACCTTCTAGCTGTGATTAATTCAATTTATTTTTAGCCACGCAAGTTTTATCGTTCAACGTTTCATGTCGATAAATTGTCTACCCGCGGATGATGCAAAACTGAAATGAATGAAGTCATCATTAATCATCGTTTTGGGAAAGGCAACATGAGCCACTGTGAAATGCATATTAAAATGGAATTCCTGAAATTTGAGCAAATACCGTAATCTAATTTTTTGCTGCAAACCATTGTGTTGATAACCGTGCAGTCATTCCTAAGTGCTAAAAATTCCTAAAGCACGACTTCACACTGGGCAAAAGTTTGTCTTTCAATTAAAGCTCTTTTCAATATGTAACCTGCATACCCTTATAAAAATGAAAGTCAATTGACTAATGTTCACGGGGTATTATGATCAACAAAAGAAAAATGTGATGGTTTACACAAGAGGTATCGTTTGACCAGTATCTAATATAAAAATGTAAATGGGAGATTCATAAGCATAGTGTGAGGTCCATTTCTTTTAAATTATGAAGTCAAATAGCACGCAATACTCTACCATATTGCAATCACGAAAATTGTACACTGGAAAATCACACACTTAAATATACACTTTAACAAACACGTTACATTATTTGGCAAATATATTTTGACCATCAGAAAAAGTTCTTTAAAAGCAATTAAGCAATCTATATTCGGAGGGATGAAAAAGAATTTCTAAATTGGACGCCGATCGGGTCATTATGATAACAGATTTCAAACTGATCGCTAATTTAACGCATCATTGGATATAATATAAATATATTTGATGGTAATCACTTCAACTTTTGTTGCCATTCATACGAAAACGAATGGTATGAAAAAGATAAAGACGCCTTGGGTAAAGAAATGAAGATTTATCTTTGTTATATATAAACATAAATAACATATTTTAAAGTAATTCAATCAATCAATACTTGTACAATGACTACAATCCACAAGCAATTTAACACATTCCTGGGACAATATTTAGAGGGGCGCATTTCTTAATTTACAACATATATTGTTTCAAAATTTAATGTAACGCGGCAGCCTTTAAGACAACCCAAAAAACCGCATATTGATATTTGATGAGAATGACATTAAAAAATGACATAAAATGTTGTATGTGTTTGTGTGAAACTTGTACAAAAAAACAGTTTACTGTAGTCTGCCACAGTCTTGATTTGGCGTCATTTAATCACATTTAATCATCATAGTCATTGTGCGATGCCAAAACCCTGTCTGCGATAAAAACATTGTTGCTATACTGCCCAGTTTTCAAATAAAACTTACATTCAATTGTTAATCTTGCATCTCGACTTCTTAGCGCCGAGCCAGCCAGACAATGATAAACACCCGCATCAGATTTTTCTACTGGCTTTATCCTAAGACCGCGCCTAATTTTTGTATATTTGATGTAGTCAACCGTAATCGGTCGATTGTTTTTCATCCAAGATATTTCCACGGAAGAGTCGTCAACTTTACAATTTAAAACAACACTATCTGCACCATCCCTTGCTGATGTATCATCAGGTTGCGTTGTAAATTGAAGCGCATCAACGACTACAAAACAAAAGAAATTTATATTTAAGTGAAATTGTCCTATTTGTGCTTGCTCTTTTCGACATTTTGAAGAGCTTTCAAGCTGTGAACTGCTTTGCTTTAATTTTTTTAATAAAAATTATTTGTAAATAGCGTGCCTTGTTACAAAACCTTCGTCCTAAAGAGCGTCATCGAAAGAGATAAGAATTATATTTGAAGATTCAGAGAAAATTGTTATAGTTTATGCAAGAGCAGTTTTAAAAGTTATCAAAGAATTTCAGTTTAATGTCCATGCCAGTAGGAGCCGGGATATTAGCTGTTGCTATAAAGAATCGATAGTTATTTATGCCCATGGATATTATTCGATCGCACACTAAATTAAGAACATACTTACCAAAATATATGTTTACCAGCTTCAATAGAAATAGAAGTTTCCCAGCGAGTTTGTTTGCCATAACTTGTGCGAAACGCTTCGGATCTTCGTGTTTACGAGTAATTACAACAGGCACAAGGGAAACAGACGCCGATCGTTCCAAACTATCTGCTACGATGCCGATGTTAAATTGCTAAGGTTTTATTGTGCATTGTGTATTGTGTCATGTGATAAAGAAACAAATTATGTTGAAGAACGGAAGCGGGTTTTTCCTTGAAACCAATCAGAGCGCGAGAAAGACACTTGCCTATTAAAATTTATTAAAATATTTAAAATCAAATTTTGCCGCTGTTGATAATTGTAACTTCACCCGACATCCCTTTGTTAACATTGAAACATTAAATAGAAACAGGAAAAAAGAAAATTTTCTTGGCTCAAATTTTTTTATGGCATATGTGACAATTGGATATTTTCTTACTTCCTGACCTCCTTTGGGGATTATAAGGTTTTTTCTTAATTTTGAACCCGTCACACGTCACATGTAAAAGTCGGTTCGCACAAGTTTTATCACTGAATTTATCCCACACATCAAATTTTTATACTTTTCAAGTCATTTCAACATTCGTCTCAGTTTTTTTACTAGTGAGATTCTTTACTCAAATGATTTGTACATTGCGTTATATATAATTTACGAAATTTCCCAGTTTATTTAAATTAAAGCATCAGAAAATCAGTGTCAGCCTTTTCGCTTTGCTATTTTGGTGAAAAGTGTCATCCATTTGCCGCAAATTTTCAAAATAAATTTTTTCAATACTCAACAAATGAGATGCTACATCCAATTAACAATTTATATAGAAAATCACAGAACCAAATACGCCCATATTAGACCAGCGTCTGTTTTATTTCATTAGCTATTTGCTAAATCCTATTTCTTGGTTTATGTTCAAACAGAACCACTCACAACAAAGTGCTTATCAACATACAAAACAATAAATTTGCCATACATAATTAAGATCTTAACATTTAATGGATAAATTGACATTATGTTTCTAGTGGTCTGTTGAGTTGTCAATGCCAGTAAGATTTTAAGATAGCAAAGGACCGCCAAAAAATCCAATATGTTGTACATCGTACCAAGATCATCTCTTTACATCAAATGAAAATTGATCTGTATTTTTTCCTTCATTTCAAATAACTCCTTATATATTGAACACTGGACTGGAGTCTATAAGGACTCAAGATTCAGCATGTAGAAATATAATATTTCTACATGCGGAATCTTGAGTACATATATACTCCAGTCCTGTGTCTTCATCAGGAGTGATCTGATGTTGAATCTTGAGTACATATATACTCCAGTCCTGTGTCTTCATCAGGAGTGATCTGATGTTGAATCTTGAGTTCTTATATACTCCAGTCTAGTGTCTTCATTAGGAGTGATCTGATGTTGAATCTTGAGTTCTTATATACTCCAGTCTAGTGTCTTCATCAGGAGTGATGTGATGTTGAAACTTAAGTCTTTATATACTCCAGTCTAGTGTCTTCATCAGTAGTGATCTGATGTTGAATCTTGAGTTCTTATATACTTCAGTCTAGTGTCTTCATCAGTAGTGATCTGATGTTGAATCTTGAGTTCTTATATACTTCAGTCTAGTGTCTTCATCAGTAGTGATCTGATGTTGAATCTTGAGTTCTTATATACTCCAGTCTAGTGTCTTCATCAGGAGTGATCTGATGTTGAAACTTGAGTTTTATATACTCCAGTCTAGTGTCTTCATCAGTAGTGATCTGATGTTGAATCTTGAGATCTTATATACTCCAGTCTAGTGTCTTCATCAGGAGTGATCTGATGTTGAAACTTGAGTTTTTATATACTCCAGTCTAGTGTCTTCATCAGTAGTGATCTGATGTTGAATCTTGAGATCTTATATACTCCAGTCTAGTGTCTTCATTAGGAGTGATCTGATGTTGAATCTTGAGTTTTTATATACTCCAGTCTAGTGCCTTCATCAGTAGTGATCTGATGTTGAATCTTGAGATCTTATATACTCCAGTCTAGTGTCTACATCAGGAGTGATCTGATGTTGAAACTTGAGTTTTTATATACTCCAGTCTATCAATGAGATAAACAACTTAACAGAAATAGACAACATTTTTTACAACAGAAACGGGAAGACTTCTTTCAAGAACTAAGATAAAGATGAGACATATCAATGTCACTTCCGGATTGAGGTTTCCGTCTCTAAAATATTTTTATCTTCCTGTTATTCATAAAATCTTCATCATACAAAAAGAAACAAAGACGTTCAACAGATCCTCATAAATATAAATATATAAACATAAATACAAGATGCGTAAACATAAATAAATATAATTCCTTCTTTCACAACTCATTAATCATGAATAAAAAGAATTTTAAAAAAGAACATTGCAAATATTTATTTAATATGTAGCAATTTTTTCCTTATCACGTTTGATCAGAAGTGGCATTTTCGCCGTAATATGCAATCATTTTCGCCCAAAACGGACTCAATATTAAAGTTTCTTCTGCAAAACTATATTCAAAATCCTACCACGCATTTTGGAGCTGCTGAAGTCATAAGCAGCCAGTAGAAGTTTATGAAATAAATATATATGTAACAGGTACAGTTAGCCAGCCATATTTTCATGTTATAGTTTAACAAAACAACAAAACCCAGCCATTGTAAAGCATGTACCACATAATAACAAAACGTGAAAACAGCGGGAAATGTGAAGAAACTGACAAAGCAACTAATCTCAACCCGCAACACCCAAACATATAATTAGGTGCCCACAGTGGGTGCCCAGCACACGCGAGAATGTTTTATAGATACTCAGATATATATAAAGAAATTAAGAAATTCTGTATAAAAACACAACCTATCGTCATAAGCACATTCAGCAACCTGGATAAGACCACGATTTTCAAAGTTTTGGTTCATGAAGTCAAAATGCTGATATTGCATATCAGGTGAGAATTTCAACTCAGGTTCATCTAATTGTTGCCTCTCATTAAATCCTTTAGACTTATTTTCATTGATCTCTCTCATGTCAGAACTGGGGAAATCTTCATAGTTCTGTCTGCCTGATGTTTGTTCATGACTATTTTTGAGCGTGACATTATTTTTTTGAGTAATTTTACAACTTTCATACAATGGTGATTCCTTATCACTAGCATCCCATAATTGTTGATTCACATGTAGTTTGTCATCACTGGTTTCAATCCTGTATCCATGATTGACATTGGCTAACTGATGACGATGATTAGGATTTGGTATTGAAGGAATTGGACTACTTAGTGCTTCTAATAAAGAAAATGAGAAAAAAAAGTTTCACGATAGACACATGTGATGTATTAAAAGTATAATACAAAATTAAGTCTTCATCAAAAGTAACTGAGCGTCGAAAGCTCACTCCGCTGTACAACGATCGTACACATAAAAAGAGGTACGCAAAGCGTGCCAAACCTTGAACCAGTGCATTGAACGCATTGAACATCTTATAGGCTAGTTGTAATATCGAACTTCCTTTGATTATACACAACATACATCGTTTCGTGGATGCATAAATTTACTATTATGAAGGTGGTAAAATCTTCAAAATGTAATTTTTGATTTAGTTTCCAATGACGTTTAAATTTTTTAAATATATACAAGTTAACATATAAGTTAATTAATAATTATTTAAAACATATAAACAACTTGTGAATGTTCTTCAAGTTAATATGAATTTTAAACATTTGGGAAACACAATATTTAATACTCTTTTGCATTGTTGAGCTCTGCTGCTTTAGCTGACTCTCCATTCTCAGCATTGTCCGTTGGTTTTAAAGGAACATCTTCGCCGTTTATAACTGAAAGTAAGAATTGAGTTCTCATTATTTATAAATAAACTTTGATTTTTGTCTTCATCACGAGTGATCTGATGTTAAATCTCGAGTTCTTATATACTCTAGTCTAGTATTTTCATCAGGAGTGATCTGATGTTAAATCTTGAGTTCTTATATACTCTAGTCTAGTATTTTCATCAGGAGTGATCTGATGTTAAATCTCGAGTTCTTATATACTCTAGTCTAGTATTTTCATCAGGAGTGATCTGATGTTAAATCTCGAGTTCTTATATACTCTAGTCTAGTATTTTCATCAGGAGTGATCTGATGTTAAATCTCGAGTTCTTATATACTCTAGTCTAGTATTTTCATCAGGAGTGATCTGATGTTAAATCTTGAGTTCTTATATACTCTAGTCTAGTATTTTCATCAGGAGTGATCTGATGTTAAATCGAGTTCTTATATACTCTAGTCTAGTATTTTCATCAGGAGTGATCTGATGTTAAATCTTGAGTTCTTATATACTCCAGTTTAGTGTCCTCATCAGGAGTGATCTGATGTTGAATCTTGAGTTCTTATATACTCTAGTCTAGTATTTTCATCAGGAGTGATCTGATGTTAAATCTCGAGTTCTTATATACTCTAGTCTAGTATTTTCATCAGGAGTGATCTGATGTTAAATCTTGAGTTCTTATATACTCTAGTCTAGTATTTTCATCAGAGTGATCTGATGTTAAATCTTGAGTTCTTATATACTCTAGTCTAGTATTTTCATCAGGAGTGATCTGATGTTAAATCTCGAGTTCTTATATACTCTAGTCTAGTATTTTCATCAGGAGTGATCTGATGTTAAATCTCGAGTTCTTATATACTCTAGTCTAGTATTTTCATCAGGAGTGATCTGATGTTAAATCTCGAGTTCTTATATACTCTAGTCTAGTATTTTCATCAGGAGTGATCTGATGTTAAATCTCGAGTTCTTATATACTCTAGTCTAGTATTTTCATCAGGAGTGATCTGATGTTAAATCTTGAGTTCTTATATACTCTAGTCTAGTGTCTTCATCAGGAGTGATCTGATGTTAAATCTTGAGTTCTTATATACTCCAGTCTAGTGTCTTCATCAGGAGTGATCTGATGTTAAATCTCGAGTTCTTATATACTCTAGTCTAGTATTTTCATCAGGAGTGATCTGATGTTAAATCTCGAGTTCTTATATACTCTAGTCTAGTATTTTCATCAGGAGTGATCTGATGTTAAATCTTGAGTTCTTATATACTCTAGTCTAGTATTTTCATCAGGAGTGATCTGATGTTAAATCTTGAGTTCTTATATACTCTAGTCTAGTATTTTCATCAGGAGTGATCTGATGTTAAATCTCGAGTTCTTATACTCTAGTCTAGTATTTTCATCAGGAGTGATCTGATGTTAAATCTTGAGTTCTTATATACTCTAGTCTAGTATTTTCATCAGGAGTGATCTGATGTTAAATCTAGAGTTCTTATATACTCCAGTCTAGTATTTTCATCAGGAGTGATCTGATGTTAAATCTCAGTTCTTATATACTCTAGTCTAGTATTTTCATCAGGAGTGATCTGATGTTAAATCGAGTTCTTATATACTCTAGTCTAGTATTTTCATCAGGAGTGATCTGATGTTAAATCGAGTTCTTATATACTCTAGTCTAGTATTTTCATCAGGAGTGATCTGATGTTAAATCTCAAGTTCTTATATACTCTAGTCTAGTATTTTCATCAGGAGTGATCTGATGTTAAATCTCGAGTTCTTATATACTCTAGTCTAGTATTTTCATCAGGAGTGATCTGATGTTAAATCTCGAGTTCTTATATACTCTAGTCTAGTATTTTCATCACGAGTGATCTGATGTTAAATCTCGAGTTCTTATATACTCCAGTCTAGTATTTTTATCAGGAGTGATCTGATGTTAAATCTCAAATTCTTATATACTCTAGTCTAGTATTTTCATCAGAAAGATGTCGATATTAAAATGCTTGGATAAGAAAGTAATCAATACTTACGCAACTTTTTCTTCGCCAGTCTAGCTCTGCGTCCTTTACAATATATTATAAGACCAACAAGGAAAATAATATTTGCAGCAGCAGTAGCAGCAACACATCCAACAGCAATTCCTACAATCCGACCCATATTGTATGAATGTCCCTCATTTTTATTACTTTCATTCACTACAGTAAATAAACAAGACAGGATGATTTTTTTTAAAAATGGAAGTTATTCTCACCATACACTCATATCCTCACCACACCCTCATATCCTCCCTTACATTCATATCCTCCACATACACTCATATCCTCACCACAACTCCATATCCTCCCCTTACATTCATATCCTCTACATACACTCATATCCTCACCATACACATAGATCCTTAAACACTAATTCATAACTTTAACTGTCTAAGTATACTATACACTCACCAATGTCAACATACGCCCTTTCCGAAATAATTAAACCAGGATTTCCTGCCATACATGTGTACCATCCTTTGTCTTTCTGCGTAATATTGCTCAGCATTAAGGTACCATTGGGATATACACGAGTACCCTTTACACTTTTAATTTCATCTAGCATGTTGTCTTTTCGCCACATGATAATGGGCTTCGGTATTCCAGTCGCGTTACAATGTAACCACGCATTTTCTCCTTTTGCGACAGTAACATTGCTCGGTTTCAGCACAATCTTTGTGTACTCTAAATGAATCAATGCAGGGTGGAATTAAATAACTTTGACGTTATGGAAATATAACATATGTAAAAAATCAGAAGTCAACAAACATGACACGACATACCGTAAACGTTCACGTGAAATGTTAACGAACTTTCACTGAAAGAATTATTAACATAACATGTATACTTTCCACTGTCCTTTATTCTAATGTTCTCAATTACTAATTTAAACCCCTCCACTTTCATGTGTGTCAAGGAACGTTCATCTAGTTCTTTTGACCAGCGGATATTGATAGGTTCATATCCAGCAACCAATCTGCAATTCAGTTCAGCAGTTGTACCGACGTCAAATTTGTCAGAGGCAATCTTTTGCAAAACAATATTTTCTGAAAGAAGAATAAGAGATGTAAGAAGTATGAAGTGCATGTCAGTTGAAGAGTCAGGTGAGGTTTAATAAACCTCTTACCGATCACCAATATAAATTATTTAGCCATATTTTTGGGACAGTCAAACAACTGCTAAAATGTCTTTTTTGAGACTAAAGATTTTTCTGTTTGATTTTCTAAGCAATCAATACGTTACCATGCATTGCCTAATTTTATTGCTTTCATGAAATGGTAAAAGGTCTAAATTGGCCAAACACAAATAAAATTAAAATATAGACAGATCAATTAAACAACGTAATTAAAACACTTTATGAAAAAAGAATGAAAAACTGGGATGGAAGTTCCTAGAGCGTATTATCAATTATACAACATTTAAGAATAATTTCCGTTCGTTACTTCAACTAAACATTGAAAAGAAAACGATCATCACTGAGTAAAGAAGACATGAAAATACGGGGAGTGAAATGACCTGCAAGATAAGTTATTGGTCCATTGTTTGGTCAGTCTTTGTTCCTTGATCCATCGTTATTGAGCCAATCATTTCATGACACAATTTTAAAATTCTCGTGAGAAATTTTATTCATTTTATAGGCTCATTCTCGAGGTTGTCTCGCCAAATCTCGGGGTTTGACCCCCCCCTTCCCCACGAGAACCATAAAGATAATTAAAATCAACACTTTACAAAAGGGGTTGAAGGAATTTCAGTAGCTAAACTTAACAATAAGTGCCATTTTTGAGAGATATAGTTACCTTTAACAACAACTTTTGCTTCATAAGTTCGTTCAGTTATATGCTTCAACCTTGCCACACAACGATAACTACCTGTTTCTTTTTTTGTCACGTTAATCAAGTTTAGTAACGAACTATCCTTCATATTTATGACATTCCTTCTTAAATTTTCCTTCAACGTTTTCTTGTCTTTCTCCCACGATATCTCTGGTTTGGGATTACCACCAAATTTGCATTTCAACTGCAGCGTCGAACCTTCAATGACCGTTTGACCGATAGGATTCAGTATCGCCGTAGGGTAAACTATAAAATCGAATGGGTTCATGACTAATTAACGCGCAATCAAAACTGTTACCATGTATTTGTGGATTAGCCTAAGCTATTCTAGTTTATTAAAATCCCACTCATTTAGAGGTAGTTATATCAGTAACATAGCCAGCCAACAAATTTTAGTCATGCTATGCAGATTTCAGAACATTTTCATTATTAATTAGCTATGATAAGCCAGAAAAAGTTCAAAAAAATTTTACAGTTAAAGAACATTTTACTACTGTGAGATAACTGTGGAGGAAAGTTTTTCAAGCTCAATTCATTTGTTTTGATCAATATTCACACAAATTAATAATTTGTTTGATTTAACCAAAGCTGTATAGCTTTTTACATTAACGTTCATAACGATAAATATACCTATAAGTATACTTACCAGCTACGGTAACTTTGGCCTCAACCGTTACTTTCCCAGCAATATTTTCCCCAACACACAGGTAAACATTTGAGTCACTAATCTTTGGTTGAGTAATTCTTAAAGTGTTGTCTTTTACTGTAAAACGGGAATCGTTTGGCAAAGGACTCCCATCCTTCATTTGCCACGTGATCTTCTTAATCACAGGAAATGCACCGTTTGGAGGGTTACATCGTATGGTTATAGTCATGTTTACTCTACTTAGAGTATCTTGTATTGGAGCAAAACTTCCGGTTTCTGAAACAACAAAAGTTCGTGTAAGGTCCTTTACAAAAACCAAGTCATCCTGCTTTGGGATTTGAACTAAGCAGAGCTCGGAAAGATACGAAGAAGTTTGAATCAAGAAATTTATTGATATGAAGACCACTCGTTATGCACGTTATAAGAAAACTGCTCTTGGATTGACATTTAAGAAGTGTAAGTACTCCACGATACTCACGAGTTCTCCACGATACTCGCGAGTACTCCACGATACTCGCGAGTACTCCACGATACTCACGAGTACTCCACGATACTCACGAGTACTCCACGATATTCATGAGTACTCCACGATACTCACGAGTACTCCACGATACTCACGAGTTTTCCACGATACTCACGAGTACTCCACGATACTCACGAGTACTCCACGATACTCGTGAGTACTCCACGATACTCATGAGCGCTCTAAAAATACTCATGAGTACAAGTGATCCACAATACTCACAAGTGATCCACGATACTCATAAACACTCTAAAGTACTCATGGGTATTCTATGATATTCTGACTTACTCATCAAGATACTTAATATTGAGCGAAGAAGAAAGAACAAGAAAAAGCAATGTTGCAAAGTTGAGACACAATTTTTGTGATGATTTTATTAGGACTGTAAATAAGCACACAATTACTGCATCTAAACGTGTCGTATTCAAAACATTCAACAATACTTACCAGCTAAAGTCAGCGTAGTTGTATAAGTCATAGATCTGTCACAGTTATTTGATGCACTGCAAGTATATTCCCCAGCATCACTTCTTTTGGTTGGAAAAAAACGAACTGTTCCATTGTCATTAACTTGAATTCTTTGATTATCTTTTAATGGAGAATTATTCTTCTTTCTTTTCCACGTTACTACAGGTTTTGGGTCACCTTTTGCTACACATTCTAACGTAAGCGGTTTGTTGGGAACAAATGGAATCTTGTCTTTGGGTGGAAAACTGATTCTTGAAGGCAAGCAAACTACAGCAAATTGACAATAAGTGACCTCTTAATGTGTACGCAGCTAGATTTTTACTATAGGTTAAACAATGTCATTTAAATAACATCGTTTCATGTACATCGTCAATGTTTATCATTTCTCAATATTCAGTTTTAAATGTTCAGCGAGTGTCTTAACTTGTCTCATGTTTTTGGTGTCATACCATACTTATCCTTTATAATCTCATGCTCATGTCATACCATACATATACATACATAATTGTCCCATGCTCATGTTATATGTATCCATACTAGTCCCCGTGAGCCAAATACAACTAATAAATACTCACCAAACATTGGAGGATCATGGGGCTGACTTTTTACTGTAATTTTCCCACTTTTAACAATGCAGACATACTTTCCAACGTCAGCACTGGCGATTACTATACTTTGATAAGTAATGTTTATATCTTTGGAATCTTTTTGCCATTTGTACGTCGGTGTTGGAATGGAGGGACAATTGCAAGTTAATGTAGCATTACCGTTGCGAAATATCGGTCCAGATGATTTTATTGTGAAGTTATTCTTGCATGTATCTACGTAGATAAAACAATTGGTTTACATATCTTGTTGGGCTTTAACTACTGGTTTTAACGTAAATTAAAAGTTGGAAACTGGAAACTAGCCACAACAAGAATATAGGTAATGTTTGATTTTTAATTCGCATCACAATTAAAGGAAACTGTCGGTAACAAAGACTGGGAATTATTACCAAGCACACTTCTGCTTCTATGGTAATTCTAAAATGCGCTTTTCCAGTACTCATTAGGATTGGTGATTTACAGCCGATAATAAAAATAACAAAAGATTTACTGTTTTACAGACGTTCCAAAAAAACAAGGGTTATAAACCTTCTAGCTGTGATTAATTCAATTTATTTTTAGCCTCGCAAGTTTTATCGTTCAATGTTTCATGTCGATAAATTGTCTACGGGCAGACGATGGACAATTGAAATGATTGAAGTCATTAATCATCGTTTTGGGAAAGGCAACATGCGCCGCTGTGAAATGCATATTAAAATGGAATTCCTGAAATTTGAGCAAATACCGCAATCTAATTTTTTACTGCAAACCATTGTGTTGATAACCGTGCAATCATTCCTAAGAGCTAAAAATTCCTAAAGCACGACTTCACACTGGGCAAACGTTTGTCTTTCAATTAAAGCTCTTTTCAATAAGTAACCTGTATACCCTTATAAAAATAAAAGTCAATTGACTAATGTTCACGGGGTATTATGATCAACAAAAGAAAAATGTGATGGTTTACACAAGAGGTATCGTTTGACCAGTATCTAATAAAAAATGTAAATGGGAGATTCATAAGCATGGTGTGAGGGTGTGAGGTCCATTTCTTTTAAATTATGAAGTCAAATAGCACGCAATACTCTACCATATTGCAATCACCAAACTTGTACACTGGAAAATCACACACTTAAATATACACTTTAACAAACACGTTACATTCTTTGGCAAATATATTTTGACCATCAGAAAAAGTTCTTTAAAAGCAAATTAAGCAGTCTATATTCGGAGGGATGAAAAAGAATTTCTAAATTGGACGCCGATCGGGTCATTATGATAACACATTTCAAACTGATCGCTAATATATTTCATGGTAATCACTTCAAACTTTTGTTGCCATTCATACGAAAACGAATGGCATGAAAAAGATAAAGACGCCTTGGGTAAAGAAATGAAGATTTATCTTTGTTATATATCAACATAAATAACATATTTTAAAGTAATTCAATCAATCAATACTTGTACAATGACCACAATCCACAAGCAATTTAACACATTCCAGGGACAATATTTAGAGGGGCGCATTTCTTAATTTACAACATATATTGTTTCAAAATTTAATGTACCGCGGCAGCCTTTAAGACAACCTAAAAAACCGCATATTGATATTCGATGAGAATGACATTAAAAAATGACATAAAATGTTGTATGTGTTTGTGTGAAACTTGTACAAAAAGCAGTTTACTGTAGTCTGCCACAGTCTTGAGTTGGCATCATTCAATCACATTTAATCATCATAGTCATTGTGCGATGCCAAAACCCTGTCTGCGATAAAAACATTGTTGCTATACTGGCAAGTTTTCAAATAAAACTTACATTCAATTGTTAATCTTGCATCTCGACTTCTTAGCGCCGAGCCAGCCAGACAATGATAAACACCCGCATCAGATTTTTCTACTGGCTTTATCCTAAGACCGCGCCTAATTTTTGTATATTTGATGTAGTCAACCGTAATCGATCGATTGTTTTTCATCCAAGATATTTCCACGGAAGAGTCGTCAACTTTACAATTTAAAACAACACTATCTGCACCATCCCTTGCTGATGTATCATCAGGTTGCGTTGTAAATTGAAGCGCATCAACGACTACAAAACAAAAGAAATTTATATTTAAGTGAAATTGTCCTATTTGTGCTTGCTCTTTTCGACATTTTGAAGAGCTTTCAAGCTGTGAACTGCTTTGCTTTAATTTTTTTAGTAAAATTATTTGTAAATAGCGTGCCTTGTTACAAAACCTTCGTCCTAAAGAGCGTCATCGAGATAAAATTATAATTGAAGATTCAGAGAAAAACGTTATAGTTTATGCAAGAGCAGTTTTTAAAAGTTATCAAAGAAATTCAGTTTAATGTCCATGGCAGTAGGAGCCGGGATATTAGCTGTTGCTATAAAGAATCGATAGTTATTTGTGCCCATGGATATTATTCGATCGCACACTAAATTAAGAACATACTTACCAAAATATATGTTTACCAGCTTCAATAGAAATAGAAGTTTCCCAGCGAGTTTTTTTGCCATAACTTGTGCGAAACCACAGATCTAATAATACACTCGATAGTGCAACGGCTTACATTTAACCCTTAAAGCCCGCCGCACACTGGTGAACTTGCCGCGCGTACTTGTTATTCGTGACAAGTGTGATCGACAAAATTTCCTAGTGTGCGCGGAAGTTTTGAACAACATTTGTCATTCGTGACAGATGAGTCACACCTATCACGAATAACAAGTACGCGCGGCAAGTTCACCAGTGTGCGGCGGGCTTTAAATGCCCCGTATGACAAATTTGTCACACGTATATTTATAGAGCTAGTGCTTCCATACTGTATTATATTTTTCCTTAAAAATGCGCTTAGTGACACATTTGACCATAGATATAATAGTCCTATTATATCTATGCATTTGACCCTTAGTTAATGTTATTAATGAGCTGATAATGCTTATTGTGAAGACTGGGCTTGAAAAAAATAATTTCAACATGGCAGTCATTTTTAAAATATGCGAAGTGAAAATCTTGTGAAGAAAATGTGAGAAATACACTGTATAAAAAGTAAGTTACTGTGATTTTATATATTGAATCGTTTTAATTGACTCACAAGCTTATGAAATTAGTTTAGAATTTTTTTGATTATATATTTTCTTTCGAAAAAAATACATGGAAATAGTTGTGTGTCAAATTTGTCACAATGGGCATTTGAATGCCATTTTAATTAATGACACATGGAATTACAATTGTTACACCGATGGAATTCTTTATTATTTTTGAATGTTTAGTTAACTAAATTATTAAGGAAATTGTTATTTAATAGAATTTAAAAAAAATTGAACAATATATGTAGGTCTTAAGCTAGAATTTTGAAATACTATTAGTATAATTTTATTATGAATGATTTTGGGTTATGTTTACTCAACACAGTTGCCGGTGTATTTATTTCCCTACATGACTACTTTCTTATTCATATCAACACTAGTGAAATTGAATTCAGTGAAGAATCATCTGATGATGAATACCAGCTAATTGCTGATAATGATGGATAGAATGATTTGCTTTGTAATTCTGTAACAAGTGCAGATGAAAATGATGAAGAAAACACAAGTACAGATGGTGATGATTGCATTCCATTGGCTCCAAGAGTCAAGTCTTTTGCTGACAATGAGACAAAAAAGACAAAAAAGGGTGTTTATTGATGACGAAGACATAGATATGTGCATGTTGAAAAGCCTTTCATGGGTGATCAGTATATTGTACCTGAACCTCCACCATCACCTTTGACAATTTTTCAACAGTTTGTAAACAAAGAGATGCTTGAAAACATGTGTCAGCAAACTAACATTTATAGTGTTGTGAAAACTGGAACATCTGTTATGATGAGGTAAATGACTCATCAAAAGGAATTACCATTGTCAGATGGCTGGACAAAAAGGCAGTGAAATTGGTATCTACTTACTGTGGAGCAGAACCATTAGGTGTTGCAAGGAGATGGGAAAAGAAGGAGAAGCACCATTTGGAAATTCCCAAGCCAAAGCTTGTAGATGAGTACAATAAGTTCATGGGGGCATTGACTTAATGGACATGCTTTGCTCATTGTACAAGTATTCCATAAGATCAAGGCGATGGTATCTTTACCTTTGGTTTCATACCCTTACAGTGGCTATGGTCAATTCATGGCTTCTTTTCAGAAAAAATCAGAGAGGAAAGAAACAAATCAAACTTCGTGACTTTCAAGCAACAATTGCAGAGGGATTGATTAAGGCAGGAAAAGAAAGAAAAAGAAGGCGATCTTCCAATGCCTCGACATCTCGAAAAAAACCAACCACTCAACCAAATGAAGAGATACAGTTTAATAAAATAGATCATATGCCTCTCTGGGATGACAGACATCGTCAGAGATGTAAAATTTGCTCTGCCTTTTGCTCTCATGTTGTCTGTGGCAAATGCAATGTTTATCTCTGCTTCAATAAAGACAGAAATTGCTTTATGGAATACCACACAAATAAATAAAATCATAAAGATTTCTACATACTGACAGATTAAAGTATTGATTGATTAAAACTCTTGTTATATTCACAATTTTCATGCTTTTGTTAATGAATACTATATAATTATTTTAGTTTTAAACTCTAGTTTTCTTTATTATAGAAAGTAGCGCTTAATGCCCAATGTGACAAATCTGTCACAAAATTTTTTAAGAAGAAAAATGTTTTTTTAAATTTTTAATTGAACTTGGTATTGCTTGTTATTTTAAGGAAAATACCAAAGAACAGATTTTTGCATTGAGTTTATCCCTCCTTGGGCATTTAAGGGTTAATAAGTAGTGGTTGAAGCCGGGCAAATTTACTTCCGGAGCCCCAAAGTTGTGAGAATCAATATGGCGTTGTATTAGAAAATATTTGGTCAAAGCTGATATCTTGCAATTACTTGCAAGTCACGACTGTTACATAAACTGGTTTACTCTATTAATGAAAAAAATCAATGTGACCATAGTTTTTCAAGAAAAAGATAGCAGAATGCGCAAATACATCGCCGTAAAATTGATTTCAAGTGTAGCTCGATTTGAAAGCATCAGCAGCGACGAAGGCTTATGCAGTCATTTTCGCCCAATATGCAATCATTCGAAAGGTCTAAATAAAAATGATGTAATAGTTGATATATCAGTTGATTTTGTCATGTAACGGTGATTACTGTGTAGAAAAAGGTTAAAGAGTCACGCAGAAAATACTTTAGAAATTAAATTTTTAGTAAATTCATCGCTCCTTGGTTTTTGAACGTAATGTTTTCTTATTTTAGGTCCTTCATCTAAAGATTTGACATCGTTTATCTCATGCAGGACAATGCTAAAACTTACTACTACTGTACACAAGTACAAGTTAAACAATCTTTAAATTTCTTTGATTAACTTCATCTTTTTCTTTGGATTCCCAACTGATGGCAAACAATCGGAAAGCATGTAATGGTATTGCTAACTGACTGAGCAATTCCCTGGTGACGGCTAGGAGAGGCTTCATAAGATTCGTTGATGACACAAATATGTTCAAAAGCAAAACCGAAATGGGCTGAATAAAGTTATTGAACAAAGCAGTGAGAAGCGGTTTGATAAAATGATCACCGCAAATGTAGAAAATGCCAGCTATCAAACGTCGAAAAGTAATAACTATTGTTTTAAAAAGTTCCAACAGCAGAATGACGAAAAAGTTGAGAAAGATTTGAAAGGCACCGAAGATTTCACGCCAAAATTTTTGAAGGATTACATCGGATCTGTGAAGACATAAAATTCACTATTGATTTGTTTGACAGTAGTGGAATTTTATCCCATTTTCTCTTGTTTTAAATGCATTCGGCGCATGTAAAATGCGACATTTGAAACGGGCCTTACTGAAAAATATATTTTCAAAAAAAATGTTCACACAGCCTTTGGTCATGTTTTAGGCTGCGCTTACACTATACCGGATTTGCTCATCACGACATCTTCATTTGCTTTCAAGGGTTAACTGTACGGAGTAAAAATTTTAAGCTGATAGATTTAGTCTATTTGATTGTGTTTCTGACGTTAAACAATTTCACTGCCTTTTAATATAAGGAATATTCAACCTGCTACAATAGCAATCCGGTATAGTGTAAACGGGGCGTTAGTTTGATATTTTTCTTTAGAAAGTTGTTACAAGTGATATTTCACTAATTTTGATTTGTAATTTCTATTTGTGAAATTTCCTGGACCCGCGCACTAACTGAAACATACTAGAGATTAATGATACTTTCGAAAAATTTTCACGATTAACTCACTTGTCAATAATATCTGTTATAGCAGGTCGTGGCTCGTCTTGTTTTATGGGAAAATGATTCTTACTTCCATGAAAAAATGATGGTTTATATCTAAAAGATAAAAATTTTACATAATTAATCAAAGACTAATTGCTGTAGAGTACAAGAAGGGTTAAAAACGGACTCAATATTAAAGTTTTTTCTGCAAAATTATATTCAAAATCCTACCACGCATTTTGGAGCTGCTGAAGTCATAAGCAGCCAGTAGGAGTTTATGAAATAAATATATATGTAACAGGTACAGTAAGCCAGCCATATTTTCATGTTATAGTCTAACAAAGCAACAAAACCCAGCCATTGTAAAGCATGTACCACATAATAACAAAACGTGAAAACAGCGGGAAATGTGAAGAAACTGACAAAGCAACTAATCTCAACCCGCAACACCCAAACATATAATCAGGTGCCCACAGTGGGTGCCCAGCACACGCGAGAATGTTTTATAAATACTCAGATATATATAAAGAAATTAAGAAATTCTGTATAAAAACACAACCTATCGTCATAAGCACATTCAGCAACCTGGATAAGACCACAATTTTCAAAGTTTTGGTTCATGAAGTCAAAATGCTGATATTGCATATCAGGTGAGAATTTCAACTCATGTTCATCTAATTGTTGCCTCTCATTAAATCCTTTAGACTTATTTTCATTGATCTCTCTCATGTCAGAACTGGGGAAATCTTCTTCATAGTTCTGTCTGCCTGATGTTTGTTCATGACTATTTTTGAGCGTGACATTATTTTGAGTAATTTTACAACTTTCATACAATGGTGATTCCTTATCACTAGCATCCCATGATTGTTGATTCACATGTAGTTTGTCATCACTGGTTTCAATCCTGTATGCATGATTGACATTGGCTAACTGATGACGATGATTAGGATTTGGTAATGAAGGAATTGGACTACTTAGTGCTTCTAAAAAAGAAAATGAGAAAAAAAATGTTTCACAATAGACACATGTGATGTATTAAAAGTATAATACAAAATTAAGTCTTCATCAAAAGTAACTGAGTGTTGAAAGCTCACTCCGCTGTACAACGATCGTACACATAAAAAGAGGTACGCAAAGCGTGCCAAACCTTGAACCAGTGGATTGAACGCATTGAACATCTTAGGCTAGTTGTAATATCGAACTTCCTTTGATTATACACAACATACATAGTTTCTTGGATGCATAAATTTGCTATTATTAAGGTGGTAAAATCTTCAAAATGTAATTTTGATTTAGTTTCCAATGACGTTTAAATTTTTAAAATATATACAAGTTAACATATAAGTTAATTAATAATTATATAAAACATATAAACGACTTGTGAATGTTCTTGAAGTTAATATGACTTTTAAACATTTGGGAAACACAATATTTAATACTCTTTTGCATTGTTGAGCTCTGCTGCTTTAGCTGACTCTCCATTCTCAGCATTGTCCGTTGGTTTTAAAGGAACATCTTCGCCGTTTATAACTGAAAGTAAGAATTGAGTTCTCATTATTTATAAATAAACTTTGATTTTTGTCTTTATCACGAGTGATCTGATGTTAAATCTCGAGTTCTTATATACTCTAGTCTAGTATTTTCATCAGGAGTGATCTGATGTTAAATCTCGAGTTCTTATGTACTCCAGTAGTGTCTTCATCAGAAAGATGTCGATATTAAAATGCTTGGATAAGAAAGTAATCAATACTTACGCAACTTTTTCTTCGCCAGTCTAGCTCTGCGTCCTTTACAATATATCATAAGATAAACAACGAGAATAATATTTGCAGAAACAGCAGCAGCAGCAGCACATCCAACAGCAATTCCTACAATCTTACCCATATTGTCTGAATGTCCCTCATTTTTATTACTTTCATTCACTACAGTGTCGTTTTTATTACTTTCATTCAACTGCAGCGTCGTATCTTCAATGACTGTTTGACCGATAGGATTCATTATCGCTTTAGAGTAAACTATAAAATCGAATGGGTTCATGACTAATTAACGTGCAATCAAAACTGTTACCATGAATTTTTGGATTAGCCTAAACTATTCTAGTTTATTAAAATCCCACTCATTGAGAGGTAGCTATATCAGTAACATAGCCAGCCAACAAATTTTAGTCATGCTATGGCTAAGCAGCAGCAGCAGCACATCCAACAGCAATTCCTACAATCTGACCCATATTGTCTGAATATTCCTCATTTTTATTACTTTCATTCACTACAGCAAATAAACAAGACAGGATGATTTTTTTTAAAAATGGAAGTTATTCTCACCATAACCTCATATCCTCCCTTACATTCATATCCTCCACATACACTCATATCCTCACCACTACCCCATATCCTCCCCTTACATTCATATCCTCTACATACACTCATATCCTCACCATACACATAGATCCTTAAACACTAATTCATAACTTTAACTGTCTAAGTATACTATACACTCACCAATGTCAACATACGCCCTTTCCGTAATAATAACACCAGGATTTCCTGCCATACATGTGTACCATCCTTTGTCTTTCTGCGAAATATTGCTCAGCATTAAGGTACCATTGGGATATACACGAGTACCCTTTACACTTTTAATTTCATCTTTCATGTTGTCTTTTCGCCACATGATAATGGGCTTCGGTATTCCAGTCGCGTTACAATGTAACCACGCATTTTCTCCTTTTGCGACAGTAACATTGCTCGGTTTCAGCACAATCTTTGTGTACTCTAAATGAATCAATGCAGGTGGATTTAAATAACTCTGACGTTATGGAAATATAACATATGTAAAAAATCAGAAGTCAACAAACATGACACGACATACCGTAAACGTTCACGTGAAATGTTAACGAACTTTCACTGAAAGAATTATTAACATAACATATATAATTTCCACTGTCCTTCATTCTAATGTTCTCAATTACTAATTTAAAACCCTCCACTTTCATGTGTGTCAAGGAACGTTCATCTAGTTCTTTTGACCAGCGGATATCGATAGGTTCATATCCAGCAACCAATTTGCAATTCAGTTCAGCAGTTGTACCGACGTCAAATTTGTCAGAGGCAATCTTTTGCAAAACAATATTTTCTGAAAGAAGAATAAGAGATGTAAGAAGTATGAAGTGCATGTCAGTTGAAGAGTCGGGTGAGGTTTAATAAACCTCTTACCGATCACCAATATAAATTATTTAGCCATATTTTTGGAACAGTCAAACAACTGCTAAAATGTCTTTTTTGAGACTAAAGATTCTTCTGTTTGATTTTCTAAGCAATCAATACGTTACAATGCATTGCCTAATTTTATTGCTTTCATGAAATGGTAAAAGGTCTAAATTGGCCAAACACAAATAAAATTAAAATATAGACAGATCAATTAAACAACGTAATTAAAACACTTTATGAAAACAGAATGAAAAACTTGGATGGAAGTTCATAGAGCGTATTATCAATTATACAACATTTAAGAATAATTTACGTTCGTTACTTCAACTAAACATTGAAAAGAAAACCATCATTACTGAGTAAAGAAGACATGAAAATACGGGGAGTGAAATGACCTGCAAGATAAGTTATTGGTCCATTGTTTGGTCAGTCTTTGTTCCTTGATCCATCGTTATTGAGCCAATCATTTCATGACACAATTTTAAAATTCTCGTGAGAAATTTTATTCATTTTATAGGCTCATTCTCGAGGTTGTCTCGCCAAATCTCGGGGTTTGACCCCCCCCCTCCTCCACGACAACCATAAAGATAATTAAAATTAACACTTTACAAAAGGGGTTGAAGGAATTTCAGTAGCTAAACTTAACAATAAGTGCCATTTCTGAGAGATATAGTTACCTTTAACAACAACTTTTGCTTCATAAGTTCGTTCAGTTATATGCTCCAACCTTGCCACACAACGATAACTACCTGTTTCTTTTTTTGTCACGTTAATCAAGTTTAGTAACGAACTATCCTTCATATTTATGACATTCCTTCTTAAATTTTCCTTCAACGTTTTCTTGTCTTTCTCCCACGATATCTCTGGTTTGGGATTACCACCAAATTTGCATTTCAACTGCAGCGTCGAACCTTCAATGACCGTTTGACCGATAGGATTCAGTATCGCTGTAGGGTAAACTATAAAATCGAATGGGTTCATGACTAATTAACGCGCAATCAAAACTGTTACCATGAATTTTTGGATTAGCCTAAACTATTCTAGTTTATTAAAATCCCACTCATTTAGATGTAGTTATATCAGTAACATAGCCAGCCAACAAATTTTAGTCATGCTATGCAGATTTCAGAACATTTTCATCATTAATTAGCTAAGATAAGCCAAAAAAATTTTACAGTTAAAGAACATTTTACTACTGTGAGATAACTGTGGAGGAAAGTTTTTCAAGCTCAATTCATTTGTTTTGACCAATATTCACACAAATTAATAATTTGTTTGATTTAACCAAAGCTGTACAGCTTTTTACATTAACGTTCATAACGATAAATATACCTATAAGTATACTTACCAGCTACGGTAACTTTGGCCTCAACCGTTACTTTCCCAGCAATATTTTCCCCAACACACAGGTAAACATTTGAGTCACTAATCTTTGGTTGAGTAATTCTTAAAGTGTTGTCTTTTACTGTAAAACGGGAATCGTTTGGCAAAGGACTCCCATCCTTCATTTGCCACGTGATCTTCTTAATTACAGGAAATGCACCGTTTGGAGGGTTACATCGTATGGTTATAGTCATGTTTACTCTACTTAGAGTATCTTGTATTGGAGTAAAACTTCCGGTTTCTGAAACAACAAAAGTTCGTGTAAGGTCCTTTACAAAAAACCAAGTCATCCTGCTTTGGGATTTGAACTAATCAGAGCTCGGAAAGATACGAAGAAGTTTGAATAAAGAAATTTATTGATATGAAGACCACTCCTTATCCACGTTATAAGAAAACTACTCTTGGATTGATATTTAAGAAGTGTAAGTACTCCACGATACTCACGAGTTCTCCACGATACTCACGAGTTCTCCACGATACTCACGAGTTCTCCACGATACTCACGAGTTCTCCACGATACTCATGAGTACTCCACGATACTCAGGAGCACTCTAAAAATACTCATTGTACAAGTGATCCACATACTCACAAGTGATCCACAATACTCGTGAACACTCTAAAGTACTCATGGGTATTCTACGATATTCTGACTTACTCATCAAGATACTTAATATTGAGTGAAGAATAAAGAACAAGAAAAAGCAATGACGCAATTTTTGTGATGATTTTATTAGGACTGTAAATAAGCACACAATTGCTGCATCTAAACGTCTCGTATTTAAAACATTCAACAATACTTACCAGCTAAAGTCAGCGTAGTTGTATAAGTCATAGATCTGTCACAGTTATTTGATGCACTGCAAGTATATTCCCCAGCATCACTTCTTTTGGTTGGAAAAAAACGAACTGTTCCATTGTCATTAACTTGAATTCTTTGATTATCTTTTAATGGAGAATTATTCTTCTTTCTTTTCCACGTTACTACAGGTTTTGGGTCACCTTTTGCTACACATTCCAACGTAAGCGGTTTGTTGGGAACAAATGGAATCTTGTCTTTGGGTGGAAAACTGATTCTTGAAGGTAAGCAATCTACAGCAAATTGACAATAAGTGACCTTTTAACGTGTAGGCAGCGAGAATTTTACTATAGGCTAAGCAATGTCATTTAAATAACATCGTTTCATGTACATCGTCAATGTTTATCATTTCTCAACATTCAGTTTTAAATGTTCAGCGAGTGTCTTAACTTGTCTCATGTTTTTGGTGTCATACCATACTTATCCTTTATAATCTCATGCTCATGTCATACCATACATATACATACATAATTGTCCCATGCTTATCTTATATATATCCATACTAGTCCCCGTGAGCCAAATACAACTAAAAAATACTCACCAAACACTGGAGGAGAATGGGGCTGACTTTTTACTGTAATTTTCCCACTTTGAACAATGCAGACATACTTTCCAACGTCAGTACTGGTGATTACTATACTTTGATAAGTAATGTTTATATCTTTGGAATCTTTTTGCCATTTGTACGTCGGTGTTGGAATGGAGGGACAATTGCAAGTTAATGTAGCATTACCGTTGCGAAATATCGGTCCAGATGATTTTATTGTGAAGTTATTCTTGCATGTGTCTACGTAGATAAAACAATTGGTTTACATATCTTGTTGGGCTTTAACTACTGGTTTTAACGTAAATTAAAAGTTGGAAACTGGAAACTAGCCACAACAAGAATATAGGTAATGTTTGATTTTTAATTCACATCACAATTAAAGGAAACTGTCGGTAACAAAGACTGGGAATTATTACCAAGCACACTTCTGCTTCTATGGTAATTCTAAAATGCGCTTTTCCAGTACTCATTAGGATTGGTGATTTACAGCCGATAATAAAAATAACAAAAGATTTACTGTTTTACAGACGTTCCAAAAAAAACAAGGGTTAAAAAAACCTTCTAGCTGTGATTAATTCAATTTATTTTTAGCCACGCAAGTTTTATCGTTCAATGTTTCATGTCGATAAATTGTCTACGGGCAGACGATGGACAATTGAAATGATTGAAGTCATTAATCATCGTTTTGGGAAAGGCAACATGCGCCGCTGTGAAATGCATATTAAAATGGAATTCCTGAAATTTGAGCAAATATCGCAATCTAATTTTTTGCTGCAAACCATTGTGTTGATAACCGTGCAGTCATTCCTAAGAGCTAAAAATTCCTAAAGCACGACTTCACACTGGGCAAAAGTTTGTCTTTCAATTAAAGCTCTTTTCAATAAGTAACCTGCACACCCTTATAAAAATAAAAGTCAATTGACTAATGTTCACGGGGTATTATGATCAACAAAAGAAAAATGTGATGGTTACACAAGAGGTATCGTTTGACCAGTATCTAATAAAAAAATGTAAATGGGAGATTCATAAGCATGGTGTGAGGTCCATTTCTTTTAAATAATGAAGTCAAATAGCACGCAATACTCTAACCATATTGCAATCACGAAAATTGTACACTGGAAAATCACACACTTAAATATACACTTTAACAAACACGTTACATTATTTGGTAAATATATTTTGACCATCAGAAAAAGTTCTTTAAAAGCAATTAAGCAATCTATATTCGGAGGGATGAAAAAGAATTTCTAAATTGGACGCCGATCGGGTCATTATGATAACACATTTCAAACTGATCGCTAATTTAACGCATCATTGGATATAATATAAATATATTTGATGGTAATCACTTCAACTTTTGTTGCCATTCATACGAAAACGAATGGTATGAAAAAGATAAAGACGCCTTGGGTAAAGAAATGAAGATTTATCTTTGTTATATATAAACATAAATAACATATTTTAAAGTAATTCAATCAATCAATACTTGTACAATGACTACAATCCACAAGCAATTTAACACATTCCTGGGACAATATTTAGAGGGGCGCATTTCTTAATTTACAACATATATTGTTTCAAAATTTAATGTACCGCGGCAGCCTTTAAGACAACCTAAAAAACCGCATATTGATATTCGATGAGAATGACATTAAAAAATGCCATAAAATGTTGTATGTGTTTGTGTGAAACTTGTACAAAAAGCAGTTTACTGTAGTCTGCCACAGTCTTGATTTGGCGTCATTTAATCACATTTAATCATCATAGTCATTGTGCGATGCCAAAACCCTGTCTGCGATAAAAACATTGTTCCTATACTGGCAAGTTTTCAAATAAAACTTACATTCAATTGTTAATCTTGCATCTCGACTTCTTAGCGCCGAGCCAGCCAGACAATGATAAACACCCGCATCAGATTTTTCTACTGGCTTTATCCTAAGACCGCGCCTAATTTTTGTATATTTGATGTAGTCAACCGTAATCGATCGATTGTTTTTCATCCAAGATATTTCCACGGAAGAGTCGTCAACTTTACAATTTAAAACAACACTATCTGCACCATCCCTTGCTGATGTATCATCAGGTTGCGTTGTAAATTGAAGCGCATCAACGACTACAAAACAAAAGAAATTTATATTTAAGTGAAATTGTCCTATTTGTGCTTGCTCTTTTCGACATTTTGAAGAGCTTTCAAGCTGTGAACTGCTTTGCTTTAATTTTTTTAGTAAAAATTATTTGTAAATAGCGTGCCTTGTTACAAAACCTTCGTCCTAAAGAGCGTCATCGAGATAAAAATTATAATTGAAGATTCAGAGAAAAACGTTATAGTTTATGCAAGAGCAGTTTTTAAAAGTTATCAAAGAAATTCAGTTTAATGTCCATGGCAGTAGGAGCCGGGATATTAGCTGTTGCTATAAAGAATCGATAGTTATTTGTGCCCATGGATATTATTCGATCGCACACTAAATTAAGAACATACTTACCAAAATATATGTTTACCAGCTTCAATAGAAATAGAAGTTTCCCAGCGAGTTTGTTTGCCATAACTTGTGCGAAACCACAGATCTAATAATACACTAGATAGTGCAACGGCTTACATTTAACCCTTAAAGCCCGCCGCACACTGGTGAACTTGCCGCGCGTACTTGTTATTCGTGACAAGTGTGATCGACAAAATTTCCTAGTGTGCGCGGAAGTTTTGAACAACATTTGTCATTCGTGACAGATGAGTCACACCTGTCACGAATAACAAGTACGCGCGGCAAGTTCACCAGTGTGCGGCGGGCTTTAAATGCCCCGTATGACAAATTTGTCACACGTATATTTATAGAGCTAGTGCTTCCATACTGTATTATATTTTTCCTTAAAAATGCGCTTAGTGACACATTTGACCCTTAGTTAATGTTATTAATGAGCTGATAATGCTTATTGTGAAGACTGGGCTTGAAAAAAATAATTTCAACATGGCAGTCATTTTTAAAATATGCGAAGTGAAAATCTTGTGAAGAAAATGTGAGAAATACACTGTATAAAAAGTAAGTTACTGTGATTTTATATATTGAATCGTTTTAATTGACTCACAAGCTTATGAAATTAGTTTAGAGTTTTTTTGATTATATATTTTCTTTCGAAAAAAATACATGGAAATAGTTGTGTGTCAAATTTGTCACAATGGGCATTTGAATGCCATTTTGATTAATGACACATGGAATTACAATTGGTACACCGATGGAATTCTTTATTATTTTTGAATGTTTAGTTAACTAAATTATTAAGAAAATTGTTATTTAATAGAATTTAAAAAAAATTGAACAATATATGTAGGTCTTACGCTAGAATTTTGAAATACTATTAGTATAATTTTATTATGAATGATTTTGGGTTATGTTTACTCAACACAGTTGCCGGTGTATTTATTTCCCTACATAACTACTTTCTTATTCATATCAACACTAGTGAAATTGAATTCAGTGAAGAATCATCTGATGATGAATACCAGCTAATTGCTGATAATGATGGATACAATGATTTGCTTTGTAATTCTGTAACAAGTGCAGATGAAAATGATGAAGAAAATACAAGTACAGATGGTGATGATTGCATTCCATTGGCTCAAAGAGTCAAGTCTTTTGCTGACAATGAGACAAAAAAGACAAAAAAGGGTGTTTATTGATGACGAAGACATAGATATGTGCATGTTGAAAAGCCTTTCATGGGTGATCAGTATATTGTACCTGAACCTCCACCATCACCTTTGACAATTTTTCAACAGTTTGTAAACAAAGAGATGCTTGAAAACATGTGTCAGCAAACTAACATTTATAGTGTTGTGAAAACTGGAACATCTGTTATGATGAGGTAAATGACTCATCAAAAGGAATTACCATTGTCAGATGGCTGGACAAAAAGGCAGTGAAATTGGTATCTACTTACTGTGGAGCAGAACCATTAGGTGTTGCAAGGAGATGGGAAAAGAAGGAGAAGCAATATGTGGAAATTCCCAAGCCAAAGCTTGTAGATGAGTACAATAAGTTCATGGGGGCATTGACTTAATGGACATGCTTTGCTCATTGTACAAGTATTCCATAAGATCAAGGCGATGGTATCTTTACCTTTGGTTTCATACCCTTACAGTGGCTATGGTCAATTCATGGCTTCTTTTCAGAAAAAATCAGAGAGGAAAGAAACAAATCAAACTTCGTGACTTCCAAGCAACAATTGCAGAGGGATTGATTAAGGCAGGAAAAGAAAGAAAAAGAAGACGATCTTCAAATGCCTCGACATCTCGAAAAAGACCAACCACTCAACCAAATGAAGAGATACAGTTTAATAAAATAGATCATATGCCTCCCTGGGATGACAGACATCATCAGAGATGTAAAATTTGCTCTGCCTTTTGCTCTCATGTTGTCTGTGGCAAATGCAATGTTTATCTCTGCTTCAATAAAGACAGAAATTGCTTTATGGAATACCACACAAATAAATAAAATCATAAAGATTTCTACATACTGACAGATTAAAGTATTGATTGATTAAAACTCTTGTTATATTCACAATTTTCATGCTTTTGTTAATGAATACTATATAATTATTTTAGTTTTAAACTCTAGTTTTCTTTATTATAGAAAGTAACGCTTAATGCCCAATGTGACAAATCTGTCACAAAATTTTTTAAGAAGAAAAAATGTTTTTTTTAAAATTTTTTAATCGAACTTGGTATTGCTTGTTATTTTAAGGAAAAATACCAAAGAACAGATTTTTGCATTGAGTTTATCCCTCCTTGGGCATTTAAGGGTTAATAAGTAGTGGTTGAAGCCGGGCAAATTTACTTCCGGAGCCCCAAAGTTGTGAGAATCAATATGGCGTTGTATTAGAAAATATTTGGTCAAAGCTGATATCTTGCAATTACTTGCAAGTCACGACTGTTACATAAACTGGTTTACTCTATTAATGAAAAAAATCAATGTGACCATAGTTTTTCAAGAAAAAGATAGCAGAATGCGCAAATACATCGCCGTAAAATTGATTTCAAGTGTAGCTCGATTTGAAAGCATCAGCAGCGACGAAGGCTTATGCAGTCATTTTCGCCCAATATGCAATCATTCGAAAGGTCTAAATAAAAATGATGTAATAGTTGATATATCAGTTGATTTTGTCATGTAACGGTGATTACTGTGTAGAAAAAGGTTAAAGAGTCACGCAGAAAATACTTTAGAAATTAAATTTTTAGTAAATTCATCGCTCCTTGGTTTTTGAACGTAATGTTTTCTTATTTTAGGTCCTTCATCTAAAGATTTGACATCGTTTATCTCATGCAGGACAATGCTAAAACTTACTACTACTGTACACAAGTACAAGTTAAACAATCTTTAAATTTCTTTGATTAACTTCATCTTTTTCTTTGGATTCCCAACTGATGGCAAACAATCGGAAAGCATGTAATGGTATTGCTAACTGACTGAGCAATTCCCTGGTGACGGCTAGGAGAGGCTTCATAAGATTCGTTGATGACACAAATATGTTCAAAAGCAAAACCGAAATGGGCTGAATAAAGTTATTGAACAAAGCAGTGAGAAGCGGTTTGATAAAATGATCACCGCAAATGTAGAAAATGCCAGCTATCAAACGTCGAAAAGTAATAACTATTGTTTTAAAAAGTTCCAACAGCAGAATGACGAAAAAGTTGAGAAAGATTTGAAAGGCACCGAAGATTTCACGCCAAAATTTTTGAAGGATTACATCGGACCTGTGAAGATATAAAATTCGCTATTGATTTGTTTGACAGTAGTGGGTCGCATTCTACATGAGCCGAATGCATTTAAAACAAAAGATAATGAAGAATTTTATCCCATTTTCTCTTGTTTTAAATGCATTCGGCGCATGTAAAATGCGACATTTGAAACAGGCCTTACTGAAAAATACATTTTCAAAAAAAATGTTCACACAGCCTATTGGTCATGTTTTAGGCTGCGCTTACACTATACCGGATTTGCTCATCAGGACATCTTCATTTGCTTTCAAGGGTTAACTGTACGGAGTAAAAGCTTATTAAGCTGATAGATTTAGTCTATTTGATTGTGTTTCTGACGTTAAACAATTTCACTGCCTTTTAATATAAGGAATATTCAACCTGCTACAATAGCAATCCGGTATAGTGTAAACGGGGCGTTAGTTTGATATTTTTCTTTAGAAAGTTGTTACAAGTGATATTTCACTAATTTTGATTTGTAATTTCTATTTGTGAAATTTCCTGGACCCGCCCACTAACTGAAACATACTAGAGATTAATACTTTCGAAAAATTTTCACGATTAACTCACTTGTCAACAATATCTGTTATAACAGGTCGTGGTTCGTCTTGTTTTATGAGAAAATGATTCTTACTTCCATGAAAAAATGATGGTTTATATCTAAAAGATAAAAATTTTACATAATTAATCAAAGACTAATTGCTGTAGAGTACAAGAAGGGTTAAAAACGGACTCAATATTAAAGTTTTTTCTGCAAAATTATATTCAAAATCCTACCACGCATTTTGGAGCTGCTGAAGTCATAAGCAGCCAGTAGGAGTTTATGAAATAAACATATATGTAACAGGTATAGTAAGCCAGCCATATTTTCATGTTATAGTCTAACAAAGCAACAAAACCCAGCCATTGTAAAGCATGTACCACATAATAACAAAACGTGAAAACAGCGGGAAATGTGAAGAAACTGACAAAGCAACAAATTTCAACCCGCAACACCCAAACATATAATTAGGTGCCCACAGTGGGTGCCCAGCACACGCGAGAATGTTTTATAAATACTCAGATATATATAAAGAAATTAAGAAATTCTGTATAAAAACACAACCTATCGTCATAAGCACATTCAGCAACCTGGATAAGACCACAATTTTCAAAGTTTTGGTTCATGAAGTTAAAATGCTGATATTGCATATCAGGTGAGAATTTCAACTCAGGTTCATCTATTTGTTGCCTCTCATTAAATCCTTTAGAATTATTTTCATTGATCTCTCTCATGTCAGAACTGGGGAAATTGTCTTCATAGTTCTGTCTGCCTGATGTTTGTTCATGACTATTTTTGAGCGTGACATTATTTTGAGTAATTTTACAACTTTCATACAATGGTGATTCCTTATCACTAGCATCCCATGATTGTTGATTCACATGTAGTTTGTCATCACTGGTTTCAATCCTGTATGCATGATTGACATTGGCTAACTGATGATGATGATTAGGATTTGGTATTGAAGGAATCGGACTACTTAGTGCTTCTAAAAAGGAAAATGAGAAAAAAAATGTTTCACAATAGACACATGTGATGTATTAAAAGTATAATACAAAATTAAGTCTTCATCAAAAGTAACTGAGTGTTGAAAGCTAAATAAACATAATTGAACATAGTTGGAACACCAAATTATAAACAGTGAAATTAGCATGTCCTTATGCCTAAGGGAAGGGCACAAGCCAAAATATAATTTGTGCCACATAAGCATAGTAAAAACTGTATGCCCCAGACCCCATAGTCTTTCTTGTGCCATTGATTACAAAGTTTAAAATAGGTTTGAAAAGAACAGTGAAGATTGTTTTTCTGAATTTAAGATTATCTGGTGATTGTATGATTCATACCTCTAAAATCTGTGAATGGGGGCTTTTTGTAGCCACTAACATCATGTGAGTTTTTTACTTTATTTGAGTCCTGATTATCAAAAGTTCTTATATCATCCTTGGAAATATTATTTTTTTCCCTTGGTAAAAAATGATTTTGTTCAATGTCAGCAGCATCATCATTCCATAGACCCTTCGTATGATCCTCAAATGTAGTGGCGTTGTTGCTTTTCTTGATGGATTTTGATGTGTTACGATACATTTTTGCTGGTTTTGTTATGGTGGGATGTTTTGTATAGGAAGGTTCCTTAGGTGGTGTTGGCATTGCTGAGTTAACTGTTGCTTGTGTTGTTTTAACAGAAGGTTCAGGACTTGAACCTGGTTGAGTTATATCACCTGGTAAGCTGTCCCAATCAGAATCACTTTCAGCAATGTGGTCTTGGTTTTTTGACATCCTAAAAAAATTCATTGACAATCATTGATTAGCACTCTTTTGAAAAAGAAAAAAAACATTTATTTTTTCATAGATTTATCTATTTTTACTCGCTAGTAAATGTATTCTTATGCATTACATAATGAAATAAATGCGATTCAATGAATTAAAATCTTACATCGTTTGAAGAGAAATAAAAGTAAATGTGTTCAAGATTTTTTCTTTGGTACCGTTGACATGGCAACCGATGGCGTCCCATGTTACTGAGCCCACGAAGAGAACCGCTGAATTAAATATTATCTGAGGAAAATTTTGGCAAATGTCTGGCGTATTTTGCCGTTTTTAAATTATAAAAAAAGAGAATGTGGATGCTTTATCAGTATTTAGAATTACACATTTATGCTCTTGCCATCGAAAATACGTGACATGCCGGGAATTATGCGACGACGACGCCATTAACAATGTCAAGACATACAACGTTGCCATTTTGATATTTGACAGTTCTTCAATTTACTCGCTTACCATGGAGAAGTAAGCATTTTGTAATTCTTTGAGAATAATTCTTGATTTAGTTTTTTTGTTTGAATTAAAATTCTGACAGTACCTTGTAAAATAAAGTAGAAACTTGTCACTGTAAACCAGTGACATGTCATTAGTATCAAGGTAGACATATAAACAATACAATACGATATATTTTTCATTTGTATAGCTCTATAAAAGAAAGAATAAGACAACGAAGAGCTGCCATGGAGGTTTTTCTTTTAATTTCACAATCTTTATACTGTGGGAAGCTTCAAATTTATATGTATACTACATTATTCCAAGTTCTATTTAAAGGTTTCACCTTTTCATTTTCATTTCCATACATCATCAGCCATAGTTATGTGTATTATAGATGAATTTCACATCTGAATCTGGATCATTTGTTTCTAATTTTGACAAGAATGACAGGAGTAAAAATGATGAGGTGAATTTTATTTTCAAGAAAAATGTTTTTTTTCCCTATAAAACTTATGTGTTTTTACAATACTTTTGAACCAACTTTAGCCTTCTGGTAGAAGAAATCATGCAATAGAAAACATGGTAATTGATGTATCTAATGAAGATGTGACAAATATTCAGGTTTGTTCAACTTTTGATGACATCACTGTTCACTAAAGGGGGGAGAGGGGAGAGGCTTAGATTAGATTTGTAGGAAATTTATACTGTTTTGTCATATTGCTATATTTAAAGTTGACTAGATATCCAATGTTTCAACAATATCTGTATCAAATGTTTTTTACGTAGACTTTGAATAGCAAAGAATCAGATGAAGATGATATGTTGGGTAGACTGAAAACAAGAAGAATAAAATGGCAAAATGAGGTAATGTGAAATCTTGATAGTGTAGATGAAACAATGTTATTTTAGTAGATAATGAGGACACACAAATCTCTTAATATCTCATATTCTCTATTTTAAGTTTGGTCAACAAGGATCTTGGACACAACCCTCCACACCTGTACAAGGTATACTAGTATACAAAGATGTATAATTTCTTAGTTTTAACATTTACTCCTGTACAAGGTACACTAATATACAATGATGTATAACATCTTTACATCAACTTGCATATTTCTGCTTAAACTCAATTATCAATTTCAACCTTAAACGAGACAAAGAAAACAGGTAATCCTTGTTTGCCTGAAGCCAAGCTTTTGCTCATTGTGCATTAAACAGGAAATAATTAGTTATGTATTGTAAAATTTATCAACTAATAAAAACTGTATAAACAAGGTTGGCTGAAGTTGTTAGTCAAAAAGGAAGAAGCGGTTAAAACCTTTGCGCAGTATTCTTGAACGTTAAAATTTATTTTATCTAAGAACTCGTGTGGACAAATAAAAAATTTTGAAAGCAAAACTGATTACTTGTTTTAACAATGATTTATAATAAAATCGCTTCAATTTTTTTTTATTCTCAGGCGGAGATATCTGGTTTTCACGACAGGTTTATTGATCCTTCAGGTTTGTTATGAGATTCACATTTATTGCAAATCGTTGCAGTCAGGATTGGATTAGTTGATTAATGTATAGGATTTATGTAAGCTAATCAATGGAGTATATTTGGAGTATATATAATATGGAGTATATTCTGGGGATAAATCTGAGGTTGTTTTAAGGAATGAAAAATGTGTATTTTTTATTACTTTTCAGGAGAGAAGTGGTATCAGATTGATGTGGATATTTCTAGTTTGTCATTTACGCATCATCCTCTCTTCAGTAAGGAGCATGTTTTACAGTCTCGTTTAAAACAATTATACAATAATTATTGCCGACGAAAGAAACAAGCGATCTCTACTCATCTCAATGAAAAGGTAAAATATTTTATGATATGAACACTTTTTGTTCTGTCTTAAATCTTCATAACATGAAATATAATTTGTTTATAATCAGCTTTGCATTAAAAACGGCGGTAAATCAATGCTACGAAGCAGCCAAGTCTCATTCATCGGTATGTTTCTCATACGAAGATCAATATTTTTGCATTGAATATTTAATTCGTTAATTTATGTTTGTTTTATCTGTATAGAGTTCTTTAAAGGAAATCTCACTTCCTGATGATCTTTTCCAACGTATATGCAGCTACAAAGCACAAATAAGGTATCTGTACGCATGCGCGTGACTTTTCCTTATTTGTAGTTTTCGTCCAAGCCTTTTTAAAATCTATTTTTGGGAAAAAAATTTCAGTTAAATGATCCATATACCGATAAAAGTGAAAACATTGCCCCCAATAATATTGTGTTCATCTGTTCCTCTCAACCATACATCTTTTTTTGTTGAGTTTCGTGTTTTTCAACATTTGTTCCTAGGGAAACGAGAAAACAACGCGATGCCGAAAGCTTGACAGACCGCACACTTCTTACAGACATATTGGAGTAAGTAAGAAAATCAAAGGCAGAAAGGCAGATTTTTCTATCAACTTCTATTGAAATGTGTGCAGTATAAATCTGTAGACAAAAGTTCAGTTGTGGAAATTTTTACCAGTTGACTGTTGCATTAAAAAAGCCATTTTTTGTGATTCTCTTACTCAGTAAACGTTGCTTTCAACAAATTGTAAAATGCTCTTATTTTTATTTCTAATCAAGATGTTGGCAAGAAATTAAACTAATTCGAGAGCAACTTGGTTACGTTAATACGTCATGTAAGCTTTTCATTTTTAGGTAAGTTTTCGTATTGTTGTTACATTTATATTGTAGTTATGTACATTAAAATTAATGTGCCACCCAAAGACAATGCTTATCCTATCGTTACACGTGTTTTAGACTTAACTTATTGCTCTTCAATACTCAAAAACAAAAATTTTTATTGCAAACAGAGAAATCACCAGTCGAGAAAATGAAAGAGTTGAGTACGAAAGAGAACTTCAAGAGGAACTTGAAGAGAGAAGGTTTGTTTTTCTGCATGGTATAATGTATTGATAATTAACGTTCAAACGACCTGCCAATGTTAAAAATGTATTTACTATCTCTTCATAATGTTGTCGTAAGTAACAACGTTCAATTGATATATATATCTTGTGTACTTTAATTTAATTTTCTCTCTCTCTATATATATATATATCTTGTATACATAGGGAGGATTTCCAAAAGTTGTATTTGGAACAGATGGAAGAATACAAAGTAAAGTTGAAGAAGTGGAAGAAACAAAAAAAGTTAAAAGTGAGAGTTTATTGATCCATCGTGTTTATATAATGACGAGATTTAGGCGAGTGCTGTATGTTTTGCGTCATGGAATTTTGGCATATAGATATAACTGTAAATGCAACCTTTTGATCCTTAGTAATCACCTAAGAATGCTCAACCGTTTGACCAACTGTTCGAGTTCATAGTCATGGCAACAACACGCTCGACCTACTTGCGCCATTAGCACAGTTAGAAATTAATTTAGAAATCACCAGGACTGTGGTGTTGCTCGCTTTGTTTATACGTTACGTTGAAAAGTTTCCGACAAAACTTTTAGAACACGTTGTGATACACGTCTTTAATATGATATAATGTAAAGAAAAGTGATGTATTTATAATAATTGTCTTGTATGCATTTCAATAATGATCTTTAAGTATCTGCAATTCCTAAACATCTGCAATATCTGATTGGAATTCAACTAAATTTTCTATAGAAGAGACGAACTCTTGGTGAAGAAGACATAGAACAAAGTGAACTGTTTGACGATATTAGTGGTATATGGAGATTTGTTTTTTTATATTGCATTTCATTTTGCCACAATCAAAACGAAACGTTTATCTAAAGAAATAAGATAAACATTTATTTATTTTTGCATACAATAGAATTTCCTCCTGAACAACCGACAAAGTTTAATGATGAAGAAGAGTTTAAGTTTATTGTTGATAAAGCTGAAAAGACAAGAAGGAAACCAGGTTTGATAATTTAATGAAGTGTTTTTAAACATTTTATCAATGTTTTTTAATATTTTTTTAAGGGGAGCCTATTTTGACACCGGAATTAAAATCATCTGCTAACGTTACTGCGTTAGAACTATGTCCAAGGTACAAAACTTGAGTAGCAAAGCTACCATAGTACTCACCACTGTACCATAGTACTTACCACTGTACCATAATACTCACCACTGTACCATAGTACTCACCACTGTACCATAGTGTTAACTCAAGTACCACAGTACTCACCACTGTACCATAGTACTCACCACTGTACCATAGTACTCACCACTGTACCATAGTACTCACCACTGTATCATAGTACTCACCACTGTACCATAGTACTCACCACTGTATCATAGTACTCACCACTGTACCATAGTACTCACCACTGTACCATATTACTCATCACTTTACCATAGTACTCACCACTGTACCATAGTGTTAACTCAAGTACCACAGTACTCACCACTGTTAACTGCGGTACCATAGTACTCAGCCATTTGAAATGACTTTGACACAGAACACATGCCTCTACTGGAACATTTTATTTTGGAAACATTTACAGGAGTGAACAACAACGTCGAAAGGATGTACAAAATTGGAAAGCGTTTGTAAAGGTTTTATTTAACAATAAAGAAGTATCAAGAACTTCGACAAAGTAAGACATAAATATTTTCATCAATCATATCTCTGCTATAAGTTCTCTTCACTGCTGATAAGATTATTTTAAACAGATCAATGATACTCTTCACTAAATAAACACGTGTTTTCAAATCTTTTATCTGTATTGAGAAGATGTATTTTAACACACACGACATTTTTTTTCATGCACAGATCGTTACTCTCTGATTTTACAATCCACTTTGGTGAAATACATCCTGTAAAAATTCTACAATGGCCTGAAAGTATTAAATTACAGGTTTGAATATCACATTCAGAAATGTTTTGTGTGGTTTGTGATATCATTTTATAAAAAATATGTGTCGAAAGCCACTGTATAAATTGAACCAATAAATACTTCTTATTTCTCATGGAAAGGTATTTTCTTAGAAGTTTACGAAGTTTGTTGTCTTATTTATGTAGGTTTATGAAAATGTTGGCCTTCAAACAAAACTGTTGACTGAGGTGTTTATTCCCGTGCCTGACATCAATAAAGTGTCGGGCATGCAGGTTGAACTTGATGCAGTTGAGTTTAGCAGTACATCTGAAGTTGTTTACCATCATGATGGTGTTGGCAGCGGTAGGTCAAGTTATAAGACTATCAATGGGTCTGCTGGTATAAAATTGATGTTTTTCTCTTTTTTTCTTTCAATACTTATTTGTAGGTTTTACCATTTCCGTTCGAGCTAACAACGAGTCTTCTTCACTTCCGTTGCATACATACCTCACTTCCGGAACGATTTACTGCAATGTATCTTGGGGTTTGGATTTTGAAGGCAAACCCTTGGTTCCTCCCCAGACGTCTACATCGCCAAAAACTGCTTATGGGTAAGCACTTCTGTGAAGAGTAGTTATGTGTGAATAACAAATATGGCGTTTATTTATCGTATTTTTTTAATACTCTTGAGTTCAGACCTTTCTAGAAATCATCAATAATATTTACTTTTTTTCTTCAGCAATGTTGTAAAATATGATGCTTTTGTCTCGCTTGGAGCTTCTGGTATAATGGATATCCATGCACTTGCGCGATGGATCGGTATCATTTTTACCATATTGTGGATTTTTTATATCAAAACTAAAGTAAAAAATATTTGCATTGTATTCCTTTCAATAATCACGTTTAAACCCTACAATAAATCAAGAAATTGTCCATTTCTACAACTATCTTTCTTTTTTCTCACAGCCGAATCAAATCTTGACCCTAACGATCCTGCAAACGCTCCTATCATAAGTCTTGTGAAAGTAATGTTTTATTCTTGTGCCTTAGTGTTTTATCGTTTTCCCACTCATCGGCTCTTTTATATTGTTTTCTATGGACGATCTTTCTTCACTTAGCTCGTGTCGGATGATACCGATGGTGGACCGAAGTATTTCCGTCTTCACCAATTGGAGGATGAGACACGATTTGTAGATGAGTTGGAGTTAAAGAATAATAAACGTTTCCTCATATTGCAGCTGAGAAACCAGCTTGTATGTCTTATCTTCTGATTTTGTTTTCAGTATTCATTTTAAATAATCTTTTTTTTAAGGTTCCTGAATTTCGTAATCTTAAAGCTATTCCTCACAGTAATAAAGACATACCAGATGATATTTTTCAGGTATATTTTTCAAAAGTTATTTTGTATTATCTTACTTGTTTCTAGTTTTACTCATGTCCCCGATTTGCTAATCGTTCTTTACTTTATCCTAAACCTCCTTATTTCCATTTATCCTTTGTTATCCTGTATTGTCTCCTATTGTCTATTATTTCTTTTGGTCTCACGTGCTATTTCCATTTCATACTCAAGAATTTTTATTTTTACTGTCCCAATAATATCATTACAACCTCATTTTTATATCATTGTATCCTCACGTAATTTTTATACTTAGAACTATGAGAAACGAATCAACGGTGTAGAGGAAGATGAAAGTAAAGATGATTTTAGCGTTCATCGTGCTACTGTTACGAAATTCCTTAATAAGGTCAAGATTTTATCATTTATTGACAACCGCTGTATTTTCTAATCTCCTTAATTGATATGACGGATTCATAATACACAAATTAAAATTTTTTTATATCAATTGTATTTTGATCACGTCATTATTTCTGCTCAAATGAAAACAACCGGCCTCTGATGATGCTTTTTTAGGTTCGCGAGATGGTCATTGCTAGATCTTTGATTGCTAAACGACAAAGATGTTTAAGTGACATGGTTGTCGAAGAGGAAGTCCCAAATGTTGGGTGTGTTTGTAAAAACCATCGTTAGATTTTTTTTTCAGGTGAAATCTTATTTCTTCATCTTTTGTATTTTGTTTTCTATTCCTATGAAAGTTCCTTAAGATACCGTATTGCACAATTACTGTCTCCAAGAAGACCTCTAAAACCTGTTCGACACGAAAGAAAAACAGTTGGAACTCAGGTAAAATAAAAACTCGTTTATTCTTAGATAGTAACAAAACAAAGAGTAACAATGTTTCTCTATCTATCCATAGAGAGCTGTAGGGCTCAAGAAATTTCACTTCGGTTTTAATTCTGGTTCTTTTTTGTATGTTCTTGTTCTATCTATCCATGTATATCCATTTATCTATGTATACCTTTCTATCCATATACATCCATTTATCTATGTATACCTTTCTATCCATGTACATCCATTTATCTATGTATACCTTTCTATCCATGTGCATCCATTTATCTATGTATACCTTTCTATCCATGTACATCCATTTATCTATGTATACCTTTCTATCCATGTACATCGATTTATCTATGTATACCTTTCTATCCATGTACATCCATTTATCTATGTATGCCTTTCTATCCATGTACATCGATTTATCTATGTATACCTTTCTATCCATGTACATCCATTTATCTATGTATACCTTTCTATCCATGTACATCGATTTATCTATGTATACCTTTCTATCCATGTACATCCATTTATCTATGTATACCTTTCTATCCATGTACATCCATTTATCTATGTATACCTTTCTATCCACATACATCCATGTAGCTTTGTATACCCATCTATCCATGTATACCTTTCTAACCATGTGCCTTCATCCATCCATTTATACTCTTTTAGCCATGCACATTCATCAATTCTTAACCATTCAAATTCTTTATGTTTTTAGAGTTTATCCCAGACAAATGTTCGAATCCTTGTTAATGTCGTTCGAGCATTTGATATTCCTGTTAGAATATCACGTCCTCAGACAGCGTAAGTTTAAAGTCAATTTCATATTACAATACTTAATTTTGTATGAAATTTGAACTTGAAAATGGATCTTTGAACTAACGACTTAACTGTTTTTGGAAAATTTTAAAATAAAAATGTCTTTGATTTACTACAATTTTTGTTACCTCTCATGCATATATGATTCCAGAAGCTCAGAACGGCCGATGGAAACAAGTGAAGGTTTATCTTCAATGTTTATTTTCTCCGATGTTCACGGAGAAGTTCGACCACAAAATAGACGAACAGGAACTAGACTCAACTCATTGAATGAGGTAAGTAGCTTCCTTCATGGTGTTTGTTTTTTGTTATTTTTTGTTCATAGCCATTATCTCTCATCATCAATGTAGCTATTTCTGTGTTACGTATTCGTGGCATACAAATGTCTCCATCATCAATGTAGCTATTTCTGTGTTACGTATGCTAGGCATACAAATGTCTCCATCATCAATGTAGCTATTTCTGTGTTACGTATGCTAGGCATACAAATGTCTCCATCATCAATGTAGCTATTTCTGTGTTACGTATGCTAGGCATACAAATGTCTCCTTCATCAATGTAGCTATTTCTGTGTTACGTATGCTAGGCATACAAATGTCTCCATCATCAATGTAGCTATTTCTGTGTTACGTATGCGTGGTATACAAATGTCTCCTTCATCAATGTAGCTATTTCTGTGTTACGTATGCGTGGTATACAAATGTCTCCTTCATCAATGTAGCTATTTCTGTGTTACGTATGCGTGGTATACAAATGTCTCCTTCATCAATGTAGCTATTTCTGTGTTACGTATGCTAGTCATACAAATGTCTCCTTCATCAATGTAGCTATTTCTGTGTTACGTATGCGTGGTATACAAATGTCTCCTTCATCAATGTAGCTATTTCTGTGTTACGTATGTTAGGCATGCAAATGTCTCCTTTCTTTGTTAATATGGTTAATGAATACTGTCCTATTGAACTACGAAATGATTTAGCTTTATATAACTTTAAATGATTCATTCTTGTCGATGAGTATAAAAAGTTTAAAACTTTTTAAAGAAAGCGTCAAAAAAGACTATTTATTTTATAGCCTATGGTGCAACCTTTTGTCGAGGTTTTCTTTCAAGGAAATTTTGTTCGAACGTCTGTGGCTCACGGTCCTAATCCTTGTTGGAATGAAGAGTTGACATTGCCTTTCAGGTAGCTACGTTAGCTACTCAATGCAATGCGAGTTTTTTGTTCATGTTTTTTGTTGTTTCCCAGACCTCCAAATGATGATTACTCCCCGTCAAGTCTTCAGTCCGTGAATGACGTCATATATTTGAACATTTTTGATCAAGTTGTTGTTGACATTAATCAGGTAGGTATGTTTTCGTCTATTTTTATTGAAATGTTCTTCTACCATGTTATTTCACTGCAAGAATGCGAATTGTTGTGTTTTCATCGATGTTTTTCAAGCTTTTTATCTTCAAAGTTTTAGGTTGAATTCATTATCTAGTTTCCTTATTTCGTCACTAAAATGTTCCTAAAACTTTTTCATCTTAGGTGGAACAGCAACATACCACAAATATTCATCAACGTCTCGAAAGACATTGGTTAGGCAGTGTTGAACTGCCATTTTCCACTGTTTATTTCAATACAAAGGTTTGTATTTTCTTACATAATCACTATCCATATCCATTTAATTACAAGGAATACCTTGCATTTGCTTAAAAATCTTCCTTTTCTGTCTATTCAGTGATGGTAGTTCATAAGTATTTGTCTTCCATGTATTCAAGTTGGAGTTAATGGAGTTGATTGCCTTTTTCGTGGTCTTTAATGGGCTCTAATTTACCAGGGCTAGGCTATGTATATGAACAACCAAACATTTTAACGTTTCTTCAAGGTTGATGGTACATTTCGCATAAACATGCCAGCTGTATTATTGGGTTACCAACACAACCCTAAACAAACTTACGGTGAATCTGATATTGGCATTGCTTCACATAATCAGGCTTTTCTCACTCTTTTTGTAACCATTGAGCCTCCATTACAGCCTTCACGACCACTTGTTGAAAAGGTAAAACTCTTTTGCGCATATACACTTTAAAAAACATCACACTGCATTAGTCAAAAAAATACATGTCAAGGTCACTACACATCAAAACCGAACCTTATGATTAACTTCATTTGATTTTAGTTTGAAACTTCAGAAGACGAGAGATTGATAGATACTGCTTTTTTGTGGATGGAAGATTTGAAAAAGAAGTTTCCTAAACGTGAATATAAGGTATGTCAACTCTTACATGGAGTATGGCTGAATAGCTTTATGTTTGATGTTACATGAAGTATTTGTCATTGAGGTCTTGGGGTGAGGTGACAATTTCTTTAGCTGTGTGAATGTGATATTTTATTTTTGTTTGTAAGTTAAAATCATTCAAAAAAAGATTTGTTGTATTTTTATAACAGTTCTACAGAACACTATATTATAATCAACCAGATGGTTCATTTTAAGGAAAACAGCAAATTTTATCTATTGTATTTTAAGGTGCTTGCTACTGACCTTAATGGTAAAAAAGTGTTTTTAACAAGATATATTTGCGATCAAATTCCACCTTCAGATTTTGGTTTTGATCCTACAAATCCTTCTCCAAATTCCATGGTACTATTATAAATTATTGTAGCTAATTTGTATAATTGTTTTACTGCAACTCTGACTTTCAGCTCTCAAGATAGTTCTATTGCAAGTCTGTTAGTTTGGTGAGCGCAAGTTTTAAGTCTGACTTTCAGCTCTCAAGACAGTTCTAGTGCAAGTTTGGTTCTGAAGCTATAGAACGCAAGTTTTAAGTCCAATTGCAGGTGCAGTAGTAAAATTCTCCTGTCGATCTGAAAGTTAAGTTTTTATTTCAGGATATTATATGTCGTTATGTCTCCTTGATTCCGTATATCTCGGATTCTGTCGCCTTTCCTGATCTCTGTGATTTATGGAGTACGTCCGATGTAAGTTCATCTTTCCATGAATATATTGAGATGTTTTCTAACTGCAATTTTCCTTACTTCTGATAGCTTGTCAACAAATAATTACCAACCAAACAAGGACTTTCTAGCCTTTTTTGATGCTAGATTCGTTTTATTTTGTTGGACTTGATGTGGGGACAGTTCGTCACAAAAACATTTTTGATTTTTTTCTGATTAAATGTATCACATCTTTTGTTATGTATAATTTAGCAATTTTTACAAATGCTCGGTGGAGATGAAGAGGAGCACGCCGTGTTGTTGTGTAACTATTTTTATGGCTTGGCAGAAGGGCCTGGCTTGTTATTGGCACTGGTATTCCCGAAGGTCTGTATTATACGTCAGCAATACAGAATGAGTTTGCAGCAATTAAATTTTGTATTTTATGAAGTGAAGCATTAAGTTTACTTCTTGACGTGTTTTATTCCATAAAATCACTTTTCGAATCGTGGATTGATTGTTTCGTGAGAAACCAAAATATTTTAGGGCATTGTTTGAGCTTTAGGCTAACCTTATTTCTATATTATCCTCGTACCGAAACAACATATTGCGTTGTCTTTAATATAGGTTCAACTGCTTATGTTCTTTCATACCATCAAGGCGTATACCAACTTTGGAATGCCCACACGGGTGAGAAATTCTCCGTTACTGATGTGTACTGTCCATTGCAAAACATCGCTTGTTTGATAAACAATGAAAATGTAAGTACATAAACACACACACATACTTCTATTTCTAGGAGACTTACGTTTCTAAAATTCTCAGAAAGATTTAATTCAAAAAATTATTTTTAATTCTTTCTTGTTTTAACTTATTCGTATAAATTCTATAAAGTTAATGATATCATTCTCTCTGCAGATTTGGGCTAATGTCCAATTATCCGGTCAACCATGTAGAATCTCCTTTGATCTCTCTCAATCTAAACTGTGGAAACCGTTTTTCACAAAAAAATACCCAAATCCTGGGTTAAGCAGTGTACAGGTATATGGATTCATGCAGATATTTTAGAATTTAATATGATTTTATTTTTCAAACTTTAACTTGAACGTAAATTCCTCGTTGACGTTTGTTACAATTTCATTAACTGTACGCTCATTTTTATGTCTAGTGCTACGATTTTTCTCTGTTGAAAGTACACGTGCTCGATGAAATTGTTTCACAATGATTCGTTTAAGAAATATAAAATAAACATTTTGAATAAGCGACAATGTTAGTTTTTTATTTTTAATTTTAAAATATACCAATTGAAAAAGCACAAGATTTCTAAGCACTCATAGTTAAGATTTAAACAATTTCTATTTCAATTTCATTTGCAGAGAGAACGTTTACAATATGTCACAACAGATCCACAATATGTTTTTGAATTACAAGAGAAGTAAGACAGTTCTCGTGCTTTCTTTGAAACATATATTCAAATTTTAGTATAATGCCTTTCTTTTGCTATTTCATCCCTTATTTGTTATATATCTATGTAGAATTCAACATCTTCTACGAGATAAGATAATGAAGTGTTATTTTTCTTACTGGATAAGAAATTTAGTGTACGTTGTTATATATCTATATAGGATAGAACATCTTCTACGAGATAAGATAATGGAGTGGAGATCTCACTTTGTGACGCGATGGAACAGGTTTGTTGAAGTTTTGCCTTATATATTTCACATCAACTCTTTTTGAGATATATGTAATGGAGGGATTCTGTGAAGATTAGATCGTATAATCACAAGATCGGATAAAACAATCTGACTGTATACACTGGATCAGGCAAGCGGATATCTTATTATTATCTATTTAGGGATCATGGCCAACAAAAGTTCCACTCCGGTTATTTAACTCGACATTGCCCCCCAGATTTTTGACTAAAAATTTCATTGAAAGTCCAAAGTGGATACACGATCTTCGCAACAATTTTCCCTGTGACAACCTCCATCTTATAAAGAAAGGAGAACAAGAGAAGCTAGTAAAAATACATTTGTTGCATATTTTCTTCTTTCAATATAGATATTGTTCACAATCATTTCGGGATCTTTTAGTTAAGTAAGTTTAAAAACACATTAATATTTGTCTTTTAAAGAATCTTTTTAAGCGATTATTTTATTACACGACTTTCTTGTTTGTTTTTTGTTTTCTAGTATGGAACATACGTATCGTCAGCGGACAATTCATGATCATAAAGCAGAATTGAATCAAGTTCTGTCTTCTTATAAGGTATCAAATACAACCATAAATAATCTTGACCATTTCTTTAATATCTTAAACATACAACCATAAATAATGTTGACCTTTTCTTTAATATCTTAAACATACATTGAACAGGTGTATATGTAAGTTGCTTATTTTCATGTTCACTTATAGCAGTTCTTGTTTCAACGTAGATAATTTTAATCTGTTTCATTTATGATTTCACAATATTTTCATTTTAGCTTTCTGGTTTTCCTCTCCACATGGCCTTCACAGATATCAATCCAGTAATCAACATAGTTCACAGTACGGGCGTTCATCTCACTGAGGATCCAAATGTCGAATTTGCGTTGGCCGTTCACATACATCCTTATCCAGGCAACGTGCTTTCGTTGTGGATATACGTTGCTACGTTGACGAGGAAGATTCGTTATTATTGATGTATTCTGAGCTTAGTGGCATATAATTAACTGGAATGATAATGAAACACAGCTCCGGTACAGGCCCTTATTCTTTCCCTCTCATGGCCCCCCCTTCAGACTATTTCCTAAGCATTTCATCCAAAAGTTTACAGGAAGCTAAAAAATATTTGAAATTTTTTGCGATTCATGCAACATAGCGACATTTATTGAACAAAACGATTATTCTACAAATTTAATATCTTGAAAATGAAAAGAGATACTCTCGAATTATACTAAAAAGTCTCCTATCATTTTAGAGTTCTGTTTAATGAAACTAGAATTTACAAAACAAAATTTTCTCTTCTTAAGTACTTTCACTTGATCAACAAACCCCAATCATGGTCCTGACTCATGACAATTATCAATTATGAAATTAAAAAGCAGAAAACTGAAGCAAACGACAAGCAGCAGAGCAACATGAGTTGATTTTGAATCGATTGCAGAGTTGTTCATGTTGCAATGATCAGTTTGACAACAAGTGAGAAGGCAATCTTTACTATTATTGGTGGACTTTTTCCAATCATTGCACGCTTTGTTTACATCTTGGCATTCATTTATCTTGCCACAACCCATCGAAATAATGGAAACATCATTTTGTAATATTTTTACGGATTTCTGACAGTATTCGCATGGTATGGTTTCTTTGCCACATTTCTGATGTTCTTTTGGTTGAGTGCTGTTGTAGTCACATGAATGACACGTGACAGTGTGATGGTCACCAGACACAGTAGAAACTGCAAATAAATTGTGTAGTCACATGAATGACACGTGACAGTGTGATAGTCACCAGACACTGTAGAAACTGCAAATAAATTGTGTAGTCACATGAATGACACGTGACAGTGTGATAGTCACCAGACACTGTAGAAACAGCAAATAAATTGTTGTGTTTTGTTGTTTTGGGAAATGTATAATTAAAACTCTTATACATGCAAAGTCATCAATCATGAAATATCTTTTGATAAAGTTTGATTGAATCTGTATTTTCACCTGATGTAGAATTTATTAGAATATACATTCATAATCCTACTTCACTATTTTATGTAATAAATATTTACCAGCGACATATAAAGATTTAGTTTTTGTTTGAATTGAAATCTCTTGCTCTATTTTGTGTGAAACTTTTTATCAAAAAATTGTTCATCAACAAAGCTCTACATACCTAATGGAGACACGAATGCTAACAAAACGAAGAGATATTTTGGCAGCATGTCTTCCTTTATAATCTAATCAAGTCAAAGGAAAAAGATTTAAGTGAGAATTCCATTGCCTTGGTATGAATTTCATGAATAAAAAGAGATTTCATACCTGAACGAGAATTAAAAGTCACTAATATCTTGAATGTCTTCACGTTATGAAACACCGCGGTTCATACTCATGGTCTTTTATAAGTGACGTACAGAGGCATCGTGACTGGAGAAAGGAAGAATGTCACAAGTGAAGCACACCCTCTCTACTGTAACGCAACTTTGTGAAGGAGGGGAGGGGACATCAACACGTCGTACGTTGATAAATAAATGCCCTTTGCATCAAAAGTTATTAAAAGAAATAGAAGTATGCTGTAAAAGAAATGAAGTATGCTTTATGTATTTGTGCTATAGTGACAACCAAAAGCAAACGTTTTAACTCTTTCTTAATCTTGTTGATATATAATTGATTTTCGGCTTTTCATTTGCCACCCTCAATGTCCCTGTCAGAAAAATTCGTACTTGCAAAACATGACTGAACTTGTTCTGGTTTTATTTATAAAACAATTATGGCATGCACGAGATATGCTGCAACAATAATATTATTTCCATATTTGAAATTACCAGCGTTTCATTTATTAAGAATTTTTAATTGCTTTTGCAATAATTGTGTAATTGTCATTTATACTTTATGCTTTCTTGAGCAATCTTTGCAGCTTCGATTTAAATTTTGTGAAATATTTGTTACATTAGCAATACGAAACTGGGCAATTCATCAAGATGATTTTTTAATAGTTAAGTGGTTAGCTATTTTATTGGTCGAAGAAGCAGAGCACGGTCGTTGTCTAACTAGTAACATATGTGCTTGCTTAAACGCAGCTGAAATATGACATGAAAACGCAAGATTGTGCAAGAATATTTAATTTTCCATTTACGTCAACAATATTTTTATTTTGATGAAATGTCAATTACGGACCATGTTCTTTATTGATGAGGGAAGTTTCTTTTCTCATTTTTTTCTCAGTGAGTTTGTGTGGTTTTGTTGAACTGGATTATCAATTTCATTTTCACGGCGTTGAGTGGAAAATCCGACGTTCCAGAAAAATGTTTGTGATATGGAAATACTTTGACGAATTTAAAAATGGGCTCGGCTAAATCCACAGGCGGTGTAGCTATTGACTCTTGATCGTAGGCAACAATACTTTTGTCTCGTTGACGGAAAGGAGTTTCAGGCCAGCGTGTAACAGGAGTTTCAGACCAGTGTGTGACAGGAGTTTCAGACCAGTGTGTGACAGGAGTTTCAGGCCAGCGTGTGACCGCTGACATTTTTGATGAATCATCGCTTAGTGTCAACGTGTAACCCAACATGAACAGAATTCCACCAATCAAAAGAAAGGATACGCCGAAATCAGGAAGATGGTCTTCGAGCATAGCTATCCAACTTATTGAGTTTTGACAGAAATTCTTGAGGATTTTCATAAGCGGAAAGGTGCATTGTAAAACGCACAAAGGAAAAATATTTCCCACCGTTTCTGTTAAAGTAGGCTCCGCCTTTTTAGGAGTAAACCAGCGCTGGAACCAGCCTTTTGGAGTCTATTGAAATGGTTTACATCATTATATACGGCCAGAGAATATTATCATAAATAGTAGTTATATTGTTATTACTGTAGTATGAACACCTTGTGAGCATTTATAAATATGTTTCTTAGTGATAATCATCACTTTTACTTTGCTTCTAGTAAACATGTTAACTTGGTTTTGTGGTAAAACATTTCGTTGAATGAAAACGGTACCTCTTTCGTTTGTGTCATTTGCCTAGTCATCCATCGTGAAATGTATCCAGTTCGTATGAGGCAAACTAAAGCTCCAAGAAGAATAAGATCACGACCAAATCTTGTTATCTTTGTTTTAAAGTTGAGATTTTGTTTGGAGTCTGGTAATTCTAATGCATATCTGTGTCTGCTCATTTTCCGATGGTTTGTTGAAGGTTCTAAGCTGGTTCATTTGTCCGCTTCTCTTTCTTCTTTATTACGTCATAATCACTTTAATTAATGCGCACTCGAACACCAGTTTGCACATTTTGCAGTTCTGAAACTTTTTCATTTTATTGCGTTAATTGAATGAAAATTGCATCCTATTGACCTCATAATTCCACCCGAAGAAGTGTGGGTAAGTTACATGAAAAAGTGCAATCTTTTTCTTGACAAAAAATAAGCAATTAGGCTGTGAAATAAGCAAAATCGATTTCAGAAAAAAGACATAGACAATCAACTGGAGTTGGAGCTGTGTTTCTTAAGAAATTATTTCACCCCAATTTGTGTTTGTTCATTATTTAGCAATCTGTTGAGAGCAAATTTTAATAATTTATAATATTAGTGCCATGGTTACGGAAAGCATCGATTTACGTATATAATCGACTTCTTTAATAGACAATTTGATTTGGAAATAATCATTCCTTTTTTCTTTCTGCAGTAGACCCATACCACGTCTTGTTTGGCAGAATATTGAACGATCTTTATGTGTATTTTATGAAACTTTGATCAAACATGATCAAACTTCTTGGTTAAAGCGTTAGATTAACACCTGGACATTTTGTGAGAAAGAATAGCATAAAAGAACAATATTCTTCCAAGTTTCCGTAGATCCTGCTCTAAACGTTTGATGATAGCGTGGACATTTCAGATAGTAAGAATATCATAAAAAGAACAGTAGGTATTCTTCTTTCAAAAAAGCAAAAAATTTGGTGCTTTTACAGTGTTAAACGATGTTGCTTAATTTGATTGAGAAATCATTTTAAACGAGACGTAATTTAGATTTTATGACTATTTAAATAATCAATTAAAATTTCCGTGTGAGATTCATGAACTGTTACATTCACGAAATATTTATTGCATCATTCAAAAGACATTTTTTAAACATTAAAGACGAAGACAAGAGCATCAAAGCATTAAAGAAGACAAGAAAAAACATACTCAATAATATGTTTGTTGACAGTCGTTGTCGTGGCGACATGCAAGCTGTTGATTTGCAGAAATGAATGACAAACCAGTGTTATATGTCTCCGCTCGTCACTCGTCTTCATATCTTTTCAAACGTACGATAAACTCACTTTCAAATCACGTAAAATTGTTGAAGAATGTAAGGACCCCGAAACAGCGTATTCTTTAATCGCTCGCTGCGACACGTTTTTGCTGTATCTGAACACAGAACTGTGTAGAAATTTGTTCTCTCTTTACGAACTTGGTGTCGCATTAGTACTTGGGATACCTGTCATAGTTATCCGGGACAAGATACTGAAAGTTACAGATATTGTCATTCCTAAACATTTCCGTGAAACTAGATTGCTCATTCCTGATTGCAAAAAGAGCACATATCAAACTTGCGATGCTTTTGGGACAAGAAAAGAATCCCCGCTCTCTCTAGCGGATGTTTTAAGCTGTAGCTACGAAAATTCACTGGTTTTATCACCAAAACTACATATTTCTATTACATCTTTACTAGTGGACAAAATCACGAATCTATCACGTGACGTAAAAAAAGTTAAAGGAAAAAGTCGAAAGACAAATCACGACCATTCAGAGTCATTGGCCAAACATAAGGCCACTTTCGAAGGAAGCTCTTGTTTTCCAGCCATAAGATTTACTGTCCCACATCGCTCCTTGTTTCCGTCAAACAGAAGCAAAAAATTAAAAACAATATCTTTGCACACAGAAAACAAATTCGTCAAATTGCCGGCCAGTGGTCTAGAAGACAAAAGTCGAAATGAAAACGTTTCAAAAGTTTATACGAGCAATAATAAAGAAAAGAAGATATTTGAAATGAATAATGAAAAGTCATCTATTCGTGCAAAACAGGGAAAGAGTGATCTTGCAGCAAGTTTAAAATCAAAGATAGACGACGATGCGATTGTTTTGACAGATGATTTCTACCACTCAAAAGAATATGATGGTGAACGATGTACTCCACTTCCAAGTCCCATAAGAATGCGCAGTTTATACTATCCTACTGCATTGCCAGTGTATCCAATGGAAAAGTGTTTTCCACCATTTCAAATTGAAAAACTGCATTTCAATCGACATGCTGTAAAAATTTCGAAAAGTGATAAGTTCCCATCAATAGTACGACGAAGAATTATTCGAAAAGAGTAGTAATTTTGAGTGTTTTTAAGGTAGGATCCAGTTTTATAACAAGTCATCTTGGTGTCAGCCTTGAACTACTTTTACTGGTGCCCGCTATAAAAAAGGAGAGATCAGTTCATATAACATTGGAAGAAACTGAGTGCTAAACCATTCTTTTTGTGTTTATTATGTAAATTAAATATGTGCATTCAAGTGCGGATGCAGGATTATAGCAAGGGGGGGATAATAGACAATTCCATTTGGGGGGTCTGTGGAAATTTGACTTAACAATGAAGGTGAATAGCCACCATGTCCACCCCACCCCCCCGAGTCAATATTTATTGACAAGATATAGTTACCACTATGACATTGCTACTACCTTACTATGCTGTCTTAGTTTTTCTTTAATAGAATATGCAGTTGGTCTTCAAGTACATCTGTTCATCCACATATTTAGTTCAGTTGTTAGAATTCTCTTCTCATTCCATTTTCTTTTTCGTCAATTGCTGCATGTTTGCGTTGACGTGATTTTTAGCTCCCGCATGAAAAGTGCCAGTGAAATTATATGCAATGCATTTATGTCCCAAATTGCTCTGTAATTCGTTTGCATGTGACAGTTCGAAATTTTATCATTTACACTCAATTTGTGCGTTTTGAGATTTTGTGAAATGTTTGTTGAATAACAACCTGCAAAACCCGCTATTTTCGCCTCTGAATGGTCATGTGACCACAAATGCAGGCGGGGAAAATTTGAGCAAGACCCGGCAGAAAAAGATGGATACTCATTTCTCTTTTACTGTACAACTGTATTAAAGGTTTTTGCTTTAATACTAAAAAAATACCTTCTACATAATAATTCAAAATGATAACAAAAACGCAGGACAATAAACTGTATCTTTCAAATCTCAAAATGGATTGTCGAGGGCCTGAAAATTGAAATGTAAGTCGTTTATAACGTTGTTCAATTTATAAAAAAAGTTGACATAATCAAGTAAAAATGAAGAGCGCTTTCTACAAGCAGTAAATTGTTAAAATCTTTTATTTACAATCAATAATATGTTCATCTTTTTGATACAAGTGTTGAACTTTGTGCTCAACCAATTACATTGAACGAGATTTCGATTATTGTTGATGAATTATATATTGAGCACTATAATGGAAAAAAATCATAAACGAAAAATTTCCTGTCTATACATATACATATACATACATAAAAAGCCTGGAAATGTTAATTTTATGACATTCTCCAGGAAAATCAGCTGCATGTATGGATGTTTTAGATAATAGCATTAATCTGACTAGACAACCATTCATGGATTAGAAAATATTGAAATTTTACGCTTTACAATTGTTTTTTTTGCATGTTCCACAAGTGAAATAACCATGCTATTATCTTTTGATTTTTTTTCTATATCTGACATTCCCATATGTGCAATACACATTCTATAAACCTGTCACCATTTCTATCTCTTGTTGGTTCATATTTTCCATTCTTTGATATTCCAGCACATTCACATGTATAGCTTATTCCATTTTGAGTTTTGTGACTTAACATGTTTGCTATTCCTGCTCCTTTTCCTGGACTTGTTGAGCATACAGCAGACATAACTTTGACATTCTAAAATGAAATAATCACAAGTTTATTTCATACTTCACAATTTTCTTCTCTATAACTTTTGCTTCACTAAGCATACCATGCTGTTATATTTAGAAAATATGAAATCTTTCTTATATCACCTTTATTGTTTTACATTTTTATTATTTTAGTCACTTGTACCTTAACCTGCAGCTAGTGACTAACAAATCTTAATGGAGTAAAGGGTTTTTCAGCTAAATTCATCATTTCATATTTCTGTCTAAACCTTTAGAGAATTGTATTACTTTGATGTTAATGTGGCCATTATTCTAGTCAATAACTTACCTGAGGTTCTGTGTAATACAACTTAACTCTAGCATTCATCTCTTGCCTGTCAATGACAGTTCCCTTTTTTGGTATAATTTTGTGAGTACATTGTGATACATTTAGCATTCCTGGTAAACCTTGTTCCCCTTGCATACCACGAGGTCCTGGCGATCCTGCTTTCCCTTGTTCTCCCTTGGATCCAGGATCACCTGCCAGACCTTTAGGCCCTTGTGGACCTTTAGGGCCTTGTGGACCTTCCTATGTAAAAGTTTAGTAATAAGGAATTTTTTAAAAGTATTTTTATTACCACCAGTGTAGGATGTTACTGAAGAATGGAAGAGTTTTTGATTATTGAAGTAGAGTTATTATTATTACTTATAGTTTATAAGTATTAATCATCATAACTGTTGAAACACATTCAGTTATTAAAAATATTTATTTAAATCATTCTTAAAGACTTGTCTAAAATCTCAGTCTTTGAGAAATTTTAGATATTTATATCATGTTGATTAATGCATCTAATATACACTAGTCCAAGTTAGGTATTGTAATGAAAGTAGAAGACTTTTGAATTGACAACAGACCATTCAGTTATATATAGTTCAGTGTCCCAAACTGACTTTTGGTCGTCATACTTTATAATAAATGAACAATTTTGAAAGACAAAATTTGTAATATATTTTTACTATAATTATAAACTCACCTTTTGTTTGAGCATTGCAGTTTTGTTGACTTCTTTCAAATGAATTCTATGAATACCCTATAAAATTTTTTTTAATATACAACATTAAATAGAAAATGAATAATTGTTTAAGAGTGGCTTTAACAGTTGCGAATGTTAATTCTCGTGTTAACGTCCTCAAATATATAGTTATTTTATCCCAGAACGTTCATGGAAGTCTTATGTTATGAAAATTTTACTGGTCCCATTTTTTAGTTGAGTGTTTATTTTTGTAACTTTGATAGTCATATCTGTCGCAAATATCCTAAAAGTTCTAACATTAAAAAACCAAATTACCAAATTGATATCTTGAATGGCAAACAGAAAGTTCTGAAATATGATAACAGAAAATCTGGATCTTATTTAATATATTTTTAATACACTCTTACACAAAAATATAAAGAAAACTACCAGTATAGATTTAGGTAATTAGCTTTAATGCCCAAGTATTGTATATACGATTACTTTCAGTAGACAGAGCATATTTTTATGAAATATTTCTAACCTAGAAAGATATATTGTCGTTTAGCTTATGTGTATTTCTATGCACGTTTTTCTAGATAACCCTACCATTTGTTGCTTAAGATCGTCGAACTTTTTTTGCAGTAGATCCATTTCATTTTTGAGAGACAAATAGTCCTGGTTTTTTTCGGGTTCTTGTAATTTGGCAACTAGCAGCCCTGTAAAGAGACATTTTTCAGTTCTTGGTCATAATTTTTAGGGTTTATTTTGAAGTAGTTTGGAATGAGATTTGAGGAAAAGAATAAATAGTTAATGTTTCATCATTTCTTTAGCGATTGTAACTTCTCCTGCGTTGATTGATCAACGTCGCGCAACGTTCGTGTGACGTGTAGTCTTATCGCTTTAATAATTATCGGGTAGTTGAAGTCATCAGGCTACTCAAGAGCATGAAAGGAATATTATTTCATATTTATTAAGAAAAACCCGTAGTTATGGGCAGCCTATGATTAAATTGATAAATTTTGAAAAATGGACAAAATATGATGTTGCCTTCTAGAATAGGATGGTTTGGACTTTGGAACAAAGCCACTCGTACATTGGTCGATCTCCGTCTCGAGAGTCCTTAGATAGATAGGGAATGAACTCAAATATATGATGTCTTCAATCTTTATTAGTAATTTCATAAATAGATAGTTTGCTGTCACACAAGTTTGTTTTCGTTGTAATTTTTTAATTATATATGTTTGTTCGTTATCTGTGTCTGTGTAATATAAAACACCGGCATTATGCTTCGGCGCGCAATCTCTGTTTTACTTTCCTTTGTGTCTGGTCGGTAGTTGTGACCTTGCTTAGTGTCCGTTATTTTCGTCTAGTCTGACCTTGGTCGGCAATATGCAAAGGAAATGATACTTGTGAAAATTTTCTGCTTAGGATACTGAGAGTACAATATCATGATAATCTGAACACTTCATTAATCGAGTGCAACCTCTTAAGATAAGAGGTTTTTTTCATCTTGTTGTCGTTCTAGAGCACGAGACATTTTATAGGTGACAAACAACATGATATAAATGAAAGATAAAATTGTTTATCTTGGAAAACATGGAGTTAAAGGGGTATTCGTTTGAGCAAAATTGCCCTAGGATTAAAGAGGATAAATTTGTTAAACATTTAACTAAGCTTTGATTATATTAGTGAAACTACGTTGACTTGCTTGACACCTGCTTAAAGAATTTACAAGTAGTAACGTATTAAATATGCTGTATAACACTTTGTATTCAATTTTCTAAAGTAATTGAAACTTGTGATGTGTCAATATGCCACGTTGTATAATTGTTTCTTTCAAAGGGTTTAGAAGCTGTGTAATAATAAAGAAAATTATCTAAGTTTTGTTTTCATTTGAATAAAAATAGTATTAAAGATGTGTGCAACCAATTTTTATCTGTTAAGATTTGCCTTGTTCTTCGTGTAACTGTTTACAACTATGTAAATTTTCTTGTATTGTTTGTCGACTAAAGTTGAAAAATGTGACTATTTTTTCCTTCCTTTTGTCTAACTGTCGTGCTGAAAGTCTGATGAAGTCATTTCCGCATAAACAAAATGCTCTAAAACAGAACCACCCCTTTAAGCTGACATGTTCTCAAACATTCTTTTATATAAATCGCGTCAAAAATTTGTTGGTGTTGTCAAAATTGTTTTTTTCCTACTAAAAGTAACAGAACAAAAGCCCTGTAATTTTGTTTTATGAATTTATGTATGATTTATAAATGTATAGCAAAGTTCTCTGCTCTTTGACTGCATGATGATGATGAGGCTATTACCAAGTTACATTATAGTCGTTCTACTATTATCCCTATAAACCATCTCATGATAATATATCATTTGCGACTGTGTTTTTTAATGAACCACAGTGGAAGACAATGACTCCATATGTTCTTCTTAGAAAATATTGCTGACCATAAAACTAACATATTACGATTTTAAATGATATGTAAACAAGTAAATACTTCATATAAAGGGTCTTAAACCTAAACAGTTGCAATGAAACAACATTGGGCCTCAATTAGAGATGTATAATTTAACTAAACAAATTGAATAATTTAGTTGTAGATAGTGGGCGTTCTTCATAAAATTACATAATTGCATACTTCATGTTTGTTGAAATACCAAACCGTCGTTCATTGCTTTATTTCCATATATTTAATATCATTCGTATCTGATTTCAAAAATCATTGATCGTTCGATTTAGTTGATTGATTTGTAAACGTGTGCTTGATAAATACCTGGGTTATAAAAGTAAAGTAATTACTTATAAATAAATGAGAGATATGTCAATGTTTGCTTGAGAAGTTGTTTAATCCTTAAACCTAATATAGAATAATGATTACAAAATTTAACATTCAAATCTACAAGTTTCACATTATTGATCACTAAAGTCACACCTATTACTTCATTTACGTTCACCCTCGTTAGAACGCAAGTTTTTGTCATATAATATGTTAGATTTTTGTATTTGAGACTGCCAAATAAAAGGAGATGATATGATTAAATTACCATGAGAAAGGCGGAAGTTATATGAAAGAACTTTACGTGTTATTTGGTATGTCTAACGATGTCTATATAAAAGATGTTTGTTTCATAACATTCGATAATACTTGCATACACACGTGTGTCTTTGAATCGTAAATCCTGTTTTTGCCAAATAAGTTGTTATAATAAATGACTATAGTGTATATTTTTATTTTGAAGCGTGTATCTGTTGTTTTGTGTTGTGTTTATTGAATTCTTTTAAAATGAAAGTTGTTCAAAAAAAACGTTTATATTTCAAAAACTCACTCGACATCACAAACTATCTACGTGTTTCATTCCCTTAAAATTTCACATAAACTAAAAATGTTGTATAGACATCTTGAGTTTTCACAGACGCGCAAGTCGAGATTATCTTTCAATTGACAGTGATCATTTTCTTTGTATTGAAAGATGTTTATATTAAATGAATATGATAAAGGACTTGAACGATAAAATGCGCAATACAAGACAAGACGCGCGCGTCATTATAAATAAGTTATTTTTTACCTTTTCGGGAACATTGACAATTACTTTCATTTAGCATGTTCATAAGACTGAGAGCTAATCCACCGGCGCTCAAACAAAGTACGAGGACAAAGAATATGATCGTTTTTAAATCACATTTTCTACTCGACCTTTCTTTCTCATAATCTGGTATTGTCGTATTAACAACTAAAGGAGAACATTCTGCGCCATCACTTTGTGTTGTTGCTCTGTTTTGTAAACGAACTCTCTGGCCTTTTGCTTCACCATACAGTTCATTCTTTTGCCGTCGTGGTCCGCTACCAGCTCTACTCAATCCTGCGCGTTTCGCCACTTCAGCCGGGTTTTCATATTGGTGATAATTTTTGTGTTCTCCGTTCATGAACGGTTTCACATAACCATCGTCTTTACAGTCTGTTAAGGTGTCATACTCACCTTTAGGAACATATGTTGTCTCGTTTCCATTGATTGCGTAAGGTATGAAAGCCTTATTGTTAAATTCTTGCTGGTTCGAGTCCATTTCGTTTTCGGCGATTCTGTCTATACTTCGATGTTTTGTTTTTGATATTGAGAACATTTTCACTTTTCAGTATGTATGTATGTGGTGTAATTTGAGAAGGTGATGATTGTTAAGGATATGAACTTTGGCAATGTATTATGAAACTATATAGTTTCACATTTGAGTTCCTTACAATCTTTCTATTTACCTGACGTGTACCTTAGTCACTACAAATGTTATGGTATGCTTGAGTAATAAACGCGCGACTTTGAACAATTATTATTGGCTAAGTGTTACTTATCTGTATGCAAATAACTTTAATTATTTTGTTCATTTTGAGTGGAGTTACTGTCACATTCTACACATTTTAGTAAAAGTAATGGTAGATAACGGATATCGTTAAACATTATATGATCGTAAAACATTAATAAAAAGTTTCATTAACGTTATGTACTACTGATTAATGAATGTGTTTTGCTTATTGATTGGAACATCAATTGCTTGTCTACGTGTAAGGTATTATAAGAATGTTCGATATGAGGGGTAGCAACCAGCACGCCTCCTCTTAACATCCCCTAGATATTCAAAACAGGTATAAGATGCACCAAACCTTGCATACATGTTTTAATCCGAATAACATGTTACGTTGTGTTTGAGCTTGCATTGAAATGCATCGAATAGATTTTATTTGTTTTCAACCATTTGTTTTGTTGTACGTTTTTCATTTCATTCTAAAATCTTTTACTCTTTGTTTACTGAATGTTTTGAATTTTTCTTCAAAACTAGAAATTATAAATATACCATCTTTATGTAAAACTTATTCCAAGTCTGACTGTTCATGACATTCTATAACGTATTTGTGATTATTTAGGGTTATTTATAGATAAAGTTTTCATGGCAAAATACCGATGTTCAAATTTTCAATAGTTGTTTTTATAAGTGACTCTACACACGCTCTGGTTAAAAAATAATCACCAATTACCGCCTTTTGTTTTAATGACGAGGATATACGTCATATAATCGTCATTATATGATGTCATTGTACTAATTACATCTTCTCCATTGTTATTGTTCAAGAGAAATGATTAAAGGGACGTCTATGATGTAATTGTACTAACAACATTTTCTGTACTGTTCTCTTCTGAACGTGTTAAATAATGATTACAAAATTTAACATTTAAATCTATAAATTTCACATTATTGATCACTAAAGTCACACCTATTACTTCATTTACGTTCACCCTCGTTAGAACGCAAGTTTTTGTCATATAATATGTTAGAATGTTGTATTTGAGACTGACAAATAAAAGGAGATGATATGATTAAATTACCATGAGAAAGACGGAAGTTATATGAAAGAACTTTACGTGTTATTTGGTATGTCTAACGATGTCTAAATAAAAGATGTTTGTTTCATAACATTCGATAACACTTGCATACACACGTGTGTCTTTGAATCGTAAATCCTGTTTTTGCCAAATAAGTTGTTATAATAAATGACTATAGTGTATATTTTTATTTTGAAGCGTGTATCTGTTGTTTTGTGTTGTGTTTATTGAATTTCTTTAAAATGAAAGTTGTTCAGAAAAATCACGTTTATATTTCAAAAACTCACGCGACATCACAAACCATCTACGTGTTTCATTCCCTTGAAATTTCACATAGACGAAAAATGTTGTATAGACATCTTAGGTTTTCACAGACGCGCAAGTCGAGACCATCTTTCAATTGACAGTGATGATTTTCTTTGTATTGAAAGATGTTTATATTAAATGAACATTATAAAGTAGATGAACGATAAAATGCGCAATACAAGACAAGACGCGCGCGTCATTATAAATAAGTGATTTTTTACCTTTTTGGGAACATTGACAATTACTTTCATTTAGCATGTTCATAAGACTGAGAGCTAATCCACCGGCGCTCAAACAAAGTACGAGGACAAAGAATATGATCGTTTTTAAATCACATTTTCTACTCGACCTTTCTTTGTCATAATCTGGTATTGTCGTATTAACAACTAAAGGAGAACATTCTGCGCCATCACTTTGTGTTGTTGCTCTGTTTTGTAAACGAACTCTCTGGCCTTTTGCTTCCTCATACAGTTCATTCTTTTGCTGTCGTGGTCCGCTACCAGCTCTACTCAATCCTGCGCGTTTCGCCACTTCAGCCGGGTCTTCATATTGGTTCATGAACGGTTTCACATAACCATCCTCTTTACAGTCTGTTAAGGTGTCATGCTCACCTTTAGGAACATATGTTGTCCCGTTTCCATTGATATCGTAAGTTATTAAAGCCTTATTGTTAAATTTATGCTGGTTCGAGTCCATTTCGTTTTCGGCGATTCTGTCTATACTTCGATGTTTTGTTTTTGATATTGAGAACATTTTCACTTTTCAGTATGTATGTATGTGGTGTAATTTGAGAAGGTGATGATTGTTAAGGATATGAACTTTGGCAATGTATTATGAAACTATATAGTTTCACATTTGAGTTCCTTACAATCTTTCTATTTACCTGACGTGTACCTTAGTCACTACAAATGTTATGGTATGCTTGAGTAATAAACGCGCGACTTTGAACAATTATTATTGGCTAAGTGTTACTTATCTGTATGCAAATAACTTTAATTATTTTGTTCATTTTGAGTGGAGTTACTGTCACATTCTACACATTTTAGTAAAAGTAATGGTAGATAACGGATATCGTTAAACATTATATGATCGTAAAACATTAATAAAAAGTTTCATTAACATTATATACTACTGATTAATGAATGTGTTTTGCTTATTGATTGGAACATCAATTGCTTGTCTACGTGTAAGGTATTATAAGAATGTTCGATATGAGGGGTAGCAACCAGCACGCCTCCTCTTAACATCCCCCTAGATATTCAAAACAGGTATAAGATACACCAAACCTTGCATACATGTTTTTAATCTGAATAACATGTTACGTTGTGTTTGAGCTTGCATTGAAATGCATCGAATAGATTTTATTTGTTTTCAACCATTTGTTTTGTTGTACGTTTTTCATTTCATTCTAAAATCTTTTACTCTTTGTTTACTGAATGTTTTGAATTTTTCTTCAAAACTAGAAATTATAAATATACCATCTTTATGTAAAACTTATTCCAAGTCTGACTGTTCATGACATTCTATAACGTATTTGTGATTATTTAGGGTTATTTATAGATAAAGTTTTCATGGCAAAATACCGATGTTCAAATTTTCAATAGTTGTTTTTATAAGTGACTCTACACACGCTCTGGTTAAAAAATAATCACCAATTACCGTCTTTTGTTTTAATGATGAGGATATACGTCATATAATTGTCATTATATGATGTCATTGTACTAATTACATCTCCATTGTTGTTGGTCAATGGAGATGAGTAAAGGGACGTCTATTATGTTATTTTATTAACAACATCTTCTGTACTGTTCTCTTCTGAACGTGTTAAATAATGATTACAAAATTTAACATTTAAATCTATAAATTTCACATTATTGATCACTAAAGTCACACCTATTACTTCATTTACGTTCACCCTCGTTAGAACGCAAGTTTTTGTCATATAATATGTTAGAATGTTGTATTTGAGACTGCCAAATAAAAGGAGATGATATGATTAAATTACCATGAGAAAGGCGGAAGTTATATAAAAGAACTTTACGTGTTATTTGGTATGTCTAACGATGTCTAAATAAAAGATGTTTGTTTCATAACATTCGATAACACTTGCATACACATGTGTGTCTTTGAATCGTAAATCCTGTTTTTGTTATAAAAAATCTACTATAGGTATATATTTTTATTTTGAAGTTTGCATGTATCTGTTGTTTTGTGTTGTGTTTATTGAATTCTTTTAAAATGAAAGTTGTTAAAAAAAACGTTTATATTTCAAAAACTCCTGCGATATCACAAACTGTCTAAGTGTTTCATTTCCTTAAAATTTCACATAAACTAAAAATGTTGTATAGACATCTTAGGTTTTCACAGACGCGCAAGTCGAGATTATCTTTCAATTGACAGTGATCATTTTCTTTGTATTGAAAGATGTTTATATTAAATGAACATTATAAAGTAGATGAACGATAAAATGCGCAATACAAGACAAGACGCGCGCGTCATTATAAATAAGTGATTTTTTACCTTTTCGGGAACATTGACAATTACTTTCGTTTAGCATGTTCATAAGACTGAGAGCTAATCCACCGGCGCTCAAACAAAGTACGAGGACAAAGAATATGATCGTTTTTAAATCACATTTTCTACTCGACCTTTCTTTCTCATGTTTTGATGTTGTCCTATGGTTATGAACAACTGAAGGAGAACTTTTTACGCCATCACTTGGCTGTTGTTGGCCTTTCAGGCCTTTTGCTTCAACATAGATTGGATTGGGTTTTTTTTGTGAAGCTCGGATAAATCCTGCGTGTTTCGCCACTTCAGGCAGACACTCATACGTGTGTTCATTGTTGACGAGCGGTATCATATACTGGTTCGAGTCCATTTCGTTTTGGGTGATTTTGTCTGTACTTCGATATGTTTTGTTTTTGATATTGGGAATATTTTTACTCTCAGTATGTATGTATGTGGTGTAATTTGAGAAGGTGAAGTGGTAAGGATCTTTGGCAATGTATTATGAAACTATATAGTTTCACATTGAGTTTCTTACAATTCTTGACCAGACGACAAGCACGTCTCCCCATCCCCCTAAATATTCATAAACAGGTATAAGATACACCAAACGTTACATATATATTTTTAATCTGAATAGCATGTTACGTTGTGTTTGAGCTTGCATTGAAATTCATCGAATAGATTTTATTTGTTTTCAACCATTTGTTTTGTTGTACGTTTTTCATTTAATTCTAAAATCTTTTACTCTTTGTTTACTGAATGTTTTGAATTTTTCTTCAAAACTAGAAATTATAAATATACCATCTTTATGTAAAACTTATTCCAAGTCTGTCTGTACATGACATTCTAAAACGTATTTGTGATTATTTAGGGTTATTTATAGATAAAGTTTTCATGGCAAAATACCGATTTTCAAATTTTCAATAGTTGTTTTTTTAAGTGACTCTTCACACGCTCTGATTAAAAAATAATCACCAATTACCGTCTTTTGTTTTAATGACGAGGATATACGTCATATAATTGTCATTATATGATGTCATTGTACAAATTACATCTTCTCCATTGTTATTGGTCAATGGAGATGAGTAAAGGGACGTCTATGATGTTATTTTATTATGTGTCGGACGTCTATGAGAAATCATGAAATTCATTAATTTTATTTATCAAAATTTATTTATTTATGTACAAAAGTGATAATTGTTCATGCTCTTCATAAAAGTTAATCTATTTTCTCTATTTCATATGATATATTTTTACAATATATCATAAATGTTTATTGTTGTGAATTACTTATTTCTTAATATTTCCATAATATATCACATCTAAGTTTAAAAACTCTTTCCCGATGTAACAAATTGTAGAAAATGGTAATTGAAAATTCTCATAACTAGAGATAATTTATTTTTTATCGCAATCGTTGAATGTATAATCACTAAGTAAGTTGTTGTTTTCGTTTACAAAAATAGAAAATACAATATTTACAATAATTTTTATCTATAACATATCAAAATAAGTTGATTAAATTTTCAGGTTTAATAAAGAATGGTAGCTACAATGGTGACCAATGAAAAATTGTTGGTAATTATTTCTCCGAATAACGAAAAACATCAACGGTAAGTGTCGTCATGTTTGTATAATGTTTAGTTTCGAAGATCAACTTATTTCTGTCGTTGAAGACGTTGAAGAATACTTCATTGTCAAGAAATGTTTTTTACTATAGCTAAATAGTACGGTGTAGATATGTTTTATGAATTATTTTCCACGTATATTTGTAGAAAGTATGTATAAGACATGGGAAAGTCTGGGAGTTAAAATTTAGGTGCACGAAATTATATTTTATACATAATCCCATGTTTTATACCATTTTAAAATTATTCCTTAAAAAATCAGGCTTGAGACGGCGTTTATACCAAACCTTAAGAATACATGATTGGTTGATTGCTGTTTCTACCTAAAAGGGAAAAACTCGTTGTCTTTATTATTCATACATTTCAATAGCTGCATATAATATAATATTTACGCTAAACGGGACATATCCAAAGATGTATAACACATTCAATGATTTTGCGTGATGGTACATATCTTCCATATTTCGACTTTCCCACACATTCACATAAATACAATGATCTTCCATTTGTGTCGGATTTAACAAGATTCGTGATTGCAGATCCTCTGTCTTTTTTCATGCCACATGTGGCAGCCATTACTTTCATATCCTCACAAATAAATTAAATATTTTATAAATAATTAAGGTTATTCTATAAGCAATCGCTTAACAATTTCTAAATTTAATATTTTATAATAAATAATTAAGATCATTGTCAACACTCTTTTATCAATTTCTAAGTCCTAGATGTCACACGATCAGTCATCAAACACGAAGCATTACTTACAAAGTTTTAGACAAAATGTTAACATTTTATAGTAATAACAAAAGAAAATCATACCACGCCCTATTTTCAAGCACATTAAAGTCCTGACCCAAATTTATCCGCTGCACAGCATATCAATTACAGATTATCTCCCTTTTGATTCACTTCACTCTTGTTGTTTAACACAACTTATCCAAACTTGACATTGATTATAGATTTTTTGTCATCATGGAGAGTTTTTTATAATACTTTTCATTCTTATTTTTGCCATAAATTACTGGTAAATTTCTTTTAATGACGTTGAAAATGCCAAAACTCATGTTGAAAATAGTAAGTTACCTTTGGCTCGTAATATTTTGATTTTGCAAATGTATGTGAATTATGTGTTGTACCAAGGGCAGAAATTGACTTGTACATACACCTAGATACGTTTCCAATACCAGCTACACCTTGGATTCCTTGTTCACCTTGAGCTCCTTTATCTCCCTTTGGACCTTGTGGTCCTACTGGTCCCATCCTTCCCGGAGGACCTGGGGGCAGCTAAATGAGAACTTATAGATGTCGATAACTTTTCTTGAAAGTCTATAGATTTGGTTAATCACTTCATGTTATATACCTGAGAAATAAAGGTTGAGTTCATTGATAACAACGTAGATTGAAGTTCTTCATTTGTCGTGTTCACTTTTTCCAGTTTGGAATTGAGCTGATGAGAAGTTGAAAAATGAAGTAATTAATGAACTACGATCGTAATTGCCGTTTTTCTTTGCGTGCATCCATATGTTTTAGTACGATCTGTTGTCGATCATTTTTTTATCGCTGTTTTTTATAGCTTTTACCTTTGTTTCAACTGTTTTCAACTAAAAAGTAAAATAATCAAGTCCTCAACATGTGAATGCTTTTAAAAGTATAGCTAAGATTTACATGACAATCTATATGATCAGTCATTTTCCAGTTGAAGATTTTACAGACCTGTGACCAATATGTTGCGTTCAATTTACGGAGTTTCTCTTCAAATCTCTGACTCGCTTCGTACATATTGTTTTCCATGACTTTTGTCTGTTTTTCTTTCCATTCTTTTACCTATCGTGCATAGCCGTAGACATATTTTATATTCTTGCAGTAGCTGTTATTGTATAAATATAACTCTCAACAAATAATCATGCAGTAAAGATTAAAACATGGCAGTTTCTTTGAAATTAGGTCACAATTAGGTTTCGCTATTATTCACTGTTCTTCTGTGTTTTCTTTGAATTACTTTGATTTTCATAAATTATTTATTTTATCTGCTATCTTCCACACACACGCCGGCATTCTGTAAATAACTTGTCTCATATAACTTGGAAAACATTGTACTTTTCTGCAATTCTTAAACTTTTGTTAAGTCGTACATAACGTACCTCTTTCAACGTTTTCTTGTACTTCTCAAACAAAGTCGTCAAATTACTTTTCGTTGTTATTATCTATAATTGTATGCATGTATTATTCTTTACTGATGTTTGCTACCAGAAACTGTGACGAAGCTTGTGTTACCTAACCTCTTTCTTCAGTTTTTCATATTTTCCCGTGAGTTTCGTGTGGTTTTCTTTTAAAAATTGATTCTAACATACACGAAGATATTGTGTGAAATTACTTGAAAGTTAACTCTGGCAGCTATTAATTTTTACGAATTGAGGTCGGGTTGTTTTTTGCAAAATTGATAATCTTGCATTTGAATGATTGTCTGCAGGTGTTAGTTGTCAGCGGTATGGACATGTGATTTATTGAGTCAAGTATCATTTTGTATTTCCACACCTCTTTTTCTAATTTTTGCAAAGATTTTTCTCTTTCTCCTTGCATCTTCTAAAAAGTTCATTCAAATTTGTCAATAATAAAACATTTTGCATCATCGTCATGTAAAAATCTTTAACTAACAAAAAGATTGCTTGCTTTTTTAATCCATGCAATATTTGTTTTGTTAAAAACTGTTTGAACGATCAACGTAAGAAGCGAAGTGTCATATTTACAAACCATATGTTTATCTCCTGTTGATTTTTGACTCTAAAGGAAATTATATGTTCATGATTAAGTTTTTAAAATATATCTCTATCTATCTCGGCTTCTTTTTATCCCTCTTCCTTAACCGAGCAATCTTAGCCTAACCTCTCTCTCTCTCTCTCTGTTTTGTCTCTACAAAAGACTAGGATATTCTTCATTTGGTCTTTGAATTTTTCTTATGAAATTCTCACTAAAACTTGGCCTTTGATAAGAAGACATAGATTTCAATACAAACCTTTATATTTGACACTGATTGGGGAACGTTTTTGTTGTCTAAATCATAAAAAAAGGCTAAATTACATCTACATTATGATGCAAACTATGGTTATATCATAAGATTTGGTCGCAAGAGATATTTTCATTGTCATTATCTTAAAAATCCACGTCATACACAAACAACAACATGCCTTAACATGTCTGTCACACTGTATGTCATAACGTTTGTTAAAGAAATATTTATAGCGGCTATTGACAAAACAAAGGAAATAAAACATCTTATTTTAACCAATGCGGTTTAGCAGTCTTCTCAATAAAACAAAGATAAGTAATGTTTTGTAAATTTTGGTGAAATTTCATGCTGTCTTTGAAGGTCTAAATTGGAATCAAACATTCGTTACGATCCAAGATAAATAAATCTTTATACGAGGGTGGTCCTAGGTTTACCAAGAATGCAATATTATTTCATCGCACCATGATGTATTCATACATTATGCCAAGGTCGTCCAAGATTTAATTGTCTCTCTACCATTTTTTGCTTAAATTTTACATTTCAATTATCGTTGATCTCGATCTGCTTTATAATAAATGACTCCAATGAAAAACTCATTTTCTGGTCTTTGGATGCAAAACAAATGTCGAGGAAATTCCAAAAAGACATTATTTGAGCTTGCACTCCGAATAACTTTCTGTGAATAACAGTGTGGTTTTCTAACTTTTCTTATCACTGTGTTTGAAATATTGTGACTTGTACTTAATATAAAATCCATGAGTTTGATTGAAGTTCTAGTCGCTATAAGTTTTCCCGATATTATTTTTTAAAATTTTTTATTATTGATGCTAATAAATATTATACATGGTTAGGTTGCCTGGCAAAGAAATTGTGTACATATGTCTTTCTTGTATTTTCTTCTGTTATGATCTCCTGTTTGCCTTTGATTTAAGTGGATTATTTGTGGTATTATGTGCTTATGAACGCAATATGTTATCGTGTGGGCGAAAATTTTTTTAGCCAATCAGAGTGAAGAAATATAAATTGAGAAAAGCTGTATTTTTTCCATTTACTTCTAAAGAATGAAAGTATGCCCTAAAGTAACTGGTTATTCTTGTTTATAAGTGATTTAATTCGTCTGAAGCGTGTATTGCTGTGAGTAAAGTTCACGGCCATAAATGAACTGTTCAACATAAGATGGACCTCAAAAGCTGACAATAAGCCATATTTTTTCGTCGTTTTATTTGGCCCAGCTGGATGGTTTTGTGAAGATTGGTTTACAGTGCCTTAACCTTAACACGCGTGTACCAAAACTGTGACAGATTTTCCGAAGGTTTAAAAAATTAGTCGCATATTAGTCGCATGAGCTGGTTGAAGAGCACCTTGTACAAACGCACATTGAAATGTATATATTTCATTATTAAAGTAGAGAACACACAACATGGAAATTATGCGGAAATATAATTTTGCTTGTCGCAATTTATTCGCGCTCACAGCAAGTGTTTGTCAGGAGACGCTGAAATTGAAATATTGCCAATGTCAAGTACCATCATGTTAGTCTGGTTAAACCACTTATTTTGTGTTACTTCATATCTTTAAATGTTTCATCGAAGTTAGAGACTGTTCAATCCTTTAAAATAAAACGACATCAACTAGGTTTCTCATATACAAATGAATTCCAGTTTTCATTACCATATGTTGCGAACTTTTGCGAATTTTGTGTATTTATGTTGACATGTTGAAGTACCATTTATCTTAGGTTAAATCACTAGCCAAATCATCCATCTAATTTGTTTGTTTAATTGCGAAATGTGATTTTTGCAGTGTCTAGCTCGTGTGAGATAGAAAATAAAGTAATCCTATTTCCCCCCGAGTCATGTGCTTTGGTGATTGTGCATAGTGTAGCACAACTTTACCTGTACTTTATCTTTCAAGTTATGATTTAAAAAGTGTTCAGTTTTGAGAGAAAGTGTGTGCTGATGATAAGCTCTTTTTTTCCGTTTCCTTTGCGAATTCTCTTCAGCGTCAGTTCAAACAGAACATAATTGTACCTATCTATGTCACGCAGTACTGTATAAATAATTCATTTAAAATACTTTTACGAGAAAATACTACTTTTAATGAAGTATATATACTCACTTTTCAATTCAATATAACCTGAAGCAACGAGAAATGCAATTATTCCAATACAGCACGCCAAGATGCTCAACATAAGAGTAAATATTTGTATGCAGTTTAAACGCGTTTTCCTATCTACTTTACTAAACGAAGAATGCTTTGTTGTTTCAAACTTGCTGTTGTGCGACACATTTTCCAAAGTAAACGCTTTCTCACTGTTTGCAACGTACGCGATGTTCTGACTGAAACGTGAATTTCTTGCTAAACTTTCTTCATAGGTATGATGATTTTCATCTTCTGTTGAACACACAGGATTATTGTAAACAAAAATACTCGGTGTCTTGGACGAAAGCAATGAGATTGTGTCTGTCTTTACAGCGTACGAGTAATTTGAACTGCGTCGTTGAAGTGAATCTGATCTTGAACCATCGTCGCTGTCACTCTTTTCGTAAACCTCATTTCTCTTTGTGCGTCTTCCTGTATTTGCTACGGAATTACTACTAAGTGAAGCTGTTACTCCCAGTTGTAATGGCAAGTCGTAAATTGTTTCCTTTTCGTATGGTTCCGAGTACAAATTTTCATTTCTTTGACTACTTGAATCTACAGGTTGTTCTTGATCATTTGGGAGTTCCATTTTGTACGCATTATTCTTAAGCATGATGAATTTGATTGTTATGTCAACGATCAACTCACAGAAATAACAGGAGGAATTCTGGTTTTATTAAGATTTTCTTTGACGAGTAGTCGTGCGTCCTTTGTTGCTCGTGTAATGTCGTGTAATGATTTTTGAATACATGACTTGACGTGTACATGCAACAGGAGAGCGACGTTTTCTGCCATGTCAGAACGCAAAGCATGCTGGGAATGTGTAGATATGTCCTACCACATACTGCGAATAGCAAGACGGACTTGACATTTGATTCAGTTGCTCAATCATCCCTTTCTTTAGAGCTGCTGGACTGCTGTTTGTTTTGTATGTCACTGCTCTGGAGTTAAGAAAATAGGGGTCAAAATTTTGGGCGATATTTCAAGTTACGAGAATCTCTTGCTTCGTGTTACTGTTAGCGTTAGTGGCATCGCTCTGTTTGGCTCACAATTCACAAATGAGCTATTTCTATGAAATAATGATGTCCAAAATCCTATCCTTGTACCCAAGCCGACACACTTCCCCCGATTTAGCTATCTTTCAGAAGAAGAAATGGAGGGCGATAAGGGACGTAAAAGTGTGATAGACTCATAGTGAATTATTAAGTTAAAAGCATAAGATGTTATTCTCTGATGTTTGTTTAAATCAATTTACTGCATGATGATTATAATCTTACTGACGAAACTGTTGAAATGTAAAACCTTCAGTCAGCATGCGCAACACGTTTTGAATATCAAATCTCCGATTGCAGATGCTTTTGACGTGCTGGTCCTGCTGGCAGAGGGGGCCAGGGGACCATGGCTCCGTCAGCTCTTCATTTTTTGAAGCCCATAAATTTATATTGTTTAGAAAAACACATATGAAATGATATTGTTGATACTATTTCACCCCTGAAGGATAAACATCCCTTTTGCATATGAGCTTTCTCTTCTTTCTCTTCTTTCCCTTCTAATCGTGTATATTTCGCATGCCTTTTTTAGACCCTATGCTGTCAGAACTCAGAACACCATACATACAATAGATGCAGTACTTAATTGAAATGACAAGGTGAGAAGAAAAACGTTACCATTCGACAAATCATGTTATTTTCTTGTTTTGGTATTAATGACTTGAGATTATGTTGTGCATTGAGTGAATTATAACGATATATATAACAAAGTAAATGGTTTGAACCCGGGAGTATCGTTACATGTTTGTAGATGTAGATCGTCCAGGTTGGTATAGTCCTGAGAAGGACTGTTTTTGTTGTTGTTGACTGACGTTTCGACAACCTTAGCGGTAGTCATCTTAATTTTTGACTCTTAAGATGACTGCCGCTAAGGTTGTCGAAACGTCAGTCAACAACAACAAAAACAGTCCTTCTCAGGACTATACCAACCTGGACGATCGACATTTACAAACATGTATATATATAGAATTATGTAGCATTATCAATGTAGCATTATCTGGAAATGACATTTAGAGCATTTTCATTTAAAGTTTTCCACTGGAGCATTCCCCTCGACCACCGTAATTGGTACGACTCGAGTCTTTAGCCCTTGTTTTTAAAGTGTGATAATTTTGGGCGCATTTTCACAGGAAAGTGACTCTCCCTCTCCCCACAGAAAAATTCTTCTCAGCACGTAAACGATGCTTGCATTTCATGTTGTCGTTTAAGGATAACCTACTTTGGGTTTGTAATAACCCATGACGAAATAAAGTCACCTCTCACTAATGCAGTTATAGCCTTGGATTTGTTTTGGAATTGTAAAGATTTTTTATTTCATTACTGCTTTTTATAGTTCTGCACATCATTGTCACTTGTACAAAAAGTGTAGTTTTATTTTTTCAAGAATATTTTAGCAAGAATAATCTTTATAATTTTTTTTTTATTACAAACACATGCATTTGTTTCAGTAAGAATATTGTGATAGGATACCATGTACATGTCCATACACTGAAGAATACTATGTACATTGCTATACACTCAAGGATACCATGTACATGTCCATACACTCAAGGATACCATGTACATTTCTATACACTCAAGGATACCATGTACATGTCCATACACTCAAGGATACCGTGTACATTGCTATACACTTAAGGATACCATGTACATGTCCATACACTCAATGATACCATGTACATGTCCATACACTCAAGGATACCATGTACATTGCTATACATTCAAGGATACCATGTACATTGCTATACACTCAAGGATACCACGTACATGTCCATACACTCAAGGATACCATGTACATGTCCATACACTCAAGGATACCATGTACATGCTATGCACTCAAGGATACCATGTACATGTCCATACACTCAAGGATACCATGTACATTGCTATACACTCAATGATACCATGTACATTGCTATACACTCAATGATACCATGTACATTGCTATACACTCAATGATACCATGTACATGCTATACACTCAATGATACCGTAGGATACCATAGAATACCATGTACATGTCCATACACTCAAGGACACTATAATTTACCATGTGCATTTCTATACAATTCATTATTATTATTCAAAATTCATTATTATTATTTTTGATATCAACTTGATTTATACTGTAAATTATACATTACACACAAATACGCAATGTATAATACGCAAAATTATTTACATTTTTAAGAAATCATAGTTGCACTTAGCATTATTTCATATTACATCATGTCATATAAACCTTTCCGTTAAATTACAGTCATAAATTTTGCAACATAGTTTACACATATGTTTCATTTTATCATTTGTTCCAATTACGTAGTTCTGTAAGTAATCTATGTCTTAGTCTTTGCATAAAGACAGTGAACTTACTCGTTGTATATTTGTATATTATGTTGCATTTAACCTGCGGTTTGGATATCGATTAACGGCTCAGCTAATCACGCCTGGGTCCTTGACTTGTTGGATTTAACGTTGATTTAAATAATTGTCAGAAATATTTATTTGTACAAATGTCGCATGAAAAGTAAAATTTTTCAACATTTCATCGGCGTGTTATCAGAAAAATGAAAAATTTCTCACCTAGTTACGCGAAACAGTTCACACAAAAGCAGGTGTGAGTAGCTAAGTCGTTGTGTGACTAGCGATTATGTGATTGTACCACAAACGTTAGAAAATACTTTTATCATTACGTATTTACTGGGCATTCCCAATAATAAATAACACACTCAATTTGTTGAGATGCATTTAAAGTTGATTTTCCTGAGCATGTGCAAATGTATGTATTATCTTGGTTTGAAAGAACTGTATGCATTGTCCCATGGGCACGAGTTGTTGAGCAAACTGCCGAAATTATTTTCCATCCCTACATTAAAAAGAAAAATATAAGGAACAACTTTAAAGTAGAAAAAAGCAGTGACTGAAAATCTTAACTGTTTTTTGGAAAGCGCGAAGGTTGAAATAATTTACGTTGAGGCTGTTATTGACATTCAACAGTTTAATTCGCAAATATAATTTATAATTTTAGTATTCGTGATGTACGATTAAATATACAAGAATAATATCAAAGAGCCACTTATACAATAGTGATAATTGTTTAATGACAAATTTAATGACCTCACCTGTCTTTGAGCATATTCGATTTTTACTATGGATTGTTCGTTGACGTATGTTCCTTTTTGAGGTAACTTATTCATAATGCAAGCTGATATGTTCCCAATACCTTGTGGACCAACATCCCCCTTTTCACCTTTTGGTCCCTGTGTTCCATTAAATCCACGTGGGCCCATTTGTTTGCTGATATTTCGTAACTATAGAAGTTCGTTAAAATAAAATAAAATACATCGGGCTGTGTTAGCTATATGAGTAATCATTATCATTATTACATCATCAACGAACCTTGTCCTCGAAACTTTCTTTCAGTGATGTTATGTTTTTATTGATATTTTCCACCTAAAGTTTGATTAAACATAGGCTACATAGCTCTGTAAATACATCATCTGTCAATGATGAATACATCATCTGTTTTTGATAAATACATCATCTGTCAATGGTGAGACAGATGATAAAAAACCTTTGTTTAACAAAAGAATTTGTTGATATATTCAGTAAATTAAGATTTATAATGAAATACCTACATGTTCACCAGACAAAACTTAGTTTCAACGAATTTGGATTTTCTATATTGCTGCACAACCAACCTTGAAACATTTGTTTCAATGCCAAATGCGGAGATTACTCTTTAACTAATCGCTAGTTTGTGATGTATATTTAATTGAAATACCTTGCTAATTAATGATGAATTGATTGATTCAATTGTATTTTTCAGTTTTTCCTGCATGTCCGTTTGATTGTTATTCGTTGCCGTTAGATTGTTATTTGGGAACTAAAAACAAATCAAGACATATCCGTTTAAAAAATCGTCAATGTAAGTTGATTTATCATGTATTTTACGACTTGATATAAACATTCATGCAAGAAAATGATTCATTTCAGCTTACTCGACACATAGATTCAGTCTGACGTTCAATGATGACTTTACCCATGCAATAGACGTGAGCATAGAAGTAGCGACTGTTTTTATGTGCTTATGACAGCATTTTGTTTTATTGATTCTGAAAGTTCTCAAAAAGTTTTTTTACAACTTGTAAATTAGTTTTTGCATAGAAAAAATATTTGCAAAAAATATATAGCTCAAACACATCTCCACACTCAGATGTACTTAACCAAAAATAAACTTAGAATTTGCTCTGTAAAATTTTGAGATTTATCAGAATCAATAAACCCAAAATGAGGTCATATACACTTTACGTTATACTCTCCAATAGAACAAATTATTCTCGCCCATAACGGAGGTTTAAAATAATTTTAAGGATTATAAATGCCTTCATATTTTGAGCGTCGTATGTCCTTTGGAGATTCTTCAATGTAGAATTAAATTCGTCGACTTGTTTTTGGATTTTTGTTATAACAACCATTTTCTGATTTGTCTCTGTGTTGTACATCATTTGGAGCTTTTCCAATGCAGTTTTGGTTTCCTCCATGGCTGTCTCGAGCTTTATTAATCGCGATATATTTGTTTCTACATGTAAACATTATAATGATGTAAAAAAATTGTACTTCGTTCATTTTCTGTTAAGCGAAATCTGTATTTTTCGTAACAATAGATCCGTGAAAACAAAGCAACAAAGATCTTTTTCAAAGAGCTTGTATTGTTTTGTTTCTCATTGTTGCAATAAAGATGATTTAAGTTTTATTAAAATTGGGTTCCGTATTTCGTCAGGAAATATCTGACTGATATGAAAGAGTTTTCTTTTTGGGTTCTTCTGATTGAGTCAATCAGATAAAGTACATGATCACTGATTATTGATTCTTTGTATTTATCATTTCTATAGCCAATGTTATTTTATTTTACTTTAAACCAATCATAAACCGTGACCATGTAGATACACACTGACACTTTATGGTCGCAGTCAGTTAACCATATCTTAGTCGTTGTTGTAAGTCTTAGCGAACAAATTCTGTTTTCTGTGGCCGTAATAGGAAAACAAACAGATGATCGGACAATATTTATAATAAAACATTTTTGAAACTTTGTCAATTATAGATCGTCATTAATTCTACCCTGTGTTGTGAACAAATAATATTATTAAACCTACACACAAATGATTTGCATAAATGCTTTAAATTCATAATCGTGTTGAAAATAGTCATTTTATTACTTCAGCTGTTTTCATATTTTTAACATAAATATGATGAATACACTCGATAGATTCAAGCTTATTCAGCCATAAGATTATTTTAAAAACGTTAAAGAATACTTGGGACAAATTCATTTTAGTTTATTCGCGTGAGAAATATTTGTTTTGATTTCACAATATAAGATGATATTGAGCTGGGTAAAGCGAATAATTGAACACAACAAGGAAACTTCGTCAGATTTTTTTTTGTTCGCTCAAATTCCTTTATAGTAATAATGATACATACTTGAAAAATTACTTGGCTTTAAAAACTCAATTTTGTGTTAATAATTTATCACTTAGCCGGTATAATGATAATTACAAATTCTTACCTTGCGTTACAGGTAGTGATATGGATGTTGAATCTTTGCATGAACATTTGTTATCTTTAAAAAAAGCAAGTAATCCTAAAGTTGCTCCAATAAGACTTATTAACATCATCAAACTGAGTATCAGGAAAGGTAGTTTCCAATTTGATTTTGTTTCTTTTGAGGTATCATTATATTCAGGTGGCGGTAATGGGGGCAAATTTTGTCGTTGTTCTCTTCTTGTCTTTATCTTTTTTCCTGCTGCTTCATAAACAAGATTCTCTTTTTTTCGTCGACCAAGTCCAGCTTGTTCTACAACTTGGCTTGTATCTTCGTATTGTGGATTTTCATCTCTTTCGTATCCGCCATTTAACAAAGACTTATCGCCATTTTTTGCTTTCGTGAGATCTTCTGTGCTAATAGCGTATGGATTGAACGCAAAATTAGCGTAATCTGACGTACTCAAATTATCTGAGTTCATTTTCTTGTCCGAACTCATGTTTATACTTTGTGATGTTCATCCAAATTTGTGTACATTGGTCTAATCCGTCGCTGTAATTTTATTGTTAACTAACAAAGATTGTTTTACAAGATGAATTTCCCCTCGGTTATAAATGTTGCAATCAACATATTAATTGCGATAAATTTAAATAATAATGCAAAAATGTTCTGGCATCCCACACATTTAGAATTTTACTCAAAGAGATTCCATTCTTTTCATTTTCGAGTCATGATTTATAAACACCCTTATTGTTGTTATACTTGACAACTATTTTCCAATTTTGGTGAGGACAATGAATTTGCTTGAAGATGGGCGTTGCCATATTTTTGGTAACCATTGGTAACAATGATGTCAATGAAAATTTTGATATTGAAAAAAAGATTTCTGTGTGTTGCTTATCTACGGCTTAATTAAGTACCATGTTTACTTTAAGTTAAATATAATGTCAACAAAATTATTTGAAAATGGAGAGATTTCATCTTAAAACAGATTCAGTGTTTTTTCTCTTCAAAACCTGTGAAATGTTTTATCTACATATACGTAAGGAAATGGCGTTCGCTTCATCTTTATTGTAAAATATTTCCTCAAAGGCAAACGGAAGTTTTTTTGAGGTCAACCAACCTATTCAAGTATTTACGTGATCTTTTCTAAACTCTCTCCTGTGGTGGTGAACTAGGCCTGGGGATGAGTGAACCGTTTGGAATGTCTTCATTCTTCAATGGCCTTCATTGCGAGCACTACTTATCGTGAAAAGATAATTGATCATAACGTTCCTCGAAAAAGGTCTTTATATCATGTACAATTTCTTTTTCATACGATTCAATTTCGCTAAAACATAAATAAGTGTAAAACTTGAAGTAAAAGCTTGATCAATGAAACCATGAGAACAGCGTCCTTAACTTCAACATTACAATATATCTTTTAATTTATCAATATATCTTTTAATTTATAAGTCATTAATGCGTAGATTACTGAAATGTCTTACATACAAACAACTTTTCTTTACCATAATAAATATTTTATCCACGTAACAGTCACAGTTTTCAGGGCGAGATAAACAGCTTATCTTCCAAAGACCTGCTTCGTCTACGTGGCAAAATAATGCGAGTACAATATTCGTACCAGAAAAACTCGTCATTTGCTTTTGTCAAATGATTCCACTGAACCCTTAGTCCCTTACTAGATCTGGACTGGTTGGCTTTTTTGCAGTGTCAATTATTTATTATTTTTAACCACAATCTTATTTTGCTACCTTCCTATGTGACAAAATATTACTTTCTCTCAGTACATTCACGTATTTTCTTCTTTCTCTGCAGAATGAATGTGCAACGATTCTTTTCAATCTCTCGTTTGATATTTCATATTTTTAACTAATAAGAACACGATCTCTTCTAACTTCCGGTTACAAACTTCCGGTCGTCTGTTTATCACACCGATAAGCTTCGTCAGTAGTGATGACGAACTTGTCGTTTCACTTGGTGATTTGGTTTGTTAAGCAATCCCAGAAACAGATGTTACATCTATTGCCCAAAGTGCAGTGACATGAATAAACAATTTTATTTGTCGACTTCTTGACTTGTAAGATGTCATTACTTGTGTTCCATCTCAGACTTTCCTTGCAGCACGTCACTCCCACAAAATGGAAAGCGTTATTCTAAAAATTTTGAGAAAATGGTTACTTTGTATGAATGTAGGTATTTGAAATGCATATATGCTTAAAATATCCTTCCAATCGTTCGTTAAAACGTGCTATTTATGTTTCGTTTTTGTTCAACGTCTTCTTCATTTTAAATCAAAAGTCCGAAGTACCTTTGTCTTTATGTCCACAATCTGTACATACGTGCCACCATTTTCTTGTTGAACGTCGCTACTGTTTTTTGTGTGGAATACACATTTTGCAGACACTTTGAGTTTATTTATCTGAAAACACAGACGTAAAAATTGCCACAAATCCCGTATTTACAAAGGCGGCAAATGTTTATAGTTTCGTAGTGAAATCCTTCAACCCTTGTCTGGGTCATAACTTATTAACCGTGGATTACAGCCTTTGGATGCGTGGAATTCATATCCGATTACTGATTCTATTATGGTGAAGAAGAGAAGATTGAACATTTTTTTTTGTAATTTTACCTTTAAATTGATATCTTTTATGTTGTTCAAGCAATTTTTAATCTCTTTCTTCACCTTCAGATACAACTAAAAGAAAGATTTTTACGGGAAGCAATTTAGAAATTTCATAAAGAGATATTGCGAAGACAAAAACCTAAGCATGGTTTGGTTTTAGATTTGAACATACCCGTGTGTTTGATGCTTTTCCCCTACTTGGCCGATCTTTTGCTTTATTTCGAGATTTTGTACAATTCTAAAAATGGTTTAATATATAATGATAAAACTAATAAAGTATAATGAAAACGATAACTAGTTAAATAACACAAACAACATAAAGGGTGCAGTCCACTCATACCATTCCATCCAACTGTATCAGTTACCTTTTTTATTGTATATTCTTTTGTATCGTTGCGTGTCTTTAAAAAAAATCGTAATAAATAAAAAAAATTGATGAAATCAGAAAATACCGAAAATAAAATTCATTATAAATCAGCAACATCTAGTTTATGATGAAATATCTCAAAAGCCATCGATGTTAAATTAATGTAAAATAAGCCATCAAAAAATATTTATCTTCTCGTGCAACACATCATATTAAAGCCGTATAGAAATGTTTCCACAAGCCCAAAAGTGCTCTAAAATATAAATCTATCCTTATTTCATATACCTAGCCATCATCATACCCATATAAATAAAACTTACATGTCCTTCAATGTTTGTTAGATCCTCATATAGTAAACGAAGATTCTTTATTTCTCCTGAGAGGCGTTCTAACCTTCCTTTTTCGTCGTCGCTTGTCTTGACAGTGCTTGGAACTATTATAAGTAAAAAATTGAATAAATAACATTCACTTTACTGTGTTTGAAACTACTATAAAAAAGATTGGATAAATCAACGAAAATGTTCATTGATCGATTAGTTTCAAGAAAATGTTTTCAAATATAGCAGTGTAGTTTGTTTGTGAAGGTATTTTTCCATGATTTACGTTTAAATGAGACAAATCTATAGTCTGTCAATCAGCAACATTTTTTGTGACTTCGCGCATCTAAAAAAACCTTCAAAATGACCGATTATTGCATGAAAAAATACGCACTTTGGGTCAATTATCTCGCTTGTTTGTCAAGTAAATTATTATCGTCAACAGTTAATCTCTAACGTCCTGTTGTTTTGTTATATCGTATTGTTATTTTCCATCAAACAAAAGGACGCGCATAGTTTGCCTATTAATAACTACGAAAATGGAATACTTGGTCAGCATCTTTTGTTAAAGGATTACTACCTAGTATTTCGTAATGAATGCAGAAAACAAGCATATTTTTGTTATCAATTGAAGGAAACGTTATAATATTTTGTATTATCTAATGGTTAGTATATAGATGACATTTATTCACCTATTAAAACAGTTGAAATATGTCTGTCTGATTTGGCAGAAATTCACAACGGATATCAACATCGCGCTTGTTTAAATTAAGATGCTTATGCATAGCATTTGTAAGATAAGCTTGTAAAGGCGTGTTTCATTGTACTGCACGCGTTCATCAATTGTAAAATCTTTTCATTTAACAATACTTGCGCACGCCACATTGAAACATTTCGAACAGTTTGCACTAGAGAACTTTACCTTTATCATTGTTTGTGCATAATGATTTAAGAACCTTATGGTTTTGCCATAATATATAGGATGATAGAACTGTTGGTGTCAATAATGCTATCGCAGCCATAAATATAAGGCAAACATTACAATTTTTTGATCTTGTAAAGTTCGATTGATTATATCTGTAGTCATTACGGGCTCTATCTTGCTGTGTTCGACTTTCTTCTCTTTCCATTTCCGTGGAAATGCTTGTACCATTTTGCACATTATATAAAACTTGTTGATGTGATCGTTCTTGACTACATCCAGCATCTTGTTCATGAAAACCTTCATTGATGTTATTGCATGCCGTAACACGTCTGTTTCTTTTGTCTAATCTGGCCATTCTTCCAAGGACTACAATGAAGGTTCTTCTTGCTCAGCGCTAATACGTAAAAAAGCTAAGATAACTTGAGCGGTTATGGAGCAAAAAACGCTTTTCTTCAAGCTTTGCAGAAAGTAACATGATATTGAAGAAACATGATCCATACATTTCCTGAAGAGTCCCAGCGTATAATTTGATGTTTTTAATGTCACAAGTGGATTGAACGAAGATTAAAAACTAAGCACTCATGTATGATGCCGTTCTGTAAAATCCACGTTGCTCCTCCTCATGCACAGTATTTGAAATGGAACATTAACAAACAGTTATAACAACCGAAACTTTTCTGTATATTAAAGTTTTATAACACGTGATGTTATCTTCTATGACGTTTAAATTTAACAATACCAGGAAATGAGCGTAACTTTGTTGTTTTCGAGCAAAATTATATTTGTGAAACATGTGTTTACCAAAACGTACAATGAAAGAAGTTATTTTCCAGCGTAGAAAAATATCGAGTGGACATTGAATTTTCACGTTAAATCTTTATATTTTTGCTTATTATTTACAACGAACATCGACATCTGTTTTTCTTTGATTTTGACGTCAATGACGTCGTCAATGCAAGAAGGGAATGCCCTTACACTGCAGGAGTTTATAAACAATATCGCAAATACCATGTCAAAAATCACGAACAGTTCGTTTAGGATAGAACTTATAAAATTAAAATATTATCACCTGCTTATGATGCATTCGATATGTTTATAATATTGTATTACACTGAGATAAAAAAAAACACACAAGACAATTAGACTCAGAAAAGCAATGTGTTTATTTTATTTTTAGGCTCAAATACTCTTACATTGCCAAAAGAAAGCTACGCAGTCAATGTATTTAGAAATTTTATTTTTACAAACACATTTATAGAAACTAGGACTTTGATCTCTGGTTGATGTTATCAACTGACTCACATCTGCAGTGTGTTCCCGTGTGGTTGAACATGTCAGTGATAATGTGTCACCATCCTGTAGTAACAAACATACACAACTATAAATGACAGTACGTGCAAAGGGTTCTAATCTCTGCTACTTCTTTATTTCAACTGAAACAAAGCTTAAAGAATCTTTCACGATAACATTTGTTTTAGCTATAAAATTTTCAACAATACCTGGGAACTTTTAGGAATAACGACTGCAAGAGAAATGACATTGCCACTTTTAATTCGCTTTTTCAATGAGCAGTTTAAATTTTGCCTTTGTTTGTCAATTGCATTGACCTAAGGTTGATAAAAACATTTTTTCCTGCGTCAGAGTTTTCTGTGCCATATCAGAAGTAACCTTGTGCCATACAAACCTCCGTTATTGATGCTTTCATCTTAATTTGTATCTCTTTTTCAGATCGCTGATTCCCGTATAACACCATATATAAACAAAAAATGGTTATAAGCAAGGTTAGCACACAACAACGTTTTTAAATTAACATTGTCACTCAGCATTTCTGAAAGAGCAAAATATTTTTTTAATTTTTTCACTGAGCTGCCAAACCATTTACGTTAAAATCAGAGACCACTAACAGCAACGAGGGTCTACGTGGAGGGACTGTGACCCATCTACCGAGTACATATAAACTAAGTATGAACTCGGTGGTGTAATGTATACAACATAAATTGGCAGCTATGATCTCAGTGTTGCATTTCATATGACCTAAATGTTATTATTTATTGAAGATGAGCTAGACGTTGTAGAGCATGTTATCATAAGAGCAAGCTTAAGAAAAAACATTCATTAAAGAATTAAGACAAGCTTATCAAAGACAAAGAAAAACAATATGTGTCCTCTAATTTTCTCAAAGATGATCAAATACTGAAAACTAAACACCAGATCTTAGACATCACATGTTAAACATGTGTTTAAAAACAGTGCGTTAAAAATAGAAGGATCAGTTTACATACAGCAATAAGATATGCAAAATAACACCAACAGAATGGTTTGATGTTGCGCCTTGCGGATCAAATAATATAATTAGCATTGAAAGAACAGTTTAGTTTAATCATACTATCTCAGCGAAATCTATCTCTTTCGTTTTATACAGTGTTTATTTTTCTTCAATAGAAGACTTTTGAAGCTTTCCAATATAACATTTCACATACATTAAAATATGATTCCATTTCTTGATTATTTATTTGCTCCTCGCTGTCCTACAAAAATAAAAAAAATGAATTTGTAAACTGTCAATAATATTTGTGGCAAAATACCGTGAAGTTGAGTCGACAAAAATTGTTTCTTTACCCCATCAACGACAAGTGAAAAGGGAAGACAAGGCATAACGCAGATTATCATAAGACTCTTTGTCATGCACTTTATTAATTTAACTTTCTTCAAAAAATCTTTGGCACATGCTTCAAAGTTGAATGTTCATTTGTATTTCAGGTTGATGAAACAATTCTTATGTGCGTTAAGGAAGATACTGACCCACCAATTTGTGAAATGGTGATGTTTTTGGAGCGTTATACTTACTCTATTCTGATCACAACTTTCTTGAAGTTCGTCACAACCCATCTCTCGACTCGTTCGATTTTTAAGAAGATACTGAAAAATAAATTTGTTTAGTTTTATTGTATTCTCATTCCCCCTCGTGTTATACTTACGTATTGGTTTTGTAAGAAAAGGAGTTCATTTTGCATCAGTTTCATCTTTCGTTGAAAATATATTGTAAAGTTGTGGTCATCATTCGTGCTGCCTGGATAAAAATATATATTAACCTTAAGGAATATTTGGGGTAGATTGTTGAAGATTTGGGTGTCAGCCCAATCAAAATAAAATTTTCTACAAAACAGAGATGTACGTATATTTACAGTCATAATTTTATCAAGCTCTTCATTGGTTTATGCTTGATCGAGTGCTTGACCTGTGTTATTAAATCGAACTTAACTTGTCTAAATTTTTATAGACAATTTTTACCTTAGAAAAGCGATATAAAATGAGCCTTAAATCTTGAGTTTTAGTGTCATTTTTCGAAACAGAAACAGTTAAAGAATAGCGTATTACTATAAACACCATATCCAATGGTTTGCTTCTTTGTATGGACACATCGTGAAACTTACTAACCTTCACCAATGTAAGAAATGGGCATTCCATGAACCAAATACCAAATAAGAACCGTATATGCAGTTGTCAAAACCCCACCAATAATAACGACAACCCAGAATGACGTTTTCCTATACAACAGCTCTTTCTTAGGTTGATATGAGTGCTCGTTAAAAACGCTATTGTTCTCAAAAGCATTGACGGAGGCTCTTGGCCATGACCTCATTTTAAACCGGTATTTAATGTCGCATTTGTGCGCTGAAACAACGTTTCCAACCTCAGTCAATTGAAAGTTTTGTTACAGTGCTTCGTATATCTGCGTCAACTTCTTAAATAAAAGTCTTTACTTCTGGACTTCGAGAGGTCAAGCCAAAACTGAATGACGTCATAGACATTTTATTGATGGTTTATTATAGACACTTGTTAACTTTTAATGGAATGAAATTATGAAAATGCCTGCCTGCGTATGATTAAGAGAAGAGACGTTTATTTGCTATTTTTGTAAGTGCAAAAAGTTAAGGCGGGAGGAATTTTCCTGATAAATGATAAGACTGCAGTCAAGTGACCAAAAACCACCTCTGAAACAACATCATTTTGTGATGAAACTATATTTCTTATTAAAACTACTCACAGTGAATGGTTTTGATAAAATGGATATTATATAATTTCCATCAATTAAATAACAGCAATATAAAAGTTTGAAACAAAAAAATGCACAGCTAACCACATGAAACTGATGTATGACAAGCAATGCCAAACAAGTAGTATTATAATCTTTGTGTTAAAGAGAGTGACAGGAAATTTAGAATTAGAACTCGGGAAATAATAAAAATAATTTATCTCATAGCAGATATCATAATTTTATATTTTTTGTTTTCAATTTATCTTCAATGTTATTAAGAATCCTATGTACTTTTTCAATTTCTTCATTTTGATGCTTTAGACACATTTCAAGTTCATCAACCTTAGTTTGTAAATTATGGAAATTTTTTAAATGTTTGTCTTCTTCACGACTTTCAGCACGTTTCTGTCTTCTGTATTCAGCATACAAGACAGCAACACCAATGCTAAAGACAACTACCTCACCAAGAATTTCAGCACCTAGGTCAACAGCAGCAGTTTCCTTTAAAGGATCAACATCAATTTTTCCTTTCAGACCCATCAATCTCATTCTTATGTGAAAGTCCAAACGATGGTAAACTATATAATACATGGATATACATAAAGCAGGTATCAAAATGGGAAAGAGGAAGCAAAAGTAGTTTTCTTAGCATATCCACAACTACAGCAAACACTACCTCTACTTTTTTTGAATGCTCAAAGTAAATATTTTTGAGTAATGTCGAATAATGACCATTCCCAGCAAAACTAACTTTAACAAAATTACTCTTGTGTTAATACACTACCTCTAAATGCAAAGCTTGTTCTTAAATGGCTATTCACCACCATGACTGGTATAGACTTGCCTTGTTTACATTTTGCAGGCAGGCAGATTTGGTAGAGTGGTTTAGAACAACACTAACAACAATGGTCAACCTCCTTTGGGATTAATCTGGCTGCCAGAAAAACGTAAACAAGGCAAGTCATCTATAGGAATCAACAAAACAAAAGAACACAGTTACATTCTTTACCTTGCCCTGGGTAGTAACAAAGATATTTCTTAAAAATATCACTTTCTTTTGCCCCTCTTTTGATTACATTTGCTACAGGTTTTGCTGCTTGTTTAATTGCTAAAGAAGCTAGTTTAAATAAAGGAAGACCAGCTACCATGTTTCAACCAATTATTTAATTTCCCTTCAAAGAAAAAATACGGTCACCAAACATCCGTCAATAGCAGATATACATTTTTCACACAAATAATTCTCTTAAATTTTATTTTTCTCTTTAACGATGAAGAAAATTATTTGTATTAATCAAACGATATTTATTTCAGGAATGCCATTTTCATCTATAAATAAAAGTTAATGAAGAAAATTGACAGAAGTATGGTGTTGAGTATGATAAACGTGAATATGTGCGTGATCATAGCAAGCGTGGGATATCGGGAGTGACCGTAAATATGCGACAATGTACGTCAAAGGTCAAATATTTATATAATGTATACAACTTTACACTGCAACTGCAACTCGCTACACAGGAACTTCAAATTTTGACAACGGCATCTTATCTTCGCTCGCCTTTTGCCTCTCGCTTGATCAGAAATAGTGAATAGTCAATACCCATGGACGATACTGGTATGTGTATTATAAAATATTTTAAATTTTGAAGAATATAATATCCATAGGGTGGACTAAATATTTATATGCTAGATAATACATACTTATGTAGCTCTCACAAACAGCTGCGATTTTATTCTTTTTGCATGTTGGCTTTGTGGTTTACTCTAGGAATAGACAACTTTTTATGCGTTTGAAGATAAAGTTAATGATGAATTTTCGTTTAAAGGATGTTTTGCAACTGACATGACGTCAGTTAATGAAAGATTTTACTCATTAAAGTATTATAAAATATTTTATTAATATAAGAAATATAAAAAATAATCAACTTAAAATGAAATATTCATCCACACGCGTTAGTAGTTAGTTGTAATATTGGTTTGCGCGCTTTGAAAAGTCAAAGACGATATTGGTTTGTGTAAATTTATGAATTGTGCAACTTTAAGTATTTGAACAACTTATTTTTACTTAATTAAAGGAAGTTTTTGTTTTAAGGAAGTTTTTCAAACCGCCATTTTATTCATATATCATTAAAGGGATGTTTGATTTTTGTTGGACTAAAGCAATGTACTGTTTAGTCTTTTTACATATCATATGTAAAAATACTTATCAATTAATAAAACTGACATTTTATAATGGGTAGCAAGCAGCTCTAAGTTATGTCAGGAATTAGGAAAAAACTTTTTTATCAATCTAATGACTGAAAAATATTTATTGTATAATGTCTTCAAGACTTACAAAGTTCTTCACAACGTCACTTAATAACAAAGAATTATTGTTGTTGTACCTCAAACTCATTCGCATTTCCATATTATTTTCATGTTTTATCAACAACTATAGTGGAGGACAATGTTTTGGATACAACTGATACACCATCATGCTCTAAATATAAAAGCCATGAAACATCGCCTGGAAAGGCAAGTGTTGACCAATCAAAAGCTCCAACCAATGAAAGCCACGAAGCATCACTAGGAAAGGCAAGTGTTGACCAATCAGAAACTCCAACCAATGAAAGCCACGAAGCATTGCTAGGAAAGGCAAGCGTTGACCAATCAAAAGCTCCAACCAATAAAAGCCACGAAGCATCACTAGGAAAGGCAAGTGTTGACCAATCAGAAACTCCAACCAATGAAAGCCACGAAGCATCGCTAGGAAAGGCAAGTGTTGACCAATCAAAAACTCCAACCAATGAAAGCCACGAAGCATCACCTGGAAAGGCAAGTGTTGACCAATCAGAAACTCCAACGAATGAAAGCCATGAAACATCGCCTGGAAAGGCAAGCGTTGGCCAATCAGAAACTCCAACCAATGAAAGCCATGAAACGTCGCCTGGAAAGGCAAGTATTGGCCAGTCAGAAACTCCAGCTAAGAAAACTAATGAAAAATCATCATTAAAGTCAAGGGCAAATAGGCCTCAGCATTTAATGCTTCCCAAAGCTTGGCAACGATCCTTATCTACACAATCCAATGGAAGTCAACAAGGCAAAGGTACAAAATACTTCATTCAATTATGGAAAACTATATTGTATACATGTTTTTGGAAACAAGATCACTTTAGTATCTTAACACTTTCTCTTCAATTTTTTGCAAACTATCACATATTTGATAGCAGAATGTGTTTTTTCATATATTTAGCTATTAGTGTTGCTGTATATCTTGTGGAGAAGATTGGTCGTTTGTTGAATCTTGAATATGGTAAAGATACCACTGCTGGTGTTATTTGTAAAATGATGGTTGAGAATCTAGCAATGTCGTCACAAGCAAAAGATGTTTTCTGTATTTGGATAATTTCACCTTTACTTCGTAAGTTATGTTTTTAAATATGTCATTTTTTGATACATACCAAATTTTGTCAATGTAAAGTATATAATTGTGATCTACTTGTGTATCATACATACATTATACTGGTTAAATTTTATAATATTTTCTAAGAACTACAACTGAAAGAACACCACCAACCTCTAAGAATGAGAATGAAATGGCCAGATCTATTGAAAAGATTTACAACAGCTTCCAGTGAAATGATAGAGAAAGGTATTTTGGTAGGGTTTGAAAACAAATTTATTTCATGTTTGTTGATGCAGAACTTTCCACTTTCTTGTAGATGAACCAATTTTGAGCTTTCAACGAAACAGTTTCTTTTCATTGCAAGAAGAGAAAAAGGTTACAACCGATTAATTTTATGTTTCTTTCACCATGAGTACTTAATGCAATGTTATTGTAAATCTTATCAGATCACAGATGAAAAGATAATCAAGCGTCTTTTTGAAGAAGTATGATATTTGAAGTGTGTTTAATTACTTTCATCAAGATGATGGTTATCATATCTTTAATATATTTTATTTCAGGCAAAGCATAATGTCCTAAATGGTTTCTATCCTGTAACAAGACAACAGGGAGAGATGTTTGGTGCAATCTTGGCATTAACTGAATATGGCAAATTTTGTCCTCAAATTCACAAAGTTGGTTATTTTAGGTATAAGTTTTTGATTAACTGTCTGTATATCTTTTTCAGGTAATGCATCTGTTGCAAATTGTCCTTATGTTATTTTTATCATAGGAATAAACTTCCTGAACTTGTGCCATACTGGATGTATAAACCTGGTTGGCACACTATCCTAGGAAGATCAACAAAAGCAACAATTGAACAATGTCTTCTTAATCAATACAAGAATCTTTCAAATAGTCTGGATGAAAATGAACTTGAGTCATGTCAAAATGGTCGACATTTCCTTAAAAAATGCTGGGATTTACCATTCTATGGGTTAGAACAATTTTCTCTACACGAACATTTTAGTTTGTACTTGTACTTGTTCATGTTGGCCTTGCTAAAATGAAAAAAAGAGAAAGTGAGCATTGCCCATGTTTTAACTAGTTGTTTGTGACGTACCCCATTTCTTAATTGTTGATAGTGTTTAATGTCTTGATTGTTGATGTTTACTTAAGTTAAATAGTTGCTCATGTAAATCTAAATATGTACTTCCTGGTTACATTAGTAAAAAGTTATCACCACCATTTATTCTGTAATATATGTTGTGTTGTTCCGTTCACAGGAGTGTTTTTTTCAATGGTCAAATTGAAAAACAGGTCTCAGGATTAAATTCCTTGCTAGATCATCACGATATACCTGTGCGTGTCGCAATTAATCGAGGTGCTGTTCACGTTATTGAACCTAAGAAAAATGTACGTTGAAATCCATTTCTTCTTTTTGCTCAACTGTTGTAGAAATTCATTATGTCTCATTGTCCTTCAGGAGATCTTGCTGGGATTATCCTACGACGAGTTTTCTTGGGATTACAGTCATTGTCCAGAGTCAACCTCCAATCCTGAATGCTTTGATACTTTCTGGCTTGAGTTTGATTCAGAGGAGGGTGAAATAACACAGCTACAGATTTATTCTAAGCAGGTATTTATAGAAACCCTTTTTCAATTGTTCCTATTAAAAGTTTCCTAAATGTTGATTTCCCGTTAACGTTATGTACTAGCTATCACATAAAATGTTCTTTATTGGTCTAACATGGAAACTATTATTGTGTTATAAATATTTAGGCTATAATGATGGATGCAATGGTGCAGTTTATTGTGTTATAAATATTTAGGCTATAATGATGGATGCAATGGTGCAGTTTATTGTGTTATAAATATTTAGGCTATAATGATGGATGCAATGGTGCAGTTTATTGTGTTATAAATATTTAGGCTATAATGATGGATGCAATGGTGCAGTCTTGTGCTTTATGTTCTATGACTTTGTCGCCTGTTCCTGAAAAAAGGTAATTTGCGTTGTGTGTGTGTGTTTTATACAATAATTAAAGGAAAGAATATTGGATGATTTCTTATAGTGTTGCTGCTGCTAATGCTTTTGAACAACCATCATCTTCACCAGAAAAAAGTAAGTGATATTTGTTTTTACTGAATGTACTTTATTTTCATGTTATATTTGTCTTAAGTTTATTAATTAATGATTTATGAACGCTTTAGCTTTTTATGATTTTTTTTCTTAGATCGATATAAAATACGTAGCAGAATGGAACGAGTTAGTTTGTCAACGTATGACCGAGATGGTACGTTTAAGGTAGCTAAGATGATAACTTTCTTATCACCATCAATTCAAATTTATTTTATACAATATAGGTAAAGAGCTTCGTCGTGGAAATCGAAATAACTTTTCATTTACGACGCTGTTTAAAAGACAAGGCTCTGTCCATTAAGGCTTTCCAAAAACCATTTAATGTCATCGTCAAAATCGCTTGTCATTTTATCAAGTCAAATAATGGCCTGGCTCTTATACATACTCAGTATGTAGAGTAAGACATGTTGGCGATTTAAACTAAGTCATTTAGTGTTTAAGCATGACAGATTGTCATTGTACATAGACCAGAGTAAGTTAAGGCTATGTCTTAGTAAAACAAAGGAGTTCTTTATTTCCTGAAAACGTCATTTGACAATAAAAAACAAAAGGTTGAAGTCCTGGTAAAGTAAAAATAAATAGGTTGCAAGCACTCGATAAACAATGTCTTTGATTACAACTAAATCATCCCCATTTAATCTTAATGTTAAAAATGAAAATATGTTTAATGTGCCCACATTGAACGTATCTCACCATATTTTTGTTCATGGTTAAGCAGGGCTCTCTTTGAGCCTGTTATGTCAACTTGAACTGCGCTTTTAAAGACAGATGGTCTGATGGGTGAGTCTGGTTGGGTGGTAAATCCATTTTTTCAAAATCAGTTTTGTTCATTAACTTTAGTCGTCCAAGTAATATTAGTTTTCCTTCTTGGATACATGGTTTCTGATCAACACCATGACTTTTTCTAATACCAGTGGAAAAGAAAATATAGTCAACATTTGAGCTACCTTTAGAATGACATGTTGTAACCTCGGGTGTACCATCTCTAGAGTAGTGTGTATAAACACTTTTTAGGTACCATGGAATGGATAATAGACCATTTTTTGAGTACTTTTCCTGTTTGTTTGCAGATTTGCTGCATTTAGGAGCAGATTGGTCAACTTCCTCAGAAACAACTACTTTGTCCACAAGTCTTGCTGTTGTTTTTACATCATTTTTTGTTGGTTGACATTTCAAATTATTCCATTTTGTTTCTGAACCATTTTCACCATCTTTGTTTTCACTGAGTGCATTTCGCCATTGGCAATTGCCAGAAATACCAAACTCCCAGGGAAGCAATGGATAGCAAATATTTTTTGAATATGAGCTTCTTTTTGCCTGTGATTGAGTTAACTGTCCTGATATCATAGCAGGTGACAATAAAGTATAATTTAATTGTCCACTAACAAGAAAACGATAAAGAGGAGAGTAGGGTGTACTGTTAAAATCACCACATAATATGACAGGGCAGTGGGTTTCAACATGACCATCAACAGTCAATGATACTTTATGAATCTCTGCAAAGAGATAAGCTAACTGAGCAAGTTTTATATCACCACGGTTTTTGTTAAAAAGCAAATGGGTATTGGCAACACATAGGAAATGATCCTTTGTTTGAGCATTGGCTTTAAGCAGTAGAATAATTCCAACATTATCTTTATCTAAAACTGGAACATTTGGAGTAAAAAACTTGACTTGTGTATGTTTGACCAAAGTGAACTTTTCTCTTTTAAAAAATGTAGCACATCCATCAGATTTTCCACCAGTTCTTTGGTTGAAAAACCCTGTGTAACCTTAAGAATGTTGTAAAATGATCATCAACTTACATACATTTGTCATTTATACAAGCATTTTACAACAAAAAGTTTTATACCTGCTTCTTTTAGTTTAGGAAAAAACCACTCTTTAAAATGCAAAGCATCAATTTCTTGTAGGCACAAAATCTAAACCATTGTACATGTTAGAGTTTAGTGTCACTTAATCCCCCTAATGATGCTTACTTACCTCAGCATTATAACTTAACAGCTCTGCAAGAAGCTTTTCTTTTCGATTACACCAGGCGAGATCTTGTTCATCACAATTTTGATAAAGAAACATATTTTCGTGCAACAATGAGTTAGAAAGCAAGTTGTAGGTTACCATTGAGAAAATAAATCCTTTTAACATTTTAAGGTCACTGTTTACGGGCAAGGAATGCCACCTTCGATACATATAAGCACCAGAGTTAGAGGAATCTGGCCTTTTGAACTGCTTTTTCTCATGGTAATCTGAACTGGAAGGTTGATGTGGTCTGCTATAATTCCTAAACAAAGGTCTGGGATGCGAGTGCATTTGAAATGGAAACCATTCACCCCGATACATTGGTCTTGGTGGATAAAAGTTAAACATAGGACGAAAGTTTTGCAATATATGGCCTTGCTGTAAAAATAAGTGCCTTTGATTGATGTTACCAGCTGGCGTCACATTGCTAGGTCTGGGAAAGACATTAAGGTGTTGTTGATGATGTGCTTGACTAGCAGTAGTGGAAGTTGATCGATAACGTCTGCTGTGGTGGCTTTCGCTAAAAGTTAATTGGAAATTGCTGCTTTAAAAACCTGCTTCACACTTCACAATACTTTGAACAAACTGTGCATACCTCGACATTTTGTGGCGCGATAAATGTGTATTTCTTTCATACTGCGAGTTTCGCATTTTCGTTGAACAAATGACATAAAATTATGATTACACTTAACTAGCTATCGCGATATCACTCTATTTTATCCATAATTTTACCATCAATGAATCAGCTCAAGTTTCTATATGGTATCTATTTACCAAATATATTATAATAGTTTGCATAATTAGATACATAACATTATCAATATTTGTTGAACACTGAGCTATAATGGAACTATTATAATGTTATAATAATTATTTCGCTTTCAATGATTTTGAACAAATAACACTGAATGTAAAATCTTTAAGAAAAACCATGGAGAATACATCGCCTATAATCAATATCCAAAATAACTAATTTTCTACTTCCTTGAGGTGATTTACATATAATTCATAAGCCTCAGCTGAACTCTCCGTTTTGAAAGTTTCGATGTTATGGTTATGTTTAGGCTTAGGAAGAACTTAATTTCTTTTGCATTATCCATTGCATTACTTCATAAGGAAATGCTTAACAGGTCCAGTCATTGGTACCAGTCATTGGTGCCATTGCGTCATCAACACAGAATCGTCATCAATCAATTACCGTGTTGTCATGACAACAACTGTAAAAATAATTTTAAACTGACGAGAGTATAAGAAGAGTACATCAAAGCTAATAGATTATTGTTTCATTGGAAAATTAAATAAAAAAAAAACACTTGAACGATGACTAGTAACTCAGAGTTTTACAGAAAATCGAATAATGTGAAAATGCAGAAAAGAAAACGAAAAAATATTCCTACTGAAAACGAAATGATCTATACCGCAGTTACTTTGAACGAAAAACCACTAGAACTCACTGTAATGGAAAATGGAAAGACAAAACCAGAGGGTAGTCTAATTATTTAACAGCTATAGCATTACTATTTTCATAGAACAAAAAAGAAGTGATAATAATATTTCATTTTGTTATTAGTTTTCAACTTTTGTTTGAATGATCAATTTTTCTAGTTGAGGAATGCTCTAAAGCTGAGAAACATCTTAAAGCTCTGCTGTCAATCGATACATCGAATGGTAAATGTAAAAACCCGATGAATAGCTCGTTTGATAAAAGTTTGACTCTTCTAGGTAAGTTGATATGCTCTTGCGATGATTTATGTAAGGCTGAAACTTTGTAAGAAAAATTTTAATCTTGTTTTCATTTGTCTTTGTAAAGCTGTTGACACAGCCCAAGAAAGCAGAAAGACAAAGAAGAATTTGTCAACTTCGCTGTCTTTTACATCAATCGATAGCAAGACTGACAATGAAGATGAGCTTGAATTTAGTTACGATTCCATATTTAAAAATTTTGAATTCCAAGATGAAAGATATAATGAACTTGGGACGGATGATTTTGTGTTGGATCTTGACGATAACTTGATGAAGGAAAATTTGCTTATTGAACACGAGGTTTGTACTGTCCATCGATATTTTAGAAAGCTTTGTATTTGGCAACGACTCAAGCTTACTGCCACGAGATTTGACTGCAATTGATCTGGGCTCCATACAGATAAGTTGTCTTACTCCTAGTCAAAACAAAAATTCTCTAATGTTTCCTCGAGGGTGATAGAGTAGTTAGCATGATGATAATGAAATTCTCGCTTGTCTTTTTAGAAACTAATTAAAGAAGTTGAAAAGCTTGAGGTCGAACTTAAAAAACAGTTGAAAAACTGTGAAGGGTTGGAGGAATCGTTACGTCAACTCGAGTATGATAACAATTATTTGCAAGATGAAAATAAGGATCTTATAAAGCATATAACAGTAAAAGAAGATGAAATTTCAGCGTTAAAGGATGGAGTAAAAGCTTTGGAAGACATTTGTGCTGACTTGACTCACAGAGAAAATGAACGCAAGAAAGAATCATGTTTGAAGTTAGACGACTTAAAAAGCAAGCTTTTAGCAAAAGAAGATGAACTTAGACTAGTCAAAAAACGGCATGATTGTGAATACAACGAGTTAGCAAAAAATCATGGATCATTTTTGACCAAAATCCTTGCTGAAGTTGAAGAGATGGGCGCTACGTTATATAAAGCGTTGAAGAGTTTGACTGCAAAAAAACCTGAGCATTTCAAAAGTAAAAACGCGTTGGAGTTCTTAAAGCATTTGAAAAAATCTGTCAATAGTTTGGCGGATCAATCCAGTGAACTGGATTTGAAGATGAAACAACTTAAGCTTGACTATGAAGCTCAGACTAAAACACTGAACAAAGTCAGCAACGAAAAGAAACTGCTGCGAAAAGAAGTCGATGAGATTCGCAAAAAATGAGGCACATAATAAAGAGAACGCAAAAATCGAACGGGAAAAAGAGACGGTAAAACCGAATTGACAAGAACGAAAAACTTGTTGCAAACAACGAAATTTCGTTTGGATGAGTTTAAAGCCAATGCTCGAACGACAAAACGAGAAAATGAAAGCGTGCTTCAAGAAAAGCTTGATATTGAAACAGCATTAAAAAACTATGGCTTTAACATCAAGAAATTGTTAGAAAATAAAGACGACCCGCTTTTCAATATTCCAAATTATTTGAACAAAATAAATTTGAAACATGAGATTTTTGGTGAATTATGCAAAAACAGATTTTGCCTGAAGACAATAACGAAGCTGATGTTGGACAGTAGTTTGGACCTTAATTCAATTGTCACAATGTTACAGTGCTCCTGCGGCTGTTACGAAAGTAATGAAACAAAAAAAATTTTGTTTGAAAATACTAATTTCCTTGCAAAGTTATTAGATTGGTTAAAGACAATAATCATAAACAAAGATGAAAAAGTGGAAATGCAGGAGGCGCAAGACATTGAATTGAAAGAGGACGTAAGTGAACATAAAATATTGTCAGAAAATGATGACACAGTGAAAAAGAGTTATGTGAAGATAAAATGTCTCCTCTTCAAACATGGAAAATTGCATTGACCAAGCTGAGAACACGAAGTCCATGAGTTGGAACACAAAAATAATCATTCAGGAACTTAAAAGAGTTTGCACCCTGCTCGAACATGTCACCAACATCGGAGAGGAAGAAGGCTTTATTTTGATAAATGCCTTTTCTATATGGCTTAAGAAGCTGTTTGAGCACTCCTGTGATTCCATACTTATGTAAGTGGGGTCATGTTTTCAAAAAACTTTATACTTAATATGAAACAATTGATTTACCAAGTTTCTTTGTTTGATCAAAATAAGCAGGAATAAAATATGTGTTGTATATATATATGTGTTATATATAAACATATTTATATATATTAATAAGAGCATTTAAAAATACTAACTTTTTCTTTTTTTTTTCAAAAGTGAGACCAAGGATGAATCAATAAACATAGACCATGTGTTGCCTGAGTTTAAAGATATCGCTACTAAACCATTGAATACAAACTTATCACAGCTGATATAAGAATTAAAGATCTTCAATCTGTTTTGGTAAAGAAAATTGCTGATGCACAAAAAATGCAATTAAAGATTGAAGATACGCTTTTGAAGAACGAACAACGTCCTGCCTTCAACTCTACTGAACAAAAATTAAGCAAAAAGACGAAAGGAATAGGTTTTCTGAACTTCATAAGACGAAAAAACGAGAAGGAAATCGACAATAGCAAGAAAGATATGAGCAAATCTGTATACCTCAATGAAATCCACGTTTTAAACCATCTAGACTTGGTGTATTGTAAAGAAAATCTTTGTTCAAGTATTCACACAACGATAGAAGTGGAAAAACAAATGCAGAGATTCAGCAAAGGGATAATTACCTTTACCAATAGATTAAAAGCAAACTGCAAAAAATCGTTCATTGCTGCAACGAACAACGAGTCTCGAAAAGAAATAAAACACTTGCTTCAGTCGAAAAAGAAAGACTCTGATATTCTGATGAATGAGTGGAATATTAAAGAGTTCGTGCACGCTCGCCTTTTGAGAAAACAAATCACATCCCTTGAAAATGAAATTAAGGCATCCACGACAAGTTTGCAAGCATACGAAAAAAATTTAAAAAATCTTATTCCCAGGCCAATGTTTTTTCTGTCACCAAGGTTTTATCAAGTTCCTCAATAAAGAAACATATCAGGGACAGCATTGACAACCATGACCCTATATTGTATTGAAAGAAACAGTAAATTAAAATAATATGAGCAAAGAAAATTTTCTGCTTCTCTGAATTTATAGATGTATTGTATTCTGAAAATAAACTTTTCAAAAATGAGAATTTTTTGCATGCATTCTTATGTGGAAGTCAACAAAGTTAAAATAAAACGCAACACAAACATACTGTGGACAAACTTATATATTCTTCCTATCAAATCAACACAACAGCTTATACCCAGTGTTATCCCTTATACCCATATATGCTAATATCACACTGATCCAGTGCACTGATCAACTTGACACGGACGCAAAGACTGGAAACAAGTTTGATTTTCGCGCCATGGCGCCATTTTGATTATTAATTTAGTACGTTTGTTGATTTCATAAAATCATTTTAACGAACAACATTTTCAAAATACAATATATACTGAACAATTCGTACTAATTTCCTATTTATTTTTGAGGATCTTTTGACGTAATAATGTCATCCAAAAAATTTGAAAGCAACGAAGTTTCAATGATCGATGTTTTAGAAGAAGACAAAGAACTTGAGGAAGAGGCCAACGCTGTTTTTGGTGATAGTGATGACCAAAATTGTACATATGTTAAGGTATTGTATGAACTATGTTTATTTAGGTTTATCATGCACTAATAAAGGACATATTTTGTTGTATTGGTAAAAGAAAAATTGTTATTGAATTATTTCAAGTTTCAACATTCTTTGGAAATAGCATCAGAATGATGAAATCAAGATTCTAACATATTTAAAGTTTGTTTTATTTTCCGCCTCTGGTGCTTTATCAAAGCATAACATTTTGACAAGTTGTATATAACATGTATTTTATTATGTTTTACATACAATGATATATATTTCATTAAACAACAAATAAATCTTCAATGGATGGTTGAAATGTTTGACTCAAAATGATCTCCTTTCTCATATTATGACAGGGTTATGTAAAGCGTCAAGCTCTATATGCTTGCCTTACTTGCACACCTGCAACACCAGATTCTGCATCTGCGGGCGTCTGCCTTGCTTGCAGCTTATTGTGTCATGATGATCATGAACTCGTTGAACTTTATACCAAAAGGTATAGTTGAAATATATGGTCTTGTGTCTATTAAATTATACATAACATGATATTTAATTTTAGGAATTTCAGATGTGACTGTGGCAATGACAAGTTTCCTGATTTTAATTGTAGACTTGAGAAGGTTAGCTGATGTTGATTTTTTGATTTATGTATTGTTGATGGTCTATATTTTTTCACTCATTATTTTTTCCCGTAGATTAAGGATCCTATAAACATACACAATAAGTATAATCAGAATTTCCAAGGTCTTTATTGCTTGTGCCATCGTCCATACCCAGATCCAGAAGATGAGGTACATACATGTACAAACATGTACACAAATAGAACTTAGTGCAGTATTGATGTATGCAAAATGTTTTTTGATGTAATTGAACATGGATTTGATGTATTTTTTTTGAATAATTGTAGATTGAAGATGAAATGATTCAGTGTATTTGTTGTGAAGATTGGTTTCATTCCAGGGTAGGCAGTAAACATTTTAAATGTGATTGGTTCATTTGTGGTCACCTGACTTACTTTAACAATAAATGTAATGTTTTTTTGCCATGGAAACAAGTGAAAATTGTTGCCAATCTTTTGATATCAAAACAAATAACGCATCTATGGAGCAAAAAGCAAAAACAATTTTTCTTAAGTTTATTAAATGATGAAATTCAACCATTATAGAAAAAAAAGGATTCAGAGAACTCTCAGAAGTCAACAAAAAATTCTGATGTCACCCTTATAACATTTGTAACAAAGTTTCTCCTCACGAATCTTCCCTTAAAGATGTTGATTTTATTGAAGAGCTTTTAAAATCTATGGTCTTTATACCAAAATAACAAAACATTTAATGTACATGCCTAAGGAGAATAGCAAGTTTTGTTTTGCCTCAAGTCTTGTTTCCTTCCTGGGGAGTTGTATGTAACTTGAATATATTTTTTAACCTACTTGATGAAATTTACAAAATTGCATGAATTTGTCACCCATTTTGTACACCATAATTAAAATAACAATAACCTCATAGTACTGTGATATTTTTTTCATTGTTTTTGTAGCATCTTGGTAACTTGCCTCCTTTTGATGGTGATTATACTGAAATGATCTGTGATCATTGCATGGAAAAAAATGATTTCCTTTGTGTATACAGGCCATTCTCAATCCCAAGTCAAGAGTTATGCACTATCAGGAATGGTGATACATCGAACAATGTTGATGTTGAAGAAAATAAACTTGAATCAAAACATTTTGAAAACAATTCTGCTGATTTAGTTCATTCAAGAAGTAATGCTGATGTTCTTGCAGACAAAGAGGTGAACTAATATGAGTTTTAGTAGAAACAGGATTTAAACAGGATGGCAGATTTGTTGTTTCTGCTCTTACAGATACTGCGGGCATCAGAAAATAACATAAAACGAAAGTTAGTAAAAAACCAAGAAGACGGAGATCGATTTTGCGAAGGAACGTCGTCAAAGAAATTTTGTGATGATGAAAACTATTTGAGAAACAAAAACGATAGCTGCATCTTTGAAAAACTTAGCAAGAATGTCGAAAAAAAACTTGGATGCACATTTTGGAATAATGGCTGGAGGTCTAGGTTATGTATTTGTGAAGATTGCAAGGTAACTTTTCATGATGTTAATTACGTCATATAACCTCGTGTTACGTCAAATTACGTAATATTACGTCATATTAAACTGTGTTACGTCAAATTACTTCATGTTACGTCATATCACGCTTTTCGATCTAGCGCTTAGTGCTGGTCTGAAAATGCACTGAAAGAACTTTGTGAATTACTTGTTTCGTGCGTGTTTAATGATTATATTAAACGTTTACTTGATAATATCATCTAAATGTTTAATATAAAGTCAGAAGTTCATATAACGTTTTAAGAAGGTCAGAAGCTCGTGTTTTCATTTAACAATCGTAATTTTGTTACGTTACAGGAAAATATTTTATTTATTATTTAAAGCGTATGTATAAAGAAAAAGACGTGGAATTTCTTATGGATGAATCGGATACAATAAAAGCTTACGAAGATCGCGGTCAATCACGACGAGAAAATCAATCTAGCAGTTACGATTCAGGTCTGAATGCTTTGAACAATCTTGGAAGGGTCCAACAGATCGAAATATTACATGGTAATTATCCTAAATATAAACGCTTTCTTAAAGCTGTTTCATTTGCTTTTTCATTTGAAGTGTGTTCGTATGGCTGCGTTGCACATTCATACATTTTCGCTCTTTTTAACGTCAATTCACCAGGAAAATTCACCCTCAGTAATTTTTCAAATTCTTATAGGTTACCATGATATGAAGAACCAACTTACGAGTTACTTGGCTGATTTTGCCAGAGAAGGAAAAGTACGCTTTGAAAATCTTTGTTTAACAATATATTTTATTTTTTTAATTTCTTTACCCAGGGTACCTTCATCAACTTATATAGCTGCTCTCTCTAAGCTCCCTGTTTTCTACATTTATCTGCCCCTTAAGAACTTTTTGAATGACCAACTTCCATCCATTTTTTAGATAATCATTTCTACAAAAGGGTATAGCTGGTATAAGCTATTTCCCACTTACTATCACAAACAAGTATCTACAACTTTCATCAATTACATTTTTTTTGTATGATTTGATTGTATTTAGACTGTTACTAAAGAAGACATTGAAAGTTTCTTTGAACAACTTCAAGCTAAAAGAAAGAAGGACTCACACATTCTTCATCATTGTAGATAGCTCAAGATCATTTGACTTGAAGCCATCATGACTGATCTTATTCAGTGCGAAACACACATAGCAGAAACTTTAAACTATGTAAAAGCAAAATGCTAAGAGACTCTAGCTGTTTTTGAGAAAGATTTCATGTAATAAAGTTTTCATACTACTAGTTCCAGTCCTTTTTACTTTCGTCCACACGATGACAATTCCATCATATGTGACAATTGCTAAAATACAAGATGGAGGACATTTCTACCATTTAAGGCTAATATTATCTTTTTGGTGAATCTCTGTGCGAGTTTCATGTAAACATGATAATGAAAACGTCCTTTGCTAAGGGAATGAATGAACTTCAAACATGAAAACTGTAGATCACAGTAATAAGGACTCATTTGTGGTTCAAATGCCAAGTTATCTAAACAGTGACGGAGTGCAAATGTTCAGACAACGTGTGCAAGTAGACATTGCAGGTCTGTTGACTATTTTAGTAAAAAATACCATTTTTGATGTAAAAAAAAATAAAAATTTCCGAACAATTAAATAGCGCTTTGCAAGCTTAAGTGGAAAACGTTTTCAACACAGTATAATCAAACAGCTTTAATGTTTGTATAAATCTTGAATTGTTCAATGCGTTTAATTTAAGATAGTTAACTGTCTTTCAGATGGCAAGAACTCTCATGCTTCAAAAGGGCAACATAACCTTTTGGTTAGTATAAGGTGTTTTAGAAAGTTGGATGTGTTCAAAACAAATTTCAAATATACCTAGAATACAAGAGTTGCAATTTTTAGCAAAGTGAGAGCATGTACGATAAATTAATTAAATTTCGAATTTTGTTGTACATTATAAATTTTCCAGTTTGGTGTGATGAGCATTGGTACTTTAGAGAAGTTTTCCTACATTACTACATTGACACCATTTTCAAACTCTCCGTTGAAACTTTGTGTAGTTGTAGTAGAGTTAAAATATATTTATTCAAACTTAAATTTGGTTTGTAGAGTGCCATACAGCCTTTTAAAAAGAATTCATCAAAGTTAAATAAAGCCATAAATGAATTTTTGAAATCTGTGTTGTCTGAGAAGCAAGTATGAAATCATTTTTGATTTGTGTGTTGGTAATTAAACAAAATTTTTTTTGATTTATGTCTTTTTGTGCAAGTATGAAAATAAGTGATCAGGTTAAATTATTATTCTTGTGTACTCTTTTATATCTCTTTTATCAGACAATTTCCTCAAATAAAGATTTTTATTAGACAAGCATTTATTTATATATGAAACATTAAATTCTTACGAGAAAAATAGTGTCAAAGTAGACACCATTTGATACTGCTCTACAACATTAAATTTTTGTTACCTATAATATTGAATATCTTTTTAGAGCTGGAGAATTATCTATCTTGGCTGTCTTAATATAATATGCACCATCATTTTGTTTTCTTATTGCAAGAGTTCAAATAGCATGGGTATTTTGCACATGGTTATTTCATTATTTGTAAATCAACATATATTGATAGTTAAAATCTTATTGATGATATCTTCTTTTCTAGCATTGACTGCATTTACCTACATTACAGTATTTGATTTTCTCAGGTTTGTAATTTTTACACTTTCTTTTTGCATCATTGAATATTTTATGATTTTCTTAGTGAGTTGTTTATTGTTTGTTTTATAGTTTATTCACTTGCATATTGTCAATCTGGATTTCTCTTCAAAAACCAAGCTCAAAGTTTACATTTGGGTTCGATATATTCATGGAGATATTAATAACTTTGAAGTTTTTCATATTTGTCAGTGTAATAAAACTCTCATTTTCAGTTATGCAAGGGTTCAAGTTTTGGCTGTGTTTGCCTCAACCATTTTGGCTGTTTTTGGAGGCTTGTTTGTTATCAAAGAGAGGTACAATTTATATAGTTCACAATATCTTGATCAGTTTCTTACTTTGTCACTCATTCTCTTTCACATATTCTCTGTTGTATTCTTCTGTTAAGCTGATTGCTTACATCATATACTAGCAAAAGTGTTATTGAATGTAAATGATAAATATAAAATAGTGTTAGGCACTTGTTAGGCAGTTGAAAACATTAATTTTTATAATGTACTTACTGTACAAGTGACAAAACTACTTTCACTAGACATAAGCAATTATTCAAAAATTATCATTCTGTTTAGCATGGAAAGACTCCTTATTCCACCAGAAGTAACAACGTAAGTAGACAGCTAGCATCATTATCAGACTCTATAATAAAATTTCAATGAATGTACTTTATACTTTAACGTTTAGTCATCACGTGGTCCTTGTCACGTGTTTTGGTTTGTTGGTCCATTTAATCGTTACATACGGAACAAAAAACGAGCCGTTTGAACAAGTTTTAAAAGGTTTTGGTTCGTTTATATTTTTGATTGTTCCAAGTTTAGGCTTTACTAAAATTCTTGTAAAACTTACGTAGCATCAACTTCAAATTGGCTTCAAGATGCTCTCATGGATTTGGGACATAGGTATGCATCAAAGACCGGAGATTGTTCCTGATGAGCAAGTAAACCTTGCTGCAAATACACAAATTTATTTGCTTGTTCGAGTTTCATCAAAGTTCATTATTTTACAGCATATGTGGTGTGTTCCCACCGTTAGGAAATTTTCTTATTGCAAAAATCAATCCGCTTGCTCTTGTCGCCATTGTTGGTGCAATTGCTGTCATTTTTACGACGGTTGTTATCGATTTCAAGTAAGAATGCCAAAATTTACTGTCTGTCGCGATTGGTGACAATATCATTGATATACTTCTTAATTATTTATGTTTTCCAGCAAATATTATCTTTCCGATACCTTGGCCGCTGTAACCATTGCATTGATCACGTGGGGAACCATGTTGCCATTGGTCATATGTAGTGGTCGTGTTTTATTGCAGGTCAGGAACCCCCCCCGTACACTCTCTCTTGAGTATTTGTAAACTGGTGACTGGTTGCTGTCATAGTTTTGGTTTTGTCTTAAATGCATGAAAATAACGCTTACTATCGCTAGAGATTTTTGAGCTTTGTGCTTATGGTACACCCTAGTTAAAGTGATTGACTCTTACGAAACTATTCAGTTGGCTGTAAGTAAGAAATTCATCTTGTCCAGGAAACTTGTGAGCACCTTTTTGTCTTTTACCATAAAAATTTGCTTTATTACAATAAATTTATTCAATAGACATGTCCTCAAATTACAATGAGTCAAGTTGACAAGTGTATGAGAGAGGTTGGCGTCTTATTCTTGTATTTTTTATAAATTGACCTTAAGGTTCATGTATACAGATAATTTGTGATTTTAGGCTTTGACGCTTGATGGAGTATTAGAATTTCGCAATGAACATTTCTGGAGTTTATCGTTTGGAAAACTAGTGGGTATTCAATACGAGATGGATTGTTTTCCATAACATTAAAACCATTAATCACTTCTAGGTCGGGTCGTTACATGTTCGCGTCAGAAGAGATGCAGATGAACAGGTAATTGACTATATGAAAGCCTCAATCCTTTCAGGTTGTTTTTCTAAACTTGAAATTTGTCCTTCTTTATTATCATTACTTATTGGAAATTTAAGATTATTTGTCTTTCTTGTTGAAGCTTGTTCTTGCGCACGTAACAAACAAACTTGCTGCTTACGTGACGGATCTCACTGTTCAAGTATTTAAAGAGGACTGGAGTCGAACGGGTGGTTCGATGAACTCCGTTTTGATGCGTCCTCAATGGTCTTTGAATCCCCTAGATCATACTCCTCGCGTGCTTTCTCACGGAATCGCACCAGCCTCGTGATATTAGTTTAGGAAATACTTGAAATAATTGTGGTCGTAATTTTTAAGATCTTTTATTTATAAAGAATCTAAATCGTATGTAATCAATAAATGTTCAAATTCCAACCAACGTATTTTCCTACCGTGGCTCTTGCTATGACGTCATTGATCTTTCAGTTGATGGAAACGAGTGACTTGTTTCCGACCCTTTCGTCTACACCTGACGCGCTAATTAAAACTTGCGTAACTTCAAGAACCGAAAGAAATAAGGCGGCCTTTCTTGAAACTTATTATTTGTCCAATTCAAGTGAATTTTACTGGGAAATTTTATGGTTAGTCTAAAAGTTTTAACTCTGATGAAAGCCTGGTTATATTGCTGCGTCATTAACACGACGCTTTAGTTTTGCAAAGCTTTGAGTCAAAAGAATTTGTCGATATTAAAGTAACTGATATATGACTGAATGGGTGCATTCCTTGACAAACCGAAGGTAGAAAAGCGTACAAACTCTGGTAAAGGCAATGGATTACGATTTGCCACATCGGCAATGCAGGGTTGGCGTGTTGAAATGGAGGATGCTGATACTGCGAAAATAGGATTGCCAAAAGGCTTTGATTCTTGGTCTTTCTTCGGTGTTTTTGACGGACATGCTGGTGCTTATGTCAGTAAATACTGCTCTGAGCATCTTCTTGATGCGATCATGTCAAACGAAACCTTTGTTAAGGCCGCTGAGAAACTACAACAAAACGGCCAACAGATTTCAGACGATTCAACGGATGTTAAAGAGGCCATTAGAGTTTCCTTCATAGATTTGGACAATAATATACGTAACACAATAAATGAAGGTGAAAAGAGTGGCTCAACTGCTGTTGTCGTTCTCGTTTCTCCTTCTCATGTGTATTTTGGCAATTGTGGTGATTCGAGAGCAATTTATTGTCGTGATGCGAAGCAAGCATTTGCTACGGCTGATCACAAACCCATAAATCCTGAAGAAAAAAGTCGAATAGAAAAAGCTGGTGGAAGCGTAATGATTCAACGTATTAATGGCTCACTCGCTGTTTCACGCGCTCTCGGTGATTATGAATATAAGATGGAGAAACAGCTCTCAGCCACTGAGCAACTTGTTTCCCCTGAACCAGAAGTTTCGTGCTTTAAACGAGAAAGCGACGACGAATTCTTACTTTTGGCTTGTGATGGTGTTTGGGATGTGATGAGTAATGATGAAGTGATTGCTTTCGTAAGAGCGAGAATGGCTGTTTCGGATGACTTAGTTTTTGTTTGCAATGAACTCATGGATACATGCTTGGCAAAGGTATGAATTACTTACAAATCAATGAATCATTCTCTTACTTTAGTACTTCTGAAATGTATATTTTGTATAATTTTTATTGAAGATTTGGCGTATTTAATATGAAATTGACAGTGGATGCCATTTTGTGTTTGTTGCTTTAAGGCTTTTAATTACAAATACTTTAAGTTTTCCATTACAATTTCATGGATATTTCAATGTGTAAATCTCCTACACAAACAATCTAGAATTTTTAAAAGTTCCCACAAAGTTCTTTCTTTACAACATATCTTTTTGCTGACGTTATCTTTTAAAATTGCCTTTACAATTGCGGTTTCTTGACCCATAAATATATGCCATTCTCGCCTTTAGACATTTAAACATTTCTTAGCTATGGCAGGCTATGGATTATGAATAGTTATAACTCATTAAACTTCATGTTTCAATTATCTTTGATTTACATTTTGACATAAATGTTGATATTTCAGTCTTTCATATCAAATCCGGAAATTTTGAACCCTGTTGCTTCAAAACGTTTTATTTCTGTACCATTTCTATTTATAACGGTTGATTATAAACCTTGCACAACAAAATTTCTTTTTCTTTAAAACATTTGTTGCTTGTATTTTAACACTGTTAAATGTTTGATTTCGTTTAAACAAAGTTTAGTGATGCTTTTCATTTTTTATTCGAGATTATCAATTGCTGTTGCTTTCGTTTTAAAAATTTGAGTTTTTGCCAGCTAAAAAGTATGAATCAAAGTTTGTTTAATGATTTAATTCATTTTTCTCTTCAAGGGAAGTAGGGATAACATGAGTGTCATCATTATTGCTTTTCCTCAAGCACCTTCGCCAAACCCGGCAGCAATTGAAAATGTAAGTTTTATTAAATTTTACGTTTGAAGTGTTTGGTTGATGGCTTTTTAAATTAAAATTTTGTATGCATTATTTTGATGTTCGTGGTTCAAAACATATAATCAATACATTTCCCCCAACACTGAAAATATGATGTAGTGAATTTTTATTTGATCCATCATCAGCATTTACAGTGAATGTTTTTATAAAGGAAAAGAAATTGAACAAATCCCTAGAAGAAAGAGTTCGAGGTAATTTAAGCCAAACAATTTTTATCATGAATGAATTAAATTATATTTTGCAAGATTGGAGTTGTAAGTTCTTTAAATCATAACTTTTTAATTGAATTTTGAGATTTTTTATTTTAGACATTTCATCAACTTGTAGTTCAGAGGAGCTTGACTTGACCCACATTATGCAGACAATTGCCAATGAGAAAATTGAAGGTCTCCCCCCTGGAGGAGGCTTATCCTCAAAGTAAGTTGTGAATTTTTCTTTTTACATCTTTATTTTGTAAAATTGTGTGAAATAATGAGAAAGAGAATGGTTTTTTCTGGATCAGAGGATTATATTTTTTGTTATTTTTTTTTGCAGACGTAATCTAATTGAAGAAACATTAAACAAAGTGAAAGTTGAGCGTGGCATGCAATGTGAAACATGAATTGTTTTATTTTAAATTGGCATTCTTGGTAAGATTTAAACACTACAATTTTTCTGTATTGCCAAAGTTTAAGATGGAATCCTTTAAATTTAGATTATCATTGAAGAAATGGCAACAACATGGTTACTGGTATATTGTAAAAAAGAACTAAATATCATTTCTCCATTTCTATTGTATTTTAGTTATGGTTTATGAACTACTTACAATTTTCAGTCACCATAAACCTTGGTGTCATTCAATCGCTGATTTTATTTTTTAAACTTCTGAAACCCTCAGACCAGTTCTAACATCTGTCATGACTTTTCTCCTCTTACAATTAGATTCAGATCATTGTTTTTGTGCGTGGACATTGAATGTAGAAATGGAAAAAGAATTTTTGCAATATTTGTTTGTCAAAGGAGTTTCGTCAATAGTGCTCTTACAAAACTATTTTCAGTACTATTTTTAAAAGTTTCAAAACAAACACCTTTATAAAACGGCCAGGAGAAAGTCATGCACTCTATATACTCTGTGTTGCAGCTTATCTGCCTTTAAAAAACTGGCCTCAGCTCATTTTTGACAATGACAGGTTGGAGGTTTCAGGTGTGTTTGTGTTTGCCTTACAATATACTGGCTTGAGACGTGTTTCATTCCTCATGTTGTGTATTTATGATATGAAACTCAATTTTGCCATGGATTATACAAACATTATTTATTTTATGTTTTAACTAATGTCATTGATGTGTGGAAAAACAATCTCATGCTAAACATCTGCATTGTCTTCATTTACAAAGATTTCTATGTAAACTTTGTTTAACTATAACAGAAAGAGAATCAGGCTGACATACAGTGCTCATGACACATTTTCTACACCGATCAGTGACGTGATGTGTCTGCCATTTTGTGGTCATAAATCTCATCAGTTGTTAGATAACAAAGTGTGAAATTGTTTTGATGTGTTAATTCTGAGATTGCTTTTTGGTTAACTTTAGCAGTAACTCTTGTCCAATGTTTGTCGTAAATTTTTTTATTATGCTTTCTTTTCCAGACTTTAAAGCAAGGTCATACGCTGATGCACCAGTTTTGTTTGTTAACTTTGTATTAACACCACATCTACAACAAATACAAATCATCCCCAGGGGGTGGGGTTGAAACATTAACACCACATCTACAACAAATACAAATCATCCCCAGGGGGTGGGGTTGAAACATTAACACCACATCTACAACAAATACAAATCATCCCCAGGGGGTGGGGTTGAAATATTAAACTGTAAGAGACGTCATATGTCTCCGTTTAAATCATCATAAATTAATATAATTTATGTGGTGACTGATTATAGAGCACGCACTTTAATTCATTAGCCATGTTATTTACATGTTTGTAGATGTAGTTCTTTAAGATATAATGCAGTTGTGAGAACGAAAGTTGGTTGTGCTGTTGAATGATGTTTTTACAACCTTAGCTTGCTGTAGTCATCTTCAATTGTTGTAACGTTACTCAACACAAAAATAACATGGACGATCAGCACTAACTTTGATCGGCATTTACATTACTATGTGTTGATAGACACAACTCACAAAATTCAAAGAATCGCTAGTTGATACCAACAAAGAAATTTCTACTCAACGTGAAAACAAGCTCCTAATGTTTGCGTGTCAGTCCTGCTGCGTTTGCTTAAAGTTGAAAAACTTATCCACCTAAATTGATGTATAATTTTATCAAACCAGGAGGGGAAATTGCTTTTTTCAACTTCCCGAGGGGAGGTACCATCATTCCTATAGCTGTTCCATACAAATTAATGTGTACACGTTGTAATGAATATAACTAGTTACCTTAATAGAACATCGAGACAGTTTTCAACATCAGCGCCTTTCAACACTGCCTCGTGTAACACAGAGTTGCCATTACTAAAACAAATTGCATGAAATATTCAGTATAATTCGTATTGTCTCTTGCCAAGTAAATTTTTCTAGAACAGATTACGTTCGTACTCAGTTGACTGATGATTAAGTTGGGCTCCTTCCTTAACCAACACTGGAATACAGTTCAAGTGGTTGTGCTGCACTGCCATTGACAAAATCCGCATACCTTTCGAGTTTTCTGCGTTTACATCAGCACCCTACATGACAGAGAAAATCAAATGAGAATCCGACAATTACGATAAAGGTTAGATTCATAATGCACGTTCTCTGCACAACTACCTCGTTTAAAAGACGTTGTACGTTTTCTGGGTTTCCTTCTCCAGACTGTCCAAGCTCCTCAAACAACAATCGCGTTTCATTCTATGTATAGAATGTGAGAAGTAAGTGGAATGTTCGAGAAACTTAGCAGTTTCGTCGATGATTGCTACCGTTAATGTCATGTTTTCTTGAAACTTTTCACTGGATGACTTCTTTTTTGCGCTTTTTTTCTTGATTTTCTTTTTTCTTGACTCGATAAGTTATCTTAGGTTATAAAAATAAAGAAAAGTTATTCTAAACCGAAGGCATCACTTTTCTATCGGAGTATTAACATTTTTAGAGACAGGTTTTTTCCTCGAAAATTGAAACTTACCTGCAAAACGTAATCTTGTTTCCAAAGCGAATGTTTCGCTGTTTTGATAAGTTGTTGAAACTGAAAAAAATCAACCTTGAGGATGAAGAAATTCGAGATTCGTAACATTTTTTGTTTGTTGTCGTTTATGAAAGCGCAAAGTTTTTGCGCTAATAGCAAAATTTAGTTGTACTGTAGTAATCCTGAGTTTTTTAACGTGTTGTTTTCGTAATAAATGTGATGTTCCTTTACCTTGCTCTTCATGTTTTGTTTTACTTTGCCCATCATTCTAAATAAAATCATCGAGACAATCTTAATCATTGATGAAATATTTTAGTATATTATTATGTAATAATTAAAATAATTATATAATATATCTACACGTATTATATATAATTATGACATGATATAAATGATAAGAAGCCAGATAAGATAATCCAGCTTACTTTATTACGTAAGGCAAATGTAACAGACACTGTAATCTTTTCGTCTTCGTAATCTTCATCTACTTTCGTGGCAACTAGCTACATAAAGGCAATAAAAACATATATTTTGTGACTGCCTTTTGCGATTTCGTATTTTTCTTTCAGTGTACCTTTCCCATCTTGGGTTCACCAATTAATTTACGAAATTCTGCCTCGTTTTGCGCATAAGCTCTCAAATGGGAACAGATGTGGTCTATCTGCTGTCGCCAATATCCTGAAGTATCAATGATTCATAATTATCCATAGTTATTCACAGTGATCCCAACAGTAAACGAAAAAGACACAGCCATGTTTTACAATGTGGTAAACTGGGTTTCTTTACAATATTTTTAAATTTTTTTGTTGATTTCAATGATAAAAGCAGGTGTGCCATTTAGTTAATTTCAAAACAACTTTTTTAAAGATTCTCACCCCTTCCAGGACTTACGGCACTAAACAGTGGTTTCCCGTGACGATAATGGTCATTCCGCGCTCTGGTATCTGCCTCTAGCTTTTGCTGCTTTGTAAGTGAAGTACTTGAAGGATAGAACAAACCGCTGGTCTGAGTCGCCTGATTAACAGTCTCGCTAGACAGTCGGGGAACATCAACTGGTATCCATGTTAATGAACAGTCTCCGTTTAGATTCTAGAAACATTCACTTACATCAGGTATAATATTTACAAGTTTTGCTATTAAACTAGAACTAACCATTAAGATTGAATAAGTCCACATGTCAAGGAGTAAATATTATTTACCTTTTCTATTTGTTTTTTTTCAACTAATGTTGCGAGTACAGAATTGGCACTAGAAAAGAAGTTTGTAGATTACTACCCTTATACGTGCGCACTTTAGAGAAGAAAAAGGATGCAATTGTTTTCTTACCACCTCCGCGGTGGTGCGTCGATAAGACAGCCGCACATTGAGCAATATTTTGAGTAAGGTTGGTTATTTCCATTACAATTTGAGCAAGTAAGGTAGCTGGCATACGGCAGTGGCTAAAATTGGAAATCAATGTTGCAATGACGTTTTTCAACGTAATTAAACTCGTTTAAGTCTTAAATCTCTTTTTCACCTAATCAAATCTCCAAGTTAGCACTATGACAAGTCCTCGTGATATAAAAAATCAATCATTGAAGATCATTTCTACCTTAGATCCACACCAATCACAAAATCGTGCTTCACCATTGTTTACGCGAAAGCATTTTGGACACGTGATTAAAGGTTCGTTTTCTTGAGGCAGTGGAGGGGTAGTTACATTTCTTGAAAAGTTCTATGAAATATAAAGAAAAATATAACTTTCCTTCACTTCACGGGGTCTTTACGTCAAACAAAAAATTTAATAACCAGAGATGTATTTGGTATTTGCTATGAAAACATTGCTACTTCACAAACAACACATTTAGGAGAATTGAACGACACCATTGAGTGACATGTTTTACAAATGACAAACTACAGATATACACGTAAATAAGAAGTTGAATCATGTTGTGACAATACAGTTTGTCAGTCTTATAACATCTACGTACTTACTTTCTCTGGGTTTGACATAAGAGATTGTGACGTAGATGTTTGTGGCAATAATGACCCACAATCGTTACAGTAGGTAGAATAAGGATCAGATGGCCACGGTGCAAAACAGTATATACATCTAGAAACATACGATTACAGGTGAGTAAAATGAATAGCAGAAAGTTTGACTAAAATTTATCTCGAGTATCCGGAAAAGTTTATTTTTAACCCTACGACAAAACCCATCTTGTCAATCTTCCGTATGTTGAAGGGATAAAAGAAAGCTTTCAATAGAGCGTTGACAAATGATCCTCGTAAGAGTTCTAACTTTAAGATGACTAAGAGCAATGACAACCAATGAATAATAACAACTTGAACTTAAAAAGTTTGCTAATTTTTATTACTTGTTCAACTCAACAACCGATTCTCTTTTCTCTTGACCATCGTCAAAGTTATCTTCATGACTTGGACGATCCAATAAAAGACTCAAATACTGCAACCATAAAATATAATGAAACGAGAATAATCTATGATCAAACAGGAACAACTTAAAATATACGACCATTTCATTAAACTTTTTCAAGTACTTTGCTTTGTTAAAGGAAACTTGTAATTTAAATTTTCTTATCATTGCTTGAGAACAACTTGTTGAATATACCTCAGGAGAGCTAACATCTTTGTTTCGATTAAACCTAAAACATATAAATTGTGTTGTACTATTTACAACCAATAAATAACAAAGCCTTCTTTCGAAAGAAAGGACAATGTGAAACCTTTTGCCATTTGGCTTTTGTTTTCCATGGTTTGGTGGGTTCATATGGCTATCATTCTCATTGGTCCAACTATTCCATTTTGTAAAATTGGAAAGATGATTTAACTGCAAAAGAAAAAGTATTTTATGTACACATGAAATGATATTTTATAAGTATTATAATTTACTTCATCTTGATTTTCATCAAGTTCTTCTAAGATGTCCACTTCATCAGAATGTTGCTGAACACTCTCGTCAACAATAAACCTTTTAGTTACAATGGAGCTTTCTCTGGTTCCATCACTATGAAATGGTTGGAAGGTGAATAATTTGAGAACTACAGATGATCATAGCAATACCCTAAATAAAACACCACCTAACATTTTTTTGTTAGTGCTACATAAACACACCTTGTTGTAGCCATGGCTTTTACCGTTTTTCTACCAGAGGCAAGTACAAATGGTTTGTAGTATCTATATGTAAAGTTTTTTCCAATTGTTTGAAATGGATTTGGCTTTGTTCCATTTGTAGTGTAGTAAATAATGGCCCCTTCAGTATCTAAAGATGAAAATAAGAAATGCACTGGAATTTATTATATTGGATGAAATCATGTAGTGGTGAGTGTTATTTTAATGGTAACTACTGGTATCATTTAAAACATTGGTCATCAATGCAACAGTCAATTGATTGGTTGTTGCTATGACAAAGTAAACAACATTTCCCAATGCGATCACTTTTATAGAACTATTTGAAATTATAAGTTTTTATAACAAATAAAAGCCTTTGTGCACGTATTCAAGATCATAACAAAAAATATGCCGTAAAAATCAAACTTTAAAGTCTTGTTCAAAACTTACCTGAGAGTATTTCTATCGCTGTCCTCGAGTCGATCATGTTTTTACGGCCATTTGAAGGCGGTCGTAATGGAACAATTGTAGGAACTTTTACCATTCCTGCAGTCATTGTTGAAATTGCTATCAATATATATATATATGGCAATCAATCTTTCTACAAAACTGAGAAGTTGAAAAAAATATAACTACCAGCCAATTTCAAATGTAATTATATACACACTTATGTAAATTTGAAAAAATTGTATTCAATAACCCGCAGTCGGGCTGGAGAAACTATCCGTTGAATGGTTTAGGATGTGCGTATAAATAAACATCCCGTAAAAAATCAAAGAAAAGTGATTAGAAGCTGCAATTTTCTCCAATAGATTCCAGTTTTTCAGGGATTTTTTTAAAATGTTCAATGTCATCTTTCAGGTTAAACGACAAATTACAAGCAAAATTGTCTCGTTCCAGACCTCTCTCCTCTGACTTTTGATTTTGTCACAATATCACATAATCATTGGAAAGCAGGTTTTTTTAACGCAGTTCCTTGCAGTTTGCACCAATATTATTTACTATGGGGCAATGGTTTCACAATATTGGCAAGTACGTTTTATATAGCTTTATTTTGTACTGTTTTTGTACTGTTTTAAGATTGTAAGAAAATAATGTATGCTAAGTACTTTTTTGTAGTTTTTCATCACCATTACTCAACCGAAAAGATGTCCAAAGAACCCTTGGGATATTTGAATTGTCGTTTACATTCTTTTTGAGGAAATACAATTGTTTGTAATCTCAAAGATACAGGCCAGCTTCTGTGGAAAACGTTTCAATTTTGTGATGAGTTTACAAAACATTTCAAGAAACTTATTAGTAGCTTTCGTGACCATAAAAGATGACCTAACTTAACAGGATGCGTCTAGCCTTTGGTGAGAGATGGTGAACTATAGAAATCAATCATATAAGGAACTTATTAAGGGAACAGGTTAGTAGAATCTGTTTGCTTTTAAATGAACTTGTGTTAAAACTAAAGAAGCTTTAGATCGCCGCGTGTTAATGTTTCGATGGAAATTCTCCATAAGTCTATCGAAGCTACCATTTTTTCTGGGGGGGGGGGTAAATTGGTTAGTAAATGTTTTCCCCAACTCACCTGATTTTTTCACTTCAACTATACGTCCTTATTTCTTTCACTGGACACAATGAAAATTTTCCCAACTTCAAACCGTCTTCACGCTTTCTTGGTCTGAAAATTAAATTTCCGCCATTCTAAAATGTTATGTTTTGCATGACGCCAGTTAAACGAACATTAACAATGATCATCTTTAATGAAGATAATGCTTGTTCAGATTTCCAATGCATGATTTTTCAATTTTTGAAAAACGAATTGTAGAAAGATTCTTACTCACGTGACTTCAAGATGCATTAAGGAGAAGTGTGATAGACATAAGAAATGAGTGATTATTTTCATATCACGAAATTTCTGTTTTTGGTACTTTGTTTGTGCCTAGTTTGTTTCATATTCTTTCTATTTTAAACTATTTCCTGTTTAGTCGTTATTTGTGATATTTAGGATAAAATAAACATTTTAGTGTTAAATTATTCTTGTTATAATATCTCATGTCTCTAGCTACATGTGAATTAACGACATTCATCAGCATGATCCTATCAACAAGAGAATAAAGCTGTCATCACATTACGAAGCGCGTGTTTTTAATGTTACGACATTATTAATAATTGAAAGTAGACTTTGAGGGGATAGGGCACTACAATGAATTCATCATTAAATATTTTCTAACATTTTCATTACTTAATTTGTGTACGCAAGAAAAAAGCAACTGAACGTGTTAACAATACAATAAGCAAAATGTTTGACCTGGTTCGAAAAACTGCTTCATTTGTTCAGCGAAAATACGTTGCAGACGAAACAATTCAACTCCAAGAAAAAGAAATATCGATTCAGAAATACTCATCGTCTTGCTTTAATATTTATCAGGTACAGTTGAGTTTTTCTACCATGAAAGAAACTGAGTTAAAATGACAAAGTATGAGTGGAGAATTTTTCAATGAACGTGTTCATAAATCTTTTTTGTTATGTCGTTTCTTTAATTTTCATTCGTGTACTCTGTTTAAACAAGCTGTTATTATCGAAGTATTTTGATCGTAATAAGTGATTTAAATCTTACATAGACGTAAAATCAACTAAAGATCAAATATTTTATCAAACAAAATAAGTAAAAGTTCTGACGGTTGATCACTGGCTTAAAAAACTACTACTACTATTCATTGTAATTACATTTTCCTTCATTGTAATTACATTGAGTTTTATCTTAATTAAAGAGGAATAGTTTGGACACCTTTGGACTAATGTCAATATCGTTGACAAAGTTATTTTTATGTTAAGATGACTTATTTTATGTGCTATTATAGACTTGAGTTTTTTTGTCTATTTCATATTGAAATCATCTTGAATTGATCACAATTTTTACTCGCAACCTTAAATCAAAGATTGTCGTTGTCTGTTGTTGCTTTCGTTATAATTTCTTCCCCTTCAAAACTGTCATTAATCTATTTCCCGTTTTGTAAAACACTCATATATCATAAAGTAATTTATTCACACGATGAATTTGAAAATGCATAATTTGAAATCAATTGTGTTTGGATTCTCTTCATTTACTCGGTAAAATTCATGACAAAATGACAAAATTTCTCTATAAAATGGAGACATGCTATACACACACCCACAGGCAGCTGGCTTGGCACCTGGTGAAATAAAAAAAAAACTTATTGAAATGCTCAAATTGAAATATTTCATAAAACAATAATGTTTGCCGACTGCGACAACTGCAGAGGGGGAGAGGCGTGCGAATGTCATTAATGATCCCCTCAGCATGGCAACTCTTGAAGCATTTTATTAAATCTACGTGTATAATATCATTTTTATATTTTATCCTCATGTAAATTAACGGTTTTCAGGCGTGTGTTGTTGGGGATCTGGGCTCAGTTCAATGGTACATTAATGATGGACATGAAGATGTTAACAAACCCGACGAGAATGGCACCACACCATTGTTTTATAGCATTCAAAAGAATCAATTGTCCATCGTGAAAGAACTGATCAAAGCTGGTGCAGGTGATACTTCTGCAGTGAACTAGTCAAATATAACGTTTTTGTGATGAATGCCGTGTTTTTAGATGTCAACATGGTTGCTAGTTTGGAAGAAGGTATTAATGTCACTCCTGTGCACGTGGCAGTCAAGTTCAACCGCTGCGAGTGTTTGAAAATCCTTTTAAATCATGGTGCCGACGCTAATGTACCAAATCAATTCGGACAGACTCCTTTACACTCAGCTGTACGGAGAAAGCTTCGTGATTTGGTCAATGTAATTACTGACACTGTATATATCAAAGTTGGGATCGCAATTAAAATCGATATATTTTATATTTCAGATGCTTCTTAAGAATGGAGCAAATGTTAACATCACAGATCATGATATGGTGACGCCTCTACATTTGGCTGCCAGCCCCGGAAGTAACAAAGACATCAAAGAAGTAGTAAAGATGATGGTAGATGAGTATCTGTGTTTCTTCTCCACAGTTAATTCCAGTCTCTCTTCCCGTCATCTCCACTTTCCATAGCAGTCATCTCCACTTTCCATAGCAGTCATCTCCACTTTCCATAGCAGTCATCTCTACTTTCCATAGCAGTCATCTCCACTTTCCATAGCAGCTATCTCCACTTTCCATAGCAGTCACCTCCACTTTCCATAGCAGTCATCTCCACTTTCCATAGCAGTCATCTCCACTTTCCATAGCAGCTATCTCTACTTTCCATAGCAGTCATCTCCACTTTCCATAGCAGTCATCTCCACTTTCCATAGCAGTCATCTCCACTTTCCATAGCAGTCATCTCCACTTTCCATAGCAGTCATCTCCACTTTCCATAGCAGTCATCTCACTTTCCATAGCAGTCATCTCCACTTTCCATAGCAGTCATCTCCACTTTCCATAGCAGTCATCTCCACTTTCCATAGCAGTCATCTCCACTTTCCATAGCAGTCATTTCCACTTTCCATAGCAGTTATCTCCTGTCTCCTCAGCAGTCATCTCCTGTCTCTTTAGCAATCATTTCCAGTCTCCATACTTGTCTAATTGTAAATTTTTTATCGTGTTAACATGTAGATTGACAATGGGGCAAATCCTTTGTGTGAAGACAGTGAAGGCAACACTGTATTTCACGAGGCTGCAGAAAATGGCAGTGAAGATGTACTCGATGTATTATTTGAATATCAAAGTACGAGTGGCGATATTTGATATTTTTTTATATGTCATCTGTTTATTATTTATGATATTGTGTAACTATGTCTTCGTCAAACTCTTTCGTTACAGGTCATCACACGTTTCCATCATTCAACGTGACTGATGTGTTGAATAAACCACGAAAGGACGGCAATAATTGCTTTCATCTCGCCGTGAAGGGTCACGTTAAGGCAGTCGATATTTTATATAATCATTAACAAATTTTAAGTGTTCTTGTGGAACGTGAACGGAAAGAAGTAGGAGATGGAAGAAAGAGGAGATGGGAGGAAGAGGAGATGGAGGAAGATGGAGATAGGGAAGGAAGAGGAGGAAGGAGATAGGAAGGAAGAGATGGAAGGAAGGTGGAGATGGAAGGAAGAGGATGGAAGGAAGGGAGGAAGGAAGAGTGGAGATGGAAGAGGAAGGAAGAGGAAGAGTGGAAGGAAGAGATGGAAGGAAAGAGATGGAAGGAAGAGGAAGGAAGGAAGAGGGAAGGAGAAAACAAATGGAAAGGATGGAATGGAAGGAAAAATGGAGACGGTAAACGATATTTCAAAGATTTTTACGATGACTAGCTAGACTATGCAAACAGGAAGTGATTGCCATCTCTTTCTTGGCTACATTTTAGTAGTACTTTAAAAGATAGATCTTGTCTTTCATTATTTGTGAAGGGAAATGGAGATACATCTTTGCATATTGCCAGCGAGAAAGGAAACTTACCTTTATGTAAAATATTGGTGGAAAACGGTGCGCTTATAAACTCAAATGATGCCAAAGGGATGTTTCCATTACACAGGTAAAGTTATAATTTCCGTTTCTAAATTTCAAAACCTGATAGTCAAAAATGTGGATATTGTTCTTTCACGATACGACTCAATGAAGTTCAATGTTTCAGGGCTGCAATAGAGGGACACGTTGATTGTTTGAAATATTTCATCAATAAGGTACACAAATGGTTCATTGTTATTTCTGTTGCAGTTGATAAATTAAATACCTACACTTAAACAGAGTTGTTTTTTCACTAACTGTGGAACGTCCTTGCTACTTGCCTGTTGCAATGAACGACACGAAGTTATCGAGTTTTTGTTGAATATGGGAGTATCTGTGACTGCTCGAAGTATAATGATGGATACATGCCTACACATTTCCGTCAAGAGGGGTGACGTGTGGACTGTGAAACTGCTAATGGAGGTACCTAAACTACATCAAATTTAAATTGAGCCCTGAAATGGTTTGAGTTTGTAGAATTCGATATTTCTGTCATTCAAGCATTATTTTTTCCGTTTTATGATAAGCCATCTTTATGACAATGAAGTAGTGCTGTATATGCTTACATTCAGAACTATTCAGAAGACTTGCTTGAACTAAGAGACAGACATGAAAGAACTGCATTACATTTGGCTGCCAGTAATGGGAGTAGCGAGGTAAAAATAGATACACCACATGCCAGAACCGTTGGACTTGTACTTTGGTATAAATCTAGAAATCTCCAACCAACAGGTGATGAAAATTTTACTATCATTTCATTCAAATGTTCTGGCAATTGATGATTGTGGTAAAAATCCTCTTCATGTTGCTGCTGAGTAAGTATTAATGTGTCACTATGAGCTTTTTGTGAAAAATCAATAATGGAAAAAACTTTGTCGATCAAGTTGTTTTTAAATCTAAAGCTGATCCTCTTGACATGTAGAAGTGACAGTTTGGATTGCGCTCGCTTACTTATTGAAGCAGAAAGAGATTGCGTGAATTATACAGATTTTCTGGGACGTACATCTCTTCATTTGGCTGCCGTTAGAAGTAAAGATGAAAGATTTATTAAACTGCTTTTAGAAAACGGAGCAGACGTTAATGCAAGGTGCCATTTATATTCACATTCTGTACTTACTACAATGGTAAAAATGGTTTTCGGTCGCAGTTTTTGACAGAAAAAAATACGCAAATTTTTTTGGCTATTTTTGATAAATAAAACTCAATAATATACCTAAGTAGTTCAGTGATCAACTTTAAAAATCTTCACGTTAGAGACGACAGTCGATGGACACCATTGTTACATGTCGCCTTCAAAGGTTGCCCAATGGCCTCTGGTTTGCTCATTGATTATGGAGCAAAACCAAATGAATGGGACAAAAATAGGGTGAGAATTTGATCTTTTTAATGGCTGGACAGATTATACATATGAATTGTTGTCAACATGATATTCACACGTTATCATCTAAAGTACAAAAAAAGTTTCCCATCGCTACTGCTCCTATGATACCCATTGTTGTACATTCTTCACTATAGTTTTGTGTTGCTGATCCTATGATACCCATCGTTGTACATGTTTCCCTGTAGTTTTGTTTTTCTAATCCTATGATATCCATTGTTGTACATTTTCACTATTGTTTTGTGTTGCTAATCCTATGATACCCATCGTTGTACATTTTTTCACTATTGTTTTATCTTGCTCTTCAACTTTCAGTGTTTTATTGTTCTTTTCATTCAAGATGACCGCGTTAAGCATAGCTGCTAGTCGAAATAAGTCTGTCGTTGTGAAGGTTTTGTTGGAGAAAGGAGTCGATCCCTCGATACGTAACAGTGAAGGACAAAGCTCTATGGACATTGCATTAAATGAGCGCTACCATGATGTTTGTATGGTGATTGCTAAAAGTGAAAAGTACGGATTAAGTTTCTACATTGATTCATGCAAGAAAAGTCTGGAATGTGATCATCTCAAAGATAAATCAAAATTTAAGTATTTACAAATTATTTTAGTGCTGTTTAACTTATGTATGTTGTTTATAAAATAGATGGAGAGAAGCTTTAGCGTCTTCTAAAACAATGCAGAAATGTTTGGATGTTTCCCCTGAAGTTGCTAAGGTATGTGATGACGTGATCATAGTGACTAGAATGACATACCATAGTATTTACCATTGAACGATCACTCTGAATTTCCTTTAGGTTATCCTTGATAAATGTATAGAATACAACGGACGAGAAATAGATAAAAATTACAAGGTTTCTCCATCGTTTGATAAAATGACATCTAAATAACTTTAGTTATGTCTTTACTTCACTTTTGACGTAGATTCAATTCATGATTTTTTTCATTAGGTCACGTACCATTTTGATCTTCTTGATCCCCATCCAGATGAAAAAAATGATTATTATGGTCCACAGGCAAGTTAAACCTGAATTTATTCTTCTTATAAGTTTAGTTCGACCCATGGGATCACTCTGATTGATGATTGGTGGGCTTCTCCCCTAAACAAGTAATGAATGCTTATTATAAATATTAAAGCCCAGCAAAGTGTTTTTAAAAAAGCCATTCAATACAATTTAAAAACACTTCGCTTCCACTCGCTTCCCGCCCAGTATATCCCTGGTCACAATTCTGAAGTAATGAATGGTGAATTTCACTTCTTAAAAAGTAATGATTGGTGGGTTTCACCTGCTAATCATGTAGTTCTTCTTGGAAAACCATTCACTACGTGCTTCTGATTTGAAAAATATGAAATAGTTACATAACTATTTTTATATAAGTATAAACTATTATACATATTTATATAACTATTAAAATATGAAATAATTACATAACTATTTTTATATAAGTATAAACTATTATACATATTTATATAACTATTAAAATATGAAATAATTACATAACTATTTTTATATAAGTATAAACTATTATACATATTTATATAACTATTAAAATATGAAATAATTACATAACTATTTTTATATAAGTATTTGTATCTCACGTTTATTTGTTGCAGGTGATGAAAAAAGCGCGGCGAAATGATCTGTTGATTCATCCACTTACAAAGAAGTTATTACAAGTGAACTGGTAAATAATGATTTTATTTGTTTTCTTTAGAGCTTATGAGCCATAACGACCCCAGGATGAGCAAAGTACAATAAAGTACCAAATTGCGTTTTAAACAATCCAATTAAAAAAAATGTAAACAATCCAATTAAAATATTTTTCATTTACAGGCAACATGGTGTACGATATTGTTACTACAGTGAGATGTGTCTGCTTGCAGTTGTCATGATATTGTTGACTTTTTTTATGGTAAATTTGAGAAAGTTGATTGCAGATTGTTATCTTTCATCAATTAAACAAAACATTTCCGACGCCTTTTTTACCGATGATGAATTTTGTTCCGATAAGGTATTTAGTTCTCAATAACGGAGCTTATCATTAAACTTTTGTTATGAACCACAAAAGTAAAATACTTCAAATCGGATTAAATTTCTCATTAAAAATAGATTTCCTATGATCGACAAATGATGTTCATTTCCCGTACAACATTTTTCGTTTATTTTGTTGGATGTTTGCTCAAAGAACTAAACCAACTACGTATCGAAGGCCGGGAATATTTTTTTGAAATTGCCAACTATCTTGATATTACTGTCTCCGTATTGTTTTTGGCTTTTCTACAAGTGCCTAGCTCCGATCCTATACCTTTCCGTCGACTCAACTTTGGAGCTATGGGCTTGTTTGCTTACTACTTTTTGATGTTTCTGTGGACTAGAGGGTGAGATAAATATTGCGATATTTTTTTTAACATGATGTTAAGATTAAGAAGACATTTAGTTTGACATTTTCTGTTTGTCGCTTCTTTTTCGTAAACGTTTTTAGTTTGTCTCGTTTTGGCATCTATATTACAATGTTCTTGGAGGTGTTGTTGACGTTGATTCAGGTATTTATGAAATGAAATATTGTACTGTATACGTGGTAAAACTTTGTACCATTTTAAAGAACATTCAATATCTGTCTACTTGTTGGCATTTTCAATTGTATTATGGGCAAACAAAAGAAATCTTTTGTTTCATGACTTTTTCTCTATCTTAAGGCCCGTTCACACGATCCGATTTGTCGAATCCTAAAAGAAGGATCGTGTGAACACATATAAAGTGAGTCTGCCACAGTCGGATCCGTCAATCTAAAAAATCGGATGGAAATGGAACTTGCTCTAATTTTCAAATTACATAGATTTGAAAAAGACTTGGAAACAAGAACAAAAATACGAAAAATATATGGATAATCATAAATGTACTGGATGACATAAATGGCTGCTCCCACGACTTTAATATCCAAACGAAAATAAATATCAAAAAATTTATCGGACCATCTGAACAAGCAACCAAAAGTTGCAACCAAAATAATCGGATCGTGTGAACGGGCCTTAAAAGGATCAAAATAAAACTTGTTTCATTCATACATTTCGTCGCTTTTTAAGGTAATCTCTGGATTTGCTGTACTTTTCTCGGCTTTACCTTTTCATTTTACATGACTTTCACGAAATCGGTAAGACTTGCCTAGTTATTTGTATTTCTTGCATAAATCTTGTAATCAAAGATGCGTTCGTTCGTGTTTTTTTTTTTGCTGTAATTAGGACGAAAAAGAATTCAATACCATTCGGAATTCGTTATTGAGAGTAATAGCCATGATGATGGGCGAATTAGATTATGAGGGTTTTCGTGAAAGCGTCATTCCTTTACAACCTGACATGGAAAGAGTTGCCATTATCATTTTTGTCGTGTTTTGTGTAACAGTGTCCCTTGTCGTAAATAATTTATTGGTAAGAATTCCTGTAGTATAAAAGATGAATTTTGGGAGAGTTCAAACCTCAAAGGGTGTCACTTTTTCATTTCAAATAGATATTGTCAATTCAAGATTTCTTGATCATCGTTTTCTTTAATAAGAGTCGAAAAACTTGAAGTGTCATAAAATTAGTTTTATCGTGAATTTGTGATGAAAATATCTTTTGTAGATTGGTTTGGCTGTTGGTGACATTGAATCTGTTCAAAAGAATGCTGAAATTAAACTTCTTTCTCTTCAGGTAGTCTTTGCCACAAACTTTAACCTGTTTTGCTTTCTGCGTTCCTCCATTGTCGTGTATTTTGAGTCGTTATTTTTAGAACATCTTACAATTTAGGTGACACAAATTCAAGAGTTCAGAAAAAAATTATTTTTTCCTGGTTTACTTCGAAGGTGTTACGTTAAAACACACATTGAGATGCCAAACGGCCGTGACTGTAAGGCAGAAATGGCTCTAAAACAGACTCGTGTATGTAAATTGTAATTTCTCGCCTGCAGCTATTTGCTGAAAGAAAAAAATCATAAAGTGACGTTATGCTGTAGCCTGTAGGCTTGTATATTTATATTATAATACAACTTAATAGTTACAGGTTGTTTTTTCATTATATTCTTCAGGAATCAAAGATAAGAAAAACATATGAGAAAGGTTTGAAAAATTTGTCTTTTTCATCAGATGCTGGAGCAATGACTTGATGAGTAGATGTTATCATTGTTTATTCACTTTATTGTTGTAAAAGCATTTGTTAAATTTGTTAAAAACTGACTTTCTTTGCTCTGAAAACTTTTAATAAATTGTAGTAAACTTTAGAATATAAAACAATCAATAAAGTCATTAGTGCTTTCCTAAAAAATATTATGAATTCAAATTTGATGTTTTTCTTGCAAATAACTTTTCTAATAGTAACAGGGAGGGAAAAGCTAGTTTGAAAAACAGCTGAAGAAAGTTTTAAATGAATAGAAGTATTATTTTGGCGGATGCGAATCAGTTAAAAAGTGCAGTTTCAAAATCATATGGATGTTTGACGGCTGTATTATGGCAATTCGTGTTTGATATCGTAAGTTTCGCTGGTATATGGTGAAAGAATATCGAGAATAATGAACTATTTTCAAGGTTTTATTAAAAACAAATTGGAACCTATTAAAGAACTTCTTCCGTCACTTGAACAACAGTGTGGAGGCTGTCTTCCATTAGCGTTGACATTTGAGGAATCTGTGCAGAGATGTGCTGAAATTTGGAATAATGAAAATAACTTTGTCTTGTCCCTCGTGACCGATGAATATTCTGATTTTTTCAATGAGGAGGTTTTTGTAGATGTTTGGGTTATAAAGTCTTTAAATGGAAACGAAATTATGAAATCGTGGCGTGAGAAAAATAGATCCCCAGTAGACGGAACAATTTCTATATATTTGACACACGAATTAAAAGATCATACTTACTTTCATCTCAATAAAGATTTCAATGAAAAATGCGTTTTATTGCGTAGAGTTACTCCAATCCCACTGAAAAGAATAACAATTGGTGCATTGAGTGTAGCAGCATTCAATTGGGCAATTGATAGTTTGGCTGATTATTTGATCAATATTATCAATCATCGTTTGATAATCATCAAACAAAATAGCAATTTGGGTGAAGTATTTGAGCAAAATGATAAGTTATCAATGTTAGTTGTTCTTGATACAATGCCAGTTATGCAAGGACTTGTCAATGAGGAAACTTCATTGGTTATTTCTGATATTCATCGAGATGACCTTGGAAAGATGAAATTGAAGCGACTAAAGTCAATTCAAGGTGGGGGTCATATTCCTCGTTTGCCTAGCCTGAAGATGCCTGTAGCCCAGAGAACACCTTTACAAGTACGTATTGGCAATGATGACTTGGATGAAATTGATGCACCATTCATTAAAAGTCACTCAATGAAAATTTTGACTACTGTCAAGGTATCCCTTCTTGAAACACCATGTTACAGTGAAATTATATCAGGTTTTGATCAGGTTGCTGATACCGATAATCAGATTTGGATTAAAAGGGATACAATGGAATGCATGGGGTTAAATCCTGGTACATGGGTTTGTTGTAATATTGATTGTGAAATTAAACAATCAAAAAAAAAGCTTGCTCAAGTATTTCCTGTAGATGAACATCCGTCTTCTAAATCTGTTTGGGAAAATCCCCAGTGCATTGTTGATGAAGATGAAAGGTTTCTCAGTAACACAGCTTATGTATCACCAGTTTTCTTTTTCAACTTGTGTCATTGGCCATGTATAGATGTGAATTCAGTATCTTTGTGCATTGAAAGAGCTGAGATTCGAGAATCACCACCTAGCTTTGCAAGGGAAATTTCCGTATCTGTGGTTGTATCACCTTTGACTAAAATCATCAGTATGTATGATATAATAATAAACAAGTATTTTTCCACCCCTCGACTTGTGTCCGCAGGTGATGTTCTTGCCATAAACTGTGATTGGAAGAAATTGGAGCAACCAAATACACAAGTTGCATTGGATGATGGTTTACCAAGGAACCATATTCTTTACATGAAAGTTCAAAATGTTGTTGGGAGTGACGAGAGTTTGTCATATTTCATTGATTCAAGGCATTCAAAATGTTTCCAGGTAGTTTTCAAATGTATTTTCAAACACAACATGCCATAGTATTTTACTATTTATTGATGTGGTGACATCTAAATAGAATGAAGATGTTGTTCAAAGTTTTGTTCCATCATCTGGAGAGCTCTTTGTATCAAACTCTTCAAGGAGAGGGCAAAAGACAAAGAAATCTTTTTGGTTATCTTCATATCCTGGTGGTCTTGAAAGGCATGTTTTTTGCCTGGAAAATTCACTACGTTCACTGTTGGAGACAAGGTTTGTTGGGAAATCTAAATGGATATTTATAGGTACTTGTTGGAAAATATAAATGGATATTTATAGGTACTTTTGGGATATCTGAATGGATATTTATAGGTACTTGTTGGGATATCTGAATGGATATTTATAGGTACTTGTTGGGATATCTGAATGGATATTTATAGGTACTTGTTGGGATATCTGAATGGATATTTATAGGTACTTGTTGGAAAATATAAATGGATATTTATAGGTACTTGTTGGGATATCTGAATGGATATTTATAGGTACTTGTTGGGATATCTGAATGGATATTTATAGGTACTTGTTGGGATATCTGAATGGATATTTATAGGTACTTGTTGGAAAATATAAATGGATATTTATAGGTACTTGTTGGGATATCTGAATGGATATTTATAGGTACTTGTTGGGATATCTGAATGGATATTTATAGGTACTTGTTGGGATATCTGAATGGATATTTATAGGTACTTGTTGGGATATCTGAATGGATATTTATAGGTACTTGTTGGGATATCTGAATGGATATTTATAGGTACTTGTTGGGATATCTGAATGGATATTTATAGGTACTTGTTGGGATATCTGAATGAATATTTATAGGTACTTGTTGGGATATCTGAATGAATATTTTTAGGTACTTGTTGGAATATCTGAATGGATATTTATAGGTACTTGTTGGGATATCTGAATGGATATTTATAGGTACTTGTTGGGATATCTGAATGGATATTTATAGGTACTTGTTGGGATATCTGAATGGATATTTATAGGTACTTGCTGGGATATCTCAATGGATATTTATAAGTACTTGTTGGTATAAACTACTGTAATCAATTCCAATCTGTTTTATCCTAGGAGTGAATGAAAACGTTTTTCTTTTTGAAAAATTATGTTCAGTAAATAAAATTGCTGAGAACAATTTTCGAGAAAGTACAAATATTGTAGCTTTGTTTTGAAGAGATTATGTAGGTACAATTGGTTAATTTAATTTAGTGGGCAAAAACATTGTGAAGAACTTTTATTTACATCAACGTTGTATGTAGATCCAACGTTGACGTGTATCCAATATTGGTAAGTGGACCTGTTGGTGTAGGTAAAAGAACTGTTATAATGGCAGCAAGTCGAAGATTGAACCTGCAAGTTGTTGAAATGAAATGTTATGAGATTTGTAGTGATACCACTGCTGCAACTGAGGCAAAATGAGGAACATGTTTCACAAAGGTGAAGAGGACTTTTTGAGCGCTGTATTCAGGTCTTTTTCCAATATTTCCAATTTATTTCATTTCACCCTTTTTGGTTTTGTTTTGAACCTTCGTTTTTCTTTTCAACCTCACCTCTATTTTGCTTTTGACTTTTCTTCATTTTCCCTTTCGTGTTCTTTTTTACGTATTTTCATTTTAATTCAGCATTCTCTTGCGCCCCCTGTGTTCTCCTGATGTCCAGTATTCACGCTTTGGGTAAAACTAAGGACAATCAAGAGAAAGAACCTCGCATCATCACAACATTAATGTTAAATTTGCAAGAGATCCAACGTGTCTCGCCACAGCCCGTCTTAGTCCTGGCAACTACTTCCAACCTACAAACTATGACTTCGGATCTTCGGTCTTGCTTCATGGATGAATTTCAAATCGAGGCTCCATCGGAAAGCGAAAGAATGGAAATGTTAAAAGGCCTATCTATAGGTGGGTGTGAAAAAGATTGGGGTAATTTTCTATTGATATTTTAAATGTTTTAAAAGAAGCTAGCTGTTGCATAACTAGCATAGTTGCATGTCTTGGATTCCATCACCTAGTTTTCCTTTCTCAACTCACCATTCAAGATGCATTTCTCTTGTGTATTTCTCTATATTTTATCTCGTTCAGGCTATCTTGTTGGTCCCGATGTTTCATTTAAGGCACTTGCTAGTCGCACTGCGGGAATGGTTCTTGCTGACTTTTGCACAATGTTTTCTGAAGCTGTTGTTAAGGCGCAAGAAGATGTCATGAAATATGTGAAGGATCTAAATCTGTTTCCTTCGGAAAGTCATAATTACAACTTGAATCATGACCTAGAAATACAAAGAGACATATGTAGTGCTGGTATGTCATTAAAATCTAAATATCTATAAAATGTTTCTAATGCTTAAAAACGTTTTAATTTTAACGATTCAATTGATAATGTATTTTTAATGATCAAATTAGGTTTATTCCTCCACCAAAGTCATTTTGACAAAGCTGTACAAGTGCTTCAGTCTGCGCATGCGGACAGTATTGGTGCTCCCAAAATTCCCAATGTGTGCTGGAAAGACATTGGCGGACTGAGTAATGTAAAACAGGAGATTATGGACACCATTCAATTGCCTTTTCAATATCCAGAATTATTTGTCGCCGGCATGCAACGCTCAGGTGCCTTATAATGAACAAAGAGCGTAGCTTTTGCATCACCATTAGGACTTTTCTATGAACTTGAATATCTAAGAAAGGGTTTTGTGTTTGTAGGTATTTTATTATATGGTCCTCCTGGCACAGGGAAGACTTTAGTTGCCAAAGCCGTTGCAACTGAATGCTCTCTTAATTTTCTGAGGTTTGTAATTGAAGTATCTTTAGTCTTCTTGTGCTCTCTACCTTAACAGTTGGGATTGCAAGCGACTGATTACCAGCGCTAGGCTGCTTTCAAATCATACGTTTTCCATGGTTTCAGTGTTAAAGGACCTGAACTAATCAACATGTACGTTGGTCAAAGTGAGGAGAACGTTAGAGAGATTTTTGTAACTGCGTCACGAGCAGCTCCTTGTGTAATCTTCTTCGATGAGCTTGATTCTCTTGCTCCAAATCGCGGACGTAGTGGTGATTCAGGAGGTGTTATGGACAGGTGAGGGTTGTGCTTGATACTTAAGTATAGCAAGGATCGTTGTTTCTTTGATTGTGGATACTATACAGTATTCACTCAGTGGTTCTACGTTAGAGACATAACATTAAGTTGTGTAACCTATCAATAAATTTACCAATGTAGAGTTGTGTCTCAGTTACTTGCTGAACTGGATGGATTAAATAAATCATCTGACGTTTTTGTTATTGGAGCCACAAACAGACCTGACTTGCTTGATCCAGCTCTCCTTCGTCCTGGAAGATTCGACAAACTGTTATATCTCGGCATATGCAAAGAAAAGGAAGACAAACTAAAGATTATGAAAGCATTAACACGAAAGTAAGTATAGTGATGTTATGTTATAGAAAAAATGTAAACGGCTTTCCTTTTTTTGCGGGGCCGGATTGAGGGTGTTTTTGTAAATTTGCAGGTTTGATCTCCCAAAAGCAATCAGTCTTGATGAAATTGTGGACAAATGTCCCGCTAACTTAACTGGGGCCGATTTTTACGCTTTGTGCTCTAATGCTTTACTGAATGCCATCAGAAGGCAGATACGGGATCCTAATGAAGGTAAGTTTGGTCACGACAAATTTGAAAAACAGGAAAAGTTGGGTTCACACATTATATTTATTCACAGACAAAACAAAAGCTAAAGTAACACAGGAAGATTTTGAGATGGCTGTAGAAACTTTAGTACCGTCTGTATCGCCTGAAGAACTAAGGCATTACGAAAACATACAACGGGAATTTAACAAAGACAAGTTGAATGAGGCCGTTGCTGAGGTTGGGGAACTGGAACTAGACGGGAAACTTCACCCAATTATGGAGATAGCTGCTGATCTTGGGGAACTGGAACTAGACGGAAAACCGCAACCAGGAACTGAGACAGTTGTTAAGGTTGGAGAACTGAAACTAGACGGAAAACCTCATCCAGAAACTGTCGTATGATAATTTTTGGCGGCAAATTAAAATACAGCAGGTTAGTGGAAGTATTTTTATTACGAATTTATCATTGTTAATAATTACACTAGTGTTCATTTAATATATACTTTTTCGTTTAAACTTGTTGGCCTTGCTTGAATCATGATTTCTGTGATCACTTTAACCCTTTTTGATCTAATTGACAATCCTGGAAAAAATTAAATCTCCTATTATCATTTAATTATTTTACGTGGAACGTGATGTAAGCATATGTCATACTTTTCTCTTTGGAAAGTCACGTGATGTTTCCACATTTTTTGCTTTTTCTTTTAAAATAGTAGACACTGCCCAATCAATTGCTAAACAAAAGCCGGAAAAAAATCCAAGTCCTTCTGCTCTAATAAGTTGATCTTTTCACTACAATATATGGATACATACTTTTCAAGTTTCTTTCCACTTTCCGTAAATTGCTAAACATCTCGGCGATTTCCTGTGCGTTATGCGGAAAAATTTCACGAGATTTTATCTTAATTAGTTTTAAAAAGCTGATATTTTGCTCACTTGACAACCGCTATCCAGTAGATCACGATTGTTTTTCCTCCACTCTTTTGTAAATTGATTTGATTTCTTCTTAGAATTTACGTTCGTCTTGCTATTCAAATCGCACAGAGCTCTATAAGGTTACTTATTGTAAGAATAAAGCGCTGTACAAATATTGATATTCTATTACCGTTCATAGTAGCTATACATAATAATATAATATTGGCTGCAATGACAGCATCGATGCTTTCTTACCGTAATTTGGAGTAAATAATGTCACTTGATTCCTTTAATTCTTCTGTAAATGCACATACGGTTGAGAGTATTAGAGTTTCGTATGTCTATAAATAGAGAACAAGTAATTCTATGGAAAAACCTACGAACATGAATACAACTATAAACATGTAGTTCTGCTAGAGCATTATTATTGTTATACCTGAGTTCTTTTTTCTTTCCATTGTTTTCTGGTTTGATTTGTTGACGTTATACTTTCATGTGTTTGGTTGTTTTTTAAGTAGAAAGTTACGTTTAAATTTGAACTACTTCCTGCTGTCGAAGAACAAGTTGCATTCGAATTAGTTTTTTTCTTCTTTAGATTGTCTTTTCTTGTTTCCTTTATCTGTTTCGCTCGTCTCGCAATCATTCCGTCACCTTTTCTTAAAAAACTTTTCTTTCGCACAAGAAGTCGTTCACCTAATTTCATTGAATTTCTTCTACGCGCTGTTCCTATAGGTATTTTTGGTTTTGTCGTTTGTGGTTCTTTGGAATTTACACGATGAGAAGTAGAGTGTTTGGGCTCACGATAGTTATTTTTTATCTTGTTGATTTTTGTTTTAGACATGCAAGGTATTTTACTTGCATGTCTAAAACTCGTTCTGTCTACATCGTCTACTAATTGTAAATCACTGCCAGTTTCTATTTTCTTACTTTCACTTGTACTGCAGTATATTGTCGACTCCTTTTCAATAGATCTCTGTAATTTAACTGTCAACGGCTTATCATTTTCACTTTGTCGAGATGTCTCTGTTGTTAGACGTAGAGTTACATCTGTTCCCCTTAAGGATAACTTTGAAAGCTCTTTATCAACTTTTACAGCTTCTTGCTTTGTCTCTGCTTCACAATGTTTGCTACTGATATTTTCTTGATTCGACATTTGTAATTTTCAACGTTGCACCTAAAGTAATTGACTCAGCTTTCTGTGATGGCCATATGACCTTAGGAGAAATATGTTAGTTATCGTTATCAAGATGTAATGAACGAAAATTTAATGAATAAAACTATGGCCTTTGCATCCTCAGTTTGTGTTAAACTAACTTACTATTGTGCCATGCAAACGCCTTTCTTCTAACAAAGACTCTTTCCTCGTTTTTAGGTCGTTGAAAAATTTGAAAATCCTCCTTTAATAACTGTTTTGCCTTTTACTTTTTATAATTTTTTTTGTGTGTTTTGAACGAGTTAAGAAAACAGGTACCAGTTTTATTTTGCATCATTATTACTATATTGTACTATTCACTGTTAGCTTTAACAACAAGAATGATGAAAAGGTGCTTGTTTTGAAGATTATCAATGCTACGATTTTATTATCTAGAGTATCATTTGTCGTATGTTTCAGTCTTCAACGTATGTTTTCGTGTTTTCTGCTGATTTAAGTGCTGTTCCTCGCAAAGAAGTAGTTTGGTTCTCTTTATTTTCCTCAAAACATTTCTTAAATTCAGCCATCTCTTTGGTACATTTTCTCCAATCTTTATTTTTGGCATAACAATCCTAGAAAGATTTGCAATGTATTTTAATAACAGCATTACATATACATACCAGTTAAAAGAACAAGATTTAATAATTATTGCACTTACTTGTAAGGCATAATGATATACTGCACAACCTGAATTATTTATTCTTCTATCGTAATCATCCTCCTCTTCTATTTCTATTTCTTTGCTGGACATGTGTAAATATTGCAACTTGCAAGGGCTCCCAGTCCTTAAGTCTGATTAATCCTCTCGTACTTACAAAATGTATTTTTTGCAAAAGTATCAATTATGATATTAAGGTGCACTTTTATTAATCAACACATAAAAAAATGGGGTGAATCTTGTTACGTAATATGTATTGAAACGGATTTAAACGAATATAATGGCCAATCCTTATGAGCGTTCAACGTCCGCCATTTATGATTATATTTATTACATTCACTGATTTCCATTCGCTTGGAGTTCCTCGTTTAATGTGTGGTGGACTGGGACATAGAGCAAATGATAATAATATATATGCTATCAAAGAATGTTTGTAAATATTTTCTCTTCCTACACAGAATTTATCTATAGTTTCTATACGTAATGATTGCGGCTTCAAAGAACAGGATGTTATGGCAGGTCGATGTTTTCAATGTGCTGAACCATTTGGTTTTTCAAACGCGAGGTGAATATACATCAGTTGTTTGAAACAAATTTAACTCATTACTTCATCAGAGCCTTTCAGTTGATAATATTACCAATACTTCACGAAGTTTGATTATTTTTTTTATTTTTTTGTATATGTTTTTGTAAAGCACGACTGTGGAAATTGTGGAAAGTTATTTTGTTCAAAATGTACTACAAAGTCCATAGTGCTTCCAAAGAAAGGAAAAAAGCCTGTGAGAGTTTGCAATGACTGCTTTAGAAGATTGAATACAGAAAGAAGGTAAAGAAAAGAAAAACTAAAATATTTTTTAATAGTAGCCTATAGCTTATCCAATTCATGGTTTTAATATCCTAGGGAAAAAGAAAATCTCACTGGAAAAGCAAATGTCAAGGTAAGTTTATAACATCTTAGATGATATTTTACACCAATGAAGAAATTGAGCAAAGTAAACAAGTAATGAAGGTTATTTATACCACTTTAAAGTTATCATTTGTAAAGTGTTCGTCATATAACTTTACTTCACTAGACATCCCAACCTGATCTACCTAGTTATCTTTTAAAAACGAAAGACAATGCACCATTTGATCCTGATGAAGATCTACGGAAACGTTTAATGAAACTCAAGCAAGATGGTGGGTATCAAGTAATTTCATTTGGTTTCATTTGAAACGTGTAAATCAAATCAAAGATCATAGATTAAATATTTGAATATGTCAGTGTTAATTTTTGCACAGATGGAATTAGTGAGAATGATTTAAATTCAAAATTTAAAAGTGTAACTGGAAGAGAGCCTTCGTCAACCAAAACAAATGATGTAATTATTCATTTTTTACAAATTTCCATTGTTCATTGAGGTATGTTTTCTATTTTTCACACAGTTGATTTTGATGTTTTATCCATTTTTAAATGCAGATACACTCATTTGGGAAAAAAAAAGCTGAACAAGAGCAAATTTCAGATTTGATGAGACAAATGCGAGATGAATCCATTATAGACAGTAGAACTGGATTTAATAGTGGATCAAGTAATTTGCATGATATTGAGAAAAGATTGGATAAGCTAAAAGGACGTAAAAGAAATGAAACCACAAACAGTTAGTAACTTAATATTGCAAATATCAGCAAAAGCTCATAAAAATTATCATCTATTAAATATGTTATAGATTCTATGAAATATGAATATGATAGTGATGATGAAGCTGAGTTTCGAAAAAGATATATTCAGCAGGTTTTGAAGTCTTACCAAATTTAAGTGATCACATTCACAATAAAGAAATCCTCAAGCAAATCTTATATATTCAAGGCAATTGCTGAGTCATTTTTGGATGACCAAGTTCGAAAGGAAGGACATGGTTTGTAATGATGTAATTCTGGTGAAAGTAAAACATATGAAACTATTGTATTCATTTTATGTTTAAATTAGGCTATTTACTTGAGCAAGCTGAAAAAAAGATTGCTTCTAAGGTAAATATTTATTAACTTTGTACAAAAAAAGTAGTTCCACAAATGTATCTGATTATGTTTGTTTGTAAGAATTTAACACCAATAGACGCAGATGAATTGCCATGGTGTTGTATTTGCAATGAAGATGCAACAATTCGATGTCATGGGTGTGATGATGATTTATATTGTAGCAGATGCTTCAGGTTGGTACAGCCGTTTGAAAAAACAAGCAATGTTTATATTTCTTACTTTTTAAAGGAAAACTTTTTCTACCAGGGAAGGTCACAGCAGTGGAGAGAATAAAAATCATAGAACATCTACTTATAAAGCACCAAGGAACAAGAGGTGAAACACTCATTCAAGATTAAATGAATTAACCAATAACAGCATGAAAATGAACCTGCAAGAGCATGTTTTTATATTCTCTTAATTGCTATGTTGGTGATAAAGAATAGGAATAAAAATAGAGATAAAATATTGTTTTGGTATTTCATTGAATTGTGAAGATTGTGAAGATTTCATAGCATCAACAATTCAACATGCCAAGAAGATTAAAATGCACACAATTTCAAGAATGCCATCTACTTAAAAAATGCATTAAATATATTTCATGCAATGCTAAAAGTTCATCCTCTATTTCATAAGGATTGCTTTTCTTCATCCATATCAGGAGCAATGTAGTCTACCACTGGTGGTGTTTCAGTCGGTCCTTGTAAATTTAATGGAAATAACGATTCATCAGTCTTAATTGCTTCTTCATAATGCCATAATGAGACTTTTTTTAGTTCTCTTAATGCAAGTTCACGTGTGCTTATGATGTCTTGAAGTTTTTTAAGTTCATCTCTGTGCTTTCTGTTTCTAAATCTTGACCATTCCTTGAGCAACAGCACTCTTTTTTCTTGCTCTTCTCCATCAACTACTGGCATCTTTCTTACTCTATTATCTTGCTTTAAACTCCTTGGATTAAACAGTGAACTTGGTTAGATATGAATCTCCATTTAACAGTGATTGTGGAAAACAAAAATTTTTTGTGTATGGCCAGAGTACCATACAAATACCCAAAACATTTTGACCCTTTCAAATTTCTTTCCATTAGAACCTCTACTCTCTCAAGTCCCCCCCCCCTGCCTTGGAACTATCAGACATGGTTAAATATTTGTTGAAATTAGCATTTCAATAAAGCAGGGACTGAACTAAAAATGTATTTCATCAGCCCACTTGGTTTAGTTGGTTACCCCAAAGATAACTTCTACAAATATACCTGTCTGGGAAAGCCTCGGGATCAACTGGTGGAAAAACCTCTACAGGTTTCTTAGAAATGTTTGATGACTTTTTCTGCTTTTTCTTGGGGTCGATCTTGTGAGTCTTTTTTCTTTTTAAAGTAGGATCGTGCCGACCCAATGCAGACAGCCTTGGAGCCATTAATGAACTTTGTAGTATCGCAGGGGGAGTTTTAAAACAAATTCTTGCTATTTTACTAGCAGACGACGCCATGTTTTCCAGTTCCAAGCCGCCTGCAGAATTACAGTCATAATAAATGAAAAACGCCCGCTCACAGGCTATATTTATTGTTCTTGATTCATTTATGGCTGGCCATGAGACCAATCATTGGTCTTATAGAGCTCAATGGTACCAATGCATGGCACTGGCAGTGTCAGCATTAGTAGGTGCCAGACTGCCAGTGGTGTTGCCTTGGTGGAGTTCTTGAAAGGACTGATTTCAATTTCAAAGAGTTCAGATAATTTTTTTTAAAAATTTACCGTATTGTGTTGTTTATATACGACGCAGTGCAATATATGAAGATTTAGAGAATAGGAATTTCAGCTTGAGCATTGTGAATCTTATTTCTTCACACTCAACAAACTTGAAATCATCATGAGTGGAAAATACTCTCATTGGCGAAAGAACTTCTGAAGTTATAAACACACGATAACCTGGACAAAACTGCAAACGTGGAAAAAAAAACAAAAGCAGGTGTAAAAAAGAATTGTTGAATATATTTGTTTGTTGGCACTTTTGAAAACGATGAAATGCAGTGAAATTGATGTAAAAATTCCACTTTCCGTAAAACATTGAAAACCAATACCATTGGTAAAATCATGATACGTCTGGATAGGTCAGATTATAACGTCATAGTTACATGATGCTGTTCGTGTTCCTGGCTTTCATGAGTTTCGTGAGTGAACCGAGTCAAGGGTTAGTGAACTTTATTAACTTTTATAAACAAGTCAAGTATACACATTGCTTTACAATGGCTTATTCAAAGCTAAACATTGAATTAAGTAGAACAACCTTAAACACGCTCTATTTGCACAATTCTTTAATTGGTGATTTATTGAAATGATTTCTTGTGTATTTTAGGAGCAGGATTAATCTTGAAGGAGCCTTTATTAAAAACATTAAAACGATCAGAATTACCTTTAAATGCTTGTAAAACTTCTTCGTTTCTTTATATTGTCTAATTGTATTCACGACATAAAACAAGAAAGTTCTGAAAAAGGTTTTTAGTCTTACTTAATTAACTTCAACATCAAATGGATGGCAAAGGCTTGAAATTAGTAATATGAAATGCTAAATAAACTGTCATTCCAATGCAAACGAAGACATGAAATTAAGTAAATTTGAACATTGCCCTTTTAAAGACCTCTTGTAGTGTTTTCTAAAGAATTGACTTATCCTTTCGTCAATACGAATAAGTATCTATCGTGCCATTACAAAATACGACGTTGGCAAAATCGTCCAAAGAAAGCCTCTCCTTGGAGGAAGCCAAATAGCAGACTTATGTTGAGTGATAAAATGGATGAGAAACGGTGTAGTAAACGAATGAAAACTAAAAAAGATAATACTGCTAACGAAACAGATTCTAATCGCAATCAAGACACGAAGTTTAAACTGCCCAAATTGAAAGCAGAACAACTTGGAGTAGAAAGTGAAAACATTCCTTATAGATTAAAATTTTCTACGAAGAATACTGAGCTTCCTAAACTTCCAGCTCAAGAATATATCGATAATTTTCGCCGTGAAGCGTCTGTTTTTGAATGTAATTTGGTTGAAAATGTTTGTGACAACTTTGAGAGAAGACAAATAAAAAGAAAAACACAAGAGTTGAGGTTACTACCAAGAATAAATGAAAACAGTTCGTTGGTGACAGCAAATATAGATCGATTGGTGAAAGACGATCAATTTCGTTTTCCTAAAATACAGAAAACAAAAGAGGATGGCCGCTTCACTGACTCGCGAAGCAAGAAAAAAAGAAAACTGAAGAATTATCATGAAAATAGTACGAAAAATGTTTCGCGACGCAAATCGGTAGAAAACAATGGAAAACAAGCTGCTTTAAAGGCACAAACGAAATGGTGTAACATGACTTTTCAATCAAACATCTACGAATGAGATTATGGAGACAAATTCTAGAATTATTGCAATTCAGCGAAATAGAAAAATATATTCAGCATTATCATACGTATATATAGTTGGGTTTTTTATAATGTTTATTTAATAAACAGAGAACACAAATTAATTTGAACGTTTTTCATAATCTGTACACTGGTGCACACCGAACTAGCTAATAAACTATATAATTTTTCTCAAACATCGAATCTAATAAAATCAACTTCAATATCAATTGATTTTCTTCGATGAAATTTGTAAGACGCATCTAAATTAAACCGCAGTTCTGCAATGACTTCCATTTTAATATTGAGATCTCTGGCCTTCTTTTTGATGTGTGCTCTTGTAGCAGTCTTATGCAAAGAATACACTGATCTTTTTGCAAGTTTTACTGCTTTCTCTAGAAATAGCATGTCAACACCTGGGAAAAATAAAAAAATTGCATAGCAACTGAAAGCAAAAGAATTAATTTAAGCTACCATTTACACTTTGTAATATACACTTGTCATCACAACTAGCAATGATTTGTGTTAAATGCTTACTAATATGATACATGTACTCTATTTATATGACATTAAAGGTTATCGCAGCCTTTAAATACTTGGAAAATTTAACACAGCTTACATGACAATCCAGTATAATGTAAACAAGGTGTTAGAGGCTGTAATGATAGGGGCGAAGCAACATGAGTGATGTGTTTGGTATGGGTAGGTAATAATTAATAATTACAATAGATTTGCATACCAGCATTATTCTTTGTACCAAATGGTGGATTCATAATAACAATATCGAAAAGATTTTCTTCAGTCAAAATAAAGTCTATTTGCTTAACATCACATTGGATAAATTCAACATTTGATTCAAGTTCACTTTCCTCCAAGTTTTTTTGTGCTATTTCCAAAGCATCAGCATCAATGTCAAATCCCACAACATGTTCGCTGCCAATCATAGCAGCACCAACACTAAGTATTGCACATCCACAACCCAAGTCTGCTATACTGTAACCCTTTATATCCCCAAATGTCTGGTCAATTGTGTACAACATGTGTGCTGCAATGTGGGGTGTTGTAGGATACTGCTCAAGATGGACTTTTGGATCTTTATAAACTTCTAGATTTTCAAGAAATCCTTCCAGTTGCTTTAACTTCATGTTTGACTTTAAATAGTCTTTGGTAAGCGACCTAAAAACGTATATTTCATTTCAAGAACGCGATGTCAGTTCCATCAACGTTTTTTTTGTTGATCTCTGTGTCTTAACCAGTACACTTAACATTGTTATTACATGAAAACAAGAAACATATTACGCTGGCTTTTGAGTAAATAACTGCGGGCTTAAATGACGAATGGCGGATAATTTGATGATAGAAAACAAAGTAGGAGAGGTAACCGAAGAAACTTCAAATGAAAGTGATAATGGTCAACGAAATCATTGGGTGTCGTTTGAAGAAGAACCGGAGCTTCCTCTTATTTCTCAGCCATCTTACTTTACGAATAAAACTAGTTCGGAAAATTATGTTAAGCGCCTAGGTTAGTCGACGTCTAAAACTGGGCTGTTGAGATCAATATAGATGATAATCAGTAACACTCGATTTTTTTAATATTTCATGCACTGAAAATGAACTATTTTAGTATATATCCTGTTGTAGAAATCATGATTATTTGGTATTTTCAGAACAAAAATTACATCGAATACGAAATCCAGCAAATATCACCAGCAAACATATTGTAACAGCTTTAAGTGAAGCGAAACGTGGTCAAATGAATGACTTAATGGAGAATGAGGCTCGGGGTGATTTTTCTTCTCAATATGGTCAGATATTTGGAACCTTAAATGATGATGAAGAAATTAAAGCTAGTTGTTGTTGTATTGTACTATACAGTCGTTTAGTTCCCAAGAGAGCTAGAACAAAGCAGGAGATTGAGTGTTTATTAGATGAAGATGAACTAGCAATTATTAACTGTCAATCCAACCAGAGTGATCCAGATAAGAGCATGACATATAATGAAGATGACCAGAATTAAAGGTAGATTATCACTAAGTATTGATTATAATCTAATACAGTTCCTGAAATGCAAATGAGCTGATATGCAATTATGCACTATAAAAGTACATTTCTTGCACTCACAGTGATTTTATAGTTTATATGGTATCATGTTTGTCTCAACCAAGACAATTAATCAACCATATATTAATGTTTGAGGAGTCAAACATTTCCAGGTTTTAAGAAACACCAGGAAATGTACTGCAGTTATTTCAAATTGAAATAAGTGTATCCATTAATTTTTTGAACTTTTTACTGTTGAGGTGTTTGACAGTAAAACAATATGTTTACCTTTGCGTTCGTTGGAATGTGCTAATTCGTCCTTGAAAGCTTCCTGTCTAAAAATTACAAGTGTTATCATACTGCTTTTTCAAGAATTTTGCATTTTTGCTCTCGTAAAAGTAACTGTTCGTTTTCGATGCTTTCGCTTGACAATTTTATTAATTAAAATTCGTCAAAGCAAATATGGCTCATTTTGCAAGTTTTTCTATGCATTGGAAACTTGTAATTGACTTTACGTGTTCTCAAATTTCTGTTTACAAGGTTAGATAAACTGTTTGTTTTACGCAAAATATATTTATCAGAAACAACCAAAAGTAAAGCGTCTTATATGGAGGATGTCAGTTTTAACCAATCAGCGCGCTGCTACGTGTATTTTGTTTCCGGTTATCGACGGACGAGTGAGTCAGTATGCAAACATTGAATGATGTCGATGTTAAACCGCCTTCCGTTTTTGAGCCTGTTCAAATTCAAAACAAAGAACGGTAGTCGTTCACTTGCTTGTAGAATGTAAGCGAATTATGTAATGGAGCATAAGAAAAACCTTAAAATTGTTGTCATCGGGGACGGTGCTGTGGGGAAGACGACATTACTCATGAGCTATCTTAAGAATGATTTTCCAAACGACTATGCTCCTACTGCGTTCGATAATTACACAGGTTGGTATGAAGACGAAATAATTGACATATATCTGCTGGATAAACTAGGAAATGAAACATTAATGTTTGAATAAGGTGAACGCAACGTCTCAGCCGTTGTTATGTGTGTTTTTATTTAATTTATTTATGATGTATTTAATAGTAATCTTATTACTTGCTAGTTTAATATAAACATTTTGTTCTCTTCTTTTCTTCATGTAGTTTCCGTGACAGTCAACAATGTTCCATGTACAGTTCAATTCTGTGATACAGCCGGTCAGGTACGTATTTTCTTAAACTTTTAATCCTAAAACAAAAACGAAATCACGCGATACTGGACTGGACAGCATGTCTTTGAATGATGACGGAAATTATATAGACACACAAGAAGAATGAAAATTTAACCACGAAACCCGTACATAAATTTTCTGTGTTGTCGAGTATGTACGTAAACTTGCTCATAAAGTATTTGACAAAATATTTTATCTGCAGGGAGCTACATTGTACTTGCACACGTATCTATAGAAATTGATTTGTATTTCAGTATTTTGAAATGCAATATTATTTCGAAATATAACTGATTGTCTGTGACTATGATGTTACCCATGAATTTATACACTTTTCGGTAAATTGTAAATTTGTTCATTTTAATCAAGCAGATTGCTTGAATTGCATGATAAAATAGAGAACTTTATTTTACTCTACATCCCACTATCCTGTCAGTCGGACTATGAACTATTATTTCTCGTCCTATACGTCATCGGAACAACTATTTTTTATCACGAACCAATTATTCAAGACAAAGCATGGATATATACTACGTCATATTTCAACATCAAAGTTTTCTTATAGAAAAAAAACTTATATTTGTAATATTACTATATGTTGAGCATTACAATATCCCTACATCCACATGCTTGAAAATTTATCTTTACTTATCATCATATGATATCCGTCTGATGAGTCGTTATCGATAAAACAAAGTGACGAGTTCACGACGCAGCAATTATAAATAACTTTTGATAATACCTTAGCATAACATCAAACGTTTTTTTGATGGCAATTTCACGCGCTGGTAAATTATCTTTGCGTTAGTTCTATACTACCCTCTCCCAAGCGTTTCGAAAGCGATTCTTTCGTATTTGCAATGTAATCCAACACTTAGGTTGATATTGGCTGCAAGAGAAAGTATGCCGGAAAGTTCATTTGAATTCATTCTGTTCGTGAAACACGACGATTTAATTGCACGTTATTAAGGCATTAATTGTCATGTGGTACGATTTAAACTGTATAAAAGATAGTTTGGTTTATATCAAATGTTGTCCATCATGTGGATGATCTCCAATGGAAATGTAAAGTTTTTCTTTTACGTAGTACAATTTGTGTATCCGGAATAAGTTTACTTTGCTCTTCAACATGGCGAAACAAGTCTGGATTTTGTCCAGATTTCCACTTGCATTAAACCTAAATACAAAAAATGAGAAACGAAAATTATTGCGTGCATGAAAATAGAATGAATTGACTAAATGAACATTAATTTGATTTTAACCACGCAAACAAATGTCAGTTGTGGTAATTTTTGAAATGAACACGTGACATAGTCAGGTTGCACTTTTAGATGACACTTCAGACTTCTTTTGTTTGAGTGCATGCAAATATGAACATAGTGTTTCAACACTGAGTAGCATCTGTTGATTCTGTTCGTAAAAAATTTACCCAATATTGACGATTTATTCACCACTTCACCCTCAAAGACTGTTTAAGACTGGTTGTCTCGTCTTTGGACTATAATTGTTGTTACTATAAATTTTACGGTATCTAATATTTTAGGCAGCTTTGATATTCAACTTGCATAAATTTTATTCCAGACGTGGTTAAGTAAACTGTCATAAAATTGAATATTTCATTTGACTCAATATTTAGGTGATCTTTTTGTCAAAATGTTAGATATTTTGCTTTTATACATTTCATTCATTTGTTGCTAACTTAATATACATAGTACTTTAATGTACACGTCTAGTAAAATGTGGATCGTCATAGGGTTGAATAGCTCAGTATTCTTGTTTTATTTAAATGTTTGGTGTAATTGTTTACTTAGCTGTATCCCATCAATCCTTTGTATAGCCAGTGTTATGGTAACATCAAATTGATCTAGTTTTCTTTTCGTGTAGGAGGATTTTGACTCGCTGCGTCCATTTTCATATCCACAAACAGATGTTTTTATCCTATGTTTCAATATAATGGCACCGTCGTCGTTTTACAATGTTAAAGCACGCTGGTTGCCAGAAATCAACAAATATAAACCGACCACGCCGTTTGTGCTGGTCGGTACCCATTGTGATCTTCGATCGAACGTCGAAACCTTGATAGAACTCAAAAACAACCGAATGATTCCTATTACTAGAGAGCAGGCAGAAATTTTAGCTCGAAAGAACAATGCTGTTTGTTATGTGGAAACATCAGCTCTAACATTGAAGAACGTTAAAAAGGTGTTTGACGAGGCAATTGCTGCTGCCTTGTCGCCTTTCAGACGAAAACGCGCGCGTCGCTCTAAGAAACATCGTGTCAAATGTGTTATTTTGTAGCAATTTAAGCCGTGTATAGAGTACGAAATTCAATGTCGTTAACTGCACTATATATAGAGATACACCGAGCGAAAAGTATTTATTTAATTCAACGCAATCTTCAAGTAGTTTCACATGTCATGATGCATTACTTTCATTATACATTACGTTGACTTAAGAAAGATAAACCTCAAGACAGCATTTTCCACTTGGTCAGTATCGTACTGCATCTTATCAAAAAAGTCTTTACGAAAATATTTACCTTTATCATTTGCTACATTTTCAAGTTTGTAATCAGTTTTGATGCTTTACTATACGTTCTCGAGTGAAAAACTGTGCAGAGGAAAAAGTCAAAAACCACTGTACATAGCCTCTTTGTGAGATGGAACATATATTAGTAGTCCAATATTCATTCATTCGTCTTTATGATGTAATTTTGTTCATTTTTTCACATGTTTTGTCTTGAAATGAGACCGTTTTCCCATCTTTGAACAGTTCATTTTTCACGCTCATAGTTGTACACATTAAATAAAAATATGATCAATCATTCAACTTGCAGCCTAAATGATGTGACATTTTTTCATTGCTATGCAGGTCTATTATTTGTCTTGTTTTTAAGTATTAAACTTCTAATTTTCTGAAAACTTACTCGGTCAACTGGTGTTCGACATCTTTACTTTCAAGAATTTAATTCACTGATCGAAAAACAGTCTAGGGAGTGTATATCACAACCACTGATTCTAAATATTTTTTCTCCGAGTGTAGTGTCTGCTCTTGCGCATAAAAAAAACTTATTGCAAATTCAAAGAACATGAAAAAATAGTTAATGTACCATTTTGCTCAAATTTTATTAACGTTTAAGGAATGCCCATTCTTTGTTGCAATTATCTACTTCAATAATAAGCTATATGTTGGAAATTCGACATATAATGGTGTCTATTCGACCGTTGTTATCGCTCAATTATAAAAACCTTTAAAGTTTTCAAGAAACTGTAAAGCAAAATACGATAACAAAGTTCTGGAACATTTTTTGTTCGCTAAAACATGGCGATGTGGTGATAAGGAACATCAGACAATGCATTCTATATTTGAATAACGAAAGATGCATATTATGAATAAATATCATCACGTAATTTTTTGTTACATACCAAGCTGTAAAGCTTCAAAATCCAAATATTGAGACGGCAAAGCTTTCAATTGACTGTTGTGTAGGTAGTCCATTAGTAGATGACATCTGCATTTTCTTGAATTTTCGTAGATTCTCATTTTTCTACTTTTATTTCTAATTTATGGTCAAAACCTAGTAAAGTTAGCTAAACGTTGGAGTTTTTACGTAATCATTTGACCAACAAAGTCATCTCTGGTCTATCGTTAGGGTTGATTTGTTAAAATATCGTAGACTAAAGATGAAGGAAAGATCTGTTTTTCACGGTGTTCTTTTAGGCAAAATTAAAAAAAATTGAATATGCTTATACAAAGTGTAAATATATCTCAATATGTCTCCTCATTGTTTCTAGATAGAAACCATTAAAAATGATATTGATAGCTACGAAATGAATGCACAATATTATTTTATGTCGATATTTGACGATAACTCGTAGAAATATGTTGATGTATTTTTTTGATCAATCGTCCATTAAAAATTTTTGAAATCTGGAGACATCTGTGGTGTTAGGGAGCACTATAAAAGAACAAAATGATTTTGATCATTTCATCAGTCACTTTTTGAAAGAGAATATATCATTTGAAGATCATTTAAAGATCAATGTGAGTAAATATTTGGCTTTTCATTTTCTAAATTTGAAAGTTGAGTGTATTTTAGAAGCTTGATCTAGATAGAACATGTCGATGACATTAAACGAAGTAATCCAGATTTGTATTTGTAATATCGCTTTTTCTTTAGAAAAATGTCAATTACGAAGACTTTGTTCGCTGTTACCATGGCAATTGTTGTCTTAGAGATGCCTTCAGCGGCAGCTGTACGTGACGTACGTGATATATGCAACTACAAAATTGGTGGCCCTGCTTGCAGTGCCTGCTGTACTCGTGCGCGCAGGCATTGCAGGTTGTACTGTATGTTAAGTGGATGCGATGTTTCGAAGCCAGGTGTTTGTGATGTTACGAACAGCGATAAATACTTCATGCAATCCTTCAAAGCTAAAGGGTGTCAAAAATGTTCGTCTAGCGGTGACGCCGGCAATATGGATGATAGCATTTTGTCATTGGATGACTTCAACTCTATGGATTCTTGTACTTTTTGCTTACGTCAGGTTTTGAAAGCTTGCAATACACACAATTGCAACTCGGCAAATGTTCGCAAGGCTTGTGATAGCGTTTGTTTCAATTAACTTCAGACTCCATTTACATTTTACTTTCGTTTAATCGTAGTCATTGTGGTTAACTATAGTCACATATTACATTTATGAATAACGTCTTAGATAATGTATTTACGTCAAGATTAATTTTAAGATGTTAAAAATAAAGTAAACGATAAAAAGCATTCAATTATGCAAGCGTGTTTCTTTCTCAGACCAAACTTCGAACTCCTCTTTCACTGATGTATTGATTAAGTGAACCAAAACTACGTCATGAGACTAAAAAAAGGAAAACAAATTGTTCTCTCTGTTCATGATAAACTATTTCACCAAAATGTATGCCATACTTTTTGTACTTATCACAACACCACAGCGGGCGTCATTTCCACTAGTATTTGTACCGTCTTGTCCGCAGCTTGTTCCTTTCGCTCAAAAACCTAGTCTTGAATTATATTTGCAGACAACGTCACATTTGCTACTTGCAATTATCCCTAAACAAACACAAATAACCTCCTCAACCACATTTACACCTTGGCGACGACAACTGCCGTTGCAAAAGATCGAACAGAGATTTACTTCTCACATTCAACATTATCCAACCAAATTTTCCGTCATGTTTCATAACCAAACATATTTGTGTGAAAGATGTAGTTTGAATTGTGGATAGCTTTGTTTCAGAGTTGTCGTGTAATTACAAGCCATTTTCTGGATTGTATTCTGCTTTGTTGGTCCGGTAGCTAGCGTTATAAAACATAGATATAATGTATATTCTTTTATACACTATTGGGTAGCACGTACATTTGTTATTCAAAAACAAACTGCCTTCTTAGTCTTACATATAAAAATTTTTCCAACTGATGTAATCTTCCCTGCTAAATTATCACATTTTATGCGTTATTTTAAATCTGTGTTTGCTTTCTTTTTATAGCATTATTGCATGTATGTAATGCAGTATTATTGTAGCTACTTTGCTTATCAATTCAACGAATGTCTTACTATATGACCATCCATTCTCATGACAAGAGTCCAACCATTACATCCTGTCAGGGCGCCAGTCATATCGCAAATACTCGATCTGGAGTATCGTATATGATCCATCTAAGGAATTTCTAATAATGACTTGATTAATTATATATAGAACAGAGGAAAAACTAACTTATTTTATATTATTGTTTCAATAAGTGATTTGGACATAGTTGGTTACAACGAGGAGTGGAAAAAACCCTGTTATAACACTTACCAACTAAAAGAGAAAATTTTCTGACGTCTCTTTTCCTCTTATTCCTTTGCAAACGTGCATATCGTAACGTATGTAATGTACCGTGTGTATTTTTGTGAGATGATAAAACATCGTACATAAAATCAACATATAAAACTGTGTTTACTTGCGGATTGTTATAAAATATTTTCTTGCAGGTTATATCTATGGTTTTTGTGGAAAACAGAATGATGCCTGAAGTCGGTGACGTCATTTGTTTGGGACTAAATGGTACAACTGATGATATGTGTGACATGTTGGTCAGAGTGAGATTATCATAAAGTATCGTCATTGGGGCAGGATAGTTTATATAATCTTTCTTGACGTTCGAATCTAAAAGTAAAAATGAGATTTCGATGTATTAATGTAGTGTTGGCTTGTTTGAACTGTGGTTAACAAAAGATCGTATTTTCGCTTCTGTGAACTGATTTAGGGTATTTCTGTTATTAAATGTGTATAAGTATCACAATCATTTACCCAGGTGATGCATATAAACAGCCAATAGACTGTTTAGTTTACGAGTACTATCTGTTATGATTGATTTACGCTTCTTTTCAGCTGATTCTGTCCGCTAATTACGAACTGCAATCCTAATTTTTTTATTAACTTGAAATAGTATGTTGATCGTCGATCATCCGCCATTTGTCTACCATTAATTTCATCTTTGTCAAAAAACTTACTATTTTCGAATAAGTTGTTCACTCGAATAAAGTTAACTGCTCCGCAACAACCTTCTCGTGCACATTGCATATTACACAGTTTTTGTTTTCTGTCTGTATTCATAGGCGTTCCTTGCAGTTTTCGTTTTCTTTCTGTATTCATAGGCGTTCCTTGCAGTTTTCGCATATCCTTAATTCATATTGCAGTTTTGTCTGTATTCACTTGAATTCAACGTTCCTTGCATTTCTTTCTGTATCATATTGCAACAAAATCAATTGCAAAATGCAGATGCAGTAAATTTATAATCGTTTTCTGTATTCATAGGCGTTTCTTGCAGTTTTCGTCCATGAATCTTATGAAAGTATGTTGACGAACAACTTTTGCAGATAATTGAACAAAATTAACACCAAAATGCAGATCTGAGTAAATTTTAATTTATCCTCACCTTGAAGTGTATTGTTTAGATATGAAATATGTACAAATCTGAAAAGTATTTTTAACATTTAGTTTATGTAATATACACATATAACATGTGTTCTCTCTTCCCACTAAAGTAGTATTATATTACTTGACTTTTTTGTATACGACTTTAACTTACCCTTGAGGGGTACGTGATTTTTACTGGGATAAACTTACAAATGCTATCGGCTAGTGATATGACAGTTTGCTTTTCGCTGTAGTCAATGCTTTATTTTTCACTCTCATAATTACTGTGTGTTATTTGGAATAATTTACTTCGTTATTTGGAAATGAATTTCATCATAGTTAATTCTCAATCTTCATCCATTTTTAACAAAAGTCTCACGCCTTGTACATTTATTAAAACAAAGGGGATGCTCGGTTGTCACAAAGCTGATAAATTGAATCAGATTTGTTATGCATTGTCATGAAGATGAGATTCCAAATTTCATTTGGGTGATTTGGCGCAAAACATTAGATATGAAAAAGACTTGGAAACAAGAACAAAAATACACAAAATATATCGATAAATGTATGTATTTTGTACTGTAGTACACATACTGCAATTGCGATGCCCCTCAATGTTAGTACCCCTTCCCCCCGGAAGAATTTGACACCTGAGCCGTACCCGGAGGAAGGAAAGCATACAAGCGATAAAGGAACTATTCTAAGAAAATATCAATAACATGTTTATACCGTGATGTGCAAAGACTGCCAAGTTACGAACACCTAATGTCATTAAATAATGCTGTGGAGCATGTTAAATCTGATAATCTTCAAGAATACAGTTTTAAAGTATTAGTTGTTGGTGAAAAGTCAGTCGGTTAGTGTATTGGCATATTAAAATTTTCATGTATTGGATGTGCTTTAATAGAATTATTCTTTATTCGTTTTCTTTCTACATTTTAGGTAAGGTAAGCATTAATATACTGATAAAAGTATTGCATATAAAGTTATTCTGGAAAAGAAACAACATTAGCCCCATTTTAAGTCGATAATTAGTTCTTAATCGGAAGAGATGTAATTTTCTTATCTTTCGTGCAAGAGCAGACGTCGATTATTCAACGCTACACGAAAGGTAAGTTTGAAATGATTGAACGTGTGGTAGCAGAAATTTGAACATCTTCATTTACGTCTTGAAATTGTCAGGGGAATTTTTCAGAAAATGTAAACCCACATTGGGAGCTGATTTTGCCTCGAAAGTAATTGATTGGGACTCAAAAACACAAGTACATCTTCATCTATGGTAGGTACCTACCGGTATTTCATTTCATCATTTTAACTGATCTTTGTTTTAATTGACTGTTATAAATTTAGGGACATTGGTGGTCATGAGAGATATGGTCATATGACCAGAGTTTACTATAAGTATGCGTAAGTTAATGATATTTCATATTTTTTATGTATGTTGATATTACATTACATTATGATGGGTTTCCATTGTATAGAATGGCAGCATTTATTGTTTTTGATCTGTGCAGGTATTTATACTTTAGTTTTAATCCAATTAGATGTAAAAGTTTTATTATATACTTCCTTGGATGGTTTTTTCAGGCCTAACACATGGAATATGGTCTTAAAGGTATGCAATTCTTGTATGAAATTATTTTTTTTACATTTTGCATTCTAATTAAATTTGAAGGTTCATCAGACATAATATTTAGACATGAAAATTGTTTCAATAACCATTTTGTCTAGTGGTATGATGATTTAAAACAAAATGTCTTGACTGAAGATGGAAGCACTATACCTATTGTGCTCTTGGCCAACAAGGTATGTTTGTGACTAACTTGGCTTTTTAGTTAGTTAAGTTGAGATTAAATATTTTCCCTTGTTTTACAGTGTGACGAAGAAGATGCTAAATGTGACAACACTATCCTAACAACATTTTGTGATGAGCTTGGCTTTAATGGATGGTGATTACTACTTGTGTGGGATAATAAACTTACTCTTCATAGTCTTTTTTTTTCTTCTTTTGAACGAGTATTTGCATTTTTTTGAAGGTTACCAGTGTCAGCCAAGACTAATAGAAATATTGGTAAAGAGCATGTTCAACATGTTTTCTTTTTGCTTTGTTCATATCAAAGAGCATTTACAGTCTATTCTATTCTAATAATTTTAGATGAAGCAATGGACTTAATTATAAGAGAAATTTTTACTAATCAGCCTGAAAAGAAGTGTATTCGTCCAGGTACTCCTTGGTTTAGGGCAGAAAGTCCCATGCCAATGCAAGATATTGCTGTCTATGGTAACGACAAAGAAGAAAATATGCATTCTGTGGTCGCAGGCAATGAAGCTAAACAAAGTAGATGCTGTTAATAATAGCTAGGAAAATTAAATCTTGTCCATTTATAGGCATTGTGTTGTAGGAAAGTGCTATGAAATAGCATGATAATTTTAAAAACAAAACATTTGTTGATTTAGCTGATCATAAATAAATAATTTTAGTATTCACCTTAGTATACAATACTCAAGGATTTTTTACATTGTATTATAAAAAATTTGTAATTGAAGTAGTCTCAAAGTTAAAGCTACATGTTAATTCACAGTAAAATTTCAATATGATATGGGTGTCATTTTTTTGTCCCAGATATCAACCCTTCACTTTGAATTTGCTGCTGTTCTTGTAATCGTAATGTTATTCTTTGAGTCATCTTAAGATACTTTTCAGCGCAATTCATCACACATTTGTTCTAAATAATATAAATTTCACATTACTCATTAACATGATAGTCATCATCAGCATAAAGTCATTTCAGACCAACCAAATCCATGTGAAACGTCACAGATGAAATATCCAACAAATTAGGAGTTATGTGAATTGATTCAAGGGACTGTGCGATTTGTTAATTTTGTATAAATTGGACTTATTTCGATATAAAATATACCTCATTTACTGAAATAGTCCTGTTCGTAAAATCTTGTATACAGTCCATAAAGCAACTTTCTGATAGTTTATTATAAGATTGCAAAAACGATTGGATCTAAAAGGTACGAAAGTAAATTGCAATTCGTAAACTAAACTTAAATTTTTATACTGTTTACTAAACTGTCATTACCTGTTTTATGTCTTGATCTTGACCGACCTGATTCAAAGTCATTTTTGTTACGGCTTTTTAATAAGAATTTTCTTATACTTCTGCTAATGTAAGTTCTGTACTCTTCATAATTGTTTGACTTTCTGAGGGACTGAAATTTACTCCGCCATATTCCTCACTGGCTCATGCACGGTGGTGCAAAATTTTAACTGGAGTGATGTACATGTGCTCATCTCGTGCTTACAGTTCTGTAATTGGTTATAATTTTTCCCGCCTAAAATACTTTTCATTTTACAAGTTTTAGAGAAGATGGCGAATCCGAAGATGTTGAATCCGAAGATGTAATAAACGTTGGAGTTGAAGAAGATTTTGTGGGTAAGTTTTGCGGTCGGTCTATTTCTGTTTGAGTTTGAAATAATAATTGAAGAGGATATAATTTCAAACAAACCAACAAGCTCGCCTTCACCTTGGAAAAGGAGTTATGTTTTTAGTTGATAAACTGAATATTAGTGTTTTAGTTCAAAGCATAATTCCAGTTATTTCCAAATTTTTCATCAAGTAATCTCTTTTTGATTCGGTCATTTTCAGCCGTAACGCGCTTCATGGATTCTTTGTTGAATACTATTTTCTCTAAGCGACTGCGTGAAGTATTGGAGCTTTTCTTTATATCTGTAAGTCCTGAATATTTTCGCTTTTTTCGCTTCTTTTCCATGTGACTTCCAAGGTCTAGGCCAGTTGCCATTTCAATATCTCTGGTTACTTCTGTAATTTCCTTAGCCCCGGAGCCTGGTAACTCATCAGTAGCGAATTTTGGCTGGCCATTTGATTCACGGGCAATGATTTGGCCATGAAATGGGCACTTTAATCTGTTTTGAAAAAAAAACCAAAAAAACAAAACAATATGACCCTGAAATCTGAAACATCTTGATTCTACAGATGTCTTGCTGCTAAGTTTGTCGAAACGTAAGTTCACACTAACAGCAAGGACTATAATAGCCTGGACAATCTATATCTACAAACATGTAATACACTTCGCGTAATAGTTATTAATAAAAAATACCTGTCCCTTCTTGGACATAGTTTTCCACTTGGTAATGGAGCACGACATGTCCATTTCACTTCTTCAAAATGTCCAGAAAATGAAATACTTCTTGATTTCATTGACTCCTTCATGTCACTTGGAAAATGGTCTTCATTTTCTTCGTTAGGATGGGCCCAAAAACAGTGTAATGATTTAAGGTCACTAAATGGCGGAGCTTCATCATCTTTTCTCTCCCAATTATACAAATCCATGCCAAAAGGCACCACAGGTGCTTTCTTTAATAGTTTTTCACGTTTGATCTTGCTGTCATCACATGTTTGTGACGATGAACTTTTCTAGAGAAACATTAAAATTATTATCTATTTTCAATAAAGATATGGCTTGTTAGAAGCAAAGGTTTAATAAGAATGAGGCTATGAGATCATCTCAATTTTAAAATCATCCAATGACAAGCAAGGCTAGTACACAGAACGCATTTCTTTTAATCATAATACATTGTATTAAAAATCTGCATTTGACATACTGGAATATCCTCTTCTCTGCTCTTTGAATTTGTAGAGGTGTAACTTGATTTCTGTTTAGTAGGTTTCATATTAATTTTTTTCTCATGTTTTTGGAGAAGTGATTTGATTGCAGTTACTCTTGCCGTTGGATCCCCAAGTGATGATAGATCACCATTTGGATTCCATGAAACTGCTGATTTCTTCTTAATTTCTAGATCAAAAATAGTTTAAAATCAAACAGAATTCCAAGGAGCTTGGCAATATCAATTCACATGTTTCATGCAGCTACTGGAAATGATGTGACTCAAACATTCTTGGTTATATTAGGCCCAGATTATACCTTTTGCTTTGTCATGTTGAAGAATTTGTTTCACTGGCTTAAGACCATATTCATGCCATCGATTTTCTGATATGTACTCTATGCCTTCTTTCTCAGCAACATCAATAAAGTGATCTGTTTCTTGATCCTCTTTTTCTTGATCAATCTTTGAAACAATTCTTAGTTTATCATACTTGTATTTCAAGTCAGTCAATAAGCTTTTCAGGTCTATTGCCTTAATAAGATTGACATGTTGCTCTGAATGCTTTGTAAGAATCTCCAGCCACTTTTGTGTCAAAGGAAGATATTTATCAACAAGCTGTTTGTGAAGTTCTCTTAGTGTGTTCAAAATGTCAATGTTGTCAGTTGATTCTTTTATTTCAATAATGTTATTAATAGGAATGGTGAGTTTAAAGGATTCCATGGACAGGCCATGATCATTTTTCTGGCATGGTGGTAATATGCCATCATCACCAGTTGAAAACATCGGACTTTGTTCATTATGTTTCTGGGAAATATGTGTTATTCCAGTACTTGTACTGGGAATATTGCTATCAAATGTCAAGGGGTATTTTGCATTTTCTTCATCAAGCTGTTGTATCTCAAACTCTTCAGGTTTTGGTAATATGAGACAAAAACAGCTGTTCATTTCTTTAATGAAATTTTGCAGCTCTGCTGTTGTCTCATTCATCTGATTAAGAATTAAGTTTAATTTCTGTCTTGCTAAATTAGACCTTCTTGTTTCCAAATCCTCAGCTCTTAACCTTTCTAATTCTGTTTGTGGCTGTGAACTGGTAAAATTTATTTTTTTAACCGTCTTTAGATATGTATACCCTAATTCTAGTTTTATATAATACTTGCCATACTTTTCATGCCATCTTTCAATGGCTTTTAAAGCATCGGTTCTTAATTTTAAGGCAACAGCCCGAGGCTCGGGCAATGGCGTTTTCGAGTTTACTCCTGTGGTGAGGCAAAAAAACTCGTCAAAATCGTCCAGAAGTAGCTCTCGAAAAGTATGAGATCTTGAAAATATTTCGTCAATAATTTGCAAAGTTGAAAGTCGTATTTCTGAGTGTCGTTTTTCCAACTGTATCCTAACCATTCGATACAAATGACGAACATTTTCATCAGACTTTTTGCAAATTGACTTGACCCTTCTGAAAAGTTTGTCATCCAGTTTTTGACTTCCAGATGTGGTTAAAGACTCAATGAGTTCTGATAGTTCTTGTTCTTTGTCAAAATTTGACATAATACGTTCGTTGAAACTATATTTTCATAAAACATATATTTTATGTTGTTGACATACTAGAAAACGAACGACAATATTGCATCGTCATTCACGATCAGTGGAAGGTAGTTTTGTGCGCATGCGCTCTTTGTTTTGCGAGAATCAATCGTAGCCAAACAATATGGCGCGGGATTTTACGATTGGTGATATAAAGTGACGGCTTAGCTTTACTTTTTTACAAATGGCCAAAGCACAATAAGAAAACAATCATCAAAGAAACAGCAGCATGCTATACTTTTTTTCTTCGTTTTTGTCTTTTTAATGTATGTCAATTACAAAAGTACAAATAAATGGATGAAAACAGGTCCATTGCAAAGTTGAATGAAGTGTCAGAAGAGGATGTAATTCATCTTTTAAACCATAAAAAGCAAAATGGTCGTGAAATTTTATGTGTTACGAACGCTGCTGCAAATGCAATTGCTTGTCATTTATCAGGGCAAACAAAACGGGTTAAAACAAATAATGCCAACAAACTTACTGCAGACGATAAGGAGAACCATTTGAATAAAAGCACAAAACAATCTGTTTTATCCATTGGTTCAGGTGATGCATACTTCCATGGTGAAGAAAGAGTAAGAGTACCCTCTCGTCTTCTACGTGAAATTAAATCACCTTTAGACAGAAGTGGTGGTGGTAACACATCAAGTACATCAAAAGATACTTCAACTGGAACTTTGTTTGCCAGTCAATCAAACAGTAAGTTTTAAAACAAGCAAAACAATTTTTTAAACGTATTTAAATAATTATGTCATCTATGTTCTAAGTGAAGCTGATGTTATGTCTAATTTAGGTGATCAGTCTTTTTATAAAACAACCAATAGCTCCACAAAAATTGTGAATCAAGCATCAAAATATGCTCATCCTACACAAAAAGAAAAGAAAAAGCATCAAAATCCTGTTATCAATTATTTGCCAGAAACTTCTTCATCAAACTTAAAAGAATCCTCTTTAGCCAGTAGAAGTCCAAAGTTATTCAAGAGTAGGTTCAATGATGATGAACATGTACCGACACATGACACAAATAAGGAAAAAAATGAAGAGTGCAAACCTTTGCAAAGCCAAGAAAATAGAATTTTACCAAAATTTACCTACAGAGAGCAAACTAAGTTTCTTCATCAGGGATTACCATCTGATGATTTGTCCCACATGCACTTGCCAGACACAGGTAAAAAAATGACATTTACCACATTATGAATTTTTTTCATCAACAACCACTTTATTTATCAGGTGAAGTTAAATCTCTTTCCTTCAATGTGACTGCAAAAGAAAAAGCAATAAGAAACATGCTTACAAAAAAGTGAGTTTGGAGAGTCATGCAATTCACTATGCCCATTGAAATAGGTATAGTATTGGTTGCAATGTGAATTTGTTATCTAGGCAAGAGCATGGTGCTGCAGTACGAAAAGTAGTTCAGCCAAAGATTGTTGAGGAAATTCAGGTACCAGATGTGTTGAAACCAACAGTTTGTAAAGAAAATAAAGCTGGTAGTGAAACCTCTGATAAACACCAACAACCTTCAAAGGAAACTGAACAGGTAAATGGATAAAGATTTATTTATTTATTTTTTTACAAATCTATAGTTGTTGTAGTGAGTGAACACTGAGAAAATTACATGGAAGGACCAAATTAGCAGGCTGGCTGTTCCAGAGTACATGGAATGAAGTTGAGTTTCTTTGGCAACTCCAGATCATATCTTACTAGGGGTCTATTACTAAATTACTAAATGACTTCAAAATTTGGAGCAAGAAGGGGTCTGGGAACAAATTTCTTAACTTGAAAATGGTGGAAAAGTTATTGGGGGTGGGGTACTCCCATGGGTAACACTGTCACTGTCTTTGTGATGAGGAGGACTTATATACAGTTACATCGTGGAAATTGAAAGTTATAAGTTCTAACTTAATTTTTTGTAAAATTTTTCTAGTTTTGCCTGCGACTAGGTGGATTTTTTTGCTTCTGCTTAAAATTTGAAATAAAATCAGTAGTACAACTAATGGTTTTGTTCTAAGATCTTTTAAGTTGCAAGTTCTAATTTACTTGGACCAATCATTCAAAATTGCGCGATGAAAAAATTATCCGCCCTACGTGGGGCTCGAACCCACGACCCTGAGATTTAGAGTCTCATGCTCTACCGACTGAGCTAGCCGGGCAGTTGAGGCAAGGCAGGAACAGTTTGCAAGATAATATTGACTATAATATTTTGGTTCTCTTTTGAAACTTTAGGTTCTTCAATAAATTTTTGTAGGAACGTAATGTAACTTATAAGTAATGTTGTACTAAGTGAGATATTGCATCCAACCACAGAACGTTTATCATGGCGTAAAGCCTCATCTTTTATTGCCGTTTTCCCATATCTTCCATTAACCGTGTATAGCATGTGCTGGAACACGAGTCTTATCTACTGCAGATTGCGAGCGGTTTTGAAGAGAAAATGAATAATGTTATGAACACTTTGACTTCGATTGAAAACCACTGCGAGCAGTATCGCATCTGGCAAGAAAAACATGAACAAATTTTGAAAGTAGATATTCGACAGCGAGATGAAAAAAGGTTACAACACTTAGAAGAAATGCAAAAACATCTTGTTGAGTATCAGGTTGGTATAATGAACTTTCAATTACTGAAGAGTTGATTTTAATTGTTTGATGTTATATCGCAAAAATTATCATTTCAAAGCCAGAAAATTGAGCTGTTTACTTGCTTTATTGTTGTCACTCACTTGATTTGCGAGACTTTGTGTTTTTAGCATCATGAAGTTAGGTTTGGATGTGAAATATTGCACAACATTATTCATGCAGAAAGGACAGAATTTGGGAGATATTTGTTTGCTAGTCATTGTTAATTGTTTTTATTGTAATTATCTTCATAACGATACTCCCGGGTTCAAACCATTTACTTTATTTTCATGACTAGTTACGTAATTCTCAACCTATAACTGCTTCTATGGCACATGCAAGCAACGTTAATGGAATGGCACAAGATGCAAATAAAATTGATAGTCATCGATTACGAACATCAGAGGCTGTAGCATCAGCTGACATCACCTCCAACTTGCAGAATGATTCGATTCTTTCCACAACAAACTATACCAAAGCAGTTGAACACAAGACACAGCCAAGTTTCAAGACTACAGCATATGGCAGTGTTTCATCTGAGGAAAAACCAAAATCTGGTAACATTAATTCTTTCCACACGTGAAACATGACATATTTAGTTTACAGACGTTTAACTTACATTACAAGCAAACTCTACATGTTTACATCAGTTGTTTTGTGCATGCAAAATTTTCTCTCAATTCGGCAATTTTTTCTGAAGACGTCAGGCTTTTTTTGCACTTCGCTCCGAGTTTCTGCTCAAGCACGATACTGATGGCAAATGCTGAGGTGATGATGTTTTCTAGGGGTAAAACGAAAGTTTGTGCGCAACACTCGTACTCAGACCTCTCTTAACTCTTCGTCAGACACATCGTCACTTCTGGATACCCCTCTTCCTCGGAAATGTCATCCGGTACCGATCACTCGCGATTGGAAGTCTGACCGATCAAAGAAACGCGTACACTTTGACACACTCGATAAAACAAACATGAAAAATACAACTAATATAACAGGTATGTCTTTAACAGAGTATTGTTACATAGAGATAGAGGTATTTAACCATTATATTTTTATTTCTTATGAATGGACCAGGTTACCGTTAACCTAAGAATGACGCTAAGATAAATTAAAATTTACAATCTTAGTTAATTGCTGCAAACTTTAGACGGGTCTTGTCTAGTTTCTGTTCAATTTTTCTTGTTTCATGTAACCAATGTTAATGATCCTTTTTATGCAGCCAACCCAATCACATCTGTCGAAAGTCGGAGTGAAGCTACTGTTAGACAATTAGCAAGCACGGGAAGGAATTCTCGTTTATCACTGGAACATGAAAGGTAGGCATTTGAAGTCATATTAAATGAAGGGTCATGGAAGGGTGGGCGTATGATATCGCATGAAATGAAGGGTGGCCTTATGACATCATATAATGAAAAAGGTTGGCATTTGATATCACATCACATGATATGAAGCCTTGTGACGTCATATGATGTGAACGGTAGAAATATGATATCGTTAAATCATTCCGATTGTTTACTCATAAAAGAAAGTTTTATTTTGTAAGCAGTAAGCACTAATGGTATAGACCAACTGAGTTCGTTACTCGTGATGCAATATGTTGTTTTTCACACACACACATACACACGCGCGCGCTCTATGTGATGTAATATGTGTTTAGTATTTATATCTTTTCATCTAAAATTAATAAAAGACCGTATGCAGTTATATTCTCATCGCGGCGGAATATAAGCTTGAAAAAGTTCTGTGTTTTTCCGCAAAATGCGTGTGTATGTTTTGTACATGATGAATGCATTTGATGAATGTTTTGTCGCATTCCTCCTTCCGTTTATAAAATGACATGTCATGACAGTCAAAATATCTAGTGGAAACGATTGTATCTCCACGCTTGTATAATTATTGAAAAACATATGCGTTGTACGCTTAGCAAGACTGCCATGTTCATGACGTCATCATGAACATATGTTATGGCTATTTCAAGAGATAAGAAGATTTTTAATTCGACGGTATTATTTCGTGATGAAAATTGTTGTAATAGCGCTCATGATCATTTCATTTATTTTTGAAATCAGAGTTATTCTTCAAGAGGGCACTTGTGTCATGATGAAAAATCACTAAATAATGAATATTTTTCAACGTGAAAAAAAACCACTTTCGTTTGATATGAATGGATGGGGATAGATAAAGACATGTCATATAATACTTGATGTTTACAGCATGCTTTATCGGGGATTAATTTTCTTTGTATTATCACATTATCAAAGCATAAAAATTATTTCTTATGCCTCATGTTTTGCATAAAAGTATCAACTCCGCTTTAAATAAATGTATTACTTAATTGCTTGAAAAATTAACGTCAAATCTAAACAAGTATTGCATTCCCGGCGTCTACACGTGACCGGAAGTGATGACGTTTTGTACTCGGGGTCTTAAAACATTGTGTGTTGTTATGCAGTCATACATCACAATCCTTATTTGTATTAATTACATCTTTGCCTGTTTCGGATGCCATGTCGTGTGATTATTCTAAAATAAACTATGGAATAGTCTCGAAAGTTCATCTCATTAAATCTGTCTGCTTTCGTTCTCATCACGGAGTCGTTCTCAAATACTTTTTGATTTAAAAAATATGTTAGAAATATTGTTAATGCGAGTACGTTTTTTGCAGAGTGATTTTCTTTGTTTTGCGATCAAATAAAGCATGATTCATGTATGGCTTCCTCTTTAAGGCAGAAATTGAAAAATATCAAATTTTGGACCATATTTCTGCTCGAGTTTGCGCTGACTAAATTATAATTTTATATGATGTCCTTAATATATATTTTCGATCCATTTTTCGGTTGCAACTCCTATAAACAACATAATTTTTTTTAAGTTTTGTGACGCGTTAGCCTTCCTTTATAAGCACATATTGAGTGAGGTCATCAATACGCAATTTTTGCGCAGAAAAGCTATCAACAATTTTCGCAATGTGTGAATATTAAGCATGTCGACTGCCAACATTCCTATCACACTTGTCAAATTCATTTCATAAATCGGTTAGCCTAATGAAATCTATCATATGTTGTGGAGAGGGCAAAAAAACAACATTTGATCATGTGAATGTTGATTTTCATATCAAGACTCAAATGGCTAGCACCTTGGCAATGATTCTTTTAAAGATCACATATCATGATACAACATGTTTCTCAGCACGACAGAATTTTTGCAGCAATTTGTTGCACTCAAACTGGGTGGCGTGGCGCCTTAGCGCAGACTCGTCAACGTCCGTGCTTTCACAATGAGAAGCACCACTGCTTATATGGCACCCTACCATGAGTTGGCGCCTTTATGTATATCATTTATCATGTTGTGTGCTGGTGCATGTTATTGATGTGTGCTTATATCATTCCGTCTATAATACTTATGCAAGTAAATATATGTACTGTTCCTCATTTATGTATCATTTCCATTTCTGTAGTTTATTCTTGCATCTATTTACATCATTATTTTTGATCAATTGATTTTACTGTACAAATTAAATACATTAGTCTGAGTTAAAATGTGAGCTTAATAAATAGATTACAATATAAAACTAGAGAGTTTTTCACTTCAAATGTACACAATTGTATTTCTATATAAGAGTGTGAAGCTTTGTGAACATGGGTGAGGGAAGAAAGAGGGGATATAGTTATTGTTCAATGTCCATTTGTCCATTTGTCCATTTGTCCTGCTGCGTATCAATGTTGACATTCTATCTGACCAATATTGTATATATTATTAGATTAAAATGTCACAGACATGCCATGCCACCAAATTACTAACGGAAACCAGATTAGGGCACCAAGAATTCATATGTGATACGTCCGTAGTTTGTGTAATTATAACCGTCTTAACCACATACAAATAAACGTCGGTATCTTTGAAGTTTGTAGCTACGATATATTTGCTATACTGCTCATTGCATCACCCAGCATGGGGGCGTTTTTAAACAATCTTTTAAGATCTATCGGTGGAATGCAATTTTAGTGATTAAAATAGGCAGGTGATCAGGTACTAGTTCACTCTAACACGCAGGATGGTTAATGTTTTGCTATAACATAATATAATTATTTCTTTTGAATTTTTTTATTTAATTGATATGATGAGAATGTATGAAAAGCGATGAAATGAATTTAAAAAGTAGATATGTTGCATAGTATACTTAAGTGCATTTATCTATTGACGATAACATCGTTGAGCTAGAACTTTCATCCTCGTGTACTTTAAGATTTTTGGCTCGACATCAAATAGCTCTATTGTCTACAGACAAAATTTATTCAAATCCGTCGTCGTCAAAGAGCTAAAGAAGCATTTACGAAAGTATGATAATTATTTATCAGCAGGGGTTCAAAGCGTCGCATTTTTCAAGCCATACGATACGTAAACAATATATGCTGAGTAAATGAATGAATTATGGATGATCAATGTTTTCTGGACGCATCCATGGCGCTGTTTTAGAAGCCACGTTACGTAGGTATGTGCGAAAATGAAGACAATGTGATTACAACTCTCAACAATACACCTCACATGATGCTATGCATGATTTTATCCTTTGACCTTAATTTTAGCGCACATGGCATACGTTATGAAATCCATATTTTAAAACTGAGCCGTTCATTGTTAAGCATAGAAATTGACCATAGACAAGATAAGTGTGGTCTTGTCTGTTTCTCCTACTCCTGAATAACCTCAATCAGGCACCACCCAGAATGCCTAAATCAATTCTTTATAGTTACCGCGATGTAAATTGCAATGGATTTGACGGTTGGATTATATCCTTCACTCTTGTTTCCGTAATATATTTCGTCAAAATCCCATTTAAGCCAATTGTCAATAATGAAAACAACAAGGTTATAGCCTGAGGTTATTTGGACATAATCAAATTGCCAAGAGTTGTTTTAGCAACAAACTGAGCATTATTGTGCTAAGAGATATTGGATGACATATTGCTGTAAATGTGACGAACAAGCAATTAAATTTGGGGATGTTACTCGGCGTCATAAATGAACAAAGCATGTTCTTTGAATGCGATCTCTTGGACGTTGTAATGATCAAAATTATCCGTTAGTACTACTAGTTCCGCTTGAGAAAAGGAAGAAGTACGTTATTCTCTTGGATAAGGACCACTGTGCCTCATGTGGAAGGCTTTGTATCTGATACAGTCACTTTCAAAAGAAGTGGAGATTACATTTCTTAAAGTACGATATATGGTTTAGTGAGATTTTTGTTCTACTGTTAAGTGCTCCCTCCCCCACACACACGCCCCTCTCCAGCTTGCCAAGAGCATGCTTTCTGTCATTCCTTTACACGTCTTCCACGATTGAAGACAAGAAGTTTGACTTCCCGTAATATGAAATGTTCTTCCTCCAAATTGTCTTGCACATGCAAAATCTGTTTTGATATTGATATGGTCACGTTTCCTGCCTTGAATGTAGTAAAGATTGACGTTGCAAAGCGGAAATCTTTTATGACGAGTGTCTAGCAATTCGCATTTCTATTGGTTGACCGTGACCCTCACTATAATGATCAATTAACGTCATTGTAAGTCGTTGTCATAAAAATGAGATCATTCATTGATTTGCTTTAAAAATAGATTAGGCAGCAATGTTGGCTAGAAGCCATGTGAATGATAATGAAGGGTGCGCGGTTAAGGGATGGCTTGAGTTGCCTGTGTTGGGGGGGTATGTGGACCAAAATAAATAAAGGTTTTACGATTTCTCCTTTAATAATTGTATTAAATATGAAAATGCAATGGTTTTGTGGTGTAGACGTTGTGGTTGATGATTTTCTTGCCAAAGACAAAGACCTACTATAACTCTTAAAAAATGGTCTACTTCACTTCATGTTCTTTTGATAAGCTTAGAATGTCTCTGATTTTGGGCGAGTTAAGGATCTTTATTGTTGTGATGCGCTTCATGCCCCCTTCTTTGATTAGCTCTTGAACAAGCGTTTTACATGTCATGAAAACGAGGCCAAGCAACCTTTGTAAGGTCATGTGTTTGACTTTCCGAAGGGATACATATGTCACTAAACTGACAATTTACTCTGTAAGGAAATAATGTCATATCAGCTCTTGAGTTTTTGGGTGCGATTGTTGTGTCATTGTTGAAGAATATATTAAGTTCTTTCTCTTGTCCGAAGGTCCGAATAATATTTGCTTCATTATATTTCCTTTCAATGATTGTAGAAATATTTTGCGATGAAAAACAAGTCTAATCCCACACATTTTTTCTTCATAATTTGACAGACATATTAAAGGCATGATCTTTCCATTATTTTTAATCTTATTGCCATTACCTCGGCACGAAGTTTGGTTGGTTGAACTTCCACTTGAGAAATTAGAAAGTTGTTGATGTATGTATTTACACACTGTAGTAAATCCAAGTGCGACGTAACGTTAATTGCACACCATTGATCTGATGCAGATCAAGGTGTCAAACTTTCAAATCATATTTGTAATCAAAGACTGATTGCTTCTAGGATTGTACTGTGTTGGGCAGGCTAACTACGGATGGCGAAGTTTAAAAAGCGTATCACCCCCGCGTGATTAATTATTTTGTACTTTGAACGGCATTTCTTATCGTTTGCTCGTTGTGTAATATATTTTTGGGCACAATGGTTTTCTGGAAGTATGACGCAGTCATGTTTATCAGTCGTGATGATATTTTTCATCAAATGTGTTATTTTGCAATACGCCATTTTAATGCTTCGTAACATTACATACACCAATACAATGTTTTGTTGTAATATGCAAATTTTGGTGTTTTAATGAATAAATAACAGCGAAAAGATAATGGCCTGTTTAATTACTTGCATGTGAACTGAACCTCAAACGACAAAAGAATGTCACTATCAATGACATCATGGACAACTCTACTATTATGATTAGACCTTCGTTAGCTATTCAACATTGACGAGTTTTACTGACAGCACAGAAAATTGCCTATTTGTGTTTAGGTTACAATTCCTTTCCCTTTGTAGTATGGAACCCCTGTGATGTTAAAAGCCACACGAGAACATGATGCATGCCAATGCGTGTGCGAATGTAAACGTGTGATGGCTTTTCTTTACTTGTTTGGATTTCAAAGCAAAGCCGACAGCGAATAAAAAATGTGAAACGTGGGCTAGACCATGACGTCACACGGTGGAATCTCACTTTAGAAAGATTTCTGACAAGTACTCCTATTGGGAGCTTCCGCTTTAACGTAAAAACGACGTGGCTGTATAGAACATTACATCTTGCGAACTGCAGCTTCATCGTAGTCTACGTGTAACGAAAAAATATTTCTCTCTACCCCAGCTGCCTGATTTGGACATCGCTGATAGTAACGCTTTACTGACGTTATAGCTTGTTGAATGTTTGAATATTTTTGTGTGACGTAACGTAATTTGTCGTTGGCCAAGAAAGAAAGAAAGCCGCCGTTGTTGCGTGGCTGTTTGTGAACTAACATATCAAGTCGTCGCGATTTAAATAGTTTTTCTATCATATTTTTTAAGTGTCAGTCAGTTGTCTCTACTGTTTTGTGAATGAGAAGGGAAGACGGCGAAATGTCATCGCGGGTTTACCGACAACATTGTTATTTGTGTGATCTACCTCACACACCATGGGCAATGCTAACAGAATTCTCAGAGCCGATATGTCGAGGTTGCTGTAACTATGAAGGTGCCGAACGTATTGAATACGTTATAGAACATGCGAGGACGTTGAGAAAAAACTACGAATTAGAAAAGGCAAAAGCAGAACAAGGAAATTATTCGAATACTTCGCCTAGCCCGCCGTACGCGTCCATGAATGGACGTGCTCCAGCAACTAGCCCTAATAGCGTAATGGCCCAACGCAAATATTTTGCTTCTAATGCAGCTTATGCATCGGCCATGGGTCGTGGTGAACCTATTCCTAAAGGTATTTCGTCTAGTTTATATCCTTCTCGTGTTAGCGCGGCACCGTTGCCATTAGTGAAAATCGAAGGGAACCCGAATGGTCGTGGCTACGCTCTGCCTGCCTCTGTTAGCATGAATGCCGTAATTTCTAATGTTAGACAGCCGAGTGAATGTGACGATGCAACAAGAAAAGGATTTCCTTCTGCTTTGGTTGCCGGTTTTCCTCATCCCGGTGGACATCACGAAGAACAGCCAAGACTTGTACGGGAAACACTGGCAACATTAAATCAATCTACTCCATTTGATTTGCGTTTTAAGAAAGATCCATCGCTTCGTGCCAGAGCAATGCATTTCGACGTATTTAACAAATCACATGCACCGGGTCTAGGCGATTTCGAAATGAAGATTTTCATCGAGTATCCTTACGGGTCTGGGAATTTCATACAAAGTGCATCTGGCGCAGCAAAACAGATGCAAAACGACAGTATTAAAGATGTTGTAAAGAGTAGTGCTTCGTCTGGCTGTAAGGCATTGGAATACGAGAAAATACACGGCTCTGGTGAATGGATTACTCTTAGTGACTTAATATCAGAGAGTGTACGGTGTTTCAAAGAACCTGTAAACACAGACTTACTACCAACGCCTTATCGTGAAGGCGACATAGCAAATTCTCCTTATATTAGTAGAAATCGCGTACCGCGAAAACGAAGAGTGACGCCGGATTTGGATGGTGAAAGCGATCCCATGGCGAAGCAAGCAAAAGATGATCAAAAAAGAGCCGGCGATCCTAGTAAAAATGTCATGTCATCCATGGGCCTTCCTTCCAGTAACACAAGCACAGCAATTCCTTCCGCCTCGGTACCACCAATGGTGTCAACAAGACCAGGAGGGGGTCCAGGTAATGTTGACAGTCGAAATCGTGGCATTCCTGATCATAGTCGACTACATAATGGAATAGGTGATCCTATGAGCGGAGGGAAAATGCCTCCAACATCGTCTATGGACAAGAACTCTGGTATGGGTACTGTCAAAGATCAGCCAACCGTCACTCCTGGTGTTTTGACTTGTGTATTATGTAATGGACGATTAGAAGATACTCATTTTGTACAATGTCCTTCAGTAAGTCATCATAAGTTCTGTTTCCCATGTTCTCGTAAAAGTATAGTTTCTCAAAAATCAGAATCGGCAGAGGTGTTTTGTCCGAGCGGTGAACGTTGTCCCCTGCAAGGCAGTAATCTACCATGGGCTTTCATGCCTGAGGAAATTAAGACTATAGAAGGTTATGGAGTAACACAAAATGGTAAAGACAAAGAAAAGTAAAGTGTTGCTACAATTGGAGATGATGTGAAAGCTCCTCGACGTCCTTGAACGTTCTTGTCATTTTCCCAATTCGATTTCAATGTTCAAATTTTATGATTGTGTTCTGCGTTGAAAATTTGTAATATAATTCCTTTAAAATGCTGAAACTTGTGTATAGGGCTTGATTACATTAAAAGATATTCATTACTTTCATTTTCTGCGGCAGTTTTTCCTAAAGGTTTTTATGTTTATTCCTAGAATTATTTCGTATAACTGAAGAATGTGTTAAATATGCCCTTTTTGGGCTGAGGTCCTTTCTCTATTTGTATATATTCATCCATTCAAATACAAATACGTATTACTTTTACAAAAATTTACAATTATTGGAAGTATAATGAGATTTTCGTAAAAAGCTTGCAAACGTGTCTCGCATTACATAACCAATAGTTGATAAATATTCAATTGGACTTAAAAAAGTAAAGCGTCTGTTCTATTTCAAATATTTGACTGTCCGTCTTTAATTGGGTAAGCAATAATCGCATACAAAGTAATGTATTTTCCTGTCAACAGCATATCTGATAGAAGTTGTATTCACCCACTTGTTTTCCTCCAAATGAAAGCTGTTTACCTTATGTTCTGCATTTATCTTTACAGAAAATGTAATACATGGTTTGATAAATCTCATCAGAATTTCTCATGATCTATGGAATTAAATTTTAAGGAAAGAAATAGAGATATTTCTTTTGAGTGTAATGAACACAATCAAAAACAAGTATAACTTGCCATTTACATTGCAAAACTCTTCTTTTCTGTTTGACTCACGAAAAGTTAGAGCTTGGACTTTTTGTCGTGATCAATAACGAAGTCATATGTTGTTTCCACATCCAAATCTGTGCCACGTTTTATCGAGAGTAAATCTTCTCATTTTTTTTTTATCATCCACGCCGCGAGTACACATAATATTTTATGTTTATCTACGCCATATCTTATCGTATTTCTCTTAATGTTTTACTAAATTTTTTCATGTAAATATTGAATGCATGCTGTGGCTGTTAAATAAGGTAAAACTCTGTTTCATGTGAGGATGCGATAGATAAATATCAATCGTTACTCTTTTTACCTCAAAAATATGGATAAGAATTTTATCATTTGTCGTCAGGTGGTTGTGGTCAAGTTGTTACTAGACGCAACAGACATGTCTTCAACATAATTCCCACTCAATTATTTTCAAATATAAAATTATGCATGTATGAAGGAAATAATTAGTTATCGTACGTTTATTGTCTCTAAAAAATACATCGCATATTTTAAAATTTCTTTCACTTTATTTGCGGCAAATCTTCTTTGGAGTTCATGTAACGGCCCTATGCCAAATGACTTTTAATCGTCCTGAATATTGAGCAGATTTTAAAACAAAATCCTTTACGTTGCGTGTGGAATTCAACGAATGTATATCTGTTGTTTGTCACCCGCTAGGCGTATGTCTTGCTCTGCTATTAATATTTATAAATACATTATGTTGTGTAATCTAAGGGAAGACTTTCAATCTGTATGTTACGTTGAACATTCATAAACTCAAAGTCATACACTCACCGAAATCATTTAAGATTCTTTCTCTCTCTTCCACACACACTTATACCAACTTACTATATTGACTTATTGAACGATGTTAAGGAAAAAGACCACCGCCATTTCATATATTTCCTTCATGAGAAAAGGCAAAGCGAGTAATTCATTCGTGATGAACGCCGAGAGTTTTGACGTCGAAAACATTTCATTCCATATTCACATGACATGACAATTAAGAGGCATTCTTCCCACATATTTTAATAAACTGATGTATGACGGACGGTTATACCGTCATAGGTTATTATTATCAAAACAACTATTTCTCAAATGTACAAAATTTATGTCCCGTTTTGTGAATTTAGCGAAAGTTAAAAGAAATCTTCTAATATATACGTAATTCATAAGTAGCCAAGAGTACTTTTGTTTATATTTGAAATCCTTCTGGTTTCGTAATTAAGACGTAGGCGTGACATACTTTTCATTTTCCGCTTGTACAAAGATACAATATCCAAAAATAACCGGCACCTCTTCAATGCACACGTACATACAGAGGTCAATGCTGGCATTTATAATTAGCTCTTATACTGGTAATAGTACTTATTCGAATTCGACTTAAGAAGTTTTTCATGCGATCTGATATAAACTGTGTGCTCCCATCAAGTTGAAATAATAATGTCGGTCGAAGTAATAATAATAATAACAACAACAAAAACAGTCCTTCTCAGGACTTTATTAACCTGGACGATCATCATTTACAAACATATAACGATACTCCCGGGTTCAAACCATTTACTTTATTTGAATATTTAATAAAAGTGTCAGATAAAGGCATTCAGTTCATTCACAATTCGACCAGAAATTATTTGCATCTTTTTAATGACATTCTATCACTACAAAGCATGCCGCAGTTTATTGTGCAAGAATTTATTATGGTTTAAAGTCTTAGTGATTGATAAATAGTTATGTTAATCCTTCATTTCACGAATTACGCATCCTGTATTCCCACTCTAATGACAAATAGCAACGAATTATGTTTAGTTAGTATTTGCAAAAAATTTGATGATGAAAGAATGTTGTATTTGAAAAATGTGATTTTTAGATGGCTTTGATGACCTTTCTGTTTTCGTAATTTCTTTATTCTAAAAGAATTTAATAAGTTTTTCGTGGCCTTTGTACAATTATAGTCAATATGATGTCACCTGTTTTTTTAACTTTTCATTTTGTTACAGACAAATGACATCTCGTCGATCCTCAAATGCTGACGTCATTGTCAACGACATCAGCAAACTACGTCAAGAGCTTCGAGGTGCACTTCGGGTGAGTCTGTTTCCCACAAGACTCAAATGCGGTGACCTATACATTCCGCAAGTTTGATCTTGCTACGTAAATTTCATGTCATTAAGATTATTCCTTTCTTTAGAAATCCATTGTTTATACTGTGAGTAAACACCGAAATATCAATATAGCACTACCAAATTTGTACGCTGACTACACCATGCAAACGATAGTTGAAAACTGAGACAAAAAATATTTCGTAGTGGTTTTGTAGAGCTATGAAATGTTACAGCGAAAAGTCGCCAGACGAAAATTACCTGCTACTTCACATTGAATTTTATACATTACCGTTTTCGTTGTACTTGTGTTTTCATTTTACCTACAAATTAGTTGCATTTGGTATGTTTTCGTCAACAGGACACTGAACAGACAAAAAGGAGTTTGAAGAATCTGGATGATCGAATTTACTCTCAAGTATGAAGTAAATCCTCAAAACTGTGGAGCTCAGACAATTTTTTGCTAAATAAGCTCCCGTTACTGTCCCAATCTTTCACAATTTGTTGTAATTCACTAGATTTTAATGGTGTATGCTTAAACATACAGCTTGTTGGTATTTGCCCGTAGATATCTTCAAGTGATGAAAGTGTATTTGCCTTCCCCGATCATTCAAAGGTTTATCCAATCGATGCATACTTAGTAAGTTGCTTTAAAACTATCTTCACACGTTCATTTTGACATCTCACATTTTGTTTTTGCTGATGATGTTCTTAGCGAGCAAATCGTAGCATTCCTCAAGAACTTTCAAATTTAAAAGTCGAAGATCAAAGTGAAAAAGAAACAAACCCAAGTAAAAAATTTTGTTTTCACATGAATCAAGACACAAGAATATGTAGATTTCTATTTTCAGACAAATATAAACTGATGGAAAACAATCATGTTTCTTTTGTGTTTTTTTTCTACTCAATACACGCGGGGATGTGATAATGTACATTCATATAATTTGATTTGTGTTCATAGCACGTGACGGCGATTCAGGTCTGTGTTCGTATGCGCTTTCTGTTCTCCGTGATGTCCAAAGGCAAAAAGATAACTTGGAGCGGAATTTGAACGAGTTGTCAAGACGACACCGTGAGCAGTACTTGTATGATGTCATAGAAAATGACACAACGTAAGTCGCTATCAACTTTTCTCGTAAACTTTTAAGCATGGTTCTCATATAGTCGTCCGAGTCGTTTCAGTCGTGCCAAAATTTCACAGACGACCCGTGTGACTGTATGAGAACATTTCAGAGGTGACCGGGATGACCTCAAATGACTCACATGACTGAAACGACCAAGGTCGCGTTGATAGAACTTTGCTCTATCTGGACGACCGGAACGACCGTTGAGAAAGCGACCTTTTTATCGCGCTAAACTATTTAAAAAAGCAAATAACCAGCCAAAAGTCTTTGATAAACAGCAGCCGCCATTCTTTAATGTTTCGCGAAAAAATTAATTAAGCAGTCTCTCAGCAGCGCTATTACGAATATATGAGGATTCCGTAGCTTGAGTCGTCCTAGTCGTTTTGAAAAACAACAAAACAACTTGAAACGACTCGGACGACTCTAGCGACTTAATGAGAACCAGGTTTAATAGTTCTTTGGTTTTTGAACAGTCTAGTAATTTATCACACATCATTTGTCCATTTAATAGATTTAATGGCGATTTTGCAAGAATTCGGAGGGATGTAGCTAGAAAAATCGAACAAATGGATGAAGTATTGAAAGTAATATCTACTCGTTCATATCTTCAGCGTGTATAAAACGCAGTCCAAAAATATCTGCTGTTTTTTTCTCGTGTTTCAAAAAAATGGAAGGTGGAGCTTGAACAAGAAGAAGAGCAGATAGCTACAAGAAAAGAAGTGAGTGCAGAAACACCAAAACCTGCAAAGCAAGCTCGATCGATGCGTGGTGTCCCAATAAGTACCGAAAATCGAGCTAAACTCCGAAGTACATTAGCTGGAAAGGAGAATACTACAAAGCAAATTGCGGCAAAGTCAAAGGTTTTTATATTGCTTATAATAGGCAGAGTTTTTGCAAATTATAAAAATATTTATCGTTACTTATAGAACACAAAACAATTAACAAAATTCACTTCTATGAAACAACAATCGACTGGAAAATTGTCAGACCATAACGTACAGAAACCACTTGTACTTGGTGAACGAGTTAAGCGCAATAGCGTTCGTTACCAATCTCCTGGGAAGGTAGAAAGGGGTACATCAAGAAAAAGCTGTGCCGAAGAAAGGTATTGTCAATGATTTTAATTCGTTAGTATTCAGCCACAACAATAACTTCAAGGCGTTATTTCTTCATTAAAGATTGGATGATTCAAACTCTTCCACCATACAAGATTCTTGGCGTCCTACAACCCAACGATGCTATTTTCAGAGTAATTTTACGAATGTACCTGCTAAAAAATCAGTGATCGAAGAACCAGTTAAAGAACACCATAAATCTGTATTTGGTCAAACACTGCCTTTGGCCATTCCTTTAGGGAAACCTCGAGTGGATTCTTCCTTGCGACCATTGCTGTACAATGACGAAGGTATGCTTGTGAAGTAAACAATATGTTTGTTTAAATTTATTGGGGGCTTTGTTTCTCAACGACTTAACGTTGTGTAATTTTCTTCATTGGGCTCGTAAAGAATCCAAGGCACTTCACAGAACTGAAACAACATCAAACTCGACGCAATCGAATGTTGCAGTAATTACCATAAAAGACGAAGAGTGTCTTCAGGACGCTCAAACTTCTATGAAAAGGCATAAAAAATCTATGTTAAAGAAGAAAGAGAAAGTAGCTCTAGAAAAACAGGTATTAATGACTTGATATTTCATGAATATAAGTGTTTAATGGGATGTTACAATCGAACTGTAAAATACCGATGCTCTTTTCAAAAGATCTTACCAAACATCGACATTGACACTTCAACTTTATCCGAAGAAAGCACTGTCAGTAACGTGAGCGAAACATTACAGAGAAAAATTATGGTAACGTATTCTCAGAAATTAAACTTTAATAAATATATCTAATATTTTGAGTTATAGTGAATGCAATGAAAAGTTTTTTCAGACTTGGGTGTTTTAGATTTTTGTACATTGTTTACTTGGTATTAGTATGAACGATATCGACATTCTTTTAGTGTCTATTTTATATGCAATTATTTCGTTATTGTTTTTTTATTGTTCGTCTTCCGATCCACCTCAGCGACCTTCAGCTTCAGATTATGATGAGTTTAAAGATTATGAACATGTGAGAACACAGGAAGATGACCAAGAAATAGAGAAGGTCAATATATAGATTTTGGCACTCTTGATATAATCAGCATTCTTTCATTGCTTTTTGTTTTTATAGTCCATCGAATTTAAAAATGAAAATGCTATATCGTTGAGTGGAGATTTCCGTGAAGACAAAACAATATATGAAGGACCAGTATTTCCTCCTCAAAACATTTCTACGGAAATGCCAGACAGCGATGGAAATATTGGAGATCTAAGAATACAACAAGAAAATGTTGAAATAAAAGCAAGAGAATTGTATGTATAAAAAATAATAAACACAAAACTTTATGTGTACTCATCGTATTTATGAAAAACTATCTGTTTACAAAGACACTTTGCAATCTTGAAGAGTTGACCACAGTAAGTTACTTAGTTGTCTCTTTTAGAATTGAACACGAGTTGCTTGCCCGTATCATGAGTGAGATGACTCCGCCTGTACATGATCCTACATCAAATATGCGCACAAGTCAATCTTCAGAATCAATCAGAAGCTACGACAGCGAACCTGACATTGCTGGTAACGTATTTGAACTTATTTTCATGTCATTTTTCCGAATATATTGATTTCAACCTGAATTATTGATCTTGTATTTTTGTTGTTTCAGCTACGATAGGACTTCGTGGTATTCAGTTATTTGTCGATGCAGGCATTCCTGTTCACTCTGACTTCATACGTAATCTTATTCAAGAAGTTTTACATGAAAAAATTACAGGAATGCTCGGTTTTCCTAAATCTGATTCACTACATGAGCAGCAACCCCAGATGCAATCAAAGGTATGGCATTAACTGAACAACCAAAATGTTTTGCTTACAATGTAATGTACCCTGGCTCTTATCTTGACTTTTCCCCTAGCCTTTTAAGTGAATAAATGAAGTCAATTAGCATGTTCTTAACCCTGATGTTCAACACATAAACTTGCATAAGGGAAGCTAACAGGGGAAACATTGGATAAAATGTGTATACCAGCAAACTTGCATACGGGAAGCTAACAGGGGAAACATTGGATAAAATGTGTATACCAGCAAACTTGCATACGGGAAGCTAACAGGGGAAACATTGGATAAAATGTGTATACCAGCAAACTTGCATAAGGGAAGCTAACAGGGAAACATTGGATAAAATGTGTATACCAGCAAACTTGGATAAAAGTATACCAGCAAACTTGCATAAGGAAGGAAACATTGGATAAAATGTGTATACCAGCAAACTTGCATAAGGGAAGCTAACAGGGAAACATTGGATAAAATGTGTATACCAGCAAACTTGCATAAGGGAAGCTAACAGGGAAACATTGGATAAAATGTGTATACCAGCAAACTTGCATACGGGAAGCTAACAGGGGAAACATTGGATAAAATGTGTATACCAGCAAACTTGCATAAGGGAAGCTAACAGGGGAAACATTGGATAAAATGTGTATACCAGCAACATCATAGCTAAATCAATTACACGTAGAATTATTACTTTTCACAGGTCGTGAATATCAGCACAAAATTTAAAACAGAATTTGAGGATTATCCCAACGTTGATACTTGTAAAAGTACTCCAAGTTTGAGCAGCGTATCAGAAGATCGATGTTTGTCTCACATTGTTACACCAAATAAAACGACAAGTAGCGACTCTACGTTATCACACGACTCTACTGTGGATGACAAAAATTTACGCGACTTCGTTGTTTCTACTAATGAACGTGATGATGTTGTGGAAGAAAGGTAAGTAAAACATCGTACTTTTATTAGGAGATCATTTTGAGACAGGATCAACACGGCAATGATGTAGTTTACTGTCATGTGTTGATATATTCACATCCAGCCTGTCTATTTAGGAAAAGCATTTATTTTTACGTCTTGCAAATGAAGTTGTTATAATATACAATTAAATCGTAGACTATTGATTCACTCCGATGTTAAAAGTCCTGTTGTAACTCCAATTGCTTCTCCGAGTCCTCCTCGGTCCGTTAAATCCATGAATACACCTGAAGTGTCAGAGAAAATCGAAAGGAAAGAACAGACTCAACTAGAAGTTCCGGAGATCACAGTATCAATTCAAGACAAGGTATCTGATGAAAGCTTGTACGACGATGAAGACGACAATAATTTGAAAGAGTAAGATTTTTTCTCTTTGACTAAAGACTATTTTGACACTCGATCAAATTTTCATATGTGTTGATTGTAAAAAAAATAGTGATTTTCATTTTTTTGGTAGACAAACATATGTAGAAGATAACAATGATGAAAATCAAAATACCGAGGATGATGTTCCACCCATAAATTATGAATCAGATCCAAAAATTATACTATCAAAAATAACCAACAGTCCATCAAGTTTAATCACCACTACGACATACTCTAGCCGAAGTACAATGGGAACATTTGCAACTGATGATGAGATTTCCGAGGGCGAACAATTACAGGTACTTTAATTTACTGTAAATTTATAATTAAAACTCTTTTTGCAGTGTTGTAAAATACAAACTAATAAAACGACGTTTATGTTTATTGTACCCCCCCCCCTGTAGCCATATGTTCACGCTGGTCAGTACAGTGAAGGAGAATTTGTTGCTCCAATGGTAGTCCCTGGAAACATGACAACTTTACACGAAATACCCGACGATATTTTGGACAATGTCAATATGTCAAGTAAGATTTTAGGGTTCAAGTCACGGTATTTAATAATCGCTATACATTATGTATATATGTATTGTGTGTATGGCAGATGCTGATCCAATAAAACAAGCTTTTCATGGTCTGCTAAAATCAGATTATGCATCAGACAAAAGTACGTCTTCTCCTGACAAAAGCACATCAAATGAGGAGCAGACGAGCAGTGAGGGACAGCAAAAATATGTTTCGAGACCATTCGTGCATCATGTTAGTGATTCTTTTTTGAAATAGAAATTTTATTTTGCATAGTAAATTAATAAGGAAATGAACATTTTGAACTCTAAATATGATCAATTAATATTTTTTTGTTTGTTTTGTAGACAACTGATAATGAAGATCGCAGTGAAGGAGAAATGGCAGGTGACGTTGTTTTGATGCTGCTCAGCAGAATAAGGCAATCAGTTATGCCATCAAATAATTTACCGGTTATGGACGGGCAAGACACGCCCAGTTTGGGTGAGGTCCAAGTTGCACAACGATGTAAGTCGATAAATGACAAATTCTGATGTACTTTGAAGGTTTTCATGATTTTCTGCATTATTTATTACTGATTTGATGTATGGTGTAGTGGATAATGTATTAGTCAGTAACATTCGAGAATACATGAGAGAAAACTTGTTTGCATGCTGTAGAAAAAGGATGCTGCTTTCCTTTGTAGCCATGCAAAGAACATTTGTAGCAAAACAAAACGATACTAAAGTGTCACCAGGAGAATTTGTTGCGCAAAATCCCGTTCCAGTCAACTTCAAGCATATGCCAACGCAAACGTTGGAAGATTCATTTGTGTCCGATTCTGATGAGAACAATAACAGTGAACAAAACAGCTCTATTGGTGAAGTACGAAATAAGGTTAATTTCACAGAGTTTTTCTGTTCTTATTTAGCTAAGGGCTTAGCAAGTATAAAGTTTTTTGAAGTACGAGCTCTGTAGGCGAATTTTTTAAATTTAAAGTCTTGTGAAGGACATCTGAAATCAACTATTTTTTCTAGAACAAATGCATTTTATATTCAATGTGTAAACAATTGCCTTTTTTAGACAATAAATTCGAACATTATCATGGTTACACCTAAGAAAGTTGAAGTACCATCCACTAAACGAAAACCTTTCTTTGGTATCTCTTATGGACAGTCTTTATCCGACAATCCAATAGAAAATACAAATTTCTCGCAACTTGTTGAAGTAAGACGTGATCATAACACAAGTACTCCAACCGATCGACGCTCTGAGTCAGGTAAGAATGAATCCATAGACACTTTAGCCGGATATGAGGTTGGTTCCCATGATATTCGTGTCACTCATCACGTGACTGGTGAAATCAACCAAGATGAGCGTCCAGAAAAAATCTCACCAGAAGAAAGTCATATAAGTGAGGGAGTGCTTACTGGATGTGAAGATTCTATTGACCAGATATCGTACTTATCAGGTGGAGAAGTTTAGCGACCCTTAAAGATATATATATTATTCCAACATACACCTGCGTACTTTATTATTTAAAGAAGCTGATATCTGAAGCCAAAAACATATTTCTCTTTTATTAAACATTCCTTGTTTTCATTGAACAAAGGAAACAGAACTCTGCCAATAATGATAAATTATCAACACGTGAACCCGTAGCAAGAAAACCTACTTTTGCCGTTTTAAGTAACGTCTTAATAGTTGCCAAAGCATGTATCATGAAGTTTTTATTTTTACATGCTTATCCCAACAACATTAGTGGCTTTTTTACAGCTTTGGGCTTTTGGAAACATTGATATGTTACGTATTTGCATAGGTAATGACAGGTAATGAGAAATTTGAGATATTAAAATATGTAATATCCAACTATTATCGCCTAATTTTCCGTCGTAAGTTAACAATTATCATAAAATTTTTCAAAGTCACCGTCCACATTATAAAAAAATACTCATTGGGCTGGAACAAGATGTTTGTAATTTTATGCTGTGACATGGAAATATTTCCAAGTTGAAACCTCCAACTTTCAATATTCAATAAACAAGTGAAGTGTCCATTTAAATGAAAAACTGCCCCAAAATCTTGAGCTCCCCCAACCATTATTCATTTCTTTAAACATCTATTGTCTTTGCATCGAGAAACTGTGGAAAATTTGCATAGCACGACTAAATATGCAGACTGGCTTTACGTCACTGTGTGCGTGTGTGCGTGCACGATGAAACATCATTTATTCCGTACTGGTTTTCTAGGGTTTTCTTATTGTCTTTTTACTAAAGGAAGATAAAATAAAAATACTCTTATAAAAAAAAATGAACACTGTAATAACGGCACAACATAACCGACAGCCTCGTTATAACTGCAGGACAATTGTGATGTCATACAGGTCATTTTAATGTAAAAGTTACGCCATGCCAGCCAAAAATCCATTGTTATATGAATGTTAAGGGTGTGGCTCCACACCACCTATATAAATTTACTATGAACTCTAAACAATGCTAGAACAATGCTGGCCCACAAAAGCTATTCTCTGTGGGTTTGACCAAGAAAGCTTAGTTCTACGTTTTTTATTTCTTCATTATAGGAATAAATCTGATTTACAGATTTTTTAACTCTTAACGATGTACAAAATTGTTTTCTTCTGACAAAAAAGAGATCGCTCGAGAGTTGTATTTATGAAATGTCGTTTGTTATTTGCTGTGTCACATAGATGAACAATGACAACAATATAAAATGAGTCTGACATCACTTCCTGAAGTATGCTGACATATAAATGTCCTTCTTGTGTTGTTGTTAAATGACCACCACTTGTCAAACAGGGCTATTGCGTTAACTTTCGAAGCAGTATAGCCTTTCATGCTGTATTTTGCGTAAATATAATGCAGCCAACAGTAGAATCAAACTGTCCTGTTGATTTTGGCAAGTGTGTGTAATGAGCGATAGTGAAACAAAAACACACAAACCTTTCAAACTTCGTAAAACATTCGGTAAGAACAATTTCGTCGACGTCATGTCAATTTAATGTTCTTTTTTTTTCTGTGAGATTCATTTTGTATCATTCTACTTATCGTGTTTAGGCGAGAGGCAAGCTGAAGCTACTAATATTCGTGAAAAGTTTCCTGCAAAAATACCAGTACGTGAAGCTCAGCATGTTAAGAGCAATTCACTAACGGACATAATTTCTACTTTGGAGTCTATCGATTGTAAATGTTGATGGCATTTTGCATGTCAGTATTCGGTTGCGAATATAACATTTATAAACTCACATCTAGGTCATTGTCGAAAGATATCATAAAGAGAAAAGTTTACCCGAATTGGATAAAACGAAATTTTTGGTTCCTGAACAATTAACCATTGGTCAATTTGTAACTATTATCAGGTAAGTGTGTCAGTTAAAATATATTTTGCATTGATATAGAACTAAGGTAATGGGTCTTTACAATATCACAAGTATACTTGAAATATATGGCATAAATATTTTATTGTGAGCAGACGGTTTAGAATTTCCCATTGCGCAATAACCCAGGAAAGTTGCTGCGTACATGCAGCGTCATTTGCGGTTAACCTGGATTAAGAAAAGCATGTCATTAATTGTTGACCTATTGACAAAGATTATTGTGTTGAGAAGATACTTCTTGGTTAATTAGTTGTTCATTAATTTGCTCTGTAATTTTTGTATTGTTTCTTAAATAATGTTTTGGGTATACATGGGTGTATCTAGGTGCAATGATTGTGGTACACAGGGTGTGCCTAGGTACAATTAGACAACTTACTCTTTTATCTGTTCTTTCTTAAACAAAGCACAATCATTACTTATTTTTGGTGTAGTTTTGCCAGAATTGGGATTTCAAACTTGTTTTAAGTAAATGTTTGTAGTTAAGAAAAAGAAGTTCACTCTCTTTCAGAAATCGAATGAAACTGACATCAAACCAAGCATTCTATCTTATTGTGAACAATAAAAGTTTTGCTTGTTTGTCAACAACTATGTTGCAACTTTATAATGCTGATAAGGATGAAGATGGGTTCCTTTATATGTTATATGCTTCCCAGGAGATGTTTGGCTAAAATACTAGTGTCATTATCAAGGGTACACAGCTCACTAAACCATACTTTTCCCGTATACAACATGCAATCTTAGTGATAATACAAACCTTATATCATAAATGCACAAAAATATCTATTTGATATTTTATTTACTGTGGGACAGGTTCATGATATTCTCACACCAAGTTAAAAATTTGATATAACAGACATGTTTTGAATTTGAAAGTTTTTTCCTGAAACAATTGTTAACTTGATCCCAACAAGCTATTCTATCAATATTTTACACCATTGTGTGATGTCACATTCAAGATTATGCAATCAAATTACATTAATTTGAAATCGTCAAGCAATACAGTGTATTGTAATACATAGCAAGAGACGAGTCAGTAAACTTTGTCAATATTTCTTGTCTCTGGTTATGAGCTTGCTGAAGAAATTTTGAGCACTTTTACTTTATTTTGGCTATATTATAGAACAACCACACTTCAGGAACATAATGGGAGTCCACATGTACAATTGTTTCAGGACTTTTCTTTGAAGTAGATGAAAGTTCATTGTTATAAATTACTTAACATAACATAGATGGCATTGCAAAATAGGATCATTAACATTAGTATGTCATAAGTAGGAAATTGTTTACATTATAACTGATAAATAAAAACGTAGCTAGTTTAAATATAGGAACACTTTAAAGAGCATTTTTTCATTAAAGAAAATATCTTGACTGATCATTGTAGCATAGATTATAGATAGATTTATCATTTCGTTACTTGGAAACGAGGCCAAAATTCTCAGTTTTGTTTTGGGCAACTGTGCATGTTTCTCTAAGTCAACATTGTCAATGGTATTTTCAATTTCAAAACAATCTATAATATTGGATGAAATTTTCTTTTATTTTACAAAAAAAAATTTTTAACTTATGAAAATTGTATTCAACATTACTAATAAAAGATAATAACGGCAGTAGGAAGAAGAACAGTACGAGATCTGAGCCTTCTTTTCTACGTGAAATAAAAGATCCCGTGTTGTTTTCATATTTTTAAAAATTGTGACAAAACGTTCAAACATGATATACAATGCGATCTTTTCTATGAATGCAGCTCCGAAATTTATAAACGTTTTTTTTTGAGGACAACCACGCAGGGGACGGGACTTTAATTACCGTGAGATGTTTTCTTGCTTTGAAATATTTATCTGTTTGTCGGTTTAGTGACTCTCATTGCAAGCACATAACAAATATTGTAAATTTCTTAATTTATGTTATTGAAATAAGTATCATGACACAATTATTTTTCTAGAAACAAAACATCTTTAGGGGATGGCAATTCGTTCCCGTTCCGTTTCTCTAATTTTAATTTGGAGTACACGTTTATGGTTTCGGAAGAAATAACAAATAATACTCGCAACTTTTGCCACTCTAAGGTTTTTGAATGCGTAACTAGTGTCGCGTCTTTAAAATTGCGAGGGCAAATTTTGACATCTGCCTTGACCCTATCAAACGTCGCACTTAATTAATTATTTCGAAAGCTTGAAATGCATTAGTCAGTCAAGCACATTATATTAAACAGTATTTATAGTGGAGAGCGACATCATGTCAGGCACTTGACATTCAGCGAATAACAGTTGACGTAGAGTAAGAGTGGGACTTGGATTAAACTTTGAAGTACTGACGAAAGAAATTATGACCCAATTTTTGACAACTATGTTATATCATGGATTGTTATTAATGGTTGTACGTGAATTCGTGTTGCCAATTGCTTCGCATCAAGTCAATGATGGCAATTACATCGTTCCCCGGACAACTATAGAACTATCAGGCAGCTCAAACGCATCTGGTGGTAAGAAATCTTCTAATTTTTTTCTTGTACATTGCTATTCAGTTTTGTCTATATCACCAACATGGTGTATATATGTACGAAATGAGTGCATAATATATAATAGTTATGCAAGGAAATGTAGCCGGCGTCGGTTATCCTGTTACTCATGCTGTTTATCCATGCGGTTCGGCTCCTTATATCCCTCCATAGACAAATCACATTTCATTAGAGATGGCAAACGATACAGTTTTGATTTATGGTTTATATTAACAATATTTCATGTTGTTAATAATATTTATCAATCTAACAATGAATTATATAATGTGTGGGTTCTATTTTCAAGCTGCTGCAGATGAAAAAATATTTCCATCTCGATAGTGTCTTTATATGTGTTTTCTGGCTCCCTGAGATCACCAGAACGCAAAGTTTTCATACTTTCGTGCAGGTTTATTGACATTTTTTCATCATAAACAATCGTGAACGTTTTTGGCGTGTAGGTGCTAATTGTTTGCTTTATCGTGTGAAATATTTGTCTGGATTTTTATACTTTGCTAGGTGCAGTTATGTCATTACGTTTATAGAACTTCATTGTCTAATGAGAGTTTTGATGGATAAAGTAATATGATTTGTTGTACAGAAACCTTTAATCCGTTCATCATTATCGTGCAATTTTCTGCATTGTAAAATCCTCCAGTACGGAACACATGGCCCAAAGTACGACTTCACATCGACGATAATTTCACGTTACATTTATGCATTTAGTAGTTATAAACATCACTGCCACTTTACAAAACAATTTAATGGTGAATGTGTAAATTCACTGTTGATAATGTGCATTTAAATTGAAACATTCACCACACCACACCACGCACTTTAATGATAATTTGCAGGAAAAAATTCCAATTGACCCCGTCTTTTGACAACACTTCGAGTGATTATTATGAAGGAAAATGCGCATGATTTTAGGGGGAAATGTCTATTAGACCTTTCTAAACGTTATATATCGTGAGAAGAATTCGCAAACGGTGGGCATGTGTGCTTCTTGCGCGCAGTGGTTTCAGCTGTCGATTGACATTTACATAATGATATCCAAGTCAAAGGAACCGACCCAGCGGTGTCTTTTGTACATCAAATAAAAGGACTTCTATGTATGTAAATACATCCATTATCAGTTGCTTTAGAACACTTAAACCAAAACAACAACGTCATATTGCTTAAAGGCAGTTGTGAACAAAGTCAGTGTGAACATCTATGACAATCTTTATCGAATGTTAGATAACAGTCCCAAAAACCATCGATGGGCCATGATTACGATCGATTGATACTATACCTGAGTTATACTTATCACTTTTGAGTGTAACATTTGTGATGGAAATATTTATGCATTTATGAGATCGGAAAATAATATTTTTATGTTTTTCCTATCAGACAAAAAGATCAATTTGTTCGATGGAGCAGGTCTGATTGTTCGTTGATACAACTCTCGCGTCATAAGAATAAACAGTAGAGATACTTACACCGGCTTCTTTGAGGTTTTCTTTTATTCATACAATCCTGTAAATTTCATCTTCTGGTCATTAACTAAGAACATTTCAAGTTACATACCAAAAAGTACATGAAAATAAAAAGAAAAACATGTTATTCTGAGTGACATATCTTTTCTGTCGTTTGCATGTTGGTTGTAAGCTAGTTACCTTGCTGTACTTCATTTTACATTTTCGTATAAGGTTATTAATAAAAACAGACGAACTTTACCAGTTTTCTTCCTGAGGACCTTTTTGTTTGAAATATGCCGACACTCAAGTAATGTCCTGTGAATATTATTCAAGTGCAGTGAGGGTGAGGCTTTAAAAAAATTATAAAACTTTATAATTTTTTTCAATATCTCAAAATACTAAAACTTTAACACGAAATTTTGTCTGGTGCATAGAATATAGAAGTCATGGCATTGAACAACACTGTTACACAGATTTTTTGCGACCAGAAATGTGAATAGCAATTAGCAAACAAGTTTTGGCTTTTGTTTGGCCAATTTGTGAAAAATATGAAGTGATCAAATCATGCGTATTTATTGCATTGTGATGATTGAAATAAGTCTATTCCTGGCTTTGCAAGCAGTGCATGTTGTTTTCTGTAACGTTCACATGTCTAACTATATTTACAATAAAAAATGATTTGGCGCAGATTCACTTTCTGTTGTGTGCATAGGAAATTTTTCATATTGTTTTACACACGATGCAAGTCAGACTGTCAGACCGCCCTGCCGTCAAGAATCTTGCGTGCATATAATCTTTTTATTGATAAGGTCAAGACAGTGAAAGCTACATTAGAACAGTAGATTGCTGTATCATGAATTGCGATAGAATGATAAAAGTGCTTCAATGGGGTTACCGTCCTTTAAAAACAGATTAATTGTTGTAATTGCTAATTTACACAAATGATAACTAATTTGTGGAAAATCTGTATAGTTGGAGTAAATATGATGATTCTTCTTTCATTAGATTGCACACCTACTCTGAATTAAATTGCTACTAGATACTGCGTGTATGCATTTCCTCGTAAATGCGTTTAAACTTATAAATGAGCCCTTTTCTTTTATTCGTTGTTCATATCTTATAAGCTGGAGAAAAAATACAACAAAACTCCAGCTATGATTATAACATGACAGTACAAGAAAAGAAACTTGCTCAATATATAATGCTTGACAGGTGACAGCTAAAAAAATCTGCTATGAAATTTGATAGCTTTATCAGAGACAAATATAACCTAAAATTTAATACAAAACATCATGATTTCACTCATGCAAAGCAAGATAAAAAAAACTCACTTCGGTTACCATTTATAAGATATTCATCTTGGTTCCGCTAATACACAGATAACTTTCACTGTGGAATTTAAACTTTTGACAAAACAGAAAGCTTTATTTAAAATTGTCAGAAACATTTGGGATATAAGACGACAGTCTGGACTTGCATTGATAATGGTTGTTTGTGACTGCACAAGCTGATTAAGTCTAATAGCCCACAAGAATCAGGTATTTGACACATGAAGGACAAGCTTCTTTATGGTAAAATCACTTGTTGTTCATCCAAAATGTGTTATAAGTGTACCAATGCATACATTAACTGACTCATTTTAATGATTGACACTTGTTTGTACATAGCTTTTACGCAATATTCTTGTATAGTTTACATCTTGTGGTGTTTTCATTAATTCTTGTCCAAAATTAACATGTTTACCAAATAGAGAACTTTATCTAATCATACACATGTGGTTTTTATTCAACTCAATCATTTTTTGGTCAATTAACTACGAGACATGTTAGCAGATAATTTACGACTTGTTTAATTTAAAAACATTGGTTCATTAAATTTACCTGTCGCTGCAAGTCACTCGGAGCTATTTCATCAATTTATTCTGCTGTATTTCCAATGTTATTTTAATTACGACGATAATCCATTAAGTCTTCTCGTATTATATCTTGCGCTGTCCTTCACATGATTGCTTGCAACAAATCACCATTACAGAAATAAAATTTCAAATTCTTAAACATCTGCGTTTAAAAATTGGTTTTACTGCTGCAGGCATTTCTCATTTTGTAAAATTCTTGTTTTAATGCGTTTAACTCTCGTTCTGGTCATATGAAGGGAGAAATGGACCACCTTGCTCTTCCAAGTCGAAGCAAATTAGCAAATTCTTTAACCAGACAAATATAACCGTGCTTTTATAACTTGAATTATAGGAGGACATAGGAAAATATGTCAGACAAATGTAACCGTGGTTTTATGACTTGAATTATAGGAGGACATAGGAAAATATGTCAGACAAATATAACCGTGCTTTTATGACTTAAATTATAGGAGGACATAAGAAAATATGTCAGACAAATCTGGACTGTGAAATGTACACAAACAACCAATGTTGCTTGACTATATCAGGCTTCTCAAAATGTCGTAAACGTTGCAAGCCGAAAAATAAATTAAGGAAATTCCGTCCTGGGAAAGGAAGTATGTTTCTTTACATTGTAAAATCTTTAAAAGTCTTGCATACACTTTTTTTCTCGTTATTGTGACTGCGAAACATTTTGGGATAAGAACATTAAACAGACCTTTGCTTCACCAGTCTTGTTTCGCACCAATGATTAGTTAAATTTTTGATTTTGCAGAAATGAGGAAAAACAAATACAAAAACAGTCATAAAATAAAAAAAGTTTTTAGTGATGTTGGTAAGATATTTAATCTTTTTATTCGAGAATGAGTTAAGCTTTGACAATCATTATACTGTCATAAAATAGGCTGTGTTGTCAGCTCAGATGAAGTTTACAAAGAAGGAGAACTACTCGAAGCAAAAGATGGTTGTAACGAATGGTAAAAACACCAAAATTAAAATGGTTTATAGAAATTACTTCACTTAAAAAAGAACTGCAACACATGCTTGTGTTCAGTGGTATAATGAATTGCTTATTATTAACTCGTTTTTTAGCCAGTGTATAAGTGGAGAGTTGATTTGTACACAAAGATCGTGCACACCTGGTAAAACTATATTTCAAGTTATGTTCACAAGGTGACGTACGTGAATTTTTCCACTAATAGAAAATGAAACTATTTCTAAATTTACAGGAAGGTGTTGGTATAAAAACAAATTGTATGACGAAGGATATCAATTATCGCTTCATTATGGTTGTAAGAGATGGTATGTATTCATGAATGTATTGCTGCTTTACCAACTATTTCACGTTGTTGACTGTTTGTTTTATCTGTGTCTTTATTAAAGCATTTGTAAACATCAAAATTGGAACTGTACTGTCTATCCATGTTCTAAGAGTACAGAAGGTAGTGAATTTTATAAATTGTAAATTTATCTATATTCATCAAAAACCAGAAGAAGTCTCAACACATATATTAATAGTTTAGGCTGTCTAAAGGAACATAAAAACACAGCTGTAATTAGCCATGAAATTTGTTGCAACATCTTTGGATATGAAAGTGATTATTTTACCCTGTAAATTTATATTTTACAGAGCTCAAGAAGGCCCAGAACTCGACAGGAGCAGTAGTAACCACAATGATTGTAATGACAATGTTTGTTACCATCACATACATCTTGGTGCCGTAACTGACGTGTTATTTTAATCATTACTTGTACATACATGACTTGATGAGACAATGAAAATGTCTAAAGAAATTTTTTTATCCTCTAAATGTACATTGGTTTATCTGTTATTGAGAGATTGTAAATTCTTGCCAATATGTTAGCATCTTAATTAACTTCTGAAAACATATTGATGGAAGAGCGCATGTTGTTTTTTTTTCGTTAAAGCTGGTCGTATAACAACTCTCTTTATAGAGTCTTGGTTCACCGACATCAACAATTTACTCATTAAAAATGTTGATCATCTTTTAGATTTTAAAGATTATCTTAAGACTGGTGTAATTTGCAAACATTAACACCATTTACCGCTTAAAACGATTTCAAAAAACGATTTGGTTGATATTGCTATAGAAAAACAAATACTTGAGATGAATAAAAATTTTATGAAAAAATTCCTCACCTTTCTCATTTAAAAGGTTTTTCGCAGCTCATCTTTAAAGCACAAAATGATACTCGTTGCGGAGGGTGTTTATGCTTGCGTTCAAAGCTTTATCATGCTTGTGCTACAGTCAATAGTGAAAATTTAAAATCCATCATTGCAAGTCAGCGAATGTGTATTTCGTTCATGAAAGCTTTACCTTGGCCAAGAGGTTTCTGACACCAAAGTTGACTTTCTCCTCCTTTTCGCGTGCTTTTCATGTCAAAGATACTTCTGCTTTTACTCAAGTTTGGTTTGTATTTTTTTTCTCTGCAAGACTGCAACCGCTCACAGCTTGTGTTGAACTGTCAATCAAGCTGTGAGTTGTGTTAATGAAGAATGTGATTGGTTAATTATGTTAGCAGGTTAATGAGAATTTATTGATTATTGCACGATTCAAAGATGTTTTTGAGAAAAACTGTCGAAGGATAATAAGGCAACATTTTTTTGTTTTTTTCATGACAATAAAATTCAGCGTAAAATAAAAAGTATTGAAAGTAAGTCATGTTTTTTATAGCTGTCCTGTTTTTTAGGCAATCCGTTGGAAATATTTTTGCAGCTTAGACCGTGCGTGAAGGATTGTGGGTAGTGTAGCTAAAAACTGAAAAATGCCGTCGACTTTTAAAGAAATGAGTGAGGTAATTGGATGTTTTCGCCTTTAAAATAATCTTTGGTTTTGCTTTACACTTTTATATGATAACTAAAATATCTTTTTATTCTTAACAGAAGATACAGGTAACGGAAGGGTGTAGAATGCCTGTGAGAATGAACGATTCTGATGAATGGCGTAAGTTTTTGAGCCGCCATGTTTGTTGTTGACATATTTACTGTATTTGATAAACTTTTCATCAATCTGCGATCGACGTTTAAATTGATCATTTAAAGAAATAAGCTTTACTTTATGTCATAGCGCTTGCTGAAATCATCAGTATTCGTGAAAACGATGGCAAGAAAGAATATTATGTGCATTTTATTGACTGTAAGTGATCAAAGAACAAATTCTCAATAATGTAATTATTTAAAATGAGAGAACTCTATCAATGCCATAACTTATCAAAGGAGATTTTTGTTTGTAAAATTTTTAGAATATGTTTTTCAAACCAGTAAGGTTTTCACAAATCTTTGCAATTTAAAGGATTTTATCATTTGCATTTGTATTTTATCTGGGTGTGGCTTAGTTGCAGATTAATAAAAACTAAAAGATAGAAATTTGAAATCAATCCTGTTGCATAAAACAAGTGTAGAATATAAGACAAGCATGACATTAAGGTTGAGTGGTTTGTAAATAGTAAATAAAGTAAATTATGAAATGATTTCACTTGATGTAAGCAATAAAGATGACTCTAAATTATTTTTATTGAAGTAATGCATTCTCATCATGACTAACTACCATACAAAGCATAAGATTTAGTCATGATTTACTCAATTCAAGAAAACTTTTTTGCCGTTTCCTTGAAATGATTAAATAATGTTGTATTCAACAGTTAACAAGCGTTTGGATACTTGGGTCAGTGAGAAATCCCTGGATAAGGAGAAATTGCAGTTACCTAAGAAGGAAGAGAGTAGATCAAAAAGTAAGATTAGCAAAGGATCTGCTGGTACAAAGCCTGAATCGCCAGAGCGAGAAACCACTGCAACTAAGAAAGGCTTAATCAATCGCAAGAGAAAAGCTGCTGCTATTTCTGTTTCAGAAGAGGTATAATTCACCATTGAAGATTCATATTACTTATAAATAGATTGTGTTCAATGAAGTTTTCTCATTAGGTTGATGATGATAATTCAGGCAATAGTGTTAATGAAAAAATGAGTAATTTACGGACTGGTGGAAGCATGGTTCATGATCGTAGTCATGATGATGTTGTCACTCGAATGAAGAATATTAAGATGATTCAATTGGGTAAACATCTCATACAACCATGGTACTTTTCACCATATCCCGAGGAACTAACTAGAGTTCCAGTTGTTTATCTTTGTGAGTTTTGTCTAAAGTTTACCAAGAGTATGCACTGCTTGAAACGACATTGGGTAAGCTTTGAATTTTGTTCTGTGCAATTTTTCAGTAAAACATTTTGTTGTTGGTATAAACAAGATCCACCATTGTTTTAATGCTAGTTTTTAGCATTTACTATGAAAACATAATGCAAAATATTTGCTGACACATGTGTCTGTGCATATGTTGCAGACATTACGCAGTGTGCAGTCAGTAGTGAGAATTTAACCTGTTCAATATAGGTTAACACTTAACAAAATATATCATTCTTACTTGCTGAATAACTTGCATAACTTATTTTGTCATCCTTTCAATGTTTAAATTGTTTAATCTTTTAACAATGGGGTTAACCATTTTTTTCAGAGTAAATGTACATTACGTCATCCACCGGGCAATGAAATCTATCGGAAGCAAAATATATCATTCTTTGAAATTGATGGCAGGAAAAATAAGGTTTGAAATTATCATAAAGCTTTATCATGACTTTACTAACATCTGCACTAAACAATACTTCACGCTACACTTTGATGCATTTTCAAATTGTTTTTACCTTCTATTGCGACGTAAATAAGCCCATAAGCACATTGGGTAACTGCATCTATAAATACGTCCATAAATAAGGCAGCTATTAAATAGTCATTTTCATTGTACGATAGCCGAACTTAATTTAAGTAGAAAAAACTTTTTTTCAGTATTTCTCATGTTGAGCGTCATGTATCGTGATGAATCACGGCGTTTTTTCATTTTTTTACAGTTTTATGCTCAGAATCTCTGCCTTCTTGCAAAATTATTTTTGGATCACAAAACTTTGTTTTATGATACCGATCCCTTTCTATTTTACGTCATGACGCAATATGATAGCAAAGGCTTTCATATTGTCGGCTATTTTTCTAAGGTATGATAATTTACTGTTTAATTCTCATTTTACTTCATTAAGGCGATTCCATTGATTTTATTTGTTCAAAGTTGTGTCACATTTCATGGAATGAGAATTCATTCTAGTTCTCAATAAGAAAATGTAAATAACACATATAGTCAAAACGACCGTCGATGTTTTACAGGAAAAGGAATCAACCGAAGACTATAATGTTGCTTGTATACTTACTTTACCACAATACCAAAGAAAAGGTTATGGAAAATTGTTGATAGAATTCAGTAAGTCCATGTGTAGTCTACCTCAGTTAAATTTAAACGTCAAGAAACTATTTAACAACATATTTAATAGTAAGGTATTTATAGTTTCAAATGGTTTACATTCTATAACTTTTATATACAGTTTTTTATTAGTTTGGTAGGTGTAAGACCAGTATAACTAGTTAGCAGAGTGGTTTGTTGTAAATGATGCATTGTGTACATGTCAATATAGGTTACGAGTTATCAAAGTTTGAAGGGAAAACAGGAACACCAGAGAAACCACTCTCTGATCTCGGTTTACTTTCGTATCGAAGCTATTGGTCTCAAACTATCTTGGAGATTCTAATAAACCTTCAATCTGACGAAGGCAATCAACCGAGCATTACGATAAAGTAAGTTTTCTATCTCTAGATTATGGGGGCTTTCAATGAAGTCGTAAATAGGTTTTTTTCCCACTAGGATAATCGTGGAAAACCTTTAAACTGCTTAACTTAAATAAAAAAACTCTTCGCAGCCAATCTCAAATTAAGTTTGCATAAGTTCCCTGAAAGGCTGTCAGTATGAACTTATACTTCAAGTTTAATTATTGATTAGAATGTTGATAACCAGGACAAGCAGACAATTTTAAATAGAGCAAAGTAAAACAGATTCCGAATAGCGACATCTCTTTTTCTTGATATTCAAGATAATACAAGAGTGTAGACAACTGAATGTTTAATCTTTGCATTTATTCAAAGACATCATCAGACTAATTAGTTACATGTTTGTAAATGTAGATCGTCCAGGTTGGTATAGTCCTGAGAAGGACTGTTTTTGTAGTCCTGTTTTAACAGTTTTTATAGACTGTTTTTCGTCAGTCAACAACAACAACAACAGTCCTTTTTATAGACTGCGAAACGTCAGTCAACAACAATAAAAACAGTCCTTCTCAAGACTATACCAACCTGGACGATCTACATCTACAAACATGTAACGATACTCCCGGGTTCAAACCATTTACTTTACACTAATTAATAATGTGTAGTTGTATATATTAGGATGTTGTATGAACTTATAAATTATGTCATGGAGAAAATCATCAGTTAATGTCTTCTACGCAGACAGAATTACTGTAACTTGTGCGTTTTTGCCCATGCATACTGCTAACCGTCTAAAGTATACAACAAATATTCCCCTTTAGCGATATTTGTGAACGTACAAGTATTCGTAAAGAGGATGTTGTTTCTACTCTACAACACCTTGGCTTAATTCAATACTACAAAGGACAGTACATCCTTACATTTACAAAAGAAGTTGTCGAAGGTCACAAACGTGCGATGGCAAAACGCAAGACTCGCATTGATGCCAAAAATTTACATTGGACACCAAAAGATTGGGCAAAAAGGGGCAAATGGTAAATCTCTACTTTGATGTACTAGCATGACTTTATTATTACTTGCTGGCAAATCAATAATGCCCAAGCGCGTTTGCCAGGATTTTGGCAAAGATTTTGTTCTGCAGTAATGCAGTTGTTCAATAGTGGATATTTTGATGCTTAAAGAGCATTAAAAATGCAACTTGAACCAACAGTTTTTCATGAAGTGAAGAAACAACAGTAAGTTTATTGTAAGTTCTTTGTTTGCTAAAATATTATTCAAACATCTATACCTGATTGGTTACTTAAAGATTGTGAAACACATGTTAAGGATTTTGTGTGAAATCAAAAGCATAATTTACTTAAAAATAAATAAATGTATGATTAATGTACAGTCATATCAATGTATATATTAGTAAATAAGTATTTTTTAATGTACACATTTCATTGTATTCTGTGGCTTAGCACAACCTTAATCTTGCAACAACTGTAAAAAGTTAGTGGCCCAATGTAAATAAAATATCCCCTCCCTCCATCTGCGTTGATGTTATTTAAGCCATTCTTTCATGTATATACATGTTCTGGGTGAAATAGCTGATTTTTCATTGCATTTATCAATGACCTGAAAGAAATGCCATATTGAGGTGATGATGATAAAAATAAACATGACTTAAAAACAAACACTTACAGTATGAAATGCTAGTTATGACTTTTTCAAAAACTTACTGGACAAACACCACATGGGACACGAACAAATCCTGTAGAAGATATGATAGGTTTCACAGCTCTATACATCTTTTTCTCAACATAATCCCCTAATTTTCCTGAAGACTTATCATTGACAGTTGTCATCTCTAACTTTCCATCAAATACCAGTGTGTCTAGAATTGTTTCAATATCAGTGACCGACAACTGAACCTAAAGAAAAACCACTTCATTGTTTAAAAAAAATCATTGCTGCTATAAAAATGGGAAAGAATTTTGCATGTACCTTACTTATACCAAGGTTAGTTATGTAATTTGAAATCTCTTCAGATGAACCATATGAGGCATTTTTATGTACCAAAGGATCATTTGAAGATTTCTTTTGTTCTGCTGCCTTATAACATACATACAAAGCATTACAATAGTAATGTATTGTGTAGGATGATTATTTTTTTTCTACCTTTTGTTGCAAAAACTTAAAGCATTGTTGATTCAATACATCAACAAATTCTGATTCAAATTCCTGATTGCTATACCACGAGCCTCCTGTGATTGACTGGTCAGGTTCAAGATTAAAGAGCATATACACCTTCTTTTTTGATGCCTAAATAAAATGGGTTGATCCTCAGTGATCCTAGAAATGCTGTAACATGTACATTTATTTCATTTTTTGTACTTTTTTGATGCCTAAATAAACCAGGTTGATCCTCAGTGATCCCAGAAATGCCGTAAATGTACATTTATTTCATTATTTGTACTTATTACCGCAACAGATTTGATAGCCTTGATTAATTTCTTGCTTTCCAGTGTTTTCAAGATCTTGTTCACTTGTGCAAGTTGAAGATTACTTTTATAACGTATATCACGAATCCAAATTCCTGCAATGAACAAAAGCATGTGTTCATTTACTTGTATCACCTGTCATTGTTTGTAAAATTGCAAGCAGGAAAATTGCCAAACCTTTATTTGCAGCTTCTTCTATTATTTGATACACTAATTTTTCTTCCAAATCAAAACCTTTAACTTTCCTGAAATAACAACAACTGCATACACTAACCTTTACAACATAAATGACAATGGACAACTTTACTAACGAAACTGTTTCAGCATCCTTGTATCGATAGAGTAATGTTGATCCACTTTTAAGTAACTCTAAGCGACCCTACATGATAATACAACATTGAAATTACAAAGTACTTAGGCCTTGAAATAGCAAAGACATATTATTAATGACATCCTTGCATATCCCTGCTAACGTGTGAAGGTGGGGAAGTGATGTCACCATGACAAAATAGTTGCCTGGGGGATTTTTAAAGTAAGACTCTACACTGTCTACAAAATGAATTGTTAAAGTATAAGATCTACAATTCAGTTTACCGTCGACAAAAGTCGATTTATTGCCATGACCCGTTGTTGGGCTGGTACATTTGGCATACTTTGTTGTATAACAACGTCTGTGATTCCCTTTGCATTCTCTTGGCATAATGCAAGGATCTTACTTTCAAGATCAACAGCTTCTATAGATTCTTGTTTTACAACAATATCCGCGACTGCCATGGATGATAACTTTCTAAATAGGTTAAGTCTAGGTGGTATACAATACACTTTGGCTAACACGAAGTATCATAAAACCTGGCCTGCAGACCACTGCCACTGCAGATGACTCGAATCCACTTGGTTCCCTTGGTTCTTTTTGTTCTGTGTCAGTTAACTTACAACCTCTCCTATTCAATTGAGGTATTTTTGCTGTGCGTAATGCCTTATTATTAGTTTTTTCTTATCTTCTCAGCAAAGAGAGTTATGGAGAGTGACCAGTCAGGAAAAAATCTCTGGGTTGCAAAACAAAAGTTTGTTTCTCTTCTGTCAACACTTTCAACTGGAGATGATAAAGATTTTTTGGATTGGGTAATAGAACAGTATTCAATGTTGTTAACTGGAGATGGATCATATGCATATGGAAACAAGTCAATGGCACCTTTTTACCAAGAGTATCTTAATGGGGAACAAAAACTGCTCTCTATTAAAGAAGATCTTTGTAGTCAACTTCCTTTTGATGGTTCATGTTCTTCAGAGACTGTTTATCAACCAGAAGTTGGCAAGGTAAAAAACTGTTTTGTGTTATTCATACATTTAATTATAAACCATCAACAGTACATTATTTTTATTGTTAGAACTCAGATTGTGATCCAACTACAACTGTTGTCATTGATTCATTTCTTTATGATGAAGATGATATTGAAATGTTATGTGATCAAAATCTCTTCAATAGAAATTATTGTAAGAAATGTGGTTCTCATAATACAGCTCCATTAAGTATGTTCAACTGTGATCACAAGCACTTGATAGCTATGCACAACCTGATTAATATGATATTTCTGTTGTTTTAGCCTTGATTTCACACTCCATGTCTGTGCTACAGATGAAATACATTTTTAAGAATGCTTTGCCCAAATTAGGATATATACCTGATGCCACTATCCTTGATGTTGGTTCTCGCTTAGGTGCTGTTTTATATGGAGTATGTTAAAATGTTATGATGTTGATAGTTACTAAAGGAAAAAGATGCTATTTTCTAATAATTATCTCACAGGCGTACTTCTTTAGCCATTGTAAAAGAATCGTTGGTGTTGAAATGAATAAAGAACTTTGCCTCCTACAAAATCAAATCATACACAAGTATTCACTTGGTGATAGAATTGAGGCAAATACCATCAAATCCATTTTATTTATCATACTCCTTCATGAAGTAAGAACTGATCAAATTTGATCATCTTTTAGGTATTTTGCAATGATATTTGTAATGCTGGGATGCTTTTACAAGAAGGTAAGTATGGTTTACAGTTGTCAATAGAATTCGGTGGATAAACTTATAAAAATGTTTGAGATATTTATGGACAGTTTATTTGTTTAGCTGATATTATTATATTGAACAATACATTTGAATTCTTCTTAAAAAGAGATGCTCAGATAAGGTATGTAGAATGATTGCTTCATAGTTAATGTAAAATATGTTTAGACAGGTATTTAAGGTATAGCAAGATATATTGAATTTAAATGCATTTTGTCTTAATTCAAGAAACAATTTTGTCATCTTTTTCAAGCACATGGAAAAATATAAGACGAAACTTATCAAAATCTGGTTCTATTCTGATTACAATTCCCAGCTTAGAAGAATCTCTATGTATTGGTGATGGAGGAAAGGTTTGTTCTGACATTTTTTTTATGAACTTTAGGTATTCATTAACAATGGAGTTTTTACTTTAGGAAATAATGGATATACACAGTTGGCTTGTGCCTTTGATTGTGAATGCAAATGATTTGTCCCTTAATTATTCTGAAGATGATTTACAGGAGCTGAACATGATACATTTTTACAAAGTAAAATGAAATCCCACCTACCAAACATTAGAACATTGACATATTTACATGAAATAGAAAATTTAATTAAATCTTATCAGTGTAAATGGCAAGTAGTAACGTGAAGATCATTGACACCGAAGACCATACAAAACACAGCTAAAATTGAAAAAAATACAGTAAACACGATTGGTTGTTGTGAGAAAGTGTGTTTTCCTTACCTCTGTTATTCTGTAGTAATAATATGTGTTATAACAATTTGAATATTTTGGTGTGTATGCTTTCCAGTCAATAAGGAGAGATGAAGTGTGGTAGCATCTATAATAACATGTATACTTCTCTTATCATTACTTCTAGTCTTCATTACCTTGGAAGAAGGTACATGATTTTGGTCATTTTACCTCACCACTTTAAAACTATTGCAAAATTGATGCCAACCAACAGCAATGAATATTGTTGCAATTATGGTTGATATACAAACGCACAGCATCATCCAGTACTTTTTGGAAAGCCACAAACTATAAAATCATATGTATGAAAAGTTGACTTCAGCGATTGATTTTTCAATGAAGTAAAGTTAAAGATGTTTGAAGAGGTTCCAGTAACCTTCCAAATGAAATTACCCAAGCAGGGCACCTTGACAACATTACACAACAAAATAAAATTATCAAAAATCCATGAGCAACCAGCATGTAGCACCAACCAACAAATCCCCCTTCTAAAATACGTTCAATTTCCAAAATTCTGGCGAATAGAAGACATTGCTTGCATTCAACAAGGCTAAGAACTTGCAAAACTACTGCAAGAAACTGGACAGGAATACAGATCAACAGTAACAAAGTTTGAAGATGTAAAATTCTGGAAAACATTGAGATTATAGAACATAAACCTATTTTTGTATTTTGGGGACGTAATTCCATTTGACCAGTCCATGTGTTGTGGTAACTTGTGTAACTTGTGGTTTTTAAACTCAACAACAGTTGATTACATTACATTTCCACGTACGACAAGTCACGAAATATATCTTAATTTTTTGCATAATTTACTATAATTAATTTTGTTGGCACTGAATGTAAATACATAGTTGCACAACCAGGCAAAAATAAAGAAATAAGCTTTTCATGTACTGAATGTATCAAAAGGAGACTTTTAGAAACCAATTATTGTAATAATTTACATGATTTTACCGATGGATGGGTGAAATATTGTCAGCTACGTACATGAATTACATATCTTTGTTGCGAATCAAACTTTATGTAATTGGTCAAAACTGGTCACATGTAATGTTGACGTATGTTATGGTAATTTATATTCATGATGTAAAAACCTGACGAATGTGTTTTTGTCAACGAACGAGAACGGAAAACGATATTCGACGATGAGCAAATGTTGCGTAAAATTTCATAATTTTGACTGATTAAATATACCAATGTAAATCTTTACTTATGTAATGAGTGATAGCGAAGCTGATGAACGCACTTGTCTCATGTCTGGGGAATCGACTGCACGTTTATGCCCGCCTTCAAACGAGTCGACTATGGAAGTAATGGAACAAGATTTAGTAAGTAGATAGTGAAACAATAATGTAATTTAAACTTTTGTTTGTAAATGTCATACTTTACTATGTTTCACGTATAAAGTATGTTAAAAGTTCAATTAAATCTTCCCTTGATTCTTGTTCCTTTTCTGCTGTATTCTTCAGGTTATTGTACATTTCTTTTTATTGTGGTGTTTAGGATGAAGAAACTAATGAAGAAATTGGAAGACTAAACAATGTACGAAGACGTAACATACAGCAACAAGACGATGGCCAAAGTTCGTCTGAAAATAATTGTCGGAATAGTGATGATGATTACAATGAAGAAGAGGAATTGAAATATGGTTTTAAAAGTGTGATGATGCTAATTATTCCAGTATCTCTCTGTTTGCTTGTCGTTGTTGCAACTGTTACATCCGTCACATATTATTCTAAAAATTCAGGACAATATTTGTAAGAGATATTTTATATTATTTAGGGTTTGTCAATTCTAAGTTTTTTACATTTGATATCTAACTCACAATCTTTTGTCAGAATTTATACACCTTTCCACGAACAAGATGGAATCACAAAAACAGAAAAGGCCACTCATGCTTTTCTCAATGCTATCATAGTCATTGCTGTAGTCTTGGCAATGACAATATTATTGGTTGTACTTTACATCAAAAAATGTTACAAGGTTAGATTTACTACTTTTAGTATTTGTATTAAGGGAACATGCTTGATATGCTACTAGAAGTTTAAACGTAATTATAAACATTTCAAAGATACTTCAAACATAAATTATATTTAATGATTATGAAATAAAGTGTGATCTTTCTATATTTAGTAATTATAATTGCTTGCCAATAACCCTTTGATTTTTTTAACAGATAATAGCTGGCTGGTTGATACTTTCCTCGTTGCTTCTGCTTTTCTTTTTTAGTTTTATATATATTCAGTAAGTTGTGTTTGATGAAGATTTTTCACCAATAATATTGATTACAACTCTAAAATTGATATTTTTTTTTGCTTTATTTAGAGAGGTTTTGATGGTATACAACAGGGCAATAGATTATTTCACGTTGGCTCTAATTATTTGGAACTTTGGTGTTGTAGGAATGATTTGTATTCATTGGAAGGGTCCTCTTCTACTTCAACAGATTTATTTAATATTTGTCAGTGCATTGATGGTATGGATAAATACTTCTCTCTCTTTTTACTTCATGTCAACCAGAAACCAGAGATTATTTTCTGTTGAAATTATTCCACTTAACTTGGTATTGGATAATGAAATTTTTTGTTTATGATTAGGCACTTGTGTTTATAAAATACCTCCCAGATTGGACAACATGGTTCATTCTCGTGGCCATTGCAATATATGGTAACAAAATAAATTTTGTTAGTTTTCAGTAACATTTTATTCATTATGTTTTATTTTCTTTATTTAGATTTGTTTGCGGTGTTATGTCCAAAGGACCTCTTCAAATCTTGGTTCGTACGGCACAAGAAAGAAACGAGCCAATATTTCCTGCACTTATATATTCATGTTAGTTAATAATTTAAAGTTTGAAATATTTGGTATGTGTTTACTTGCAATGTGGTATTTCTGCTTTCTATCTTTGATTCTTCCTCAACCTTGTTCCTTCCTTTTCCCCGCTTCTCCCTCTTTACTCATAAGCAAAAATACATCAAAGTATCCGAGTAAGTATGACTATATTATATTATTTGTATGTGTTATATTTCATCTTATAGCCACTGTGATGTGGAGTGTTGGAATGGCAGGTGGAAATGAGGCAGGACAAAACACAAGTGAAAGAACAAGTCAACATTCTTTTGACGAGACTTCAGTTGAAGGGGATGGTGCAGCCCAAGATGAAGCAAGTCAAGCAGCAACAGCATTAGCTGCAAGGAGTGACTCTCAAAATGACTCACTAGAAGATGAGGAAAGTAAGATTTGAAAATGCACATTTCTTTTCATATGATAAATTATCACTTCATTGTGATGCATCAGCAATATTTTCATGTTTTCTACAACTTAATTATCACAATAATATTCAACAATTTCTCACAATTTGTTTTATAATTTTAGAGGGTGTAAAGCTTGGTCTTGGTGACTTTATATTTTATAGTGTTCTTGTTGGAAAGGCTTCTTCATATGGAGATTGGAATACAACAATAGCATGCTATGTTGCTATTCTCATTGTAAGTTTTTCCTCAAATTTTCTTAGTTATAGGAGAGTGGTTTTTAGTGCATTTGATGCAACTTTGCAGTATGGTTATGTGTAGAATGATTAGTATTAGAAGGTTAATCAAATAACATTTAGTTTTTTTTTGAGAATAGTGGCAAGGGATTTACCGGGCCGGAGGCGAATTCTTATTATAAATATAAAGCCCAGAAAAGTGCTTTTTGATCAATACTATTGACATGACTGAAAATTTGTTGATTTAAATAAGTCTATTTGAAATGGTAGGTTTGTAAACAGAGGCAAAAATATGAAATTTTTCTTTTGATGCTGTCATTTGAACTCTGATTACTTATACAAAAATTGAAGTTCAAATTATGATTGAATGTGTTGTTGTTGAGCTGCTCTAAACAAACAATTGCAATGCATAAATGGCAAACTGCTTTTTGTAAGAAATTATGTGGTTCCTTTTAGGCAATGCTCAACAAAAAATCTCTTCCAATATGAGCATTTATTGTAAAATAATTTGATGAGAGCTCATAAGTTTTGAGACATCACTTTTGAATGTCAATTGAATAATTACATGGCTATTTGTTATAGCAATCATAACTGAACACATGATATCAAATCAGTGCAACTTTTGGGATTGTTAGTCTTTATCACAAACATACATTGCAAGTGTGCACTTGATTAGTTAATAGTTAATTCATTTTTAAGTCAGTTTTCTATATAAAATTATATAAAATCTTACAACTTAGTGGTTGAAAGTTATCATTCATTTGCTTTCATTCATGATGCATTAAATAGTAAATGAGACTAGTCACCATTGACAATCAAAAAGCATCTTTTTAAACTTTACACTATCCTTGGATCCTTAGTTATTATTTTTTACCTTGTTTTTTAGGGATTGTGTTTAACTCTTCTTTTATTGATGATATTCAAACGGGCTCTTCCTGCCTTGCCAATATCAATTGCATTTGGACTTATCTTTTATTTTGCAACTAGTGAATTGGTAAAACCATTTGCAGATGAACTAGCTAGCCAACAAGTGTTTCTATGATTTGGACAGTTTTGATGTTTTGTTTCTGTAACTCTCACTAGAGTTTGTACATTGAATAAAATTTCTTATGTGAAAGTTCCTATTGGTCAAGTTATGATTTTTAAAGATGTGAGAAACATTTGGTACAAGCTGCAATTGAATAATTGTTTCTTGTACATAACTTAGTCTGGTCATAAAGGGATTTATTAAATTAAAGTTTGTGCAGGTTGCAATAGAATGAAACTCAACAATTAATTTCATGAGCATCACTGTAAGTTGTGTAGGAAGGTTGTTTTTAGTAGATTAAAAAAAAATATTATATTTTCAATTGGTATTATTCTTTCTTTATAGAAAATTCAGACTTTTTATCATACAAAAAGTTGTTCTCAAATTAAATACCCAGGATTATGTAGTATACACTACCAGGGTCTTAAGTACATGCAAGATATTGCATTTCAGGTTTACTCATCTGTCAAAATTGTTTAATCACCCAAACAATAAATCAAACTGAGATTCCTTTAAAGATCTAACATAAAATTAATTTACACATGTTCTTCTCTTTTGCTACCAGAACTTGTCGGCTCACTTGAAGTCTGCACAGAGTTTTCTATAGGACTTGTTGAGTATACGTATATTGAAGAACATACAATTAAAATAGCCAGGAATGTATAAGATGTTATAGCCTTACCAAACAGAAGCCATACAAATATAGCTGTGAGAATGATTTCCAATGATGCAGCAAACTGCTTTAGAATTGAGTTCAGTTTCTTAAGTAGAAGAGCAGTGACTATGCCAGCAATGATGTTGTTTACAATGATAGCAACCACTATTGGTTGCTTTACAGCAGTAATTCCTTCAGGACTAATAGCTTTGGAAAAAGTTCCGTTAAAGTACATATAACATAACCCACATATGATTGAATCCAGATACATGAAGAAGCTTTGAATAAGAAATGGCACATCACCAGCCTTTCCTTTCAGTAAGTACTCATTATAAACACTGGCAAAGCAAGAACTAAGAATCTGAACAAGCATAAGCATAAGGTACTTGTCTATTTTGAAATGAAATGAGTCTGTAGCTGATGAACTTTGTCCGATATGTTGAACTATGCAGCCAAAGGTCAGCAAGCCCAGAGAAAACCATTGTTTCAGAGATAACTGTTTGCTGAACAATACCTATGTGTTATAGAGTAAAAACTATGAGATTTGTTTCAACACCAACATCACATGATTTCATCATTAAGTACCTGATACACTATGCCAGTTATAACAACACGAAACTGTAGAAGTAACCAATAGGACGTTGGACCATAAGCTCGCAAGTTGATAAAAAAGAGATTGTTGTACACGCTGTATAATACAGCTGGAATCATGTAGAATCCTAACACTGCAAAATGAAAAAAGGCATTTCTTCAAATATAACTTGTTACTGTTTGAAATATTACATTGTAGACTCACTTTTAATATTGCTTGATATTTGAGTTACAAAATCTGATAGAGACGATCTGCAAATTTTAATATATCAAAGACATTGTTATGAATCTCAAAGAGTCAAAAAGCAAATTAAATAGACCTACTGTTTCAATTGCAAGGTAAGAATAAAAAGTAATTTTCCAAACTCCACCAAAATGACCACGGTCGTCTTATTGTAAGGATACTCATCGTTTTCATCACGGGAAGCAGTAACTAGTAAACCTATGCAAAAACTATTATCAATGCATCTTTCAAAGTCAACATTTTCTTCGAATGTTTAATGTGTTCATTTCACATTAAAATACCTTGACAAACAAACAGCGAAATATAAGTGATGAAAATGACAAGATGCAAACGAGTGGGAAACAATTTGTTGGAGTTATCCATTGCCGTAAGCTACGTCTAATCATCAAAGGCCAATTTCGAAAAGTGAAAGTGTAAAGCTACGAAATATACATAAAGTACACGTACAAGCACAAATTTCTTTTGTGTATAAAAACGTCGTACACCCGATTCACTCTCGAAGACAAAGCGTATAAAATGTCGTAAAAAGCGTAATACTGGTAACCTAGGTAACACCATCAACAACAGCTTAAAAATGGATGACGGCGAAAATTTTAAGAAAGTGAAGAATCCCGTTGTATTTGTAAACCATGTAGATGGCTATGTTGGAAAAAACATAAGCAAGGTAGTAATTTTATTATTGAAGCTTTTTACTTGAAACAAAAATTTACTGATGTTTGGATACGCAGGCAAAATACAGCTCTGTTATCCGGATCCCTCTCTGAGCCCCCATTTAAACAGATACATTTAGATCAAAGAAGAGAAAATTAAGAAAAAGCAGCATCTTCCACGCTGTATCACTGTAATTGAAATTAAAATTCCCTATTTCTAGATATTTTCTGGTTCAGTTGTTGGTGGTTACTCCGATGCAGTTATAGACAACGAATCCGACGATAGCGGTCCTTCAGATGGCGGGAAAAAAGAAATCTTTTATAAAGTTGTTGGGACAATATTAAATCCTGAAAAGAACGAGAAACCGGCATGGGTTGAAGAAGCTTTTATGGTAAATATGCAAACAAACGAAAACACCAAAAGTTTGTTGAAATAAAACGTTAATAATACTTTTTTATTTTTTAATTAAGTATACTAAGAAAGAAGAGTTACTCGACCATATTTTAGACAGCGATATCATAATTTATGACATCGTTAGCCAACCTGATCAAGTTGATGAGGCAACCTGGGTAATATCAGGTATAGTGCATTTGAAATAATATTTTTCATTTTGAAAAAGAAATAGAATTAATCTTTTTGTGGCTTTATTCTTTAGCTCTTCATGCAGAAATTGAGAACTTTTTCTCTCCAAAAATTTTCATTTGCCTATCATCAATTATGACCTGGGCTCGAACTAAACCACTAGATCCAGTGAGTTTATGCTACATGTTGATCATTAGATAAATTTAAAAATTATCATTATGAAACTCATCAAATGATATAAAATATTTTGTGAAGAAAATTAGTTCCCATCAAATTCACAAAACTGATGTAATATAGATGATAAATGAATATTAACTTTGTATGTCATGTGCTTTGTATACAGCTTTTGTGGTGTCTTTGTAATTGTTCTTAAAATTGTTCTCCAACTATTCTATAATTTTTAATAACCTGATTGATGATTTACAATAAATTTTCATGCATCAAAGTGTGGTCCATTCAAGTGAACTTTATATCATCTGGAATAATGAGTCAGAGGGATATTTTAGGTCTCTTATTGTGTTATTTAAATTTAGGAAGAACCTGATATTCCATTCACAGAAGATGATTACCGACGAAGACGTGCCCATCCAAACTTCAGGCCACATATAAGCACAGAAAAATTGGTTATAAAATTGGGCAAAACAGCTAAGACAAAGTTGACTTCATATGTTGTTGCTAGTGGACTGTTGTATGGTGCTGGAGAGGAGATCTTTCATTCTTTGTTTAAATCAGCTTGGCATGGAAATCAAGCTGCTTTGCAGTGCTATGGAAATGGTCAAAACATTGTGCCTATTATACATATTGATGATTTGGCCAGTGTTTTAGTAAATATTGCTGATGCACCACCTAAAGTAAGATACCTTATTGCAAAGGATGATTCTCAATCTCCTTTGGATGAAATTGTTAAGGTAAAGTTATTTTATTTACCTTTGATGTATATGTGATTAATAATTATATATATATGTTCACACCATTTTAGTGTGTCAGTCGAAACTTGGGAAATGGTAAAGTACAATATGTTTCAAAGGAAGAAGCATTGCTCATTAAGGATCTGCAGGTACTGGATGCAACAAAAATCATTTTTGAATATTGTAATATTTTAAGAGTTTGTGGAAATTTTAGAATAAGAAGTTTTGCTTTCTCTAAAACTTTGTTTTTTTAGCAAACAGACTTTGACATGCTTCTTGTCAATCTTCGTATGGATGCTGGTTATGTCAGAGAAGGAATGCGAATCAATTGGAAAGGAGAAGTATAAAAGTTATATTTAATGTCAAACATGACAAAATCATTTTATTGTAGACACTTACTAACATATGTTCATTTTATTGGTTGTCTTAAAGTTAAACTATGTTTCCTTTATCACCCATGAGTGTTTTTGTGTTGTTTTTACCAGACAGGTTTGATTGATAGCATTGAAAGTGTCATTCAAGAATATAAGGAAACAAGAGGATTACAGGTTTGTTAAACAACTTAAGATGAGTGATGACTTGACATGTTGCATTAATCATTGACAGAATGGTTTACAAGTATGGTGAAAGGTGTTTCAGTAACTAAGTTTGTGTATTTATACTACAATTTAATTTATCTTTTTACTGTTTGTCAAATGTTATAGCCGATACGTGTGTGTGTTTTGGGTCCACCTTCATCTGGAAAAACTTTGGTTGTCCGACAGTTGTGTGAAAGTTATAAACTTCATCATATTATGATTGAAGAAGTCATTAACGAGTCGGTCAAGAAACTAGTGAGTATCGACGTAAATTGATGTATAAAGTTGTGTAAAACGTCTTATAGTTTTATACTTTTTGCTTCGTTTCCACTTGTTATAACATGTTTAATTATGGTCTTAGAATTGTTGAAGCTTTTACGTAAATTGTTTCAGCTCTCGAAGCTTTTATTATTCTTTTGTCTCTAATATTGTGTAATAAATGAATTAGAGGAAATAGGAACTGTTAGGAACTAGTTCTTCTTGTTAAATCAGGGACGACGCCACAAAATTGAACCTGGGCGGCTACGACTTATATTTCCTAAATTTACTGCGTCTTACGCTAAATTATATATATGTTATAAAGGTGGGGGAGCTCAAGCCCCCCTTTTGGTGCCGTGCCTGCAAGTTATCAAGATTCCTATAATCTGCTGTAGCTGGCCCTCTACACGTTTCAATCAATGCAAAAAAAATGTGATGTTGATGTGTGTTTTTAGGAAAAAAGTGCCGCTAGGGCTGACAATGACGGTGATGAAGAAGATGATGTTAAGGCAGAAGAAGACAGGGAATTATTGGAAGCACTTGCTGAAAACAAAGATCAAAATAATGGTAGGATGTAAAATTGGACTTTGTTTTAAGGAAGTGGTTAATTTAAAAAATAAGATGATATTTCTTATCTAATATAAGTTTTTCAATTCTTTCAGGACGCTACGATGACAGCTATATCATAAAATTTTACAAAGACAAACTTTTGTCGATGCCTTGTCAAAACCAAGTATGTATGATATTTCAACACATTTCTTTACTAGTAGAATTTTGTCTTCTTATAGCTTTCAAACTTGTGACTTTTTGTTTTCACAATAAATCTTCCATTGATGACACATTTGATAGGGATTCATTCTTGATGGCTTTCCGAAAACATACGAGGTTGCAAAAGAGCTTTTTCAAGGTTTGTATTTGCTGATAAAGATGCCAGCCAAAGATTCTCTACTGATAAATAGAATTTGGTGTCGCCAAAGAAATTTTTCGAAGTTTATTGATCCGTTTTAAAAAAATATTTATTCTTGCTATTTGCATTACAGCTGAAGAAAATGATGAGGATGAAGACAATGAAGCAGTTGTGAAATATAATAAACTTATAATGCCAGGTAAAATTATGTTACCCTTTCTGAAATATTTGCAGATCAGTATCAGTTGTGCGTACTCTCTCCTTTCTTTTATTATCTACGTGATCATTACATCTTTCATTTTTTGTTTATATAGAAATTGTTGTATCTTTGGATGCTTCGGATGAATTTCTCAAAGCAAGAATTATGAATCTACCAGAATCTGTAGTTGCTGGAACCCATAACACAGAGGAAGGTATGCTCATGTTTTACACAAACAATATCTAAATATTTCATCATGGATTCAGGTTCTTCTACGTTGAGGTGTGTAACTCCAATCCAAAATTGCAAGTGCTTCTTCTTCCTTTCTAAATATCATTCAATTCAATGGGTGGATTTTTTTCTCATATCAAACCCTTCCTCTTTACTTGTAATATACGCGTACCTGGAGATTCTTCATATGTTTTCATGGACTGTATGCTTATATCTAAAAATGTTTCGTCGCTCTATGATGTGAATTTGTTTTTGATAATTATTACTTTTATTTCTTTACGTCTGTGGTGAGTAGAGCAGACTGAATTAAGAGCTTGCCTCCACCGATACATGAAAAAACCTGCAAAAATTGTGTTCTGTGCTGGTGCAACTTTATCGACTATTATAACAAGGTGTACTATTCATAGTCCGGCAGCCGCTCGTGGTAATGTATGACTAAGGAAAAGGCTTTATACAATTTTCTGATTTCACTCTAGGGCTTCTGCGACGTTTGGCTGAATTCCGCGCTGTAAACACAGAAGATGAAACAGTTTTGAATTATTTCGACGAATTGGAGATCCATCCAGATCACATCGGTAGTAATGGGATCAGGACATCGAAGATATCTTTCACGACTCTCAAGATATCCTCGAAAATATGCTTTTGGGAAATATTTTTTAAGCATGTTTGATTATTTTACTAGATATCACTCAAGATAGTAGTCCTTTGATGTCAAATGTTGTACAACAAATCGAAAAATTGATTGGCGATCCAAGGAATTATGGTATTGGCATAGCTTCTTTAAAAAGTTTTTGTCAATTTGGTTTCATGGATGAATTCATTTGTAATAGGTCCGACACCAGAGGAGTTGATTGAGATCAAAAGAATGGAGGTAGAAAAACAGGTATATCTGACTATAGATTAATTTGATTGCCACCGTTTGAGAATTTTGTACATTTCGGTGAATATTTTGAAAGACGAATTTTATTTTTATTAATTTAACAGCTTGAAAAGGAGCGAAAAGAAAAAGAGGAAAGAAATCGTAGGGAAAGAGAGGAAGCAAATGAACGAGCAAAAAAGGAGGAGGAATGGGTATGATTTTGTAATAAGATAATGTCTTTTATTATCTTGGGAATGAGGTAATTTTAATGTTGGAAAGATCTTTTCGAGTGCCAGTTTATCTATTCCTTCCCCTTTCTTCTTGTCTTAAAATATGAACATATGTTCGTTACGACTCGATATTTTTACATCAGTGAAGAATTCAAGCTAATCACTCTTTGTTTACTTAAGAAAATGCGCTTAAATGAAGTAAAGAAAGAGGAACAAGAAGTATTAGAAACACGATCGATTCCATTGAGAAATTATCTTATGAAACACGTTATGCCTACTTTATCCCAAGGCCTCGTTGAATGTACTAAAATACGACCAGAGGATCCCGTCGATTTTTTGGTAAGGAATGTACAATACAAACGAAGAATCACCCACCCCACCCCCTCCTCCTCACTTCAATCACCTTTGCTGGTACGTCGGAATTCTTTTTCTCTTTTTATGTATCGATTGTATTCTTGTTTTATAGGCTGAATATTTGTTCAAAAATAATCCACTAATTGATTAGTGCGGCGATTTTTATCTGTTTAAATGTAGCTTTCAATTGGACGAATATGTAATAGTACATTACAGTTATATATTTAGTAATATTTATTTTTAATGCTTATACAAGTTATAGTTTGTGTGTATGATTTGTTTTGGAAACATGTACAATTGATTCTTTGTAAAAATTCAGTACTAAAAAAGTCGTTCTGAGTAAATCTAAAAAATGTTTTACTAATCTTATGTCTGAAGACAAATTACAACTTTTAACTTAAAAACCATTTCTGAGGATGACTTTGAAATAAAGTCGAAAATTTACAGTTCACTTCTCGTCTTGTTTGATTCATATTTTGTAATCTCAAGATGTCTTGTTTTTTCGGAATTTGTTTTTTTGCTATAACTTTTAACTAAATCTTCTGGTTTAAGCACGTTTAAAAACACACTGGTTTAAATAAGTTGTTTTACCATACATATTTCTAAAGATACTAAATTCAAACTCCAATACGTCCAGTTCAAAACATACGATCAGTGTATTACCGGAATTATTGTCAATATATATCATTATATATTCCTACATCGACTCATAAAGATCCCTCTACCACCCCCCTATTTGTCTGTAAACGAACACGTCACTGCACCGGTAGAGGCAGCTCTCTACAGTTGCCCTGAATTGACAAAGTAAATCAGCTTTTTCGTCGTTATTCATCAAGCTTTCTTGACCATATTATGTCCACAATGAATCCCGAATAGTAAGTTTCATAATTTAAGAAAGCATTTCTGTAATTGTTTCTCGTTTATCGTCTTCAAAGCGTCGCATTTGAAGTTTTAGGAAGTAAAATGTGTCGTAATAATATATACAAAACGCATCAGTTGTGCATCGAGGCTCTTGTTTTCTTCTTAGTGACTATCTCTTTAAACTATTACTTATCGGGGACTCTGGAGTAGGGAAAAGTTGTCTATTACTTCGTTTTGCGGTGAGTAAACCTTAAACGTATTTTGCTTCACTACACGGTTCGAAGCCGTGAAAGTGTCGGTCATAAAATTTAAGCAGGCGTAGTCTAAAGACTTTTGCTTTGTAATGCTCCATATTCCTCGAATTGTCTTCTTTCATTAATAGGATGATACATACACGGAGAGTTATATCAGCACTATCGGAGTAGACTTTGTAAGTACATTAAATGATGCCAATTCCATGACATTGAAGCACTTCACTTCAACTGACAAAAATTTGGTGTATTTACTGTTATTCTACCACTACGTCAACTTAACCATTTTCAGCTTTATTTATATTCATTTTAGTATGATTTTTTTTACAGAAAATAAGAACCATAGAATTGGATGGGAAAACGATAAAGTTACAAATTGTAAGGAACTTATTCTTCATTTTGCTATTTAAGTGTTGGCTTTCTGAAATAGCAGAAAAAATTCAATCGTTTTAAATAATTCGTATAAGTTGCGAAAATGCCAATTAGTGTGATATTTTCACTCACATTACTCCATGATAAAAGATATTTTTACATGGTAATTCAGTTGTTCTTACTAAAATTGCTGTTGCTGTTTTTCTCTGGATGTTACAGTGAGCTTGTTTGTTATAGTTTATACATTTTAATACAAAGTTGACCTTTAGATATTATATAATATCTGAGTGATTTATTATTCTTCAGTGGGATACTGCTGGTCAAGAACGTTTTAGGACAATTACATCAAGCTACTATCGAGGGGCTCATGGAATAATAATTGTATATGATGTAACCGATCAGGTTTGGATAGGATTTTCATTGTTCAATCATAATTTGTATAATTTTACACAAGCTGCTGATCAGTCCTGATTTTGTTTGATTAAGGAATCATTCAACAATGTGAAACAGTGGCTTCAGGAAATAGATCGTTATGCTTGTGAAAACGTGAACAAACTTCTTGTTGGTAACAAATGTGACTTAACCACAAAAAGTAGTTGACTTTACCACAGCAAAGGCAAGCCATTTTCTATGAATAATTCTAACACATTTCTTTTAAAGTTGCTAATTATATATTTATTAATTTAATAACTAATAATTTACTCCAGGAGTTTGCAGACCAGTTAACTGTGCCATTTCTTGAGACGAGTGCAAAAAATGCAACAAATGTTGAACAGGCATTTATGACAATGGCTGCTGAAATCAAAAACAGGATGGGTCCGCCTGCTGCTTCAGTGACAGGCCAGGCTAGCGGTGTAAAGATAACAAGCACTCCAGTGAAACCAAGCAGCGGAGGCTGTTGCTAAGAAAAAGACACTATGATTTAGAAAAGACAGAAATAATAAATAATCTTGATTGAAAAATCCAAAGAAAACCTACTATTATATCCCACCCATTGCCATATTGCAAGTTTTGCCAAAGAAGGGCTCGTAATAAAACTACAAGCGAGACTTGATACAATATGCATCCGTAAAACAACATCATCATTTAAAACTTTCGTCTTGGGATATTTCTTTGTATTCAATTTTTTGTTTCATGTTATATTACAATGATATTTAGCAGGGAGTCGTTGTAGGTCTGATGTGTTTTTTGGAAAAATAGAACATTTGAGACTATTAGTTTGATAAATAATAATAAACTTAGTGTGCTACTTAATATTGACTGACTATATTCATCAACTATGTTTCGATATCCTTGTTAAATTTTCTCGACAAAGTTTAGTTGTGTGTCATTTGTAATTTTGAATACAAGTAATACATCAGTTTAAGCTCGCAATGACCTGTAGATCTTGGGTTAATTTCATTAGTTTGACGTGCTCAAAAGAAAAGAAACCGTTCAAAGATAATCAAATCAATTTGAGGGCAATGTTTCTTGAAGGAGATGCGATATTGGAAGAATTTTTGTGGTTCCGGGTATTGAGCGTGAGAAGTGATAACTGCAATTGGGAACTGGGAACTAGTGTCAAAGTAAACAACTGATCAAGTTGTCTTTATCAAAAGAAATAAACGATTGCCTTGTGAAATGTCTGAAAGAAAAGCAACGCATGCAGGGACTTGGTACTCAAGTAATAGTAAGTGATGGATCTTTTAAATCTACTGTCCAAATTACCATCTAGTGTATTTATTTATGTGTTATTATTGTTCACAGAAAAAGATCTATCAGATAAGCTAGAGCGTTGGCTATCAAAGGCAAGTTGTGTCGAAAGTCCAGTCAAGGCAATTATTGCACCGTGAGTGAAGAGTAGATTTAGCTATACATTCAATATTATGATTTTGACCTAGGATGTTTTAATGATATCAAAATTTGTCATTAGACTCATCAAATTGTGAGTTGTTACCTAGGATAATTAAATAATCAATGCCCCCCCCTGTTGTTCTACACAATCATTAGCATATCTATCTTCCATGTCAGTGTAATTCCTAAACTTACCTTTTTAGACATGCAGGCTACTCCTATTGTGGGGCTGTTGGAGCTCATTCATATAGACAACTTAACAGCAAAACCATGTAAGTATTTTTCTGATCAACACTCTTTATTTTGACAGTCTTTTAATTTTTAACATGAGCTATGTTTGTATAGAAAAAGAATATTTATACTTGGACCATCACATCATGTTTATTTATCTGGCTGTGCAATATCTGGGACTTCAGTTTACAATACTCCATTGACAAACCTAAAAATTGACACTCAAGGTTATTATTGTTTCAGTTTTTGTGAAATCTTATTATGATAAAAAATATGAAAAATTTGCTGTCTTATGATGTTTAATATGTTGTTTATTTCAAGTGAATGAAGAATTGATGGAAAGTGGGTTATTCGAGGTTATGAACATTAACACAGATGAAGATGAACATAGCATTGAAATGCAACTTCCTTATATTGCTAAAGTAATGGAAGGGTAATGTATTAATTCTTTTATAGTAATTTCAAATGTGGTCATTTCAACATGATAGTTGTTCTTTGCCAATGTACTTTCTCTTGCAGTTAGTTTTTGTTTCTACCTTTTTTGCCAGATGCCCTCATGAATTTACAATAGTTCCCATTCTGGTTGGCTCATTATCAATGGAAAAAGAAAAGCAATACGGTCAATTGTTCAGCAAGTATTTTGCAAATCCTGGAAACTTCTTCATCATATCTTCAGATTTTTGTCATTGGGGTGAGATATCCAATTTGAAACAAACTGATAACATCTCACCTAATCCATGTTTTAGAAATTTTCTGTTGTTATAAATGTATATGTGATTGTATGGATTTAGGTAGGAGATTTCGATTCACATATCACGAGAAGAAATACAAATACATCTATCAATCAATTGAAGCACTAGATAAAATGGTAATGCAGTTTCTTATCATTAATAAATGCCAGCTTTATGAATGGAAATTGAATGCGGGATTCAGAATGCATTAACTTTTTTGTCTCATGTTTATGGTTATGTTTCATATGAAATGATTGTTCATTTTTGTTTTGTTTAACTCTGTTTTTTTTTGTTTAGGGAATGGATCTTATTGAAAAACTTTTGGCACGTGACTTTATAGATTATCTTAAAAAATATGGCAACACAATATGTGGTCGCCATCCTATTGCTGTGATGTTGTTTGTGAGTGGAAGCTCTCTTTTTTCAATTAAAGCCACAATTGGTTGCACTTAATCAATATTTCAATGTTTATATATCCATTTCAGGCTGTGGAACATCTACATAAGTCTAATGGACATGCTCCAAATTACAAGTTTAGATTTTTAAACTATGCGCAATCAAACAACTGTCAGTCAATGTCTGATAGTTCAGTAAGTTATGCTGCTGGTGCTCTTTATCAAAAATGAATTTTATCTTTCTTCTTAAATAAACCAATTTGTCCCAAGATGTAGTGTGGCAGTACTTCAGATTACAAATATAGAACAAAATTAAAGTAAAAGTACATTACATGACTTTGACTATACTGTAATTATCAAACAAACTCTCCCTGTCAAATTGGTGCTACACTTGTAATAAATGGCCCACTAAAAGAGGTGTCTCCCACAATATATCATTATTATACTTGTTGATTAGGCGCAAAAACCGTATTTTTAGTCATACTTTTGCATTCATTTGTTTACACCAGTGGTTTACACTATGTTATAGAAATGATATATAAGCCTCTGCTGCGATTATCGTGGATTTACTATGTATTCGGATTATCTGTAATTATGGATTTATTGAGATAATTCAAAAACATGGCGGCCACTAAACACGTTGTTTCTGGTTTGCAAGTTGTTTAAACATTGTGTGGATCTAGACGGCAGTCAGTTTGTGGTCGGATGACGATATAATATTTTAATAACGCATTGATCATGGAGAAGGGTTCTGTTACATGCAAACGAAAACGAAAACAGAAATGGAGGCCTGTGGTCTTGGATTCACTCGAGTTTTTTCAAGGAAATATGGCTGGATTTGTTTCACTGGAGGTTTTGGAAGATGAAGATATAGATAATGAAACTGTTGGGAAAGTTTTCAAAATGAATAAAAATAATAGTGAGAATGTGTTGCAGGTAAGAAGTTCTTAACGGTTATTGTTTTGATTTTCATTCTGACTGCTGACACTGTCACTCACACTGATTGTTAATTTGTATTTTAAATCATTTTCCAATGTGCCGAACAGGAAACTAAAGCAAAGAAAAAGAGAAAGAAAAATACTAGAAAAAAAGCCAAAATCACTGATAATGAAAAAGAAGAAAAAACCATTGAAATTTCTCAGTCAAATGATAATCAATCAGGTTGGTTGTTAGTACTTTGTTCTATCAATAAAAGTTTGTGCTGTGCACCTGAAATTTTGAAAATAGCTATAAAATTTTGAAACTATGTGCATGTGCATGCAAATGTTAAATCTTATGTAAGCATATATTATTGTGACCTACGTACAAGATTGGCTGTTGTGATGTTAGTTAATAACTTCAACCTGCTAAGTTACTCTTGCTTAATTTCATTTAGCAGAAAGTAATGTTGATAAATTGCCTGACTATAAACTTTCTATTTCATTGTTATGGTTTGTGGTTCAGCTATTATTATGAAATTTGATATTTTAATGTGTTTATTTTGCTAATGATGTTTACAAAATATAGACACAGACTTTGAAAGTGAGTGGACTTCCCTTGGTATTTCTGTGACAATAGCAAAACATCTACACGAATTGGGCTTTGATGATCCAACAATTATTCAAAAAAAGTCAATACCTCCAGCAATATTGAACAGAGTTGACATTATTGGAGCAGCTGAAACAGTATGTTGCAAAAACTATTCATGTTTTGAAAGTTCTTGTTGAAATTTTGCATTTTTCATGTGCAATCAGAACCTCCTTTGGTAAGAAAGTTTTGCTACAAAGGATTTCAAAATAATAATGAGATAAACAAAAAGCCTTACCTTATCTCTGTCACATATATTTTTAATCTTTAATAGGGTTCTGGAAAGACACTTGCCTATGGACTGCCAGTTCTTCAAAAAATATTGGATATGAGATTGAATAAATCTACTAAATGTAAACTTACATCTGATTGTGAAGGAATGCTTGCTCTTATTTTAACACCCACAAGGGAACTGGCACTGCAAGTTTATAAGAATATTCAAGATGTTGCCAAAGAAATATCAGTGAAAGTTTGTTTAAATTTAAAATACATTACGCAGTACTAGAAAATAAATGCCTGAAATTCAAAACAGCCAAATATATTCTGCACGAAAAGGTTTCAGGTTTTACAAATTTTAACTTTATTGTCAAATTAGAGTGCCGCATTGAATTACAAAATGCTTAAGTATCACTGTTTTAGTTGTTCTCATAGTATGTGCAACGTGAATACCAATAGTTTGTCGTTGTCATTGTTCTTCATTTCACCCAACTGAACAGACTGTGTTTAAAAACACTTAGTTAAAAACCGTAGTCAAAAAATGTGCCAGCAGCAAGCAATGAAAAGCTAGTTTTGGTTTCACCAAAATTCTACTCTACTTTAAACTTCTAGTGATAAAAACGTTAACAGCATAATTTACCTCTAGTCAAAAAAAACCCCAGAACATAAGAAATGTCCGGGACGAATTTTGATCTCTAAATGGTGCGTCAAGTTAAGTTGTGCAAAATTAAAACTCGAAGCGAAAATGATTAACACGTGAATACTAGTATAAGTAAGGTAGTTCAGCTACACTGAATATAAACTACTGTAAATTGTAAATTGTTAATTTTGAATATTTATTAAGGTTGCTTGTGTTGTTGGTGGAATGTCTGAAGAAAAACAACAACGTGTTTTAAAGACTTTACCTGAGGTTGTAGTGGCAACTCCTGGACGTTTTTGGTATCTTATACAGCAGGTTAGGAAATGGACATTGAGTTTCTCTGTAACTTTATGTAATAAATATTAAGTTTTAGTACCATTGCAGGGAGAAGAACATTTATCAAATTTCAACTTATTACAATCTGTGGTTATTGATGAAGCAGACAGAATGATCCAAACTGGACATTTCCAGGAATTGTCATTTGTAATGGAAAAAATCAACAATAGCTGTAGGTTGAATTTTTTTTATCTCTTGGTGATTTTAATGTTTTTATCGTATTTGATTTCTGTTATTTCCAGCTGAAAAAATGTTATCAAAGCTGCAAAAATTTGTTTTTCCGCGACAATCACTTATTCATCCACGTCCAGAAGGAAAAAAGAAGATTCTTTTCGTAAGATTGTACATTTTCTTCATCTTCTTGTGTTGTATCGCTTGAAAAAATGCGACATACTTTACAGAAACATTGTTGAAAAAAATTGGTTTACGTGAAAAATCAAAAGTTATCGATCTTTCTCGGAAGTCTTTGACAGTTGAACGTTTAACAGAATCAAAGTTGATGTGTTCCGTACAAGACAAGGTGCAGTCTTGATCCACTGATCTTTGTTATGTCTGTCAATCATAGTACTGATGTTGTAAAATATCACGGGTAAAATTTACATTGATTATTATGTTTTATTAGGACGTTTATCTTTACTATTTTCTGAAGAAACATCCAATGCGAACTCTGGTGTTCGTTAATACCATCGATACTTTACGCCGCTTGCTTTCCTTACTCAATTTGCTAAAACTTTCTCCCCTTGCATTGCATGCTGGTATGCAGCAACGACAAAGATTAAAGAATCTTGACAGGTAATCAGATATCGTTAAAGATTAATGTTGTTGTTTTAATTGACGCCCAATTTTATTGTCTTGATGTTTAGATTCAAGTCGAAAGAAGATGGTCTCCTTCTTGCGTCCGATGTGGCCGCGAGAGGTCTGGACATTAAAGGAGTACAACACGTGATTCACTATCAAGTCCCCAAGCTTGCAGAGGTCTGCTATTAAAGTATTCTCTGTCTTTCCTTTTCTCTTTATACGTGTTTGTTGGCTGAAATGTTCATTTGACTTTCTGATAAAGGTTTACGTTCATCGCAGTGGTAGAACAGCAAGAATAAATAACGAAGGTCTGAGCCTGCTGCTCATCAGTCCTGATGATCTGCGGTCCTATGAAAAAATATGGAAAAGCTTAGATAAAGGTAAGCATTCGTAATTTTGACTTGGCACTCTCTTTAATTATAGTTAGGGGGTATTGCATTTCCTTTCAGACTATGAACCAACAGAGTTTCCTGTGGACATGAAATTCTTGAATGATATAAGAAAACGAGTATCGTTAGCGAGAATTATTGACAAGGAAGAACATAGGTATGTTCTTGTTGCTAAGCATGTCTTCATTTCCAGTTGTGATTTTACGAAGAAAGAAACTCAATTTTTGCTTTTATATCTTTGTACTTCGATGTATCGATTGTTCTAAGGAATTTTTGTCATTTTAGATTTCGTAAAAGAAAATGGAACAACGACTGGTTTTTGAATAATGCCAAGGAAGCTGATCTTGAGATTGATGAGGATTTGTATCCCTTGCATGGATCAATTGTGTTTTCTATTTACTTATGAAGATTTAGTATTGTAGTGAACGAGAAGATGGAAATTGCCAAGTGTTTAGACTAGACATAAACTTTTTTAAAGTTAACGAGATCGCAAATCCATGTAATTTCTTAACTAAGTGCAAAGATTAGAAGATCTTGGCGACTCCCATGAACAACAGGTTTTGAAAAAGAAATTGTCTGCGAACAAAGGTATATAAACATTTTCTTTGACACGGCACTTTAACGTAGCTAACATTAATTAAGAAACCGAAGAAAGTTATTTAGATGTCTAACTTCTGTTATGCGTTCGTTAATTTTATAGCAAGACTTAATTCTCTACTGGCTGCACCATTCGCCTGTTCAGGTTTTGCTGGAAAATATCCCACAAAAGAACGAAAACTACAGTCTTGTGGTTCACAATGTGCGTCAGAAATTTTTCAAATTATAAATTAAAAGTGAAAACAACAGACTTGTTTCTATGCTTGCTTTCAGATATATCAAATGTGGAGAGAAAAGAAGAGATTTCTGGTCATAAAGCTGTGAAAACAAAGAATAAAAGTTTTTGAGAACATTTGATATTGTTCTTTGATCATGAAAGTAAGAATTCGCCTTTTTTCATAGTTCATTCATGACAAACAAAGCATTTCAATATCCACTAGTGTTTTCTGTGCTGATTTTATTCAAATGACAAAACAGTTATATTAAATTGTATGTCTACGTTTTCCATTCAAATTGTATTTTGTATTTTATCCCATGCAAATTTAAATTCAAATTTAAGCAAAATTATGTTTAAGAGATGTTCCTCCTAAATTCTAAATATAAACATTCTTTTGGACGGTTGTAGTGGTTGCTGTGTTCCAACTTAATGAATATAACGTTCCAGAAGGAATGCCTTTGCATCTAGTTGCTGGTTTTCCGGCATTTGCTCCCCAGATAAGCACTGCACTAAGACTGGAAGTAGAACAACCAAGGCTGTAATAACCCCATGAACCACATCTTTTTTCATACCTAGATAATGATGCGAAATTAGTGATTGCAAAATTAATGATTGCAAACGCTCTCTTGTATGAATGGAATTGGAAGCTTCATTTAGGAGAGACGAGTCTTTATTTATTATACATTGTATTTGGTATAAAATTTGTTTGGTATAACATATTATGAAATGAGCCCTACCAATTATCGTTCTATCTATGTTCCTGCTTCCTCTCTCGCAATATACTCACCCTTGAGCGCAACCCAGAGCTTCGCAGCATATTTCTGTACCTACTGTGTTGATAGGTTCAATCGTGTATGTTATCCGGGTGCTCGTAATTCCAATCAATCCCCTGTTTGCCCTACATTGTAATGAAAAATTATTAAAACAAGACAGTCATTGCGTCTTCTTTATATAAACACGGAAGTAAAGCAATTTCGTTGTATAAAAATACATTACAACAAAGTTGCAATAATCAATACTAACTCGCAAACTGGACCGTAGACAAATGGTCCTGCATAACAACTTTTACATCCATTTAAGCTTAAAGTGACTGTCAATATAACAACACAAGCGATAACTGCCGGGTTTTTCATCTTTTCAATGCCTGAAAGTTAAAGTTTACATTGAAGTTTAGCTCTAAAACAGACACGCGTTTTCATGTCCTTGTGTTCTCAAGTTCTCAAGCATTAGCTACAAAAATATAACTGATAATTTGCTTCGTACCTTCAAGCTGTACGATGTTTGATGGTTCGTCTGCTTTACGGTGTTAACAATCCACAGTAAAAACAAAAATTTAGGAAGCTTTATGAAAAATCATTTATTATATTCTGCTCAATGTTGACGCACTTCCTTGTTTACTGATAGCCATATTTCTGTCATTTGATAGTAGTACAAACGGTCGAACATTTTCCAAGAAGAGCTTTTTCAACATGAAATTATAAATTACGCATTTGCTGTTGTTGAATTCTGTTGCTGTGTTTTGTAGTTAATAACTTCGTCCATTTTTTCTTTGTACCCTATACACCTTCCCGATAACAAAAATACTGGTAGCAAACATTCTGCGCGGTGTTTGTACTTATTCAGCACCTCCAATGAATTTGAGATTTTCCTCGAAAAATGTGAGGCGATTATATATCGAAAGTTTCTAAGAAATAATATGTATGGTGTAAGAGAAGATAGTGTAAAGTTATCATCAAATTTATTCTTTAAGATTTTTACTGGTAATTTCAAAACAGCAGTGACACTAATATAAACATGTTCACTTCAGAAAATCAAATAATAATATTTTTATGTAAATGCCTAGATGTTCATGCTAACCAAAGACTTACCTCTGACTACAACATGTATTATATTCAGTGCTCTCACTTTTAAGGTATTGTCCTTAAAAATAGGATTTTCTAAAGGTTTTAAGGATATTTTTAAGGATGTTTTTCAACTTTAAATTAATGTACACTTAATAATATTTAATGTTTCTTTACAAATACAACGTTGACAAACTTGAAAACAGCAAAAAAAGGAGGAAAAACCATGAAAAAACACTTTTTGAGCCTATGTGATAACGTCTTGTAGTAATTTATACAAATTTAAGGAATTTTAAACATTTTCTAAGAAACTAGGAAATTGGATTGTGAGAGCACTGATTATATTTATTCTCTCTCTTAACCCCTGTATAGATAGCTGCAATAAAAGCCCGCGAATTGCAATTTAATGGGATTTGATAATGGTTTTTTATGCACAACAGAGCAGAAAATGTTTGGAACTGGATTATAAATCAGCACATTGCTTCATTCAAGGTTTATAATGTGAATAATACTGTTAAAATGCTCAAAACTCGTGGGCAAAGAGCAGCTGCCTCAAAAAAGAAAAAAGCGTCTGTTTCTTCCGGGAAAGAAAACGATAAAATACACAGAAAAGAGAATATTGATATGTGGTATATGTCCGTGGAAAATCGGCAGCGAAGAGTCATAAAGACATATTCAAGAAAGCATCCACTACAAGTAAATTGGTCTGCAATTATTTGTGAAAAAGATAATGCTATAAATGAAGGTTTGTCTTCAGTAAACTTTATTGGGTTTAAGACACTCCGAACTTGTTCTTTTTTAATCTTTACGCAAGTAATTATTTTTTTAAGATACACCAGAATCTAAAATGGCGGGTTCTCCCGCGGAAACCACAAGGTATTTCAAAATAATGTTCAAAACGCTCTTACATAGCAGTATATGTTCGTGACGGACTGATAGATCAACAAAAGGGAATACACTATAGTAGTGAATAAATTGTAGTAAGTCCTGAACCATAATCATCTAATTAGCCAGCCCTTTTTACACCAACCATGCAAATGTTTTTGTATTTAATCACTGAAAAAACTACGAATACATTTAATTTTGTAAAGAAATGAATAATAATCTTGCAGAAAAATTAGCATTGTAGAATAAAGTTCGATCTGGCTTTGCCTATGATCATAATGTTTTAAACATTTTTTAAGCAACGCAGCAAGTATGAAATCCGTAAATCTACGTTCAATGGGAATCGCTCAAAATAAGACACAACTCAATGTTGAATCCATGGATACTTGTACAATATTCACATCTGAAAACGATTATCTAGAAAATGTAGAGGAGGAAGATATGTCATTATGTTCATTGAGGTCGAACGAAGAGAATAAAAATATAAGAAATTCGACAGCGCTCATACATGAAAGTACTCTTAATGAAGATTTCATTCCAAATGATATATCATGCATTGAAGGTATATATTTTTTTCTTAGTACATTTGTAATTTGTTTTAAATCAACATTTCTTGGAGCCACAAAATCTTTTAACATCGATTAAAGAGAAGTGATATAATCTATTAAACTTATTCCATTGTGAACATATTTTAATTTTTTTTTGTTTTTATTAAGGCCAAAATGAAAGCATATATCTTCCAGGAATATGCTACACTGGCAGTTTTGTTAAATTTCATGGACAAACTTCAAAATTGAAGGTGATGCAAATTGCAGGAGTTTGCTAACTAAGTTGGAAGCTAATTTATGCATAGAGATTGAAGAATAACTTCAAAAACATGTTGATTTCTTTTAGAAACGAGTGAGATTTGATGAAAAGTCACCAAAACTGAAAACAACAGATGAAAAAGAAGTACAGAAACTTATGAAGGTTTTTACCTTCACTGATTTTGAAATCTTGACGTTGGCATCTATTTGTGTTTATATTAATTATTGTTCAAAAATGAAATTTTTTTAAGGAAACGGCTGAAAATCCAAGAGATATTACTCCTGAGAGCAATGAATTCCCCAAGGTTACATGCCTGATTTTACTGTCTGAATTACGATTTTCTCAATGTAATGTGTTTTACTGTGCATAATAGTTATTTTTAATAACTTAGGACAAGATGAGCAGTTTGAAAAGACAACGGCGACTTGTGTTTAAAAATAGTTCTGAAACAGTCCCAGCCTGTTGTCTTTTAGATCTTGAAGAAACCAAAAACAAAAAAAAGTGCCTCACCTGGTTTGGTAAAACTCCCTTGGTTGTTACACTTGAAGAATCTGAAACATTTCCAACAGATATTTTGTTAACTTAATTGTAACAAGTCAGGTTTGTTGATTTTCATTTAATTAACTGTTTCATTATTATTTTAAATTTATGGCATGTTATCTATAAAAGGAAAAGGAAAAAATGAAGAATTTAAAATATGCTTCTAATTTCTAAATATTTGAATAAAAAAGTATGTACAATTTGTCAATAGTTGGTAAATATTGTTATTTTCATTGCTATGTAAGTACCATAACAATTAAAATCAAACTTTTGTTATGTCATCTTTACTGACTGAATCTTTAGCATTCACCTTTTCTGAACGTATTCCTCACTACAATCGTTTCTCACAATAACTACATGAAGTATTCGGCACACAATATCAATTTCAACGGTCCAAGACGTTCAATCAACCTCGTGAACCGTAAAACTCAAAAGAAACTTCTTGGATGCTCTCGTTTTGGAGGTTTTAAGTAACATTTATGGCATTTTTTAGCCCTTTACGGCTTTTTGGAAACTGTAAATACCAAACATATAGCTTAAAAACTACAGTAAAGTATCTTTGTCTTAATCGAGCAATGGTACGTAAGTACAAAGTCAAAATTACCTATCCTTTCATAAATACCTCATTCTGTGTACTGTAAAATCATTTGAATAATATTACATAATGTTGATGTTTTCTAGTCATCAAGAATAGAAACTGACACATTGGGTGAAATTGAAGTTCCATCAGAGAAATATTATGGTGCTCAAACAGCAAGATCTGTGATGAACTTTCCTATTGGTGATCCTCAAACTGAAAGAATGCCAGTCAGTAGCATTGCTAGTTTGCTCATTGAGACTATAGTAGCTTGTGCAATCCTGTCTTTCTTTGATTTGTGGAGATCAGAGTTGGATACAGGATTTTGTTTGAATAGGATGTAGTTGTTACAAAAAGCATCTTAGTTAATTTACAATGAGCACCAAAGTAATCTTTTAAAATTATTAAACACAATTTTTTTTGTACTTATAAAGGAGGTTGTATGACATTGGGTGTGCAAAAATTTCTTAAGTATAAAGTCCATCATTTGTTCAATGTTCATTGTTTTTTAGAATCTGAGTGCATAATAATAAAAATTCTGGATAAATTTTAATTTCAGATTCCAGTCATCAGGGCTTTTGGCTATTTGAAAAAGGCTGCTGCCTCAGTAAACAAAGAATATGGTATGGACTCTAATGTTGCAGAATACATCATGAAAGCTGCTGATGAGGTATTGTACACATTATGTAATGTTGTTTATAAAAAAAACTTTTAAACACAATGCACACATTCATTATCATGAGTTATAAACTTTATCTATCCTTATATACCTTATTAATAAGTTGGTCAATCAAAATTTTTACATTTAAAATGTAATTTTAAAGTATGTGTTTTGTTATTATAATAACAAAGACAAATGTCATTGATTTTTTCCTCGTCAGGTTATAGCAGGTAAATTGGATGACCATTTTCCTCTGGTTGTGTGGCAAACTGGTTCTGGGACTCAATCAAATATGAATGTTAACGAAGTAATCAGTAATAGAGCCATAGAAATGATGAATGGTAAAATAGGAAGCAAGACTCCTGTTCATCCTAATGACCATGTTAATAAAAGTCAGGTGAGCGTATGGTTAGGGTTAAGGTTAGGGTTTCATTTCTTTGTACTACACCTAGGATGGATTCATTTTTAGTTGGATGTATTTATCCTTTCCATACAAGCCAAAAATTTATAACCAACAACAGATATTGAGGTTTTAGGAAATAAAAGAAATAAAGTAAAATTTTCCTGAGATTGAACATTTTAGAAGAAGGATTGTAAATACATCGATATAGATTTAAGTGTTCTTTAACTTCCAGTAAATCATCTTTGTACAAAGATAGCATGCTTGACTTCTCATATTTGCAATTTCACATATTATTTATTTAATGAGTTAATGTTATTTTACTTCATTTTAACTATAGAGTTCAAATGATACCTTTCCAACTGCAATGCACATTGCTGCAGCAATGGAAGTCCATGAAAGGCTTGTACCTGGTATTGATAAACTTTACAATGCTCTTGAGAGGAAGTCAAATGAGTTCAAAGACATTATTAAAATTGGAAGAACCCATGCACAGGTGTGAAATGCTGTAGTGAAGCCAGCTCTTTTTTAATCCCATGATGCACAGGTGTGAAATGCTGTAGTGAAGCCAGCTCTTTTTTTAATCCCATGATGCACAGGTGTGAAATGCTGTAGTGAAGCCAGCTCTTTTTAATCCCATGATGCACAGGTGTGAAATGCTGTAGTGAAGCCAGCTCTTTTTTTAATCCCATGATGCACAGGTGTGAAATGCTGTAGTGAAGCCAGCTCTTTTTTTAATCCCATGATGCACAGGTGTGAAATGCTGTAGTGAAGCCAGCTCTTTTTTTAATCCCATAATGCAAATAACTGGAAGAACAATAAACAGCATTGTAGAAGTAAATGTTAGGACTAGCTTTGCCACAAATGAACACGGTGGTTGAAACTATGGCTGAATCCAAGTAAGGTGCCATTCTATTAAATATCAATATGGCCTATTTGCAAAACATGATGAATACAGTGTCATTTTCCTGTTGTATCATCTTAGTGACCTGTGTAATTTTTGCTTTCTGCCAAAATTTTATTGAATAATTGTTGATTGCAAAGTTTGAATGTGAACTTCTACGTTGTTGTTTACAGGATGCCACTCCACTTACATTGGGTCAAGAATTCTCTGGTTATGCAACTCAATTGAAATATGGTAAACAGCGAGTCTTAAATGTATTACCACGGGTATATGAGCTTGCTATTGGTGGAACTGCAGTTGGAACTGGCTTGAATACAAAACCAGGCTTTGCTGAAAAAATGGCCTCAGCCATTGCAGAGTTAACATCATTATCTTTCACAAGGTTTGTTATTTAAAACTTAAAGGCGAAAATTTTTTATTTTTTAAAAAAACTTTTTTTAAATTGACAAGTAGTTGTCAATGTTTTATATATATTGATCCAACCATTATTTCAACAGTTTTTGATTAATAATTATTGCTTTCTAAACTTTTCTGCATTATTTAGTTCTTCAAACAAATTTGAAGCTTTAGCTGCACACGATGCCATGGTTGAGCTACACGGAGCTTTAAATGTTATAGCATGCAGTGTTATGAAGATTGCCAATGATATTCGTTTCTTGGGCTCTGGACCAAGATGTGGCCTCGGAGAATTGTCGTTACCGGAGAATGAGCCTGGTAGCAGCATTATGCCCGGTAAGTAATATTAAACACATCAATATTTTACGCATTAAGTATGCATTTGTGGCGTATTCTTCGTTAGCAAAGAAATTTTGAGATCTTTATTTGATTTGCGTAGGTTTTATAAGACAAAAAAATTGAGACCTACATAATGTACTAAATTTTTAATTAACCTAATTATTCTTTGCAAACATAATAAAATTGTTAGGAGAGGATTGGATGTTATCGCTTACCAAGTATCCTTCGTCACATTAGAACAGAGTTCAAGTCTATGACAGTTAGTTAAAACATGTTTGGTGTACACTGTCTTAAGTATACTGGTTCTAGTTTACATGTAGATGATGAACCATATTTATATTTGGTTAATATTGAACCTTGGTACTTTTCATTTATCAAGGTAAAGTCAATCCAACTCAATGCGAAGCTATAACAATGGTCGCTGCTCAGGTAATGGGTAACCAAGTAGCCGTGAGTGTTGGCGGTAGTAACGGTCATTTTGAATTGAACGTCTTTAAACCAATCATAATACGCAACGTTTTACAATCGATACGTCTCCTTGGTGACGCTTGTTCGGCTTTCACTGATAACTGTGTAAATGGCATTATTGCCAACCGAACGAAAATAGATCAACTCCTTCACGAGTCGCTTATGCTTGTCACTGCCCTTAATCCTTACATTGGGTATGATAAAGCGGCAAAAATCGCTAAAAAGGCTCACCAAGAAGGTAGCACGTTAAAGGAAGCAGCTATGGCTCTGGGATATTTAACTGCAGAGGAGTTTGACGCTTATGTTAAACCTGAAGAAATGTTAGGACCCAAATAGACTCCAAGAATATCTCTTGTTTAATATATACGGTGTTAATTTTTTCCATCAAAATTAAAAACTTCTCAGAAATTTAGTATGTTTTGTTATAAGATATTAGCGATAGATATTCTTGTTGCAAAGAATACCTTTCAAAGTTTGAAATGTTTTCTATTGGTTTTTGAGATTAAATTTCTCTCCTCGAGCAATCACACTCACCTTTTGGAATTATATTTGTGTATAGAATGTTTTTTTGTTCTTTTGTGTGTATATGTTAAATTGTCGTCATGGATACCGTACATGTTTTACTGGTACTTTAAATTAAAAGATATTTTTTGTTAATAACACATACATACACCTTCAATTATTTTTTGATGCTGAAGTGAACGCGATTATGAAAAAAAACGAGGTTTTCTTTATAAGGTTTGTGTTTTTCAGATTTTTGTAATTCGTTTACTTAGATTTCACTGAATTGTATCCTTTCAGGAAAGTACTAAGAATTTACTGTGAAATATGGTCGTTACGAGTACTATAAGAAGTATGAAAGTTTTTTATTTTGACTGTCAAAGACATTAGCAAAGTCTAAATTTAAACGTTTTAAAGGACTAATTTACAATGACATTAATATTTAAAGCTGTTCATTAAGAATTCTTATTAAGTTGATGTCACCTGTTTTAATGTCTAAAGTTTCATACCCATGTTCGTAACCATCAAGTCGTAGGGTTTCTCGTGGCCAATTCAAAACTCATTTGTCCATGCATTTTGTATATTTTACATCAAGCAATCAAATCGTTTTTGCTTTATAAAGATTCCAAATCGTTGCAATGGACAAATGGTTATTGCTGTTCTGTTTCATACTACGTATTGAGGTATATTATTTTAATATATTCTTTACTGTTATTTTATTGTTTGCGTCTTGTTTTGCCATGTCCAGCGAAGAAAAAGAAAACGCTTTTGTATTTTTAATTATTTTACAACTGTGAAAATGGCTTGTTACATTTTTTAGATGTTATCCTTCACAATATAAAAATATTTCCACTTTTTGTTTTATAGCCCAACGCAATGACACTTTTTAACAAGTGTAATTAACTTGACTTTCATTTTTCACAAACTTGCGACAATAAATTAACATTTTGCAGTTGAATAACATGTCATTTAAGTTGTATTTTAAGATGTTTCATCTAGAAAGAAATTTCTTTAATTACTTATATGTTTATTTGAACACCGTTTGTAATCGTAAGAAAAACAAAATTTTGACATTGTAATATGATGATGACTACTATGCCCAATTATTTAAAAAGAAGCTTGTTTTTACATTGTACAAACTGATCATGCTTTACTGCTTGTGAAAAAGTAAGTAATTGGAAAATTTCTTTTCTGTGCGTTACACCGACAAAAGCTTTTAAGCTAATGCGTTTCATCTATCACCTGCCTTTCTGACGTATTAGTCCATTAATCGTCTTCTACAAACCTTTGTGGAGGGTGAAAATTATTATTATTTTAGAGTTTGTTTGTTTTATAAACAATTTCCTCACATCTTTCATTAAATGTGTCCATTTTTCTCATATTGTTTCTTATACTCACCGTTTCATTTTTCCTGCTCGAAAGACCTTCTAAAGAAAACTGTTTTTTGGTTTTTCTTTACAAGTATTGAGATCCCCGAATCTCTGATCATGTCTACTTTTCTGTAAGGAAACATTAGTCTGAAGTCCAATACACCATACTTAGGCATAACAATCTATGAAGAAGACAGGATGATGTTAGGAACCAAAGAACGCCATTAAAATGTATGAACTGCCACCCCAATATGGCGTCTTTGACATTAATTAAAATGCTTTATTCAAAAATCAATAGACTCGTCAAGATTTCTTACACTTATTCATATTGGTGTGTATTGGTGTGAGAGGGGGCACTACCTGTGTGTCCTTTGTTGGAGGAGTTGCATATCTTATCTTCAGGGTTTTATGCCTTTTAGGGTTCTATCTCGACGGAAAATTCTTTTTTCAAATCTCCTCAACTGCATTTGAAAGCAAAAATTAATCGTGAAATGTGCATTGTGGGCGGGTAAGTTTATATTGTATTGCAAAGTGTTCACGGTAAACATCAAACGACCGTGCACTTAAGAAATCTTTTTTCTAAACGACAATTGGAAATATCATAGATATATTTTGTGAGCTGTAGAGTATTTTTTTAATGAGATTAAGCTTTATCACTAAGATATGTTTATTTTATTTTATAAGAAGACAACTGCCCTCTGCTTAAAGCTTAAAAGCTGTGATTAAATTTAGTAAAGTCTGTAGACTAAATAATATTCTGCAAAGTCCAGTAACTTCTGATACTCCGAGATACTTTAACACTTGAACGTTGCATGTTTCGGTGGGAGATTTTGGTTTATGCCTCGACATGCTTCACACCCATTAGACCAACTTGGACTGCATGGGCTGCACAGTGAGGGTGCTGGTAAATTATGGTAAACAAGTAGTTACATAGGTTAGCTTATCGTTTGTAATTATTATCACGCTGAACTGAAAAGCAGATAATAGTTTTATTTAATATCGTCTTATTTACCATGAAGTCAATGTATGATGTTTTTCTCATAATGATTGAAATTAAAGTAGCATTTTATGGAATAATTAAAAATTGTATAAAGCGCGTTTAAGGTTGATTTAAAGTACAAGTAAAGGTGACAGTGTTTGTCACCATTTGATGCACTAACCTTTCTTGTTTTGTTTATTTTTTTAGAGATAATGTTACCTTGGTGACTGAAATTTCTCATACGAAAAAATCTTTAGCTGATGCAGTTAATGTAGAGCTTAAGGTTACCTGGCCTGAGTATATTGTGATTAAAAATTTCACAAGTGATAAGCTGCTTAAAAACTCGACAAAAGACCAAAATAAAATTGTATTGCAGGTATGTTTTATTTCGATTGTTTTATTAATGTATATTTTTAATTTAGGAAAGATATTTGCAATCCACCTTTCCGATGGTAGACACACTTGTCAAAAATATGAGATCAAATTACAAAATTCGGACAATCAGATGGTCAGACATAGTATTTTATGTTTATATAGAAGAGTGGTAATAAAATGGTTAGGAGATAGTTTTGAGTTTTGGAGCATTTGTGAATCTGATTCTAGTTATTCAGAACGATTATTTATAAAGGCAGAAGGTATAACAGTAAATATTAACCATTGTAGGTTAGAATGAAGCATAACGATCGAAGGAAAGCTTGAATACTTGCATATTGTCGGCGCGACTTAAGAATATCTAGGACGGATTCTAGCTGCAGTAAACGCAAAAAAGCAAGCCGTACAAATTTTTAAATTGTTATTTTTATTGCATGGTGGTTTTGCTGTTCTTATAATCACTAATCACTATTGGTATTATTGATAGACGAAGACTCCTTAAAACTGGCTTTTCAGATTTATTTACCAGGTACTTATACGTAAAAATGGAATTTAAAGTATAGCTATAAATTTAAATGTATAAAATTACGACGACGCTAAATGATAACTCAAAAATGCCGCGCATTCGCAGATGCTTTATCTGAAAATTTGTGACTGAGCGAGTTAATTACTCCTTAATCGGTACTAGTACGTCCAGTTGGTCGTTGCCATGACCATGATCTAGGAAAGTTGGTGGGGTTGACTACGCATGCTCAGATTAGTTCTCAATTAATTTGTGACGGAGCGAGCTCTGAAATTGGTGCTTGTAGATGCGCTGAGCAAGTTTTCAATCATATATTTTTGGCATGCTCTTTGTCTTCTTAAGCTTGTTTTGACAAATGCACATCAAACTTATCAACACCTTGTTACACCACTCGTAATATTTGTGACAACGTTAAAATGTTTTTATTTTTCTCAATAACTTTGTATTTGCATATTGCATGTCGTATCCAAGCTTTCGTTTGATTTGACGGAAAATGGTTTTTATTCACTCTAACATCTTCTGCCTTTGTAATTATTCGTTCTGGATTTCTAAAATAAAATTTACAAATGCCCCAAGAGCATTTTTTATTTTAATGCCATTATTCTTACGCACACAATACTACGTCGGACCATTTGATTGTCCGAATTTTGTAATTTGATCTCGTATTTTTAACACGTGTGCGGGTCTACCGTCGGAAAGATTGATTGCACGGCGTGTTTAGTTGCAAATGTAATTTATCTGCGAAAACAACATCCGTTTTATCTGGTTTACGTTTCTTTTCTTCACGTTTTACAGTACTCAAAGATTCTGCAAAATGTTACTGTCACTGTTAACATAACTGCACAAGCTGATCCTTATCATTTGTTGAAATCACGTGACACGGTAGCATCGTTTTTCTCCTTAACATTACGATATTTTGGTCCCCATGACTTGTGTCAGAGTCCCGTTGATAAATGGAACGCAAGATCTACTTCAACTAATGTACTCTTTTCTTTTACGCCTGTCGGGGGTTTGTATTTCTTTTTTCCCAAGACAATTGCAATTTTATTCTTTGCATTTGAATTATCATTACTGCCAGTGTGGCAAATAGTTTTTTAGTAGATTTGATCTGATGAAATTTACATAGTTGCAAAGTCAGAATAGGGTGCGGAGTGCTTAAGTTCATTCGACCGAATCTGATAAAAAATTTGCATACGTATATTTGTCATACTGACTATGTCCTCAGTAAAGGACTGGTGTAAGAAATGTGATTGTCAATTTTATCAAGTATTTTTCAACTTACATATACTCTAAGTATCATAAGTGACGTTGTTGTATTTTCTCTTGCTTAATTAATTTCCACTGCGAAATCAAATCTATTTACATTCTGGTTTTTAGTTTATTCAAATTGGTCATTTATGATCTGCCATAGGTAAATTTCCTCACCTCCGTGACTCTATGTCTTCATAGATTGTGAAAATGAGATTGAACTTCGTGAAAGTTACTTCTCTGCGTCTTCGTTTGGTGAACAGTCTTCTCCCTATCACGCTAGTTTTGCGCATGACCTTGTTTGGATACCCGCTGTCACTGACAGTCGCCAGTATTTACAGATTACGTTTGAACAACTTCTGCGCATCACAAAGGTAGACTTGACGTGAAATCTCCTAATATTGTTCACTGGTATTGTTAGGTTTTTGTTATTGTCGGTAAATTGGTTGACTTGTCAAGATAAGTTCATGATTTTATTAGTTTTTGAACATGTTTTTGTGTATTTTTACAAGATGGATATTAAAGGAAATGGAAATCTTATTTCGCCAAAATATGTGAAGAAATTCGTTCTTTACTACAGCAGAAATGAATTTGAATGGTCGTTAGCTTATTCTTCTTTTAATTATCATGTAAGTTTATTTGAAAGCAGATTATTTTTATTTTATTTTTAATTCGAACTTCTGGCTCCAGATTGTTTTATAGTTTTTAACTGACATTATTGGTCAAAAATGTCAAAAATAATGAAATAATGTGGCTTTATTTAGGAATTTGATGGAAACACTGACTCAACGTTGGTAAAACGAATTGCGTTTAAGGTGGCGATGGAAGCTAAAGTTCTCAGGATTGTGCCTAAACTTTGGAAAAATGAAATTGCCATAAAGTTGCGGCTGTTTGGATGTAAAGTGCATCAAATTCCAGGTTATTTTAGACTTGTTTCCCTTCTTTAAGGAGCAATTTTGTTGCCTATTTTCAACCTTTATCGTTCGATAATCTTCACTTTTTATAATTTCATTCACAAATTTTTCATTTCTTTATCGCTGCGTCATTCAAGTAAACCTAAAAACATCTTCAGACAGCTTTTTACTTTATGTTTTCTTTGTATGTTCGTAGTAATTTATTTATTTTTTTCTATTTCGTCATGTTTGATTTAGCCGGCCCTCAGCCATTAGAAATGTCAACATCAAGACAGGAACACGTCATTGATCTTGATGATAAATACGTCATCACGCAGGTTGGGCCATTATACTGTCACTCAAAAATATTCTCATTCATGTACACATCTTACTTGAAGCACCATTAAGTATGTTTTTGCCTGAATTCAGCAGTCACCAATTATATCGCGATGTTTAAACTAAAACCCTTGATAGTTTGTGAAATTTTCATCTATAAAATTGAATTTATTCCGTGTGAAATTTGTTATGTTGGTGTGTTTAGGTTGCTGTACAATCCAAATGTAAAACCACAGATGGATTGATAAAGCGGTTTGAATTCTACGAAAAGAGTAATGGTAAAAAGACGTCCTTTCCAGAAAACTCAATGAGCAAGGTTTACTTCTGCAAAGTATCATCAAAAATTGTGGATTGTACCAAACTTCTTTCGTAATTTTTTCTTTATAGACTTTTCTTGACAATCTTATCAAAGATACGACAATACGTCACAAACTGTTTGAACCAATCATTGCACGTCATGTACGTATTGAGCCTACGAAGTTATCCAACCTTAGCTGTCTGAGATTTAAGTTTTATGGTCATAAAGAAAATGATGAACTTATTTCAGGTACATCTTTGGGTTTTTTTATATCTCTTGCTCAAAGTACCAGAAAACTCTGTTAAAATGTTCAATAATAAGAACATTTGCTTTATGTTTTCAGAATACTGCTCTATTTTCAATTTTGAGGGTGATTTCAGTCTTATGCAGTGGAATAAAACAGGAACGGCATTCAACAATCAGCCGACTTATTTGGATAACTTGAAAGTCCGGACTGGTATGTCCTCTAATCATGATGGTCAGCGGTGGATTGGCACCAGGGAAAATCGAATGAATGCAAGACAAACTCCCGGGGGGGTGCAGGAGATGCTCCCGTTGGGGAACTCACATCTCCGCCATTTATCATCCATTCATCAAAGCTGTACTTCTTGTTTGCCGGCTCAGCTTATGCGTCGAAGGCTCGAGTAGAATTGTTGGTCGGAGGTCTGGTAGTGAGGTCTAAGTCTTCATCAACTGGGAGCGAGTCTTTAGTTCAAATAAGGTGGAATGTTAGCGACCTGTTGGGCAGAGAGGCTCAAATACGTCTTGTGGACAGCGGCAACGATACCTTTGTCAGTTTCGATGGATTGAAGAGCAATTGTCGCTTCAAAGAAGGTGACTTCACGCGAACTTTTAACAGTTCTTTTTAAAAATTCTTCATATTATGTATTTTTTCATATTTCAGTTCTGTTTCCCGTTTTCGAACGAAGTTTTCTTCTAAATCGTGTAAAGAACATACTTTATGTATGTCACATTCACCACGAAAGGTAAATCAATAAAATATACATGCATTTCAAGTCAATAAAGTAAAGAAGACTGCAATATTGAATGGGATCTTATGCCCGACCCCTCCTTACACTGGAATAGTAATTGGTCTTAAGCTCGCCCGATGACTTTGGATAGTTATCATGTGTTGTGCTCTCCAGCAAGTGGAGATAGTTATCATGTGTTGTGCTCTCCAGCAAGTGGAGATAGTTATCATGTGTTGTGCCCTCCAGCAAGTGGAGATAGTTATCATGTGTTGTGCTCTCCAGCAAGTGGAGATAGTTATCATGTGTTGTGCTCTCCAGCAAGTGGAGATAGTTATCATATGTTGTGCTCTCCAGCAAGTGGAGATAGTTATCATGTGTTGTGCTCTCCAGCAAGTGGAGATAGTTATCATGTGTTGTGCTCTCCAGCAAGTGGAGATAGTTATCATGTGTTGTGCTCTCCAGCAAGTGGAGATAGTTATCATGTGTTGTGCTCTCCAGCAAGTGGAGATAGTTATCATGTGTTGTGCTCTCCAGCAAGTGGAGATAGTTATCATGTGTTGTGCTCTCCAGCAAGTGGAGATAGTTATCATGTGTTGTGCTCTCCAGCAAGTGGAGATAGTTATCATTTGTTGTGCCCTCAGGTGAGTGTGGATACGCGTACAAAGTTCTTTGAAGTGCTTTGATTCTTTTCAGGAGACCATCTGATCCAATATGTCGATTGACATTTGATAATGGACAAACATGGCAAGGTATTTTTTGGTTTGCTTTCTTTGTATTTATTTCTAAGTTAACCAGTTTGCGTTTGTTTTCTAGATCTCAGTCGTATTTATGGTTTACTTGGTGTAAATGAGACCACAGGGCAACTATACGGAGTATCTATGGATAGAAGATATGTCTTAATAAGTCCTGATTCGCGGGGAAAGGAATGTGGACTGAGATGAAGAACGATACGTGGAATGTTGTAAAGAAAACCCTGAACCATGTGGTTCAAATACCTCATATTCCTGTCACTGGCCACTCAGAAACGGATGCGCCTTTTTCCTTTCTTACGTTGACTGCAAAAACTGGAGACAGTTTTTCAGGTTGGTTTTGTTTCTCTATACGATATAACGATCAGAACACTCTTGATGAAGACACAAGACTGCATTATATTAAGACTTTAGTTTCTACATCAGATCACTCCTAATGAAGACACTAGACTGGAGTATGTAAAACTCAAGATTCAACATCAGAACACTCTTGATGAAGACACAAGATTTCATTATATAACGACTCTAGTGTCTACATCAGATCACTTCTGATGAAGACACTAGACTAGAGTATATAAGAACTCAATTTTCAACATCAGATCACTTCTGATGAAGACACTAGACTGCATTATATTAAGACTCTAGTTTCTACATCAGATCACTTCTGATGAAGACACAAGACTGCATTATATTAAGACTCTAGTTTCTACATCAGATCACTTCTCATGAAGACACTAGACTAGAAGTGATCTGATGTAGAAACTAGAGTCTTAATATAACGAGTATATAAGAACTCAAGTATATATACAACTTAGAGTATATAAGAACTCAAGTTTCAACATTAGATCACTACTGATGAAGACACTAGACTGGAGTATATAAGAACTCAAGATTCAACATTAGATCACTACTGATGAAGACACTAGACTGGAGTATATAAGATCTCAAGATTTAACATTAGATCACTACTGATGAAGACACTAGACTGGAGTATATAAGGACTCAAGATTCAACATCAGATCACTCCTGATGAAGATATTAGACTGGAGTATATAAGAACTCAAGATTTAACATCAAATCACTTCTGATGAAGACACTAGACTAGAGTATATAAGAACTCAAGTTTCAACATCAGATCACTTCTGATGAAGACACTAGACTGGAGTATATAAGAACTCAAGATTTAACATCAAATCACTTCTGATGAAGAAATCAAAATACATCGTTGTTTGTAGACAGTTGACTGAATTATATAAAAGATGGCTGGTAGGGGAAGTTGTATATCGTAATTTTTCTTTCAGCTTCATCTTTGGGAATTCATCATAAATCATCTGTAAAAAATTGGACAATTATTGCCCGCTGGGAATGTGAGGGTAAGTGCCGGCGACTTTGTTTCTATGTGTTTTGGCGGTTTTTCTGACCCTAAAGTTTATTTCAGGTTATCACAATGAATGTGTGAGCAATCCTTGTAATAATGGAGGGACTTGTGGGATAACGTCAAATGGACAGTATAACTGTTCCTGTCCTTTAGGATTTTCTGGAACAAATTGTGAAAATGGTGCGTGTTTTTGTTTCATTTTCCTTTTAAATTTATTATTTAGTTGTTTGTGTATTACGTTATCTTATTTGTCTGTTTTTCTTGTATGTTTTTTAAAGAAACGGACTGCTCTCCCGATATTTGTCAAAATGATGGTGTATGTTTTGACGTTGCTGGTGTAAATGATTCCTATTGTGTGTGTAAACCGTATTTCACTGGGAAAATTGTGACAAAAGTAAGCAGTTAATGTTTCATTTAGGAATCATCATCTGTTTTGAAGATGTGTAATTCTTTATTTCCAGACATTGATGATTGTTTATCCTCTCCGTGTTTTCATGGTGCCAAGTGTATAGACGGCCTTGGGAATTTCACATGTGAATGTCCACCTGGATATGTTGGAGAATTTTGTAACGTTGGTATGTGATCGTGTTTATATTTAAAACTGGCTTTTCTTTTTCTTCATCAATCTTTTGCTATGGTGTGTCAGCTTATGATAACGATGTAAACAGATTAATTGTGTTGAGAATACTTTAATCAAAAGGTTTGTGCTACAGTCTAACTGTAGGCTGTGTGAGAATACTTTAATCAAAAGGTTTGTGCTACAGTCTAACTGTAGGCTGTGTTGAGAATACTTTAATCAAAAGGTTTGTGCTACAGTCTAACTGTAGGCAACATAAGGATACTTTAAGTGAGAAGACTTTGTTATGTTCTAAGTTTAATGGATATTGTCTGTTCTGTCTATTTCAGAAATAAATGAATGCGCTAGTATTCCATGTCAAAACGAAGGGTTGTGCATTGATCACGTGAACAACTATACATGCTATTGTCGCACAGGATATTCAGGTGTAAATTGTGAAAACGGTAGGTGGCTGTACTTTGTGTTTGCACCTGCATAATTGTCTAATATTTCTTAAGCACTTTCTTCGAATTATTCTAAATAGATCCTTTAGAGCTTTTCCTCTACTTTTTTTCAGTTCATACAAGCGCTTTTGAGGTTATAAGCAAAAACAATGCAATTTTTAAATCGTCCAGTTTTATCGTTGTTGAAGCACGTATTCCAAGTGATGGTCGGTCAGTTCGTCTTACTTGGTGTCATGAATACACTGAACTCTGCTATTCGTTGAATAAAAGGCCAACCGGATGTGATCGTTCGTTCAATCACATCATTGAAAAACACCAATGTCATACTTTATATGACTCAGTGATGATGCACAATAGCACATTGGGTTGCCCGTCAAATGAAATTGTTGCAAATATTGCAAGGAATGCTGGGTACACTAATGCCACGTCTACAAACTCTTTTGCGTTTTCAAAATGTGGATCAGAAGATTGCACAAATATGTTACCAAAAACTGGTTGCCATGGTGCTTTATATTGCATTAATCAAGGTACACGCGTCGTATATACGGTATGTGCTGATTCAGATAGTAACTTTATGGTTGAAAAAAAGTCTAGCACAATCTTTCAACGTTTCAAGTATCTTGCTTTGAATATAAAACCATTGAGTAATACATCGAGACACGATACTTGGTGTAAAGATTATCAAAGGCTCTGCGAGTCTTACGGAAAACGACCAATTCAATATGGTGTTTTGGAAAAGAGAGGTATGTCAGACGGCAGTTGTACGGAGGATTTTTTTTCGATAATGTTTCCAAGAAATGATTTAGGAATCACCAATAAAGACTTTGTTAAGAGAATATCTCAAAATGCCGGAATACCATCGATTGCTCATACTTTTAACTTTCATTCATGCGCATTTGGTTATTGTACAAATAATCTTTCTGTCTGTTCTGCTTTGAACTGCTTGAATTCTTCTTCTTACACTTATCAAACTCTATGTACTGAAGTCCCGACTGGGTTTTCTGTCCTAGAAGAACGATGGATTACGTATAATAAAGTGAAATTTCTTGTCATCAAAGCTAGATTACCACGTGATAAAGTGTCGATTTATGAGGACTGGTGTCGAGATTATGCCACTCTTTGCGAATCTTATGGTCTTAAACCGACAGGAAGTGATCTCATACAGGATGTTGAGTATACTTCTTGTAGGGACAAGTATGGTTCTCATATGATGGATAGGGGTTTTTTTGGGAACTCATCAAAATCCATCATAGCCAACATTGCAAAGAAAGCAGGATTTGCAGCAGCAAGCGTGAATAACTCATTTGGTCTTCATAAATGTTCTCGTTGTACCTCTGTTTTATCTTCAGAAAATTGTGACGGTCTAGGATGTGTAAGAACAACGCGAAACGACGACGTTTATACGTTGTGCGTAAAACAACAAATTGTTGTTTTGGATAAGAAAACTGGCTTGTATGATGATAAACCTTATATTGCTGTTAAAGTAAAGGCTTCAAATAATGTATCAGTAAATTGGACTGAGAAATACGCGAGAATATGTTCGAATCTCGGACGTAAAGTTATTTCGTGCAAGAAAAAGGAAAGTTTGAGTTCAAGGCAAAGCAAAGCCAGTTATATTGACTCTTCCAAAGAAACGATAACTTCTCAACATATTGAGTCCAACTATGTCTCAGTGACGCTAAGGTCGACTGCTGTGAATGCCTCGAGTGAAACAATAAAGATGACAGATTCTACTACCTCCACACCAACTTTAACAGATGCAACCATAAAGATGACAGATTCTACTATCTCTACACCAACTTTAACAGATGCAACCATAAAGATGACAACTTCTACTATCTCCACACCAACTTTAACAGATGCAACCATAAAGATGACAGATTCTTCTATCTCCACACCAACTTTAACAGATGCAACCATAAAGATGACAGATTCTTCTATCTCCAACCAACTTTAGACTTCTATCTCAACCATAACAGATGACAGATTCTTTCTCAACTTTAACAGATGCACCATAAAGATGACTTCTAACAGATGACAACCATATCATGACAGATTCTTCTATCTCCACACCAACTTTAACAGATGCAACCATAAAGATGACAGATTCTTCTATCTCCACACCAACTTTAACAGATGCAACCATAAAGATGACAGATTCTTCTATCTCCACACCAACTATCTCCACACCAACTTTAACAGATGCAACCAATAAAGATGACAGATTCTTCTATCTCCACACCAACTTTAACAGATGCAACCATAAAGATGACAGATTCTTCTATCTCCACACCAACTTTAACAGATGCAACCATAAAGATGACAGATTCTTCTATCTCCACACCAACTTTAACAGATGCAACCTAAAGATGACAGATTCTCTCTTTATGCTAAAGATGACAGATTCTTCTATCTCCACACCAACCATAAAGATGACAGATTCTTCTAATCCAGATGACAGATTCTTCTATCTCCACACCAACTTTATGCAACCATAAAGATGACAGATTCTTCTATCTCCACACCAACTTTAACAGATGCAACCATAAAGATGACAGATTCTTCTATCTCCACACCAACTTTAACAGATAAAGATGACAGATTCTTCTATCTCCACACCAACTTTAACAGATGCAACCATAAAGATGACAGATTCTTCTATCTAACAGATGCAACCATAAAGATGACAGATTCTATCTATCTCCATAAAGATGACAGATTCTTCTATCTCCACACCAACTTTAACAGATGCAACCATAAAGATGACAGATTCTTCTATCTCCACACCAACTTTAACAGATGCAACCATAAAGATGACAGATTCTTCTATCTCCACACCAACTTTAACAGATGCAACCATAAAGATGACAGATTCTTCTATCTCCACACCAACTTTAACAGATGCAACCATAAAGATGACAGATTCTTCTATCTCCACACCAACTTTAACAGATGCAACCATAAAGATGACAGATTCTTCTATCTCCACACCAACTTTAACAGATGCAACCATAAAGATGACAGATTCTTCTATCTCCACACCAACTTTAACAGATGCAACCATAAAGATGACAGATTCTTCTATCTCCACACCAACTTTAACAGATGCAACCATAAAGATGACAGATTCTTCTATCTCCACACCAACTTTAACAGATGCAACCATAAAGATGACAGATTCTTCTATCTCCACACCAACTTTAACAGATGCAACCATAAAGATGACAGATTCTTCTATCTCCACACCAACTTTAACAGATGCAACCATAAAGATGACAGATTCTTCTATCTCCACACCAACTTTAACAGATGCAACCATAAAGATGACAGATTCTTCTATCTCCACACCAACTTTAACAGATGAAACCATAAAGATGACAGATTCTTCTATCTCCACACCAACTTTAACAGATGAAACCATAAAGATGACAGATTCTTCTATCTCCACACCAACTTTAACAGATGAAACCATAAAGATGACAGATTCTTCTATCTCCACACCAACTTTAACAGATGAAACCATAAAGATGACAGATTCTTCTATCTCCACACCAACTTTAACAGATGCAACCATAAAGATGACAGATTCTTCTATCTCCACACCAACTTTAACAGATGCAACCATAAAGATGACAGATTCTTCTATCTCCACACCAACTTTAACAGATGCAACCATAAAGATGACAGATTCTTCTATCTCCACACCAACTTTAACAGATGCAACCATAAAGATGACAGATTCTTCTATCTCCACACCAACTTTAACAGATGCAACTATAAAGATGACAACTTCTACTATCTCCAAACCAACTTTAACAGATGCAACCATAAAGATGACAACTTCTACTATCCCTCCATCAACCGCCACGACAAGTGCAAATCCTTACAAATGTCCATTTCCCAGCAATAACGTCCGCGTTAAGAACTTTACAGAAAAAACACATTGTAACGACTCCGATCATTTTGTTAGAGTTATCAAAAATCTAGGATTTACTAATGCGACAAGCTTAAATGTGTACAATACTGATATTTACGGTGACAACTTTATACCTAACAATGATATCATTTACATGCTCTGTGAAGGAACGGATTCAAATTTCGACGTTATTTCTATGAAATCAGCAATGGTCAATGGACGGGAATATTTAGTTTTAGAAACGAATTTGCCCTCAAATAGTTTGTCTCGCTACAATGACTGGTGCCAGGATTATGAAAATTTGTGCCATTCATATGAAAAGCAGCCTATTAAATGTGGACAGAAGGCATGCTGGGACGCGTATAACTCACTTTTTCCTGCTTATAACGACTCAGTTTGTCCTTTGGAGACAGGAGTTTCGTGTATTGCTAATTTAACAGGCTATTTGAACGTCCCACCTCGCAACAGTTTAGCTTTTTCTCCATGTAACTACTGGGCCTGTAACAAAAGCTTCAATAATTTCAAATTGACGAATACATTACGCATGGAGTCTGACAGACCGCTGTACACTTTGTGCGTTGGTTCAAACACAAGCTTCATTGTGTTATCTACTGCAGATGTTTCCTATCATGGTAACAAGTACAAAATTATCAAAGCCAAGCTACCGTATAATAATGCATCACAAGAGATCACATGGTGTGATGATTATAGGAATCTTTGTAGTTCGTACGACTGGAGACCTCTGGTAACGTCACAAATTGCTTACGACAGCTGTAGGCATGGTTACGACGTTATATTGCCTCCAGAAAATGAACTATTAACAAATAATAAACTTAAACATCTTACCAAGTTAGCTGGCTACAAAAATGCAGAAAATATCATTGTGTTTCGTCAGGTATGTACCGAAAACTCTTGTTCTCGTCTCAACAATGCTTTTTTCTCGAAGTCTGAGCTAGTTATTAATTTGACCAGCACTTTTGTAAACAATGGCATTGTCTATGCGGTCTGCATAAACAGCAATACGAATTTCCACGTGCTACACAGCAACAGTATAAAATACGAAAACCGGACCTATCTGGTTTTGAAAACACAAATTCCCAATCATGGTGTTTCAAAGTACGACAACTGGTGTATTGACTACCAACGTGTCTGTCTTGAGCGTGGCATGAGGCCTGTTACAATTATATCATCAGAAAGTGAAGCTGGGTCACGTGCTGGTCATGTGGGTACGTGTATCCCTCACTACAGGTCTGTCTTGATTACATGGGATGAAACGTCAAAAGTTATTCCTTGTGAGAAAGTCGCCATCTTGGCTAATCTTTCTGGATATCATGACGTGACCTGTAACAACTCGTTCGTGATTTCTGATTGCAATCCTAGCTTGTGTCCCCGTTTTCTCAGTTCAAAATGTGCTTCGGGTCTTGACTGTCTTTATAAAAACATGATGTTTTTTATACAATATGTACAGAGGATAAAAGTAACTTCTTTATAGAAAATACACAACACATTTCATACAAAGGCATACCTTATTTGGTTGTCAAAGCAATCATTCCACAACATGGTATTTCCAAAGAAGGTAATTGGTGCATTGACCACAAAAATCTGTGCAATTCCTTTGGCATGCAACCAGTCATTTGTGACAACACTGTTAGTCCATTCGATAAAAATACGATTTTGCTGCCACCAACAACTCTTGCGAGCTAAATGACTTTGAAAATCTAAAAGGACTAATGAACGAGAGTTTTCTGACTGAGCATTCAAGCATATTTATGCCTGGAGATGGTGAAAGGTGTGTTGTGAACACCTCAAAACGACCTGTGCTTTTGTTTTGTACTACACTTAAAAACAACTTTAAAATACTAGAGACAAAGGAAACGAAATATGAAAATCTTCTGGTGAGTGTTGTGAAAATACAAGTTTCTTCAAAAGTAATACAATCATATAATACAAACTGGGGTTATGACTACAGTAAAATGTGTTCAGTACTTGGTAAAGACCGCTCTCTTGTTATGAGGTTGGAAATTCACAACAGTACAAAAATCGTGCAAATTATAATATAATTTTGTCGCATTTCAAGACCTGTCCTGATGTCAGTTCTCTAAGATCTTTGGTCACAAAAGCAGGCTTTAAAACACCCGAGAATATATTGGTATTTGAAAGCACTCGTGTGCCACGTGATCATCTTGTGGTAGAGAACATATCATCTTTGTTCTGGCCAAAGAATTGCTGTGATTGTGCTCATTTATCCATTAGTAAATCCTCCCTTGTCGATAACAAACTTGTTAAATTAATTCAACAGGATTCTGAATTCGCACGTGATTGGATGATTTGCGTCAAACGATATAGTAAAGTTTCAAATCTATTAAACAATTGTTCAGCTGCACGTGACTGCCTTAATAACACACAATTGAATATTTCATCGTGTGAGATCATTTCTCTCTGTTACCATAGCAACTGCACTGAATGCTGTCCTTGTGAAGTGAACCAAATTCATATATCCGGATGCCCTAACGAAAAAATTTGCTCAAATATATCTTCCGATAAAGAAGTGTATGCGTTTTGCTCCGAATTTGCTCCGACAAATTTCCAAGTTGAGGACGTGAGAACAGTTGTGTACGCTGACCAATCATTTACTGTAGTAAAGGCTCAAACTCCTGCGCATGGCCAATCACGGATGGCGAACTGGTGTGAAGACTATAAAACACTGTGTGAGGTCTTTGGCAAACGACCAGTTGGGTGTGGAAAGAATTTTGATATTTTAAAGACTTCTCGTGACTGCCGAACACATTATGATGCAGTGATGCTGAATGATATATCTTGTCCAGGCTCTCACAATGTTACGAGAGTAGCAAAGCATGCTGGGTATCCTGCTGTATTGAACGAAAGCCTTGGTTTATGGGATTGTTCAATGTGCTCTGCATACATCAATAAAACTTGGAATAAAACCTCCACCTTTGATGGTACAAGTAACGTTTACTTGTTTTGCGCTGGTTCCAATAGTAACTTTGATGTTCTTGAAAAACGCGATGTTAAACATGATGGCTCCTTAATTTCTGTTCTCATGACAACAATACCGCATCCTGGTCAATCACTTCACGATAACTGGTGTACAGATTACTCACGATTGTGTCAGTCATATGGCTTACGTCCCATTGGATGTGGTAGATCAGCGGATGTTAGTGTAGAGCATGCTCAATGTCGTGAGAGATATAACGCACTCATGTACTCAGACAACACGTTAAGCTGTACAAACGTTGATTTATTTAATATTTCCAATTCGGCAGGATTTTCTGAAGCCAACAAACTGAATACGTTAATATTCAGATCTTGTTTATCAAACGATTGTAGCAAGTTTCTACCCTCTCAAGAACATCCTTTTACGAAATTTGAATTGAACATGTCCAAACGTGTATTATACACCATGTGCGCATCTTCCGATAGTGCTTATGAGGTATTAGCTACGAAGACTAAAAACGTATCGGGAGTGGAGTTTCTCGTGGTTCGAGCAGCGATACCGATTGATGGCCGATCAAAATACATCAATTGGTGTGAAGATTATCGAAAGTTGTGTGAGGGATATGTAATGAAGCCGCTAACATGTTCTAAAACGAAGTCAAAGAGAGGTTGTGCACGTATGAATTTGACGCAAAATCCGATATAACTTGTCCCGGTCCAAATGGTGTGATTTTGATGGCCCAAGAGCTTGGCTTTGATGACGTGACTATAAAAAACTCGTTCACCATGGAAACATGTGACGGTGAATCATCGTGTGTCAATAAAATACCACATGAAAGATGTGTGAATACAACGTATAATGACACCATTTTTGAAACAAAGTCAACTGAAGTTAACATTACACGTGTGGATTATTTCGTTTATATGAATAAATCAATCCAAGTCAATTTGACAGATATGAATTTGAATAAATCAATCCGAGTCAATTTGACAGATATCAACAATATCACAGCAGTCTTACGACATGAAATAGTTGAAAGTGAACGACGACATTGTTTTCTTGTTGATGTTGGCAATCCAGTTTACATGGTAGGCAACGAAACTTTGATCAATAAGTATGCTAATGAATCATGTGAATCGAATTTTGATAAAAGCAATGCCTACGTAAATTTAACCATGTTTAATACTACTGCCAATCAAACGTTTAAATACATAAAACGTCGTGTCGTGACTAAATGCGTTTTCTTGACCAACAATTCGTTGGCTCGTATGTCTGGTGAAGTAAACACGGTTTGTATGCGACCAGCAAGTAGCACAAGTTTTAGAGTACAAAGCACTCGTCAAGTTACCGGACAAGGCCGGAAATATCTTATAATTCAAGCAAAAATTTTATCCTCTGTTTCTAAGTCCTTGAATTGGTGTATGGAGTATTCAAATTTATGTAAAGCATATGATGGTTCACCATTGGCATGTCCACGAAAATTTACTTACAATAGAGACTATAGGAAATGTTCAATACGTTATGGTGGTATTTTGATGAGCAATGTTGATTACTCTTGTCCATCGAATGGTTATGTATCACAACTGGCACGACTTGCTGGTTACAAGGAAGCTTCTTCGACCAATTCTTTTTCTCTGGTAAACTGTGTTAAATGCTCATCCAAGCTTCCGTTGATGGCATGCAGTGAGTCTCTTCACTGCTTGAATCATGAAGTCCTACAAACTAACGTTTACACGGCTTGCGTTGTCTCCAGTTCTGATAGCAATTTTAATGTGATTGAAGCTCGAAGGAAGAACATCTCTTCACGTTATTACACTATTATTCGGGCAAGAATTCCTGACGATAGCAATCCTTTGTTTGAGTCCTGGTGCAAGGATTATCAAAACATGTGTGAATCATTAAACGTACAACCAATGTACTGTAAAGGGTTGACTGCAGAAGATACTCGTCTATCCAAACAAAAATATGGTGCAGTGGTAACTGATAATTCTACATTTGGTTGTCCAATTAGAGTTTTTGAAATGGCCAGAAATGCAGGTTATGACGGGACAAGTAATACGACTTCGTTTTCTTTTCATAGATCGACGTATTGCTATGATAAGTTAGAGGTTTCCAATTGTCACAAGGCTTTGAATTGCCTGACTAAAAGTTCACAACTTAAAGAGGTTTACACGATTTGCGGGGAACACGATGATACAAATTTGAAACCGCTTAACACAAAATTTTTGCGTTTTGGCCGATACAAATTTCGGGTTATCCAAGCTAAGGTAATCAAGCGTACCTCTCGAAATTTGAACTGGGAAAAAGATTATCAAAAATTATGCGAGTCTTTCGATGAGTTGCCCACCGGCTGCAGAGTGACACCTGCATATGCTAATCCAGAAATTACAAAATGTCAATCAAAATACAATGCGTATGTTTTGCCCGGGAACGAGCTTGGTTGTAATCCAAATTACCGGATTTCTGAGTTGGCCCGAAGTGCTGGATTCGTGGAGGCCCGTCCAAATAATTCCTTTGGGTTTTCGTACTGTAGTAATTCTTCGGGTTCCAATCTTTCTACGAGTTGTCACCAAAGTTTACCATGTCTTTTATGGAATGATGCAAATCCTATTGTTTATACTGTTTGTGCAAAGAAACCCATTAAAAGCAATTTCGTTGTCTTGGAACTGAAACCTGTAACATATAGTAACATGGACTTCATAGTCATTCGTTCTAAGATCCCCGAGGATGGGAAATCGCGCAAAGAAAACTGGTGCCGAGACTACGAAGAACTTTGTACGAGTTACAACATGCTACCGACTGGATGTGGAGGGAAGTACACAAATAATGCAAACTACTCCTTGTGTAGTGAAAAGTATAGATCGTACATGCCTGCAAGTGATATGTTGACATGCGGTGATGGAACAGTTGTCAGCAAGATTGCCAGAAAAGCTGGATTTAAAAATGCATTACCAAAGAACAGCTTTTCGTTTCATGATTGTGGAAAGTGCTCAAAGACGTTAACAGATCGATGTGACGATGCCTTATATTGCATGAACAAGTATGCATGGAAACAAGAAGTTTACACTGTTTGTGCGAATCCTAAAACTGCGTTTAATGTTCGTAGAACGTTGGTGACAACTTTAGATAATGTTTCGTATCGCGTAATTGAAGCAAAGTTAGGCAATGATGGACGAGCCATATCTGAAACTTGGTGTAAGGATTACGTAAACCTGTGTAGAATGTTCAATGCACGACCTCTCGCTTGTTCAAATGATAACTATGATTGTTTCAGAGCGTACGGTGCTCTGCCATCATCCATCTCTTGTGATGGAATGAACGCTTCTAATATCGCCCTGCAGGCTGGATTTTCTAATTCAAATGTTGGAAACACATTTGTATCGAACAATTGCAACCGTTGCTCAAAGATCAATTACAACTTATCTGACTATGTTTATGCCATTTGTGCGTTAAATCGTCTCAACTTTAAAATTATAAATTTCGAGAAAGTTTTTGTTTTTGGTAATATGCTCACCGTTGTGTTTGCGAGGTTGCCAGAGCACGTGTTGACCATGCAGTGTAGAGATTATTCTGAATTGTGTCGTGCTATTGGTCAGAATCCAGTCGCTTTCCATCGGGGGTTTGTGACCGAAGATATTCTGAAATGTCGTGATCAATACAGTGCTGTTGTAATGAAAATCTCTGAGGACGCTATTCATCTTATTGCTCGTAAAGCTGGATTTAGTGAAGCGAATTATGGAAATACCGTGGCATTCAAAAATTGCTCAAAGTCTAGTTGTCAAAACAAACCATATTCTTACAAATGTAGTAAATCATTACACTGCTTAAATGGAAAAACAAAGAAGATTTACGGATTGTGTGTGGAAAATACGCGGCATTCAAACTTCTACGTACTAAACAATAAGACAGTAAAAGTAAATGGTCTTTCGTATGTTGCATTAAAAGTCCGCATTCCAGACCATCGCCTCTCTAAGTATGAAAATTGGTGTCGAGATTATGAACAGTTATGTCGCGTCTACGGCATGAGACCATTGTCCAGCAAAGTAAATCGAAAATGTACCATTGGATATTATTGTATAAACGATACAAAACTATACTCGCACACACTTCCTGAGGTATTCAAGCAAGCTGCCTTTGCAAACGTGACAATGGATGACGTATACACTCTCAGTGATTGTGATAAAGAGGAATGTGATATGACGTTTATGATACCTCAATGTGTGAACAGAGCATGTTCACAGTTTATCCATCAGCGCACCATATTCTACTCTGTGTGCGCAAAGATGAAAGAAAACTTGCGCACTAATTTTGAAAGCATCGAAATTCGTACTGAAGGTACGTTCATGGCGGCAAAAGTGCGCTTGCCTTTGCATGGACAATCCAGAACAGAAAATTGGTGTCGAGAGTATGAAACGTTTTGTAAAAGCTATTCTCGTCAGGCTTACTCTGTTCAAACAAATAGTGCTTCATGTTCAACGTTTTACAACTCAACTTTATCCCAGAACGATATTTTAGCGAATGATATCGTCAAGAAGGCTGGATTTAATGACGTACCAAAGAAATGTGTATCTACTCTATATAATTGTGATTTTTGTCAGAAAAATCTTGATCCTAGTAACTGTCCTTTCAACGATTGTCTAGCCGCTGCAATCACATGTAACGAACTATATATTATATGCTCTTGACTTTCTTCCTTATATGACTCTTTCTAATGAAAGCATATGTAACAGCGACCTTGAACCTTTAGTTATAACGTAAGTTGAAGTATGATGTATGTAGATGAAGTATACAGATAGAAAATGCAAACATTATAACTTAGATGAAGTATGATGCTATGAATATTGACTGCAATGCAAGCCAAAGATAGTCACATAAAGATATATAACGTATGTCATTATATACAATTATACAACCTAGTTTCACTTAATTTTTACGTTTTAGCAAACTCTGATATTTGCATTTATAAAAAAGTTTTTTTCAGTTTTTGAAGCTTTAAAGAAGTAAATACGATTGGCTAACTTACTTGTGGTATGTTTGTAAATGTAGATCGTCCAGGTTGGTATAGTCCTGAGAAGGACTGTTTTTGTTGTTGTTGACTGACGTTTCGACAACCTTAGCGGTAGTCATCTTCAGAGTCAAAGACAGTCAAAGACTCAGAAGATGACTACCGCTAAGGTTGTCGAAACGTCAAAACAGTCCTTCTCAGGACCGATCTACATTTATGTAACCCGGGTTCAAACCATTTACTTTATTACTGGTGGTATGTGATATTTATTTTCTATTTAGCTTGAATTATTTGACATATTGTCTTTTTACTATGAAAGTCATGACAGACTTATTAACGTACAGGTAAGTTGTGCACGACAGTATGACAACACGAATTTACAGCATAAACTTTTCTGTAACATATCGTGTGAGTATATGTTGAGCAGATTTTCTTTAACATATTACATTCACAATAGTACGATAACTTGATTACTAATGAATTTACGTTGTATTATTAATGTGAAATTTAAATATGGCAATGGAAAGTTTGGATAAGTTTGCAAAAGTCACATTTATACTGCGCGTTAAAAGACATATATTTTTCAAAAGCAAAATTACTTTAATTTTTACGGTAAATGATGACTCAAAATTTCCTAGTCTGACACTGAGTACGCCTCGCGTATCTATTCTCTAAACGTCCACTCTACTTAATTTATTCAAAATGGCGGTCAAGATGCAAAGTTTAGTAGATCAAAATACAGATTGTTTAGGGGAATATTTGAATTTACAACTCACTGAAATTGAAATGCTCCAGTCCATGTTTGAGGAAGGGAAAGAAATCTGTGTAGATCACGATACATTAGCTCAAGCACAGGAATACCTTGTAGGTAACAGGAAGTTAAAACCGAATAAACTGAAATTAAATCTGAGACTTTTCATTAAAAATGATGATGTTGATAGCTTACTAGTGAACTTCAGTTTACCTCACGAATATCCCAAGGAACTTCCTGAAGTTGATCTCAAATGCGATTCTTTCAGAAGAGAATCACAAAAACAGATAAACGATTTGCTAAATGTCTTTTTGACCACCTTGGAAAAAGGAGAAGAGTGTATTGTCACCATAATTCAATGGCTACAAGAAAACTGGCCCGAATTCTTTGAAAAACAGCTCACCTTTGGAAGGATGACAAAAAATGAGACAGAATCAAAACAAGATAATCATGAACAAAATATGTGCAGAACATGGCTGTACATGCATCATATATACAGCAAGACAAAAAGGAAACATATACTTGATTGGGCACATGAGTCAAAGCTGACAGGTTTTTCTCTACCAGGTAAACCAGGAGTTGTCTGTATTGAAGGTGATTCTAGGGACACAGAAGAGTATTTTGCTCGCTTGCGTCGACTTAATTGGAAGAAGATTCAATGTCGACACAAGGAAGAAAAGATTAAGGAACGAAGGTTTTCTCAATTCAAGGAAATAATTTTTCAGATCCATGGAAGTGGTGATAATAGGATGGATTTCGGGGAATTTTTCCAATATCTTTTGGACCATAATTTGGGTGACATTTTCAAAATTCTGTTTGGAATTGAGGGTAAACTGAACAGTAAATAAAGATTTGAATAAAATTACAATAGTTGTGTTCACAGGGAACTAAAAATGAAGAATTTACTTTCATACACAATAAATTGCATTACATATTGAGTTTGAATTTCAAGTTAAGTGCAGAATTTCGGGAAAATTCACCGAACCAAACTTGTTTGTTTGTGTCAGTATATCTTCCTTCTCCAATCATCTTATTTTCTGAAAAATTTCCTTCAAAAAATGAGCCATTGGGCCAAGTATATTTACCGTAACCATGGAAACGGTTCATATCAAAGCTACCTTCATAAATAGCACCAGAAGCGCAAATCATTTTTCCTTTGCCGTGCATTTTGTCATCTTTCCAATCTCCTTCATACGTCAAACCGTCATTTCCTATGTGAACTCCCTTTCCTTGTCTAAAAATACCGCCGTCCGGCAGTTGTACTATTTCGCCGTTGTATTTGTCGCCATTTGGAAATATGTACGTTCCTTTTGAAAATATGGGACTTGCTGACCGTTCTTCTTGTGGTTCGGTCTTCTTTGTAGTGGGCATTAGTCAAATGTTTTCAAAAACTTCGTTATATTAAAATTAAAATTTGTTGACATCAAGACTGTATATGCTTCAGTTACATATAGAGATCAGTACCTAGCAATTCAAATAGGCGATAATCCATAATTCAACGGTTTATTAAATCCGAGCAATGTTAAATCCGATGATTTGGGAAACTTGCTAACACAAAGCATTGAAATAATAGGTGATACAGGGTTTATATAAAAGTAATATGATACATAAATTAGAACAATAAAAAGGAAATAAGATAATATAATGAGGAGCGTCCGAGCGTATTATAAACTAAATATTGTATTGAATTTAAAAACTTGAACATTGAGGTCAGGGTTAGTTTTGTTAATGTGGAGTGCTTCTTTGATTTTAAGGGTGAATGACACCTTCTTAAATCTCACTCATGCAAAACCAACTATTCACCCTCTTGTTTCAAAATCATCGACACTGCTGACACCTCATTCACCCTTAAAATCAAAGAAGCACTCCACATTAACAAAACTAACCCTGACCTCAATGTTCAAGTTTTTAAATTCAATACAATATTTACTTTATAATACGCTCAGATGCTCCTCATTATATTATCTTATTTCCTTTTTATTGTTCTAAGCATTGAAAAATAACTCGAACTAATCCTCTGTAGTCATCGCCGCTGACTGATAATTTGGGAGAGATTAACCACTTGTGATTACGAAGTGTAGCATAAGAATATATTTTAGTAAAACACAAGAATACATGCCCTCCAATTATCAATATTACAATGACAATATGCCACTATCCCTGAAATATTACATAAACATACAATAGAAATAGATTTATTTAAATAATTTTTACAAATATGTACGGCACGTACACCTCTAAATTCAGTAGTTTGCTAAGGCACTTCTAACGTAATGCCTGTCGTTTTTTTTGTGTTGGTGCTACGTAATTGTTAGGTGCATGAGAATGTCTGGGTTTCTATAAAATAATAATTTACCTTATAAATCTAAACAAACTCCTTAACAAGAAACAATACTTTTGGTTACCTCAACAGGTTCATATCGTAGCATTTGTTCCTGGAATACATTAAATCATTTTCATTATAAATAAATGATAAAAATAAAAATAAATGTTATAGTAAAGGTATTTTCATTTTTAGTTTTTAATAGCACAGTTATTCTCACCCTAGTTGACCATCTTAAATTCTTATGCAGTTTTTCTCCAGGAACTTTATTTGATGACCATTCTTCTTTAAATTGATGATATCTGGAAAAAAAACCAGAAATACGTTCATCATGCAAAACTTGATGTATTTATTCTGTGCAAATACCTTCTCACTGGATCAGTTTTTCGATTGTTTTTAGAATTAAGAACATCTTGTTTGGGTCGAATAACTAGAATATTGATTTTAAAATCAAATTTTACATTTTCAATCAACTTTAAGTTTATGATTTAAATCATACATGATGGTAATGAATGTCTATTTTGTCTCCACGGCTGTAAAACAGAAGATCTTTCTGACATTGTATCATCGTCACTATTTTCATAATTATCCTTCAATGGTAGTTGCTGTAATCTTTTTTCCAAATCTGAAACATCTGTAGCTGCAAAATTGAAGTTTCTGTGAAATTTCCATACTTGTTAAATTGTATAAAACCCTTGATTGCTGTCATTTGGTGCATATTTTGAAATTACCATTTTCTTGACTGAAAGACTCATCAAATACATGTGTTTCACCGTTTCTTTTCCTTTGACAAAAATATCAATACCAGAATTAACTTGTGATGACATAAAGTTTATGATTTGATAAGCTTACAACAATTCTTACCGCAAAACCTTTCTTTTTATCTGAGCAAAATTTCCATTCTCCTATTCATAAATAAAGGTAAATGGGACTTTTGTTGAAAAGATTGAAAACAATCTAGCAAGCAATCACAGTAAATGAATTTTATTGAATGAATGAAATTTCTGAAAAACTTTACCTTATTATAAGTGTTTTCTTTCACATAATACTTGGGATTGTATCCTTTGCGTTTTTGAGTCACTGATTCATCAATTCTTTTTGATTCAGGCGTTTGTGATGGGTAAGTTATACTACTTTCAGTAGAAGTGGAATCTGATGTATCTGACATTAAAATTGAATTTGAAATGGAGTCTTCCTGTTCGCCATTAACTGGAGGGGTGAAATCCGTTGCACTTTCGGAAAAAATAAGCTCGTGAAGATCTAAAAATTTATAAATGATGTTGAAATCTGTTTCGCGGTGTGAGATCATTGAAGAAGGGTTTAATATTAACCATTTGAAAATTCCCTAAGAGCTTCATTTGGAATGTTATTGTATCCAAGTTCTTTTAATTTCTCACGAATTTCATCATCAGTAAATTGCCATTTTCTAGATGAGCTGGCCATTATTTTCAAAAACTGTCATGTGTGCAGTGTGAAAAAAAATATCAAAAAATGTTGGATCACTTGAATTTTTATGACATTGAACTAGTTACCAATCTCCTACGAGTGAATATCGAGTTTTATGAGTTTTACCAATTTCATATTATTTATGTTTCGCGAAATTTTCTAACACTTGATGACTTTGCTAAGAGTTTATTTTTGACGACTTTGAATGTTTACAAAAAATATTGAAAGCCGCAAAGAAAAAAGTATACAGTTGAAAAACCCGCCTTTTTGCTCTTCCATATAATTACAGCCTGTTTGCAGGTGTAAAGGAGAAAATGACAACAATAAAACGAATAAAAACTGTTAACGGCGACAAAGAAATTATTCATTTATATTGTGTTGGTGTATTGAAAGAATTCGAAAACAAAGATGTACTTGTGGCCAAAATATGCCAAACAAATACTTTTTTACAAAGAAACAAAGCGCCTCGCTGAACATCAATTTGGTGAACTATGTGCTCGAGGCGTTCTTCCATAAACATCTGTTAACATTTATCTTCTTGTGAAAACGTGAACATTAATTAAACGATGTAACAAACAGCGAGGAGCAACTCTTAATACTAAAACAAACATTGCTATGTCGAAAATATTGACTTGGAAATAATATAAGATTTACCGGTAAGTTTAATACGTTCAACATCATCAATACTGTTTGGAGTAAAGTAAGTTCGATCTTAATCCATTATCTGAAATGCAATTCTTAAAATATCATCGAGTTCATCACATCAGTTCATTGACTAAGGGAATTTTTGTTTCAAGAGAAGACAAGTCTTCGTTTTAATTAAAGTTGAAGATATGTGTTTAAAAGGAAGTTTGCTCTTGCTGTTTTCATGTGTAGCATTGTAAGTATTTTCTACTTTTATCTCTTAAAATGAGCAGAGTATTGAAAGAATTGTTCTCCAGTGGTATTTTCTGATTATAACTTGTTGAAGTAATGAATTTACTGTACAAAAATGTATTAAATGTAGTGTGAAAGAACTTAATGTATTAAAAAAGTCTTTATCTTGGCTAAAACAAATTGTTGAGCAGCATACATGGATATTTAAATGCGTTAGAGTGCGTAAATCGTGTATATGCCATTGGGCAACTTAGATGATAAAAAACTGTATTTGATCATTGAAAGTATGATTTTCATTGATGTTTTGAGTCTCAAAGTTGGGAATTTTGACCACCATTGTATAAAGCTGCTAACTAATGTTGTTTGTCATTTAAACATTTTAAATTAATGATTTTAGCTATATTGACAAGAGATTAGATTTTCGAAAGCTATGTGCCAACTTTGTTACAAAATTATTTCCACGCTAAGTGATTATTTACAAACACAAGTATGATCTGTTGTTACAGGGAAACGGTGTAAGCAATGAACATGACATTGTTTTTTAATTACAAATGGATTAAGGAAAAATGACTAGTTCTTTTGATTTTTCAGACAAAGCTTTTGAAAATGTATATAAATCATGTCTCAAGGAAAGCAGAAGATTAAAGTAATTATAATGAAGACTTTAATCTATGTTTTCTCTTAAATTTCTTGATATTTTTTTCTGGATTTTCACAACAAACAGCAAAAAAGTTTTTTAATGTGTGATGTTTTTTATTATAAGAAATCAATTTTGATGTGATTGTTTATAAAATGCAATGTTTATTGTCATGGTCAAACAAAAAATTACCGACTTTGAGCTTCAGATTGTTAAAGTATTGCTTTGTTTGTTTGGTCTTTCATGAAAAACAATTTAATATCAAGATGAACAATTTCTTTCATTTTTCATTTGAAGGTCAGCAAGCCGATCTGTGAACATTACTAACTATGATTATGATCATTTTGTTTATGCTCAACAATGGCCCCAAAGTTTCTGTGATTGTAGTGAAGTAAGCAAATCTTTTTTTTCATTGCTTTTCTCTTGCAATTGCTTACTCATAATTATTTTTAGTATCGCTGTCGGATTCCTGAAAAGGTGAAAACCTGGACTGTCCATGGGCTTTGGTTGGTTTGAAATAATTAGTTATATAACACAAAGAAGATGGTGTCATGTTGAGTTGTTTAGAACACTGTTGATTGTGTTTTTAGGCCTACTCTAGGAAAGACAGAAAAACCAGATTACTGTAATAGATCATGGCCATTTGAAGAATATGAAATTTTGGTAGGTGTTAGAGTGAAATGCTGATGGTGTTTCTATGGATGTTGGGTTGAATAAGCAAGAGGTTTGGTTCCCTCGTCTTGCTGTCTTGTTTAAATATACATTATAAAAAACTTGTGTGTTAGTGGATGGCAAAAAGTTAGTTTGAAGTTTTCAATTCTGCAATTCAACTTTTTACTTAATTAAGTTAGCACCCTCTTAATATCTCTAGGAAACTCACTCTCCGGGTAATCAATCTCCACTTTTAGCAAATTAATCCCTCGAGGAGATTTCCCTGTATCCTTGCAAATTAATTCTTCGTTTGTGAAAATCTTGCTATCAAGTAGAATTCTTTGAATATATTTATACAATTTTTTAAGGATATTGAAAACAAGCTTGAAAAATTTTGGCCTTCCCTTGAGGATTCTAGTCGGGACTCTAGGATATCATTTTGGTTTGTTTCAAACAATTTATTGCTTATTTAAGCCTTTCTGACTGTGGACTGGATAACTTTTATGAAAATTCTATCATTTTATTTAATGCAGGCAACATGAATGGAAGAAACATGGAACATGTTGTACCGATTTGACATATCTGGACAGTGAACACAAATACTTTATCATAGGACTACAGCTGAACAGAAAATATGATATATTGAGGTAACTGATTTAAAGATTTAAGATCAGGAATGGTTGCTTGGATTTTTGAACCCCTCTTAGCCCTAAATGGCTAGTGGTGGTGCAAAAGGAGTGGCAGTGGTGCTGGGGGGTGGATGTGGTGCAGGAGGGATAGAGGTGGTGCTGGAGGGGTGGAGGTGGTGCAGGAGGGATAGAGGTGGGGTGGAGGTGGTGCTGGAGGGATAGAGGTGGTGCAGGAGGGATAGAGGTGGTGCTGGAGGGTGGATGTGGTGCAGGAGGGATAGAGGTGGTGGAGGGATGGAGGGTGGAGGTGGTGGAGGGAGGGTGGAGGGAGGGAGGGGTGAAGGTGGTGCTGGAGGGATGGATGTGGTGCAGGAGGGTGGAGGTTGTGCAGGAGGGAAGTCAATTATTCTACAAAATACCAAACGATTCAGCAAAAAAAATTGTGATAGAGTGTAAAGAAGCACTAAAAGTCTTCCAGTTGCAATAAAAAGTAACAGAATTTAACAAAAAAACTCTGAGATGCCATAACAATACTTTCAACCCAAACTAAACTACCAATGTTTTAGATCAATCGTTGTTTTAGATACCCATTTATTTAAACTATTTTTTCTTTCTTGAAAATAGTATATTGAATGATGCCAATATTGTACCTAGCCGATCACAAACATATAAGGTATGTTTATTGGAAATGATATTGAATGTGGTTAAGACGTATATTTATCATGGCTGAGCTATATAATTTTGTACGTATATACAAAATGTGCGTTTGCGTGTAAAATATATTTGTTTGATCTTTTTAATGTTCATTAGCTACATGAAATACATAAAGCTGTGCAGGGGAAACTTGGTTATGTACCAGCATTTCTTTGCTGTAAAAATGATGTAAGTTAAGTTTTTTATGTCAGTTTTCTACTCATTTAACTTGTCAAGATAATTGTGCAGGGTGTTCTCAGAATTACGTATTATAAGTATTTGTGAAGTTTTTTTAAAAAACTCATGACGAAAATCTTACAGTCATCAACCAAGGAATAATTCTGGGGAAGTTTTCCACTCACTATACATTGACAAAGTACGAAATTTTAGACATTCAAGTCTCCGAGTTGATATGTAAGAAAGTTGTGGAAAGTCATTTCACGATTATGTACTTCACAAAAGATTTCACAACAGTTGTTGATATTTTTGTCCTATTTAAACTTTTTTTCTCTCTTGATCCTAGAGCAAACAACGAGTGGAGGAAGTCAGGATATGTTTTGACAAACAACTGAATCTAATTGATTGTAAAACAGGTGATGAGGAATGTACGAACAATGTTCCTATATATTACGAACCATTGAATCCATACCCAGGAAATATAGTTCACCCTACGTAGTTTCCAGTACTCGCAAATGGAAAAACTCCCTTTATCATGTATTTACTTTCTTTGTTTCATTAGCTAATATTTTATCGTATTTTTAATCAACCATTGACTTATAACTTAAGCAAGGAATTTTTATGCATTGATTCATACCACAATATAATATGATTTTTCACATTGGTATTGCCAGGATTAGTATTATGAAAACCTTTACCCCTGACTGTCACCTCTGAAGTCCATCACTGACCGTCACCTTCTACTGTCAAGACAGACCTCCACGCCTGACCTTCACCACTGACCTTCACCCCTGTCCTCCACCATTGACCATCACCCCTAACCTCCACCACTAACTGTCACCACCACTGTCCATTACCACTGTCATCACTGACCTTCACCACTGACCTTCACCACTGACCTTCATCACTGACCTTCATCACTGACCTTTCATACTGACTGTCATCACTGACCGTCATCACAGACTGTCACCATTACAGTTCATTACCACTCACCTCCACCACTCACAATAGAACTTCACCCCTGACCTTCACCTTTCAATTTCTGCCCTGAATTACACTACTGACCCTTTACTACTTCGTTTAGCTTTCAATTTTATCTGTCACATACAGTTTATTAGCAGCCATGTCAGTATTTGCTATAGCAATTTTTTACTTTATAATTTGTAAGTACATCTTACTCACACGGGTTTTATCCATATTATTCAACTGGCAACGCTTTGAATATGAATAATCATTTGTATTGTATAGAAATTGCTTTTGGGTGAGAGACATACTCTACATTAATTATATTCTTAAAAATGCTGTTTTCACCTTAAATTCGGTGATAACCTGATTAATTTAAAAGAAAACGTGACATTCTCCTACTAAAGCGTTGCTGTTTTACCTTCTGAATACATTCTGTATTATACAGTTCATTGCTAGCTGGGTTGGGGACGGGGATTAGGAAGAGCTCCTTCCCATGACAAAACGAATTTTTTCCTTAAATCTCCCCAAACTCGAGTGCAAGATCCTCAGCAACATTTTTACATGGTAAATAAGGGGGTGTTTACATGAATCCGGAATGACTTTCAATCCCGATCGAAACGTGATGTCAATCCGTGTTTACATGAAACTAATTGTTGTTTTTCTTCGCACTCATTTTAACCCATTTAGCCTCTTTATTTGCTTACGAGCTTCAATTTGCCAGAAGACAATACCCATGGCACATGCGTGCTTCATCATTAATCACAATATCATTCCAGAATGAAACTCAATTCGCGTTTACATGAGATAAAAAGTAAATTTCGATCCGGAATGAAACTAGGAATGAACTCGATCCGGAATGAAACTAGGAATGAACTCGATCCGGATCGAGTTGTGACTCATTCCGGATTCATGTAAACATGCAATAGGATTTCTTTTAAAGTGGAATGAGTTCATTCCGGATCGAAACTCATTCCGGATTCATGTAAACACCCCCTAAGTGCAGCTAACTGGATGCGAGACGTGATCACTTGACTCGATCGATTAAAAACAGAAGTTCTTCACTGGAAATGTCACCGGAAATGGATACGTCATTATGTTCCGGTGAATTCAATATTTTCAAAAACGTTAATTTCTTGGATTTGGAAGAAGCAGCTCTACATTTAAGGTGTGTTTTTTTTGTTTATCTATCTAAGTTATTATATTTTATGAAATTTCCACTTATGCAATTGTATTACTGTTCAAGGAACTGAACTATAATTGTTTTTCAGGAGAAGAAAACATATTGAAGTTTACAAAATGCATTTGAAAGGAAGTTGTCTTTGGTCAATTACGTTTGTTATCGTAGCCTTGTAAGTATTGCCATGTTTTACCATATGAAATGAATGGAAAGGGGCAACAGCTGCATTTATTTTCATGTTAACGATGGTATGATTTTAAAGTAAAAGGCTACTGTAAAATATCTCTAGAATGGTCCAAAACAGGATAAGTTTATGAGTACTCAGCACGTGACACGCAGACGATTTGCATGTTACCAAGCCCAAACTGTAGTATGCTTTTTAGTGAGCCCAAATGATGAAGTCCTCCATCTTCTTGAAAATATTTTCCATAGAAATTCTTTTGATATGGAAACTTACAAAAGGCATTATTGCTCTGTTTGTAATTTGCGCAAAGTTTTTTTTATACTTTGCTTTGTATAAATAGACAATAGTTTATGAAGTGATCGAAATTTTTCTTTTTTTTCAGGTCAGTTGGTGAATCTGTGAATGTGACTAATTACGATTATGATCACTTTGTTTATGCTCAACGATGGCCTCAAAGTGTTTGTGCTTGTAGTGAAGTATGTTTATGTTTTTGTATGTTTTTATGTTTGTATGTTTTTACCACATATCATTTAATGTTGAAAAAATTTTCTATCAAATATATATAAACATTTGAAATTTTTTGTTATTGCTAATCTATGGTGAAAAAATATAATTATATGTCATATTTACATGTACACATTAAAATTAAGGGTCGCTGTCGAATTCCAGAGGAAGTAAAAACATGGACTGTCCATGGACTGTGGTAAGTATTTGTGCTGTTTGATAAACATTCTTTCATTCTTGTGTCGAAGTTTGTAAAGCCAAATGGCAATTTGAATGAGATGGTTTAAAATTAGCTTGCCATTTTATTTTGTTGTCTGTGTTTCATCGATTAAATGATATTTCACTCAACCATTTCATAATTTATTGTTCCATATTACACTTTAAGGCCCACTTTAGGAGACAGTGACAAACCAACTGAGTGCAATAGATCATGGACATTTGAAGAAGAAAAAATATTAGTAGGTGAAAATATTTTAATCAAGTGCTTTTCAATGAATCTTTTTAATGTAAATTTGTTTTATTTCAGGATATTGAAACACAGCTAGAAAAATATTGGACATCTCTTGAGGATAATGGTGAGAACTCTAGGATATCATTCTGGTAAGTTGTAATAAATATATTGCTTATTTTGGACTGATAAAATCTGTCTAAATGATCAGGACAACTTATGTTAAAGTTTTTTCATTTTATTTAATGCAGGAAACATGAATGGAAGAAACATGGAACATGTTGTACCGATTTGACATATCTGGACAGTGAACACAAATACTTTAGCATAGGACTACAGCTGAACCAAAAATATGATCTTTTAAGGTAAATAGTTCATGGATATAGGTGAAGTGCTATGCACATAAAATGATTAAACATAAATGGGTTTTTCTTATTTGAAAATAGTATTTTGAATGAGTCAAACATTGTACCCAGTCGATCACGATTGTACAAGGTAATTTTATCATGGCAGCAGTTATAATATACATGTTTGAAAAATGCTCAATTGAATTAGATCTATAATCCTTAGTTGTCAGTAACTTTGATGCAAATCCACGTTTCCGACAGTAGACACACGTGACAAAAATACGAGTTCAAATTACAAAATTCGGACAACCAAATGGTCGGAAACAGTATTTTAATGTAGAATAGTGGCAATAAAATGGTTATAGGAGATGCTTTTGAGTTTTGGGGCATTTGTGAATCTGATTCAAATTATTCAGAACGATTATTTATACAGGCAGAAAGCATAACACGAAATATTAACCATTATGAGTTAGAAAAAAGCATAACGATCGAATGAAAGCTTGAATACTGGCAAGTTTTCGCGCTAATGACTTTTTTGTAAGGATTGTTACAGGCCTTTACGGCGTGACTTAAGAATATCCAGGATGGATTCCAGCTGCATAAAACGCAAAAAGCAAGCCATACAAATTTTGAATTGTTATTTTTATTACATGTTGGTTTTGTTGTTCTTATAATCACTGATCACTATTAGTATTATTGATGGATGAAGACTCCTTAAAACTGGCTTTTCAGATTTATTTACCATGTACTTATACGTAAAAATGGAATTTAAAGAATAGTTTAAAATTTAAATGCATAAAATTACGACGACGCTAAATGATAACATAAAACATTGTCTTATTATGAACATGTGTTAATTGTATTCAAAGGCAGTCATGAATCTCATGTGGAATTTCGTGATATATTAAATCGTAAATAGCTTAAAAATAACAGTTAAAAAAATTCTATGACTTGCAATTTTCTTTGCTTGATGCAGCTAAAATCTTATCTGGATATTCTTTGGTAGGGTGGTTTCTTACAATGAAATGCATACTACATGCATTTACGTTATAGATTGGACTGCTGTCTCTATGCGATGCGATCATAAAAAGTCCTTTATATTCGAAAAGTGTACTGTTTAATCGCAAAATTACTCGATAAGTGAAGTTATATTCTACGTTGAATCATGAAAATATTGTAAGGTAAATCCCTTTTTTCCATGAAGCCCATGGGTGCTTTCGTTCATGATGAGAGAGTTACATTGTATAAGGAGGCTCTTGTTCATCACAAGAGAGTTATGAGAAAGTTACAATGTAAAAGGTAACAAGTAAAAAACGCATAAACATGTTTAGAGTTGGTTTAAATTATAAGTCAAAAAGGCAGAAGTTGTTTGAACCTTTGCAGTATCCTTGGATGTTCTAGTTTCTTTTATGAGAAGAAATCTTGTAAACAAAAAGATGAAATTCAAAAGCAAAAAAACCCGTTTTCGGTCCATGCTTCCCGATACCTTCTTATATGTAAGGCACTAGAACGCCGCATGTTAACGTTTCGAATCATTCACCTGCGATACTCTTTATACTGTATATGGCTAGTTGACATCTACGCCGCATCGTAATTGCGCATTGACTGAGTCGCATTGCGCACAGCATGATTTTTCTATTAAATTGTTACTAAGCATGCTATTTAGTCGGTGCTGCAGACTGCGCATGCAGAGCATGTGGTCGTTACTCATGCGATCGGTGCCATGATGACCATGAACTCGTGCAGGTGGTCAAGTCGATTGCGCATGCTCAAACTCACTGCGCATGTGCAGATGATTTATCTGAAAATTTGTGACTGAGCGAGTTAACTACTCCATAATCTGTACTAGTACCTCCAGTTGGTCGTTGCTATGACCATGATCTTGGAGAGTTTCTGGAGTTGACTACGCATGCTCAGATTAATTCTCAATTAATTTGTAACTCTGAAATTGGGGCTTGTAGATGCTCTGAACAAGTTTTCAATCATATATTTTGACATGTTCTTTGTCTTCTTAGGCTTGTTTTAACAATTGCATATCAATCTCTTCAACACTTTGTTATGGCACTCGTAACATCCGCGACAACGTTACAAATGTTTTTATTTTTCTATATAACTTTGTATTTGCATATTGCATTACATATCCAAGCTTTCCTCTGATTTGACGGAAAATGGTTGTTATTCACTCTTACACGTTCTGCATTATTATTCGTTCTGAATTTCAAAATTAAGGTTTACAAATGCCCCAAGAGCATTTTTCTATTTTATTGCCATTATTCTACATGTACAATACTATGTCCGTCCGACCATTTGATTGCCCGAATTTTATAATTCGATCTCGTATTTTTGTGTTAAACACAGGTTTACCTTTGGAAAGATGGATTACAACAGCATTGTCTGACTTCAAGTGTTCACGTGTTTCTTTTAATCTTTTACAGCTTGATGATATTCGTGAAGCTGTTCGGAGTAAACTTGGCTATTCCCCCATGTTTATTTGTTGTTCAAAGCATGTAAGTTGATTTTAAGCAAAACTTGTCATTTTAAACTGTATGCTCTACAAACTGTCCTTTCACTCATGACTACATGATGATAATCTTCACAAAGCTAGGATGGATGAGAGAGATGACAGATAAGGGTTTTATTTACGAAGTTTGCAAAGTAACAAATAAAGCTACATTATGTAGAAGTTTTTCTGTTGAAGAAAACGTCTCTTCTTCATTTCTCTGAGACAGGATTTTTACTAAACAGTAAACACTCACACAAAATTGCCTTGTGGATTTCAGATTGATACTTAATAGTTATTTTAAGTCATTTACAAGTGAATTCCGCGTCGTTTCTTCCAGTGTGATCTTTCATCAGAGAAATTTAACGAACCCAAAGTGTTATCTAATACATGTCTTAAAAATGGTGTAAAAATAGCGTGATAGGCCCTTGTATAAACCTACACGAACTTTTGTGTGTTGAATTTGTCGTTTTATAATATATTTACTTTTTTTAACACGTTATCTAACTTTGTCCAGTCCTTGTACTTTTGAATATGTAGTTGGTCTTCAACTGCACTTGGTGTTCAAATATATTTATTTATTGCAGAAAAAAGAACGAGTGCAAGAAATATTGATATGTTTGGACAAAAAGCTCAAACTAATAGATTGTCACCAGGCGGATGAACAATGTAAAAAACACACTCTCGTTCATTATGAACCATTAAATCCATACCCATGAACTGGAGTGAGCAAATCTTGTTTCCAGGACTCCCAATGGCAAGTTCTACAATATTGACTTTTCTTTGATTCATTAATGTGCTATTTTTTAAATTTTCAATTTACAAACTATTCGTAATGTGGCCTAAACTAAATGACAATCATTAAAAACTATTTTTGCATTTTTTCCACTATGATACTATAAAAGACATAAACGGCCGTCATTTATTGCCTAAAGTACATTATCATTCCACTGAGTATCTCTTTGAAGGCTTTCTTGTATTGCCTCTGAAAGAAAGCGTATATAATTGGGTTTATGAAACTTGACATAAAGATGAACACTGTCGTTGTGTACTCGGCGGCTCTCGGAATTGAGTCACGTCCATTTACGATCGCAATGAAGTTCACCAATCCCCTTGGTAACCAAAAGATAGCAAATGCTGTTGCAACCAACAGTAGACTACTTGTCACTTGTAATTCACGCTTACGTAAGCGGATGACTGAGTTAACGGATACATAACTACCGTGGATATCTCCTGTAGAAATTAAAAATATGCGGCTTTTTTACAAGACGTCACGTTTGTATATTATCCATGCTAATTTGTGTATTATTTGTTGAACTGATATATAAGACTATATGATTTTAAAAAAAAATTTAAGCATCATGCGTAGATGACAGTATTTATCATGAACATCTTGTACCTACTTTTATAGTCGTTTTACATGAACTGTGACTAATTTAAGTTATAGATAAAGTGCAAAGTTTTATCTTGAAATTTATTCTCCAAATAACTTTTACAGGATTATTGTAATGAATGATTTGTTGAGATAGTGTTATTCTGTGGGAAAGCGTTACATTTATGACGTAATGGTAATGATTGAAGACTACAGATTGTTAGTAATGTCATTTACTCTCAACTTTTTCTGTAACCTGTGATATAAATACCTCGTGTTCCAGGAGACAAAGATGGTTCATTTTCACAGGTTCTACAGTTGTCTCCGTTATTAGAACTTCTCTCATTTTTTTCAATCGAAGTCGATCCTGTTTCCTGACCTGATCCTGAATCCATTTGATTAACTTCTCTCTGTTGAGATTGACGAATCTTGCGTACCTTCAAGAACACTGCAATATACAGCATGGAGGCTACAACAGCAGGAATAATATAACAGAAGACTAGAAGAGACGTAGAGTGTGCCTTATGTTGTGACCAATTGATGTTACAGAATAAAGTTCCATGTATGTAGTCATAACCACCCCATCCACAAAATGGTGCTATAGACCACAAGAGGCTGTGTAACAATACAATTAAAAGCATTTTGTAAGTGGTCGTTGGTTTCCAATTCAGTTGATAACGATGCGGAAATGTAACTGCTATGTAACGATTGACACTGATACTGAACAATATACCAAATTGTATTGCGGTCAGTACAGTATTAAGGAAGCCTGATGCAACACAAAGATCATGACTTTGTGGCCATTCACCGTGGAGCGCTGTCATTACTGTAAGAGGCATGATAAACGCTGCCATACAGAAATCTGATGTTGCTAAAGCCATCACCAAAATTGCTGGTGAAGACTTCCTGAGACTTGTATCGCGCCAAAATGCAATATGAACCAGAAGATTACCAAATATTGAAACTATGGCAGTCATGACTATTGTCACGACGAGAAAATAGATTCCAGCATTTGGTGTAAATTCTTTATGATTGCTGTTGTTGGTTTTGTTCCCGTATAGACTTTCCATCGCCAACACAGCTAACAATAAATAGTTATCTTGTAATCCTTGTGATCTCTCCTAAAGTCCTGTTATCCGCGATTTATGAAAACTGATCCCTAATTTCAGCCACTAACGTTTCATTAATTCTAAAATGTGAAATATGAAATGTGATTATTATTGGTTATTATCATCAGAGTGCTGGCATTTCAATGAAAATACCTAAAATATTTGAGCAAGTTTCATACAGAGAAAAACTTGCATAATTTGGTGCTAGAAAAACGATGTGAATTTATTAGTGAAAATATTTAGTTAAGAAGAGTGGAAAAAATTATAATTCGATATTTAGTCTGATTTACCACTCATACTATAACACTCAGAAAACATGAAAACTACATGAGCTCAATATTGTAGTTGCAGTACAATTTTGTTAGAAAAAACTATGCACAAAACCCAGCATTCAGCAACATAACACATTCATCTGCAACTTATCATGGCATATAACATGAATATTTACCGAAATATTTTTATTAAAATTAAGACATGTGCCTAACGTCCTTCTACAGCCAATGTGTGGAGAGGGCACTTGGAGGAGCAAATTATAGCAAATTTTGGAGGGACCATCAGGCTGATAATCAATAATCGGATTTAGCGGACACGACGTTAGAGGTCTGGTGGCGACCCTGACGCGCGCTAGCGTTTCTCTTTCGTTTCTCAAGGCTTGCACGAAAGTGTACGCTACACCAAAGCACTTTAATCTGCGATTTGTAGATACATATATACAAATAGGACCAGTTATTCTTTAGTTGAAGTAAGTAAACAGTTCAATTTAACGTTTGAATGTAATTTTGTAAATTTTGATGAATATATACGTCAATATGGGTCGTCGTTCCGATATTAAAAGCGAAAGCGATGAAATATGTACTCTGTACAAGTCTTTGTAAATGCAACTTTGTTCAACTTAGTTTAATTGTGACAGTTTTCAAAATTTAAAGCAAATTATGTTACGACGTCGTCAATAACTTCACATATCAGCCCTGAAAAACACATTGACGAACAAACATCTCAGTATTACTTATTAGGTAGGTGTATAAAAGTATTTAAACTGGTCAAAACTATGACTTCAATGTTTTTATTGAGGCATTTATGTAACGTTGCATAAATATTGCTGCGTATGTAATAATCTCTCAAATCCAAGACTAACTTCCGCTTTTTTATGTAATGTCACTTATGTCTGGAATTAACACTGAGCCTTCAAAATCTTTAAACTTGCCTTTCACTGCGAATGTTATAAATACTAATGATTTTGTTAGCTCGTGCTTTGTCATTTCAACATCAATTGTGCCCCCAAGGTATATAGTTAATGGAAGTGCACGGTAATGTATATAACTTACATCTATGTTAGAAGTTTCAACTTTATAATTATTCATACAGAGCCCTCAAATAATGATCATAAGTTACCTGCAAATGCTTGTTTTTCATACACTCCAAATTTTTTGTCAACACTACTTCGTCCTTTGGTATAAATGTCTTAGCGCAAGTGTTCATAACTTCCTCATTGATATGGTGCATTAATGCATGTTACTTTCACTTTACATTTCCACTTAATTTAATGAAGTTTTTTCAAAAATGCTTAAGTTCCTTCGAAGTTCCAGATAAGATTACCAATTTGTTGGATGGTGTACTCTCCTGTAAAAATGATGTAACTTTCAAATAAGTTAGGCCACGTTACCCATAATTATATACATTAAATTAACTGTACAGTACGTATTATTGGAAGTTTAGCGTGCTTTCTGTGTATGGTTGTGAATGTGTCGCAACAGTGTCTTATATGTCTATAGTCTGAAGATCTTTACGACACTGTTCAGGCACGTTCACAACCATATGGAAATCAGTCTTTTCCTTTTTGTATCAAAATATGCATGCAGCTGCTAAAAATAGAAATTTGTTCGTGGGAATCATGGCCGTGAAACTGAATTACAAATGTAGACATTGTGCACACGCCGGGCCTATTATTATTACTGGCGCTGGCCTTGTTAGAGGTCTTATACAAAAGAATATTTTATTAATACAATTATGGGATCCAGCTGGCATTGGCAAACAATGTTGTTTTGTGAGTCCCAAGATGAAAATCATGAATTAACGATCTGACGCTCTAGTTTATTATAAACATTTGAATATCTTATATTATTGCAAAGTATTCTTTCTCTGTTGTTTGTGTAAGCATGTTTATAATGTTCTTTAGAATGCCTCCTTGTTTGTCAAAAATTTTACACAGAGAAACTTATCCTCTATCGGCTATCCTTTCGAACCTTGACGACCAATCATGCATTTTTGAGACCTGCATTAAGAAAATTATCAAGACTAATATATTTACTTATGATGAGCTCAATTTATCTTTTCCTTATAATGACCAACCTGTTAATAAATGGTTCACGAAGGATTTACCACCCATCAAAGAAGCTGACACTGCTCGCCAAGTAAAAATCATCAATACTCCTACTGAAGAGGAGGCAATCTGTGAAATCGAAGCCGAGATATTGAGGAGGCAGAAAGACCAGAATACAGAGTTGTATTTTCATGGTACTAAACATGAGTATGCCGTAGATATACTTGAGAATGGTATTGATTTATTTAAAGTTAAACCAAACCGCGACTTTTCCAATGATGACGGTGGGTTCTACTTAGCAAATGATTATAAATATTCCTTAGAGGAATATTCTATAGTGCACGATAAGCCAGCTATTCTATTTTTCAATATGCATCCCAAAAACATAAAAGATTTCAAAGAATATGACTTATGTGGTAAAAATAATGAAGACGAATGTAATATAGTTAATAATTACTATAGACATGGGAAAAAAGACAAAGTAAGTAGACATGAGAAAAAAGACAAAGTAAGTAGAGAGATAATATCGAAATTGAAAAAATGCCATTTTATCAAAGGCCCCGTCACAGATGATAGAGCTGGTTCGAAGGATGGTAAATATGAGAACTTGCTGCAGATTTGTATAAAGAAAAAAATAATGGCTGAGGCAATGAGTGGCAATCCTTCATTGGTTGGTGCAGTTTTTATAAAACCTAAAGAGAAGAAAGAAGAGAAGTCAAAGAACAAAAAAGGCGTGACAAAAAAAAATAAATCCAGTTTTAAGTGAAGAATCATTGGTTGTGTCTCTTCTCTTGTTATTTATATGTCAACATTACCGCTCTTTAATTGTATCTTATGCTATGAACGTCATTCCAATGATAGAATTATTTAAGAAATAGCCTGCAGTAATAATTGTTTAATAAATGAATAATTACATACATTTGTGTACTCAGAAGCATTTCGCTTGTCTAATTATAATCCAAAATGAAACAGACTTCTCGTTTTCTTTATTTTCAAGATGAAAGCAGAAGGTCTCTGCATGTTTTCACAATCTGATGGTATTGCATGAAATTGTCTGCTTGTACTGGTTATTAATATCAGTTTGAGATTGGATTAGAGAACTATTTCACGTATTTGTGAAACAGGAATTTTAAAGTCCCTTCAGAAATCAAACTAGCTTCAGTACGAATGGTATGTTTAAAAATATTTCAAATTGAAATTTGAAAATCACATTGCAAACAGGTCTTTGTGCCCCATTGACGAAACAATATCATCCATATCGCCCACAGCTTTATTGGATAAAATTCCATTACAGTGGTAAAAATAACCGTTTCTAAATTCTTGGTATTACAAGCGAAGCAACCACTTCACTCAAAGAATTTTACCAGACATACAATGCTGCAAACAAGAGACAACCTTCGAAAAAATTGTAAACTAGTCTGAGGGTAATGAGGCTTTAATCCTGGAGGGTTGGGTGGGGCTTACCCTAATAAAACTTAAGTTGTCAGTTTCGAGGAAGATCGATGTGTCTGTATGTGAGTGGGGGAGAGAGACAATCATATCATGCTGGACTGCACGTTGAAAGGAAGTCGGGCAAATTCAACATGAAATAAGGTCAAATATGCCAGTGAATGATCATTTTAAATTTTGCACAATCAGCAACAGCTGTAGGACGAACTATACTTTGAAAGTAGCCAAAAGGGTTTTTATGTGTCAAGATCCAGTAAAAATGTAAAATAGGTCGAAAAGTAGCCGCAACGCCAACGTTTCCCTATACCCATGTCATAAATTTATGAAAGCCAAAATCGAATTATTTAATCCAGCAAAACCAGCAAACCCAACTTGACTCATTCACGGTCACGTGCTCAAAAAGCGATGTCTTATCCCACAAATCATTGCCCTGCCAGTTATGAATTATTCTGATTATGTCACAATTTAGCAAACGCCATCAAGCATCTTTCACTTGATTTTAGTCATAGCATTGCTTAACTTCTAATATCTTCGTGCGGCGAGAATTTACTCTTCTTTACGACATGTAAGTGAATTTATATGTACTGCTTAATAGAAATAATTTCGTAAAAGCACTATTGCTAATGCGCATTTAATATAAGCGACATGTTTTTGAAAATAGACATGTTTCGACATCTCATGATGCCATCTTCATACTGAATCGCCATCTTCATACTGAATCTTCATCTTCATGTACATCATCATCATCATTTACATCATCATCTTCATCTTCATCTACATCATCATCTTCATCTTCATACAGTATGAGGATGACTTTGAAATAAAGTCGAAAATTTTTATTTCCTCTCTCGTCTCTCATTTCATTTCTCGTCACACCTCATTCTGTCTGAGGATGACTTTGAAATAAAGTCGAAAATTTACATTTCACTTCTCGTCTTGTTTTGATTCATATTTTGCAATCTCAAGATGTCTTGCTTCCTCGGAATTTGTTTTATATTATATTTCTTTTACGTGTCGTCAGCGTCTTACATCGACTTTGACGAATATAAAAAATTTCATAGGTTTGTTTTATATTCTACTTGTTTCTTTAACATAATGTCTCCAAATATGCAATTTTTTAAAATTTTTGCAATTTTGCCATAAACGTTATTTTTCAAGTTCATTCCTATGTGTCAGACTTCCTTGTCGTAAAAAACAATAAAGGTACCTTGCCATTTGCCTGAAAACATCTGCCCAGAGTGTTTTTTGCTTTCAATTCTTGACATTGAACATGCAAGGATGTTGTTATTTCACCATAAGGATGACGCAGCGTTTTTTCATTATTTCCAATGGCGATCAAGGTTTGGAAACAAGCATGAAATACAAAAATTTAAGGTTATGTTTTCATTGTTTCTAAATGTGTGGCAGCTGGGAAAACGTCTTGAAATTAATTTCAAGGTAATTACCAAGTATTTTCTGTAGTTTCTTGCTATTTTATGTTTTTATTTTACAATTTTTAGAATGCAGAAATATACTAAAATCAACGACTGTAGTAGTTGGACATCAAAAAATGATTTCACAATCAACAAAAGATCTGCAGATGATTACCTAAAAGATATCACAAATCTCCTCTTTAGGTCACTAGCAAATGATAATTTAATGGAGGCAATGGCTGGTCTTCATCAGTGTAGTATTTTCTATCGTGATTTCTTGGATGAAGTAGTGAAATTATTGTCTTTTGATAAAGAACTCAGTTTTGAAAACATTGAGCTATTGAAAAATCTTAAAGCAAACCTTATCCATTTAACCAAGTTCCTGGATGAAATATTTCTTCACTACTCCAAATTTGGTAAAAAAAAGTCAAGCATTGAAGGTGTTGTAGAGGATAAAGAAAGTGCCTTTTATCATTTAAACCTTCCTGAGATAGACTACCTTGTTGATTTGAAACTTAGCCCTGAAGAAGTTCTATGTTCTCATCTTGGTTTGAGAGAGGAGCTTGCTGACAGGCTTACTGACATAAGTGATCACATGAGAAAACATAAAAGTGAAAAGGACCACTTGCTGATATTCTTGGGAGATAAAGAAGAAATCATAGAAAACCTGAGAGAAAGTAATGCTGTTGCAAAAACCTTGTGCAACATGGGTTTTACAAAGCATCGATCTCAAGTCATTGCCAACTGGATAAGAAGCATGCCAGATCCAAATTGCAGATCAATTTTTTCTTGGGTGGAAACTTACATAGAAAATCATTTTAAGTATGATATCTTTTTAAATGATCAATTCTTGGATTTTCCATACAAAAATGATCATCTGAATGAATGGTTTACAGAGCATGTCTCACAATTTGGTGAAGAAGGAGATCTGGTAGAGTATCCAGTAAATATTATCAATGTTGAATCTGAAGAAGATGCCCTCAGGAATATTGAATCAAAGGTTGCTGAAAAAGGGATAAGTGATCCAAAGGTGAACATATATTTTCATGTTACTGATCACATTAGTGCTCAAAATATCTTGGAAGGCATAATTAAGCTTCATAATGGTCTGGAAAGATCTGACTTCTCTGATGGCCTCTATTTATCAAATAACCTGTGTTTCTCATTAGAACAGTATGCAACAAGCAGCTCACATCCAGCTATCATCATGTTTGATGTTGATCCTAACAAACTTAGTGAGTTCAAAGGAATTGATTTGTCTAGTGATGAAAAGAATAAAGAGTGGAAATCAATTGTTCAGTATTTTCGCTCTGGTAGGCAAAAATCTATGAACTTAAGCAAGAGTTTGCAATCACAGATAAAAAAATGTGATTACATCAAAGGTCCTGTTTACCTTGATGATACTAGTTTAAGTTATGCTTCATTTAAGGATGTTGAACAGATATGCATTAAGGAAAGACAATTGGCAAAATTAATAGGGTGTCCATTGTCAATTGTAGGAGTGGTTTTCTTTAAGTTGTCTTCTGCCTGGCTAAATGTACCTTAACATAATTCGAGTATAAAGGTATGCTAAATATGGACACTTTAATTAATTTGATTCCATACAAACAGAACATTGAATATGAAATTGAGCTATTAAACAAGGCATGGGTATCGAATTTGATTTAGAGTGTATGTAATTTGTGAGAATTGGGGAAAGTTAAAAGTCAATTGCTAAAAGTTGGTGCAATCAGCATGATAAGCTTGTCTTGTTTACTACCCACCAATGAGTGATTTCCAAAAATGTTATTTACGCAAAGCAATGTGTCAGTAGTGATAACAGTTGTAATTTTTAATCAACAAGGAATTTTTATACATTTGTTCATTATCACAATACATCATGATTTTTCACATTGCTATTATCAGGATTGGTATTATGGAAACCGTCACCATTGACCTTCACCACTGATTACATCACAGATTGTCACCACTGACCTTCACCAGTGACGTCCATCACTGACTGTCACCACTGACCTTTACCACTGACGTCCATCACTGACTGTCACCACTGACCTTTACCACTGATTACATCACAGATTGTCACCACTGACCTTCACCACTGACATCCATCACTGACTGCCACCACTGACCTTCACCACTGATTACATCACAGATTGTCACCACTGACCTTCACCACTGACGTTAATCACTGACTGTCACCACTGACCTTTACCACTGATTACATCACAGATTATCACCACTGACCTTCACCACTGACGTCCATCACTGACTGTCACCACTGACCTTCACCACTGATTACATCACAGATTGTCACCACTGACCTTCACCACTGATTACATCAGATTGTCACCACTGACTTTACCACTGACGTCCATCACTGACTGTCACCACTGACCTTTACCACTGATTACATCACAGATTGTCACCACTGACCTTCACCACTGACATCCATCACTGACTGTCACCACTGACCTTCACCACTGATTACATTCAGATTGTCACCACTGACCTTCACCACTGACGTTAATCACTGACTGTCACCACTGACCTTTACCACTGATACATCACAGATTATCACCACTGACCTTCACCACTGACGTCCATCACTGACTGTCACCACTGACCTTCACCACTGATTACATCACAGATTGTCACCACTGACCTTCACCACTGATTACATCACAGATTGTCACCACTGACCTTTACCACTGACGTCCATCACTGACTGTCACCACTGACCTTTACCACTGATTACATCACAGATTGTCACCACTGACCTTCACCACTGACGTCCATCACTGACTGTCACCACTGACCTTCACCACTGATTACATCACTGACTGTCACCACTGACCTTTACCACTGATTACATCACAGATTGTCACCACTGACCTTCACCACTGACGCCCATCACTGACTGTCACCACTGACTTTCACCACTGATTACATCACAGATTGTCACCACTGACCTTCACCACTGACGTCCATCACTGACTGTCACCACTGACCTTTACCACTGACGTACATCACTGACTGTCACCACTGACCTTTACCACTGACTGTCGCGCCTAACTTCGCCACTGAACTTCACCTCTGACCTTCACCTTTGATCTTAACAGCTGACTGTTATCTACTTGTTGTTTTCAAATTTATCCTTCACGTACAGTCTATTAGCAGACATGTCAGTAATTGCTATAGAAATTATTGTTTAATTTGAAATTTGTCAGTACATCTTATTCACACATATTTTATCCATATTATTCAACTGGCAACGCTTTGAATTTGAACAATCATTATTTGTATTGTATAGAAATTGCTTCTTTCTGGGAGAGAACTTTACATTAATTTATGTTTTTAAAATGTTGTTTTCTCGTGAAATTTGGTGAAAAGAATTTCACCTACCCAGGAGAGAGTTTTTTTCTGTAAATCTCTCCGAACTCGATTGCAAGCTCCGTATCGACATTTTTACATGGTAAATAAGTACAGCTAAATGGGTAGGAGACTTGATCACTGGACTTGATCGATTTTAAATAAAAGGTTTTCACTGGAAATTCACCGGAAATGGCTACATCATTATCTTCTGGTAATTCAATATTTTCAAAAACGTTAATTTCTTTGAATCGTAAGAAGCAGCTCAGTATTTAAGGTGTGTTTTTTTTGTTTATCTATCTGAGTGATTAAATTTCGTGGAGCTTTCACATATTAATTGTATTAGTGCACAAAGAAACTGAACTATGATCGTTTTTCAGGAGAAGAAAGCAGATATTGAAGTTTACAAAATGCATTTAAAAGGAAGTTGTCTTTGGTTAATTACGTTCGTTATCGTAGCCTTGTAAGTATTGCCATGTTTTACCATATGAAATGAATGGAAAGGGGCAACAGCTGCATTTATTTTCATGTTAACGATGGTATGATTTTAAAGTAAAAGGCTACTGTAAAATATCTCTAGAATGGTCCAAAACAGGATAAGTTCATGAGTACTCAGCATGTGACACGCCGACGATTTGCATGTTACCAAGCCCAAACTGTAGTATGCTTTTTAATTAGCCCATTTGATGAAGTCCTCCATCTTCTTGAAAATATTTTCCATAGAAATTCATATCATTTGCAATTTACAAACGGCATGCCATTATTGGTCTGTAATTTGCACAAAGTTTTTTTTATACATGGCTTTGTATAAATAGACAATAGTTAGAAAAAGGATTGACTTTTTGAAAGGTCAGTTGGTGAATATATGAATGTGACACTTTTTTATGCTCAACGATGGCCTCAACTTTTTTTATGCTCAAGATGGCCTTTTTTGTCATTGCCAATCTTTGGTGAAAAAAATATAATTATATCTCATATTTACATGTACACATTAAAATTAAGGGTCGCTGTCGAATTCCAGAGGAAGTAAAAACATGGACTGTCCATGGACTGTGGTAAGTATTTGTGCTGTTTGCTAAACATTCTTTCATTCTTGTGTCGAAGTTTGTAAAGCCAAATGGCAATTTGAATGAGATGGTTTAAAATTAGCTTGCCATTTTATTTTGTTGTCTAACGTTTCGGTAGAAGATTTCGGCCCCTCCACGCTATCCTACTTGGGAGATGCAATACCAAGCTTCTCTCCATCAGACCCAGAGATCCTCTGCAATAGACTTTGCTCGGGTACGCAGGGAGAGTGTGGGCCCCTACGCCACTGCATACTATATCGCACCCAGCTTCCACTGCTAGTTGACATCTACTATTTGAAGTTTTAGCTTAATATATATATATACGTAAATTCAAAGGCTTACGAAAGTTGTGGTATTATTAAAGTCACTACTGCGCATACCCAGATGATTTCTTGAATAATTTGCGACTACGTGAGTTAATCTCCACAAATGTACTACAAGTGCATATAGTTAGTCGTTGCCATGACTATGAACAAATAGTCGAGTGGATTATGCATTCTCAAGCGCATGCGCAGATGATTTTTCTATTAAATTGTTTCTATTAAATATTAAGTTGTAAAACGTTACAAATGTTTTTATTTTTCTATATAACTTTGTATTTGCATATTGCATTACATATCCAAGCATTCCTCTGATTTGACGGAAAATGGTTTTTATTCCCCCTAACATCTTCTGCCTTTATAATTATTCGTTCTGGATTTCTAAAGTAAAATTTACAAATGTCCCAAGAGCATCTTTCTATTTTATTACCATTATTCTACATATACAATACTATATCCGTCCGACCATTTGATTGCCCGAATTTTATAATTCGATCTCGTATTTTTGATACGTATATCAAACACAGGTTTACCTTTGGAAAGATGGGTTACAACAGCATTGTCTGATTTCAAGTGTTCACGTGTTTCTTTTAATCTTTTACAGCTTGATGATATTCGTGAAGCTGTGAGGAGTAAACTTGGCTATTCCCCCATGTTTATTTGTTGTTCAAAGCATGTAAGTTGATTTTAAGCAAAACTTGTCATTTTAAACTGTATGCTCTACAAACTGTCCTTTCACTCATGACTACATGATGATAATCTTCACAAAGCTAGGATGGATGAGAGAGATGACAGATAAGGGTTTTATTTACGAAGTTTGCAAAGTAACAAATAAAGCTACATTATGTAGAAGTTTTTCTGTTGAAGGAAACGTCTCTTCTTGATTTCTCTGAGAGTGGATTTTTACTAAACACTCACACAAAATTGCCTTGTGGATTTTAGAATTGATACTTAATAGTTATTTTAAGTCATTTACAAGTGAATCTCGCGTCGTTTCTTTCAGTGTGATCTTTCATCAGAGAAATTTAACGAACCCAAAGTGTTATCTAATACATGTCTTAAAAATGGTGTACAAATAGCGTGATAGGCCCTTGTATAAACCTACACGAATTTTGTGTGTGTTGAATTTGTCTATTGATTATATATATTTACTTTTTTTAACACGTTATCTAACTTCGTCCAGTTCTTGTACTTTTGAATATGTAGTGGTCTTCAACTGCACTTGGTGTTCAAATATATTTATTTATTGCAGAAAAAAGAACGAGTGCAAGAAATATTGATATGTTTGGACAAAAAGCTCAAACTAATAGATTGTCACCAGGTGGATGAACAATGTAAGAAACATACTCTCGTTCATTATGAAACATTAAATCCATACCCATGAACTGGAGTGAGAAAATCTTGTTTCCAGGACTCTCAATGGCAAGTTCTACAATATTGACTTTTCTTTGTTGATTAATGAGCTATTTTTTAACTTTTCAATTTACAAACTTTACGTAATGTTGCCTAAATTAAACTACAATCATTAGAAACTATTTTTGCATCTTTTCCACTATAATACAATACTATAAAAGACATAAACGGCCGTCATTTTTTGCTTAAAGTTCATTTTATCATTCCACTGAGTATCTCTTTGAAGGCTTCCTTGTATTGCCTCTGAAAGAAAGCGTATATAATTGGGTTTATGAAACTTGACATAAAGATGAACACTGTCGTTGTGTACTCGGCGGCTCTCGGAATTGAGTCACGTCTGTTTACGATCGCAATGAAGTTCACCAATCCCCTTGGTAACCAAAAGATAGCAAATGCTGTTGCAACCAACAGTAGACTGCTTGTCACTTGTAATTCACGCTTACGTAAGCGGATGACTGAGTTAACGGATACATAACTACCGTGGATATCTCCTGTAGAAATTAAAAATATGCGGCTTTTTTGCAAGACGTCACGTTTATATTATCCATGCTAATTTGTGTATTA